TCCCGTTTTCTCGCCACCCCTATTTTCCTTCTTTTTCCTTCTTTTTTTCATCCATCGCGTATATCGCCCCGAAATCGGTCCGGGCGAAGCGCTCCGAAATTAATGGACGGCCGATCGAACGCAATTCCTGAGCGACGCGTGCCGCGGGAAAGGATTCATTCCCCCGGGCTTTTTTATTCCTCCCCGAGGTTTCCCGGGGACTTTTCCGGATCCTAGGTGCGGTCGACCACACGGGATCGATCAAGGAGGAAACGGGGATATCGCCGCTGCCTCCAGGAGGTATTTTTGGCACAAACGGGAGGCCCGCGGACTCCGGAAGAGACGAGCCCGGGAGTTTTCCCGAGGGAAACCCTCGAGGAGCCGGGAGAGGGGATATAAATTAATCGCATCGATATCGAGCCGGGCTAATAAATGGAAATGGCTCCTCCTGGGCGGACCGTTTTAATTCTCCTTGCCCTGGCCGCGTTCCGGAGGGCACTCGAGAACCCAGATAAATCGGGATGCGGATTTACGAGGGGAGGAAAAATCGAGAGGGAAAATTTTTCCAGGGAAATGAGTATTACAGATCGATCTGAGAATTACCCGAGTACGACCCCGAGATTTCAATGCGCCTCTCTTTCTCTTTTTCTTTCCATTTTTAAGGATCTTTGCAAAGAGTTCGGAGATGCCGAGCAATGGCCGAGGTAACCCCTGGTTAGGCAACCCCTGGGTTAACTTAACCAAGGGATGGCTCCATCCCTCGGACCCTTAGGTCTCGATTTTCCGGCCGATTCCACCCGCTCGATCTCTTGGCATCCCGATTCGATAATTGCGGATGCATCTCCAAGACACCTGCCGTTCCCACCGGACGCATCCGGCCTCGTCGGAAATGAGGGGTTGATATTCAACGACGGAGCGACTCCACGGAGAAACGCCGAGGTGAATCAAGAGGGATTAATTCTATGGTGATAATTAATTAATCGATCATGTACCCCCGGATGGTCCAACGGGACGAGCAACCCTCGGGATGAAGTCCGATTTGTCGCCCCGGCACTTGGCCACGCAAATCATCCCCTAACGAGGGCGTTCCTCGCGCCTCCCCCGGCACGTTGGATTTATTCCCTCATTTTTTTTTTTTTTTTTTCCCCAGCTCCAAAACGATCGGCAGTGGGAGTCACGTGGGTTGGTTTTATCGTGCTTTTAAAACGCCCCGATGTGTCCACCGGCCGGAATAAACGAGGGCCGCTTAAAAAGGGATTATTAATTACGCCGATGAAATTTCTGATAACCACGGACACACGCGGGGGCGTTCAAAGGAAACCGTCCGATCGGCGTTATCCGCGGTAAATCGTGATTAAACTCTTCCCCCTCGCGGGGGATTTTACATACTGGACGCGTGAATTGGAAAGAATTTAAACTCCTCGGGGGAAAAAAAAATTGGAGAAAAATCAGGGGTGATTTTCCTCACCTCGGGGTAGGATGTCGCACCTTGAAAATATTCAATTTAACGCCTTCTCGTGATATGAGCGAGAGAGGCGTGACCATTATTTTTTTTATTTCAATATTATGAATCACCCTTTGAGAAAATTAACATTAAATCCGGGCCAAGGTGGCGGACTTCCCATGGACGATCATGGTCCCCTGGTGCCCCATGCAGCAAATCGTTACGAGGGGCGTTTCCGCAGGTACAAAACGCGTCCCGATACGGAACATGACAGTTTCAGGCACGTACGCGACATGTCGCGTGATTTATCGACGTGACATAGTTAAGGAAATGGGCCGAACACGCGCGATTCGAGTACACGCGTCGCCTCGATAGGGTCCGTCCTATCCTAGCCAATGCTGAATATAAAATCTATGTTAAAATTGAAGAAATGCATAAATAAAAATCCGCAATGTGGGTGAATTTTCCCCCACGAGATTTCCCCCCTCGAGAAGGGAGAGACTAGGACCGCCAAGTCCTGCAGCCTCCACCTGTCGGTCCACGTGAGGGTGAAAGATCATCCCCTCTTCTCGAGGGATGAACTCGGGGATGCAGTCCTTACCTGAAGTCACGCGGCCTCGATAGGGCAGAAAACAAGCCTAACTTCCCCAAAGGGTCCCTACGATCCCCCCGGAAGCAGAAGACGTGGACCAGGTAATTTTGACCAGGTGACCAGGACTTCCGGGTTTGAAAAGAGGTCGCGAGATCGAAACCGCGTCACCGCAGGAGGTCACCCTCTGGCTGGACCCCCGAGGGGTGGTCGTAGAAATTCACCCCGGGAATTTTTCCTATTTTTTTCAACTCGCGGCAGAGGGTCGTACACGACGGACACCCCTCTCGGCGAGCGTCGACACGGACCGCTTAAGGGATGCTGCGAGACTGAGATGAGACCACTGCGCACCCCTCGCGCGCGCGCACACGCATCTCCACCCTCTCCGCCAGGAAACCCGGCCAACCCCTCCATCAGCCCCCACCCTTAGATAACGAGCCGTACATGCACGCGCTTCGAAATTCGGCCTTTTTCCTATTTTTTTTTCCCTTTTTTTCCAGCTGGAAAGCCCATCGATCGTCGATGATCCTGGAGGGATTTCCGAATCCGAGGGTCCTTCCAGGCTGGGCCCCCCTGAGAACCAAGGATGGGGTAACTCGTGAATCGGGTCGGAAGGGTCAGGGATGCAGTTGCAGTCGCTTCGTCGGAACTTTTGTGCACCCGCTGGTCTCTTAGCGGTTGAATAGCCCCCTCTTGGGTAGTCCTGCATACCGTCCTCCATTCATCGGCCACAGGGACTCTTTTGGGCGTTTAGCCGCGAAATTACGCATTCAAGGAAAACCGTCGTCCTTGGGCGCGAACGATGCTCCAATTACTGACGTCGAATGGACACACCGGACCGCAGTTCTCCCTCGGTCTCCGATCTCGTGTGGACCGGTTAAAAAATTCATTCCCTCTCGGCGACGAGCTAGGGATTACCAATCCCACCCTGGGCCATTCCTTCCCCCCGTAACTTCGATCCTGCGCGAGAAAAGTCGGCCAAACGTGTTCCGATGGATCCTAAACCCCCGCCATCCCGAGTCCGCGGTCGTTCTCTGCCGACTTGCACTTGGCGCGAGACTCTACCCCCTGATTCACTCTCAAGACAATTTAACTAGTGCTCGAAGCCGTTCAAAAAATTAAAAAAAAAATATCGGGGTTGATTAGATTAGGTCAGCAAAGAAACCTAGAGAATAGGGAGGTACATTCACTCCGAAATCTCGAGAAAATGGCACGTTTGCTGATAAATGGCTCGTTAGGGAGAGGATATCAGATAATCTGGCCGAAACCGTCCCCGCGGGGAAATTAGCTCTCGTAGCGAGGAAGGTCGAGGTCCTCGGGAAATTTTCCCACTTTTCCGACATTCGGCGGCTAGTTCGGAACTTCGACCGGCGTGGTTCGTTAGCTTTTCCGAAAAAGGAAGGAAAAAGGGAGACCTCCCCCGCCACCCTATTCGGCGCGCCCCTGAAACGATTCCGCCCCTAATCGTTGACTCGCGAAGGAGAGCCGAGGGAAATGGAGAAAAAAGGAAAACTAGAAAAACCCTCCACCTTTCATCCGCGTGACATTTTCGACGAGGAGAAAAAGGAAGGGGAAAAAGTTTTCCCGACTTCGCGAGGGGGCGGATTCCACGCGACACGGCGGCCTGAACGGGAGCACCCGAAATCCCCGAGGACTTCGTTAAGCGGCTTTGCCGGAAGCGAAATTCTAATAACGAATCGTTAAAAGGACTTTGTACGACCGTTAAAAGGGTTTTCGAAAAAGCCAGAGTGGCCGCCCGGTAATTTGACCAGCGATTCGAGATACAGAGACGGAGGGAAAAATGGCTCCCGAGGGGACGCCGGAGGAAGCCATTAAGGCCCTTAATGGCTGGCCATCCCGTGAACATCGCGACCAACGAGAAGAAATAATTAAACCCCATGCAGATCCTTGTTCGCAAGGACTGTTTAGCCTTCTTCGCGACTCGGGATTTCTGTTTCTACTTCTCCCCCGGAAGGGTGCCGAGGGTTCTCGAGGAACCGCATTCGGCGCATCCCGTCTCTCGGCCTTCCCTTTTTCCTCGGGAATGGAAAGGAACTGCATCGCGCTGCACCCGAAAGGAGGCTACATCGTCCTTAACGTTCGCTTAACAAACGCGTTTCATTAAGGCCGGTCCGAGCAGACTTCCGGCACGACCTCGCAGTTACAGTAATATCCCACGTCGCTGTTACGAGATACACAATAAACGGAATTTACGTCCAGCGCGGCCCCTCTCGGGAAAACAAACTTAAGGATCTTTGTAAGATGATAACGATCTCAGCCGCGAACTCAAGCCTCAGTTTCGAACAACGTTAGACGAATCGACGAACGATCTGGGAGGTCTTTACAGTCGGGGAGGATGGCCATTAGTCGCGGTATCGAGGGCCCTCTAAAACGGCTGTTTGGGGTGGAGGCGCCCCGGGTTCACCCCGACATCCCGCTCGTAGACTGCCCCCTGCAAGGGCTCCAGCTCTGGGTACAATTTAAATGGCCGTAATTACGAATTCAATTTTAATCCCACCCTCCGACTCTGGCGTATTACCGCTGCGCTAATCCGTGCCATTAGTACAGATTTTCCGCCGGCATCTTTCTCCGTCCACCTTTCCCCGGCTTAAAGTGGACAATTAATTAAGGGGGCCCTATTTTTCCGGGATTGCGGGATTTCGCTCTCTCCCCCAACCCCGGCTTCGATTCCGGAAGACCCTCGCCAGAGCACAAAGACCGCGCCGAAGGATGTCGGACGGATAAATGAAACTCCGGATCGACTGCGGCTCCTCCGGGACGGAAGAAAAGAGGAATGGCCGACTGTCGCCGCGAAAACGCGCTGGTTTCCGTCGCTTTTTCACTTTGTACGACCCCGCACGTCGGCCGCACGCACCGGGACTCTCGGCGGAAAACCGCGGGCGGAAATAATAACACAGGGGTGCGTTGATTAAAACTACAAGGGATTGTTCGCTCTCCGAGTTCCTTCCGGAAAAAGGAACTGGAATTAATAATTTTCTTCGGAGACTTAAAATCAAAATAGATAGAAATAAAATCGGCAAGAATTCGATACGACCCAATGATTCTTCTGCTCTCTTCGGGACTTAATCGCAGAGATTCCCTCGACTCCATGGACGACCTGGAGTTCCTCGACCTCGTCCTAACCTAATCTCTAATTCGCCGCCATTGGTCGTGACTTCCTTGCGCTCGTTCGCCGTGACCAGATAGTCGATGCCAACGTCTCGGTTCGCCTCCAGGGAGTCCGGCTCCGGGTCGTCGAGCTTGGAGAGCTTGCGGTCGAGGCTCTCGTCCAGAAAATCCCAGGAGGGAAGGAGGTCGCAGTCCTTGGAGTCCCTCGGGTCCTTCCGGTCCCCGAAACCGCGTCCTCGCGAGGACCTATGACCCCACTCGGGCGAATCCTCTCTGCTGGTCATCTCCTCGGACTTGTACTTCGCGAAACTCCCATCGGTACTGACGCTGTCCCACATCGGGGAGGTTCCTGAAATTCAAGAATCCAAGATCAAAAAGGACCACTCCATATTGGAAGAGAAGTCCTGGAACCGATCACCGCGCACCTCTCATCACCTCCCAGGTGGGGATGCGTCGTCCCAGTCGAGTCCTTCCGCAGGACCTCACCGAAGAAGTCCACGAAGTCACGGAAGCAGCGTCCCAAACCGGGAAAGGACTCTTCGACCTGGTCCCTCGCCTCGACAGGGTGTCCTGCAGGTCCTGCACCTCCCTGTGCATCTTCATCCTGCGCTCCGCGATTCCTCCACGCTGATGGACCGGAGGGTGAATCGGAGACTCCGGGAATCCATTTTCCGACCTGGACATTATTGTTAATCGGAACGCAGGAATGACGAGGCTCCAGGAAACCTGGTTAGGCAAACCTAGATACAGGATCCCGTATCCTCTATTCTCCTTTTTGCGGGAACTTTCCACTCAGAAGTACCCTCGCGGTGGGCAAAGAAAATCGACGAGTGGCCCCTCGCCGAGGAGTGTCCGAGATAGCTAACTTCGGGCAACCCGGGACCAGAAGGCGCGGAGATGCTACGTGACGCCGACCCTAATGAGAGTCCCGAAGTTGGGCAAGCTCGGTCGAGAAACTTTTGAATTCCAATCGAGCCACTCCCGGAGTCTGGCCCCCGTCTGCGAGTTCCAGATCCCGAGGGTTCCCGCCGATCGGCGGGATCGACTTGTCGATTTCAGGGAACCGATGGACCTAGACCGATCGAGCCGTTTCGCAGCGACCTCCAGCACTGCGCAAGCCGAGGAGGCCATCGATTACCCGGGGAACGCGGCGTTTCGGATATTAAAACCCAGGATTGCGTTTTCCTTGATTAATTATCCTTGCAGTCCTTGGTGGAAACTCCTGATCGATCGGGATCGGCTCCTCCACCCTGAAGAACGTGACGCCCTCCTCGAAGATGCCACCGGGGAGAGAGGAAAGGCATTCGCGTCCTTCGGAGGGAATTCCAGGACTTTCCAGGAAGGGTCCTAACTTTAACTCCTTACTTCCTTACCGAGGCGTGTAGATCTGCCTGGGGGACCCCGAAGTCGAGGTGTCCGGACAGCTGGCTCTCCTGAGACGCCTGGATGCCTCTCTCGCCACTTTCTGCACCACGTCCAGCATCGCGGTCCTCTCGTCCTGGGGCAGCACGACGGCCACCTCCTGCAGGATCTGAATTGACAGACGTAGGAAAATTTTAGTCAAGGAGGCGGGATCGTCGGCCTCTTCGGGGGCACCGATGGCACCGAATTCTCCTCTCCGTTGCCCCGGTCGATCCAGTCTCGTCAAGTGGCGCGCATTATGTGCGAAATCCCGAATCGAGAAGAGGGGCTGATGGGTCGAAAAGAGGGTCGCCGATAAGAGGAGTGCAGCGAGAAGAGCCCCTGGGAGACGCTGTATTGGAATTCGATGGAAGGCATTTATACATTTTCCACCGTGCCGAACTACGGACATGTTTATCGGCCAATAGGGGGGACAATATAAACGCAATATTTCCCCCGGCACCCGCGTCGACCTGGCTTCGACGATAGCACGTCTGTCGGGGAAATTCATTGCGATGAACCCCGCCAAAAGACGCGTCGACGAGAAACGTCCTTTTCGCCTCTTTGCTGCGTTTAGAACGCTCCCCTAAAATTCAGACCTCTCTCCCGGGATAATTAAATACCTACGATCGAATGAGCGATTACCAAAGGGTCGAGAATTTCTCGTAACTCCCATAATTCTCGTAATCCCTCCGTAATTTTGCCAGGAACGCCGTGGTTGCGGTAACAATGGCCGGTACCACCGTCTGACCGCAGGGAAACTTGTACATAGGATGACCCGGGATGTATCGCAGGGATGAATCCCATCGCGAAAATCCACATTTTTTTCTTCTCGGACATCCATCCGCTAAACAGAAGTCCTTTTGTTCCACCTGTCAGACGCGGTAACGCGATTTCGCAATTCTCGCGGCAGGCCGTGCCAACTTCGGGCGGTCGCAGCAGAGGAGGCCCCTGCAGGAGGTGGACGCTTAACTCGAGCCGGAAATTGAATCGCCGGTGCCGGTTTGCTCCCGCTAACGCGATAACTTCGGAATATCGATGTCGGTCGACGGGAATTAGAGAGCCATTAAATCGAGACTCGGCGGCAAAGTGCTTCCGATCGGTTTAGGGAAAACTCGGAAAAAAAGGAGTCCGTGGCTCGCCAGGGTCGCCGGAGACCTGGGTTGACCTGGGGAACCTAGAACTAGCACCTCGATCCAATTGCTGACTAATCTCTCATGCAAACCCCTCGCGGATGGTCGCAGGGACCAAAATGGCCGCGGGGACGAGGCTTCGTCCATAAAGCAGGTGCGCGAATTTCATGGCTCTTGTGCACTCGCTCTTATGCATACGCAAGAGGGGAGTCGTTTGGTTTCCGGACGACCCACTTTCTGGGCGAGCATTGGTTCCTCGCCCTGCACCTCGCACACGTCCACGATTTACGTAATGGCCCGACGTCGCAAATATTTATGCGACTAAGGACGACGCTCCGGAGTGTTTGCCCTCGACGGAAACGCGAGGCGTCTCTTCGAGGTCCCGAATTAGAGCCGTGGTATTTTTCACCCCTGTGGGTGGAGGACGCCTTGAAGAAGAAGGAGCGAAGGAACCCTGGAAAAAGCCCTTGAAGAGACGCTTCAAGAGATAGACCAGGTGATCGGGCGGAATGGACGTCGGCTTCGGGATCCAGGATCCCGACAGAGGTTGTATCCTGATCCAGGTTCTCGGTTTCCGACGACTCAAGCGTCTCATGAGGGGATGAGTTTCCAGGATGGGATGGTCGCTAACTCACGCGAAACTTGTTAAGGGCGACCAAGGCTGGAATCAAGCCACCAGGACCTCTTTGACGTCCTCGCCTTCGGCCGAGGGACACCGCGTTGGTCAAAGGACTCCATTCCCGCAGGTCCACGTGTCCCGCTGGTCCTGGAAACGAAAGAGACAGCTCTGGATGAGAGTGGAAAATAAAACCGATCTGAAAATAAACGTTTCATTGATAAGGACCTAACCTTTGCAGAGGTCCTTCCGATTGGAGTAGAGCTTGGAGAAGCCTTCGGTGATCATCTTGGTCCTGGCCAGGTTCGCTCTCCTGACGGTCATCCCGGCGTTCCTGGGCTTGCTCCAGGTGGAGTAGGCACTGAGTCCTTTGTCATTAGCGAACGTCAAATTGTATTTAACTATCTTGTCGGAGTCCACGAAAACCAGTCTGAGTCCACCCTTGGACCTCTCGATCATCCTGGCGACGTTCTCCGCCCAGGTCCAGCCCTTCGACAGGAACTCGACTATCCCGTTCGCTGGGGACATCTCCTGGGTCATCACCAGCTTGGAGAACATGGCCAGAGACCGGACTTCCGAGGAGTAAATCTCCCGCCTCTTCCTCCAGGACTCCACGTGCCAGGCGTTCTCGTGGGACGAGTTGAAGAGGTTCCCCAAGTAGGGTCGCAGAATCGGCCCCAGGGTCTTCCGGTCGTTTTTCGCGGCTGGAATCAAAGTACATCCGGTAGGAATCGAAGTCGAAGAGAGGCGGAACGGCGTGGAGGTGCCGCAGGCGAAGGCTAAATGGAACAAAGCTGGACCGCAAGGAATCCTCCGGGGAAGAATCGAAGAGGTTGCCGAGTCGCCTCCGGGACCTCCTCCGCGTCCCGTCCTCACCCTGGGTGAAAACCGACGTCGTTAAACGAAGAAGTGGACCTCCATTCCCATGGAAATTCCCAGAATCTCTTTCTTTCTCTCGAGAGCGCCCTCCAAGAAATTTCGCAAACGCGGCGAATCCGTTCCCGATCCGCAGGGGAATAATTCGGAACCCCTGGAAAAATTCTCCGCAATCGTCGTACCGAAATACAGCCACCGGAGCAGAGTCTTGGCCATTATCACGTGGTTCTCCAGGTCCGTGTAGGCGGTCTCGCGATCCCTGCGCACGACGTCCACCAGGACGTCCAAGGAGCGCTCGAAGAAGGACGCGCTACCGCGTTTCCTCCTCTTCAGGGTCTTCCTGTGACCTCGTTTCCGGCCCCGACGACTCGTCATCGCGTAAACCTGGTCCCTGGCCTGCTTCGAAACCGTCGTCAGCAGGTAGACGAGACTCTCGATCGGCTCGGAACTCCTGTTCGACGACTCAAAGCTCAGGAACGAGTGGTCCTCCTGCGACTGAAACAAGGACCTTGTCTCGACTCTTGATCCTGATGCTTTTCCTTAACCCGAGTAAATTACCCAAATTTCTAACGGGCTAATCCCTCGGTTAATGAACTAAGCCTCGATTACCCCGATGTAACCTGAACCTGACACCAGAATTTTTACATTTCCCTGATATTCACCTGCAAAGAGACCTCGTTAGCCCTTAATACTTCCTGGACGACCAGTCCTAGGTACTCCAACTGTCTGGAGCTGTACCCATAGTGTCCACCCATGGTTCCCCGAGGTAGAGAGGTGACGACTCTTCTCCAGCGGTCTATCAGCTCGTTCTCCAGGAGGTCCGCCGGTCTGGGCTCGGTCGTCTTCAGGTCCAGGGCCTGTCGATGAAGAGCCTGCAGGTACTGCTCCAATAATCTGGAGTCCGACATATAGGAGTCCTCGTGATGCAGGATGCCACCTGAAGCCATTTCGTCCAGGATGTCAGGACAGGATCGATCGGGACCTTCGACGCCGCCGCTCGTCCCGAACTCTGGGCTGGAGACGCGGACGTCGCGACGCGTCCCGGAACCCATCCATCTCGGAAGGAATCAGCACGTCCGAGCGTTTCGTAATGAAACTACAAATCACCTAACCGGAATACCCGCAACGAGACGTCGACGCAACGCGGCGCGGTGCATTTCATTAACGGAGTTGCGGATAATCCCATTTCCGCGCCGGGAAAAACGGCTCGACCCGATTCCGCGATGGGAACGAACCTCGCTTCGCCGTTCCCAAACGCTGTCTGGAGATAATTAAAACAAGAGTACCGCAACTCCAAGGATTATTAAGGCGCAACGTTGGTATTTAAACCTATTACGAGTATTCCGCTTAACGAGTTAAGGACTATCTCCCAGATATATACAATAGATAATTCTTTATCCCAGAATTAAAGAGAAATTATCAGTCTCCGCAATCCATGCGATCGGCAAACCAGTAACGAGTTCCGGCAAGCGGCCGACCCGCCGCGGGTTCACCGGCGCGGAACGCTCCGATATTTCCGCGTCACCGGTCCGATCGGCAGCCAAATTCTCATCGCGATTCTCATTGTAATTCTCATCGTCTGGCGCCGTTCTAGGGATGAAACCGTTCCAGGGAGGCGCAATAATTGCCGGGCGTAATAATTACCCAGAGCAATAATTGCCAAGCGCAATGAGATGGACGCTTTGAAGAGCGACGGTCTCCTTTCCGGGATAGAAGTCGAGGTTTGCGGATTTTTCGAAAGCTCACCCCGGGCGCACTGCAGCATCACGTTGCTGCGTGGATAAAAGTAGCACCGCAAGCTCTGGCACCTGAGAGCGGTCACGGTTTCGTCCAGGACGAGAAGGACATGACGAGATAAGGTCTCAGGAGCCCAGTTCCCGAGAGGATCGGGTCCTGCCCGTTCCAGGGCCCACCTGTGCACTGTCCTGAGTACCTGTCTGGAGACGACCCTCGGAGTGTCCTGCAAAGTGGAGCAATAAGTCCGATTTAGCAACGTCCAACGCCAAGAAGGATATTCCCCCAGGACCAGCTTCCACGGACCATCTCTTGAAGTTATACAATAAAAACGAAAAATTTTGTCGAGAGAAAAAAAAAATTCCAAACCAAGAGGAAAGAGACACTTCCTGGTCGTCCTAGATATCGAGGAGGTTCAAGGAAGCTGCACCCCTATTTGAGAGTCCTTGATCAAATCCTTTGAGTATCGGCTGGGGAAAAAAAGGGCTCTCAAGGCTGATTGCAGGCGCGGAAAAATTCCCTCTTGTTCCCGGGAAGCGTCGACTCTGGAAGCGGGATGTCCGCGGCGGAACCGCCGACGTTCCCGACGACAGGCCGGCCGTTTGTCTTCGCGGTGCGGAAAATATTGAATTTCCGGCCGGTCCGTCGATTGAAATTCGATTCGCGCGTTCTTGCGGCCCCAGAAGGCGCGCCGCGTCGTTAAATATTCAGACAGGAGTCCGGACCTCTCCGCGCCTTCGCCATTGTTTATTTGCGCGGCCAATAACGCGGAAACGCCCGTGGAAAAATCCGAAATCGATGCGGAACTTTTCTCATTACGCTCCTTCCCCGGCTACGACCGAGACGGGGGATCGATGCATTCCCACGGGCACTGGTCGCTCTTTAAGAGCGACCTGCGTTCTATCTCTACGAAGATGCCGAAGAAAAGCGGAAATCGAGTCTTAGGAATCCGCATTCCCAAGGGACGGCGGAAAATCGAAAGAAAAATCGCTACCCCACCTTGCTCGCAAAGGAGAATTCCGGGACCCGTTTTTCCCTCAGCTGGGACAAAATCCTCATCAGCACCGAGTCCACCATCCCTGGGACGCTGTCTTCCGCATAGTGGGTCCTCATCGCGGTCTCGGCGGCCGGAAATCGCACCTTCCACAGGGTCGCTCGATCCTCGCACCTTGCTCCAGGGTATGGCCCCACGGCTACCACGTACATCCCCTAAAAAGGTACAGCTAGATATCGAAGAGATGCAACCAGAAGCCGAAGACACTCACGGTCTGCGCCGCGTTGTAGTACAGAAGGGCATCGCAGTGATGGAGGGGCACCCTCTTCGGGAAGTCTGCCAAGGCTGGCCAAGAGGAAGCAGAAGCACCAACGACGAGCCTGACCTCGACCTCGCGAGTGCCCATGCCCTTTAACCCCAGCTTCAGCAGGATCCCCCCGGAATCCTCTACCAACACCACCCTGTGGTCCTTCGGCTCCGGCAGGACGACCTCGGCGGACGCTTCGGGCCGGAAACGAGAAAGAGTCGACTTAATAAATTTAGTCTTACGTTCTTGAACTAGAAAAACAAATCAAGGGAGAATCCGGGATGAGCCAGGGTCCAGGAATAAAGTCTTGTCGCAATTAGCGCCTCCTCGCCCAGTGACTTAACGAGGGTAGTTCGATGATTTACTCCCCCGGGCTCGGTTACTCGAGCTTTTCCGCGAGGGTCATTATTTTAAATCCCCGCCAGTTATGATTAAACAACTCCGCCAGGCCGTTTCGCCTGATTAATGGGGCACCGTGTAGATCGAGTTATCCCGCCGGCCGGGATGCAGCGGATGCACTCGGGTGCAGGAAGACCCCGAGATTACCCGCGAGAGGCGAAGGTGGATTTAAAGGGACGCGCATTTACCGGGTCCATAGAACACCCTGCAGTGGTCTGGTTGCTTTAAAATCTTGTCCAGCACCTCCGGGTCCACGACTTGTCCAGGAGCCAGGCACAGCCTCTCGTCGACCCCATCCAGAGCACCTGAAAATTCACACCTTGATGACCAATTTACCTATTTACAATTTATTTTTTACACCCACTCCAGCCAGACCCATCGACGCCATGACTCAGGGCTCGAAAGGAACGTCGCCCTATATATTTCCCATCAACCAATCTCCCTCCCACCTCCACCGTATTCGGCACGCGACGTTACCCTCTGATTGCCCCATAAACCCGAGCTCGCACTCGAAACGCCTCGAATCCGCTTCCCTGTTAATATTAACAGGGATAATCTCTCGACTGCGCACAAAGTCGCCCCTCGGGGTGGTCTTCGAAGAGGAGCTTCGGGTTGAATCCCTGGACCTCCGGTACCCACCTTGCTTGGTGGCCAAAGCCAGCAGGCTCGCCATCTTCGCCTTTATCAGATCCCTCCTCAGCCTTCCCTCGGGACCCAGGAACTCGGCCCAAAGACTGGCTCCTGATCCTCTGATCCTCAACCTGGCGAATCCTGGCATCCCTGGGTCCTCTTCCACCCGAACCGGGGCCTCGAACTCTCCGGTCACTCCTGGACTGGATAATCCGTCGATCCTCACCAGATACTCAAACTTCAACTCCTTAAAAAAAAAAAGAAAAAATTAATACTATCTTTGCAGGTGCAAAAAAAAATGTATGGACGTTGTAGGGCCTTCGGGGTACTTTTCAGGGTTGAAATCTATTACCTCGACTCTTCGTCGCTCGTTTAGGGACACCAGGAACATGGAAGAGAACCTGGGGTCCAGGTTGCCCATCCCTGCGACTAGTCGCTGCACCAGTCGCTCTACTACCGCCTCGATGCAAATCGCCTCCCCTGAAACTAGGGAAATTCATTGAAACCGTCCTTCTGGGGAGAGATTTTCCGCGGGGAGATTTACGAGCGAGGGGGCCCCCTTTGAATTTTATGAACCGCCAAGCCGGAATTCCGATTCCGCGGCGCGCATTATCGATCTCGCGGTTCGGCCGAAACTCCCGCTCTCGCGTCGCCCCTGAAAAATGATAGTGTCGCGTGTGAAACGGAGCCCGGTGGTATTCCTCGATATTTTTTTTGGCCCCTCCTTTTTCGCCACCCGCGCGTACATCGAGCTTTTCAGCGACGGTACCACCGGGTGTGTACATTGGGTTTACATTTACGGCCCAGCGAGCACCGAAATGTCCCAAATTCTGAACGCAATCCGCCCAGGGAAGGATGAACTCCCGAGGGCTTTGCGCGGAATTATTTTCATACCATAAATTATCCCGCCAAATGGTACTGTTATTTTACCATCCGGTTTCGCAGCATCTTCTATGAGCCTCGAGTAATAAGAGTTGAGCTTCTCGAGCTGCTCCTTCGTGAAGCTGAGCTTGGTCGCCATCAGACGTAAACCTCCGCTCTTGCAGGTGGTCCCACTTGGTGCGCACCCCATTTTAAATGTAGATCATTATGGGGGGCCATATAAAAAAATAGTCACTCCTTTACTGATCTTCCCATGCAGACCGGTGACCATGGTGCACCTTACTCGTCGCCGATTTTCGAACCGCGAACTGGAGACTGCACATCGTTCATTCGAATCCGACCCTGTGACGAATTACTCGAAAACGTAATCTCTGGTAGTTTTCGTCCACTTTTATTTCCCCGTTCGGCGGACGCGGTAATTTCACGGTATGTAAGCCAGAAGTAGAGGTGCAGTCGGCATTATTTCCTGGAGGAAGCTTCCTGACGTGCATCTAGGGCGTCCCTGACGCAGGTGAGATCCAGGTGAAGGACCAATTCTAGGAAAACTTCCTGCGGGAAATCTGGGCCAGAAGAGATCCAAGGACGATCCACCCACGTCCGAGGTGGTATAATAATGGTCCTTCGATTATAAAAAAAAAAAAGAAATTATCAGAAAATCACTCCGACGGTTCCCAGGACGTTATCCTCGAGGATCGAATTTTTTAACACCGCCCATCTTCCCCAGGCCCCTATTATTTATATTTTCATTTTTATTATTGAAACCCGCGACAGGCAGAGCCGAATATCTCCAAGCCGCAGGACCTCTCTCCTCCCCATATTTTACCCCGGAATCGTGACCGGGTACGCAGGCATTGCACATCTAAATACACGACGGGTGCATCATAAAAAGCCCCCGGGGGGCGGGAATACCGGACGCACGTAAATCGGCCGTAAATCAATTCCACTGGGTCTTAAACCCGAGCGTTCGTTTAAATCACGAGGATTCCTGAGCGGAACCGTCTAACAGCAGAAGGAGGAACTTCTTGAAGAAGCGTCAAAATGCCCCAGGATGCAGCTGCGCATCCTCGAGCTGCACCTTTAAGACCTCGGAGGAATTTCACCCTCGAGTCCCACCTCGAAAACCGCCGCGAAGGTGGCGGCCATTTTGGTGCACGCGATTCCCTCGAAGGCCGCGAAAAAAGGGGGAAAACAAAAGAGAGATTGAAAAAAGCAGCGCACGAGACAGAGACCCGGACGAAACTGAACGCGATTCCAAAAGGCTCGAAGCCTCGTGTCGTTTTCCAGTCGACGGAACAGGAGAGCCAGGGAAAATGTTGACTCGATTTCCTCACAATCCCTCCTGCCCGACGTGTGGTCAACGCCAAGCCGGCCCTGCCCGATTCTCCCGTTGTCCTTCCGTGACAATGCAAGCTACGGTTCCCGGCCACCGGCACCGGAATCGCTTCCGATTCCGATTGTTGCAGTTCCGGTTCCGGCCCGAGGCGCGCCCTTCGCGGCCCGCTCCGGTTTCCAGACGGAAGAGTCCACGGATGGTTTCATTCTTTTTTATTTACACACCAGGGTCCACCATAGAATTCAAGAGACCCAGGAACTAAGGCCACCTATACGGACCATCCCAAAATAATATACACATTTTTACGCGCCTCACACTTTCCCTGAATATTTTTTATTAATGAAAATGTATACATATAAAGTAGGCTCAGTTTGCACGACTTAATAACGCCACGCTAGATACGAGACCCGGTCGATCAATTAATTCCGCCGATTGCAACGGTCGGATGATCGAATCGGTTAGAATCAGTCCCAAGTGGGCCGGTTTAACGCCCATGCACATTATGGATTGGTGTCCATTGAGAATTGACAAATGGAGGGACTGTAACCCGGCGGAAGCCACGTGGAAACGCAAATATGGAGTGATGGGAAAATCTGGGAAATGGCCTCCGCGGTCGAAAGAGAGCGAGGGATTCCCCGTTGATCGGTCGGTCATTCGGTTCGCGTCGGGGATTAATTCCTGTGGAACCACGCCACCTGTGAGTGCATCCTCGATTGGAAGCTAATACCTGAAGTCGCTTTACCAAGGTGCGAACAACTTCGCACCGACTCGGTCGATAAACGGGGGGAAAGATAGAGACCAACTGTCAACGGAGGAAGATGCATCCGGAGGAGTCCCGGGGGCCGTGCCCGTGCAAGCTGCCCTTCCTCTTGCCCGACGAGGTAGCGGTTCGCAACGACTCAGCCGACTGCTGGGTCTCCTTCCTGGGAGGAGTCTACGACCTGACGGAGCTCTGCAGAACCTGGCGCGGCCACGAGTCGATAAAACCGATCCTGGCCCACGCAGGGAAGGACATTAGCCACTGGTTCGACCACCGCAGGAAGGACATCAGACATTACGTGCATCCCATCACGGGGTTGAAAGTCCCATATTGTCCCCATGGACCCATCCCGGATGTGCGCCTAGAGCCGACGAGCATTTCCTGGAGGCCCCTGGACAGGTGCCCCTGGTGGCTCGACGAGAGATTCCGAATAGGGAACCTCACGAGAAACGCCCGACCTTGCAGGATCGTCAACGTCCTTACAGGACTTCAGGCCGTCATTACGGTTAATTGGAAACTAATTAGAAATTTGTCCCGCGGCATTTTTTAAAGGTCTCTTTTATCCCAGGTTTGCGAGGAGGATACCGTAGAACGGATCCGGGAGCGCTTCCTGGGCTTCAATGCCCACGGGATGTCCTACACCTGGAAGTTCCAGGGAAAGGAAATCGACCCTCGATGTACTCTCACGGAAAATGGAATTCCCGACGAGCGAGATCGCTTCTCCGCCTGCGGATTGCCAGATGACGTTTACATCCCTTCTCTGATGTGCTATTACAACGACGACCTCACCGAGATGTAGAGATTTAAAAAAATCCTCTCATACCATATGGCCCTGGTTCCTGCCTGAGATATTCTGGACATACTTCTACGCTCAACCCACAGATGGCGGCACGCCCATCAAAAGGCTCATACATTCCGAGACCCTCGATGGAAATGAAAATTCTCCCGACGCAGCCCGGGAGTTCAAACTAAGTCCGGGAACTACCCCCTATCAATCCCGTAATATAAAATGTGCTAAATTATTTTTTATCCCATTTCAAAAATATTTCATTACCCAAATCCGCGCAATTTGTATATATTTCAGTGCCAAGGGTCGCTGGCAACGATTGAACCGTTCTACCGAATGGGAATCTGCAGCGATTAAATCCGAGCTGCAAAAAGCCTTTGTTCGCCACATCGGGATGATCCGGTGGTGAAAAAAAAAAAACGGGTAAAATAATCGGGGGCTAAAAGCGTGGAGAGCTGCGGGAGGAGGAGTCTGCGCGGAATCAATCCTCTCCCGTTCCCCGGCCTGGATCCGATGCCATCCCTCGGGAACGCGTCCTGTATTGGTGGAAGCGCACCGAGGGTGCGCAAACTTCGCCGGCTGCGGAACGGGCTAACGCCCAGTCACCCCCGCCAGTTTCCGAGCCCTGGCCATCGATGCGGTCGCGGAATTTTCCGCAGAAAAATTCCGCCGCGAGTCCGCGTCCATCCGAAAGTATCTTGAACCCTGGGACCGAGTAGCGCTCACTTCTCCTGTCTAGGAGAAATTTTTCTCAAATCGATTCTCCCAAAACGGTCCACCTTGCCTCGTCGCGCCGATTCCCGAAATTCCCGCAGCGTTTCCCGGAATTCCGGAGGCTGCGACAGGCGGGGGAAAAAAAGGAGAGAGGGTCCGGAAGAGCTGGGATCAAGAGGCACCCTCCAAACTGAGGACATGATCCCATGATACCTGGTCTGGATTCGACTCGGGTGTTCGAGGCTGACGCCGAGTGATTCTCGATAACCGCGATTAGTGACCGTAAATAAACACTGAAATATCGACTTATCGAGGAATCGGAGTGGGTCGTCCGGTTTTCGAAGCCGTTCCTCGTAGGCTGCTATCGGCGATACCAAGGCGCCGGATTTATCTCGTGAATCAGAGACCTCCAGGGAACGACTTAACGAGTGCCTCGCGACGCTTCCCCGAAGTCGAGTGTCCTCGCGAATGCTCGCAATATTGGATTAAAAAGCGGCGTCCATTGTCTCCGTAGGTTCCTCGTTCTGCGTTCCGCAACCGGAGGGGAAAATCGATGAGGTCGAGAACCGTCCCGAAGGCCCACCTGGACGAACAGATGACGAGAGTCGGAGTCAGGTCGGAGGAAGGTAACCGGGGCGCTGGGTCCTCCTCTGGACCGAAGAGAAACAGACTTCGTCCGGTCTAAGATGTCTTCGAGGTCGGTTCTTCCAAGGTTCATCGTCTAGTCTCAAATATCCTGGTCCAGGTCCTCGAGGAAATTTCAGAGATGCATCGGTCGAGTGTCCTGCTCTTCCTGCTGCACCACTGCATGCTGCGGTCCAGCTCGGAGTCCAGGACGGACGTCTGCGGGGGACGCTTGACCGGTCCCAGGGGGGTCATCTCCACCCCCAACTTCCCTGGGGTCTTCCAGGTGCCCATCAGGTGCCAGTGGATCATCGACGCGTCCGAATGGCCCTCTCGAAAGAGCGCCATAGTGGTGTACCTCACCCAGATGTACAGCCACAAGGGCCTCACCTTCACCGAGTACGCCTACTACGAGTCCGACAGCATGAAAATTGGTGGGACCATGATCCAACGCATCACCGAGGGCAACGTCTTCGAGTTCCGCTGGATCCGCACCTTCAGTCCGTACCTGGTCATCGACTTCGTCCTGGACAGACTCGAAGGAAACCACGTCAGGGTGCTGCACGACCTCCTCGACGTCTACGGCTTCAACGTCACCTACGAGATGACCGAGCAAGAGGTCAACGCGAAGTCCTGCTCCCTGAAGGAGTGCTCCTACACCGGGAACTGCGTCGTCGACGAGGACTTCGAGTAAGTTGGGCACTTTTTTCCTCCTTCCTGGTATTCATAGGTAAAAATCCACCTGGACGCATTTTTTATCAGCACCTTCCGCTGCGACTGCTTCGACGGTTTCTCCGGTGACGACTGCTCCGACGGACCTCTCTGCTTGGACGACCGGGGTGATCCGGTCTGCCGGAACCAGGCGACTTGCAAGTACGATCCAGGGATCCTCTTGATCCTCGATGCTCCTTTTGACGTCTGGGGAATCTTGAAACAGGACTCTTCTCTTTTCCCAGGCACGTGGGTGCCGAGACCATTCGCTGCCTTTGCCCTCCGGGGTATAGCGGACGCTTCTGCGAAGTTCGGCTTTCGCTGACCCTGGACCAAGGTGGGCTCCTAAGTTCTTCGCTGATTCATGGTTCAGGCTCGACGACATCTATCCAATTTAACCTGGTGGTCCTTTTTCAGAATGCGGAGGCAAGAACTGCGTGACGCAGTGCCCGGCAGCGGACCCGATCACTCCACCCTGCGACTGCAAGAACGGGACCAAGATTTACAACAGTGAGTCTCGGATGTCCAAAATGTTTAATCAAATGTCCCGAGGGAGTCATCGCAATTATTTCTGCTGGCAGATCGGTCGAGGTACGAGTGCAGAATTAAATTGTCCAACGCCACCTCTCTGAGGACGTCGCTCCACCCTCAGGGCAGCTTGGAGTCTCTCCTGGCCAGGCAGGTGAGTAGACCTCGTTGCAATGCATTTTAAACCCTCCATAGACATTGTTCCAACATCTCTCGACGAGCGGGGAGAGAATTCCTGTGCCCAATTGTTGGCAAACAATGCTCGCTCCGCGTCCACTCTTGAAAGCGCTGATTACCCGAAGGACTTTATCGCTCGAGCACCGACACGCGGAAAGCGCTTCTTCGATCCAGGCGATGATTCCGCAAAGTGGCCGCGACGGGCCCGTGAATCACCCGGACTATAAATAACCGCCTTGTGGTCCGAAGAATTGTTTATCCTCAAAAGAACTCGACCACTCCGAGAACCGAGAACCGCACTTCTGGTTACGCGTCGAAATCCCTCGATCTGCTTCTAAAGAAGAAGAAAGCCAACCGAAGCATTTCTCTAAGGCCTAAAACGGCCGCCAGGCAAAAATTGCAAATCAATTCAGCATTCCTCGGGAATCTCCAAGGAGAAGCCCGTTGGTCGCTGACGTGCCTTCCGACGCGTTTTACGTAGTGGCGTAACCAGGTCCCGGTTATGGGGACCAGAGAAAGTCGGATCAAAGTGGGCCGCGCTCCGAATCGCGTCGTTTACGTGATCGTCGATGGGTTCCCGGTTCCCTGAAAAATTTCTCAAAGCACGGTGGGTCGACCCTCGAAAAAGGGACGACCCCATTACCGAGGAATCCACGACCTATCCAGCGTTTGACAATTTTTTCAGGATCAAGTCGTGGAAAAAAAAATCGTTCTACAATCGAACGGCATCTTATGATCTATTTTATGATTGGAGTTAAGAGTGCACGTGCGGTTCGATGTTTTGGTTTCCTCTACCGTGGTACCCCCTGGCATCGCATCCTCCTTGGGCATCGGCCGACGTCCTCCTCGGGGATTCCCGGCTATCAAAAAAGTTCCCCCCTGTCGTTGCATTCCCAAGACACGCCAGTCGGTTCCCAGGCTGCATCTCGCGAGCAAAAGGAATCCCCGACTCGGATCGTTGATCGCAGATCCCACTTTCCGTCCCTGTGGTGTGTTTCCCTGTCGCCTGACGCGCCTCTTACGCACGCGCACGCCTCTCCACGCGTCAGAGAGACAATGCATTACGTAAACCGGCCTCACTTGAGCGAACCGGAAAAAAAAAAAGGAAGACCCTCTTCGAGCGCATCAATGCTCGCGACTATCGACGACCATGGTCAAAGGACGGTCCTCGTCCAATTCGTCCTGTTCCCCACGTGCTCGACGTCAGGCATCCACTTCTCACCTAACCTTCGCACCTCTTCGACTTTTACTTCTCTTCCTTTCCCAATGATACGTGCGTCGAGTTCGGATTGCATCGACATCGTAATACAGCCTCCACCGTTTAAAGCGCAGAGCGCGAGGGAACAGCTGATCTCGCGTTCCGCTGTCATCATCCTCGGCGTTGCGCCTCCACCTTGCTCCGATTGAAGACACCGGCGAGATTGCGTCAGGTGTACCTCTGGTTGCGTCAATCCACGCGTCGTCATACGATAGGAGCACGTGGCCCACGGCGCCGACGACGCAATGCCCCGGAGAAGTCGCAGAATGGAGTCTGCGACAATCCGTGGGGTCACGAGGTCGCAAGGTCGATCCGGAATCAGAGCCTGGGGGCCTCGCGCGCTGCATCGATCCCGACTCCAGGAACGCGGCCGAGTCGCGATTCGACTCGCCGGGAGTTCCGAGCAAACGGGATAAGCGAGAGAATCCACGAAGAGGCGTGCTTTTCCCGGTGGGATTCTCCGAATCGCCGGCCTGGCAAGAGGCTCGCGTTTATCTGGGATAACCCCGCGACAGGTGGGGGGGGCTTTATATCAGCCGGCGACGCGGTGGGAGGAGTCATTCGCCGTGGAGCCGCTGTCCCTAGTGCATCGCGCTGCGACTTTGCGTGCTGCGTCATCGATTTCGAGGCCCTCTCTTCGCCTTCAGACGCCTCCGCTTCGTGCGTGCGACCTTGAACGAGAGATTCGGCCAGGTTGATCGTCTCGACGCATCCGAGCCGCGAGGGGTGAGCTCTCCCACGTGGTAGCGCATCTTGGAAAATTCATCCCAGGCGCAGCGAGCCGTCCAAGGAGACACGGGAACTACCTCCGGATAAAGGAGTGACCGACAGAATGACCTGCGAACAGCTTCACCTGGCGCCTGCACCTGTGCCCACGGAGAGGTAAGGTCAATTACTGTACACCGATTTGACTATTCTACTATATGCCTCGAGCTGGACAATTATCAGTGATTGCATTGATTATTATATAGCGACGAGCAAGGTCGATCTTCTCTGGTTAAGCATCGTTTAAGCGCGATTTTCCAAAATTCTACCCAAGACCGACTTTGCTCGGCGAAAGTCGAGCGGAACTCGTCCTCACCGTGACTCCACATTTGCGAGGATGACTGTTCGCTTTGCGGCGCGGCGATGACGGCGCGGAATCCGGACGGGCGATTAGCCCGAAACGGCAGGCAGTGGGGAGTAACGGCGACTTCGTTTTCAGCTTCAAGTTCCCCTGGAAGGGGCAGAAGGGCCCGAAGTCCAGGCGAGGGTGCAGAGTGACCTGCGGCATGCTGCCCACCCTGAGGGTGCTGGCCTCGAGAGAGTGTCTAGGCCAGGGCAGCGTCTGTCTGGTGCCCCTGGACGTCGAGCTGGACTCCGCCAGTCACCTGCAGTTGACGTTGCTCGAGGCGTACTGCCGTGAGATCGGCGTCGAGGTGACCAGGGTCACCGAGGACAGTCTCAGATCCGCGCTGGGCCCGGGCCAGGCGGACCTCTCCTGCGTCCTGGTGACCAATGACGACGACTACTTCCTGGAGTCCCCGGAATGAGTCCTCGGACACCTCGAGACTACTTTGAACGAGTTTCGGATGGAAGCTCGAAATACGGTCTCTGGAACCCGCCGATGCCGAGTCGTTGGCCGAGGAGAGGTGCAGCGCGCGAAGACCCTTGGACCGGTCGCCCCTTTTTAAAGGTGCGAAAGCCGCACGATGAAGATGCTCCCAAGAGAGTCAAGGCCGCCGGCTGGACTCTCCAGGAAGCCAGAAGAGGACTCTCTTCCTTCGCTTCCTCCGTTTCGATATCATCGTTCGATTGAACGTGTATTCCATGTATCGTTATCATAAGACGAGTGACGAATAAACAGACGATGGTTACGTAAACTTCTTCTTCTCTTATCCTCCGAATGAAAATCTGATCCATCCTCATGGCACCCACTTCTAGGCGCCGCTAAATCCTCGCCAAATCGCTCCTTCGCGGTAACGGCTCGACCAAATTGCGCGATAAGGTCCTTATCACTGCGCGCTTCGGCGATAAGTAGGAACCGCGTAATCTCGAGAATCGCCACGAGTTCCCGCGAATCGGTCGCCGTATCTCTTGTATCTTGATCTCGATCGGCGTAAGTCAATAATCTCTCTCTGTCCCCTGCAGCTCGCTAAATACCTGCGGCACTCCAACATCTCGTCCACCGAGGACCTGAAGATCCTGAGCGTGACGTGAGTAGGTACATCAAAGCATTGAGAGTCTCCAGCTAAATCGTCGCGCCTTCCCTCGATCCTTCGCTGCATCCGGTGGCTGCACATTTTCCCCCTCACTCGCAAGCTCTGATCCTCGCTCTAGGCCGACCTCGGAAGTGACTTTCCACTTTTTCGGGAACGCCAACGACGGGGACAAAATTCGAGAGTCCTTCAATCGTCTGGTGCAACGGCGACGCTTGGGGGACGTTGCGCTCGAGTCGACGCACTTCACTTTCCAGCAGAAGCCGGCGTTAAAGCTGGAGGTACGCGCGATCGCGGCTTCCTCTTCCTGCCAATTTCGCTGATAATTCTCCATCTACCCCCAGAAACTGCGCATCAACCAGGTGAACGAACGGGAGGTGCGTCTGGGCGACCAGTTCGTCCTCTCCTGCGTGGCGCAGGGGAGTTACGGGCTGAACTTCACCTGGTACAAGGACGACATGTTGGTCAACACGAGCAAGGCCACCAGGTAATTCATGTAAACCCTGATAATCGGTCACCTGCATATCCATAGAAGCCAAACCCTGGGTTCCACTTACAGGGGCATCTGGTGCAGACACCTTCCCAACGACGGGTCCGACCAGCACACGTCTCTCTTGACGATAGACAAGGCGACACTCCTGGACGCTGGTCGCTACACCTGCCAGGCCATCGACTGGGGCATACAGCAGTGCAAGAGTGTCTTCATCGAGGTCAGGGACGAGCCGGAAGTTGTGGTGACTCCGATGGGCGCTACCATAGAGAAGGTACTCCGGTCTCTTCGCGGTCGTCTTCGATGTCCCGGTCAACGTTCTCCGATTCCAGGGCGGCGACATTCAGTTCACGTGCATGACCCCCAACATGCCCAGCTTGGACATCGGTTTCGGGTGGAGCAGGAACCGAGCTCTTCTCAAGCTGGAGCCTGGCAGCCTCGTTTGGGAGGATCTGTATCCTGCGGGAAGTGTGCTGAAAGTGATCAACGCCCAAAAATCGGCGGTCTACACCTGCAACGTCGCGCACAGGTCCATGGCCGTCAGGGTGGAGGTGGTGAACAGAACCATCATCCCTCTCTGCATCTCCGAATTGTCCTGGGGGTTGAGGTGGCCGGAAACCGCGCCTGGATCCGACGCTCTCTTGGAGTGTCCTCGACACTTCCTGGGCCGCAGGGTGACGCGCCTTTGCGCCATGAAGGACGCCACCACTCCCGAATGGCAGCTTCCCGACTTCTCGGGATGTCTCTACGAGTCCTTGGCGACTCCCTACGATAACGTTGGTCGCGTTCTTCCTCCGCCACTCTTCCCTCTTCCGGGGGAAAAAAAAAAATCATGTCCTTCTTGCGCAGTTCCGAAGCCTGACGCTGGGCTACCAGAACACGACAGGCTCGGCCACGGTCCTTCTCTTCTGGGAGATCCTGCGCCTCCGTCGAATCCCTTTGTACCCTGGCGAAGCGGATCGCATCTTGGGCATCTTGGCCGAGATCGAGCACTACCAGTACAACGTCGACGACCTCGACGGCCTCCAGGACTCCGCTGAAGCTCTCCTGCAGATCGTCAACCTCGTCCTCCTAAACGAGAACTCGATCTTGAGTCAGCAGGTATTGCAGATATTTTTCTTTCGAACTCAGTTCGGCGAGCTAAATGTTTCTTCCTCTTGCAGAAGTTGCTGGTGCTGCAGCAGCTCGTCCAACGGAATCTGATGTACTGGACCAGAGCCGCCCAGCATCCCCGGAAGCACGTGTCCTTGGCGACCCTGGTGGCCGACGTCCAACCTCTTCGGGAACGCAGCGGCGAGCAGACCACGCACACTCTTCAGATACCAAACAACGATTATGCGTGAGTCCCGGACACCTAAGCGAGTCCTTGGAGAAGTTCCTAAATAAAGTGTGACACTCCATGGACAGATATCCTAGTTGGTACGGCGACAGGGTGACGCTCCGTCTGCAGAGGCAGTCTCCGTCAAGGACCGAGAACGAGACCCATTCCGGAGTCGTCGTGGTCTACAAGAACATCACGCGCTTCATCCGCAACGCCTTCATCAAGGAGCTAAAGTCGGTATTTTCTTATATGGGAACAATCCCAGGACTCCCGATGACAACTCCACCTTGGACTTCGATTTCAGTGACGGTACCGATCTCGAGTACCGCATGAACTCTCGGGTGGTCACCGTTGCATCGTCTTCCTGGCAGCCCTCCAAGAACGACAGGATCAGGGTGGACCTCCAGCTGCATCACCTGCAGAACCACACAGGCTCCTGGAACATATCCTGCGGAGTGACGGATCTATCCGGAGCCTGGGACCTGAACACTTGCATCTCCGACACCGTCCCCGAAGAAGGACTCACCCGATGCACGTGTCCTTGCACAGGGACCTTCGCAGTCTTCCTCACAGCTCGGGCCATCAGGGTAGGTTACAGAGAACGTCCTCTTCGGTCCTCATCCAGCTAATCAAAATCCCTTCTTCCTCTGTTCTAGGTGGTCCTGGCCAAAAAGGAGCGCGCGACCTTCCTGGTGATCCTCGGCTGTGGAAGCTGTCTCCTCCAGTGTCTGGTCACCTTGCTCATCATCGCCACCTACTGGTGGAAGCACCGTACGTGGCTAAACTTCCTGAAATTGCAGTGCTGTGGTGCCCTGGCAGGCTCCATGGCAGTCTTCGTCTACGCCGTGCACTCGGACCTCCCCGAGGTGACTGGTCTTCCAAAAGTCCGCGGATAAAAAATATGTGTAAACCGAGATAAACCTCGATTCCCTGCAGAGTTCCTTCTCGGTGGTCGCCACGAGCCTGGAAGCTCTGCTCCTGGTAGGGATGTCGGCTCCCATCTCTCAGGCCCTCGTCATCTATGCGGAGCTCGCTCAAATCCGTCCCAGCCAACACCTGCAGCCCACCATCATCGCCGTCATCACCGGTGAATGCACCTTGCAGGAACCCGCTCTTCTCCTCCTATCGGCTCAATCTCGTCCTCTTCCTTCAGGTGTCCCGGTCCTGGCGATCCTGGCGACCGAGCTGACCCACAAGACCACCGGCTGGCACCACGAGTCCTGGTGGCTGATATACGGGAGTGGCGTCTACAACATCTTCGTCAGCTGCGCGACGACGATGCTGCTGATCTTCGCGCTGCTGTACATCGGAGTGCTGCGGAAATCCCGAGCCCTGATCAAGGAAAACGTCCTGAAGAGGGAGACCACGGAGTCGAGGTCACTCCCAGGACTTCCTTCCCGACTCGAGCTCTAGGATGGATCGGTAAAGACGTTTCAATTCCAGGGTCTGCATGCTGCACCGGGCGGTCGTCGTCACGAGCGCCGTCGTCGCGATGGAGGTGTCCTCCGTCTTCTACGTCAACTCGTCCTCCATCGTCTTCCACTACGCCTTCGCGTCGTTCTCCTTCCTCCTGGTAACTGCTCTTCAAAACCTCCTACGAATAAACCCTGACGAGTTAAATCCTTGCTTCAGGGCCACGTGGTGTTGGCGTCGTATCTCCTGGGGGGCGAGATCCTGTTCGCGCTCTCGGCCTGTCGAAGGTTCAAGTGGAAACCCGAGGTGGAGGACGAGGTCGCCACGGAGCCCATCAAAGGTACCTCTCCTTTCGCTGATATTCAATTTTATCCCCCAAGTGGACTCCCGGAGGGTCTGAAAAATCCAATGACCGTCCTCTTCGCGTCTTCCCAGTGTGCTCGAAGAGCAGCGCGGAGTCGGAGAACGAGGCTGCTCCCCCGATGGACGAGTCGTATCTGAAGGTGCGAGGAGTGGCGGCAGGGAGCATAGACATGAGGGAGTACATCACGGAATCCCCGTCGAGCCTCTACCTGCCCTCCAAATCCTCGGTGCTGGGGGGTCCGGGTCGGTTCCTGCCGGAGATCAGGCTGGACCACGTGGAGGACATCAATCTCGAGAGCTACAGCACGAGTCCTCGGAAGTACCACGACGCGATGTCCTTCGAAGGCGGAAATCGCGCCTCGCACTGTCCCGTCGCCGAGCCCTATGGGTCCTGTGGGTTTCGTAGGTTCCCGAAGTTCTCCATCCTGCCCAGCCTGGATCCCCCGGCCCAGGCTCCGGTGGTCCAGACCGTCTCCCAGGAGTGTCCCCCGAAGGTGCTCTGCAGCGCCGAGGTCGAGTCACGGCTGGGTGTCGGGCTGCTGCCCGACGTCACCAAGACCGAGGTCGAGGTCTCCCTGACCAAGGAGACCAAGTCCGGGGAGATCGTAAAGGCCATCCCCGACATCGCGAGCACCACCGAGAGGAAGCAGCCGGACGGCGAGGAGATGGCCCCCGAGATCACGGTGACCGACTGCGAGACCACGGTCACCGGGATGCTGGACCGCATCTACCACGACCTCGACTACTTGTTAAATCGCACGCACGCCGCCAAGGACGAGACGTAGAAACTGCCCACGGACGTGGAGCAAGGACCTAGAACCGCTCTCTTCAGGGCGCGGACCCGAAGAGGCTCCGTTCCAAGTCCACCGACGACTCGTCCACCGCTCGCGACGAGACGCTTCTTCGTCAATTACGAGTCGAATCTCCCTGCGTAACGATGCCCAACACGAATTTTTTATACGTAAACGAGGTCTACCGACGGACCCCCGAAGAACCTCCCAGTGAACGGATTCGCACGAATTACGGTATTTATTTATATATAACTGTCGTATCGTACAGCCCTTCTCATAATGTCTCCACGATTCGGTCGCCGCTCTTCCGTTCTCCTGACATAATTGTCTCGATAATTATAAAGCTATACATTGAATTTAAATGTCGTAACCTACTTACAATGCTTAGGGTCGAAGGTTTACGTGTTGGTTGGTAATAATTATCGCTAAGATACGGTTAGTCGTTCGCTTAGTCGGAAATGCACGTCGATGGGTCTCGACTCGGTCGCGGAGAGGATACGAAAAACGGGAGCCGATACTCTCCCTCGGCCAAGCGGGGTGAGAGGTTGTAAATGCAAAAGAGACGCAACAAGGTCGGCGCAAGTTAGTCGGCACTCGAATATACCTATGTATGACTAGTTCTCTGCGCTCGGCAGATGCCTCGTCGTCCTCCCCGTTCCTTTCTTCCCGGCCTCTTAAAAATAGAAATTATTTACAAGGATTCCACGGGTAACGTCACTCGTCTCCTCGTCCCCTCCGCCTAGTGACAGACACCTCGGCGATGTCGGAGTGCGACGAGGGCAACGAGTGCAGCGAATGCACTTCTCCGGACGCGAAGTCCATCGCCTCTCCATGCCAAAAAACACCGGCTCGAAGAGTTAGAAAATTTCCCCGGAAGCCCGGACTCCTCTTCGAGTATCCAAACAACCCAGGGTGAGCTTCCACGGAAACCTCCGAACTCTTCCGGGAGAATTTTTCTCATCAATCCTCAGGAACGCCACCCGGTGGTCGAAAAAATGGGGCGAGCGCAGAATCAAACGGCAAAGGGTTTCATCGATCGTTCGGTCGCGACCGAGGTCCTTTGTAAGCTAGGGAATTTCCCCAGAACCTGGGGACTCGCCTCATTTTTCCTGCCACCCTGGCAAGTGCCCAGAGACATTGCATCGATCAAGGACACTCCCAGGTGTCCCGGCGACTCGCGCGACCGCTCGTCGGACCAACAGCAAGGTGAGAAGACCGAAAGCCGACGCCGCGTCTCGCCGTTGCGTTCTCTATGACAACCGAAATTTTATTAATATAATGTATATAACTGTATATCACAAGCTTGTATACCTTAACGTCAGAAACGAACGACGGTGTGGTGAGATTAACTTTACAAACGCATCCCCCTCGATTCCCCTGTGCGTATCGGAACGGAAACGGCGACGTTTTGAGGGAGCCCGAAGGCCGATCGTCGCACTTCACGGCCGGACCGACGAAACGCCCCAGGCCTCGCAGTCGCTTCCGCTCCAATCTCCCATCCTCCAACAGAGAGAGAAAGAGGCAAGGATAAAGCAGTGACCTCTTTATTTATTGAAAACAGCATCGAGACAGGACCTCCTCGCAGACGTCTCCCGCGCCGCGAGCGAGTCCGTGTCACCGCGTACACGCAGAAATCGCGAAAAATGAAAGGAGGGTACGAGCCACCCGCGAGCGAGATGCCCGCCAACGGGACGTCGGGGTGATAACAGAAGACCGAAAGTTTCGTGGAATGTCTCCGGGTTTCGCCGCTATCTAGTGGATGCCGACCGAACCGAGCGATACTCGGGGCTTAAGTGGGATCTTCAGGGTGATCTTCACGGATGACGGGGCTCACTGCGAGGCCTGGAGACTCGCGAGCCGATGCTCGGTCTCGATTCTCTCTGTCTCGAGGGTATCTACCGAGCGTGGGGTCTTACTTTGCCTCCGTAGGACCTGGGGGAGGGGGTCCAGGGCGGCCTCCTGGGCTCTAAAGCAAAGGTCCGCGCTTTCGGGGTTTGGAAGTCGTGGGAGGGTCGAGGCGCCCTTTCCGCGGTCTCGACGGCTACTGCCACGGCGCGCGCACACCCCTCTCTCTCTCGTCGCCATCTCCTAGCGCGCTACCTCGAGTCTTCCGCGTTGCGTTTTACTTAAATATAAAAATACATAGCCAGTCTATACATAGAGCGTGCAAGGTGGCACAGTGAACTGAGTTACCGGGTATCCTGGACGGTTAACTGCCGCTCTCGGAGATGACCGGTGGCTCCACCGACGTCTCCTCGTGAGCGTTGGTCGACCGGTAGGAGTAGCCGGCAAGATCCAACGACCTCGCCGCTGCTTTAACGCTGGTCACGCTGTCGCTGCTGGAGGCCGTGGCGTGGCCAACCGAGTTCTCGAGGTGCTCCATGCAAGGGAACTCGGGCCCCGAGAGCAGCAGGGTCGCCTGCGTTGGGAGATTCGTCAACGACACCATGCCAGGGCTCATCAGCTGCTTATTGAAGCAACTCCGTAGGGCCTCCTCGATCAGGTTGCCGATCTTGTCGCGATCGTTCTGAGAAAAACCGCCGTTAACGTGCCGTCCACCTTTCCTCGATCCGCCATGACGCCACCGGAGTTCCTGACAACTTACCTCGTTAATAAACCCAAAATGTACAAGTTCCTGCGCGAGCAGCATCGAAGTGTCCACCTGGGTCACCGGACAGGTCAGCTGCCTGTTCATCTTGTCGTCCATTCGCAACAGTATTGTCATCTGGAAGGGAAGAATCGATAGAGGTCTCTCTAGGCATCCTCGAGGCGCTCCCTGGCGAGCTCTCACTCACCAGAAGTTCGCAGCTCTCCTCCCTCGGCTTAACGTTACACATCATATTGACTACTCTACGTGACTCGACGTCGACGGGCTCGGGGGTGACGGACTTGACGGACTCGGTGACCTCGGGGGAGATCGCCCTCGGGCGAACCGGAGGCGGCAGCTTCGCCATAAATGCCGTCAGCGGATAAATTCCATACCTGGGGGTACAGATTAATCGTCAGAGCCCCGACCTTCCATTCGACACCTTCCTCGAGATCCCCCGAACTCACTTGACGTCCTCGACGAACTTCTCCAGCTTCTCCGCGACCGGGATGTCGCTCAATCGGATCTGCTGTGGAGGTCGACCAGCGAACTTGATCTCCGCGACCACGGTGTCGGGTCGATACAGCCTCTGCAGCACCTCGTCCGTTATCGTCTCCGAGATATTCGCTGGAGTATAAAACGAAGCCATTAAAGGTCTATCCGGATTTAACGAGCATACGCATTTAATCCCGCGACTTACTGGCCGACATGACCAAGGCGTGAGCGGCGAGGAGCTTGAGCGAGTGCACCTCGAAGAGGACGGGATGAAAGAGGAGCTCCCGGGCGCTGGGTCTACAGAGCGGGTCCGTCTGGAGACACTTGCTAATAAAGTCTTTCTGTTGAGCATCGTCCAAGGACTCGATCGTCTTCCTGACGTTCTCCTCGGTAACGACCGTCCCGGAGTCGCCGTTCCCCTGGATCTCGAGGGCAGCCATCTCTAGGGCACACATCCCGAAGGAGTAGATGTCGATGGCTGGAGTCACGGAGTCTGCAAGACCGACAAAGTTCCATTACCAGCCTCCAAAACGAGGGCAAAGAAACGAAAGGAACAAAAAATTTGAAACCACACGTACTTCCATATTCGGGGGCAACGAAATGCATGTTCTTCATGTTCGCCCGGAACGTCTTCACGTGATGATGAATCGCGTCCGGGGCAACTGAAATTATAGGAGGAGCGTTTCGGTATCGTCGGCGTAATTTAGCGCCAGAAATCGGGCACGGCGACCTCGGTAGGTCTCTCTTCTAAAGGGTACTCTCATTAATGCAGGGGACCACCCGCCGAGCGACCCGTTAAGGCGTCGGACGAACGGCGGACAATGCCTCTTGGTAACCAATTCCGATTCATTGTCGGCCGTGCCCACGCGCGCCTCTTACTCGGCCTGACTTTCGGCGGCGGAGGGAGGTCCTAGAAACGCGGCTTTACCCACCGGAGCCGACTTTGACGAGTCCATTGTGCTGGATGAATATCGTATCGCACGTTAGGTTTCCATGAATAATCGGCGGCGAGCAGGAATGCAGATAGCTGGAAGAAGAAAAACGCGAAAGATAGGGGGATTAGCGTGAGCGAGCTCACCCGGTGATTCACGGCGAGAGATTTAAGAGCGAAGGGGCGACGGGAAGCGTTTGGCTTACCTCAAGGCGGAGAGGATTTGCGTGCACCATCGCTTCCACGCCTGCAGAGGTAACTTCTTGACGTTGCGCTTCGTTCGCTTTAGGAACTGTTTCAGGGAGCCGGAGGACATGTACTCCGTAATGAATATGACCTGGGGAGTGAGTCAGAACAGAGGATAACGCTTAACGGCCGAGTCCGGAGTTCAAGAGCACGGGGGGGCTCGACTCACTCGTGGCTTGTCGTTGTGGGTGTCCGTCCAGTACCTATGGAACTTGACGATATTGGGGTGCTCCAATTGCGTCAAGTTCTCGAAGACCAGCTGTATCTTCTCCTCCTGAGCCTTGAAGTTCTTCCTCTCGGAGAACTGCACCTCGTTCCAGACGACCTCGACGCCTTCCTCGGTGTCCATCGCGAGGTAGGCGCAGTCGATGCCCGGAACGTCGCGTTGCTCCACCTGGAAGAAAGTTCCCGAGGCTTCATTCGACCTGGCGAGTCGTCGGCACCCGCTCGATGCCAAACGGACTGTCGCGTGTATTCACGCTCGTAATTCGTTCGCGGCATCAAACTCTCTTCCTCGGGCCAGATTTAGCAGGATCGGAAATTGCAATTTATCTCATCTCGTGCCTATTTGCCATCGTAAAGAAACTCGACCTTGAGATCGCAGGGAAGAGTGGAGGGAGCTTACTAGACCGGTAGTCATCGTCGTGTCTAAGGCTAGCCGCGCAAATGGACGCAATAGTCGACACCGAACGACCACGTACGGGGAGAGCCCGACTCCCGGAATAAATTATCGCGACGAATCTACGGATTTCCTCCAAGTACGCGCGTTACTAGTTTCGTCAGAGTCTGGCAAAGTCGATCGGAGAGGCGTCTGGCAGGGAGCTCCGTTCGGTCGTAGCATGCGTACCTCCATTTCCGCAACTTCGCTCTCGCCTCCTCTCGTTGACGGGCCGTAGCTTGAGCCCTCCGACAGAGCCGACTTCGTCCCAACGTACACCTAAAATGCAAACGTCACTCGTTACAACCGGAAACCACTGCCCAGTCGCGAAGTTAAATTCCCCTCTAAACGAAATACACGACTCGATCCGGATAACCACCGGTAACAGCCCCGTCCAAATCTAGCCGACCCTATTTTTAGCAAATCGTGAAACTGCCTAAACCCGGTAAAACCCGAGTGCCAAGAGCTCGATCCGGAGCCCGAGACATTCCAAATATTTACCGATGCGCAGCTTCGCAGCTCCCCTGGAAGCGTCACCCCGACTCCGGAAGGAAACCCCGACTCGCAGGCTTCGAATAGCCCTCGGAGAGGAATCGACGGACTGCTTACCTCCTCCCTCCGCTTCAGCCATCGCCCGCAGGGGCTCTCTTCCAGGATCTCGCTCTCATCCTCGGAGTCCTCTCCGCTTTCCCGCGGTGACTTGTGCTCGGGGTCGGTGCTGGCGCGACTCCCGGGCATCACACACTCGGATCGTTCAGCGGGGCGCCTTCTTCACACGCTGCACCTCCGGGCCCGACGCGGGCAGACTCATCGGGCCCCGGGGGCGGACACGTGGTGCGGGAGTGGCGTCGCTCGTCCACCGCACGGGATACACCGACACGCTCGGCCGCGGCCGCCCCGCGAGATGGCCTATGGACAATACACACGGGGATTGGTCTGATCTTACAAGGCCCCGCCGTCGACTGGGTTGCTCCTCGAATCCCTCAGGGTCTGCTCGGCGCTACAGACATGGCGCGACGACTGCTCAGCGGGAACCACTCTCCGTTACGACGAGCGAGACGACTCGTACGCAGTGACGTGCACCCTGCCACTCATCCTCGCCGCGCGTGCCTCTGTGTGTGCGCGAGACTCCGTGTCCCTGCCCCTGGCCCCTGCCGAGACGGTTGCGTTCACCCCGGTATGGCGATCCTCGGCCAGACACCGCACCCCTTCGGCCGAGCGACGCAAGCGCCATCTCCGAACGCCTCCGAGAACTGCGTACCGAGTTCCACTTTCGGTGCCCCCGCTGGTTACTTCGTCTACATCTAGCGACGCCATTTTTCTAACCTCGCGTAACCCACGACTGGAGTTTTGGCATTTATATCTCCAATTTATTGTTGAAACAATGATACTCACTCCACTTCCTTTACCACATCGGTTATTTAATGAGAGAATTACCTTCAAACTCACGCGGTGACTTGCGACTCTGCGGGTCTCTCGATACGACAGTTAGGAGAGTGGCTACGTGTTGTCGAGTCTCTTCGCACAGCGTGGAGTCAGTGGCGTCGATGTGACGTTTCGCTTCGATTATCTAGGTACTTTTGTACTCGCAGGTCAAAGATGGCTCTTCTTCTCGGAGTAATGCTAATTAAACGAGAGACTGTAAAAACACTTTTCTTCAATAAATCTTCATAAAAAATTGAGATTCTAGGCTGCACTTGTAATTTATGAATTATAAAACTAATGCCAGGGTTAGGTGAATAGATAACGCGTCATTTTTTTGACTCATGTAGTCGTGCAAAAGTGGGTGTCTATTTCTACTGCTCGTTGCTTAAAAGTCGACCACTCCTGGTGGTCGTTGCTGGGTCGTTGGGAGGTGTTCGGCGAGGTCTTTCGTTCTGCAGTTTGTAGAGTCGGAAATGTGTAAGTGCAAAAATAGATGATTGAAAAGGGTTACACTTTGACGGATTTTTAAAAACCGAGACTAGTTCGAGCCAGTCTTGTCGATTTTTGAAAAATTGACAGGGCGGGCGAGAGTTCTCCGATCGATAGTACTATCGGTACTCAAGACATCGTAAAGTGTCACGAAATGTCATGCTCGAAAAAGGACGATTTTGGCGAAAGGATAGATGGACGAAATTATGTAGTTTATTTGAATGTCCATTTTCCTCCGATTTTTATCGCAATTGGTCTACTCTATAAAGAGGTTACTTTATAAAAAATATTCTCTCAGGTGCAGGACATTCTCAGGCCAGTTGAAGGACCTCCGGCAAGATGATTGGGGGTCTTTTTGTCTACAACCACAAAGGAGAGGTGCTCATCTCCAGAGTCTATCGGGATGACATTGGCAGAAACGCGGTTGACGCGTTTCGGGTCAACGTCATCCATGCCAGACAGCAAGTGAGGTCTCCAGTCACGAACATCGCAAGAACTTCTTTCTTTCATATTAAACGAGCCAACATATGGTTGGCTGCCGTAACCAAACAAAATGTCAATGCCGCAATGGTCTTTGAGTTTCTCCTTAAAATCATCGACGTCATGCAGTCCTATTTCGGCAAGATCTCCGAAGAAAACATCAAGAACAACTTTGTTCTCATTTATGAATTGCTCGATGGTCGGTTGAAATTTTTTTTGTATTTTTGAAATGAAAATATTTATGTATGTGACGTGCTATTCATAATTTGCAGAAATCCTGGATTTTGGGTATCCCCAGAATTGCGATACGGGAGTGCTGAAGACGTTTATCACTCAACAGGGTGTAAAGTCAGCGACCAAAGAGGAACAAGCGCAGATAACATCTCAGGTCACTGGCCAAATTGGATGGCGCAGAGAAGGCATCAAGTATCGACGCAATGAGCTCTTCCTCGATGTCCTGGAGTCCGTTAATCTACTCATGAGCCCTCAGGGTCAAGTTCTTAGTGCTCATGTTGCTGGAAAGGTAAATGATATTTTAATTGCTGTCTTAACGCTTCTAATAACATTCGTTTTCAGGTGGTGATGAAGTCCTACTTGTCCGGTATGCCCGAGTGCAAGTTTGGCATCAACGACAAAATCGTAATGGATGCCAAAGGCATGAAAGGAGGAACCGGCCTGGGTGGTGCAGGAGAGGACCTAGGAGGAGCCCGATCGGGCAAGCCTGTAGTGGTAATCGACGATTGCCAGTTCCACCAGTGCGTCAAGTTGTCGAAATTTGAAACGGAACATTCCATTAGTTTTATACCACCCGATGGGGAATTCGAGTTAATGAGGTAACCTTCCTTCCCTGAGCCTTCTAAACTCCCGTTGAAAAAAATAATTACAGTCTTGTCTCTCCTAGGTATCGAACCACAAAGGATATTTCGCTACCTTTCCGCGTGATTCCTCTGGTGCGAGAAGCGGGAAGGACGAAAATGGAAGTGAAGGCCGTTCTGAAGTCGAACTTCAAGGCGTCACTTCTGGGTCAGAAAATCGAAGTCAGGGTTCCGACTCCTCTAAACACCGCAGGTGTCCAGCTGATCTGTCTTAAGGGCAAAGCCAAGTACAAAGCTTCAGAGAATGCCATTGTCTGGAAAATTAAGAGGATGGCAGGCATGAAGGAGACTCAGCTCTCCGCAGAGATCGATCTCTTGGAGACCGATACCAAGAAGAAGTGGACCAGGCCACCCATCTCGATGAACTTCGAGGTTCCATTTGCACCTTCTGGGTTCAAAGTGCGGTACCTGAAAGTCTTCGAGTCGAAGCTCAATTACTCTGACCACGATGTCATTAAATGGGTCAGGTACATTGGACGCAGTGGACTGTATGAGACCCGGTGCTAATTTTGGGCATGCAGCCAAGTGGTACCAAAGGAGCTGTCACATTGTTATTCAGTTAGCGATTGTTCATGTAAAGCTCAAATTCTCTCCATTGCCAGATGACAGCTACGTTATAGCCAGTATCGTTACTTCTCTCCAGAGAATCTCCTGTATTCAACCCCTATCCGTAACTAACAAGCGAAGGCTTCTGTCGTAAAGAAGGTTGTACAAATCTATCTATTCATTCGATATTATGCCTGATTCGGAATATACAGCATCATCGGTAAAGGAGTTTGACAACTGGCAGTGACAGTTCCATGGGTCTCAGCGACGGTGCATGTGTCAATGAAGATACCGAAACACGTCATGTAGGGGTCTAATCTCAAATTGTTAGAAAGATATCGATCGTCGCTTGTGTCTCTCTATGTTCGACGCGTATTATTAATTATTAATATTACGGTCACAAAGTACATGCATAATTGGAACCAATACTGTGTATATCTTGTTCAGAAAAGAATTATACTCAAAAATGTAAATCTAATAAAGGGTATGTATATGCCGAGTCGAAATAAATCGAAGAATTTATCCAATCCCAAATCCTATGTTGAAAATAAACGAGACTACAAATAATTTTGATCAAACATAAATATCGCCCTCTGTTCTCAAGTGTATGAACTGTTCGGCACTGCAACTTGCTCGGTCGATCATGAAACAAATTTCTATGCCACAATTTAATAAATATAATTAATATACTGTTTTGCGATGTAAAAAATTCAGTGGCAGTAAAATGTACCATCAATAAACGTAGAAATCACCGCACTCAGTTGCTATCTGCACTCGTGACATTTATATATCAATACGGCTGCTGTTACTGGCCGGAATATTTTTTTCCTCTTTCTACTAAAGTGAGAAACTGAGAAGTATCTTTGTCTCGACACTGGCACGGTGTTTGTTTGAAGAAGGTATGCTAACTAAAGGTGATAAATCAATCAGATAAACAGCTTTAGCGATCCGGTATCTTTGTATGTAAAAAGTGCACAAACTGCAACGTAAGCACAAATTTGTTTTCAACTCAACTGTCGAAAACGGCAAAAGGATGGCACCGACTCAGGCACGTAAATTTTCCTCTAAATATTTATTTCTCTTTACTGTTTTAATGCCCAGTAATTTTTTAATGTTGTTATATATAATACTTGCAGGTTAACAAAATATTGAAGGTTTACAAGTCAATCGCTCAGCATCCTACATTGACCGGTGCTAAAATCGTTCAGACCTCTGAAAATGGGACTACGGTACAAAGCAATTGGACACAGAGGAACCTCGAACGCCATAACAAGCAGAAATTTTCTAAATTCCATTTTTTAAATGGAGACTTTCAACTCGCTAACGAGTCCTTTCCAATCGACGTTACTACGGAGTATGTTTTCGATAGAATTTCACTGAGGATAGTTTATTGCTTCATAATATAGCTTTTCCAATTTTTATTAGACTTGCCTCAACTTTTTCCAAGGATGGTGAGCGTAGAGCTGTTTTGAGACAAGTTACAGAAGACAATTCCACAAAGCAGTTTATCGAAATCTGGGAGAAACATTGCGTAGTAAAAAATTATGATCTAGCTGCACTCGATGTCCACGGAGAAGTGTACACCGATGGTGAATTATTTTAAATACTTGAGATTTCTGTCCAGCATTGCCACTGTAATTAAATGTTACAATTCTTCCAGCTGAGTTCAGTGCATTTAAGTGGTCTCCAGATAAGACTAAGTTGCTGTACATCGCAGAAAAGAAGGACCCTAAGTCCGAGCCATTTTATAAGCAAACATCTCAAGATAAAAAAGAAAAGGAAAAGAAAGATGAAAATAAAGCAGCACCGGTAAGAAATTGTCTATTTTAATCAATAGCTTGTTCAGTAAACGTACTAAAAAAAAATGCGAAACTAATTCCAAAATTTGCAGGGCAATGAGTATTTGTATAAACCTGACTGGGGAGAACAACTAGTCGGCAAGCATCACCCGATTGTAGCAGTGCTTGACACGACTACGGATTTAATTAATGTATTACCAGGAATTCCTGAAGACTTGTCACCTGGTCAGGTTTCTTGGACACCTAATGGGAGTGACGTGGTGGGCGTGACGTTCAAACACGAACCTAGACACTTGGGCCTCGTAGCTTGCACTAACAGAGATTCTTGGGTATTCCATCTTAAAGATGGCGAATTTAGTAAGATTTCACGTGCCCTATCATTCTCTTATAACATTTCTATTTTAATTGTGAATAATAATTTTAAATACAATTACTACAGAGAAACTGTCCGAGAATGGTAATGCAGTGCATTCCCCTCGATTTAGCCCAGATGGAAAGTATTTGATCTGGCTGGAAAGAGAAGCTGGTGGTTTGCATCATAATTGCCATAGATTAATGGCAATGACGTGGGAATCCTCTCCAGGAAAAGTAAGACCGCATGATTTTAAAACGTGACAGTTTGCATTTAAAATATTTGATAAATCTTCTCTTGGGTACAATAGGTAGAAGTAGTTATCGACCGTGTTGAAACCCAGACAACTATCAATGTATCAACTAAACAGCATCTATCTCAAAAAAACTTCTTTGGTTTGTACAACTACAGTTTGCCAGAACGTTGCTGGAGTAAAGATTCTCGGTACTTATTCCTGAGCACTCCTCAGAAAGCTAATATACGATCTTACATTATTAACATAGGTAAGAGATCTTCCTGATTTACAGTGATCCTTAATTTCATACAACTAATCAAACGATGAATTACACCTGTAGAAGAAAAAACAGTGATTGAAATTGAGAATGACAGCAGTAGCCTCGTTATCTTGGATGTGGTGGATAGCGTGATTGCATTTCTGAGAACATCTCTTATCGAGCCTTCGATACTTCTTCTGGGTCGCTTCGATCCAGAAAATGCCCTACTGGGGCAGATTGCTAGATTCGAAGTCACCCCACTGAAGCCCCTAGAAAATTTTAAAGATATCCAGTATGAGCCTGTTGACTATACATATGACAGTTCCGAGGATGTCAGTAAGTGATTCTTGGCAGAAAGTAAATATGTAGACCAATTTCATCAAAGTACAATGGAATACATCCGAAGTAAATTTTTCAGAGACGTTCAACTACATCTACTTTGGACCAAAGGATGGAAAAGAGAAATCGATTCCCCTAGTGGTGGTGGCTCATGGTGGTCCGCATTCTGCCTATTCCAATATCTTCTCCCTGGATTATACCCTTATGATCTCACTCGGTATGCAGGATTTCGATGCTCCAAATAAATTCTTAGTTACCCATGCCTTACCAATATGTTTCTGAGTCAAGGTTTCGGAGTCGTGCAAGTGAATTACAGAGGCTCAACAGGTATGGGCCAAAAGACAGTCGAGTACTTACAAGGTAAAGTGGGTGTCAACGATGTCAAAGATTGCATGACAGCCACTCAAGATGCCCTGAAGAAATATCCTTGGCTGGATCCTGCGAGAATTGGACTTTATGGTGGCTCCCATGGTGGCTTCCTGGTCACTCATCTCAGTGGACAATATTCTGTAAGTGGGCACAATTTAGACAGTGATCGATTCACAATGTCAACACATAACATCTCTTGACGTTGCAGGATATGTTCAGTGCAGTTGTTGCCAGGAACCCAGTGATCAACATCGCAGCAATGTTTGTCACTTCGGACATACCAGACTGGTAAAGATGCACTTTATTGTCACTTTGGAAAGCCTCGTTGTCCTTAATTGAGAGATACTTTGCATTCCAGTCGCGACGCGTTGACTAGGGAAGAGAGACTCGCGTGCCAACACGACGCGTAAGCTCGGCTGTCAAATTCATTTTTTACAAATGCCATTAACTCGATTAAGCACGGTTGGCAATTTTTCCTAGAGCTCTTTAAAATATCCTCCGTTCGATAAAGCGAAGAGTCTTTGCCAAACATTAAAAAGATTGTTAAAAAAAAAATAACAGAGGAACTTGACAAGTCCTTTGAGTTTCACAATGAATTAATTATTTTTTGCCATTTTCAATTAATCCAGGTGTGCATCTGCGATCGCAAGGCCTTACGATGAAGTGAAAAAATCCTTATCTGGGCCAGCCTGTGAAGAAGTGTTACTGAAGATGTACAACTGCTCGCCAATCGTTCATGTTAATAATGTCAAGGCGCCGACATTGTTGTGCATTGGGAAAAATGATCTTCGAGTCCCACCATCTCAGGGAAAACTCTGGTATCACCGTCTAAAGGAAAACAATGTTAAAACAAAGTGAGAAAACTGTTCAACCAAATCCTATCGGAGCACTTCTAATTTTTCTTTAGGGTTATTTCCCATGCTTCTGCTTCAAGGAATACAGTTAATTAAATTTGGTTTCAGGATGCTTGTCTATGATGACAATCATTCATTGGGCTCGGGGCCAAGTGAGATCGATAACATAATTAATGCCATGATCTGGCTTATGGAACACACCAGCTCAGAAACTCAGGCAACAGCCTAAAAATGTTATGAAATTGCATTTTCCTTTTAGAACTTGTACGCCAATGTCAATTACATATTTTATACCAAATATACCTGGATTTTTCACACTTCGTTCCTTTTTTATTACAAATACAATATGTACATAATAAATCATCGCGCACCGAAGAAATAGACAATGACGTGTATAGACATATCAAACGATATCTGGACGTTCACAATTGGAGGAATACTTACGAAGACTACAATGGCCTTGTATCGAGACCTTAATACTTGGCGATATAAAAGAAAACTTCCAGGGAAGACTGTTAACTAGCTTCGATTATTGTTCCCACGCCTGGAGGTTCCATACTATTTGTACAAAATGTTGCTACTTACAGTAATTAAATGATATTACTCTTTTTTTCGTTTTCCAACTTTGCAGGGATTATCCACACGTATATACATACACTGAATACACATACGCACAATTAACGTACGATACATCTAAATATATATATGTATATAATTATTCCTAAAATACCACACGGTCGAGACAGTTGCTGCACGATAAAAAAACCACTTGAATTAGTAATCGAATTCGACCATGTGTATCTATCACTCATAGTCTTGTGCGTTTTAATACATCGATGTTTGTAGAAGTATTAACATCGTCCACTTTTGGTGCTTCGAATGGTCTGAGATTCAAAATCAGTCTCCCTGTTTCTCGAAGATCTGAATTGTGAGCAACAGGAATACTATAACTCATTTCATGTCGTCAGACTTCAAAAGAATCGTGGAATTTGGGAAGTTGATTATTCCGAACTTGTCATGGCTTACAGAGAGAAATGGAATGTTAATGAGTACTAGGGGCAGTCCTTAGTATTGCAAAATATTCCATAGCATTTTGTTGGTCTTGAACTGGACAATTCCATTCAAGTCGACTGGGAATAACTTGCACTTCACTGCACCAAATCCTGTCTAGGGATATACTACGTATTCGTAGGAGTGGATTGCTCAGGAAAGAGGGAATCGTAGCTAGGAGGTAAATCTTTGTCTTGAACAGGTGCCGGAACAATGACTTCTAACATCGGTGCGGTGGAAACTGGTACGTTGTCAGTACCAGCAGATTCTCCATGACTGGTTGCAATGTAATCGGCAGTATGTACGCTTGGACCGGCACAATCGGATGACCAACAAAATTTTTTGTGCCTCCGACAGATCCACAGACATATAGCAAATGTAATGAATGTTAGAAATATAGCACTCACTGTACCAACAGTCACCTTTGTTCCTGTATTGTTGCTTACAGACTCTGGTACTTGACAATTCTCATCTATGCAGGTATTTGTTACACAGTTCTGATAGCCATCACAGAAGTACTCACTTCGTATGCAGAAGTTTGCATTTATAGATCTGTACTCATCGGGATCCACCTTCCTGCAGTCTGCAAGGAGAAATTTATTAATGACAGATTAAATATTATAAGCTGTACAGGACCAATGATAAAAAGAAATTTAGCATCACATATTGTTACCTTTATAGGGAGTGTACACAATTACAAGATCAAGCGTTTCGTTCGGTAGCAGTCGTTTCTTGGAAATAAAAATTCTAGTTTCCAGTTGGCTCTTTGTATCAAATTCAGCATATGTTCCTGCTGAGATATGTTCATTTGAATCTATATTTTCTTCAGGAACAGGGTAATATCTCATTTTTCGGCGATCCAGCTGGCCACAATATCTTGTCGCATTATGACTTTTAAACTGGAAAGATTTATTTCCCCGTAGATTAAAAATATTTCCAAATCAGGTTAACCTTAAACTAACCTCAACATAGTCCAAACACTTTGTTCCATTACGCCTGAAAGACATCTTCTGGATAACCGCAAAGAGTCCAATATTTTTTTTAGTGTGTATCGCAAACTTGCAGGTTTTATCGTTGATAACATTCCACGTATCAAAAATGTGATGTGGTCGAACCAGCAGTGCCAAGTCGGTCACATGAATCGTCTCCTTATTATAAGGATGACAAATCTTTTCGCTATCTAAGGAATCTGTAATAAAAATTTAATTGCACATGAGAAGTAAGTCTAGTGGCCAGTCACATTGACAGAACTTTGGAATATAAGTTATGTAAAAAATTGAACCAGTCTACATCTGAAATGCATTATTAAAAAAACATAAAAGACTTCTTCTATATTGAATTTCAGCCCTCTTGCATGGGACCCATTACCAAAATTGTATCCAGCTTTAGTGGGCTTTCCTTGCTTGATGAGTTATTTTTAAAAGCTTCTTTTTCAGCTCTTTCCTTCCTCTTCATAAAAAAGACTTAATAGTTAACTTAGAGGCACGAATATTCTACCACCAGCCGAGTCTCATTTTGCCATGGGCGATTGTCACATTGACGCTTCGCGAATTATATCGCTATTATTTTCCGAAGCATGAGGGATTATAACAAAATAAACTTACAATTCTCGTAGCCTCCGGAAAATGTCACGTCTATTAAAGCACAGGATAAATGCAGGAGGTACACGAGTTTGTATACGCGTATCTCCGCCATCTTGAAAAACCTGTCATACGAGGTGCAGAATAAACTTGAAACACGCTCAGAAGTGCACGTAGCTGCAAGTGCATTTTCCATGGAATATGCCGGCCGATAGACTATCCACCTCATGGAGGAACCTGCGCTCGAATTTACGCGATTTTCCCTTTCCCCGGCAGATACCGCCAGAAACAAATTTCCACAATCTGGATATGAAACACTGCTACGAGGTTCCACTCTCTCCTGTAAGATGACGCCGTTATAAAGTTCCACTTTTCGTTACTCAAATTATCGATACATTATACATTCTTTTAATTTCTAACAAAAAACGATACACATCCGTGAGTAATAAATTTATCACGTTTATTTCTAGCACCCAAATCACAATTAGAACATTATACGCGTTCACTAGTATCCTTTGGCATTGTAAATATCAATATTTAATATCATAATATTAAACATTGCAGTAATTCACGAGAGTGACCCCCGACCGCGCGTACGAGGACGAAAGTCGCCCACGTACGCGCTTCAACATAATTTGCATTCTCTTGCCTATGAGGATTTTAACGAGTCACGAACATTATACTTAGAGTACAATGATTAGAGTTAATACTAAAAACGGTGCACTGGTTAATGAGAAATGAACCTGCAGAAATTTCTACCCTCTTGGCCAACGATTTTTTTTTTTTCTTCTTCCTCTATTAGACGTAGAGAAAAATTCAGTACTTTCGTCAACTCTACCAGTCAAGTCTCTACCGTTGACACCTTCCTCCATGACTAATGCGTGTATATTTGCACGAACGCGCAACCAAATTATTTAATGACTCTAGATACTGTTGCGGCGTGCGTGCGAGAAGAGCGCTACTCGGGAAACCATGCTATGAGATAAATATACAAAAATTCCATTTCAGTAGTTGCTCTCGATGACTCGGACCAAACTCTCTCCTCGGTACGTTTCTCCCTCGGTAGCTATTCAATAATATATTGCACTCGTGAGAATAGTCTCGAGTTCACAAAACCCCCAGCGAGACGTCTCTCTACCCTTTAAAGCTATCTACATGTATATTGCACCCATTCCGAAGAAATCCCCTGAAAAGTATCTAAACTCGAGTACCTTTTCTCCATACAGACACGATGAGCAAGTGAATGGACACCAAGACCGACCTCGCTCCTCATTTTGGGTACGTTACCTGCCTAGACCGGGGACAAAGTTTCCGCCCCGAAGACACCAAGACACCAAGTGGTACGTCTGGAATTAATGCACCCCCCGTTGAGAAATGCCTCCACCACGAGACACAAGAGATTCCAAAAGGAGGTAAACATATAGGAAATGGTCAAACTATCTCCGAGCCTGGACCGATTTTTTTTTTCAAGCTCGAAGGGGAAGATCGTCTGCGCTCTCCCGAAAGGACAGCATCTTCAAGGGAAGCCTGGGAACTGGCGTTGTCATTACGTCAACCGCTGAGCGGCCTCAAACGCATTGGCCCTCTGATTCCTGTACTGCGATGCAACGACAGCCTGAGGGTTGGGTATGTGTCTAACTCCAAGATTAGGCTTGATCTTGATGCCGAACCCAGGCATTCTTTGGTGGGGCTGAGGGATCCTCAGTGAGACCTTGCCGGGCAGGGTGCCCAGGCCAGTTTTCGGCCGAGAGAGGTTTTCGTTGCAGCCACTCAGCAAGGACACGGCCGTGTCCGACAGAGTCTTCAGGTTCGAGTTCTCCGACTTCTGCCTTTGAAGAGAGACGGTCGGGATGGACCGATGGCCGGTAGAGATAGCCTCAGCCTCGGCCGGACCCGAGGACAGGTCCAGGACGTCGTTATTCTTGAGACCACTGCTCAGGTCCAGGGGAGCCTCGTTGGTCCTCGTCGACGTGGACTCGTTTGCAACCGCATACTTGTTAGCTGGCTGCTTGATGGGCTGCTTAACCAGGTGCAACGGCGCCAAGGGAGGTGGCCCTTTCCTCTTCTGGTTCGGACTTGGGCCCACCTCGTGGCTCTCCCTCTCGCTGGCCCTGGACATGATGGTCTTCAAGGCGTCGCGCATCTGCTTCTCGGCCATCAGACTCTTGACTCTGTTCGCCTTGCTCTCCCGCAATTGTCTCTCCAGCCTGCACCTATCCGCGTACTCGATCCTGGTTTTCTCCCGGACCGAGTCGTTGGCCTCGCCAACAGCGACCAGTCCCAACCGCCGGAGAAGTTCTTCGTCCTTCCGCTTCGACTTGGACTCCTGCCCATCGCTCGCCTGGGTTGTTTTGGGTCCAGGTTCACCTGGCGAAGCCTCTTTCTTCTCTGGCTGTGGGTCCAAGCCTTGAGTGATCCTCACAACCTCGTCCGGTATCCCATCTGTGATCTCCTCGATGGTCTCTTCCACGGTCTCCTGTACAGGTTCTTCGACAGTCTCTTCGGCGGTCTCTTCAACGACCTCCTGGCGTTCCGGCTGGTACCACTCGCCAGGCGAAGGTTTCGGCTTCTCTCTCCTGACGGCTCGCATCTCCAGGAGCTTCTCCTTGGCCACCTGCCCAACCTGGCCTGCGCCACTCGACGTGATCCTCGGAGGCCGCGGCGTCAGCCTGACCTTCAGCTTGAGCAGGTCCTCCCTGGGCGTCGTCGTGATCTCGGCGATGACGCGCTTGTTCCTCCGCTTGCGTCTCTTCCGCTGAACCGGTGGTGGTGGCGGGGGTGGCAGTGGAAGCGGCGCAGGTAGCCTAATCTTCGACCTGGAGGAGCCCTTCGCGAGCGGGCTCCTCAAAAGACCCGGCACCCTCATCACAGGGGTGACCTCACAGCGAGGTTTCCTCGCCTCCTCTGGGTCCGCCTTCGGTGGAGGCGAGCGGACCCGAAGAGGATTATCAGGAGGGCAGGGAAGGCCAAAACTCGGCAGCGGTTTCGGGCTCGGCGGTGGAGTCAGCGGCCTTTGGAGATGCTCCATCGCGAGACTGGCGCCGCTCTCCGAGGAGGCCTTCCCAGCGGGCTCGCAGACCTCATCCTTGATCGCGATGCGGTAGTACAGCTTCATCGGCGACTCCTGAAAGAGCGCCTCCTTAAATTCCATGGACTCCTTCAGACGCTCAAAAAGGACCGGAGTCAAATCAAACGTCAAAGCGAAACCCAAAGAAAAATCACGACAAAGATCAGAGGACAAGAATCGACCGACAAACGCGAAGGGCACCGGTGATACCTACGCGGTTCCACCGGAAGATGCAGGCCAGGTCGAGAAGAGTCCAGGAGGGGTCGAGTGGGTGCAGGGCTCGCTTCCTGTCCGCCGAATTCCCCTCTTGGCACTTGCTCGTGTCCACGCACAGCATCTCTATCCCGTTGGAGAGGCTCGACTCGCTCTCGCGGTTGTCCCACCCTCTCTTCAGCATCAGCAGCCTCACGAGGTGGCGAACGGTCACCCCCGCGGGGCACTTAAGGTACCTGGTCTCTCCGAGTCGGTTCTCCTTCCTCTCCATCCCCCCTCCGCCGTTATCATCGGCGTCCTCCTCCTCGACGACTTCCTCGGCGTCCTCCTCGCCAGGTCCCTCATTAGGATCCTCGGTCCCCGAAGAGCCGAAACCGCGCCGAGGGATTTCGTGGAGGCTGAGGCTCACTATGTCGTCCAGGGTCAGTTCGAGACCGCCATGGAGAGGCGTCGGAGGGGGGCACTGCGGGTTCGTAGCTCGAAACCGCGTCCGCCGTTCGAGCTCCGAACGGAACAGACCAGGAACTATCAAGTAGACCAGCCGCTGAAGGCTCGCGTCCGGCATCAGCGGCGACAACGCTTCCGTGCTGCACACCGGACAAGCGCGGACGCCGCTCCTGAGTCGCCTCGCTATGCACCCTCTGCAAACTGAAGAAAACCGCTGGCTGACGATCAGCACCACAACCAGTTCCTACTTCTCTAATTTTCATTCGCCGTCCAACGAAGTTCTACTAGGTTCCAGTGGAACCGATCCGATGGTAACGGACGCGATCATGCGGACAGAAGTCCATTGGACTCGTCGGAGAGTTCCCATTACCAGGTCCCACTCCGATCAAGGACAACTACCCAGAGTCCCTGGAGTCCATCGGTATTTGGATACCAGGTACCCGAGGAGTAGAGCCGTATGGGAGCTCTCCGACGAGCGGTTCGATAAATCTACGAACACGAGTGCAGGCACTCGGCGAGAGTGGTGGCATCTATGAGGTATCCTCGACACAGGGGACAGACGATATGGTCGTTCAGGTCCTTGACCAGCGGTTTCCTCCACTCCTGCAGAGGCTCTCTCGTGACGGTCTCCATGTCCGCGGAGTTAGCCTTGACCTGAAACAGGGACCGACTCGTATCAAGCCGTATCATTTCCCTACCCGGTTTCGGCTGGGTCCAGGTCTACGAGTACCATCCCTGCTACCGATCCTGGTACCTACTGTCTACTGGTACTCGAAATCGCTATCTCTCGCTACGGCGGCGCCTCGGCCAGGAGCTGTTCGACGCGCGTTCGTCGGAACGACCAGGCGGCTCTCATCCTCTCACTCGCTTCAACTAGTCGATCCCATGCTCGGTCTTCCGGCACCTCGACGTCAGGTGAAGCCGACCGACCGGGGCTCGAGGAACGGCAGGGTTCGGTAGGGAACGGGCCGGCCCGACATCGCCGTCTCGTGCACGCCGCACGGCGACGCACTCCCGAATTCCGTCGGAATTGGCGGCGGATCGACGACACTACGACTCGGTGGGTTCTCGGCGCGGTGTCATCGCACCGCCAACGGTGCGCCTCGCCGAGGAAGACGGAGGGAAGAGGAGAGGCCGCCCGCGCGCCGTCCCGTATCGACCCCGCCTAAGCCCCGCCTCGCGGCTCCGAGAACACGCGAACGAATCCCGAAAGCCCCCGAAGCCTACCGAGCGGTACCGAGCTCCCCCGAACCCGCCGCCCCCGCCATCGGCGTTCCAAACCCATCCGAAATTTTTCACGAAAGAGCTGCGGGGACCCTATCGCCCACCACACCACGTTAATCCAAACCATACGCCCCATCCTGGCGATATATAAATAGAAGCCAGAAGGGATGCTCGCGCCTCCTTAAATTAAAACCCCCTACATCACCGGTGTCTAGGGCATCGGTACCCCGATTTCGGGGAGGCGCTCCGAAAGAGCGAAGTAGAGTTGCGCTGTAGAGGGTAGAGGGACGGCTCTGCACGTGGTGCACGGCCGATGGGTGGGGCGACGTAGGGTCTTCTCTCCCCCTGACGAGGGGCGACGAGGGGCGGAGAGGGTTCCGTAGGGCCAGGGAAGGGCTCGACACGGAACGAGCGAGCAGGGCGTAGCACGGGACGCGGACGCAAACTCGCCATGGAAAGGGAGAGGTTAGGTAGCCGAGTGGGGGGGAGCCGGGGTATCGTGCCGGCCTCGGCGCTCAGTGTTGCGCGAGGCGTCGTGAGAACGTTGCCAGGCGTTGCGAGGCGTTGGGTGACATCGCGAGGCGTCGCTGCTCCGGGCGCCGGTGAATCCGCGGTTCGCGACGCCTGCTCGGCTAGGCTTCGCTCGGCTCGAAGGGGTAATAGACGGCGGATCGGTTGGGAACACATGGCGAGCGGCGTTGGGCGTCCTCGGCCCTTCGACGGGCGCCTTGGCGTAATGGCGGCCTCCTAGCAGGAGATGCCAGTTTTCGGGCTCGGGGGTTCAGGTTAGGGAGGCCAGCGGGGAGCGGCCGGGTATTCGCTCGAGTCGGAGCCGACAAAGAGGCTCCCTCTGCCGCCACTCGATACGTCCCGGTCGCGTCGGGGGGCGCTTGCACCCTCCACGGGCTCGCCTTCGCTCCGAGGCGCGGCTCTACCCGTGCCTTGAAACGGTTCTTGGAAGGCACAAAGGAACCAGGTAAAGCGCGATGTGTTTTTAGCCGACCGTTGCAACGCGGTCGAGCACTCCGGGCGTCGTTGCGAGCGAAGGAGCGCCGAGACGACCGGTCGGCGAGAATTGGCAATACCCGCGTTTAAAACACGACCTGCGTCCAATTGGGTCAGGGATACATCGGAAGGAGCCAATGAGGTCGCGAGGAAAGCGAAGACACGCGGCCGTCGAGGGCCTCCTCGCTGCGCTTACTAACTTCGACGGCGACGTCGACCTCTCGCTTATCTCGCGATAATTCCGGAATGGCTAGAATTCTCCTCCAATTTACAAAGTCTATTTACTTTGCATATCGCGTAGGTCTCGCCCACGAGAAGGAATAAAGAACAAGGGCGCCGTATGAATGGAGTCGTGGCCCCATAGTGGGCGAACGAGGCATTGTTGTGTCGCGGATAACATGTGCACGCTTCTTTTTTTTTTTCCCCGTTTTATCAGCGTTCATAGGAACGCGTGTGCGGTGCTCTTGGTATTTAACATCGGATATTTGACCCCACCCAACGTTGCTTAACTTCGGTGATCCTGTTCCCTCGATTCGAACGAGGATCGGCGTATCGACGTCGCCGCCGTTGCCAGAGAGACGACATGGCGCTCGCTTCTCCGAATCCCTGTGCCTTCTTTTACGAGCCGGTCGCGGTCCATCCGGCGTTGCCAAATCGAACGGACGTCGCGTCGCCTCGGCGCTACCCGTGAAGGCTCCCTTAAGGGGATAGTTGATTTGAGCTATTTTTACAATTAATCGCGGAAAGATAAATGTGGTCGGCTGAGTTATTTTTTTACACCAAAGATGTTTTTGTGGAGGTAGAACGGGCCTGCCCGTGAAATCTCCTTCGTTGGAATCCCATTGAACGGCGCTCGATTTTCTCTCGCTTCTTCCATGTGCTGCACCACATCTTGTGTTTGTAGGGTCCGCTGTCGGCAGAGAAGATGGCTGGATTGAGCAGGAGGACGTACTTACGGGATGTTAACCCTCACCTGATCTGCCCGCTCTGCAAGGGGTACCTCATCGACGCGATCACCGTGGTCGAGTGTCTCCACTCGTGTACGTATACGACCCTCTAGGGGTCCTAATATTTAATTACAAACGACGTTGCTCGTGGATGTCGCTTAATCCGTGTCCCTTCTTCAGTCTGCAGAAGCTGCATCTTGAAACACCTCAACGGCGAGTCCAACTGCCCCTCGTGCAAGCATGTCCTTAACAAAGCCAAGCCCAACATTAAGTGAGTGTGTCGAATCTTCCCAAGGGTCTCCCTCTGGAACAATTTTAACAAGTTGGTCATTTCACTCGCAGGGCTGACAAGGCGTTGCAGGACATCGTGTACAAGCTGGTCCCTGGGCTCTATCACAAAGAGATGCGCAGAAGGAGAGAGTTTTACAAGAAACATCCCGAGCACGGTACGAGACGTGCTCCAACCCTGATTATATATTAAGATTATTTGAAGCTCGAACGAATGCCTGCAACACTTTTTCGATTTTTTATCCGTACAGCCAGCAAGGCAAGCCCGGAGCAGCGCGGCGAGGACGTGAGCGGCCGACTGATCTTCGCCCCGGAGGACGCGGTTAGTCTCAGCATGGAGTACCTGCCCCCAGGAGCGGATCCTCTCACTGCAACGAGAACAGCAACCACGACGACCCCCACGACGGGAGACAGAGGCCGGGCCGAGGCACCGAACAGACGGTACCTGCAATGTCCGGCACTCGTCACGATCGCACACCTCAAAAAGTTCCTCGGTCTCAAGTACGGCGTCGACATGACTCGGTACAACATCGAGATCTGCCACCGAAGGGCGCCGCTCCCGGAACACTGGACCCTCATGGACTGCGCGTACATCTACGCCTGGAAGAGGGTAAATATATAAGTTCCCCTCGTCAATTATTTTCTTTTCTCCCTTGCTCAAGTATCCCCTTGGTTTCAGAACGCGCCCATGAGGTTCTTCTACCGCATCGCTCAGGAAGAGCACGAGCTGGAGGCCCCACTGCACGCGAGACCATCCACCCCCGGTCTCGGAGCTAGTTTGCCTCCTAATCCTGCCGATGGCAGTCGCGACTACGGAGAGCCCACCGATGGACCCGATCGAGACCCGTCGACGGATGCAGAGAGCGTCGCGACACCGACACTGCCAGCCGAGGCGCCAAAAGAGGCGAGCGTGCCCTCGAACCCGGATGGGTCCTCGGAGAGTCCGACCTCGGAGAAGAAGCCCGAAGTCGAGACCGATCCTACTGTGGTCAAGGTCGAAGCCGTGGCTCGTGCACCCGATCAATCTCCGAAGCAGACCAAGAGTCCCATCAAGATCCTGAAAAATCCTGACGGGCGCTACGAGGTCCTGAGGAATCCACTCGCCGTAAGGAACCGCGACGACCGGTGCGAGCCCACCCTGGAGTCTAAACCCGTGGGAACCCCGCAGTTCAGCGTGGTAGGCATAGGCGATGGGCAAAATTCCACCAGCGTCAGGATCACGCTTAAGCAACGTTCCCCTGGGAGTACCGCCTCGAAGAAGCCGACCGTCATCAGCAACGTCCTGCTGCGTTGCGGACAAACCGAGAAACCGTCGGAGAAGCCGGACGGGACAAGAGCCGAGCTTCTCGTTAACGCCGCAAAAAGAGTCAACGAGGAGATGGCGGATGGACCAGGGAAACAGAAGCACCGCGTGGCGTTCACGGATCCTCCTAATCTGGCGAAACCTGAGACGGAAGGGAAGACCCCGAACAAGTACACGGATCGACCGGATAAGAATCAGTTCCTCCAGAGCTTCCAGCTGACTGCCAAAGAGTCGAGTGGCAGCCAGTCGAGCTTTCTTCCTTCCAGTTCTTCCGGCGCGGCTCCAAAGGTGACATCGAATATAGGTTCCACGGAGCGCGAAGACTCCAAGTCCACTGCCAAACCGAGCGATACCGCCAGTAATACGTCGAGTAACACCCCGAGTAACACGTCGAGTAATAAGCCGAGCAACACCTCGAGCAACATCCCGAGCAATACCTCGAGCACCTCTCCGAGTAACACCTCGAGCAACACCCCGAGCAGACCAGTTGCCAAATTAAACGAGGTCGTCACCGGCTCCATTATTAACGAGAAGGGAGCAAAACTCGACGTTTACGCGTTCCCTAACGAACCTTCGTTCGTCCCGCCCGGAGCCGTCAAGAGGAAGTGCCCTCCAGGGCTCCCCATCTTCAACGCGAAGCGCCAGAAGCGCGTAAAACCGGCCACTCCTCAGGTGGCCGAGCACCTGTCTCCCAAAAGTCATCGAAAGCCCTCGGCACCTCCACCTTCCCCGACAGACCACGATGCGCACCCGGAAAGACCCGCCGCTCCCACCGGACCGAAGTACACCCCGCGACTTCCCGACGACACCAGGAACCTCTTGGACGAGTGTGGCCTGAACATTCCCGCCAGTCTAAGCATCACCCTCACGGCACCCAAGTCTCCAGCCGGTGGAGCCACCGCCTCGACGGACACCACGATTTCAAAGGACAGCGAGGCCTTCGGCAAAGTCAACCCCAGCATAACCCTGAACGACCGCAGCGTGGACCCTCGGATCCTGAAGGCGCTGAAGTCTGGACAGATCAGGATGCCCGCGCCCAAAACACCGGCTCCTAAGCAACGTCCACCTCAGCCACCGAAGCGGCCCAAGGACCACGCCGGTCTCAGGGACATCCTAGACCTGAGTGGCGGCACAAAGGGCGAGGTTCACCCCCTAAGGATCCCTCAACCGGTGCCCAAGCACCGTGGCAAGGGAGCCGGGAGGGAGCGCAGTCCGGCTCAAGCCACGGGCCAGGTGGTCACCCTGGTGGGTGGACAGCGCTACTACAGGGCACCTCCGGGTGCCCTAACTCCTGCGGTCCACAGGGACGTGGAATGTCCCCTGGCCCCTGCATCGCGAGCCCCGGTCTACGCTCCCTCCTGCGTCTCCAGCTCCGGCAACCTGTCCTCCGAGTTTCCCAGCCTCCAGAGTCTCTACGCTCTCAGTCAGTCTCCGAGTCTTCAGCAACTCCACCTCGACTCCAGGATCCGGCTCAACAACAGGACGGATAGGAGCGATGCCGGGTGCTCGGCCAGCCCTAGCAAAAGTCACCTGGCTGCCCAGTGTGCCCCGGTTAAGCCGGCGAGGTCCTCGGTGGCTCCACTTGCCGTTGCCGTGTCCAGGCAGCCGACTCCGAGACCCGGTCCACCCCCGTCTGGCTCCGACTCCGAACATCCTCAGGGTTCCGCCAGCCCTCGAGTCTCGTCCACGGTTTCGCCACCTCCATCCGGACCAGAGGTGACCAGCACTCGAGCCCCGGATAGTCCCGATTCCAGCTCGACCCTTCCTGAACGACGTGCCGGCAAGGTCGCGGGGCCTGCCGACGAGGGCGCGGATCGGTCTTCTTCCTCCACGGAGCCGACGTCCAAAGTCGAGCGCAAACCCGGCCAGGAGCCAGAGCAGAAGGTGGTGAAATGCCCGGCAGATGGTAAGGTCGAGCAGTCCGCCTCCAAGATGACCTCGGAGATCCTTCAGAAGAGACTCCTGGCCGCGTTTCCGTCCAACGAGTGGGCGAACAACCCCATCGCGGCCGAGCATTTGGGGAACTTTCTCAAGAGCTTGACGTCGGTCCAGTCGGACGGTCGGAACGGCACCGCCACCGACGAGCCGGCATGAACACCAAAGAACGTCTTAGCTTCCTAATAACTGGAGAGGCGAACTCGGCCAGGTCGGGGAAATAAGCCAAATCGAGGAACGAGCGGAACGTTTAGGTCGATACTCGACTATGTTTCCGTAAAATGATCTCGCTCTTGCGTCGTTCACGGCTAAACGTGTACTTGGCTCGGGACTCTATCGAGTCTCCGGAACGACTTCGGTCAACGAGGAATAATTCAGTTAGCTAACCGTGGCGTGAAAAACCGGGGTTTCTTTAATGCTGGATTTAGACGCGAATCCACGATTTTTTTACGGATACCCCGAGCTATATCGTAGGGTAATTATCGCTCCTCATTTTATACCTTACACGATTTCCTGATATAAATAGTGGGTAAGACTTAGCGACATTTTTTACCGCGTAATAAGTTTTACTACTCGGAGGGCGAAAATGCGCGGTACCGTCATTACGCCAAGTTAGGACGTCCCTGCTGCAGTGTGCGCGAACATTGTTAATGTTTCAGTTTCACTATATTTTGTTAACGATTCGCTAAGTATAATTTGTATTACTTGTTGTACTGCACGCATATTATTTATTATATTATACTGCATCCATTGTGTTCTAAGATGTACATACTAGGTTTGTACGCCGTGACTACTGCCGATAGGTCGAATCGCATGAATGGACTTTTTAATTAGCCAACCGACTTAAGTACCCGACTACAGTATTTTAGATCCACCGTGCCAATTTACTCATTTGGCGACATTGTTCGTATGATACATTAAAACGACATTTCTGTTCCTTTTATGAGTTGTGCGTATTCATTTACGCGTCGAGTCTAGCATTAAGGGCCGAAAAAAAAAAATAAGGAAAGGAGCCTGAAAAAAAGGCCGTAGGAGAGGGTGCAAACACCAATTATTTCTTTTTTTTTTCTTTACGCCGTTAGATCCTATTAAGACATTCGATATCCCCACCAAGGACTTGCCGAGGACGCAAGGATCGTCAATTCTCTCTCCCTCTCGATCAGGATAGGAAATAACTACACGTCGTTGAATTACCTCCAAGGACGACCAACTCCCCAACGATAGTCCTTAAGGGGTTCGCGCGTCTCGGACGCCAGCCGTGGTCTCCGAATTTTTTTAACTTTTATTCGACATGTATATACATATATACATTTACGTTGATAATTACAATACCTTCTCACGGATAATAGTCTATGATAATTATTCTGCCTTTTCCAGTCGTGATAGTAGTACCATTTGTAAGAGGACGCCAGCTGTAACCGCCGCAACGACTGTTCACGACATTGTCAAAATAAAGAGGACATATCTACGAATCTGCCTGTTGCGACCGAGACACCGAAGGACTTTAACCGCAAGTCTTGTTTCCAGGCTTAAAAAGAGATCATTCAACGTCGATTTTATACCAACCGTGGAGAACCTATCGTTCGGTCACAAAAGAGGACTACTTGATACCGATTAAGCTAAGTGTCTCGTCTTAAGGGGCAGCGACTAAGGATGGGATAAAAATTCAAACCGAAATTTACACGTAGGAATTCCTCCTTGATAAAGTTCAATTTCGATCCTAATCTTCCCTTTTGCTAGGCGATTATCATAATCTGTGCAGCGGCCCGAAGAGATTCGCCGCTGGGCACTTATCGCTGGGATCACCTAGAAATTGGGCGTAGAGCTCTTGATAACGACTCAGCGTCAATCCACCGCGTTTCCGATCGTCGTCCTGAAACCATTCGACCCTAGTCAATACAAAGTTCCTTCTCCACGAGGACGTTCTACTTTCCTGGAAGGTCTCAGGATTCCATAAAACAAATTGCAGATCTCAGGGATGCATTAGTGATACCGCGACTAGCGCAATGAAGAAAAACTCGTTAGCGGTTAAGAAGAATTGGAAAAATCCAGGGTGTTAAAAAATTCAATCCAGGTGGTCATGGCATTCCTGGTGTTAGATCAACACATCGGTGGAGTACATTTAATGACGTTAGCCGACAAGTGCGAGATATTGGGGCTGAATGTGGGGAAGAAAGTGTGCAAGCGAAGATCGGCACTCGTCGCGAGACGCACATTTAAGAGAGACTGGTACGCCTGGTCGAGGATACTAATGTCGTCCACTGGAATTCTGGTAACGCAATCGTACCGGTACTCCTCCACCCCGAGGACGCCGTCGTCTGAAAGCAGGAGAATACATTTTGACCGACCATCGTGGGAGCTCTTCCCTATCTTCTAAGACATCCACGGCCGAGTCGAGATCCAGGCCTCGTGTATTAAAAGCGAATCCAAGAACGAGGCTGCGCGATCCTTCGCTCGTCAAGCTCGAATTTGCAATTGGATTAGGATAGCGCAAAACCGATAATCAAGGGCGGCCGGGATGACAACCTTGTATCATCTTGGATGGTGCATTGTTCTGGCCTGTGCTTCGAATGTCTGACATACCGAATTATTTGGCCAGACCACCTAATCATATACGGCCGTGTCTCGTTGACACCCGTTGCGTAGTAGTGCAACTATTCGATCCCGAGGCAAATACTAAACTTATTCGTCGAGACGAATCGATACCTTGCATCTTCTACCCTGACGAAACGCCACCCCACCTTCCGGGATGACCAATTTATCGAGAATATACGGAAACTTAGGGTAGGTGTCCGATCTTTTGATTCGAGCTCTAGAGACGGAATTACCACTCACTGTTCATGTCCATGAGCTTGAAGTGGTTGTCGATGAACAGCTTCAACGACTGGGGGAATTCACCGAAAGGACGGCCGACGCAACTCTTTTGCACGGCCTCCTTGAACTCGTCGGTGGTGACAACGGTGTCCTGTCGACACAATGCAACGAATAAGTCCGGGATCAATTATGAAACCAACACAACACTCCCAGCCATTCGGTTATTTCGGAGCTCGGCAAATCCTTGGGGTCGCGAGGGGTTAATTAATAATATATATTTATATAGAAAAACAAGGACCCGGAAACTCGACGTTTTTCCTCTCAAGGACGGTTTCGTCGACAATGGGCCTCCTCTTATTTTACCTTATTAAGATCGGCCATGGACGATATCTCTTCCCAGAGGGATCTCATGACGTGGAGGTTCTCTTGGTGCTTGGCACCGTTAAAGTCTCCTTTCCCCTCGATGACGGTCATCTTAAGGGCCATGCACTCAAAATCGTGCTGGTCCAGCGACCCATTATTGTCTATGTCTGTTGATAACAATAGCATCTGTACTCTACGTCCTCTCTATTGTCACGCCTTAAGGAATAATCGCTCATCCAGGTTGACCGAAAACGCGACGTTCGGTCGTCAGATGGGATACGAAACGGGTGGCTATCGAGAACGTCTATCTCCAGGCCATTGCAAGAAGGAAAGTACAAGGAAAGCATGGTCCTCCTTCTCTTGGTCGGACACGTGCGATCGCTGACACTATACTCTCGTCTGATAACCACCCGCCACGCACCAGATACCGACCGTGTACCAGATAGGTCCCGAGCCAAGACCTCCGTTAAAAAATATACACCCGTAAACATTCCTTTCTTCGAATATACCGATGTAGCAATTGTTAGATAGTTTGGCCCTGTTAGCGATAGGACGCCTGGCAAGGAGTCCGTCTCGAAAACCCACCAAACAAACGCGTTATGGAGCCTACCAGGGTTGGCCAGGAGTTAGCAAAAATAAAGGACAATGGGACCGACGGGTTCCTTTCCTCGCATCCTGGAGCCAGTCGGCATACTAACCGTATAAGAACCTCACTATGAAATCAACGCGATTATTCCAGGTGTAAGCCATGGCTTCTGCCGCTGTCCTCCCGTGTCGTCTGTCCTCTCCTGTACTCTCCTCTCCTAGGTCAAACAGCGAATTAGCTCGCCAGGACCAAGCCTAGGCTGGCCGACGTTGACGTCTCGACTTGTCGGAACCTTCCTTTCCTTTCGGAAAATGAAAAGGGTGGAGACCCGATGCCGCGTCCGCGTCGCGGCGTCACCTCTTCGCATACGTACGGGAGGGCTCGGGATGGGACGCGTGGTCCTCGGAACGATCAGGGGACGGCCGAACCTGACCGGCGACCACTCGTTGGCCTACTGCGAGGCGAGGTGAGCCGAGAGCGAAACGACGGCCACGGGTGGAGGGAATCGGAGAAAGAGGGACGGCGAGAAGGAGAGAGAGAGAGAGAGGACCGACGGAGCTGCCAGTGGTTGGTCTAAGTTTAGCGATCGGTGGCGAGTAGGTGACGGCCTAGGTGCCCGAACCTCCTGGGGGAGACCCGGAGGAGACGCGCTGGTGGAGACGTACCAACTTTAACGCCACTTTAACCAGTCGCTTCGTCACTGTCACTCGCCAGCCGAATCGCGTAGGCCCCAGCTCTCGTTCCGTCCCCATTGTCCGTCTCCTTGTCGACTCCTGGCCTCCGCCAATTGTTTCGACGGTTGTTTGTCGTTAACCAGACCGTGCATGATTTAAGCCCATCGATACGATTGCCTCGCAGTTGGTTTCGCCGAGGCAAGGCTCAGTGTCGCCGGTAGGAGGGAGAGTCCTCCCTCGAGGGCTTCCTGGACGAGCCGAGGCCGCTTCTCCTAATTTTGACGTTGGTCGTTGATAGTCGATAAAAAACGAGAGGGTTGCAAAGCCCTTGTGCTTACCCTTGTAGCCAACCCTTGGATGATCCTTGTCCGAATGTTCCGATAAAAAATTATGATCTCGGTCACCGACACGTCTCCGACTGCAGAAATTTCCAGGATAACTATGTCCCATGCTCGTGGTATTTTGAGCTCGTTCAATGATCTCGGAACAGCCGAAATCGGCATGCAATGAAATCTCTATTTACAGGAAAAAATAAAAATAAGCTGTACGCGGTAATTCTCATATCAGAGTAAGATAGGTTGATAAAACCCGAGGGAGAATCTCCGATTGCGATGGCCCTTAAAATGTGATTTCTGCTCAGTGCTCGATGAGAACTTCTCAGTTCTTTGTTGCTTTCGCATGTGCTCGTATTGTTGGAAAACGACTTGCTCCGTTCCATTGCCAGTAAATAACCTTTTCCGCTCTATTTCGTCGCTTAAACGGATGGGTTGTTGTCGCTAATGTTCTGAATTAACGGTCTGACGAGATTCCAGCTATTAACGATGCACAACCCTCCTTAATATCCCACCGATTGCTCGATTCGTTGCCTTTCCATTTAAATCCATTCCTTCGAGTTATGACGTTTGCTCGGTCGAGTTGTACAGTATTTTTCAGACATCAAGGTTGGCACTTTGAATCCCCAAAACGGCGGAAAAGCATTTAAATTTAAAACAGGGTTGGATGATTCATCGTAAAGGCGTCGAGTTGATATGCAGTTGCCAAACTACACCCAGTAGTTTCGCCCTCGACGTTCGGTCTTTCATCCAAGGTGTAAAGTAATTCAATCCCGATTGACTTGACTTATCGTTTCTGCATCCAATTTTTTTTTTTTTTTTCTCGTGCGCCATGCACCTATATCTCGACACGTGGAAACACGCGTCTTACCGATCTCCGACGCATTACACCTGCGTATAATAAATCGTTCGGTTTGAACAAGTTATAAATGTTCTCTTGTGAAACATACAACCCTAAATTCTTGCCTCGAGCCTTGCCGAATATCGACGCAACGTTGGCAACGCGCCGAAAAAAAAGTTTATCTCTCTTCGTTGACCCGACAAGGTAAGTGCGGCCGAATCGAACTTGATTTCAATCTGTACTGGATGTTTCTCTAAGGCCGAGGTCAGTGGCGAGGCCGAGCTCAAAACCTTCCAACTTTTTTTTCTGACAACCCGTGCAAATACATTCATGGTCCCTGCTCTTCGTCGTGACTGCACAAATGCTCCGTCGTATTCCATAGAAAAATAATTTTTCCAATTTGTTTCTTCTCACATATACGTGTTATTTCTTTAAGATTTTTTATAGAGAAAGATTCACATGGAAAAAACACTTGTTAGAAGAGGAGATCATCGTCGGGATCTTCTTCGTCCACGTCGTCCGTCTCGTCGGGTTGATAGAAAATTTTCGATTCTCCACGTAACGCATCTCTGACTTGCGTGTATGGTAAAACAGTTTTCTCCCTCTGTTCCATTTCCCGAGGACCAATCTCTATTCTAAACGAAGCTTGGATTTTTTCCACATTATCGGATTTAACCACGTCGACTTTGCGATTTGTGTTCACGATAACTTGTGTAGATTCAATGCTATAAGTCAGACGGTCTTGTTCAACGAGCTCTGTTTGGTATTTGGGATTTTTCCTCCACTCTAAGAGCAATGCTTTGTAAATATAATTCTTACTCGATTGAACTTGAGACGATTGTTCTAGCCGAATATAGAAATCACCCAAGGTATCGATTCTAGGTATGCCAACATTGTAAAAATCCCTTCGATAAATACAAATTAATTGCTGGACCTCAAAACGTAGTTTGTTCAGAAAATGCAATGCCTGCTTAAGGCCAAAGCTCAGAGTTAAACCACTGAGACAATCTACGATTACGGTGGAATCCTTCCTTATGAGATCTATGACATTTTCCAGCTTTTTACACTCATCGACCTCAGTACTTTCTGGACGAATTGAATAAAGATCGTGCACTTTCATATCGATTAACCGAAATGGATCCGGTAGATTCAATACAGCTCTCTGTGGGCAGGAGAAGCTCAACAAGTCGATGGGTCGACTTGTTTTCCGTTCGTTCCATGTAGACAACCATCCTGCGATCAGTGATCGTGCGTATGTTGCTTCTAGATCTAAAATATCACATGGTGACTGATTAACGTAACCTTAAAACGAACCCTTCGAAAACCGGTCGAAATAACGAGTGATCTACGGATTTATATGATACATAAACGTTATTTGAAATTTACCTTCATCTATAACAATGACCCGCGCGTCTTTTAACGACGCAATACTCTTTATTCGCGCCATTTGTTTGGGTGAATCAAGAAAATATTGTTGTTAAAGGCGTGCTTGATCGAAAAATTTACTTATGAAGCACAAACTATGTTAGAAGGGAAACCTCGAATTGGTTACAGTTTTCGTAAGTGGAACTTTATGTGGCGCTACATTGTTAGTACTACATACATGTGCACCGACCTTGGCAGCGTAGTGCCAGACTATGTGAATCTGTGACTATGCTTGATATGCTTCGATAACGTCATTGCCCGTCACTAAATACCTACACTTTCTGTGCATGCAGTGCATGTGCAAGTGTCAGTGTGCAATGCTGCCCTTGTTGACCAGGATCCTAGATTCTCTCAATGTAGATTTTTGAATCTCGAGCTTATCGACTTCAAAGGCGAGCCTCAATTTCATCTACATAACCTTAATTAGGTAAGTAAACTTATCTACCCTCCAAGGATAAAATATACTGCTTGTCTTATGTAAAATTGCAACGCAAAGTTGTAGAAATACTACATTGTATATGACACCATCAATAATTTTTAAATTTTAGCTGGGATCTGTGGCGTCACTTACTACTCAAGAGCGTGACAACTCTATCGATTAGATGCGACTATGAAGCTGCAAGAGCAAAAACCTACCCAGAGTTTACACAATCATTTGTGGGTGTTATACAAATGGAGTTGAGAAGGCTGGGACAATCGCAAGTATAAATCGCATAAGGTTTGTTCCCTCTTGCAATTAAAGTAACAGATACGTCGAACAAAAATTATATTAAAAATTTGTCGCATGAATATTCTGACTAATTAAATTTTTTCCGACATGAAAACATGTTCCTCTCTGATTTGTCCTGCATTTCATTAAACTTTGATTTCAGTTGAAGATGGCGCTCCGTGAGTTGGTAGAGGGTGACTGCAGCGGACCTAGCCCGCTGGTCCGCATCACATCCCACTTTGTAGAAGACCGTGGCTTCAAAGAAGAAGGAATATTCAATGGGCTTGCCGCGGAGAAACCCATTGAAGCTACTACTTCCCAAGAACTCGTTGAGCAGTTTATGGACGAGAACTCGATGCATCCCCAAACGTTCAGGATGGACAATTTAATCCAGGAGATGAACGACGTTGAACGTCAGATTCATTCTCCTAAACTTGCTCCAGGAATAGTTGTGGAACTAATTGGAGAGGATTCTTCCTGGGCCAATCAGTACGTCGAGTCTGGCCGCCATTTCGATGTAATCACTGCAATATGTTACTAGATCTCAGCCTCGATAACAAACAAGACAGGACTAAGTGCATCGTAACGACAGAACATTCCACGGCCAAACTAACAATTTGTGCATACTAAGTTCACTTGTTTCTAGCTAGGCAAGCGTGAAATTGAGTAAATTGTTTACAATGTTAAAATATTTCCAGCACAATTATATGTAATTAATATTGCAATCTCAAAATGCAGGAGAGGCATGCAGACAACATTTGGGACAACGCAGCAGAATCAGCGGTGCCCGAAGATGTAACAGGCCTCAATCCACTGGAAACACACGAACTTGGCTTGGATCCCAAATGGGCCGAGGAGTATTTAGAGCAGAGCGTCGAAGGCACGGAGAAGACAGAAAGTGCATCACCCCCAGACGTGGAGAAGGAAGACCCGAATTTGGCTTACTCCAAGTTCATGAAATTTATGCACCAAGAGGAAGCCTCGACCGAGTCTGATCAAGCATTTGTGACTGACTGTGAAAGACTTAACGAAAAGTGGGCCGAAGAGTTCTCAGCAACCGAAGAGACCGAAAAAGCCAACGAGGAGGAAGGAGTCTTAAACAAGGTTGAAGAACAGCTGGAAGCAGCCGGTAAATGGGTCGAGGAATTTTCCAAGGGATCCACCGCATCCACTTCGGGTTAGTTTGTCAACTAATATTTACCCTTGAAAATTATTTCCATAACTTAAGCTAACCATCAGAGGCCTTCTCCAGGAGCTGAAGACTATGCGTCGAGCTTCTGGACGCGCCTGCAAAAGGAGTGGGAGAAGGCTGCAGTAGAGGGTGACTCCCTGTCGGCACAGCCCTGGCTGTCAGAGTATGAGAAGTACTACGATCCGTTCAAGGAATATGCCTTTGAATCTCAGAACCCAATGGCTGACTTGGCTGATCCTCTGGCAGAAGGGAAGCGTCGGCTAGAGGAGGGCGACCTGCCTGGGGCTGTACTCTGCTTTGAGGCCGCCATCAAGAAAAACGACACAGACCCAGAAGCTTGGTTTCTCCTGGGAAGGACTCAAGCAGAGAACGAGCAGGACCCCATGGCCATCGTAGCACTCAAACGGTCTCTTACCCTGGACCCAAGCAATGCGACTGCGCTTATGGCACTTGCTGTCTCCTACACGAACGAGTCCTACCAGAACCAGGCCTGTGTCACCCTTAGAGAGTGGCTCCTCCGCAACTCGGAATACCAGCACCTTGTCTCTGCCAGGACTGCACCTTCGACTGCTATCAATGTCTCGACAGTCCTCTTCGAGTGAGTGCCTACTAATAAGAGAAAAAGTGTTCCAAGTCTATGACTCCTCTTCCTATTACAGTGAGATTCTTCAGGAAGTCAAGGACCTCTTCATTCAGGCAGCCAGAATCAATCCCCAGGGCCACATAGACCCAAACGTGCAATGTGGCCTTGGTGTTCTTTTTAATTTGTCTAACGAGTACGACAAGGCAGCCGACTGTTTTCGAGCAGCCTTGCAAGTGCGCCCAGATGTAAGTATCGTGTACCATCTCTTAGAGGAGAAGAGATTCTAAGTGTACTTTGTAAGACCAATGTACTTGTCGTTTCACAGGACTCGAGGCTATGGAATCGACTGGGTGCAACCTTGGCCAATGGACAATGCTCCGAGGAAGCTGTTCAGGCATACCACCGTGCACTGGAGCTGTCTCCTGGGTTCATTAGGGCCAGATACAATCTCGGAATAACCTGCATCAATTTAGGCGCCTATAAGTATGTACCACACTGTGAGTTTTTAACAGTTTGTAAAAGAGGAAACAATTTTTAGGGAAGCCGGTGAACATTTACTGGCAGCACTCAACCAGCAAGCGTCAGGTCATGGGATTCGAAGTGAAAATGCCCTCAGGTTGATGTCGGACACCATCTGGTCAACTTTAAGATTAATCGTTTCATTGATGCACAAATACCACTTAAACGAGGCGATAGAAAACAGGTAAAGACAACCAGGTGTTCTTCTCCCTTCTCGGTTAACTCCATTCTAAAGCACGCACGTTATTTCCAGGGACTTGGCGAAGCTAAATGAGGAGTTCGGCATGGATTAAACAGAGTAAGGCATTAAAGCGACATACTAATTAAATCTGTTAACCGGCAGAGTAGGAAAACAAATCATTGTTTTTGTACACTGGTGGAAATTTATATACGGTGATTATTTTCAATAAAGAACATTTACTTTCAGCTCGCAATAATTAAACCATTATTTCTGAATTTTTCGAAGTCTCGAAGTCGACCATGAACTAAACCCGAAATTACATGAGAGTGCTTATCCTGTATATTGCGTAGCAGATGAGCCAATGCCACCTACCGACCCTAACCGAAACTGGTTCATACTTAGCATGGACACGTAGAGTGATTTAATCGGAACTAAATCCATATTTTTTATTCCCCGACTTCAGCTAGATAGCACTTCGGAAACACCACATAGTTACTTACTTGGCCGCAAAAAAATTCAACTTGTATGTAGTTTACCATCTTCGCTTTATACTCTCATATATTGTACCAAACATAACCAAGCCGGTAAAGCTAGTGCGCGTGACTTGAACAACGTTTATTTATTAAATGAAAATGCTTATAGGAATGAAATGCGACAATTAGTTCCTTATCTTAAGCTTTTGTATTACCTGTTACGTTAATTTCTTCCCGTAAACAAGACTTGTGAGTAGAATTTAATTAAAAATATCTTTCGAGTACTACTTCTTAGATGTGTAATTTGTATTTATGCTTTCATTGCAGATAAACTATGGACGCTGATCTGTATGACGAGTTTGGAAATTATATCGGACCTGACTTAGCTTCCGAAAGTGAAGATGAAAATGAGTATGGAAATGTCGGAGACGATGTCGAAGATAGGGATCGGTCTGATGATGAAATGGAGGAGGATAAGGATGAATCGAGAGAACAGGATCAGGCATCGATGGCTGTTGTGCTACATGAAGACAAGCGTTATTATCCCAGTGCCCTGGAAGTTTATGGACCTGATGTATGGAATTTTTATGTGCTTTTTTTATTAGTATATATTAATTTAATGGTTTTTAACCTAAAGCAGATAGAAAGTATGGCTCTAATTTACATTAATTATTTACCCTAATATTTTTAGGTGGAAATTTTAGTACAAGAAGAAGATGCTCAACCACTTGATAAACCATTGATAGCACCCACTAGAAAACCAAAGTTTCAAATTAAACAACAACAGTTACCCGAAACAACGTACAGCATTGAGTTCCTTGCCGACATGATGGATGCTCCTCACCTGATACGCAATGTGGTACTATTAGGGCACTTACATCATGGAAAAACGACTCTCGTGGACTGTCTCGTAAGGCAGACGCATCCGTTCATGCACAGTATCACAGATGAAAAACCCTTAAGGTACAGAACTTGCAAATATCATCGTATCATCAACGGTATCAAGTTTTGGTAAAATGTCCCTTCCATAGGTACACCGATACCTTATTTACGGAACAGCAGCGAGGAGTATCGACGAAAGCTACACCCGTGACCCTCCTGTTACAAGACGTCAAGTCAAAATCCTATTTACTGAACATCTTCGACACCCCTGGCCATGTGAATTTCTCAGACGAGGCAACAGCAGCTATTCGCATATCGGACGGTGCAGTTCTAGTGGTCGATGCTGCTGAAGGGGTCATGCTGAACACGGAACGCTTATTAAAACACGCCCTACAGGAGAAACTAGCCTTGACGGTGTGCATCAACAAGATCGACAGACTAGTCCTCGAGCTGAAACTGCCACCACTGGATGCGTATTACAAGCTAAGGCATATCATCGAGGAGATAAACGGACTAACAGCCATGTACTCGGACCCAGAGAATTCCGCCTTCGTCTCGCCTGCTCTGGGCAACGTTTGTTTTGCGAGCTCCGAGTACAACGTCTGCTTTACTCTGAAATCATTCGCTGCGTTGTATGCGAAGAGCCATCCTTTGCTCAACGCGAGCGAGTTCGCCAAGCGACTTTGGGGCGACATTTACTTCAACTCGAAGACTCGTAAGTTCACGAAGAAGCCGCCGCACAACACCGCACAGCGCAGCTTCATAGAGTTTATCCTGGAGCCGCTGTACAAGATCTTCGCGCAGGTCGTCGGAGACGTGGACACGACTTTACCGGAAGGTAGGATATCCAGTAATTAATCCAAAAACAGCTTGGTTCATAAAAAAAAAATCTAAATTATTTATCAGTCCTGGACGAGTTGGGGATACGACTGACATCGGAGGAAATGAAGATGAACATAAGGCCACTCCTGCGGTTGGTGTGCACCAGGTTCCTCGGAGACATGTGTGGCCTGGTGGACATGTGCGTGGCCCACGTTCCCAGTCCCCAGGCACACGCTCCACTCAAGGTGCAGCACATTTACACCGGTCCTGTGGACTCTCCACTAGGTCGAGACATGGTGAACTGCGACCCTGACGTAAGTACATTTTCGGGATACAAGAGGCGAGAGCAATTAACGCGTTTCCTCATCGTAGGGGAGGCTGATGATACACAGCACGAAGATGTACCCCACGGAAGACTGCACGCTCTTCGTCGTCCTCGGCAGAATAATGTCCGGGACCCTGGAGGCAGGGCAAAAGGTACGCGTCCTGGGAGAGGCGTACTCCAGAGCGGACGAGGAGGACTCCCGGGTCCTGACCGTGGGCAGACTGTGGATAAGCGAGGCCAGGTACTCCATCGAGCTGAATCGCGTGTCGGCGGGCAACTGGGTCCTCATCGAAGGCATCGATCGACCCATCGTCAAGACCAGCACCATCACCGACCTGGTGGACTCGGACGACCTGCACATCTTCCGACCGCTCAAGTTCAACACGCAGAGCGTCGTCAAGATCGCGGTGGAGCCGGTCAATCCATCGGAGCTGCCGAAGATGTTGGACGGCCTGAGGAAGGTGAACAAGAGCTATCCGCTACTGGGCACTCGGGTCGAGGAGAGCGGCGAGCACGTCGTTCTCGGCACCGGTGAGCTGTACCTCGACTGCGCGATGCACGACCTTAGGCGGATGTACTCTGAGATCGACATCAAGGTAGCTGACCCCGTGGTCGCTTTCGCGGAGACGGTCGTAGAGACGAGCTCCCTCAAATGTTTCGCGGAGACGCCCAACAAGAGGAACAAGTTGACCATGATCGCGGAGCCCCTGGAGAGAGGCCTCGCGGAGGACATCGAGGCCGAGCACGTGCGCATCGGCTGGAATAAGTTAGTCTTGTCACTTCCTTGATTTAATCCACGACGTCGGGACTAATCGCTTTTCTCTCTAGGAAAAAACTGGGAGAGTTCTTCCAGACCAAATACGACTGGGATCTCCTGGCTGCAAGGAGCATCTGGGCCTTCGGACCCGACGCGACCGGTCCCAACATTCTCGTCGACGACACCCTGCCCTCCGAGGTGGACAAGAGCCTCCTCAACTGCGCCCGAGACGCCATCGTGCAAGGCTTTCAGTGGGGCACCCGGGAGGGCCCGCTCTGTGAAGAACCGATCCGCAACGTCAAGTTCAAGATCCTGGATGCGGTCATCGCCCAGGAACCTCTCCACCGCGGAGGTAAGAGCTTTTCTACGCGACCAGGATTCTATGGACTAATTCTTTTCCGACATAGGTGGACAGATCATCCCGACCGCCCGGAGAGTCGCGTACTCGGCCTTCCTGATGGCCACGCCTCGACTGATGGAGCCCTACCTCTTCGTCGAGGTCCAAGCACCCGCCGACTGTGTCTCGGCCGTGTACACGGTGCTGGCCAAGAGGCGAGGACACGTTACTCAGGACGCCCCGGTGCCTGGAAGCCCGCTTTACACCATCAAGGCCTTCATCCCGGCCATCGACAGCTTCGGCTTCGAGACCGATCTCAGAACGCACACCCAGGGCCAGGCATTCTGCCTCTCCGTGTTCCATCACTGGCAAATCGTACCTGGGGATCCCCTTGACAAGAGCATCACCGTCAGACCCCTGGAACCCCAGCCTGCCACCCACCTGGCCAGGGAATTCATGCTGAAAACGAGAAGACGCAAGGGTTTATCCGAAGATGTCTCTATAAACAAGTTCTTCGATGATCCCATGTTGCTCGAACTGGCTCGACAGGATGTCCTGCTCAATTATCCCCTGTAAATCCATTCCCCACTGTGTCAAGGAAAACCTCCTTCAGGACTTATCGTTCCAAATAACAAGGGATTGCATGAACAAAACGATACTTGTTTAAATTAATTGATAAACTATTGAGCCTACACACGAGTATTCAGTAAATTATTAGGTGGATCGTTCGTCATTGAACCTATTGAGACATGCATATAGGTGTCGGACTGAGTACAAACTTATTCACAATAGCTTAACGAACATTCGTCAACTTAGGTTTTATGGATACAGTGTAAATGGATACTTATAAAATTTAAATATAAAAATACGCCATATTAAATTGAACAGGGCCCCTAATTAATGTAAACAATTATATAGAAGTGCAGTCATTCCTTGGTATACAATATTACAATAACCAAGGAAACCATGCGGTCAACTATTTCTTACGAATAACTTTATCTAAGTGATCTCTTAGGGTTTGTAAATGACGTTTTGTCTCCTCGTCTAGACTCGGAATATGAGACAGTCTCAATTCGTGGCTCGTTGAAGCCAAAGAAATGATATTCCCATTTTGTAGCGCGACGTTGACGTTGGCAACTGAGTCTTGTATGTCAGTGGAAACCAATAATGGGCTGCCCTGCATGCTAATGGCTGTTTCTCCTTGATGTGGCCTTCTTAATATTTTCAGAGGCGTGTTAGGCATAATCTTTGGAGTAACGATTGCGTAGCCACTTGGCATTCTGCGCGGTGCCGGGGTTTTGAATGCAGCATTTTCTTTCTTCACTGCTGACGATGCACGTAAAGTTTTTGTGCGGCTCATTCCAGACCCATTTCTACTCCGGGCTCTGGATACACGAGTTGTCGCACTTTCGGTGTCATAACCATCATCAGACCCTGTGATGGTATGCTTAGTCTTTTTCGAAGTAACAGAAGGCTTTACTGGTGGAGTTATCCTATTCACTGTCGACGATGTTGCGCCCTCATTTTCTTTACCTTCTTCGTATGGTAAATTAAGGATATCGGCGAACGTTAACTGTCTAATTTCGGGTGGAATACGAGCCCAGAGCATGTTTATATGAGTTTCTACATTTTTTATCTCCATTTTACATTTGGCTTGCAACGTCTGAGTTTTCATTTGAGCCTGTCTTTCAAAATCTCTTATTATCAAGTCGCATTCATGTTGCGACTGGCGTTGCTTCAACCGTTGAGAATGTTTAGTTCGTGGCATGTCGTAAAACTAACTCCGATTTCGAACAAGACAACACCTTTATTTACCCAATCGTCTGCAATTGAAAACCACAATTATTAGAAAATTAATACAATATTAGAGTGTCCCACAAGTTTCTTCCTTTTTTTTTGTACGAAATGAATACACGGTGCGGAAGGAACTTATGGGACGCCCTAATACTAACATGCATGCTATATGACCTTTCACATACGTTACGCAGTCCGGAGTTTTTTTTCTCTTTATCAACGGGGCCCTCCTTTACGACAAATTTTAAAGTCCTTCCGCCCCCAAATAATCAACTTGATGGTAATTCAGTCATTCAAATAGGATGATAATATTTTAAATGCTTCACTTCTAAATTATGTCGTGTAGCCGTGATGGCGTTCAAAACCTTTCCTCAATTTACCGGTCTTTTTGGAAATGTCCACAAAATCTGAAAGTCTAGGAGGGACACCTTCGCAGAGAACGAGACGCTATCTTGGAGAAACGAATGCGATGCCATCTGTCGCGGCTTCATGCACTAATATGTATACATAAAGCTGGCACTACAAATCTGATTCGAACTAAACACATATTATTCAAAAATCAAAATGCCCAGCCCTAGAAGCGAGTATTTCGAGTTTCTGGACCCTCGCAGGAACTTGTCAGCTTTTGCGTTCTACATGCATGCTGGCTGTAAAAGCGAGCGAATGTCATCGAGGTTAGGCCGAGTACATTAATCAGAAGGCAAGGAAACAATGGGGAATCAAACAACTCGCGGTGACAAAGCATCCAGAAAGAAACCGAATTTAATTACGACTACTAAAGAAGCTAAAACTTCCAACTCGGCGGTAGAAGGGTCGCCAACGGATTCTGGTTATGTTGCTCAATCGCAGTTTCTTCCCATCAAAATGTTGACAGAAGTAAGTCTGATTTCCAGGTGCTGTTGTAGTTCTGATTTTTTAACGGAATTTTAACCAATTTAAATCCGATTTTATTTTAGATCCTTACGAACCGTGCACGTCAGGAGGAGTCCATAAATGGAGTGTCAAGTACGGTGTTCAAGCGATACCTCTTTCCTCGGTATCCTGATTTTTCTAATAAATTGTTTAAACACCTCCATCGATCCTCTGATGTAACGCCAAATTTCATGGATCCAAGCGAATTCCAGCATCAAGTGGAAAGATTCTTACAGATTATGAATGACCGAGTCATTCTGAATAATTATGTGAGGATCTTTTCAGTAAGGATGAAGGATTCAACAACTCCGGAAGATGTGAATGAGTTATTAATGACCTCATATCAGTTGGTTGTGGATACCGGTGGGATGCACGGCTGCTCAAGCATACAACGAATTGTCGATGCTGTTCTTGCATCCTGTGTCAGTAAGCTCTTTCATTTGTTATCCATTTTAAGGAACGATTATAAATTTAAATTTAATATTTATAGTTTTTAGCTGATTTGCAGCCATTTGAATGAGTTTAGGTTATATTGTAATTTTAGTTTGAAGGTGCAGCTAGTTTTCCCGTTAATCATGTATGCGATTGGTTATGGGAGCACTCTCCGCGAATAATTCAAGGACTTCATCGTTATGTTGTACACGTTTTGGCAACAGCATATAGAAGTGGAGATGAACTTTTATCCAGAGAGGTACCTTCTACTCCAGAAACGACTGTTTCCTTCGAGGAATTACTGGAATACAGGGAAGAACCATGGACATCTCTACCCATTAGCCATGTGTGGCTCTTATCAACAAGTTTACCTGCATGTTTTATACAGGTACAGTCAAAACCATTTTATATCTATGTAGATTAATATTTATAAACTGTATAACAATAAATTGAAAAAGTTCCGTCTTAGCCAATAACTGACATGTACAATCGCATTAATTTTACAGAATACCAATCCCCCATCGGAAGACGAACAACATCTAAGTAGTAAACTTTTACGAAACCTTTGCCCTCGTCATTGGGTATTATTGTATAACAGTGGACAGCATGGCTCAGGAGCGAACCGTTTCCTTCATCACGTCCTAGGATACAAGAGTCCTACGTTACTTTTTATAAGATGTAAAAGCTTGGACGAAAAAGAATCCTTACTATTTTGTATATGCTCTGCTGTTGAATGGCGAGAATCCCAGTTGTATTGGGGTGACGAAAGTTCCATGATCATTAAGATTCTACCGAACTACCAGATCCTGGAGAAAGGATCGAAACTATTGTACTTAAACACCAGTATCAGAGGCTATCCAAAAGGGTTGCGTGCTGGAACTGATTATCGCAATCCATGCGTTAGCATCGATGAGTCCTTTCACTTAGTTACCTTTCAAACCGTCCAGTATTCTTTGCTTGAGCTGGAAGTGTGGGGGTGTGGAGATAGTAAATCACGGTAATACATTTCATACATTTTTGAATAAATTAATCACACTCTGTATACATTTTTTTTTTTCAAGGGAACATCAATTGGATGTAAAAAAGTGGCAGGTAAAAGAAGCCGAGAAGCAGAGAATCGTGAAGATGAGTGCTTCCGACTGGTTGGATCATCCCGATCGATATCTGCTTGAGCTGGCTGGAAGGTCGTCATATACCACTAATAATAACTGACCTCAAGTGAAACTGCGTTACTTGTTGCCCACAAGTTTGTGCTGTATATATATACACATATGTACACGTGCCTAATTATTGTGATGTATTTTAAGTAGGGAGATTATACGCCTTTTGCGAAATGATTGCCGTTTTATTGACGATGTAATTTTTAGCGCTCGAAGTGTATATATATTCTGTATGGTATTCCCCTGTGCCGGAAATGTCTAACTCGGAATACAGGTTAGGTCGACCGGATGTGCACGTTGAAAGTGGAACTGATATATACAAGGACGGCTGCAAAATGCAGCATTGGCTTTCTTTCCTTCCTCCATGATTTTATTCTTTTTTCTGTGATAATCGGTAACTTGCTGTGACTCACCTGAATTTTTGACATTCGGTAGCTCTTTTGCCAGTTAAAGAGAAATCCGAAAATGAAGTTTCAAACTTATCCACAGCGATTACATTGTATCGTCACTACGTGCAAAGGGTTGAGTAGAAAGATGTAAGAAGAATGACATTAACGCAACGAGAGTAAGTTCACTACTTTCAATTCGGTCTAACCTAAAAATTACTAGCAGAGAGCTCATCTCTGTTACTAGTCACATGATTTCAATTGCATGCAATCACATGACTATAGCTGTCAAAAATGTACTAACACATGCAACCTTTGCCTGTTGAATATTCACACTCTTGTCAAGGCGGACGTCATTTACAGTTTATTCGTGTAACTGACAACTTCGATACTGTTCTGGAAAGAAGAAATGGATCTCAACGAGAAACGAGAGAGTTCTCCAACGGATAATCTCTACTTAGCTCTGATACAGTGCTTTGGAGTTATAATATGCGGGTATGAATTTCAAATTCTGTAAGCCACTTTAGGATTCAGTGTTTCATAACAAAATTTTTAATACGACATATAATATTTGCAGGTACATTGCCGGAAGGCTAGGAGTGGTAACAAAGGCAGGAGCAACCGGCCTAAACACGTTCGTCGGCACTTTTGCCCTACCATCCCTGATATTTCTCTCCCTGGCGAAACTGGACTTCTCGACGGTGAACTGGAAATTCTTACTTGCCGTTTTACTCTCGAAGAGCTTCGTATTCTTTGCGGTACTGATCATTTCGATGATAATCTCGAAGTCGTCGAAGCTGGGACGTTGCGCCCTGTTCTCGATATTCACTACGCAAAGCAACGACTTCGCCATCGGCTACCCCATGAGTAAGTTGAGCTAGTTACAGCCAATCGGGCTCGGAAAGGAAGGAAAATGGTAGCAGAGGCTTCTCGCATGAAACAAAGGCGAAGAAAAATACGCCTGGCTTGCGGTTAACCAGCATGCTCGGACGGTCTTCCAGTCGAAGCCCTGTATGCCGGCACCCATCCCGAGTATGCGGCTTACCTCTACCTGATGGCCCCGGTGTCGCTAGCCATTCTCAACCCCGTGGGCTTCGTCCTCCTTGAGGTGGAGAAGCGAAGAGCTGCTTCGTCGGGGCCACCCTTGTTACCGGCGATCGCCAAGGGTGTGGCCTTGAATCCAGTGCTAGCGATGACGGTCCTGGGGATCGTAGGAAACCTGGCACTGGGTCACGAGGTCCCACGAGCTCTCGAGGTGGTGCTCGACGTCTTCGGGAACGCCTTCTCGGCGAGCGCTCTCTTCCTCCTGGGCCTCATGATGGTCGGCAAGGTCCATACCTTACGAGGAGCTGCCCTACTCATCCCTGGGGTCCTGATCTCGGTGAAGCTACTGGTGCTTCCATTGACGATCCGCGAGACGGTGGTCCTGCTGGCCGCCGGAGCCAACGCCAACGAGACAGCCGACCTGGCCACCTACGGCTTCCTCTACGGCACCATACCCACCGCTCCGGCTCTCTTCGTTTTCAGCCTACGCTACGGCGTAGACGTGGACCTGCTCGCCTCTGCCATGGTCGCCTGCACCTTCCTCTCGGCTCCGCTCATGTTTGTCTCGGCAAAGCTCATCGACGCAGTCCGAGCTGGAGCCTCAGCGCAGACCTATGCCAAGGAACTGAGCAGCTTCCTGCTGGACACGAGCGCAGCCTCGGTCACGGCCTGCATCTGGCTGTTCATCTGCTTCGCAGCCAGGAGACGCACTGGTCCTACCCACAGGTGCACCCTGTGCATGCTCCTCTCGCAGCTCGTCGCCGCCGTAGGAGTTATCCTCTGGACCAAGCTCGACCCCTTGAGAATACCGGTCGGATCTGCCTTGTGGTGAGTATCGGCTCATAAACCGATGAATCACTGTGCGATGAGTTTAACCTTTAGCCAGAGAATACTCTGTCCAGGTATATCCAGTTCATCCTGATCACCGGAGGAACTTACGCCACAAGAGCATACACCGCCGCCCTGGCGGTGACTCTCCTCTTCCTGAGCTCCCGCTCGACCTCCTTCATCCGTAAAGTTCATACCTGGGTCCTGCCAACCTGTCTGGGGTAAGTCCTCTGAACCGACTTTCCTCCATCCGGGGAATATATTTCAACCTGAAAACCCTTGTTCCAGGGGACCCCTTCTTCTGGTTGGCCTAATGTGCATCCTACTTGACCCTGAGGAACTCGTCGACGTGACCCGGAAAAATCCTAATTTCCAGCTAGGCAAAATCGAGGCTGCCGTCAGCGTGCTCTTCCTTATATTTTGTCTCCTGGGTGAGTCTCGTCGATGCTCCTCGTGGTCTACTTCGAGGACAGGATCTCTCTCATTTTCGTATTCTCGCAGTCACCCTCGGATGCCTGATCCTGCAGCAGAGGTACGAGCGTCGACACCACCCGGTTATGGAGGATGATCTCGCGAGCCCTGTGACCGACTCGGAGACGACCAGGAGCGTCGTCGACGTTGAGGACATTGTCCCTACGAGTTCGAACCTCACCGTGTAAGCCTGAGATTTCTTCTCTAGAGCCACCGCGTAGCAATCAACGTGTTAACCCATCCTCGGTTTCAGGGACGACTGCAGCGTCAACGGGTGTCGCACTACGTGCTGCTCGAACGTGGACCGCGGAGACTGCGAAGAAGCGTCGCTGATCACCGGAGAAAATGAAATCCTCGAAGCTCAGGACCCCCAAACTCGCCGCCACGTGGTGCTCCTCATCCTGCTCCTCTGCTCCATGTTCATAGTAAGATACGGCACTTCAGGGTGTCCATCCAAGTCGAGGTGGCAACTCGATTCGTCCTTTCGTTTCAGGGACTGTCCCTATCCATCAACACCCTGGTCACGGAGCAGATGACGGGAATCTACGCGGAGCTGTCCTTCCTGGACGCGGCGTTGAATTTCGGCCAACCACTGATAGTCTTCGCCATTTTCGGCCTGGACCCTGGCTTCCTGAACCTGCTCCGATGGCTGCACCAACTCGTGCAGACCTGGACGAAGGGTAAGCTGTCTTCGAGCTTCTAAAACATGCGTTCTTTGTCGAAGATGTCCAATCCATTTATGAACTATCTTCAACGTTCCCAGCGAGGGGGCTGGACCTACCGGACGAGGACTCCCTCAGCATTGAAGTGAAGACCGTTCGGGACGAGTTCAATCGTTGTCATCTGGCTCAATGTCACGCGCAAATTGCCTTCTGCCGCAGGCGATTGCTCAGGATCTACCGGGGAGTCTTTGCTGGCAAAGACCTGGTGGATTGGCTGTTGGAAGCAGGATTAAGCAAGGATCGGGAGGAAGCCGTTCATTATGGACAGTGTCTTCTGAACGGGAGGGTCCTGCGCCATATCGACGGGACGCAGCACTTCCAGGACAAGAATCTGCTGTACACATTCGAAGCCTAATCCCTTGTCTTGTAGAGCTCTAAATGGAGTACCTGGCTTGGAAACGCTACAAGTACTTTGGCGAATGCGGCATCCGTAATTCCCCGCTCGCCATGAGTCGAGATTGTGCACCCTGAAATATTTTGGGCAATATTTTAAAAGGGCAGACCCACATTTGTGATTTGACTTCGGCGCGGAAATGTTGAGCCACGTTTTACCGAAGACTCTGTTCAATCTAGTCTGAATTTAGACGTATCAATCACCGAGGACCATTACTCGTTAAGAAAGAGGGATTATTTTCGTTGTATTGTCTCTCGTGACGCTCCTTTTTTTGCGTGGAATAATGTTACCGCGATTACCGTCGCGATCGACGGTATCTGCGTTAGGTATTTTAAATGAGTTTGCATAACTCAACAGAAGCGAGTATTTTATGTAAAAGATATCCGATGTATATTTTTCCCCAACAAGCAAGATGTGTGTAACAAAAAAAAAAACGTTGCATTTTCCGTCCTTCCAAGTAACCGAACGATTGATTTGAGGAGTTGAGGAAAGCGATTTGCAAAAGCCGCCACTTTAAATACATTCCACCCTCGGGTAGCAAGTGGTGGTTAAAAGACGATTTTCATTGAACGCGGGCCAATAGGGAGTAAGATCTAACGGAAACGGCCAATCAGAGCGCAGCTCCTTGCGACCGGCTTTTTCAAATCGTAACTCTAGCGCGTCTTTGTAATTGAAAAGAATACACTATTTCATAGCAAAATACATAGATAATTAATTCATCACAAGTTATGTCGAAGATGTAGTACTGAAATAATAAAAGAAATTGCGGTAAATATCGTAAATTCCGCCAAGAAGATTTTGGTGAAGCACCGAGTGCGGGCGGCAGCCATTTTGGATTCTTCGAGTTGAAGATGGCTCCACCGGTCCCCGCAGCGCGCTACTTATTCATCTATTCTTTTGGCGAAAACTGATCAGTCGTGTTTTATTTTATGAGCGGAGCTCGCTTAAAATTCACGGAAGATTTTTCTGCGTCGATCGGTGCCCGGCACACGCTCAAGTATCGCAGAACTCGGCTCGACGAATGACGGCCTAGCGGCTCCTCGGCACGGCGATCCGGAGGGAACGCCATTGTGAGCCATACGTCTGTGCGGCACTGTAAGTATCACCGTTCATTTTCACGTACCTCGCGACTCCCCGGGAAATTTCGTTCCGTTCTCACGCCCGAGCGCGGCCGACCCGAAGGGATTCAATTTCCAAGAGCTTCGTACGAGGACGCAACCCGGCAGAGCCGCGAGAAACGATTCTCGACCTGGGTGAATCTCTCGAGTCGTCGGCGGTCGCTACGGCGCCATTAAACGAGGTGAAAACTCGAAATCCTCGTGGCGAGGGCCGCGTCAGTTCTTTCTTTTACGCGATTCTCACCGGCTATTTCATCCAACGCTCACGGCATAGTTAGAATCCAGGATATCCGACTGTGCTCCAGTTTCGCAGCGTTTCCTGGGGCTCCGCGTAGCGAAGTTTATCACCTGGCGTGAATCAATCGTTTCGAGTGAGTCGCGAGATCCCTCGTTTAGGCTCTTTATGCAGTTTCACTTAGTTGGTTTTGTTCGCAAAATTTTTAAGAGATAGAAAGGAGGGTGAATTTAGTGTTAACGTAGTTTGGTTCTTTGCAGAATTTTATTGCGGACTCACAGACTACGAGACCCCGGCTCAACCATGACGCAGGAACCGGAGATGCCCACGTTCAAGTGCGTTCTCGTTGGAGATGGTGGCACTGGCAAGACTACATTCGTCAAACGTCACTTGACCGGTGAATTCGAAAAGAAGTATGTTGCCACTCTGGGAGTCGAAGTACATCCCCTCATCTTCCATACCAACCGAGGGCCCATTCGATTCAACGTGTGGGACACTGCTGGTCAGGAGAAATTCGGTGGTCTACGAGATGGCTATTACATTCAGGGACAGTGCGCTGTCATCATGTTCGATGTTACGTCGCGTGTGACGTACAAGAACGTACCCAACTGGCACAGGGATCTCGTCAGGGTTTGCGAAAATATACCCATTGTACTCTGTGGGAACAAGGTCGATATCAAGGACAGGAAAGTTAAGGCGAAGAGCATCGTCTTTCACAGGAAGAAGAACCTTCAGGTATGCATTCGTGATGGAAAATTTAGCCTGCCATTTGTAAAGCATCTCGTTGCATCGGATTTAAATTGATGATTCGGTTATTAACATATATACTCGTGAAGACAAAACACTGTCCCTCTAATCTGAATTAAAATTGCACAACTCTATCTTCTTATAGAGTCATGACTTTGATAATAATTTTCATATCCTCGTTACAGTACTACGACATCAGTGCAAAAAGTAACTACAACTTCGAAAAGCCATTCTTGTGGCTGGCACGCAAACTTATTGGAGACCCGAATCTGGAGTTCGTGGCAATGCCAGCCCTTCTACCGCCAGAGGTATCCATGGACCCTCAGTGGCAACAACAAATCGAGAAGGACCTTAAGGAAGCCCAGGAAACGGCGTTGCCAGAAGATGACGAGGATCTCTAGTTCATTCGTTGCAAATACAGGCCATACCAAGGCGAGGCCTATGCGAGTGCTCCACGTCTGCTACGTGTTTGCACCTTCAACGGTCGAAGATTCTCCCCCTGACGAAAGTGGTATACTCGCGCAAGTTCCTTGGTCCGATCGCCGAAAGTTCTGTGCGACTCTATATACTAAATATTTGCCTTGAAGTCAAAATGAAGAAATATTGAAACCTTGAACCGGTCGATCTCGGAGTCGACAAAGGTTCTCAGTATCCGAAAGCGCTTGCGATGCTCGCAAAGAAGGTTAAAACTGTCAAAGAATTTTGTCCCTTGAGTAACGGTAGTTTGGATTTTGTAAGAAATAAAACACGTTAGAGTCTTCGACCGTCTTCAAGGAATCGCACTGAACCGATAGGTAAATTTCTTTTTGCATCATCCAACTGTTAATGTTAAAGCTGATTTGTGGGAGATCCGCTACTGCCAGTTTTTTCATGTAAATTGTATGCAAACGCGATATTGCAAATCGACGAAAAACTGGCTACGTTTGGAAGTTGGTAAATTTTTCTCGATTCGCAGACGGGAGTAGCGTCCACTATTGCAGCAGGTGTAAATGTAAATTCAACTTTGTTCGTGTTTGAGGATGAATGTCTGTTCTGCAGGAAGCAGATTGTATCGCTGATTGAATTTAATAAAACAAAAATAATAAGAGCCTCCGTTCTCTTCAAGGGTGACTTAAAGGTTTGTCATAATTTTAAATTCTGCTTACAAAGGCACGTTTTACTATCCATGTATTTCATAATTCCCTTTAAAGTTACGAAAAGCGACAAACGTAGAGGAAATCATTCGTGCAGATACGTGAGTGGTTAAAGGTAACGACATTTTTATTACAAGAGTTAATCTACGATAAGAAGTGGGTTGTAATCTTAATTCTTAAGAACACCAGCATGAGTGTGACTATACTAATGAAGTAAAGTAGGAAATGCAAGTTGTCACTGTAAAGTTCGATAATTATAACAATCACTGGTAACAAACTTGAAGATGTCGAGGAATAGAAATCTGATTTCAGTGATCAAAAGCCACCAGAACAACCAGAATATCTTTGCTTTCCCATAGTACAAGTCATCTTTGACGTTCTGCAGATGGTTCCTAATTTCGAAAGGAATATTAAACGGGCTTCATAAATTTAGTTCTGTTGCACTGCCTCTTTCAACTTCTTCTTGCCCTCCAACAAACTGACTCTCTCCTCTTTCGAGAGCCTTGGATGGACATTTGTAATTACTCCAGTACCCAGGGTACAATTTCCGTCTCTCAATGTGAACCGCTGTCCCTTCTCACAAACCATCGGCTTAAAAAGCTTCAAATTCAACCTATGATAAAATTATTTTTTTCAGAAAAAAGGATAGGCAGAAGTGGGTTTTAAAACAATCATTCTGCTAAGTTAGGATCAATTATTCTGTAGACTTACTTGCAGTCTTCTCCAGGCATGACCAGATCCCTATCGACAATGCAAACAGACGCAGGACAATCCCATGTTTTACTGTACATCTGCAACTGTATGTAATTCGAAAAAGGCTTTTTCCTGCCACCTTCCTCGGCACTGAGTACGTAGGTCTGAGCATCAACGTGATCATAGGCCTTGACACTTCCAGGTTTGCACATGATCATACCTCGCCTGATGTCGTCTCGTTTCAGCCCTCGAACCAAGGCTCCGAGTTGGTCACCAGCCTGTGCTTCTTCCAAAACTTGGTGGAACATTTCAACACCAGTGACAGTGCTCTTAAACTGTTTATTAAATCCTATGAATTCGCAGTCGGTACCCTTCTTCAAAGTACCACGCTCTAACTTTCCAGTGACAACGGTTCCTCGGCCAGGGATTGAGTACACGCTCTCAACTGGCAGTAAAAAAGGCTTATCCAGATCTCGAACAGGAGTTGGAATATACTTGTCAACAGCATCCAAGAGCTCGAAAACGGCTTTACTGCCAATTTCAGGGTCTTTACCCTGCAGTGCGCTCAGTGCACTGCCTTTTACGACAGGGATGTTTTCTGCATCAAATCCCATTTCACCCAATAGTTCTTTTATTTCCATCTCTACCAATTCTACCATTTCAGTATCAGCTGCATCAATCTTAACACAAAATTTAATTTATATATCAGAGAATGATTATCCTCTCAAAATACATGAAGAACATGAAAAAAGGTTACATAATACAAGGGTTAACTTGTACCAAACATGCATACCTTGTTGATAAAGACTACAATGTGCTCAACTCCAATTTGTTTTGCGAGCAACAAATGCTCCCTAGTTTGTGGCATGCTCCCATCGGTAGCAGCAACTACCAAAATAGCTCCATCCATAGCTGATGTTCCCGTAATCATATTTTTAATATAATCTGCATGACCAGGGCAATCTACGTGACCATAATGACGACTTTCCGTCTGATATTCTATATGTGCAACATTGATGGTAATCCCTCTAGCTTTCTCCTCGGGTGCATTGTCAATTTCGCTGTAACCTTTTGCTGTTGCAAGCTTCTTGTCGGCAAGAACTACATAGTACAATAATTAGGAAATTACTGTTCTGTGTATAAATTCGAAACACTTGTCTGTGTTCAATCTCGCTAAAGTTATTAAAAGGCTAACCTTTTGTAATTGCAGCAGTGAGTGTCGTTTTTCCATGATCTACGTGACCGATAGTCCCTATGTTACAATGAGGTTTATCTCGAGAGAATATTTTTTTCTCTGCATAGAATCGTTGGGGGGTCACAGAAGGCAAAAAGAGCCGATAGTTAAGATGACTTTGCCTCTGCGAAAAAACCACAAGGAATGGTTCTTTAATGAATTACTGTTAAGGATTGTGTTCATACGAGCAAGTGGAACGAAAAATGGCTAATCTTGAATCCTAACTATGAAACATAGAGATTAATCCTAGCCTTATACAAGACACTTACTGATTTGGCAAGCTGCCTGCCAAAAATGATCTGCTTAACAGCATGCCGCAGAGCTGAAACATCCGTAAATCATCATGAAATGATAAATGTAAAATACACGCCTTGAGACTTCCCGAGATTTCGGCGAAACTAAAGTCTTCTGATGCGCGTTTCCCGGAGTGTCAAGAGTACGTAAACGACAAATCGTTACAGGATGAATAATGGAAAAACATCGAGACATGCAGGTAACGAATTACTTCCTGTTTTATTCCTTACCGGGGCTGAAAATCGCTCGAGCTGAGACCAACGCCATGACTTTACCAAGAAACTTTGGTTAGCCCTGCAGTTCTCGAAAAGACCGGTCGCCGTGCCACTTTTCCGGGGTTATTCAAATCGCGATTCTTGAACTCTTTAATAGAAACGATTAAAAATACTACAGAGAAGATGAAAATACATGAAAACCGCGACGATCTAACAAAAAACTCCTTATATTTCAGTAACACTCAACTGAATTAAGTCGGTTTATTTTTATATTACAATAAACTTGATTTTATGAGAGAGTATCACCTTTGCAATTCCCGGGCACCGCAAAATTGTCCAGTTCAGCCTGTCGACCAATCAGAGCGCAGGGTTCACTAGTGACGACCAATCAGGTGGCAGGAGTGCTCAGCGACGAATAGCGAAGCGCGGACGTCAAGCGTGACTCGGGGGGAGCATCTCACGTATTCGAGGTTAGGTTAGTCCACCCTGAGGGAGTCTCGCGATAGATCGCGCGGCGGCGCGCAACGCGATGCAAACGACAAGGAGATCGGCCGGTGAAAGTGCCAAGGTTGGAATTCCGTTGAAAAGGCTACGATTTCCTCGCTCCCGTTTCTTGGAGGTAAAATAAATTCTCGCGGATTCCCTGGGCAGAGCCAAGGGCTGTCGGGCGGGCGCCTCGCAAGCGTCTGGCGAGCGAGTCGGTCGCATGGACTCTGGAGTGGGGAAGTGTCACTTGGCTGCATTTTTAGGACTGTCGCGGATTCACGGCGCTTCGCTGCGATGCACTCGACGGATCCTCCGCGTCTTTTTAAGGAAGTCAAGGATTTCCTGCATTCCGGAGCTCCGTAAGGAGCTCGAACTCAGCCCTAGGATGGACAGGAGTTGATCTGCAGTGGTTCGTCAGCTCATTGGGAAATCTCTGGTAGGTTGGCTCCCTATAGTGGAAGACTAACGACTTGCTACTATTTATGTCTGACTTGCTAGACAGAAAACGATGTTCCACTTTATTTATGTCTAGGTACTATTTCGACGAAGGCTTGCTGGATGGTAAAATGTTTGACATGGGTACCTAAAAGCTCATATCCTTTTAGTTTCTGAAATACTATGTATCATTTAATCGTTCTTCTTAATTCTGTGTGGTTTGCATTAATCGATTGTGATTAATATTGATGACACTTGATTGTAAGACCTTGAGCGATTATCTTAAACGTGGTCGTTACTTATTTTTTTTTATATTGAGTAACTTCTAACATGGGTCGGTACCAATGACAGCGTAGCTGGCAGAGAGGCATTATTTCATTTCCTGTCTACAGGGGGATCAGTGGTAAACACTCCGTTTATATCTTCCCTGTTACCATGAGTGATGAGATGAATTGTGAGGAATCTTGGGATTAGTTTGTACCTTCCCAGCTGAGATGTCGTTGTCAGAGCATGATTAAAAAGAAACCATAATTATTTACTGATTAACAGTTGATTTTTTAATTGTTAAATAATTACAGACATTCGATACTCGAAGATGGTGGAAGAAGAGGGAACCGAGTGGTTGCAAGAGCTCCTGCATGATGTGCAGCTCTCACAGTTCTTTACTCGAATACGCGATGATTTACAAGTCACAAGGTTACATCACTTCGACTATGTGCAGTCCGAAGATCTTGAGAAGATTGGATTGGGAAAGCCGGGTATCAGGCGACTCATGGATGCAGTCAAGAAAAAGAGAGCCGCCCAACGAAAGAAGAGCCTGATCACTCGGATCAGGCCCGGTAGCAGTACAAAGAACGTTAAAAGATCCTCGCAGCCCATTGAGACGTCTTCCGTGCTAACTTGTTTAATTCAAGATAAAGATGTTACCCTTTCCGTTAAATTGGGAGATGGTAGTTTCGGCGTCGTAAAACGCGGAGAATGGACATCTCCTTCCGGCAGAGTTTTACCCGTAGCGGTAAAAGTTTTAAAGGCTGATGCTCTGACTCAGCCAAGCGTTATAGAAGATTTTGTTGCCGAGGTACAGGCAATGCATACCTTAGACCATCATAATCTTATCAGGTGCACTATTAATTTTAACAGGAATATGAACATCATTGAGTTCTTTCTGTTATTATTACTCCTTAATTATTTTTACAGATTATATGGTGTCGTGTTGGCACAACCGATGATGATGGTGACCGAACTAGCTCCATTGGGGGCTCTTTTAGATTATCTCCGGAAACAGTGTGGCCACATCTCCGTTCTCACTCTCTGCAACTATGCATTGCAAGTAGCTACGGGGATGGCTTACTTGGAGGCAAAGCGTTTCCTTCACCGAGATCTGGCTTGCAGGAACGTTCTTCTGAGTTCCGTAGACAAAATCAAGATTGGGGATTTTGGGCTGATGAGAGCTCTACCCCATCAGGAAGACTGTTACGTTATGACTGAACACAAGAAGGTACCCTTCCCTTGGTGCGCCCCGGAGTCCTTGAAGGCTCGACAGTTTAGTCATGCTTCCGATGTCTGGATGTTCGGAGTGACTCTGTGGGAGATGCTGACATTTGGAGAGGAGCCTTGGGTCGGACTCAATGGTTCAGAGATTCTGCGAAAAATCGACAGGGAAGGAGAGAGATTGTACGAACCTGAAGCCAGTCCTCCTCCGATGTACCAGTTGATGCTGCGGTGCTGGTCCAGAGATCCCCTCGAGAGACCCACCTTCGCCTGTCTGAAGGATTCTCTCACCGGAGCAGTGCCTTCGGTGATGAAGGCTCTGAATCGTTTCGAAGAGCCAGACAAAATGGCAATCGAGCAGGGTGATCAAATAGTCATTATCGACGGTCGACCAGAGAATTACTGGTGGAAGGGCCAAAACCAGCGAACCTTCCAAGTATCTCTGTTCCCCCGATGCCTGGTGGATCCGATGAGAAGGAAGCAACCTGAAGACATCAGCAAGCCCCTGGAGAACTCGTTCATCCACACAGGACACGGTGCTCCCTTCGGAAAGAGCTGGGGCAGTCCGATCTACATAGACGACGTGTACTTGCGAAACCCAATGGAACCACCCGACGTGGTTGGGGTAGGTCCAGCTACGGAACTGCAGAAGAAGAAGTTCCAGTACGGTACTCCAAGGTCCAGGAAGCAATTCAACTACACCAAGTTGCAGAACGACCTCAGAGGAAGTCCCGTTAAGACACCGAATGCAGCTCCTTCAGGAGCCGAAGGAAGTCTGATAGATCTGTCTCCAGAGGAGTTGGCCTCTGCAGCGACTGCAGCCAGTCAGGCAGACACAGCCTGTCGGAGAGTGGTCAACATCCTGGACGAGCCCATCGACGCGCTGGAGGCGACTCCCCAGGACGAGTGGCAGGAGAACGACCCAAGGACGTACGCCAACCTCCCAGGACACGACCCCTCGCAGCCGGACCCCTTCGACACGTCTCGCGTTTTCGCGAATACTCCACACTCCAGGTATTACAGCCACGTGACGCCCGACCTGTCGAGCAGGTACTACAAGACGCAGACATACGGCAACGTCCAGGGCGAGGAACCTCCGAAAGAGCCGCAGGCAGAGGCCGACCGGTACTCGGTGAACCTGCAGAAGGACATCGGGAGCGAGAACGCGAACTTGAACGTCGAGGCAGGGGACGTGGGCGGCAATGAGGACCATTATAGCGAGATAGACAAGGTGAGCCCGACGCCCTCGACCTGGCCCGACGACGTGCCGAGCGAAGCTCAGACCTACGCCAACGTGTCCCGAGGACTCCCATTGGTCCCAGGACCGCCGCCTCCGGTTCCATTGGTGGGTCCGAATGAGAGCCCTCCGAAGCCCAAGTCGAACCACGACCTAGCGCAGAGTCTCGGCGAGCTGCACGTGGACACCGGGCCCCAGGCCTCGCCGAAGAGACTCGACCCCGCATTCCTGGCCGAGCTGGAGAAGCACCTGGGAGAGAAAGAGGCGAACAAGAATACGAATGCCAGCCAGACGCAGCCCGGACCATCGGGGAGCACCCAGTACGCTGCGGTGAACAAACTCCAGGAAAGCTGCGCCATACCCATACTGAGACCGCCGCCTCAGTCGGCGAAGCCAAAGTCTCCTCTAGCTGACCAACGCGGCACATGCGGTCTGCCCAGCAAGGTGCAGAACTCCTGGCGGCCGAAGAGCACCAACGTCCAGAGGCCCCAGTCGAGGACCTCTCAGCAGATGGTGGAGACCGCGACCGACGCCATCGTCGGCCAGATCTGGCAGCAGACCCACGGCCAGGTGCCCTCCCAGCAGAGCGTCTTCCAGAACCCGGCTCAGGGACCTGGCGCACTGCAGTGTGCCGGCTCGAACCTACTCAGGATAGCCCCTAGCAACCTGCAGGCCCCCAGCAATCTGGTGCCTCAGCCTGTCCCAGCCAGTACTCCTTACGTCTCCTCCGGGAGTCAGAACGGGTTCCAACGAGCCAGTTTCACCCTTCCAAGCCTGGGACAGGGTGCCAACGCGAACTTGACTCAAGTACAAAACGACCTGCAGCACTCGCAGGGGAGCATTCGAGGTCTGCAGCGACCCAACTCGGTTCCAGGATCCACGCTCTCGGAGCAGGTGTACGCGGAGCTCAGGCAGACCGTGCCCAACTTGGAACAACTGTCCCAGAGCGAGTTCAACACCTTGTATAACAAGACCGTGCAGCAGAACATCCTGAGGAACTATCACGCGGTGGGTCCCTCGATGGGTGGAGGTGCCAGCTCGCACCTCGTTCAGGGTCTCCAGACTCAGCGCGGGTCGCAGACCCTACCGAGGACACATCCTCTTCAGGATCACCCCTGCGACTTCAGTCCCAGCTTGAAGCAGCCCCCGGTGTATAATCCTCCACCGGCTTGGAGTCCTCTCAAGCCCACGCAGAATGGCCTGGGGAAGGCGAACGCTCCTGCAGGAGCTACTCCATCTGGGGCTCAGGGTCTGACGCTGTTCCCGGCGACGAGGCCCCAGACCTCGGTTCGGGGGATGCTCCCTCAGACCGGCGAGACAACTGTAGACACTAGACTGGCACCCGCCACTAATGCATATCCCTCTGGGATTAGCCCTCCACTCTCAGGAGCCTCTCAGCAGCTCGTCATGTCGCTCAACGACGAATTCAGGGCCAGCAAGGTGATGAAGGTGCAGAAGGAGGCGGCCGACGCCTCCCAACAGGAGATCCTCGCCGCTCTTCAGGCCACCGGCTGGGATGCTAGCCAGGCTGCTAGGCAGATCATCAAGGACAGGCAGGCGAAGATCGACTCTCTCGTCAGGTACGACTCCTCAGGGTACTCGAGATATCGGGTTAAGGTGCCTGGATATTTATGAGGCCTTCTCTTCAGGTTGGGACTGGCTGATAGGATCCAGTGCGAGAGGACCCTCGAGCAGACCGAGTACGACGTGGACATGGCAGCCTCTCTACTCCTGGACCGCGTTAGATGAGGACGACGAGCCCCAGGCTTTGTCGACGATGCTGAGGAGTCGCCTTAGCTTACTCGTAGACCTTAAGGTTCGACATCCAGCCCAATGTTTCCCTTGGAGATCGCGCTCCGGCCATCGCAGGGTAATGACGACGTCGATTAACCAAAAATTGTGGAGATCTTTGGGACCGCCCGGAGGACTTTCGTCCCTCGTCTTTCTCATTTAATTTTTAATTCATTTTTTTTTTGTTCGCTCGTTTTCTTAATCGTTAGAATAGTAGCTACTTATTTATCGGCCACCTGAACTGCGGCGAAAGAACGAATCGCGGGTGATGCCCGATGATGGTCAGTGATACCGTGGATCTTTTGGACTACCCGGAGCCCAAGAAGAGGCACGCGAACCCAGGTCGACCTTGGTTGATTGATACAAGCTTCGCTCGTCGGACACTGGCGAGTGGGACGTTTATTCTTATCCCGATATCTAGTGTATTATTGTATTTTTTTTTTGGCCCAGAGTTGTTGGGAGGATAGCGAAGAACAAACGCGTGACGAACAAATTTTAGAAGTAGCTTCAAAACGTAGTCATTAAGTAGCTCGAGTTTTTGGGAGGAGCGCCGAGGCCGGAACGAGGAGTTCCTCTCCAGGGTCGAAGAGGGGAAGAAACGCTCTCCAGGAACGGATCGCTCGTCGGTCGACCCTTCGGAGGATTTTTCAACCTCGGATGGCCTCGGCGCGGCGGATAAAATATTTTCAAATCCGATACTGTGATATACGCTGCTAAAGGCCCGGGGCATCGTTGCCGAAGAAAGGTGTAATCTTCTTCTTCTCCCTTCTCTCTTGCGCAGGAAAATCTTAGGATAATGTTGCGATCGTGTACATAAAGTTAGGGCAATTATTTTCCGTCGTAACCAGACGTAACGAATACTCCGATGCATAACGCCGCATAATAAGGAACTTGTTCCTCGTTCTCTCTCTCTATTTTTTTTTTTTTCTTTTTTCTCCATGTCGTCCTTTCCGATCCAAGCGCGACGACTTTTTCTCGGTCTTGTACGGCAGTCGAGATTTTTATTCAGGACGTCGTACGCTCGCGTCTAGGCGCTGCACAATGTTCACGAAGGTACCTAAACTTGGATTAAACCGAGCCTCCGATAACTTTCGGTTTTGTCTTAACGATCGCCCGTCTTTAGCAAGAATTATTCCACGCGAGTGTCGCGTCGTTTAGTGTCGTAAATCGTGTATTGATGATGTCCTCTCTTTCTCCCTCGCCGTTTGCGAGAAGAGAGTTGAAAAACATTGTTGAATGTTAACGAGTAAACGCTGTATAGAGTAAGCAAAAATACAAGAGCGTTCCGAATCAATCGGCGTTCCCTCTATTTTTATGGAGCCGTTTAGCGGTAACTGAAGCAGGCGTTAATTATAAAAAAAAAAAAAAAAATAGGAAAATAGAGGCAGATTTCCGTTCTCCCACACGAGAGATCGTCACGGTGATCCGCGACGAGGCGGACGCCTTTCCTCGAGGTGGGGCGAGGAACTCTTCAGGTTTCTCCGAGCGGGAGAGTGTCAGAACCGCGCGAGGCCTCGCCAGGCTCGGAAGAAAAATCCCGCCGTTCTATGTAAAAATAACGCCACAACGAGGAAGAACCCGAAGAGGGTATGCCGCGTGGAGTGTAACGTCGCTTTTCGTAATTCAATAATTCGAACGGGCGAGACGTAGGATTTCATATCCTCTGCGGTGATCGTAAAGGTCTTGGAGAACCTGAAGAGAGCGAAAAAAACATGCCGGCCGCCTCGTCGATTTACTGGGACTCCGTAGACTCGCAGCGATCCTCCGGAAGCTCCGCGGATGCTTCCGGAAGCGGTAGACATTACGTCGACCCTTGGGACCTGGAGAACTACGCGTACCTGAGGAGACACAGCGTCGCGACGCCCGTTCAATCGACGCCGGTCGCGCCTCGACATCGACATCGACCCTCGTTAAGCGCGAGAACAGAGTCCGAGTACAGGTGAGGACCTACGATACCGCTCATGTATTTTCAAACACTAGGTGGAGTTTCTAGATCCATTCCTAATGATTAAATTACTAGATTAATGTAAATTAGGAAAATTTGTCAGCACCGCTTGTACGATCTAGAGGCCCTGCTCCAAGATATCGGATCGTTTCTTATCTTGACCGTGAAAAATATACGAGCGGTGGGGTAGGTCACGAACCAGGGGTCGAAGAGGCGAGGAAGGGGTTAAGGCGAATCGTGCACTTCCAGCTTCCTGCAGTCGAAGGCCAGGGAGCCGGGGTACAACGCACCTGCGACTGTCGAGGAGATTCATCTGGGAGTCTCCAGACAGAGCGCGCATTATTGCTATCAGCCTATCTACGAGGACGACTCGCCGAATTACGCGACCTCGCCTCCTCTCTATGCGCCTCTCTTCGCCGGTAAGTGCACTCGACGTGAATGAACAACGCGGTGAATGAGATGCACGCCTTGACACCGGGGAAATCGGGTCCTCCCACGCTCGAAGACAGGTGTTCTCGGGCGCTCTTAATTAATTAGGACTTTCGGCGAGGCGTTCGCGACGAGGTCCGACCTCGAGGTGGACTCGCTGAGGAGCGGGACGTACGTCGCGGCCAAATTACGCAAAGCCGACGCACCACGTACCTAGTCGTGTGGCGGGAATAATAAATCTCGTGGGAGAGGTTCGCGAGGTAAAGATCCCGCGCAGTTGGGAGCGATCGTTCCTACCATTGTTGTCGATGGAGGGACGAATTTTCAGCCCGGGTCCCGGGGCCTTGAATGAAACCTAGAGCTGGTTGCGACGATTGATATCTTAGAATAATTCAAGCGATGCTCATTTCTTGCCCAGAAGAATTCTTTCATCGGGATTTCGAGCGCGGCCGAATCGAGGTCGGCGTTTCCTCGCCGTGGGCCATCGTCTCGATGGCTTCGATTTTATTCACGATTTGTGAGCGACGTTAAGTATGATCGATACGCAGATAATCCCGCGTGGAGATCGACGACCGGTGGCGGAGCCAGGTGCCCGATTTCCTCCCGTTAGAAAGCGCCGTCCACTCGACAGGTGTCGGCGGCTGTTGGCGACGTCGTCGATGGCTCAGGTTTCGAGACCTCCTCGAGGTCTCCGGTCTCCTCTTTCACCGAATCGAAATTGCCGCAGATTTCTCCGGGTCTTTCTCGGCCGACCTCTCGGAGGGGTGGATTTCCCGAAGTAGAAGTCCAGAGGGAAATTTTCCTCCACTTCCTAGCTTAACTTTTCCGGTCCAATTGCAACGGTCGACTTGGGTCTCTCTTAATTTTTATAAAGCGTTTCATTGCCTTCACTCGCGCTTTTCCTCGATTTTATGCTCGCCTACGAGCACAGAAATTCACTCTGCCCCAGGAGACGATTTAGGAATGGATTTTTCTAACGGAGATTTATGTCCACGTGTCTGGCCCGTCGTTAAACGGGGCTTACCGTCCGGGTATTTAAGGTACGTTCGCCTGGTCCATGAATTATGTATGCCGGGCTCGACTTCGGCGGGACGTAAAGTATTTCCTCTCGGTTTTTCTCGGTTTTATCCTCCAAAGCTGGATTCCGCGCCCCGGGCTCGCCAATTAGCTGCTCCTGCAGGGGACCACTGACGATGCTCGTTGCTCAAGAAAATCGCAAGAAACGGTAACGGCCTGAAAGTAAAGGAGACATTGCAAAACCGAGCCTTCCATCGCGCATTCGTTGTTGGCGAAAGACAAGTCTTTCGATACTAGCACCTATTTCTTTTTATATCTCTTTTAGATAGATTAGGTAGGAATATTTACACGTTGAAAGCGAGATGGCAGAAGTCTCCACTGACCAAAACGAACGAAAGTCCCTGCTCCGCGAATATTTATGCGATTCGCTCATTTTCTCTGGTCTACTTGCAGCGCGGATGCATGCACTCTCTTCGACTTAGAGATTTCAGCTGCGGATAAGTTGGCCATCGAAGTGTCGAAAGTGCTTCCACTTAGGCCCGATTTCTCGCCGATTTTCTTCGGCCGCGGTATCTCGCTCCCGGGGAAGAGACCTGAAATGACAAATTGAATCAGTAGCACGACAGACAAACGCGTCGCCGAGGTCATGGTCCGGGCTTTCTCCGGCCGAGAACATCTTTCGCGGTAATTTCTTTTTCACCAGGCCCTCGACTTCGCTTTCGATTTCCGTGTTAATCGACCCCGAAGACCCGTTTCGCCCCAACGAAAGTCACTTTCGGCTCGTTAATAAATTGCAACCTCCCTCTCGACCGGCATAAAGTCGGCGCGACGAGTTTAGAAAAATTACACGGGACATTTTAGGATCTTCCTCGAGTTTCTCCTCGATGGGAAATCGCATTTCCCTCGGAAGAAAGGCCCTGGGAATTTTCCCGGATCTTTCTCGAGGTGGACAAATCGAGCGCATTTAATTAGGCCCGACGACGAGCGCTTATTTCACGAAATCCTGGAATAAATCCCGGGAATCCCTTTCATGATTTTATAAACTGGAGATGGAAATTGTCATCGACAGGGTCCGATTACAAGGAATTGACAATCGCTGGGAAAATCGTGCATATCGACGAGGAACGCGTCGCGGTAACCGGAGCGTTTAACGGCGTTGCGTCACGACGACTCGTCGGTTGACATTCCGCAGTCGTTGGGCAATTCGATTCCGTAAAATCGATCGCCACTTTCCGAAAAAGACGACCGGATGCGATCGCGTTATTCCGCGTTACTCCTAGGGATCGATTTCACCGTTGCGCAACTCGCCTTTCCTCGGAGCTTCCCGAGCCGAGGAAGAGCCGCTCGACATTGTTACGGTGAAGCGCCGAAAAAAAAAAGAAGAAAAAAATAGAAAACGACTCTCTCGCGATTCTACCGGCTTTCCGTTTATGGGAAGTCTTTCGTGTACTTCCCGGGAGGTCGGTGTTAATTATTGCGAGACTCGTTATCGGAATTTCAGAATAATTCACGGTCACTGCTCGAATTTTTCTAACGCCTCTGATTCGTTGCGCCATTCGTTGCCCCAATCCAGCTGCAGTTGAGGAACGATTGGCGTGATCCTGCGAGCAGTTGTTTATATGTATCCTTCCACTGCCTCCAGATCTCGAGGCAGAAAACGAGAGCGGCGAAGATCAGCGGACGAAGGAGATGCTGCGCCTCAGGAGCAAGTTGACTAGGGTCAGGGATCGCCATGGGCCGTAAGTCTGGGATTTTCTGCGATAATTTCAGGAACTTTCATTAGTACATTAGTATATTAAATTTTATCTGTAGCAGGGAAGAATGCATTTACCACGGTTGTCCAGTCCTGGGCCCTTCGGAAGATCTCCAGCCTCCAAAGACCGTAAGAGATGAGGTATCCAGGTTCACCGATGTGGTACCTCCTTCTCATCTGGGACTGAACACCTATGGCCACCTTAAAATCGATTATACGAACAGCTGGAACTCGTTGCACAGGAAGATATACAAGTGACCGGAGGAAGAAATCTATAATCGTTTAAAAACTCACCACGGAGAGACCACTGCTTCGAAGGGAATTTTTTTTCATTAGGATTTTCTCTTAGCTCTCTCCAAAATGTTCTTTTTATACTCTTCTATTTATTTATAATGTCCTGGAGTGTCGAGTAATCGACGGGGCAACAGGAAATTACGTTTATGGATGGTTCGGTGCAGATTGAGTAACCGTAGGCCTCGGTGCACCCTGCTCGACCCCGTTATTCTTAAGGCTGGTAATCTTGGCGTAATTAGAAATGTAAATAGCTTAACGAATGGTCGGCTTTCATTGTCTCGGCGTAATTAAAAAAAAGGAGTGCCACCTAATGGGAAGTGTTTGAACAAAAACCCGATGTCTCGTTGCTCCATATATTATTAATAAAACGTTTTTATTACATCGCACCTGAATAGAATACGTACCCTTTGTTTAAACTAAAGAAAGACACCGCTATGAATGAACTCGTCTTTGCAGCCGACTTTTCTATTGAAAATGAAACGTAAAAAAGTAACAGACTTGAAGCTCACCGGTTTATGTCAACTTGTCTTAATAATCAACTTAATAATCAAATGTCACTTTCGCTGCACTTTGTAACTAGTTGGTGCTAAATGATCTGAACAATTCGGTGTTTAAATGTCAATAGCCTTGTCACAGTTCTCGTTAAACAATTTCCTCTTTCTTTTTGGCTCGATTTTCTTTTGATCGTCTTTTACATCTTCCATGTCCTCATCCTGAGACAATGAATCATTCTGAGGTTGCGTAGAAGCAGGATTATTTGTAATAGTTTCGATGTCCACTTCGAGAGGCACCACCCTTAAATTCTTAGCCAGCCCCTTGGTTTTGGAGACGGTATTGTTGATTTTTCTCTTGTTTTCAGGTGACCAGCTGTGCAAAATAAAATTAACACAATGTAGAGAAACCCATAAACCTACATTTTGCACTATGTCCTAATCTCATACTTAAATACAGCAGGATGCTGGAACCCTTTACCCTTAACGGGTTGCCTCTTCGGTATTTTTGGTTCCTTCTTTACTTGCAGTTCGAAAAGTTTTTCCTGTAACAAGTGATATAAGTCAGAAAGTATTTTAAATATTCTAACAACTGGAAAACGGGTGTAACATACTTGGCAGGTTCTAAGCTTTTTCTCAAATTCCTGAATTTTTTTTGAACATTCTATCTCTTTTGATTCCAATGCTTCACGGTGCTGTTCTTCTTTCATTGCCAAGCAGGCCTGCAGTACTTCGATCCTCTCCAGCAGGGAACGGTTATCATTGGCATCTAAGACAAGAATGGTCAAGCCAGGTAAGTAGGTGAAATAGATGAATCAGCCCTTCCATCTTCGTTGACTAACTCTTAGCGTTAGTTTCATCACTACGTCTCTGAAAGATCTCGTTCAACTCGTCGTACTGCTTCTGTTTTTCCTGAACAGACCGCTTCAACTGATCCCTCTCCTTCTGAAATTGTGCTTGATAGGTTGATAATTGTTTCTGGACAATAATAAGAGTTTCGAACGATTTATTCATCCTTTCCATCAGTTGCATATTCTTTGCTTTCAGTATTTGGGCGAGTTCACGCCAAACCTTCGCCTCGTTCTTGACGTAATTATATTCCTGCGTTAAAAGAAACACATTAAATTTAGTTAAATAGCACAGTATGATTGAATAGCTATTAAAACGTACCTCAAGGAATCTGGTGATCTGATTTAATGTATTTTCCATATTATCCTCGAATTCACTCATTGTAACCGTTTCTTCATACAATTTAATTAAAAGCCGTTCTTTATTAGAGTCCGCTTGTTACTTTTCCTTTAATTTTAAATTGTTCTTCATAAAGAAGACTTGTATTCCCGCCAGACTCGCGCATTTAGAATTTATAGTTACCGACCTATTACATCGAGAAGAAAATGCAGTTTCCAGGATTGCCGGCAGTAGAAGTCTCGTGGCGTCATGTATGAGAGACTCGCCCATACTGTAGCCAATTTGGCTTAAGGGTTCACGCTTCTGTTGTCAGATGGCGCCACCGACTCCGTTCATCACCTCTACCGACAGCATTGGCTACAAACTTCCACCGACTTTTCGAAGATAGCGCTAGTATGTTCTGGCGGGACCATTTGAAATTTTAGAAGTCGTCTCAGTACGAATCGACCGTTTACGCTACTAAGGTGTTTCTCGTCTCAACAAACACAAAAAATTGTAATCTTTCAAGGATCATGAACGTGCAGCAAAATGTGGATTGCTTCCGTATACCTCGAGGAAGAGGCTTGGGAAGAGGCCGAGGAAGATTCAAAGAAACATATCGCAGCGACTTTCCCGTTACAAGTCGTTCAGAAGTCCTGCCGAAATACAGTAAGTATTTTATTCGATTTTACTCACATTTACGTAACATTTAAGATAATTTATTAAGTAAAATAATTCGTTTTAGACTTTGACGCGGGATTTCGTATGCCGTTGGTCAATTTCGGAACGAATAGCGCCGGTTTCAAGACGCCACAGCCTGGACGAAGAGGCCGAGGCACTTCCTCGTCGTCGGCGATATTTTCCAGCGGAAGATCTGGGTAAGAAAACCAAGAAACATAAATATAAAATAGCAGAACAATTTTTTCAAAGCTTCCTAAATTTTTAGAACCCACATCACCTCGTCGAGCTCAAAAACCTCCTCTTTATCAGAGTCCTGCAACGTCATTGGTATTTTAATTCGATTAAAAAATTATCCACGACTCTAGAACGTTCTAATAAACAGAATTTTAATGACGAACAATTTTATCAGCTATTACAGCAGGTCGTGGACATGCCAGAGGCGAAGTAGGAATCGCTGCCATAGATGTACGAAGGCCTGACATGGTTTTATGTCAAATCAGCGATCGACAGACCTATGCTGACACCATATCCAAGATCTACTTTTTCCAACCAGTGGAGGTGGATTTTCCTCTTACATTTAATTTATTTCGCCACGCCAGAGTGGTTGAAACTGACGGAATCAATTTTTTTCTTGAAGATCCTGATGCCGGACACGATGTGCCCGCAGAGGAATTCCGGAAGTAAACTGTACGAGACTATTGTTAATAATTTCGTGTCGGTCAATATTACGCCCATTCCTCGAAAACACTTCAGCGATAAGTCTGGCCTGGATCGAGTAAAGACACTCTGTGCGAAAGACTACGCCAGCGTTCTTCTGGTTATCGACAACAAGTAGTCCTTATTTTATTTTCAGAGATTTTTTGCTAGAATGTGATATTTATAATCGAAGGTACGCAATAAGAGCAATTTAACGCAGGTACTACGCCCTGGCTGCTGCAGCAGCATTGTTAAAGTACGTGGAATTCATCCAGCGCATTCTGTACGTCCCGAAGGCCATGAAGATTCAGTTTCAAGGCCCCCAAAATGCAACCGTGATCGGTAAATAATTTTCATTGATAAATAGATAAGACGTGTGTATTCGGTAGTTTAATTTCGACGTCGATTTCCAGACATGGAGAGTGCACGAAGCCTGGAGCTGGTCACTTCCCTGGCTAATCTTCCCTTCTACAGTCTTCTGGGGATCTTGGATAAGTGTTCGACCCCTGCAGGAAGGAGACTTCTGAGAGCTTCGATTCTTCAGCCTCCTTGCATAAAAGAAGTGATCGAGGGACGTCAAGAATGCGTCGCAGAGCTCGTCTCGAAGGTCTCCCTGTTGTGTTCTCTTCGGGTAAGAGTTCCCCAACGGAAAAGAAGCTTTTTACATTTTCTGGGGTAGTGGTGGAATTTTATTTCTGGTCCGAGCAGTGAAAACGGTGCGTTTTTTAGGAGGCTTTGACCAGACTCGGAGGAGCTGATCGGATTTTGGATATATCGTCGCAAAACATGGAGACGGACAATGTGAAGAACGCCGAGAGGAACCTGAACACCGTCCTCTTGCTGAAAAGCACCCTGGAGGCTCTCACGGAGCTGCGGAGTTCCCTCGAAACCGGGGACGCTCGGTTTTTCCAGCAAGTCCGACAGGTGTGCTCTTCATTGCTGAAAAAAACTGAAGAAGTCAAAGTACATTCAACTGCATCGTCATTTTAGAACCTGCGAGATCCGAGGTTTCAGCTGATCCATGAAAGAATTCTAAAGGTGATCCATCCCGAAGCGAAGTCGCTGATGGGCTTCACTTCAGCCAGCATTCAACGTTGCTTCTCCATAAGAGCAGGAATCAGCGACCTCCTGGACGTCGCAAGGCAAACCTACTGCGAGCTCATCGACCAGATGAAAAGTCAGCAGTTTAGTAACGACCAGGAAGAGTCGATAAGACCGATCAATTATTTTCTTTTTTTTTTCCTCAGAAATGATCGACGATCTCGCCGAGAAATTCCGGCTACCTCTGGAGCTGTCCTGCAGCGCTTCGTTAGGCTACCACGTCAGGATGGACTCGCCACGAGGAAGCAACTTCAAGGCCTCCGATCTTCCTCCGATTTTCACCGAAGTGATTACTCAGAGGAACCTCTCGTTTTCTACCCTGGTAGATTTTTTAAAGCCTTCACGCATCCGGTGGGATTTTTTCAGGTGCAAAAGAAGAGGAACACCTTCTACATGACCACCGAGTTCTTACTGGCACTGGGCCGACATTGCATCGATGCCTGCGACGAGCTGCACGTGATGAGCAACGTGTAGGACTTTTTTTTATGGTCGACCATAAATCGAACGCTCGTAACATCTAATTCTCTTTTAGCCTGCTTTTTGAAACGATCTGTGACATCAGACCCCACGTAGGATGCCTCTTCCAACTGGCTGCCGACGTGGCAGAGTTGGATCTGATCCAGAGCCTGGCTCAGAGCAGTACATCCGCCTTTTACGTCAGACCCAGCTTTGGGCCCGAACTCCGATTAAAAGATTCCAAACACCCCATCATGACCGTCCTAGGATTCGACTCCACTGTGCCGAACGACGTGGTAAACCTTCGCACTGCTTAATCCCTAAAAATCTCACGTTCTAACGCAGATGTCCCCTACTTCGATCATTCGACATCAGGAAGCTTCCATACGACACAATTTCTGTCTGATAACCGGGCCCAACAAGAGCGGAAAGACGATCTACCTCAAGCAAATCGTGCTGCTGCACATCATGGCACAGGTACGTTCTCTTATCGACTCTCTTATCGGCTTGAAATCCAGAAATAAAAATAAGGGAGTGAAATTGATACGTTTCTCGACAGATCGGATGCTACGTACCGGCCTACGAAGCGCAATTTCGAATAGCGGATCGCATGCTGTGCGGTATGTGCTCGGCGGACAACACCCAATTCCATGGGTCCTCCTTCGCCGTTGAGGTGAAGAAATGGCGAGCAATAAATAATAAAAAAAAAACTGTTCAATTTATTAACGATCTACTGGTCTTCTAGATGAAAACAGCGGATTACATCCTGCAGTCCCTGACGCCGAGCACATTAATAGTCCTGGACGAGTTGGGCAGATCGACGGCCGTCGACGAAGGTACCAGTATCGCCTGGACGATCTGCGAACAACTGTTGAACAGTCCAGCCTTCACCTTCTGCGCGACGCATTTTTTGTACATGACCAAACTGGAAAAGCTGTACCCTAACGTCACGAAGTAAGCGCGAGTCCATCGTCGTCCTCTTCTAGGTCTCCGTAAACCCCCGAGGATTCATCTTGATGTTATCCGTTGCCAGTAATTATTTCGAGACCTTGTCCGAGACGAAGTCCTCGCAGGAGATGCACCTGACATACACCCACAAGCTGATGAAGGGGGTCGTCGCCCTGAAGAACTACGGGATGGCTGCTGCCTACTTCTGCGACCTGCCCAGCACCTTGTACGATACGGCGAAGGAGATACTTCCCAAAGTGGAGGAGATCAAGAAGGTATGTAAAATAGCCTTGAAATCTTTGAAATCCCCGAGATATTAAGAAATAATGGAATTCCCAGCAACATTCACCAGAAGAAGACTCTCCCAGGCGCCTGGAGGCGAAAGGAGACTGCTACGAGCGCCTGAAGAAGCTTCTTCACCTCCTCTCCTTGGACCCAATGCCCAAGGAGGTCCTTCTGAAGGTCTTCCAAGGCCTGCAGCTCGACAACGTGGAAGTTCCGGGGAAAAGCTCGACCCCGAAGTCCAGCTCGGACGAGAGGGAACGCGCAAAGGAACCGAGCGTCCAGAGTTTCGTGTCGGACACCTCTAAAAACGCCCCTTCGTCGAGTTCGTCGCAGATCGAGAAACAGGAGCTGGTGATCTCGAAGAGGAGACTCGTGGACAGCTCTACACCCTCGGATTTCGAGGACATCGTAGGGAAGCGGCCAGCCTTCGTCCTGTCTCCTCTTCCGGAACACTTTGACTCGAATTCGATTGTGATTCCGTCATCTCCGAATTTCATGGACCAACTGGACAGGAACCAGGCGATTTCGGAATTGTCGCAGCTCTCTGATGACAGTCGAACGATGTCCAACTTGTCGCTGAGAAGCGGCAGAACTCTGTCCCAGATGTCCTTCAAGACCGACCGGCCGACGTACTCGAGGAAGATGCAGAAGGGGTTCGACATAATGTCGAATTTCATGAAAGAGAAGCAGAGCGGGGCGTCCGTTTGCAGCACTCTGTCTCTGACGTCCAGCATCTTTGCTCCATCACGGAGCATCTCGAACCAAAGCCCGTTTCGGCAGGATCTCTCGAGGCCTGGAACTTCCACCCAGTGGGACGCTTTTCGGATCTCCAATCCAATGCCTTTGGAGCAGGTTACAGATGTAACCAGCTTCCCGGGTTCCATCTTCTCCCTGGACACGCAGGACTCGATGGACGCCAGGATCAGAGCTCGCTGCGCGGAAGCGGAGATCTTCAGGATGATCGAAGGCGACGACTTCGACGAACAAGAGTTCCTCGGCTCCATTCCTACCGATAGAAACCTAAATTAATTCGCTCGATTCGGCCCTTAATATTACATACACCCACCTAATATGCGTATCTAACGCTCTAGACCATTTAATTTATTTATCAACCGTTCGGCATTCGTTGTCTTCTTCGAGAATTAATTTAATATAATTACAGTGATTTAGAGAATGTTAGCCTTAATCAATTATAGGGATCTCTCGTTCCTCGTTTTCGATCATCTCGTAAATCAAGCAGATGGACAGGCAAATATTGTGCACCAGATAGATCAGGTCCAGGTAGATCATGAAGATGTTGACGCAGAAGAGTATTTTCGAGAACGTGCCGAGCGAGTGGAAAATCGCGTTCCTGGAGAGAGTTTTTTCTCGAACTCGTTTACCAGTGGAAATCACGAATTCCCATAAATCGCCGACGTAAAAGCGCCATAACTTCAGGGTCTCCTCGACGCTGGACCTGACTTTTGAGGCCATTTCTCTTCTGAAATTCCCGGAAGGCAAAACGTTAATCGACGATGCAAAATTATAAGTTTCTCGGGAAACGCTGCGGACTTTCAAACTGAGAGTTAAAAAAAAAAATCGTGACTCATTTTCCAGAGCGGTTTGTGAACGAACGCGGGATCGCGGATTCAAATATCCCGCCCTCAAAAGAACCTTTGGCAATAGTCTTCCGGGCGAGGGTGAAAGAGGAAAAGAAAATTGGAAGCTGCCGAAATTTTCCGTTCGCGAAGAAGCGTCGCTGCCAAGTTCCCCCTGGCGTCGCCAGCTGTCAAATGACAGTGTCAATTTGACCCTGACTGCGCGACGCACGGCACGACTTCCTGTTTGAAGTTGCACGTTTCAACAAAGGAACAGAGTGCGGTTATATTTTCGAAGTCACCTTTTTTACGCACCGTATAATGGCCGATACGACCGCACAGAAGGTAATACCCTGGGGGAAGTCGCTTCGAGATTAGGGCCGGTCAAAATGTGGCTTTGGAAAGACTCGCAAAACTGCGCGTAGCGTCGGGGAAAGTGAGGTTAGGTTAGTGCCTGCATCGACCGGTAGGGCCAGCTCGTCCGCGGGACGTTGTTTGTACTCCCGCGACGTTAAACCTGAGAAAAACGGACGAAAGGGGGACCATTCCTTGGGATTTCGAAAGTTCTCGTTGATTTTCAGCCCGGGACGGTTTGTTGAAGTGTACACGGACCGCAGCGAGCGGCGGGAAACGGTGCACGACGCGCTCGGTGATTCTAACCTCGAAATCCGGAACATCCAGAAGGCGGCTCCATTGTTAGGTCCTCATGCGTTGAGTGGAAGATTCGCTCATTTCTTCTGGCCCTGTTCTAAATTCTTGTCGAAACACGCGGATTCAATTAAGAAGAGAGAGGTTCTCGATTGCAGAGGAAGAGGCTTTTAGTAGACTCATTCGAGATGGCTCAGGTTCGTAATGCTGAGACAGTTATACGTGGCCCGGTGGGGTTTGCTTTTGGAATTCGCTGCTGGGGACGTAGAAAGGGTCTTTCGTAGAGCTATTTATTTTCTAAAGGCATAAGAAAAAAAATCTGTAATGTATCTTTGCAGGTTCAAGAATATAAGGACTCCCTTAAAGCTAAGGTAATTTCATTTTGTGTGACGAGATATCGTGTTCCCAACTTGTGCCTCCCTCAGCTTTGTCGAGAGTGTCTGATTGGACATTGCTTCTTTGTATTTCAGGCCGAACAATTAATAATAAAGGGATTCCCCGAGAAAATAGTGAAACTGAATGAGCTTCTAGAGACGCCTGGCTTCTGTAACCGACAGCTGTCAGATGTCCATCAAGACCTGAACGTGCCCATTCCACAGCCAATATTGCTGACAAATTCCGATGATGGACCAAAATCTAAGAAACTTAAATTAGAAAACAGCACGGATGAGAACTGCGGTACCAAAGTAATGGTACTGCCAAATGGACCCGTACCATGCAACAAGCCGCTATGTGATTTGATTCTTGTAGTGAAGCCACATATTAGAGAACTTTTGGAGGATTCTAATCTGGTTAGAATTATTTGCATATTATTAAGAACTACCCTAAATTCAGAGAGTAAGCTTTAAAATGTATGATATATTTTCAGTTGAAGATGTGGATCTCATTTATGATCCCTAAGATCGAGGATGGTAATAACTTTGGAGTGTCGATTCAAGAGGATACTCTTGCCGAAGTTCAGTCTGTCGAGAGTGAAGCTGCAGCCTTCTTTGATCAAATATCTAGGTACAAATCTCTTTGGTTTAGCAACATTCAATTTATACCGCACGTCAATTAATTTCTAATGCCAATAAAATTCTTGGTTTTAATTTTCAGGTATTTTATCTCCAGAGGGAAAATGATCAGCAAGGTAGCGAAGTATCCGCATATTCTAGACTACAGGCGAGCCGTCCAGGAGCTGGATGAAAAGGAATACGTCAGCCTATGGCTTGTTATCTGCGAGGTTCGCAATCGATACTGCTCTTTACACGATATTGTGATAAAGAACTTGGAAAAAATTAAGCGACCGCGATCATCCAACGCGGAATCCTTGTACTAAGCCGGGAAACTGGTGCCCTAATAACTGCAAACCGGAACAGAAAGACATCGATGAGTGCACACTTTTGCAGGGACACTTTCCATCCGAGTAAATCAATTGAGTTAATGTATTACGGTGTCGCGACTTATCACGAATAAAATCTCTTTGTGTCAAGAGAGTCCTTTCGGATGTAGGAAACTTATTTGGCTGTGACGAGTCACGACACTATTATCTACCTACTGAATTAATTTACTTGGAGGAAAGTTTCTTCAGATGCCTGCCAGGAAGCAACAGGAAGAGTGCCAAGCGCCAATATGGAAAATCGAAAAAAATAAACGTTTAGGTAATCGAACCATCCGACTCCTCATTCGTTAGTAGCTAAAATCAAGGTTAGGAATTGAGGCACTTGAAGTCATCAACAGAAAGTACTACTAAAGACATGGTACCTCCAGAGGAAGTTAATATGTATTGCAAGATGAACTAGAGGTTTTGTCATACTTTTTTGAAGGAAACTCGAGTGGAAGGGATTTGCTATTTCATGGAGTATAAAAAGGTATTTTACCCAAAGTATTTCTTCCTTGTTCTCTGAGATACTATTCTGCCCAAGGTTCTGCCTATGATTAGAGGTTATTTTACGTTTTGGGTGTACAGCACTCTGACAACTATGAAACAAGATAGCAAGAATTTTATTAGTACTTCTACATGACATTGGAAGTCCTCACTAATATAGGTGTACTGAACTCTGTTTATTTATATTTGTAAGCTCTCACTGGAGCCCACAGTTATTTATTACTTTTCTATTAGCTGTATCAAGGGACCTAAACAAGACCCGAAGGTAATTGGTAGGAGTCTAGTGTACTATAATTCATTTTAAATTCAGGTAAGATGGTGCACCTTTTAGATGCTTATAATTATTCATACAAATGGAAGTAACGATTCATTGCTGGTTATGTAAAATCGTAAGTGTAGATTAGCTGTGTTGCAGTATGTAATACATCTAATACGTCAAATCTAACCTCCAACACAAAGCAACGTGTCCGAGTTAAGTGTACCTTGCCATTGTAATAAGCCCTACAAGTGGTCATGATTAAACAAGTTATTTCATAAATTAACATTAAATAACTCCAATAGACAATAATTTTATTCCATGTAATTCAGTTCTCTGGATGCTACCACAGTTGCAACTGCATAAAGCTATTTACCGAACACGAGTATATTAAGGAACTTAAAGCCCAGGTGGAATTTTTTCTCTTTCACTTCCTTGACCTTTTCTGGTACTCGTGCAGGATGTAAAACTTCAGAATAAACTTGATATACACTTTTTTAGTTCTTTTGCGTCAATGGATACTAAGAATTTTAAAATTAATATGGAAAAGGACAAGAGTAAATTATTATCTGTAGCATGATTAGATCTTTGATTTAACTGGATATTTTAAATTTCATATGTTGCAAGTAAAGTACAAAATCTCTAATGAATATTACAGGCTGTCTTCAGTCGATCTAGGATTACATCGCTTAGCAATTGCTGGAAGTTCTGTGTAAATGCATCGGTTTTGTGATAAGCATCACTTAGTCTAAGGTATTGACACGTAGTAGCAGTATTTGTACAGTAATTCATTCGTTGATTGGAATTTGGGCGGCGCATGAAAATTATAATTATCTATCTTCTTCAAAGAGTCCCGGGTTTAAGTAACAATGTTTGCTGAAACCCATTGATGTCACTGTTAAAGTTTGACAGCTGTTGTCTTCAGTTCGAATACACTCTATTCTGGAGTCAATCTGAAAGTAGCACAGTAGACGTCAACTTACCGTAGAAAATTAAGAAATTATTTTACAAGAAACTTACCATATTAAATAAATCTTGCAAGTGCGTCGTACAGGCATAATTCATGAAAACATCACAGAGAATCTGTATGAACCAACTTCCTGTTTTGATGTCTCGGTTTGCTGCAAACCCTGGCATTGTTGAGTGCGCTACTAAAATGTCGGAATAATTCCTTGTTGTCTGAACATTGAGATCGATTTTTCCTATACTGTCTGTTTTCACACAAGTATCAGTCACGTTTCTAGGAATAGCTTTCTGTATTCTTTGGCCTCTGAAAATATCAGAAAAAAAGGAATGATAAAATGGTAACGCCTGTCAGCTTTCGTAAGATTCAGGTGATTCTTCATACCGGCAAGCTTGGAAGATAAATACTTTTGGTTTACCAGCCAAGGCCCGACACCTTTCGACTGTAAAGAAATCAAGGATTTCTGTACACAGGACTGGCTGATAACGGGGCGAATTGAAGTCGACACCTTGTATCTCCGTTTCAAGACTGTCATCAGCAACTTGGTCACCATGGCTAGTGATTACAACAAAGCAGGAGTGGACTTTGTGAAAGTCTTTTTGACAAGAAAATTCTCTGATGGCATCCTTAATTTGCTTTAAAAGAAAAAATATAACTTGTGTCATATAAGGCTGGAATAGATCAGACAATATTTTATACCTTGCCAGTTAGGTTACAGAGAGTCGTCACTTCAAAGCCCATTTGTTTAAAGAGCTCTTCAAGATTCTTTTCATCATGTTCAGCTCCAGCTCTGCTTCTCTCATTAATATATTGAATATTCGCGATAATTAACACAAAGCCACGAGGATTACTTCTCATGGGATATCTTTCAACAGTTTCGATCAAGGATGGACAATCCAAGAAAGTCAAGGCTGGTCTCACCTTAATTTCCAACGGCTCGTCGCAGCTCTGCATACGTTCAAAGTATTCGTCCCTACAAATTTGAATACAAGGTGAGCAGAAACCAAAACGATCTGCAAACCCATAATCTATATAATTTATTACACTTACTTCAAGTCCATAAAGGGCTTTGTCATGTTGGAAATATTATTTTCCACATCCTTTTTGTAGTTAAATACTTTAGCCTTAACGGATGGTTCTTTTTGCTCCGCCAGTAAATCAGCAAGATCTTCATGGCCAGACTCCCGAAAGCTTTTCAATAGATTCTCAAACGCTCGAGGCCCTCGAGTCTTAATGGTCAGGAACACATCGCGCACTGTTGTTATTGTCACAGGACTCTTCTAAACCAATTTGCTCATCTTTTACCATATAACTGATTTTCAAGTCAGTAACGAGAAAGCTATCGAATGAAAATCTTACCGTCCAAATGGGAATATTTACGTCATCACGATTGTATATTCCGTTCTCTAATAATTTTGGCCACAGAGCATCAAAATTGATTCTCTGGACAACCTCATCACAATGCAAGTCGAGCCTCCTACGATGATCTTTATTCATTTTAATATGAATGCTCTGTTATCGGCAGGTCTGAGTGAAAATACTACAATTGCACATCGGCATCGGAATAATTGTCATGTATAAAGATTCCAAAATTCTGAAGGCATCTATACATCCACTGTACCAAAAAACATATTTTCCATCAAGAACCGTCAACGGATCAGCATCCGAACACAACACTGATTTATCCAGGTAGAAATTAATAGTACGTACAAAAACATGTAAATCTTTATGACGTACTGCAGGCAGTGCTGTCCTCAGCTTTGACGGAAAATAACGAAACGTCTCGATATCTTTCCTGATGATTCACACGAGATATACTTCCTTTTGACAGGTTCTGACAGATTATGCTCAGTCTCGTCGCCATCTTGCTAAACGGGGCGCGAGATTCAAATCGTCGAACGACTGAACCACAGCGGAAAGTAAAAGTCGAAAAAGGAAAACGGGAACTCGAAGCTTGTAACAACGAGAGAAAGGAAGTGGACTTACTTTCAACTATTCCCGGGAATCCGGGCGAAAGGAAACTCACAAGACTCGTCGGACTTTACTCGTTTAATAATTAGGCAATAATTTACAGGCTCGTCTCTTCTACAGCCGAGCGACCAGGGCGTATCGATGGAACGCCAAGAAAAAGTTTCCCCCCGTTTTCGTCAATCCTCCGCGACTCAGCGCCTCCAATTCGCTAAGGAGACCTCGTCGATGCGCCGTGATCGGCACGGCTAAGGGGACCAGCGGCTTTATTAATAATATTAGCAACAATCTCGCGCTAACTTAGAGTTAAGGAGGCAATTATTAGGGGCGAAGCGTCGCCTTCTTGCGAGTGTGCCGCGGCGCTCGGCATTTTGAACTCTTCTCGGTCTCGTATCGAGGCTGGACTAGACGTTTACGAGACAAATTCCGACCGAAGAGAGCTGGGGGAGCTTAGAACTATCGCCTAAGCCTAACAAGAGGTCGCCGATGACGCCACGCACAGAAATACCGATTTACCGGCCGGACACGTATTTGCCTTGATGTTTTTAAGGGCACCTTCGCACGCCCGTTTCGATTATAACCCACGAACGGTTTTCGGTATTTCGGACACCTTCGCGTGCCACTTTGGTTCCTTGGGAATGGAACTCGCGGAGTAACGGTCAAGAGATGCGCCCGCTGTTTGCGGTGATTCGTGATCGTGGAGCGAAATCCAACCGTGGCCGTCGATGGGTGCGCCGGGCCTGGAAATCTCAGGGCGGAGCGAAAACGCGCTCCTGGAAATTACCAGCCAACGCAAAGATCAATGTTTTGGCTACTCAAGATTTTTTTTCAACCGGCTCCCTGTGACTCGTGGAACCGTCATTTCGGCACGGTTCCTGGCTATCCAGATTTTTGGAGAAAGCGGAGAGATTACGAGAAGCTCGCTCGAGTCGGTTCCCAGGATCCCTTGACGGCCGCCGGCGATGCACCCACCGATAGTTCGTGATCGTGGAGCGAAATGCAGTTGTCTGCCGATGGGATCGCTGCGAAATGCAGCTATCCACCGATGGGATCGAGGAGATCGACCGGACCACCTGGGGACCACTAGGAACCGCCGACAAGCGCGATCCATCTGACCCGGAAGGGACTCTTCGGGTTGTTCTACTTCGCCCCGCCTTCGCGAGGAGAATAGGATACCAACTAGAAAAGTCCCTCCAGCAGGACGTCGAAGCCTGCACTCCAGCTATGCCGAAGATGAAGACTGATCACCGATCACCTCGTCAATGCGAACTCGTCCTCAAGCTATCATAAGGCGGGGCCTGGAAGCCCACAAACTTGTTGTTCTTCCGATGCTGAAATCCATTCTGCGCGTCGGCACTGTAGTAGACGACTCTCCTAATGCCGAAGGGGTCGACGTACCCGAAGGAGCCCACTTTCTTTTCGGGCTTGTCCTCCTCTTCGTGGTAATGTGTCTTCAAGTAATACTGGAAGCCATCCGCGGTGGAGTGCGCCCCATCGTAGGCGGGGTACTCCGTAGAGGGAGGCTGGTACCGGACCTGGCCCCTGGAAGCCACCGAAGCCCTCCTCGAGGGGAAGGCTCCCTGCTCCTGGAGACCCTGGAAACGCCGACTCGAGTCGCTCTGCAAGGTTTGTGGGCTCCTTCTGGCAGGGTATCCACCCTTGGCGATCGGCCTGCTCTCTTGGATCCTGTTGTCTTCAAGAAACGGAGGCTGCATCACCAGCGCCGGGGCAGGCCTCCTCCTGTACGACCTGAAGGGTCCCTGGTACCGGTACCCGGGCCCGAGGTAGTTAGTATTCGGCTGAGAATATCCATCCTCCAGAAGTGGAGAAGTCGTCGTTGGACTTGGCACCGCGAATCTGCCGGGATTCCTCCTCCTCGACGTCGCCGTGCTGGTGACGATGTTCTTACTCGCTACGTCGCTGATTTCCGGTTGTCTAGGTAAAACAATTCATGAATGGTACTCCTTTTATGTTATGCCGAGTAATGAAATATTTTGTAACAATTTTCAGGGCAATACCTGAAGGGATTCGGAGGACGCTGTGGCCTGGCCAGGACTCCACTCTGGGCGGGGGCGTTCTTCGAGATCGCCACGGCATCCTGGATCGGCCTGTCCTTGCCCACGTATATCGTCTTAGACCTGGAAATTCATGGAGGTAATTTGATTTATTCGCGTTAACGGGATGGATCAATTTCAGGCACTGATCGTTACTTGAGGATCCGGAAGCCCTCGCGGTCGGCGATGTAGTCCTTGATCCTGAGATACCCCAGGGGGTCTAGCCAGCCCTCCGTCCCGATGACGGTCCCGTCCTCCAGCCTCTTCTCCTTCCGGTACTGCCCGTTCAGGGTCTGGTACCGGAAGTACCTCTCGGGGCCCTCATCCGTCTGTATGTGGTACTGCGTGTTCGGCTCCAGGCTCCAGCCGCTCCTCTGGGCTTCGATCTCGTCTGCAGTCAAGCAGAACACTGAAACCTGTCCCGCGGGTCATAAGCAACGATTACAACGATTGCAGACGTCGGCCCGCCGGTAGCCGCATTGTTCTCCACAATGGCGGGAAAAGGCGGAGACGCCGAAGAACCTCAGCGTTTTTCGGGGCTCGGAGTCTCGAGGACCATTGTTGTAAACCTTCGTATATCCTGGGACTGCGCGAGATAGCGACGACACGCTTTACTCATTTATCTAGCAAATTATTTATCAGCTTATAGCGAATTATCAAGTCCCAAAATATACGAGCGGTGCTCGAGCTCTAGGAAACCTAGATCTATGTGGAAAAAAAAATCATTAAGCGTCGCATAGGTGGATGCAAAGCGAGGTGTAAGAAGGTCGCTAAAGTACCAAGTGGTACATGGTCACGTTGGGTCGTTACGTATCGTTGGTCCGTGAACCGATAAAGTGACTAATCGGCCTCGAAGACACCCAAATGTATCATTACCGATGTATCCCGGCTCCGCCCTGCTCGAGATCGGTTAACTGCGTATTGTTTATCGCGATAACGACCCTGGTCGATCCTTACATGGCTCCTCGACATTGGACACTGGCCAGAACCGATTAGCAAGCGCTGCGCACCGAAGTGACACCACTGAGCGAAATAGCTACCCGTAATTGTTCCTAGAAGAGGCTAGGCGAGAAAGCCAGGCGAGAGAGGCGGTTTTCGATAAATCGGGCCGATTTTTTTGCAGCCTCTCTTTCTCGCCTGTTTTTATACGACGCCGGCCGTTAAGGGACGGCTCGTGGCACACGTAAGCATTGAGTAAGATCGCGCACCGAGTCGGCAAAGTGCGTGGGATTGGGAAAGTCTCCGGTCCGGCCTCTCCAGGCCATATTAAGAGATCCCATGTTACTCGGACTTCGGGTCAGCCGGGTACACGGACGTACGTAAATGCGCGAGTACTCGTCCAGGTACGCCGAGGAGATCCTTCGCGTGTCTCCGTGTACACGGTACGTACACGGCCCCATAAAGTCCTTCCAAATGGGCCGACTCGCCCCATCCGGAACCCCCATGATGGCGCCTGGCTTTATGTACCAAGGACCGAGACCGAGTGGGTGAAACGCGCTTAGATCACTCCTAGGAATTTCTCGGGCGGACCTACGTCGATTCTGCGACCGCTAAATTTTATACACACGCGGAGGACGCATGTTTCAATGCGACTAGATTTAATTTACCGCATATTAAGGTTAATTACTCGCTTTCCGCTGGTTTGCACTCGGATAAGGCGAGTGGTTGTAGAGTTTACGCGCCAGGGCAAACCGGTGTAAAGTGGGCGAGGGTTTTGGAGCCTCTTCAAAGAGTCGTTTTATTTGCAGGTGCTAACGACCCCGAGGCTTCGCCAATGTTTGGAGAGGATCGGGAGAGGAGGAAGCGGAAATGCCCAGAGTCGAGGGAGGATGAACGAGGAATCGAGGGAATCGGAGGAGCGACACTTAGGTGTGTTTCAGCCGGACCTCGGGTTCGTCGCCCGGAATAATCTGCAGAGTAATTCGTACCGTCGAACCTCGCATCGTGGAAAGCACAGTTAGGAGCCTCGATGACTCGGAAAAGAAGAGACGACCGAGAGAGTTTTTAAACTGGCGAGCCTAACAGCCGGAACGGCGAGATCGAGCGATCGATCCGGCTACCGAGTATCCTCTGCGATCGGAATATCACCGCCATTATTTGGCTCTTCTCCGGGGGGAGACAAACGGCATCGAGCCGACAAAGGACGCGGAATGGAGAACGTGGCGAACGCGACTACTTGCGATCGATTAAAATATCGCTGCCTTTGAGGAGGAGATCGCGATGCCGGCATTGAAATCCCCGGGTGCAAGGGACCTGAAATCGAGGCTAAAGAGAGCTCGTTAGAACTCCGGGACTCATAATCGATTAAAATAGATATCCGCAACGGGGTCCAGTTCCCACGTCGGCATTGGCCGTGGTTGCCGTGAATAAATAATCCCTCCTTGCGTTACTTCAATTCCTGCGTGTCCTGTGCCGGCATTGAAGTCACCGCGAGGGACCTGAAATCCAGGTCGGTAAAAATAATATGGAGGTTCTATGAGCCCTCTTTATTATAATCTATTAAAATAGAGATTCATGGCGGATTTTGAGGAATAAATGTCTACCGCATCGCCTGTGTCACCGACGGAATTTCCGTGATCCGAAATCGAGGCCGGCGAAAATGGCTCAGTAGAATAATAATATTCGCACGTATTTTTCGAAAGCTAGAGGGTCTCGTTAGGACTGCTATTGCCGGCATATTATATGACACGAAACGCGGGTGCACGTGACGGGAGATTAATTATTCATGCCAGGTACTATTCTCCTTTTGTGCAGCCCCGGCCTTGATAATGAAAGTGCATCTCGCGAGCTCCGGCGCCCGTAAAATGCGGCTCACTTTCACCGGCGATTAGCGACGCCGCCTCGAGATGCGTCGCTTATCAATGCCGAGGCCTCGGAACGGGTTCGATCGAGCTCGGAAATTCGATTTCGATATTCAGACCCGCAACCTTCGTGGAGAAACGCCCGGAGAAACGGGACAGGCCGGGCACTTCCGATCGGACCACCTCGAAAGCGAGATTTCATTTTTTAAATTGCGCCTCTCCGACCACTTTCAACTCTTTCGCCGTTTAACGAGGGATAAACGATCCGATTCGAGGAACGCTTAACCGCCGGTGCCCGATTCGAGGGCGGTGGTTCGTTTAGAACTCGTAAACGACCATGTGACGTCATTAACGACAATCACTTTGCGTGTAACGAGACTCGTTACAGAGACTCTGCGTTTCAGTGTCACGGTCTCGGGGTGCGTTTAGAAATTACGAACAATTTTGTGACATCATTGACGATAATCGTGTCGCGGGTAACGAGGCTCGTTATACCTCGACATTCGGCGCTCGATTTCAGTGTCACGGTCTTTGGCGGCTTGGTTTAGAAATTATGGGCGATCTTGTAATGTTTAACGGCGAAACGACATTTAAAGAGTCTGGGTACAGAGCCAGGTCGAGTCAAGAGGAGTGATTACGTCGGGGATGTAATTTCGTGGTCCTTTCGCTGGGATGTCGATTAAAGAGCAACGAGGCTTCGCTTGATTTAGTTTGATCATTCTTAGAAAAAATGTGATAAGGCGAGGGAGAGATGGCGTCCTTTTAACCGCTGACCTCATCGGTAATTATCCCTTCATTTCGCTCTCGGTTGTCCCGTTCTCACGGCACGGAAAGCTCCGAGAAGGAATATCGGTCACCGAGGTCTCGGAGTCATTAATAGTCGAGGAAGCAAGCCTCGTCACGCGATGATTTACGACGACCCTGGGACAATTCGAGGCGTCGTTTACCCGCGGCCGTAATTCCGTAAACTTTAAGAGTCGCACTCGAAGGCGTTACCGATTACGCGAGCCAGCTCATCGCGATAAAATTCGAGAATGACGACCGCTCTCGAGGTGCACCTCGGCGATGACGCCGGTGGCGTCATCCTGACGTCGCTTCCCGATAGGACGCCAGCTGACTGTCGATCACGGAGGTGCCAATTACGCCGAGCAGACGCCTAAAAAACGCGGACATCACCCGGAGTCTAACGTTTAACGACTACCGAGGAAAAAAGAGGAAACGCTCCGCTGGATCGCGAGGCGTTTGTCGCGACTGTAACAAACGGATGACCCTGATTTCTAATTTTAATCCCTTGCGTCTGCTCGACGAAGGATATCGATAGAGGAAATAGCGATGAGACTCGATGCGTAGAGGGTGGAAACCGAATGTCAAAATGTATTTGGCGAGAAACTCGAGCGAGCTCCTCTGCAACCGCGGAGATCTCTCCTGTGCGGGCGTTAAAGTTACTCGCAGTCACCCTCTCGAGACTCGAAATCTCTAAGTTAAAATCAATGTACGTAAAATCTATTGACGTGACGTTATCTTTTATCAATGTATCTCACCGATAAGAGCGTCAGGCTGAGGATGGCTCGCAAAGAGCAGTCCATTATCCCCGAAATGGTCGTCACTCGTTCATGTCCGAAATTCGCCGGGCGATGCGCGTTTCTTTGCGGTCGGTTTCAAGGGGGCTCATGAGAGATGATCGCCGGTAGAAATTATTTTTTGGGGTCTCGCGAGGTGTCGAGGGTTGCTAATTATTAGACGCGTTCCCGAATCCCGGGAAAATGGCGGAACGCCGGACGGGGAACCGACCGAGGCGAGGCCGGAGGATGCGGTGCCGAGACTGAAGACAAGCCGCGTTCTCGACTCGGCTTTGCCACCTCTACCTCGCGGACGAGATTCCCTTCCGTTTGCTGCTCGTTTTCACGGATTCCCCGCACTCTGGGGAGACCGGAAGGACGCGACTTTGAGGCGACGCCGCGCCCGGGAAGTCTGCATAAAGATGGCGTCACCGGTCCCGCGCACGTAATCGGAGACCCGCGACATCCTCCGCGGAATTGACGCATCATTAACCACTCGAGGAGGACAATGATTTCTTGTTAAATTACGAGAACCTCGAAGGACCCTTTATTCCCCTAAATTGGCGACCTGGAAAATGTGCACAGAAATGGCGTCACCGATTTCTGGATTTCTATCATCGCGAGGAATTATTGAAAACTCGTAGGACCCGTGAAATTCGTTTTTCGTCGCCATTTCGCGGATATCAGAATCGCCGAAGATCATCGGGAGATAGAACTCGAGATTCTAGAGAGGCGTGAGAGAGCTCTCGATTCCAAGGGGTTTTCCTCTCTTTATCTCGGTTCTCTCTCGCTTTCCGCGTTCTCCCTCCAGGTCGCACCTAAACAAAGTTTCCGCGCGTTTTCCCCCTCCGTGCTCGTCGTATGCCGTTCTTCAAGAGATGCCGATGCCGGCGCTTTGCCGGCGCTTTGCTCCCTTCTTCTTCTCCTTGTTTGCGACTCACAACGCGAGCGTGCTTTCACTTTTACGAGCGGACACACTCCGCGTCGGAAGGAGAGCACGAGTCGCCGCGATCATCGCCGACTAACGTCGTTTACTTGCCTTGCGGAAGTTTAAAGAAAAAACGGGAGAGGAAGAAGAAACCTACGAGTCACCTCGCGCGAACTCGAATTACTCTTCTGGAAAATTTAGACGAATGGAATGCATTTATTCCTGATTGTTTCAGGCGCAGACGAAGGCAAACGGAAGGCAAGCCGAAAATTCATAAAAAAAGATATCCCGGGGTCGAAGAAAAAATTTAAGAGGAGGAAGAGGCTCTACAGAGATACGGAGAAAATCAGCGGATTTAAATCCTGAGCAAGGCATGGACGGAATGCGGAAGAAATGGCCCAGGGATCGCGTTACGACCTTCTTCCGGTATGTGCACCGTGCAAAGGCCTCGAGGCATCTAAAAATTTAATATTCAATTTTTTTTTTTAACGGGCTGACTTTTTTTTAGGGTACTACTCCGGATAGCGAAGGGTCAGAGGGAGGTGTCCATGTCGCAACTCGGTTACAAATGGTCTCGCAACGGGAAGTGAGAGAGGTCGGCTCGTGAAATGGAAGGAGGCACCGAGACCGAAAGAATCGCCGGAGATGGATGGCGGCTCTATGACTCCTCTTTATGACTCCTTGCGAAAGGGGTGCCGCGCTGAATAACTCCGGCTCTTCCTTCGCCGGAAGATGAATGAACGAGTTTCGCGGCTGCGAGCATCGGCCTTATCAAAGGCGACATTTCCGGAGACGAAGAAATCGCTTGGAAGAATGAGCCGCCTTGCGAAAAGGGGTGACACAATGAACGACTGCGAACTCCTCGTTCGGATGGCGAAGAGAGTTTCGTGACGGTGATTATTTACAGGTGGTTCTTACGTTATGTTCATGGTTTGAAAGAAGGAATTTTTTTAGACTCACCAGAAGGAGGAGAAATCCGGAATTCATGCCGGGATTTAGAAGACGAAGAAGCGGAAAGCTGCTTCAGGGTCCGACCCCGAAGAGGAGCTCTCATTCCGGGATGGAAACTAGTCCGCGAAAATCCCTGCGGACGCTCCGCGATCGGCTTATCGGGAGCAAAGGTCCGCCGCGACTGAAGTCTATGGACACATCTTGTCTGGACCGATGCCGGATGCTGGGAGGCAGAACCGAGAGCTGCGTGTTTTACGCCTTCGCACCGAATGCCCGCCAACTGAGAGAAGCGAGGCTTCCCAAACAGAAGTACTCTGCTGAGAAAAAAAATTATACTTGAGTCAAATAATTATTCCTCAGCATTAAAAGATAACGAAATTAAGGAATTCGTTAAAAACCGCACATGTAGCATGAGAATCTTTTTTTTTCTTCGTAGAATAATATCGACAATTCGCACCTCTGGGCTCGAAAAAAAGAAAGGACCTGCCTCTCTTATCGAGATTTACATAATTGACTTTCGACTTCCTAATAGCCGAAGGTTAACATCTGGAGAGAGGGACTTCCTTCCCGAAGAAATGCTTCACGGATGTTTGTCCGGTTTTGCGATCACGGAATTAATGTAGGGAAATTTTGTCTAGGTGGAGAAAATTGAGGAAAATTTGAAACGGTCTATTGCCGCATGGAAGGGTCGGCAATCGTACCTTGGAGCACGCAGTGACGTATTCTCGAGGCTGGCAATAATGGAGGTGTACATAATGCCACTGAAGTACACGTAGGCAGTGATCCCATTAACATAGTGGCAAGATACACGTTTCCATTCTTTGCGCAATTTTACACCGCACACAGAAGCGAGGGAACCTCCGTTTCTCGCAATTCGCGAATTACACATCCCCGGGGAAGAGGAATAAATAAATAACTCTTCTTCGGCGTGTCCCAGATTTTCCAAGTAGATATTATTTTTTATTAACAAAGGGGGAAATTAATGGAGGATTAATTATTACACTGGGCGAATAAACAGGCGAAAATTAATCGGAGGCTCTCTTTTGGTTTGTTTTCAGGCCGTAGACATCGAACCACTCGCTTTTGGGAGGCCGAAAAAGGAGACGAAGGCTGAATAACGAGTGGAAACGCCAAGAGAAAGACGAACGTATTTGTCATCCAGCTGTGTGCGAAGTGGACTAATTCTCGACGAGGACACCACGAAGGCCTATCAAAATTCAGAGACACCCGAACACGCCTCCTTATGCAGATTCTGCCGCTGGAAAGGCGATCGATGGTGGTCCATTAAAGAAAAATAAAAGACGAAGAGGAAGGAGGCGGCAACCTCTCGTCGACGACTCGTTCGCCATTTTTGCGGACCCGTTTTCGGAGTGGGCCTCGAAAATTCCTTTCCCAGTTTTTTCTACCCAGACCCTGAAGAACGATGCGCAAAAATCCCGGATAATATTTCCTCCGCGTTTCCGAGACTCGAGATCTTTGTCAGCTAAAAATTGGAGAATTTTCCAACGCCTAAGAATATTTTTTCATATTTTTATTCCGGAAACGGGGTTTAACATTCCGGAGGGAATTGTTTGGCTTTCTTCAGGGTGAACCCTCGAGGTGGTTTCGAGGCGCGAGGTTCGAACTTATTAGCCAAGAACCGGACTGCAATCTGGCCGTCGTAGGTCTCTTCTCCGTGTTTTCGCTTCTCTTTTTGCCGCGAGATAGCCGGAGAGCTTCTTGCTCGATTTGTTAACTTCCAAATATGTAAAATCCGTTAAGACGACCAGCCGAGCTCGTCAGCGTTGCCGTTTATGGCCGACCGTCAAGACTCTCGGTCTTCTTCTCCTTCTTCTTCATCCGCTCCTTACATCTCTGATTTTTCCCTCCATCCAGATCCGCCCACGCCGCGATGAGGATTCTTCGCGGCTATTCTTCAAGGTCGAAGAGCCAACCTCGCCAGGATTCTTCCAGTTCTCCATCCTTCGAGTCTGCGTAAAATCGTTGGAAAAAAAAAAATCAAAAACCCTGTAGAGATCGATCACTTCGGTCTCTTAGCCGACGGATTTTAAACCTTCTCTATTTTCCTCAGGGAAGGTGCGGAGGAAACGATCCCGATGTCAGATACCAAAATGGCCGCCGGGTTCCCGCAAAGACACCGTCTTTTCCTTCCTGCATTATGCAAACATGGGAAAAAGATCCCCGAAGCAGATTCCTCGATCTCCATGCGACCTGAAGATTAAGCAAACGCAGAGAAAATGGCGACTAAAGTTTCTTCAGCAAGGAACAAAGGAGCCCTGAAATTGCATGAAACGCGAGCGCTTCAATCACCGACGTTTAGATTTAATTAACAATACTTAATTAATTATTAAAGAGGCGCAAGGTGATACTCCGCTGCCTTTTGGAAATCGATTTGAAAAATTGCCGGAGGCAGTGGCCGAAGACCTCGCTTTCTCTGGAAAATGGCGTTTTCCAATCATTCCAATTGACAAACGTTAACGAGCCCTCGTCTAATGCACCAGGATGTAGAAATAATATAACAAAACCTGCCCTGGAGGCGAATTTCGATTTTTGGTCGGGCGTGCATAAAAGGATGCACCTCCACCAATTTCCCTGCAGTTGCGAGGCGGTTCTTCGAGTACCTTCGACCATGGTAAGGAACATAAACCTTCCTGAAATAAAAATTGTAACCTCCAAAAGCGCCGTCCGTGAGACGTTCGGGGTCGTAAATAATAATTTATTGGGACACTTCGTTAAATTTCTTATCGCCTTCGACATTTTTACTGGCCGAAGGATGCGTATGGGAAATGCCGGAAGTAATCGTATAATAATTCTGTCGGCGTTCCTATTAATTAAATCTTTTTATTTTTTATTGCAGAGGTGTCTGTTTGTGCTAACACTGGCAGCTCTCGCCTGGGGGGAGCCATGGTTTGGGAAACTCGGCAACATCCAGGGACACCACCTTGTGAACCACAAGCTGGATTTCACCAAGTCCCACATCCTGCCATTGTTTCAGGAGAAATATATTCGTAGAAGCGTGCCAACTCCGTCGAGAGGACCGGTGGGCCAGATCGACCCTGCGGAGCTCATCTGGGACTTGCAAGCCCTGAAGAAACCACCGCAACGGGAGATCAAGCCGCACCCGGTCTATGGGGTTCCTCAGAATAGCTTCTGGGATTTTGGAAGAGTTCAAGCTCATACCGAGGCATCTAGGGTGCCTTACCCAATATATGGATTACCAACTGAGGCCCCAAAATTTCCTGAACCTCCGGGGGTGGTAACTACCAAGGCACCTAAGGTACCTCACTTTCAGTATGGCCCACCGACTGAGATTCCGCAAGTTCCCAGTTTTCCAGTGACTACAGAGCCTCCCAGGGTACCTCATCCGGAGTATGGAGTGCCCACGGAAGTGCCAAAAATTCCTGAGCCTCCAAAATTGCCGATAACTACCGAGGCACCTAGGGTACCTCACCTTGAGTATGGACCACCTACTAAGGTTCCAGAGATTCCTGAAATACCCGTTGTCCCTGAGGCTCCGTACCCACCAGAGGTTCCCGAGGAACCGAAGCAGCCTCATATCGAGTATGGACCGCCGAAAGAACTTCCAAAAATTCCTGAGCCGCCTGTGCTTCCAGAAGCACCTTACCCACCAGTGACTCCTCAAGTACCGAAACAGCCTCACACCGTGTACGGGCCGCCAATTGAACTTCCGAAAATTCCAGAGGTTCCAGTGCACCCGGAAGCACCTTACCCACCAGAACTTCCTGAAGAACCGAAGCAGCCTCAAACCGAGTACGGCCCACCAATTGAACTTCCAAAAATTCCCGATCCACCGATGCTTCCAGGAGGTCTTTACCCACCAGCAATTTCTGAAAGTCCGCTTGCACCAGAAGCACCTTACCCAGCAGAAGTTTCCGAAGAACCGAAACAGCCTCAAACCGAGTACGGGCCACCAATTGAACTCCCAAAAATTCCCGATCCACCTACGCTTCCAGGAGCCCCTTACGCCCCCGAATCCGAAGACGACTCCGTAATTCTCGAAATTCTTCACCAATTCGACGATTCCGTAAACGTGCCAAAATTGCCGGACACCTTTCAAGTCTTCGACATCCCTGAAGCAGAGGTATTACCAGCAAGGACCTCCCCTGGGAAAAAATTCCGATCCTTCGAGTCGCTACCGACACTCCTACGACGATAGCCTTTCCAACGATAAAAAAAAATCTTATGAATTAAAATACATATATTTATAAATATAGAAAATAAAATAATAAAAATATCCCGCAAGGTTCTTCTACATCTTCGATGAGGAGAGCTCCTCCGACGCGGTTTCCAGCAGCTTGTTCAGGTCATCGGAGTCTTCCAAACCGACGAATCTGGTGCTCTCCTTCCAAAGTTTAGCTGCCACTTCAGGGTCCGTTGCCTTCCTGAAGGGAGTCACCCTAGCGCACTCTCTGGAAATATAAAAATCGGATGATGCTCATATTTTCCCAAGAATTTTAATTTCAACACTCGCTCCGATACTCATCTACTCACTTATAGAAAAATCCAGACTGATCGGCGATTGATTCCTCCACGACGCAATAGATGGTCGTCTGAGCACCAAGTTGAGGCGACTTGATGACCGGGGTCAACATCTTGAACATCATTCGAGCACCCGGGAACAAAGTCGAGTCGACGTGTCGACTAAGTTCTGTGCTAACCACCCCAGGGTGCAGAGAATACGCGGTGATCCCCTCGATCTTGGCCTCTGAAAGGAAATCCAATTTTAATCCGCCATCCCTAGCTGGTAAGCGTTCCACCCTGAAGAGGCGACCGAGAATAAATAATTACTCCAGATATTTTCACCTTTCAGGCGACGAGCCAACTCCGTGGTGAACAGAATATTCGCCAGCTTGCTCTGAGCATACGCCTTGGAGGCTTTATAATTCCTCTCCATGTTCAAATCCTCAAAATGTATATTTCCCACTGCAAAAGCGAAAAATGGTTACGCTGAACGCTTTACAAGAAAATAATTACACCGCTCGGACATTTCCGGACACTCGGTAAGATTTATAAATTTATAAGTTCCTCATTTAGGTAGGCTGGACATCATCGTTGCGCTGGTCAGGAACAATGATAGATAAGCTACTAACCGACTGATAAATTTTAAACGTGACGTCTTATCGTTCACGAGATACCGCCTCGAAATACAAAGGCGATGGGTAGGAGGTTTATGTACCCATGTAGAAATCCGAAGCCACGTTAACGACGCGACAACCGGGACCAGAAGCCTTCAGCTTCGGGAGGAGCAGCAAGGTGAAGAGGAAGGGGCCCAGGTGGTTCGTCTGAATATGCGACTCAAAATTGTCCTCGGTCTTGCTGAAGGGAGCCATCATGACGCCGGCATTGTTGATCAAGATGTGGATCGCAGGTTCCTCTTCGACGAGGGCCTTGGCGCATTTCCTGACCCCTGCCAGGCTGCACAGGTCGAGTTTGCGGACCACCAGCTCACCTGGACCGCCTTTGAACTGCTCGCGATTCGATCTGCAAGTAATGATCCAAAGTTCAGAATGCAAGGTGCAAGAACGATCCAGAGCCTCGCCAACCGGTTCTCTAAGGATTATGTAAATTATGCGGACCAAGGAAGATTATAATACGTACGTGGAAGCCGAGGTTTCCTTCAGCTCCTCCACCGCCTGGTGCGCCTTAGCCACGTCTCGGCATGCCAATATCACCCTGGCTCCTGAAACGGGCACGAGGATTTTAATGGTTCCTGAAACTAGCGAGCAGAAGGCCTACCTCTCCTGTAAAGGTCCCGGGCGGTTTCCTTGCCGATGCCAGTGTTGGCTCCCGTGATAACGACGGTTTTGCCCACGAGGCGAGCCTTGCTGCGACAGCTCCTGCTGAAGGGCCACATATCGACCTCTCACTTTCTGCCGTTCCCCTTGAAATTGATCCTCCCCGATTTACAGGCAACTTGCATAACTAGTGGACCACTTGTTTAGATTTCTGCAGACTTTCTCGCGGAGTTTGGAGCAGCCTTTCCGGGAGTTCCTGGCGACACTCGACACGGCGCGCCCAGGGCTGGAATTCACTGTACAGCAATCCCGTTATTGTGGATGCGGCTAGAGGAGGAGGTAGTTCTTCGGGTGGTGGATATCACGATGGTGGGAGACGGATCGTGCACCGGAACGAAGAAATGCCTCGATGAAGGGGGACGAGGCGATACCATTTCTCCAGGGTCGGACGAGGACGAGGAAGGACCCGTTTCCCTTGCACGGGAAACGGATCCCACTGGAACTGGCTTTAATGACTCGAGGTGCTCGGTCTCCACTATCTCAAGAACGAGGCGATGCATTTTCTTCGAGATCGGACAAGGACGAAGGACAAGGACGAGTGCTCCTTCCGAGCAAAAGGATCCCTCCGATTATCCATTGGTACCGGACCCACTATAAAATAATTTCGATATCAACGTTTCAAGAATTTAAAGCACTCTTCGGGATTACTCACGAGGTCCCTCTTCAGGGCTTCCCAAAAATGTTGGAAGATCCTGGGAGATACTTTGAGGCCTTCCGAGTGGACCTTCCTATCTTCCTCGAGCGATCGGATTCTGCCAGTTGGTGCTTTGAAATTCTATCGGTGTCAGCCTCGGGGACCATGAATAATTCTCTCCCCGGACCGCGAAGATGGACAGGAGACAAAGGGAGAGAGAGAGAAGGTGGAACTGGTGGTAGGGACGAGCGAGAAAAGAGTGGGGAAAGACCGGAGTCTTCGGGTCCAGACCTCTTGATGATCTTCGTCTCCGTTTCCCCGTGTTCAGTGACTTCCTCGTTTCCCATCGTTCCTCGACATCCTGAGGAATACTCCGAGGTAAAGGGAAGTATCTATCCGGCGATCGCATGGAAATCAATTAAGAAAAAAAAATGTACTTGCGAGTTGGGAAGTGCAGAGAACTCCCGAAGACGCTTCGGTGGACGTCTTCGAGTTCTTCGACGAATAATATCCAGGATTTCCGCGACATCCCTGGACCAAAATCCCTGCCTGTTATCGGGACGCTGTACAAGTATCTTCCCCTTATCGGTGAGCTTTCGAGATATTCCTTTATAAGCGATTTTTAATTTTCATCCGTAGCTAAAATCCATGAAAAATTAAGATTAAAAATTGTACACGTCACCGTGATTTTCTTCCATTTTTAGGGGAGTACAGCTTCAAAAAGCTGCACAAAGTCGGCGCGAAGAAGCTGGCTCGTTATGGTCCATTGGTGAGGGAAGAAATGGTGCCTGGCGTGAACATTTTGTGGGTTTTCCACCCTGATGACATTTTCGAAGTCTTCCGCGCGGAAGGGAGATCTCATCCCGAGAGGAGAAGTCACCTGGCGCTCTTGAAATACAGAGGAGACCGACCGGAAGTCTACAACAACGGAGGTCTACTGCCTACGTAATAGAGTCAAGCCTGAAAAGGGTTAACCGCTCGTCTGATTTTTTTTATTATTTATTCTACGATTCCTCTTCAACTTCTTTCTCTTCCAGAAACGGAACAGAGTGGTGGCGACTTCGTCGGGAATTCCAAAAAGCCCTCAGCAAGCCACAGAGTGTCCTCAACTACTTGGAAGACACCGACGCAATGATCGAGGAATTCGTCGACCTCTGCGCAACCGGAGACCACGAAGACGTCTTGCCGCTGCTCTCTCGACTCTTCCTGGAACGTAATTCAAGATCGATATGACATTTTCGACCTCTCCAAAAGAGATAAAAAATGTTTCGCCTCCATAGGAATTTATCCAGCTATTTTTTTACGGCCCAGTGACGAGTCTGGTGGCGTTCGACGTGAAAATGAAGAGCTTCTCGAAGGAGGAGATGCAGAGGAACTCTCGGAGCTCCAGATTAATCGACGCTGCTCTCACGACGAACACTGCGATCCTGAAGCTGGACAACGGGCTTCGTCTCTGGCGATTCTTCGACACGCCTTTGTACCGGAAGTTGTGCAGAGCTCAGGCTTACATGGAGGAGTGAGCGGAATTTTTCTTCCCCGTCAATTTTTAATAATATAAATTGTCAAAAAGAAAAAACGTTCTTCAAGGGTCGCCTTAGACATGGTGTCGAGGAAGCTCGAAAGTCAGGACTCGGCAGAAGCTGAAAAGGAATCCCTCCTTGAGGTGTACTTGAAGAACCCGAACCTGGACCGGAAGGACGTGGTAGGGATGGCTTGCGACATGCTCCTCGCAGGAATAGACACGGTGCGTGTAAATAAATTCCAGGTTCACTCGTATTCTACGAGGTAATTATTTATTTAATTATCAATCCATTTCCAGACGACTTACAGTACCGCCTTCGCGTTGTACCACCTGGCGAGGAACCCCAGAGCTCAGGATACTCTCCACGAGGAAGCCGCAAATTTGCTGAAGGACGAAAATGCCCCGATAGACTCCACGGTCTTGAGGAGGGCGAATTTCGCGAAAGCCGTGATGAAGGAGACCTTCCGATTAAATCCAATCTCCGTGGGAGTTGGGCGAGTCCTGCAGAAGGACGCGGTTCTTCGGAAGTACCGCGTGCCTAAAGGAGTGAGCTGCTTCACGTTAACAAATTAATTTTAACGAATAATTCATATTTTCTACCCGTTTATTCCCTTCAATTCTAGACGGTGATCGTCACTCAGAATCAGGTGGCCTGCCGTTTGCCGGAATATTTTCCGGATCCGGATTCCTTCTTGCCGGAAAGGTGGCTTCGAGAGGAGACGAAGAGTCGCGTCGCTCATCCTTATTTGGTCCTACCCTTTGGCCATGGTCCTAGATCCTGCATAGCGAGGCGATTGGCCGAGCAGAACATGCAAGTTCTCTTGCTGAGGGTAAAGGAATTCCCATAAATTGGGCTCCTTGCAAAGATGCGTGCCTTGAATATTTTTTTAATCACTTGGTTCTTCAGGTGTGCCGGAAGCTGCGGTTCTCCTGGAGAGGAGGAGACCTCGACTCGCAGTCCTTGCTGATCAACAAGCCGGACGCGCCGATAAAACTGGAGTTTTCTCGTCGTTAAAGCGCTTAAATAGTCTCCATTTAAATTAGTATTCAGGATCCACGACGGTCTCTGTAAAATCCTTTTATTGTTCCTCAACGACAATGCAAACAGCGGCGATTAAAGATGAGATTAATTGTAAGTCATGTATTTCGGGGTGGCGGAGAACTTGGCATAGGACTTGATGACCTTGTTCACGGCCTCGAGGAAGTCCTTCTCGGTGGCGACCTTGCGGCGAGCTCGAATGGCGAACATTCCGGCTTCGGTACAGACGGAGCGGATTTCCGCACCGGTGCTGTTCGGGCAGAGTCGAGCCAAGAGCTCGAACCTGATGTCTCGTTCGACGCTCATCGAACGAGCGTGAATCTTGAAAATATGCGTGCGGCCTTCCAGATCTGGAAGACCGAATTCGACTTTGCGGTCCAGACGACCTGGTCGCATCAAGGCAGGGTCCAGAGTGTCCGGTCGATTCGTCGCCATCAGGACCTTGATGTTGCCCCTCGGGTCGAATCTGTACCAGTCATTTTAATTAGCATTGTACTAATTTTATTGCAGGAATTAGGTCTGCAATAGTTCAAACCGTACCCATCGAGCTGGTTGATCAGCTCGAGCATCGTTCGCTGCACTTCGTTGTCCCCTCCAGCACCATCGTCAAATCTGGCTCCTCCGATGGCATCAATTTCATCAAAGAATATCAAGCATGCCTTCTTACTGCGGGCCATCTCAAAGAGCTCTCTTACCATGCGTGCTCCCTAGGAAATCATTGGAAATTTAAATACTTCTTTTTGGAGGTAATTAATTTTTTTAAGATATATCGTACCTCTCCAACGTATTTCTGCACTAATTCCGAGCCAATAACGCGAATGAAGCAAGCGTCCGTCCTGTTTGCTACTGCTCGAGCACAGAGGGTCTTTCCTGTACCCGGAGGGCCGAATAATAGTACACCCTTGGGTGGCTCGATCCCAAGATTTACAAACTTCTCGGGCTAGAGAATGGAAAAGATTGGAATAAGTTACTCACACTGTTGTAAAGCAGTACCATACCTAATAGCCTATAACACTTACGTGTAACAAGGGAGTCTCAACAACTTCCCGCAGTTTTTCAATTTGTTCCTTACACCCACCTACATCGCTGTACGTAACATCAGGTTTTTCCTCAACTTGCATCATGGTAACCGTTGGATCAATTTTTGGTGGTAAGGGAATATGAATCTGATACTTGTTACGGTCCACCCCAACCCGCATGCCTTCCTCAATATCTGTGGGTGCCACAGAATCTGCCAAATCGACAACAAACTTAGCAAACTGCTTCACGTTTATAATGTACTTGGGACCATCTGAATCGGCATTAATTATCTTCGTGCAACGTGCAACTTGCAAAGGTTGTTCATTTTGCAGTGTCTGCTTATCCGCGGCCAAGTCCCACAGTGCGGGAGGTGCCAAACCCGTGTCGGACTCTTTGATACCCGTCAATTCGTTCACTCTCTTTATTATAGTCTGTATATCATCCTCAACACCCTTAATACTTTTTGAGTATTGACCTTGACACTAAAATAAAGAATTACCCTTCTTTAAAAAAAATCTATGTACATTAAACAGATACAGTACTTATTTTGTATCAATATGAAATATACTAAAAAAATATGACATTCCAACATACATAGGTTTTCAGCAACAAAATATCTCCCTCATCGAGAGCTGAAAAGCAGAGAAAGGATTTTTCAACAGAAATTCTTGAGAAGTGCAAAAATTGCAGCATACAAAATATAACCTTACATTTTATTTCCTTTTCCTCCTTCTCTTCCTCAGGTTTCACCTTCCGCATATCATCTCCTAAATGGTCCGGCATTTTCACTGTTGATCTATACCCTGATTGAATAAAGAACTCTAAGTGAGGTTAGAAGTACTCACGAATTACAAGCGAAATTTGACGGATGCCAATGTAACCATGGAGTATAAAAAACAGTTGGAGCAGGCGCTACTCGGATTTAAGAATTAAAGTTGTCAGCGCTCCGTATAGTAATCGGTAACTCATGGAACTACCGAGAAAAATTTAATAATCATAACCTGCCTTGCCCATCACTGATAATTCGAGCTTCCAGTTAAATCCGTTTAAAAACGCTCGACGGCCGCGAGTGGATTTTTCTCCAAAGTGGTAACCCTGATACGCAACGCAAGGCGTTACAAAGCCCGGATTACATTTTTAATAGTCTTACGTGTTAATAGATGTTGTGAAAGCGTTATAAGTCCTCCCGACGATTCCCGTAAGTCGACCAAAGCGTTTTTCCCTCCATTAAGCTGAAGGCGCTATCAAGTGGCTTCGAATTAGCACCGACTTGAAATCGCCGGGCAAGTGTTTCCCTCGAGATTTCGGAGCGGCTCCGATTTTTACTTTGCACGATTTCGAACGCTGCGCCGCCGATTTCGAATCAGTTGTTCAGTAAACAATGTAGTGAAACTCGCGGGATTTTTTCGTTGACGAGAGTGTATGAAAACGGAGTGATTCAGGTTATGTTCGCTAACCTATTTGTCAATGTGCTACGTTTGAGGATATGCAAAGAGGTACTTCTAGTTTCTTTGAAAGCTTGTTCAACTTGCGTTTTAATATTCAGGGTCTGCAAAAATGGCACAGCGGTTTCCTGTGCCTAATGCAGGAAGCAATGGCCCTCCACCGCAGCGTTATCCACCACCATCCGTTCCACCCAACCTGAGACAATATTCTGGACCAAACTTTCCGGTATGTTGATTTGTTTCCGTGCTGCGAATCACGTGTGCTTTATTATGGGGATTGACACGTGGTAGCTTTTGTATCAGATACAGCAGAGGTCAGGATTTACACCACCTCCGCAAATGGGCACTGGTGGTCCAGGGCCTGGAGGAATGATGAGACCGAGTCAGCCATACTCGAACCTACGACAGGGCCCAATGCCGACTCCACCTGGTGGAAAAAGGAGCGCGGATCAGCGCATACCAATGTCGCAACAAAAGCCGTAAGATCTCATCCATGTCATAATATTTTTCAATATTAATTGTTTAATTTGCACTCACTCATTTCTAGAATTTGAGAAATGCATCAGTACATAATTTCACTTATTTTTGAACATTTGGCTTAGTCTGATAATTTTTATCGTAATCGTAACCTCACCCTGTGAGGGAATTTTGATACTTGGCAAAGAATCATGAATCACAGCCCATCGAACACCCAAAGCACGCTTCCAAATTGATTTTAATTTCTCAATCTATGATTTTCGCGATAACTCATCTAGGTATTTTTGGAACAGTGATTTTTCACATTCCACATCGAAGAAGAAGAAGAAGCTGGCTGATAAAATATTGCCACAGAAAGTTCGCGATCTAGTACCAGAATCGCAAGCGTACATGGACCTGCTGGCATTTGAGCGAAAGCTAGACGCAACGATAATGCGGAAGCGCCTCGATATTCAGGAAGCTTTAAAGCGTCCCATGAAACAGAAACGGAAATTGAGAATATTTATCTCGAATACGTTTTACCCAGCTAAGGAGGCTGGCGAAGGGGAAGAAGGGTCCGTTGCCTCTTGGGAACTTAGGGTTGAGGGAAGACTCTTGGATGACACCAAGAACGATCCAAACAAGGTATTGCAGTGGAATAAAAAAATTCGCTAGTCGTTATGACAAGTACGATATTTATGCAATTTTCTACATAGGTCAAGAGGAAATTCTCCTCGTTTTTCAAAAGTCTAGTCATAGAACTGGACAAGGATCTATATGGGCCTGACAATCACTTGGTGGAGTGGCATCGCACTTTGACAACGCAAGAGACTGATGGGTTTCAAGTTAAGAGACCTGGTGATAAAAACGTTCGGTGCACCATTCTGCTGCTTCTTGATTATCAACCACTGCAGGTAATTAGATCGTTCTTTTTTTTTTCAAACTAATAAATTTAGTCAATCGGTTAGATAGTACTAAATGTATTAAATTAGTTTAAGCTAGATCCCAGACTGGCTCGGTTGCTCGGAGTTCACACACAAACCAGACCGGTCATAATATCAGCACTATGGCAGTTCATAAAGACGCATAAGCTGCAAGACAGCCACGAGAGAGAGTTCATTAACTGTGACAAATATTTGGAACAAATATTCGCATGTCCAAGGATGAAGTTCGCAGAGATTCCGCAGAGGTTGAATCCACTTCTTCATCCTCCAGACCCTATCGTCATCAACCATGTCATCAGCGTAGAAGGTTTGCATGGTTTGTAAAATTTTTTATCACTATATATTAGGGAGGTATAATTTATTTTTGCGTAATTAGGCACAGAAACGAAGCAGACTGCTTGCTACGACATAGACGTGGAGGTTGACGACACGCTGAAGACTCAGATGAACAATTTCCTGCTGTCGACTGCGAGCCAACAAGAAATCCAGAGTCTGGACAACAAGATCCACGAGACCGTCGAAACGATCAACCAGTTGAAGACCAATCGCGAGTTCTTCCTGAGTTTTGCCAAGGACCCGCAGCAGTTCATCAACAAGTGGATCATATCGCAGACAAGAGACCTGAAGACTATGACCGATGTGGTTGGGAATCCTGAGGAAGAGCGCAGGGCTGAGTTCTATTACCAACCCTGGGCTCAGGAAGCAGTGTGTCGATATTTCTACACGAAGGTCCAGCAAAAGAGAGCGGAACTTGAGCAAGCCCTTGGGATTCGTAATTCCTAAGCTCTGGAGGAATTCCCTATGGAACTCATCACGGTCAGTGGTGAGATTTGGGAGCTTCTCTAATCGAATCTCCCTTGTTTCGACGATGTACTTTTATATCTTTATCGAATGGTAACTCTCGTGTGTAACAGATCGATACTCCTGGCTCGAAACGACTTGTATAGTATATCGCAATTAAGAGCACGTAAAAAAAATCGTGACGAACCTTTAATTCCATCCTGTCAACCTCCACGGAGTGGTGAAGTTGCAAAAGGCGACGATTATTTATTTACACGGTTAATTAATTTCATTGTCACCATTACCGATGTACTGGGCAGATCGAAGTCTTTCTTGGACGTGATATTGCCTGAAGCCCCTATCTCTTAGTGCAGGAAATAAAGTGTTCCAACGTAACCTTAGCGAAGTCGATCCCGGAGACCCCTTCCTCATACGGCGATGAAAACGAATCCAGGGATAGTAAAAACCATGGATGGTATGTAATTTCACATTCTATTTATCAATTGTTCGGAATCGGTAATCACCTGTATAATAATATCCATGCTACAGTATTCGCCACGCAGTCACCTCGAAGCCACGCTCGACCTCACGCGCCTCGGGTTCCTTCTCGGAGAGGATAAGTATATACATAAAAAAAATTTGCGATACTCACTGTCTTCGCATTTAATCCTATACATTTTTCTCGTGTAATTTACAGGGAGAACTCATGCTTCGTCTGAAATCCAACGTGCGCGTTGCTTTCCAAAGAGGTGGAATCATGCTCTTCTCCGGAGCGTTACCCTGCGAGGTTATGATCTCCTCCGAACACTCAGCTGCAACGTTGCTCGCCGAGGACTCGCGGAAAACACGTCCCCTAATCATCAGCAATTTTTCATACGGCATATTTAGTGCAATAATAACGAAGTGGAATGAAAGAGGCATCGTTTAAATCCCTTTCGTCGAAGCCGCACACCGTTTACGCACGTGTTACTCGTCTTTCCCTCTCAACCCGTTACATCTCAGGTAAAGATTGTCAAAACGTCTTAAAGCTTCGCGAAAGATACTCGGAACTACGTATCCTCGTGCAATAAGCAAGAGGTTTCAACATCTGAATATATATATATGTATATAACAATCGTCGTAAACTTAGCAAATTGTAAAACAGTGCTTAGACAGTAGTTAAAGGTAGCGATCGCTCGGCACCAACGTGTACTCTTTGGTACGCTTTCTGTAGATCATTTTTGGGTACACGTTGGCGCGGAGTGTACCGACGGTTAAAAGGTTTTGGACACTTGAATGGCAATGATATACACATATAGAGAGAGAGAAAGACCTAAAAGAAACAAGCGACAGATTATAGGGTTCCTATTTAGAAATGATCAAGAGTGCACCGCGGGATGCCAGGTGACATTAGAGTTAATCGATAAATAGTTCAGGTAGGGGTCTCTTTGGAGGCCTCGGGGCTGCAACTCTGGCAACGTTAATAAATCATTTATAAATAAAATTATACATCAGGTCGCGGAGGTATGTACTCATAAGCCGAGAGGAAGAAGGTACCGTAAGCTGCGGAGGCAGTAATATAAAGTAACAAACCTACGACCTTCGAAATAGGAATTGTCGTAATGTGCGAGGACATTGTATCGAATCGTCTGTACAAGAGGTACTAATTAAATGTACATACGAATAAGACCTGCCAAAGAGAACGTTTAAAAACGAATGACATGTAACGTCCGCATCGATATAGACTAGTCCTTGGTTAAATGGTAACTAAAGGATACGACCAGATCGGGTTCCTTGAATTCTCTTTAGCAGCGCTTAAAAAGGTCCTCTAGAAATTCACTTAACTATACAGGCCTATACAAGAAATATTAATTACGTTCATAAACATTAATTAATATGCGGTAATGAATATGTTTGTCTTTATGCAGGCTCTGACCTGGGTCTTCGGATCAACGGGTAGAAATTCCGATAGCGATTCACAGCTCGCTCTGACTAGACTCAAGACAATGTTTCCGTTTAAAAGGCATTACCAGAACGGGGCTTAGCCCTCCTTTACTTGGCAGTGAAGTCGGGCCAGTAATTTATGTAGTAACGATGAGTTGAACCCTCAAACAGTCTGTCTAGCCACATGGACAGTCCATCCAAGAGGTTTTCGTGGTACAGAACGTCGTTCTCGCCCTGCAAATCACGATTTAAAATTAATTACCGTTAAATTTAACTTGAAAAGGACGAATTTGTCATTCTCGGACATACCTCATCTTGAGACAGCTCTGAATCGCTGGAACTGTCGAAACCAATGAACGCTCCGGCTTCGGCGTCATCTGACCGTCGACTTAGCCTCTTGGCCAGTCTTTCTATTTGCTGAATAATCAAATAGGATAGGTAGAATGGCGTTCGTTAATTTATGAAACTACTCTATTGCACCCTTCTCCTTTCACTCTCACCTTGGATCCTTTTCCCTTGTTGCACTCGGGGTGCTTTGCATGGTACATGCAGAAGTATTTACGGTGACCATTTAGGGATAAAACTGTCCCCACGCAATTCTTAGCATTAATGTTCAGCTCTCGCTGGTCAGGCAAGCTCAGTGACAAAAGTTTCTTGTACCAGTCAAGACCTCGTTCCAGTGACATGTGTCCGAACATCAAGGTCTTATTTTTCCTAATCAATCAAATGTGACGTTTAAGGTCAGAAGTCATTCGAGGTTTACTCGAGGAACTCACCTATAAGGCCACACGGCTCTGTGAAAAGCTGGCAGTAACTTCAGCCTACTCTGAACATCGACGAGCAATATGATCGTTCGACAGCCAGGCTTCAAAAGTTTCACAAGACCATTGTACTTCTCAGCTCGAAGTTCGTGTAACCTCAGCTGTGGTTGACAGGGCAGTGACTTTAGATTCTCCTTGCACTGAGCTCTCTTGGCCTGTACGCTTGCTTCCTCTAACTTTCTGCAACATCGATACTCAAAGTCACATTTGAATAAGACATACGAGTAACTAAAACTATGCTCGATCCAACTTACAATAAATACGACATTCCATAACCAGCAGCTCCGATTAACATTAAAGTAGCTATTACCGATATCAACGGTAAGAGTTGTTCTTTGGTAAGACTGTCGGAAATATAATCCACAGCCAGCAGTGCTCTGCCGATAAGTCTGTCTACAGCACCCTTTATAAATATTTAACGTTTACTATACGATATAATTTTTCTGTTCTCTAGGAAAGGGAAAATTGACTAACCTGTGCATGTTCGTCAGCCAGCTCTCCCACCTCCGCAGCATAGGGCAAGGCCTCGGAGACACGCAACAGTCTCTGGATAGTTTGCTCCAGGTTTCGACGAGTCTCGTTCCACTGGTTCTCATCTTGAGTAGCTTCGATCCAGCCAGTAGGTAACCATTCATATTTTAAATGATTCGCATCGCGCCTCCAAATAATTACGATGTGCAATAATGGCTCCAAAGGACTGCCTTCTCCCCCTGACAAGGCAGACACGAATGCTGGCTGCGTCTCCTTGAAGACATATGTATACCTCACCCGTTCGGTGCTGTATAATGTGACACAGAATTTAATTTCGTTCAATGATCACGTTTCCTTCTTTAGGAAATTATTCCATTACCTGTAAGGCGACACCAAAGCAGCTTGTCGAAACTTGTGCCTTGCTAAATCATGAACTGGACTGTTTTGCGAAATCAGAATGGCACATAGGCGTTTCTGTGGTCGCTGCCACTCGGGTGGGCAGACCGTATCCAGCATTGCCTGGTTCGACAGTCTTGGCAACATCAGGAACTTGTTATTCGCAATCACATTGTGCATTGTCTCACTAGGTATGTCCTTCATACTGACAGAAGCCATTGGCTTCTCAGAGTTCTCATTGAACAGCAACAACGTATCCAGGTCCCCGGATATTTTGTATTTCGTCGCGATGGCTTCGGTCTCGGCCTTTCCAACCTGTAGAAATAATACGAGAAGAATCTCCAGATTGCTTGCAACAATCTCTGGAAATATCGTAGACTCATTCGAATAGCTTTGGGACAATTACGTGAACAAAACCAAACGCCACTCGATCCCTGTGGTGGAAAGCTGTCAACAAGTACCGTAACCTCGCAGAGTCTCTCTTCTCGAATATCAAACCGCGAACCCTGTTGTCAACCCAGCCAGAGAGAAAGCTCTCTACGTTGTCATTGTTGACATTGTGGATTAACTTGTATGGAAATCTACTCCTTAAAAATTCTGCAAATAAAGACAGGACGTAAGGGAGCTGAGATCGAAGCCTCGCATGCTGCCAATTTCCTGGGGAGTTTTTTGGCTCACCTACAACTTTTTGGACACTAAACAAAGACTCTCTGTAAATGTTAGTCCGTCCGTCCAACGTGACGGCGAGGCAAGGTGGTGAATGCATTCCCAATCTTCTCGCTAGAGCTGGCTCTCGCTCGGCGTGAACCGTCACCAGACCTACGCCGAGTGGTTCCAGTTCTTCCATCAGGCGACGCCAAATAGGCTCCACTTGGATGCACGCGAAACACCAGTCGGAATATAGTAGAATTAAATGCGGCGTGCGGTAACTCTTTGGCACTATCACGTTCTCAAAGGCTCTGCAAGAATGACTCGACGTTACATTCCAACTTTGAACATTGTTAAGCAAATTCACGAAGTTATTAAAAATCGCACCGATACGTGATGCTCATTTTGTGAAAAAAGGTGTTGTCTCGGCTTTGGTAGTGAAACTTGAAGTTCCCGAACAGATCTTCTAGTGGATCTGGCGTATTAAAGTAAGCACTGTCCTTTCTCTGCCTCGGCATTCCTTCTTCCGTTATTCCGTGATTATCAAACTTTCTTCTCCTCTCAGGATCCGTCAAAAGCTGCCGACACCCACTTATTAATATATGAACTTAGAGAATGCTTTCTAAAATAATGCATTGTTCTCCTCACCTCGTACGCCCTCGTGATCTCAACAAATTTATTCTCGGCCGCCGGATGATCAGTTTTGTCAGGATGCCTAAATGAAAGCAGAGTTTATAGAAGCTTATCCATGTCTCTGCATAAAATCCTTTGGTCTTACCATTCTTTAACAAGGTTCTTATAAGCCTTCCTGATCTCTTGCAGAGTCGCGTGCCTGGATACTCCCAAAACTTCATAAGGATTTCCCAACGGTTCTCCGGCATGACTGGAGGACAGCAATTGAAAAAGAACGAGCAAGGTGGCGAGGAGCACGGAGATGCTCCTGGATGGAGCGAAACTTTTGAAACTTCCTCCAGCATTTTGGCATCTCTCGCCGATGGGGCCCAGAGCCATCGGAAGGTCGAGCGATGACGTTAAATTAGTTAAGATGCCAGAGTTGACGCAGCGTTTGAGGGGCCGATCACCGAGCATCTCGAGTCTACGTCGAGAATACAATTTGGAAGCAAAGGCTCTCTCGGGAAAAGGGTTCTCGCAGCTCAGAAACCAGAAACGCGTCTCTCCACACAACAGAGCTCTCCAAAGCTGTTTCTGTCTCCGTCAAAGTGTTTCGACTCCTCGAAAGGCAGCCGATGCTCCATGGCATATCCTTAACCCTCGCCTCGGGGAGAGAGAGGGCGTTTTCTGAAAAACTCAGAAACCCTTTAGGCGTCAAGGAGAAGTCGAATACTTTGTCATTTCTCAGCTGAGGTTATCGGCGCTCCTCTTGTTCCGAAGTGGTGGCTGTACCAAAATAGACCGCGACAGCACGGGCACTATTATTATCAACGGGCCCGCGAGTCCGCGAGGGTCTCCCTCCAGTTGGATCCCCGCTCGAGAACCCGACTCGATCGACGGACTCGGCGCGCTTCACGCTCGCCGCTGTTTCTCGAAGAATTTCATCGGGAAATCAATTAAATCACGGGAACGCTGGCTCTATCTTTGTCTCTCTCTGCGTGAAAACGGTACCTCCCTCGGTTGCCGCCAGGAGCGGTGCGCAACGGGCGCGGCCCGCGCGATTAATTAGAACGACAACGTAATTTAAGTATCGAGCATAGTTTTCCCAACGAACGCCAGTGCCGCCCTGTCAAGCCGTTCCGACTTTCCATTGGTCGACGGCTGGACCCGTTCCCGAACCAGCCAATCACAGAGCGTCTAGGGTCACGTGGTCCCGTACGGTGCCACCTATGCGCGCACCTCTGAACTCAGTAACGCAACAGCTAAAGCTACTTTACCATCCTTGGCCCGGCACCCTTCTTTTAAATGGTTTTAAATCCCGATTGAAAAAAGAAAATACTATTACCCTAAGAAATATTCCATTAAAATCCTCCTCTTTAGTGGCGCGTCATTCGGGATCGTATGTCGTTGATTAAATTAATTCGTGGAGTTAAAGAAATGGGAAATTCCAATGGATCGCTCGACATAAACAGGACGGCAGGCATCCCTCGGGGCACGATGTCTCCGCATGGCGCAGAATCCCGCGAGCCCCTTTCCACCCCTTTCTCCGTGTGGGAAAACGAACGGCCTGCGCGATGGCAGTCCCCCGGAGAAGAGGGTAGGATGGCGCGAGGGTGCAGGGCATCCGGTGGAGCCGCACTCGGCCTGCTGACGCTGCTCGTCGACCAAGTAAGACCGGACCCAGCCCATCGCTCGCGCCCACGAAGGACGCCTCCTGACATTCGCGCTTCCATAAAGGGCTCGGCCCGTCCCTCGAGGTGCCAGGCGTTCCCTTAATGCGTCGCGACGGGAGTCGATCGATACGAGATTCGGCCCTCGCCGGACTCCGGGCGATCGAGTAGTTCGGTGCGAGTAAGTTCCCGGCGAGAGCTCCGACGACGAGGCATTCTCGGCTCGCCACTTGCGATCATCCGAGCCGACGTAAAAACGTTCCTGAGAGAGAGAAAAAGAGGGGGACGACGTTGCTAGCCTCGTAGAGTCCCTTAGGACGTAGCGTTGGTAGGGACCTCCGGGTCCGCCACTGTCCGACGATTTTTCACCTCCTAATCGCTCCTCTTTCCTCTGTCCAGGTCGCCTCCGAGTTCTGCAATGGAGGGCACGTGTAAGTACCCGATGCTCTTCCTCTCATTTTTATTTCTTTGATTTCCTGGGACCTCGTTCTCGTCCCCAGATGCTCTCCGCCGAAAGAGTGCTGCTACCTGGGTTGCTGTTACGTGTACCAGATGGGCACCCCGGTCGCCGAGATGTTTACTATCCTGATCTGGACCTACTGGTACCTATGGTTCGTGCTCTGGAGATTCCGGTAGGCCGAACGAATTCCGGATCGCGGATTTAAATATTCCGGTCCTCAGGGTAGCCGTGCTGGCGGCCTTGGCCATCGCAGCGGCCTTCGGCTGTTGGCTGTGGAAACGTCGCTGCTCCAATTCCAGCGACGACGGCCCCTCCGACAGGGGATCCACCAGGACTTGTTACTATCCACCCCTCTACAGCCGGTGCAGCTCATTCGTGCAGACTCTTCCCCCGCCGTATAACGAGGTAAATAAAACAGGGGGACCGTTCCCTGAACTTCCTAAAGATGGATTTTAATTTTCTAAAATATAACCGCATCGTGTAAAATTTAATTTTACCTTTATCCAGGTCACCGCCAAGCCGGATCTCTACCCCCTGGTGATCGGGTATGAGGAGGGAATCGGCAAGGGCTCGTCGGGCTTCGTCATGCGGTACTTCAGGTCCCTGTCCCACGCCAGCACCCTGGACTCCCTCAGCTCCAGCTTCATGTGCAACGTCGTCAACGAGGCCAACACCATAATTCCTCCTCCGTACTCCTGCGGCGACAGCGTCGACGAGCTGTCCATCGCGGGCTGCGGCAGGAACGAGAACGTCAACGGCAGTTCCGTCGTGTCACTGGCGAACCACCGGACGACCTCGGACGTGTCGAGTCTGGCCGCTCAATCTCCGTGTTCACCACCTAGAGCCACCAGCCCTACGATAGAGGTAGCCAGGCCGATAATCGGGAGTAGACCTAGGATTCGAAGCTCTAACGCGTCCTCGTTTCTTCTAGCTACGAGAACTCCTGGACAAGATCCAGCAGCTTCCTCAGCTACCGATCCACCAGCACGCCCTCAGCCCCAGCGGATCGACGCAGAGACCCCTCAGTCCTGGGGATTTTGGGTCCTTCAGGACGAGGATGACCCGTGGGAAGATGTACGTGCCGCTGGGTCTTCCAAACTCCAGGAGCAAGACGAGAGGGTGGACTTCCCGCAGCGCGCCGACCACCCCCTCGGGCACCGTGCCAATATTCATGCCTGGCCAGAGCAGGAGGCCCTCCGAGGGTGAGGGAAACGATCAGCAAGGCGTCCCTCTGCTCTCCGAGCAGGACGAAACGGAACCTACCCACGGCGTCCCGCTACTCCCTGAACAGGACGAAGGTCCTCGACAGACATGACCGGCCAACCTCAACGTGTCGTCGCGGGACGCGCCCAGGCGATGACTCTCTGGCGACGACAGCCACCTCGCTCGCTCCGGCGGCCCTTGCGTATCTAGTCCCTGGGATCTCCAGGAGCCTAAGCCGAGGATGGCGTTATTTTTCGTATCGAGGGTCTATGGGCAGACGAAGGGGGCTCCGTGACGAGAAGCGTATCGAGATCCAGAGATGGGACGAGGCGAGGGTTTCGCATGTTTCGCAATTTTTTCGACTCGTCGCGTCGCTGGCTCAGGTTCCCGGATGGACCGTTTAGATGATAGTCTCTTCCTCGATGTTCTAGGCCTGGACCTCTGAGGGTCCTTACGTATCGCACCTCGGACACACATCGAATCTTATCTAATATCGTTAATCTAGTCTCGATAAGTCGGTCCACGCAACCGAGTCCTTCCGTAGGTCGTCGAGCCTCGCCTCGACTCTTCGAGCAGGCGCTCCGAGATAGACAGGTCCAGATTGCGCACCAGCGACACGGTTTCCATCCAATCAGCCACCCAGCAGCTACGTTCACCTTAAGGTTTATCGAAGACAATATGTACGAGGGTTGCACGAATTAAATGAGTAGTCTAAGGGCGGACTCGGAGCTCGATGCGGAGTGGGCATTCGCGAATGCTCCCTGGGTATCTAGGAAACCAGGTAGGATGGATTCTTTGCGTCATGGCACATTAAATCTACACTTATCCGTAGACCGCGGTAGATCACTCGTTCAAGATAGGCTCAACGATCTCGATCCAGTACGAACAAGTAACGAAACAGTCGCAGCCACGCCACGACGTACCGTCGCACTCGCACGTGTACACGCGTTATGTATCGACATGTATTTTTTTATGGAGTCTAAAATATAAATAAAAATCCAAGCTTTTATGACCATTCCTTCGCCGACCGTTCGGCGCCTATTTTGCGGTGCAGGTACGTTTGAATTTGCCGCGCTTCACCGCCGCGCCTATATAAAGAGCGCGCACGCGGCGGGAGGCGTCAGTTCGAAAGTGCGAGCCGAAGGGAGCGGACGTAACATGAGGCCTGCCGAGCAAGTCCCGTTTCTCACTTTACTTCTTATTTCAGGTAAGTTGGGAAGAGGGTAAAGGCTGGTCAAAGAAAAGGATCGCGGCGGGATGGAATCGCTTCACTTCTTCGCCCCGAACTTCACCTCCAGAAATATCCTTCTCCTGTCAATGACACGTCCTGTAAATGACCATTAATAATTTCTGCGACCGTTTGCGTAGTTCTTATTTCCGATTGCACGAGAACACCGGAAGTTTCACTTCCTCCGGATTTTTCTGCGCGAAAGTTCACGGCGGTTTCACCGCGTGAGATTTGTCTATACGAGCGGGAGGCTGCCGTTCATCGAAATTGGACGATGGAACGGTACTTTCACGTTGCCTTAAGCCGAGGGATTTTTAAAGATCACTTAGCTGCATCGAGAAAGTCTCTAAAGGAGATCTTTCCACCGACTGTGCTCTTCGAGGCCGTGACCGCCGCGCCGAGAAAAAGGGTCGGCACTCTTGACCTCGTAAATTCGACTTTTCCGTGCAAGCGATGCGAGATACGAAAAATCACCCCTTACAAAAGTTGTTCTCGACACCTTGCACTACATCTTTCGCTGGAGGAATTTTTTTGTATCCGGCATCGTTAAGGCAGAAAAATTCGAAGAAAGGAGCGGCGCGTACTCGGCAAGTCCTCCGCGCTCTGGCGGATCCAGTGTCGCACTTTCTTCCGATATTTTTCTTCGGAACATTCAACGAGAATTAACGATATTCTTTTTTTTTTTCGAAGAGAGAGCTCACACCCAACGGTGTGTAGAGAGTGTCAAAGACGGAGAAAGCTCCGACTTGTACCAGTTTGGCCGAACTGTCCCTTTTGCGGATCGGATGCCAACGGCGAGTCGATCGAACCTCGTTGTATAATATCCTCATCGATGCAATGAAAAGACCGAACCGTTCAATTAAACCATAAATTACCGGCGAAGAGTGCGATTCGCCCTCGTGCATTTATAAACATCAATGTTAATTACAAGCCCCGGATCCTTCGTGATCGATTTTTTGGCTCCGGTACTTTGTGTACTCTTTTTCTTTCTTTTTTCTCTGAGGCCATTACTAAAATCTCTCGCGAGGATATTTCGATCCTGGGTGAAAGGATTAATTATTGACTTCCTCCTTTTCAGGGTCGGTCCTGACACGAGGGAAAACGACGAATTGCATCGACAACGGGAAATTTTATCGCAACCCGAGAACGCCGACTCGCAGCGTTTGGTCACCTACGGAGTGCGCCAAGTACTACTTGTGTCTGGGTAAGACTCTTTTCCTTCGATTGCGAAATCTGCAGTCTCAATTTGTCGCGGGGTTTGCGCCATCCCGGAGCGATTCTCCGGGCAATGGCACGATAATTTGTGGACAAACGAAGGAATTACGCATTGCGTACACGCGTGACCATTAGGAGAGAGCGAGAGGACTTCGGAGCGGAATTGAGAAAGAAACGTGGCTAGTTTGTAAGAGAAATAGCAGGTATTACAGAATTGCGATTCATGTAAAAAGATCTGTCGCGACGCTGGTAAATCTTAATATTAATTCTTATTCCTCTCCAGATGACGAGGTGTTCGAGTTCAAGTGTTCCGAAGGGCTTCTGTTCGATGTCTCCAGACAGATTTGCGACTTCAAGGCGAACGTGGAGAATTGTGACGTGATCTCAGGTACGAGGAAATTTATATGCCGTTGCCGAGGGTTAATGCTGGTCGCAGGAGATTATGAATGGACCGAAGTATTTTTCAGAGAAGCAGCCTTCGAAACCTTTGCTCGAGAGTGAGGACTGCGAAGATGGGGAGTTGGCTTGCGGAGATGCTACCTGTCTCCCTGGGCATTATTTCTGCGATGGGAGTCCAGACTGCTCCGATGGCTCCGACGAAGGATGGTGTGGTATGCAAAACTCTACCTGTGGATCGAATATGTGATTACTGGTAATTGAACTATGCGCCCATGTACGTAGACCTTCATCACGATCCAAATGCTGCGACCCCATGTGATCCAAAAAGGTGTCAACCACCAGATTGCTGGTGCTCTGCAGATGGCACAGAGGTTCCAGGAAATTTGTCTTCGACGTCTGTACCTCAGATGATGGCCATCAGCTTTGACGATGCCATCAATGCTGAGAATTTTGACGTCTACCTGAGTAAGTTCGATATCGAGGAAGCAGATGTGCCGATTTATGATCGGTAGATGCCGTTTAATCGACACTTCACTTTAGAGTTGTTCACGGAGAACAGGAAGAACCCGAATGGGTGTCCCATCCGAGGAACCTTTTTTGTCAGTCATCAGTACACCAATTACAGAGACGTACAGTACCTCTGGAATGCTGGACACGAAATTGCTGTTCACTCTGTGACGTGAGTTTATTTTTATCGGATGCAAATGTTACGTTAACAGTTATTGTGACCACGCTTACTTCTCTTTGCGAAGCCATCGTGGCCCACAAGAGTGGTGGTCCAGGAATGCTACGATAGAGGACTGGTTCGATGAAATGGTCGGCGTGGCAAACATCATAAATAAATATGCAGGAGTTCGGATAAAAGATATCAAAGGTAACGCAAGTTAGATTATTGAGAATAAAAAATCGGCAGGTAAAATTTTCAATTACTTTCAGGTTTGAGAGCTCCTTTCCTTCAGATGGGCTGGAATCGACAGTTTTTAATGATGACAGAGTTTGGTTTCCTATTCGATGCATCTATGATAGCACCGTTCTCCGATCCTCCATTGTGGCCGTATACTTTAGACTTCAGATCTCCACATCGATGTGTCAGCAAAGAGCAGCTCTGCCCATCGAGAGCGTATCCGGGTATCTGGGAGATTCCTGTGAATCAATTTCTCTCAGGGGTAATCAATGAAATATTTTGCAGAGTACGTATGAGATTCGTCTTTAGCTGAGACTTATTTCAATATCTGCTCCAGGAATATGTGTGTACTTCAGTGGACTCTTGCTCCGTGAACTTGTCTGGCGAAGAAGTTTACAAAATGTTAATGTTGAATTTTAAGAGGCACTATTTAAGTAATCGTGCCCCCATGAGTCTTCGTTTGCATTCCGCATGGCTGCAGAATCCTACATACTTGTATGCATTCGCTGTAAGTTTTTTATTTTTACAGTTGATAAATTTTATTACTGGGATTTATATTTAACTAATTTATATAGAAATTCCTGGATGATATTCTGCGTCTGCCAGATGTGTACTTTGCGACACATTATCAGATCATAGAATGGATGCAAAAGCCAACTCCGATAATGCAGCTTCATTCGTTCAAGCCGTGGCACTGTGAGAAGCAGCATTTCGAACCTTATGAACTTGCTTGTGACTTGCCAAGTACGTGCAAGCTGCCAAGCAGAGTGCTGAAGTCTGATAGATATTTACATACGTGTTTCGAGTGTCCGAAACAGTATCCATGGTTACGAAATGAATTTGGCTTAGATTAGACTCCGATAGCTTTATAACGTAGAGTTGATTGTTACCAACTTGTGATTTTATATTTTTTTACCATGGTACAAACTTGAGGATGCTTTTCATATCACTCTGATCTAGTTTTAAGACAAGTGCCTACGTTTCATGCACTGAGAACAGTATTTATTTACCAGTTAAATAAAAAAAAATGAAAGACTAAACTTTATGCAAAACCTTAACTTTTATTTACTCCTCAATCTAGGTATTTTATGTTGTACAATAATTTAGAATTGATTTCCACAGTGAAAAAACATTGCACTGCAACGTAAGTTAGCTCTTATCAATAAATAATAACGCACCATAAATTACCCCTCCTGTTGTATAAATGGGTTTTGAATCGACTCCATCCCATCTACAGGGCAGATCAAGACTACGGATGTTCCTCGACATACAACTAAGCCCAGCATTCGTGTGTCTTGATTCAACTTATATGGATCATCGGGATCTGAAAAAAATTATCTTGCCAACCAATGCAGTAAACAACATACCATCTTAAAATCATACGCCACCACGTACCTCTCAGATACTCCGTTGTGTTATCGAGTACCAAGTTCAGCAAAGGATCGTAGCCTTTAAGAATTCCTGCGGTTTCTCGTCCTCCAGCAAATTTAACTCTGATGTTCTTTTCTAGATACTTTGATAGGTCTAAAATACTCTCTTTCCTCTTCTTTTCCTTATGATCGCCATGAGCATTTTGCGTCTACAATTTTCATACGCGAAAAGTATCAATTAAATACACATTGGCAGTGGAGGTTAAGTCATCGAAAGCACGGACCGTTACCTGTTTAGGAGCCTGCAAAGAACGAAAAATTGGTGATAAAAAATATAGTTTCGCACAAAAGTGTCTGAAAACAAAAACTATAAAAGAATTTAGTTTACTTACTGACATATTTACGCAGAAAATCTGAAAATGCGTGGTATCGGATTCAAACGGTATAACAAGAGACTAGACCTTTATCGACCGAGTAAGTTGCACTAGCAGCTCAGTAGAAACAGCTTTCACCATTTTTTGCCCCCAACGGCGGGGCAACGAATTTCTGGTAGGGGCTCCCACACTCGAGATGGCGGTATCATCTACCAGTAGGTGGTCAGGTGTCGACCGGGAGAAGCGACGGTACGGTAATTGAAGACTCCCGATTATCACAAAACCCTAATCATCATAAAATCCCCAAATTCTAATAATAAATTTGGAAATTTATTAATCAACTATGTATTAGACATTTTGTAATTGCATCATCTTATAATTACGGATTTTCCGTTAAGGTGACGAGAAAGAGGCAACCGAGGGGTCGGTTGATAAGGAAATTTTTCACAAATCTAGGTGTACCTAATCGTTTGAAATTTTATAACGTCAGTATAAAGACCCTAAAAAAGGGTTCCATAACCATGAAATTCCGTTATTATAAAGAAATTTCAAAATTGGTATATACAAAGGTGTGATAAGGAACTGCGCATGCGCATGCCGGGGTCGGGGACCCTATATAAGGCCGAGCGCGCGGTCGGAGCGTCATTACCCTTTGGTCTTCCGAAGGGTAAACATCGGGGTACCCGCTTCTACCGTCGCTCTCACACACATACACACACTTGTATGTATATTAGAGCCCTATTAGGGCCCGGTTCCACCCTCGAGTTAACTGGAGTTTAACTAATTTAACCCCAGCTTTAACCTGCGGTTAAATCTAACGGTTAACCCCAGTTTTAACCTACGGTTAAACCTAACGGTTAACCGCAGTTTTAACCTACGGTTAAATCTAAAGGTTAACTCGTTTTAACCAACGGTTTAACCTAACGGTTAAAAATCAAACTTCGGTTAACTTGGGTTGTGAAACCGGGCCTTCTGGGAGACATCCCCTCTCACTTCCGTTCTCTTTCTTAATATATTTAATTTAATTTATTACGTTTGTAACGGGCTTCGGTGCGCAGCAACCTCCACGTGGTGAGCCTGGGGGACCGGTGGTTTCCAACTATCGTTGAAAACCCCCGGTCCGCAAATAGCTGCGCGAGTGATTCCACTTAGCGTGTTTTTTTTTTGTATGACAGTAGCTTAACGTAGTTAAAAGTGGAAGCACTCATTGCGTGCGGGCGAAATTGTAAATTGCGGACAGGACATTGTCGGGTACCTTTCTATGCAGCTGGTAATTTCGGATTTGTGTTCTAACCGAAGTAGATTTTTGCAGGTACGGCGACGCCGTACCTTTAGTGTATCCGGCAGCTTCCGTCGGCACCTAGTACGTCGTAGCTAAGCTACGGCGTGCAAGGCTACCTGGCTCAGGTTGTCGGTTGCGCGATACGTTGTTTCGCTCTGGCGGCATCCCGCGGGGGCTCTGCCTGCTGTAAGCCGGGACAAGCCCGTCGACTGAAACTCGTATTCGCGGGCCGACAGCCGAGCCGGGTTAGTCGTCGGTGACGGTGGAAGCTGCTGGATTGTTCGCGTTAGAAGTAGTATGCCCTTCCGGCAAATTATATCCGTAATTCAATGCTAACTGGCAAGGTACTCGGCGACTTACCCTGTACTCTGCGGCGAGCGTTGTATGGACGGATGAGTATGGTATGCGAGTGGTGTGTTGTATGGACGGATGCGTATGGTATGCGAGTGGTGTGCTGTATGGGTTATGAAATCCTGGTTCTGTGAGTTCCTGGGACGCCGGGAACTCAACGGAACCAGGTGCCTATGCTTAGGCGGGTCCCAATCGCAGCGGCCTCCTCGTGGCGGGACCTGGGGGATCGGTACCATCCTTATGGGATGACACCGATCCGCGAACTAGCTGTGAAGTAGAATTTAATTAAGATAAAATTTTACCTTCCTGTAAAAAAATCGGAGATATTAAGAGTTGAAATTCTAACAGGAACATAGAATAACCGAGGAGCTGGCACAGAAGTTTCCCGGGCAAAAATTTTAGGGACCGAATTTTTCGACTTCTAACAGGAACATAGGACAACCGAGGAGGTGGCACAGTTTCTCCCGGGCAAAAATTTTTAGGTTTGAAATTTCGTAAGTGATCGAATGAAATTATGTAAGCGATTAACAAAAAATGGACCCAATATTTTTACGATGACCGCAGAATCCTCCCAAGCGAAACATTTGCTCAATCTCTCCATCGGAGTGTGTCAAGGATACAATTAGTCATCGAATTGAATCTACACTGATTTATAACAAAAATCGATTGTTATTTATTTTGTAACATAATTACATACTTAACCATGCGTAAGTCTTGTGTAAGTATATGAAATTGTGTAATTACTTCCGTCACTTCTTCTTTAATTTTTCCTGCTCCACTGGTTTGGAAGGATATATTGCGAAAAGCGACAACTGAGCCGCAGAGAGTACAAATCCAACTGCATTCTGAAACTGTCATAATTTTTTTTTTCATTTATTAAATACCAGAAGGATTGCAATAAATTCTGGTGTTACTCACGATTACAAAAACGTTGTCAATTATAATGCCATATAGCAGCCACTGAAAAGTCACTAGAGTCGCCATGAGAATAAGTGGAAATGGAAGACTTTCTGTGCTTTTAGTTTTTATAATCTCTCCCTGTTTAATAATCAAGATAATTATTGATTAATTCGGTATGTAGTACCTCTGAGTGTCATAATTCAGTGATTACTTACGAGATTAAAAAGGGGTGCTCCGAGTAAAAGTAGCATCAAAACCGTAATTATAATCCCACACCGAAATTCAAGGTTCTCCGAGCTTTCTATTTGCATATAACCTAGGATAATGGCAAGGAATGCCACAGCTTTGGCTATTTTTAAGTGTACATTGCTCTGAAAGTATAAGATAAATAAAATGCAACTAATGTATAAACTTCAGCGGTACGCTAAGAACAAGTCTGACATGAGTATTTACCTTATTCGGTGAATATAAATAATAAAAAATGACATACAGTAAATTCAACAGTAAACCACAAATATTAACATTGATCATGTTTTGGTCCCCAAGGATCAAAGCATACTGCAGCATCAAAATGCACCTGAAATCATTAAGAGACATTACTTATATACCTATCAAAAGAAAAACCTAACAGAGGAGCATGAACTCTTACATCCCTGTGCCGCCAATAAAGGGCATTGGATCAAAACCTTCCGAATTCCCTTTATGATAAATGTCCTTGCATATTATCCTGGAGACAAATCAAAATATTCTAAGGTACACTTATCAAAAACACAACACTTCGAACCTGTGGATGAATTAATATGTAACTCACGTTCCAGCAAACATTTGTCCTATAGTCGTGACCATTGCACTCGTCCCCACGATCTCTTTATAATCTTCTAAAGGCATTGTTCCTTTTGTGTTGGCACGTTGTATGGAAAGAAGGGACTATTCAAATGTATAACAGATATTCAGACTGTCTATCTACAGCAATCGCTGTAAGGAAAATCAAAACTACAGAGTACAATTAGTTTGTAGCACTTCCCTGAGATATTTATCACCTTATTAATATAACTTACTGGTTATTTTGTAATGAAGTATTATCTCCTTCTATCCAGCGAGCTCCTTCTCCTCTTGGGTTTGAGACTGTATTACAGAATCCTGTGCAAAAGACCATTGAATGTAGTACTGTAACGTACCTCCTTCCTAACCACTCTAGCCTTCAATCAATTCCTTTTAAACTCACAGGCAGGCAGAACAAGTGTTCACAGTTCATCATATTGTGCACTCTCTGCGACGAAAGTTCGATTATTAAGCGGAATTTAATATATCAGCGACGTTAATCAATCCAAGGACGCATAACCGTTACTCCAATAAATTCGAATTGAAATGAATTAAAGCGTAGTGGAAGCTCTATTATCAACTCCGCTTTTCTGTGGATCCAAAGTCATTTCCCCTGGAACCGTGCCGTGATTGGCCTTTGATATCCCCTACCACATCCGTAAATTATTCAGTATGTTAGACTAGGTTACAAATGCAGCAGAACGCCTTCACTTTATTTAATCAGAAAACTCTTTATCGCGAGGACGTATAATCGCAAGATGACTTTGAAACCGTATGTCACGATTGCATGCTAAAAATTAGAAGCTAATTGTGACAAGGTTCAAAAAGCTGTCGAGAGAAAAATGTTTATTTCAACGTAATTTACAGTCGGTAATAATTAATGGAAATATATATATGTACACTGTACGAATTTTATTTCTTCAGTGCACGAGCTATGTTACAAATTAAACTATCCCGACAGCGATGAACCCTAGTTCTCCTTCGTGTTTCTCGGATGCTTCCTCGTCAGTTTCTATGCATCTACCTCAACAAAAATTTTACTTTCCTTTTTTCACTTCGCTTGGAATCTCTTCGCACTTTCTCTTTCGTTTGCACGCATTGAGCGATGCATTGATGTCCTTCTCACAGTTGGAGTATGCCATACCGAGTCCAAATCCAGCACCGACGATGATGGGCCACTTTCCTAGAAGACAGGTAATCGTGTAAACTTTCTGCCTGATTCCTGAGGATGTCGTAACTCCTTCGATAAATGATCTACTCCATAAATGGTTAAATACTGAATTTGACTAAAATTTGGTAAACGTAAAAATCCATTTGTGGAATAAATAAGTCTAAAAATTCCTGATTTCGTGTTGACTCAAGTAAACTGGACGCCGGGACTTACTTTTAATAAAAAGCAGGGAAAATACTGAGCCCAAAAAAATGCCGCCTCCTGAAATCCATCAAAACATGAGTGAGCAGCTCTTCAAAGCTACCTATTACTGCTCCTCGATTAAAGGGCTTATCGTCGGGTAAAAGTTACCCAATTTCAGAACCGCGTCCGTGAAGCAACGGTCCCACTTTCGTCCAATTTCATCCTCGCTCCACGTACTAGCCATTTTTCCGCAGGTCCACGAACGGGGGGGTTACGTCGTGCACTTCGGAGCATCGACAATGCTCGTTTCTAAGACTGTCTAATCAGTTAACAAATCGAGTTCTTTCCTTATCAAGATGCCGACCGTGGCTAACAACTTCCCGAATCTGTTCAAAGAAGGCGCCACGGGAGATTCAACATGGTGGCCTAGCGTCACTTTTAACCTCCTCAAATGAATACGCTGTATGTACAGTTTCCCTACACATAATTCGCACTTTACCCTGAATTTTTTTTAATTAAAATTTTATTCTCAGTACTTTTTATATTTTTTCATGTGAGATACTTACTTGCGATATTTTGAAGCAAAGGAGGTTAGGAGATGTCAAGTTCCCTAGTCGACAGCCAAGGGGAGGACGGCTCCATCGGAAGCACTGTCCACCGATTGGCCGGCAAGTATAGAAAGTGACAGTTCCTGCTTTCTGCTTATCCCTTCCTCGTCGATTACGCTTTCAGATAAGTCTCCTGCGCCAAATAATCCGGCGACGAGTCATCTCTCGTGTCATCTCGTTGGGACGGTCATATGACTCGACCGCATGTGACTTTATTTACCGTTGGGCTACGACGAGAGGAAGATGTATGGTGCAGTCTCGCGAGCACTCGTCATTGAGATGCCAGCCTGCGGTTCGGTGCGCTCTGACCGACTAGGCACTCGCAGCGAATCGCGAGCTCTATGATGCCTTTGCTCAACAAACTCCTCGCCCCGAGAAACGAGCGCAAGCGGTCCGACCACGCTCGCGCCTCGACGAGCGAGCCTTCCAATGCCAACGAAGGGTGAGGAACCACCTAATCGTCGATTACCACCTTTCGTCCGACTCAAAACTGCTCCATCGAGGATTCCTTCCTCTGCCGTAGAAAGACATCTTCCCCGAGGTTTGGATGCTCGATGGGTAGACACTGGGTTCGATTTTCCTGTTTCCTAGGATCTCGAAATAAAAAACAAGCAATCCGAGAGTTTAAAATGATCGTACATTGAGAGCAACCCTTGCTTCGAGCCCTTTCCGACTTGTACACTTTATTTCTTATCTCTTGTCCAGAATCTAATTTTTGTGAACTTTGTAACAGCGTAAGTAGTTTTGAGAAAATTAGTTAATCGAGTAATTAATCCAAAGTTCAAGATCTGAGCTTTGTGAGGGAAAAAAACGATAGCTAAGGCAAGATTATCTTTGATAGATAATAAAGTTCTTCCTATCAAGATCTTTGTATCTGATTTGTAAGAACTTTTTTAAGATGCATCATATGTCGATGTTGCAGGAATGCGTTTAATTTTGGAGCCGATCAAATAAGAGTCCTTCTGTTTCGAGAGTGCGAGTGGAGAGGCAGAAAACTGCTGTTCGATTCAATTGCGGTTAAGAGATCGTGCACTAATTCTCAGTGCAATTTAATTAAGAGTGATGCCGAGGCTAAAAGCGATACTCACCAAGAGATCGTCGATGGGTTCATATACGAGGTGATAGCTTAATCACATTTTCTCAGATATGCCGTCTGATTTGTTTTAAATTGGAAGGGAACTTCATTCTTTGATTTACAGCATGAGAAAATTGCCTGCGGTGACGTAAGTCTTCTTGGTGAAATGGTATTCGGTAGTGTAGCCATGACATACAAAGGACCATCTTTTAAGGTAAATTGATTAATTCTACTATTCAATTAATCATGAATATCATAAAAATCTGACATTTTTCTTCAGGTTCATGCAATCGATTCTCCTCCGTGTATTATGTGCACCAAAGTTTTTCCCTCTCCAGATTACAATATATGTAAGCAAAGGTGAGCACTTATTGAAAATCATGCATTGGACAGAGAATAAATGCCTGTAATTAATTCCATCTTATTTTTTCAGTGAGAGACATTCAGATGAGACCTTGGGACCTTCTGTGAATACCGAGTCCAATTCCAGTAGTGGCAGTGTGCGTACTTGTAAGTAAAACTTCAACATCCATGGTAAAGCGTGTACTTTAAATAAAGGTTCACATTCAAAAACAGTCTCGCGTCCAAGTTCTGGAAATTTGTCGAGCAGTGGACCAAGTCCCCAACTCAGGAAGAACTCTACGTGCTCAAGTACTTGCAGTAGTTGGGACATAGACGTACCCTCACCGCATGACAGTAAGACTCCGAATTATAGGTTATACGCGATTGACATTAATTTGTTTTACCTGACTATTACTTTTCACCTTTTCTTTCTTAGGCTCGCAATCTCTAGAAAGTGCCAACTTGTCTGGAGTAGGTAGCTTGTCCAGTCTGCGCAGGAGATGGTGGAGAGCAGTCTCTACTTCTTTGAGCCGTTCCGAGTCGGATGACATTTTTGGGGCTCACTGTGGTGAATTCAATGGCGACAGTCATGACAGCCAATCCAGACGACAAAAAACCAGACTAGGCCTTGCGATGCTGGTGCAGCTTACTAGGGGCCAAGAGAGGTTAATTATTAATATTAAATTATGGAATGAGTAATGTTATATATCTTTCTTACTTAAATCATTTTTCTGGGTCGTGTACAGAAAAATGGAGGCACAGTTGCTGGAGCACGCAGCCATGCTCGAAGGGACCCTTGATCGAATACATTGCAGTTGCTTCGAGTCAAGCAGGGATCGATCGCAGGGCAAAGGAAAAGGTCTTGTGTCAAGAATGTACAGAGCCTCGGCTCGATGCACGATCTGGCTGGTGCAACTTTTGGTGGACCCTGGAAGTCTGTCGGCACCTTCGATCTGGCACGAGGTGTTACTCAATTCCACGGTCTCGATGGAAATGAGAGTCGACGTGCTGTACCGCAGCCTCCATCAAATGTGTCAGCTGCTCGACGACGCTGACACGAAGTCCACCAACTTGTGAGTGACCAACGCTTAAATGCCCACGTCGAACTTCCGGAATTTTAATGTTCTTTCCTCCGGACGATCCCTAGTTTCCTGAGCACCGTTGTGACAGCTGTACTTACATACCACCTTGGCTGGGTGCAAACTGTTTTGCCTTCGCAAGCTCGACAGCTGGTAACTTTTTTGCTAATTAAATTTATACTCTAAATGTTCTAAAAAAATACGGATGAAAATGTATAAATAATACTATTTACCGTTTAGGCAGAAAGATTAGGGAAGACGTATCCATGTAATCCATTGTGGGCTCAGCTGACTGACTTGTATGGAGCATTGGGAACTCCTCTGAGACTCGTTCACACTGTGGTTGCTGGTGATTCCGAAAAGACGGAGTTGATGAATGCGGTGTTAGCCTTTCTGTCATACTTTATACGCAGTGGAATAGTGGAGAGACGTAGAGAATATCGTTGCCCTTCCCAGCAAGATGTCCAAGAAGCCATCGTTCTCCTGGAACAGGTTAAAAAAAAGCATCCAGCTCTGCTGGACCGGAATAAGGCCACTGGTGTATCCGGTGATTCAAAAAATTTACTCGAGTTAGATTCGAACAGTCTTATGGTGCAAAGGAAGTCTTCAAAACGCAGAATGGAAATTGGTAACAGCAAAGATAGTGCGTCGTCACAAAATGAACCTGTCATAACGATCGACACGAAACTGTCTAAGCTGAAGAGAAGCTCTACGATGTTGAACAGCCTTGACAATTGTGCAACAGACTCGACGAAGACCACCTTTGAAGCTCCAAGTTTAAAAAAGGAATTTCAAGATGAAAGGGAATTGGAGAAGAATATTCCTTCCAAGGATTCTGATGAAGACTGCGCTACCAGTAAGGTTAAAATAATCGTCAATGAAATTGCTCCTCATGATCTCATCACGGAAAAGGAATACCTGCAGACGAGTTCCCCATTGCAAGACTTGGAGAAGAAGTTTGAAGTCGAATCAGAGGAACGATACATGGGAGAGAAAATTGCTTCGCTGCACAGGCATCAGAAAAACGGTTCCATAGATGTGCAGAAACTGTATTCCAGTGACATTGAGGACGAAGAGTGCTCCTTTCTGCCTAGCGATCCTACAAGTGCCAGTAAACAGTCTCAAGTCTATTTTACACTTGGCAACGAAGAAAGGTTCTCCAAGGCAGGACAAAAGCCCGAGTTCAGCAATACTTGTCAATGTTCATTTGCTTTCGTCGGAGCGCCTAGTACGTCAGCCCAATTATTGGAAGATGTACTGCGGAAGATCATCCAAAGAAACTTCCCTCAGTCCTCGAAGAGCATCCAGTCTCCTCCTGGCACTTCGGCTAAGGATCGTCCAATGGGATTCTGTTTAAAGTGCAATGGGAATGGTTACTCGGTGCCACTTTGCTACGAAAATGGCAAACACCTCCTGGAGACTCCGACGAATGCCACAGAAGTGTTGCGAACCTGTGGCAACACGGTTGGCAGTCGGAGTGGTGGGCGAATCAATAGGTCGAACAGCTTGGAGGCTCTGATGGAAGCCAATGGTGTCGTGGAACTGCCAATGCCTAGGTAGGTACTTTAAAATTCTGCGTTAAGTAATCAACAGGCCTAATCTCTTTCATTAATTTTATTCTTCTACCTTAGGTCTAAAAAAGTCACAAAGAAGGAGATAGATCGAGTGGGTTTCGCCGATACCCTACTGCATAGAAAAGTATCAAACTCAAGCGAGAAGAGTCTTGCCCCTGAAGCTTGCGACTCCGGCTACTCTTGGGGTCTGGTTGTGCAGGGTCTGGTTAAAAGGAAGAAAAAACGAAGGAAATTACAGCTCGAGAGCAAGAACCTCGCCAATGAAGGCGAAGCTGAGGCTAAGTGGTGGCAGTCCGCCAGAGAGGAGCTTTCTGTCGGTGTTCGATTTCCAGTGATCGATCAACCAGTCCCTGAGGCGTTCTGCATCCTTGCCGATCTTGACACTTGGCAAGTGGGCCTGATGTCCAACTGCATGTCCCCCCAGAGTCCTCCTTTGCCCGTGGGCATGTCCAGACTCGTGGCTAACATGCTCGAGGCTTTCCACTACGTCTGGAGAAAATATCGCTCTCCAATGCAAGTAAGTATCGAGACTTTTCGCCCTTAACCTCTCTACGGTGCTCCTTATTTTTATATCTGCCTTTCAGTGTGTCCATCTCTTGGAAGGTAAACTCAGAGAGATGTGGCTGCGCAGTGAGGCTCTATCGGAGATGCTGCTAACAGCTGATGTCTGCGAGGCCAACATTTCTAACCTAACAAATGCTCTGGACTTGGACGCTGCGGACATCCCGTTGTTGCTGGCCGTGGCGACGACGCACTCTCCACAGATCACGCAGCGCTTTGGCCTGACGCTTGCTTGATGATGGACACAGTTGTACATATATAAAAAGCGAGTCATGAACGTGGGGTCTAACGTCAGGAATTCTCCCAGCGTGGACGTTCCAGACCATGTGATCGGTCACGTAACCACCCATGTGGTTTCCACGTGGTCGCCGGGAAAAAGTGTAAAGAGCTCCTCAAAGTATTTCAAAAAGGTACTTCCTCCGAAATTTGCGATTTTCAGAGCGCGTTATGCGGAGATATATGTATATACGTGTATGTAGAATCCTGTTAACTGTATCAACGGTATAAGAAATGCGGAACCAAATATTCTCTAGGGCACGGGGGGGGATAAGTGAGAAAATCGAGTAATAATCCGTCAACGGGGTTTCTCTATACCTTAAGCTGTATACGATTCTTCTTTCTCTTTTGTAAAATACAGTTTTGTCGTCACTACCGAATTAATGTGTACCCCATACCACTCTTCCATTGTTCTCGCCGATAAATTCGCGCGCGTTACGTCGTCCGCGGTGAGCCCGGTAAATCGTCCTCGTGAAAATTTCTCCTCGATAACCCCTTATCAAAAATTGGCGGCGAATCGCGAAAAATCCTCTCGGCTTTTAGGAAATTGCCGAAGTCATGGAGATCTGTCCGCCGGCACCGTAAGTGTTGATAGAATCGCGGAATTAACATTTTTCCCGGAGCGCCCCAGAGTCCTGACTTTCCAAGGAAATATATCTCTTACGAACTTTTTATTCCCAACCGCAGATTAAAGCGACCGCGGCTCCAGTCGGTCGTCGAGGCGAAGAATAAGATCCGCGTGAGTGGGTTTTAATTAAAATTCCCGACAAATCTGGCAATCTATACCTAATAAGTTTGGATTAAAACCAATCCCGAGCGGGTCTGCGCATAACTTGGAGCGGTCTGAAAATCCCGGAGAATTTTTTATGCCTCGCGTTACGTCGGGCGTGGAAACCCTTTGAATGTACTTAACAATTTTCGCGATTCCACGTTTCGTTTGGGAAATACCGCGTTCATTGTCCGCGGGACGATCTCGGGATTACGAGTCCGTAAAGCCGGCGCCAAGAATGATTTTTATCTGGCTTTCAGCTGGGTCACGACGAGTGCTGCAATTGCTGTTGCTGTTGCTCGCCGCAGCCTTCTTGTTACGTGAGCCATCGACTTTTAATCCTTAACGGAGAGCCGTAAAACGCAAATGTAACCGGCCGATGCTCCCCCTGTATCATCCGCCTGTCCTTTTACAGAAATACGTTCAGCCGCCCGTTGCGAAATCCTACGCGCCTATTCGGGTGAGTGCGAATCTCCCTCGTAGAAACTTATTAAATCGAGGAATAATTGGACGCTCTAACGTTCTCTATCGTTCCCAAGTATTACCATAAAACGGACGTGCCGATGGAGGGGAACACTACGTACCGATTGTCGTTTTGGGAAGGTCCTGGCGGTACCAGAGAAGCCATCCGTCCTGAGAATTGTCTGGCCGTGGGAGATGGGTTCATGTCCGACGACACCACGCACAAAGTACCTAAATAAATTGGCTGGATTAAATTAGGTCGTAAAATTAACTCCAATAATTCCCAAGAGTAGCTAATACGGCTTTAAAAAAAATTCACTCACGTGAGATGAATTTCAGTTGAGCTATCTGGGAAACTGGTGCGTGAAGCCAGAAGACCCCATCACTCCTTGCGACAGACAGTGGCTGGGCAGAGGACCCATGCAGGACGTAACCACTCAGAAGCACGATTACACGTGGAAAATCGCTCCCAAGGAAGAACCATACTCCCTAAGGCCGAATCTCTATTTTCCTTGCGCCTCGATGTCCGGTAGTCTTCGTAAATTTTTTTTTCAATCATTATTTGTATCCCTCCTCGATCCTTGAAATTCTCGGTTCCCAGACGACACGACCTACCGCCTCAGCTACTTCCAGTCCGCCTGCCGCATCCCTGAAAAGCCATTTAAACCCATAAGAAGGTACGAAAGATCGGACGTCCCCATGGACGGCTGCACCACGTACAGACTCAGCTACTGGCCGAGTGAGCTGCCAGGAAAGGTATAGAGAAGAGGAAAGTAAAATTTTGTAAAGATACTCCGGGCAGAGAGCGACGAGGTGGGTTCCCTTTTTTAAGGAACCTCAGCCATGGAATTCGAAAGTGGAGTATCATCCGCCCGTCGTCCCTCTCGAAGGCTGCACCACGTATAAGCTCAGCTACTGGCCGAACCGTGAAGAGCCCAGGAAGCCCTTTATCCTGAAAGACACGGAGAACATCCTGAACGCCAAGTGCTGCTTCGACGACAATACCACTTACGGGCTGAGCTACTTCGGATGCGGCGGAGATAAGCGCGAGCCCATCAGACAATCCCAGAACATTCTCCTCTCACCTTGTCCTCTCTCCCACGACACCACTCATCGGGTATTGTCTCGTCCTCGTCTCTCCCATTGCGAAATCCAATTTGTTCCCGGCGTTCCTCTTCCCCTGGAGGTCCTTATCCAACACCCCCGAAAATTCCTCGGCGAGTCGCGATATTTCTTTTTCCTCTCTCCTCAGGAATTAACGAGGAAGTTCCTGGAAGATGAAAGGTGTAGGCATTAAATTGCCATAATGTAACGATAATTTCGCAGATGAGCTACCTAGGCAATTGGTGCGCCAAGCCGGAAAGGTCGATTATTCCTTGCACCAGGGATCTCCTGGGAAGAGGACCCATGCAGGACCTGACGACCCAGAAGCACGATTTTGTCTGGAAGTGCGGAACCCCCGACTCCGAAATCCGCCCCGAGGATAATCTCAGCTGCTCCCCGATGCCCCTGGAATGTATGGAAAATTCGTGAATGCTCCAGGGAGCTTTAAAGAAATTTTTCAATATTTTTACCGACCCATTCTCGATGTCCCGCAGGTTGTACGACGCACAGGTTGTCGTTCCTTCCGAACGACCCTTCCTCGTTGATCAGAAACAAGCCCTACGCACCCATTCGAAGGTACGAGTCCTCTGATGTGCCTATGGAGAAGGAGACGACGATGAGGTTGAGCTACCAGCCCGTGGAACCCGCGGACCAGGTCGAAAAGCATTGGGGCAACCACTCGCAATATATCCCGCGTGTTACCCCGATGGAGGACGACACGACCTACAACCTTAGGTCTCTAAAATCCGTGCTTTCTCTTTCTCCCGATTCTACCATTCAGAAATACGTATTAAATTCTTGCCTTCCTGATTTCGCAGCTACATACTTCCTGGAACCCTGGAGCCCCTGCCACCCTGCTGTCCACCTTGCCCTCCGGCGAATCCTTGCATCCGTGAGTTCCTCCCTCACCTAAAAATGAAAATAAAATATATAACAGCGTCCCAATTTTCTCTTCCAGCTTGCGCGTCAGGGTGAGCTCTGGGGACACCTTCACAGCCACCCGGGGATGGAATCGACCTTGAAAAAAAATTGCATCCCGCGTCCTTGTCCGCGTCTCGATCATGTCTTGTCCAGATTTTTACAATACATTTAATTATCTCATCTCCACGTGGTTTCCTCTTTTCCACGGAATTTCCCCTTCGCTCCTAATCGGTTCTTGTATCGGGTCTGGCTAATGGAGGTATCGGCTTCTCTTCAGGGTAGGGACTCATCCGATACATCTAAAAGGGCAGATAAAATTAAAAAGCATCTCGCGGTTACGAGACACCTCGTGAACGTGTGGGCATGAAAAAATCGAATCCGGGCCCGAATTATCTTGCGCAAGAGTCGGACTTTTACTGGGAGAGAGAAAAAAAAAAAATAAGCAGGAGAAAGAATCGAGACTCGACCTCGTAGGAGAGCCCGGGGATGTCATCGGCGTTTCACGGCTTAAGGATCGTCTTCAGGGGGGCCGTTGATGGGCTGTTAGATGGGCCCCCCTCGGCTACGTGTAACACACGCGCGTAATCCGCGGGACCCGGAGTTCGTAATTCATCGGAGAGCCCCAGGTAGAGGGGAAAAGTGAGAGCGGGTATAAAAGGGAAATTCTTATTCCCCCTAGACCACAGTCGAGAAGTGCTCATCTCCTTTTCGTTCGCTCGCCGAGTAATTCATGATCGATCGGTGCCTCTGACCCGATTTCGAATCACCCAGTGAAGTCGTTTTACCTGCGAGTACACGCAATGAAGTTTCTGGTAAGCCGTTATTTTCTTTCTTTCCTCCTGGAAGAATCACGGAATCATCATCAATTTTTTTACTCCAACATGAACGAACATATTTTTTTTTAACCGTTTTAAATGAGAAGTTACCTCTAAGTGAATATTCTGAGACGCACTGGCGCGGATCTTGTTCAATTTTTTCTTTTCTCCTGGACCATTTGCAATGACAGTATCTCATTAGTTCTTGAGGACGACATGCGTGGAAAAACTTATCGAGAGTTTTAGAAAGCGGATCGCACAAAATCCGGACCGTTCTCTCGCAAAATGAGAAGACACTCGTCCTGCCGGTCTCCGTCGATTCGCCACGCGTTGCTCTAATAGGAGAAATCTGCGATTAACGTAGAAGTAAGACGATACTTTCCCTGAAAAAAGTCGTAAAAAAATAATAAAGTACCTGCGACGCAGGGTAAACGTCCTGCGTTAAAATTTAAGCTGCAGAACGTAACGATCGGTAGCGGTGGCAAGCCGCGGTAATTGAAACGTTCATTGCGTATTATCTAATAAGAAGTAGCGAGGTTCCCGCGGTGATGCAACCCAGCGTCGTCTCCTCGCATGCAAATCGCGAAAGTATCTATAAATTGGCCAACCGGACGAGCAGCCGACCGTAAAAGGGCTCGCCGGAAGCCGTGGGTGCGAGAAAGATTTTTCGCGCACCTCGCTCCTCTTTTTAGACATTAATAAAAGATAGTCGGCGAGTCGGAATTAGCATAACTCGCGCGCGAGGGAGACGAGGCGAGTGGGAGCGAGATGGGTCGAGATGGGACGAGATGGGCCGAGAAGATGAGAAGGGTTACCGGGTCAGGAGTTAAACGACCCAAGCTGGCATTTGATTTTCACTTTCACTCATCTCCGGGCCAGGAACTCCGAGAAGGAGGAGAGATTCCTGGGAGAGGAGTCCGCGACCTGTGCCCCTCCTCGCGAATCGGTCCCGTTTCGTCCCCTCTCCGATTTCCTTGGAATCTCGCGTATCGCAAAATATCCCTCGAGTTTCCTGGACTCCTCTTCGACGTAGAATATTTCCGAGGGCCCTACCTGAAAGACAGATCCCGATTAATAAATTTTTCTTTAAACATTTAAGTATTTAAATATTTTCTTCAGGTACTAGCCGCGTTGTTGGGGTTGACCCTTGCCCAAGAACCTCTCCATCATGGTCGCAACACCTACCGCGAGGACGAAAGGCAACCCTCCGACGACAGGCACTCCACCACCACGTACATTCCCATTTTGCAATGGAACAAACAGCAGGAACACGACGGCACGTACAAGGCCAGGTAGACTTCTGAACTCCCTCCTGAAAGGAGTCCTGGATTATCTTCCACATCCAGCCCGTTATCTTATGTACTCTGTATAGAAATTATAATCGGTTAATTAAATCATTCTTAAGCTACGAGACCGGGAACAACATCATCGCCGAGGAGAGCGGATACATCAAAACCTTAGGAGAAGGCGCGGACCAGACGGAAGCTCTCGTTCAGCAAGGAAGTTATTCTTACACGAGCCCCGAGGGCCAGCTAATCACCGTACATTACACCGCCGACGAAACTGGATTCCACGCTTCCGGAGACCACATCCCGACGCCTCCTCCGGTCAGCGAGGAGATCCAAAAAGGCCTCGACCTCATATACGCCGGAATCCGCCAGCAGCAGGTCTCTCGATCCCTTCCTTGCTTCCTGAAATTTTCTCACGGTTACCTGAGTCTTTTTTCTAAATTAAAAAAATTTCTTTCCAGGAGGCCGACGCTCGCGAGGCTTCCCAAAAGTCTCAGCAGCCCTTCAACCAGCAGATCGACCGGAGAGACGACGCCGACCGGAAATATCGCCAGTGAGAAGGGGTCCTTCCTGATCTTCTTTCTCATATTTTTCTGGAAAAGAAGCCAAATGTCAAGGCGAGAACGGGAATATTCGTTGTCGCGATAAGTTAAGATTCCCTTGCGTTATGTAGCGGCGCACGGTATCGCCGTGCGCCACGCTGCGATGTAATACTCGACTGCAATAAATATTTTAGTTGTAATACCGCTGTTGAGCACCCTAGAATTTATTTCCTGAACGAGTCCGTGGGAATTGGTTACTTACTTACGCTGGGAGATGTACGCGTTGTAAAAGTGGAAGGTAATTTATCTACAGTAGTACAGAGAAGATTGGAATGTACGCGGGGAAAAACCACGTGACTCTTGCCACATGGTGGCAACGCTATCTCTGAGAGAACTCCTCAAACTACTAGCAACGCCGCCATCTTTGCTCGGTCACGTGAAATAGGTTATATTAAATGTGCATCGTTTACCGTAGTTTCCTACGCCGGTTTTCAATGAAATCTTTGAATAATCGGAACTGATGAGAAAATAAAGTGTCTGAATGTTTTGCAGAAATTAAAATGTTCTTTCCCTGGAATTAAGACGTCAAAACGAATTGACTTTCACCAGAATCGGTAGAGTAGTGGAATAATGATTGCTTTAAACTTCTGATATCATCATTTCCACATCGATTAAAAATATGAACTGCAAAATATTGTCGTCTGCCGTGCGGCTCTCTGTAAGATATTTCCATGGAGTTCGTTTGTTCCCTGCTCCTCATTCAAGATTATGTGTACAATTGAAAGAATATTCGCAATGGATGCATCGAAGGCCTGCAACCATTATTAATGAAGATGAAATCTTTGAAGATGTCATCGAGGAGCCAACTGATCCAAAGATGATGAAGAAAGCAAGGGCTCCTATTCGTCGTCCTGAGAACAATGAGCAAAAAAAACCAGTAGATAGCAATGCGACACTGGATGAAAATAATGATCCAATATATACAAAATTACAGCCTGAAGATCGTCTAATGTCGTATGTAATTATTCTCCAGAAGAGTTCGAATTAATTTAGTAACATTGTATCAACCATATAATTTCTTTTCAGATCTTTAATGCTGAAAATCAGATCACGTAAACGGAGAACTAAGCAAGACCAAATTATCCTGGAAGGAAAGCGTCTTATTAAAGATGCTTTTGAGGCCGGTTATATCCCTGAAATAATTATTTTCAGTAGAACTCCAGATCTCAAGAGTTTACCGTTACCAAAGGAAGGTGTAAAATTATATAAAATACCTTATCGCTCGATTCAGTTATGGTCCACTTTGGAGACATCGCCTGGTATCATGGGTACTGTCTATACAAATTTTTAATTTTAATTGCTGAGATAGCAGAATGATTAAAAATTAATTGGCTATTTTGATACAGGCATTTTTAAGACTCCTGATGTACATCTGAAAGAGCCATCACCTGAAGCTTTGCCTCTTACAATTATATGCGACAACGTCAGGGAACCTGGTAACCTAGGAACCATTTTGAGATCGGCAGCAGGTGTTGGCTGCGATAAAGTCATCCTAACGAAAGGCTGCGTGGATTTGTGGGAGCCAAAGGTACTTAGAAGCGCAGCAGGTGCCCACTTTCGGATTCCAATTTACAAGTCCCAGGGTTGGAACAACATTGAAACCTTGGTTAGTCAAGGAGACGTATTCATAGCCGACAACAATGTACACTTCAATTCAGAATGTACAGTGACCGACTCCAGTCCTGCCACATCTGAAGATACTAGTTCCAAACCATTGGAACATTCCGACAGTGATTCCGAAAGCGACACCGAAAGCAACTCTATGACCCTTACTTCAGACCAAGATGAGATAAAACCTGAAGAATCCAAATCTGATACTGTTCCAAAAACTTCTTTCAGAGATGCTCTTCCAGTCATTCCATATTTTGCAGCAGATTATACAAAAAATGAAATAATCCTGATTGTCGGAGGAGAAACAGAGGGGCTGAGTAACGAATCCTTTAATCTAGTTAAGAAACATGGCGGGACAAGAGTGAACATCCCCTTGACTAATGGTGTCAACAGCTTAAACACCGCAATGGCTTTAGGGATTGTGGCATTCGAAGTAAAGAGACAGTTCTTAATCTTACAGAAGACGTACTTATAAACATTAGAATTCTTTGTACATGAATGTTAATTATAATTCCCTGGTTTGATTTATACTACAATGACTTTTTATTGACTTTACCATAAAATTAATTGACTAAAAATTATCGTATCATTTGATTTGCAAGACTGGTGGTTCTCGTTTATCATCAGAAAATGTAGCTGTACAAGCCATATTAACCTCAAAGGAGCTTAAATTTATTAAAATTGCGTCCTCGTTACTTGAATTTTTTTTCTCCGTGTATCGTTCTTTTCCCTCATATATAATTCGACACAAAATTTCTTGTCGAATAATTTCACGCGAAGAATATGACATTTTCACCCTAGTGAAAATTACAAAAGTTACTTTTAGCAGTTTCACTAGATCCGAGTTACAAAATCGACCACCTAGGTGTGCCATCTAAACATACTTTGACTCTCTGCTTTACACAAATTCAAGAATGGGGCTGAATGGCGCGCCGTTCAGTAGTAACCTTAAAATAACGAGTATACGAATGGATATTTCTGTTAACTGATTTTTTTACAAGATTGCTAATGTTCATGGCATATTGTTATTTTAACAAAAATGAGTAGCCATCACTCCAACAGTGACATTAAAACGGAGATTCAAAGTACACTGGTGGATATTTACGACCTTGGTTTAAAAATGTAAGATATCTTTTATGAGCTTGATTTTATTATTAGGTTTTAGAACGGAATTAATGAATATTCTTTTTTTTTTATATTTGAATTCTATTACTTATAGACAACGAGAGTTTAATGAGATAAATGAGATCGTTCGAGAAAAAGGAGTCCTAGATGTTGCCGTCAGTAATGCATGCGACACTCTGTCAACAACTGCGGAAAAAATGGGTTTGGACATTGCGAATATTATCCAGAAAGATGACAGTACCAGTGGATTAGATCTGGGAGGATTAAGCCTGGTAACATCTGAAATGATTACTAACAAGCTTCTAAAAGACATTCTGAACCAACCGTTAACGGAGTAAATAAAAAACTGAATATTTGTATATATTGTACTTCTATAGCAATTACCCAAAGTACTTCTGATATGTAAAAATGAGATGAGCATGTAATTTTATATCAACTTACCATTCTTTTTGTAACAATTTGTATAAAATATACTTTTAAAACACTACTATACTAAATATATGTTTACATTTCATTGCTTCATTACCTCACTTAAATTCTCATCGAACTTAATTTTAAATGTACCTTAAAAATTCATATCACCATTGTATAAAAATTTGTAAGTATGATTAACATTAGAGGTACCTTCATTAAAGTTTAGATTCCGTCAGCCAGTTAAACTTTTGCTCCTTGCGATCTGCTTGAGGGTCTATCATGACATTGATTAAGCTTGGTGCATCTATCACCTATTAAAATATTCACCACTGTTATATTTTATTAATTATCAATGACGATGTTTAAGTTTAAAAATTAAGAAAGAAAACCTACAGCAAAAGCAGTTTTAATAGCCTGTTGAATTTCTGGCACGGTTGTACAGAAGTATCCCTTTTGACCGAACATCTCCATCATCTTCTCATAACGTGCTTCAGCTGTAAGTGAATTAGGTGGGGTCCTACAAAAAAAATAGTATGATTTCTTACACTTAATAATAAAAAAAACTTACAACAAAATTTACATACACCTGGCATGGTTCACCACCATCTTGAAGCTCTGTGAATGTCTCCTTGTCGAGGCCACTGTAGATGCCATTGTTATTAATTATGACAATAACAATGGGCAGCTTGTATCTAAAAAAGCCAGGAATTTATTATGATTGGAGGACAACGATTCCAGTCAATTATCAAGTCAACGTACCTGACCATTGTTTCAATTTCCATTCCAGAGAAGCCAAAGGCACTGTCCCCCTCGACACAGAGGACCCTTTTTTTCGGATAATTGTCTTTGCAGTAAAGTGCAGCCGCAATGGCAAATCCTAAACCAACTCCCATGGTGCCAAATGTACCAGCATCTAACCTGTGACGTGGTAGATCATTCAGCAATATTGTACGTCCTATATCCATTGTGTTTGCACCTTCCGAACAAATAATGCAGTCTAAAAAAATAATATACGTTTATTACACTTAGTTATGTGTAATTTAAATGTATCTGAAACGTACCTTTAGGAATAATATCTTGTATATGTTTGAACACTGTGTAGTAATTCAGAGGAACTGACGTATCAGTACACATACGCTATTATAAAATAAAGATCATGTTAAGTCACGAAATTATGAGCTTCTCATAAAGATTCTAAAATTAATTTATCCTAAACTTACATCAACAGATTGCTTGTTTTTCGCCTTTATTGAGGTAATCTCATTCCACCATGGGTTAGTCTTCTTGAAATTGTAGTTGACTTTTCTGAGAATCTGTAATAGTAACTCTACCGTTGGACCTATGTCAGCTTGAATAGCAACTGCCGATGAGACAGAATTGTGCAATTCCTCTGCACAGATATCAACCTTAAATGAAAAATATTAATCTTTAACATTTAAATTTCGTAAATACCAGTATTACAACAGGGAGAACTGTACATTTAAGAAACCCATAGAAATACGCACCTGAATAATTTTGACGTCGTTCCTATATCGCGGGGCTCGTCCAAAATGCAACATCCAATTTAACCTAGCTCCAAGCAGTAGTATAACATCAGATTGTTGTAAGGCAAAGGTCCTTGCACTGGATACACAGCTTTCGTCGGTATCAGGCACGACTCCCTTACCCATCGGAGTCGGAAGGAATGGCAACTCAGTACAACCAATCAATTCGCGAATCTGCTTTTCCGCACGTGCATAAGCAGCGCCTGTTTACAATAATAATCTAGGAATAATTATTTGGACACCTGTAATTTATTTAAGAAATCAAAAGCCTACGGTTGTATTTTGTCGTAACAATCGAACACCCAAAAAAGTGTATCAGAGTTGAAATTATACCTTTTCCAATTATAACTAAAGGTCTCCTTGATTGTAGGAGCAATTTTGCAGCAGTTTCCACCAATTTTAACTGAGGATGAATAATTGGAGGCGAAGGGCAGGGAGCGGCTATTCCAATTTGATCTTCTTCGACCTTCTGTGTTAGTAAAGTCGCCGGTAAATCCAAGTACACGGCTCCTGGAATTTTTATTTAACAATTAGACTGCAAATTAATGAAATGAATTGGAAATATTTTTCCAGGGGGAGGCAATGAGTCCCTCCAAATAGACATTTCCCAGGAGTCCAGTCCTGGTTGGGACTTCCCTTGAAGGTCGTAAAATGTACCTGAAATTTATGAGGGTAAGTCCCTCAATACTGCCCCCCATTGCTGCTAATCTTTAATACCCTATGGAAATGCAGGGACACAATACTATTCAGAGTTTTCCATGGAAGGTCAGTCCTGTTACCTTCCCAAGTTTCAAAATCATTAAAGAATACTTTCATTAAAATATTTATTAAAACACAATAAATTAAACAATCCTACCAGGTCGTCCATAAGTGGAGAGCCTCACAGCTTTCTCCACATGCATTGGTATGAGGTTGGCCGAGGGTGGCCTCGCTGCATACTTGCAAAAGGGTCGACTAGCTTCTACCTGTGGCCATTCTTGAAATCCTCCAATACCCTCATGATCCTCAGGGCAGGATCCACCCAGCACTAACACTGGCCTGTTAAAAAGTTTAAATGAAAATTATACACACTAAAATTAACAGAGATTTTTAAACATACCAGCAATTTATCTGCGCATTCGCCATTCCACCGATGACATGAAGTAACCCAGGTCCAGAGACACAGAGAACCACCGCAGGTTTTCCTATTAACAACATTACAGAATGAAATTAATGAACGGTTTTGTTTCTAGAAAAAAAAAAAACTACACAACGATCGCAAGGTCTCGACGGATGCACACCTGTCAAATATCCATAACCTTGAGCAGCATAGCAGGCTGCTTGTTCATTTCTAAAACCTAGATACTGGAGGCCAACAGCTTGCATTGATAATGCCAATTCTATTACAGGGTGTCCCATTATTCCGAATACATAAGTAAGGCCCTGGTATTTAATAGAGAAACAAGAAAGACAATGCAATTATTATGCAGTCCAAGTACCAATTATTGTACCTGATTTCGAATTCAAGTGACATAGTGTCATGTCATTCTTTCATTAAAAAATTAAAAATAATTACTACGAGATGTTCAGATATAACCTCTTCGACGAACGTAGAATGAACTTTCCAAATTACCTGATGTTTCAAGGCCTCTGCCACTATTTGATTGCCGTCCTTTGCCATCGTTACTCCGTCTTGCAATGATGCAGTGCAGTTGTTAGTTACTACTTCATCGTTTTAAATGCTTAAACGATAAGACGATACGCAAGAAGTGTCAAGGCCGCTGTCATCCGCCATTTTCGAAGTTGCACAACACTGCGTAATGCGGCGCTTCGAGTCGTGGCGCGGAATTTAAATTCGCTGAATCGCGAAGTTTTCACCTGCGGAATTTAATTTATAAAACGAGGTTCAAATAGTTACTGTCTCGACTAGGCATTTCATCGAGGGCAGGAGCGGAACTTTCCTCTGGCAGAGGAGAAAACAAAATTTCAATGGAACAGGGAATTTGAATCCCTTGTCTCCTTTTATTGTCGCCGAGGGCTTTAAATAGCCCCGCACCTTTTCCAAAATTCAAGTTTATGGTTCTCAGTAGAACTCTCACAGGATAATCCCCAAGGCGACACTTTATTAGCTTACCTGGAGTTAATTCCAGGTGAGTCTGCAGTCTCGCCATTGACAGGATTAAGTTGAAAACGCATTATTAGCAGAAGGGACGGAATCCGCGAGCGACCAGGAAAGTCGCGATTATCGTTAAGTCGACAAACACAAATCAAGTCGATTATTTCGATTTCTCCTCTGCACCTCGGACTCTTCCTTCCTACGCATAAATAAATTTCAAGAATGACGGATAAGTTTCGGTGACTTATAAACAAATGACTGCTTGCTAACGTGCAATTTTCTTACAACGTATGTTTACGCGTCTTTTAACAATTGCAAAATTTATGCGCAATAACGAGCTCGAAAAAACGTTCCAAACTTCGTCCAGGTGACGAGCATGCACTTGCAATAAATTTACGAGCATATCGCGGGACGATAAAATTGCCATAAATTATTTTACTGCTACTGTTTGACCATCGCCTTTATAGCAGAATTATGCTCCAGCGTGGCTGAAAAGTCCCGAGCAGAAATACCAGCCGAGTTTAAACGACTAAGAAGAAAAATCGTCCTCCGTTTCTTACAATTTTTCTTACAATTTCCTATCGACTTTTTACAAATTCCCGTATTTCCCGCAGGACGAGCAGCGCATGGCTTTGACTACAAATTGCGTTTATTTATAAATGATCCCAAATGATAGGCCTCACGCTCGGCTCCGTAATCCAAGGTTAATTTATTGCAATCGGACCTGTGTGCGGCCAGATAGATCGGGAAATGCGCGTTTCCACGTTATTGCCGATATACCGATCGATCGAGCTCTCTGTTACGAGCGATATCGCCTAAGGTATTTTACTAACATTACGCGTAACAATGTACACGAGGTACGGAGTCTGCTCTTGACCATTGTTGCCTCAAATGAGACAGGAAGCCGAGCCCTCGTTGCGCCGGCAATTGAACCTCGCAAAAAAATCAACGTCCCTTCTAACGATTAATATCATTAACAATTAATTGTCGCTGTCGATAAATTCGACAAATCGGGAATCGAGCGAGAGAGTACGTACAATTTCAACTACGCCGGGGTACTGTTATTAACGTTGCTTCTCGCGAACTAAACGGAAAGATTTTCGGCCGCAATAATCCTGCAATGGTCGCCGAAGCTTACCTTCCGGGCAGCAAAGCATCGACAATGAGGGGATCTTATTGTTCCCTCGAAATTAACGATTCCCGGAAAGGTTTCGAGCAGTTCTGAAAGCGCGTGCAGGTAGAGTTTGTTATATTTCCCGGGCCAGGGTCGGCCTGGAGGATTACGTGGGATTCTCTGAAGACCCGGAGGAAAACCTGAGGCATACCTGACGAGGTCGCGTTTTCCCCAAAATGTCGAGTTCCCCTTTCTCTCGAATCTCCACTTAAACTGCGAAACTTTTCCTGCGCGAAATTAAACGTATCGCCAAGGTAAGACAAAAAAATGTCTACAGTCGTTCCTCATTTTTTAACGCACACCGGGCTAAGGCAGGACCGCTAGCAAAATATTTATCGTTTCCTGCACCGCAAACGGGGACATATTTTGTAAACGTAATGCCGCGTTGCGCAAAGATGCGCATACTTAGCGACTCGTCTTACGAGCAGACATCGATGAACGCTCAAATCGATAATTTTCCTCGAGGAAATCCATTTGTTTAGATTACCTCTTCGATCCTTTATCGGGAAATTCATCGATTTGAGTTAATGAACAGTGGCTGGCTTAATTGCAAGGAAGACAATTTACGCTAGTACAGTGAATTTTCGGAATCATTTGCGAATCGGGCGAGATTATATGGACGAGCTTATTATATTCCTCTAAGAACGGAGGTCTTCGCAGGTCAGATTTACAGTTACTTTCTGGCCGAACCGCCCTGGCCCACCCTCGACCGAAATGGTCAATTTCCAGGATTTTCCCGATTTCCCCCTACCCTCGGCGCTTCCACCTCTGCTGGTTTGCAGGGCATAAATAGCTGGGACCCGCTGGCCATTTTCATCAGTCCTTTTCGTCTGTCATCGGTGACTTGTGCGTGGACATTTTCCGGCTCGTGTACGCCAGATACTTCAAGTGCCAGTGGAACGCGATTTTCTAAACTCGGAGACTTCAACGCCTTGGAGATGCTGAGAGGTGAGGAGAGTCAGCGGATCATCGCCTGAATCCCAGACCTGGTGCAGGATGCGGAAAAATTCATATTGGAAGCTGTGTCCACGTAAGTGTCTCCAATATTTCATGTCTCGGGCTGTAAAGAATTTCCAAAATTGTTAATAACTATCGAGCCTCGGTGAAGAACTTGATACTCGGGATTTAAAAATATTTTTCACACTCACTCTGAAATCCTGCTTGAAAATCCGTTTCGTGTCAGAGCCAAGGGATGTCGAGTGAGGAGTTGCATTCGCTGGTCTCGTATAAAATCTAGAAAAGACATTAATTGTTAAGATTTTTTTTTATTGATTTTTCGGATTTAAAATCATCATTGAAACTCAATTTGAAATCCTGTCTCGAGGGTAGATCAGGAAACGTCGAGCGAGAAACTGAACTTATCGGTAACTCGATTATCTTAGAAGCTCTAAAAAAGAAATAACAGATTGTCTTACAGCTTCTGTCGAGTACTCGGTAACAAGCGAAATTCAATAGTTGGCATATTAAATTTAATCATTAAAGAAGCTGGTTCTTATTAAACAGACATTCACTGGGTTCGTTATTCCGATGTCACGTGCTAATCGTTCATTAAGATTTCTCCAAAATATCAAATTAACTTGGCTCTTATCGGCCGTTGTCGGGACCGACTCCCGTTTTTCCTCTCAAATCTCTCCAGACTCTTGCAAGAGTCGCAAGCTCGTTCAGTGCAATTGTTGCATCTCTAAAAAGGAGAATAAACTTACGCCGGCCGCGTAATAAATAAATTAATTAATCAATACCTATTCGGAATTATGATTTATCCTGTAATTCAAGGCGACGATTGATTCGCGTAAAATGAACGTCCATCAGGGAACTGTATAAATCATTGGAGAAATAAAGAAAAAATTGTAAATTTATAATGGATAGAATTCGAAGGCGAAGAGAGGGATATTCGGAGATCGAGGAAAATCCCCAAAGAAAATCGTATCTCGGACCAAGTAAGTCTGCAAAAAGCAATTACGGCATGCGGCTATCTAACTACCTAATCATTTGATCGTAACTCTGACTCGATCGTATTTAATTATTAATTATTGCTGGAAAGATGTGAAGTAACGTGGGGATCCGAGGAATATCCCGGAATAAATCGTAATTAGCGTGTTTCGACAGTGAGTGAGTCGAGTGATCCCAGACGTAGGAATGTCAATTTGTCTCTCGATGTCAAAGCCGGATTTCTCAATGATTTTCCGCCAGATTTGATTATCATTTTTTCCATCGACCGACGTCCGCATCGCGGAAACGGATCTCCCCTTTGAATATGGCGATGGATTTATTTTGGAGATCACTACGTAAATTTTCCCGGATTTTTCCGTGTACTTAATTTAATATAGAAAATTCCTAACCCAGATAGAATAAATTCCAGCACATTGCACAAAGTGGTCGGAGCAGGAATGAATTTTAATTAAACATACTATCCGATTTGTCGAATATTAATTAATTGGGAGAGCGCATCTCTTAGTAAAATAAATCCTGAATAAATTAAAAATCGTAGAAACGGTTGTAAAGATCGCTGAAAAATGTAGTCAAACGTTGTCGGTTAATTATTAATAACAAAAATGTATTGGGCGATCTCAGGATGGATCCCGACGCGGGCTCTCATCGCCTTGATGTGCTTCACCAACACATGGACGAGCTACATGTGTCGGTTGCAAATGCCCATTTTGGCAGTGCCCATGATAAACATAACTGGCAGTAGCGACGTATCGGGAGCGTGCACTTCTGACACTGAAAAGCTGTTGAAATCCGCGAATGGATCGGGAAACGCGCATCACGGTAATTTCTTTCTTATAAATAATATCTAGTCTATCGAATCCGTATGATTAAAAATAAATATAAATGAAAACAGGTCAAAAACGCTCAGTCTGGCTCAATCCGGAGAGCTACACGGACGATTGGCTGATAGAGGACTACAGTCATGCCGTCTACCGGCGCGCGGTGGAGGAAAACGGAACCACCATCCAGGACGGGACCACGGAGAGTCTCGCCGACGAAACTCGTGGTTCCCGATCCCGAAGAGGGATTCGCCTATTTTCTGGAGAGCCTTTTGACTGGTCTCCGACAATTCGAGGACAGTTGTTGGCCGCGTACAGCTATGGCAACGTGCCTGGTAATTTCATAGGAGGAGTTATCGCCTTAAAGTTCGGGCCTCGCTCATCGGTGTTCTGGACGGCGCTGGTGGCTGCTGTGATCTCGCTTTTCAGCCCTTTGATCGCACAGGTAAAAACGTGCACCAGCCGACGATGAAATTATACTTCCTGAAAGCACATAGAACGTCTTCAATTTATAGTACTTGTATTATATTTTTCATTTGTATATTTTGACACTTACGGGGTAGAAACGACTAAAATACTGCTGCAGATCCACTGGGGCGCCCTCCTGTTCACAAGGGTGATCGTCGGCTTCACAGGGGGTATAACTTTTCCCGCTTGTCACACCCTGGTCGCCAAATGGGCGCCGCCAGAGGAAAGAGGCAGATTCATCTGGTCGCTCTTAGGCGGGACATTTGGCACGATTTTTACCTACCCCATGGTCGCCGGCATAGCGGAGTCCATTAACTGGGAGATGGGTTGGTACCTGCCCTCCATCTTGATGCTCATTTGGATAGTCTTCTGGATGCTGCTCGCCTACGACTCCCCGGAGGAACACCCTGGCATTACCGACGAGGAGAAACAGTACATTCTATCGTGAGTCACGAGTGAAAAAAAACGCAAAGTTAGAAGATCCGAGGTAGGAGCTCCAGGGTGGTTGAAAGTCCAACTCTTGCAGATCGCAAGCTGGAATCGTTAAGTGGAAGAAGCCGAGCTTGAAGGAGACTCCGATACTGAAGATCTGCACCTCGATACCGTTCATCAGTCTCGTGATCTGCCACTTTGGAAACCTGTTCCTCCTCATGTTCTATCAGTACTCGATGATGTTGTACTTGACGAAAGCTCTGGGCTTCCAACTTACCAAAGGTGGATTCCTGGCTTCCCTGCCGTGGTTCGCCAGGATCCTGTTCGGCTTCTTCTTCAGCTGGGCTGGGGACAGGATTAAGAAAAAACAGCTGATGTCCATCGCTATGCTGCGGAAAGGCGCCGCGATATTCTGTAAGATCCTTGGGGTGGAGGAGTACTTTAAATTGGAGCGTTGTCCGAAAATTTACTCTAAAAAATTACAAAGGAATGTAATTCACGTTGATTCAAGAATCTGACTAATTTTTACAGCTCACCTGATACCTGGGGTATGCCTGATAATTGTGGGATATCTAGGATGCTCGTTCATTGGAGCAAACGTCTTCTTGTTCCTGGCGCTGGGGTTCAACGGGGCTGCCGCCATCGGCAACTTGGCGAACAATCAGGACCTTGCACCGAATTACGCAGGATTCCTCTATGGGATCATGAACACCATCGGGTGTTTCGCCGGAATAATTATTCCCCCTATGGTCGAAGCCATAGCCGGGCAATACGGAGTAAGTACCTCAATGAATACGTGGCTTTTCCTAGCTTGTTGGAATTTCACTCGCTTCCTAAACATTACAAAGAAATTAATTCATGAAGGACACTCTAATAAAAAAAAAATATATATCTTGGGTAAGTTCCATGTCCATGAATTTTCAGCATCATTTCAGCTTCAATGCCAGAACTCTGCACCGCCTTTTGCACTTCGAAAGCACTCCCAAAGCCTTAGTTCGACCCGTCCTATGTTGTTTAATTCATAGTACGGGCAGTACTGAGGGATTGTGGTTGCTGTACATCGATCAGCTTTACTCATCAATTTTCGCTTAGACTAAGTGCTTGACTAATCATTTTATATTCATAAATAACTGCTTGATCGGCGAATGTCGTCTCGGACTTAACAATTTTTGGAATCGCGCGGTTTCAAAGTGTTAGGTAACTCGCGTGGAAAGTATGTATCTTTATCTTCCCTGAAAAACGCGGAATAATGTTACGTGAGCTTTTATTACTTCCGGATCATGCATGGCCAATGTCGCGACGCGTATGTCTGAAGATTGCCGGATAACCGGAAAATGATGCGCTTCCGGACGCTGTCAACAATAATTGGCAGCGTCCAATTTTTGGCGAACAATGGCTTACAATTATTTCAGAATTCCGTGTAACATTATCACAAGAATTTGATCCTTGACTGATACACTTCTTGGAATGTACTTAACGGCTAACTGCGTTTTTAGGATCTAACTAATGAACGTTGGGGTTTCATTCGGAGATGAAATTTATGTAATATTTTATCGTGACTTTAAAATAATTTTGGCATATTTGACAAAGGCAATGAATAATTTCGCCTCCGATTGACCGCAATTACCGCCACCACGGAGATCTAGCAAATAAGCATAGAATTTATGTCATCGATGCCGATCATCATTACGCACGCAAAGCTTTGGTGTTTGTTGCTAGTGGGTACGTCTTGTTTCTATATTGTATACAATTTATAGTACGAGAAGTACCCACAAGTTACATCACCTGCCTCGAGCACGCATATCACCGCAACGCTTTTTTCCTGCTTCGAATAACATTTTTCCTGCATCAAAAGTGCCTTATCCTGCTGCTGCTTCAACGGGATGTAACCTGAAATGCATATCAACTTATTCCTAGGTAAACTAAAACTCAGATTGGAATCTAAAATTATGGCAATAAATACTTGGAGGTAATATTAGTTGTTACAATAATTTCTTGGCATTCCAGAATCCCATCGAGAAGTGGCAGATTGTGTTTTGGATAGGTGCCTGCGTAACCATTGCCACCATGGTCATTTTCTTCATCGGTGGTAGTGGAAAGGTGCAACCATGGAACGACACCTATGCACCAGATACTGTTGCTGCCGAAGGAGCTGAAGCTGAAGGCGCGAACGCAGAATCTGAAAAAGCTCAAGAAACGGAAACAGCTTAGAATGTATCGATGACTGACGTATTTTAAACAACTATTTTTAGCGACATTTCATTTGCAAAACGGAACGAAGCATATTGGCTTTGGGAACGAAAAACCTCAACAAAACGAGGTGCTCGTTCGGTTAACAAAGGCAACGAAATCATTTCGACAAATTGTAGTCAACAAGGATGACATTCCTTTATCGTATAATAAATTTTATAGAAAATTATAACACGTTTTTGTGTTTCATTCCCCTAATTGGCGTAATAGTACAGCAACAAGCAAACGTGTTATAACATACGATTTTTAATCAAATCGTTGTCCATTTGGTTTATTTTTACATATACAAAATTTAACTGCTTCCAAAATTTTTTTAAGTTATACAAAATGACGCACGATCACATGTTCTATTCGTAACAAAAGTTAGAACCTGTACGTCAGCAGCACTTTTATAAGTTAATCTGTTATATCCACGTTTACTGCATATGCTTTCTGGTTTTGTAAAAAAACCGTAGTAAGGCTAATCATTGAATACGGAAATTAAATGCTTTAATTCTATCAAAGGTTGGGAAATTAGGAGATTAATTTATACGCAGTATTAAATTATTACTCTCGTTATCATAGCACTAAAGTTGTACAAAAACGTTGATAGCTGGTAAAGTTCCGTAACGAGGTAAAATCAACCACCTCGTATGTCCTAAAAAATATTTTAAAATTCATTCGAGGCAGACACGTGAATTCTATTTTTTTGTTTTTTAATCCTTATGTAAAATGGTTCGCGTTCGTCTGACGTTTCCTATTCTACAACTGTTAACATTGCTAGCGAATCGAAGAGAATTCAGAGTTTCATTGTAGCACTCTGAAAGCGGAGAGATGTTCAACAACATCAAAGTCTTCGAGTTGCCACCAAGCGATGGCATCAACAGGTGGGTTAGCTTGGAGTTTCTGTAAGGCACATGGTCCTGCTTTTTTAAGAGCGCCAGGATTACGTTCCCTAGATTGGCAAGGGAGCGATTGATGTTCTTCGTTTCCACTGTTCTGGCAGCTTCCTCGGTTTTCAGCCTTTCAGAACCAGCTAGATCTACCAAGTTGAGACTGCCGATACAGGTCTCCTGTTTCCTTTGATGAGTGCCTATCAAACGAATCCGTGCAACCGAATGTGATCGGGACGATCTGAAATTAAATATAAAGTATTCGTTAACTTTTTTATTTGTTCAAGTTAACAAAAGAGTGCTATCAATTTATGCGGTTCATTTCCATATATTCCTTGATCATAAGTGATACATACCTTTCATTGGATGATGTAGCTGCAACTGCTCGATTACGCTGAGCAATTATCAAGAATTCTTGAAGCTCTTCGGGACTTTGAATCTCTTCGACTTTAAGATTGCTTACGTAAAGTTCGGATCCTTTGTTGTCGACCATTCGGATTTCGTGAGTCTTTAGTTGAGAGTCCAATAGGTCAACGATATGCTCATTGTAAATTTCTAGGAAACTAGCCTCAATTTTGTACTCCCACCCAAGAAGCTCCAATTGCTTCATCTCCTTGAAAATGTGTCTCACCTGCAAAGTTGTTAATTTATAATAATTTATATTTTGTAAAAAAAAAAAATAGCTTCCATATACAGTATCACCTAAATTTCACAAGTTACTCACCGTTCTTGGAATCATGCCTTCGGTGTCCATTGATTCTGAAAGACCCTCCATAGTGTAGGTCTTCCCAGAACCTGTCTGCCCATAGGCAAAGACACACACGTTGTAGCCCTCGAGTGCAGATTGCACAAGTAAGGATAATTCCTCAAAGATATCTGCCTGCGAAGCATTTGGTGAAAAAACCTTGTCGAAGGTAAACTCTTGACGAGTTCCTCTCACTTTTCCCCCAACTGCTGGCGTGTCCGGAACGTCCCCTCGCCCAACTTCTATTGTGCACTCGTCCAGATAATTAATGGAGCATAATCTGCAAGAATAAAAATAAAACATCGAGTACAATGAGCTCTAAAAAATTCAGAAGTGTTAAAAAAAATAAGGAATTTAATCTTTACTCACGTTTTGGAGAGTTCATTAGAAATCCTTGGTCGAACCCGACAAAACACCCTAATATTTCCTTTTAGCTCCTGCATAGCATTGTGGAGCACCCTGCGTTCTTTATCCATGCTATATACCAAATTCTGGAGTTCATCTTTATCTCTGGTTAATACGAAGTTCTTATTTTTCTGTTCCTCCAGATCAGTCTTTAAAGTTTCTACCTCATAACTATTCCGAGATATTATTTCCTCCTGCTCTTTGCACTTGTCCTGGTAGCTCTTCAGCCTTACAGTTGTATCCTGAAGATTCTCTTCGGTATTTCTCAGCCTCACGTTCAACTCTTCATTTTTTTCTTTTATTTCTGCTGTCTCTGCCTTCAATAAATCCAAGCTCTTAATCAATTCACAGTTCTCTGTTCCTAGCTTCTCCAATTTTAGTCTGCTGGTGGTCTCTTTCTCCGACAGCTCACTGACAACCTCTTCGAGCTCTTTATTTCTAGACGACAAATGCTTAACCTTTTCCTTATAATCTGTCACTTCATTCTCAGCATAAGCCACTCGACCTTTTAGATCCCACTTACTAGGCTTAGGAACTATGGGTTTGTTATTTTCGATGTTGGCCTGCAACTTTGTGGTTTCTCGAACAAGTTTAGGCTTTGTAGTCTCTCGGAGATTAGGCCGTTTAGTCACACCGACAGAAACGGTAGTAGCAGGTCTCTTCGCTGCCACTTTTATGTTGGAAACTGATCGGGCAATGTTTGCAGAAGTCTTTGCTCTTGTAAAAGCTGGTTTTGCAGCAAGTTCAACCTCATTTAGTACTTTTGTGGACTTACTTTGCACATTGTTTTTCGTTCCACCTCCTAAGGTACTCTCACCTGCACTTACGTTATTTGCACTAGCTGCTTTTCTTAAGCCAAATTTTGGCTTTGGTAAACGAGACTCCATGTCTTCCATTTATGTGTCTCTTTTATCCCTACACCATAAAAAATATATGAAGATATAATTAAATATTACAATACCGTAGAAGAAGAGATTACCGTGGAAAGTGGATTACTTGAATTATTGAAGATGCCCTGACGGTTGTTCCTGATTCAGTTCATCCAAAGGAATCAGTCTAGGTCATACAGCCAGACCAGTAAACGCGATAAAACAATACAGGGAGCCTTCGATTTTCTTGAAACAGCTCCTCTTGCCACTTTTCTGAAATTTGTCTTCAAATTCTTCGATATATTTTGGTCTAACTTCTTCAAAAACGCGTTGGAGCCTACAGGCTCAAACATGTCCTAACCGGTAAGCCGAAATAAATTTGAAATTGAAAGAGTAAGCCGTGAGCCAATCAGAGTGCAGCATTTGACCACGGAGTCAAAGCAGGTAGATAGAAGGTGACCTCACTTCAAATTTCGTGATACGTAGTGACGTTCCAACGGAAATGGCCGCCGACCAATCAGAGTGTGTTATGTGCGTGTTCCAGTGGAAATAACATCAACCAATCCGCGCGTTGGACGGTAACCACGTGGTCATTTAGAAACACGATCCGTTCGTGGTCCGCGTTCGCTAATATTCGTTGACTTTTCCCATCTTCTAGACTGTTCTATCCCGTCTTGTGAAGCGAACGAACAAGGAGACGGAAATTTAGTTGTTTCTGTAACAAACGACCGCTGGAGCGCCGTAAGTTGTGGTGAAACCTAACCAGGATTACTCAGATCCCCTCCTGCTTGTTCTACAACATTCTACAAGGACAAATTCGTAGGTTTTGAAAACCTACCGTCTCCAATATGTCACTGTTTGGCTCGCTTGTTGGCGATTTTGAGGATGACCCTATATTCGGGTATGTTCACTGCAGAATACAGAACTCAGTTTTTTGTTTACGCTGATGTATAAATTTCAACTGTTATTGGCTTTTATTGTCCTTTGATTCAACTTCATCTGAGATCCTCGAGATTGATTGATTTTTCTAATTTACTCGTTGAAAGCGTTGGAATGTTTCCAGTTTGGTGGCATCGGGAGAGATCATTATTTACTAAGCTATCCTTAAAGCAATGAACGATGTGTGTTTACTCCTTGAACTATATTTTTAATTGTCACATTTTTAAATTATATGCATGTATATACCTGGTTGTATCCATGGAAACTTCTCCCGATGTTCAACTTTTAATAACACTCTCTAGAATTATTCTAAATCGGAGTCTCGTTAAGCTTAGAATGGCCCACTTGATGGTCAATAATGTAAATGATAAAATTATAAATTAAGAACTCCTTAAATGGGTGAACAAAAATATTTATTGCGTTAAAGGATAAAATCAAAATCTAATGTTCTACTCGACAGGTCCCACATGCGATCCATGAGACATATGAACACCATGATGAATTCACTCTTCAGTGACCCCTTCGGCATGATGGGCCCACCCGCTATCACTGATTACTGTCAACAAAATGGTACTTCTCAGGGTGACCTCCAAATGATGCCATTTAGATTCCCACCTGTTCCCTCATTTAATATGAGCCGCATTTTTACTGATCTTGTAAGTCAACGGTATCAAAAAAATTTATTTTATATTTAAAATTGGTATTACTTATGATCTCACATGATTCGCAGAATAATATGGCCCCAAACGATGGAAACTGTCATTCTTTCATGACTAGCTCGATGATGACTATGACCAGTGGACCAGACGGACGTCCTCAGGTGTACCAGGTATCGAAATCCACCAGAACTGCACCTGGTGGTGTTAAGGAGACAAAGAAAACCGTTTGCGATTCTCGCACTGGCACGAAGAAGATGGCTATTGGCCATCACATTGGTGATAGAGGTCATATTCTTGAGAGAGAACAGAATTATCACAATGGGGATGAAGAGGAACGTCAGGAATTTATTAATCTTGATGAAGGTATATTCACAGTGCATTTATTTTCTATAGAACACATGGTATCAAGGCAGTCTACTGATGAAGCGAAACTATTTCCATGTATTTATTTCTTTGTTTTAATATTCAGAGGAAGCTGATTCTTTCAACAAGGAATGGCAGACGAAGACTCGACGGCAGATAGGCTCCCTTGGAGTAACCAATTATAGCAGCCAAAATTTGTCAAACAATAGAGGTACTCAAGACCACGGCAGACTGGCATTGCCAGCACCGGTGACAACAACAAGGTCTGTTCATTAATTTTACAGTAATTTTAAGGATTATAAAAAAATCAGTAGACAAATCTGGTATGGTCTTCTGCATCAACCACTTGTAGCAACTTTTAGAGGTCCAAGCATTACCGCTTCTGCTAAAAGTTTGACACAATTCTAACCACAACTTTTTTCTTTAACCTAAAAAAATCTGATCTTAGTGTCCGATATAGTAGCAAAAGGAAATAGACGTATTTAAACACAATGTTGAAAAAAAGGGACTCAGTATTACAAGGTTTTATTAAAAGCATGAGTTTGCATGTAATCACAAGTAAAAACGTTGTAATTTATTAGATACAAGAAGAAGCCTGGAAAATCTCATAGATTGATTGATTGGAGCAAGTAGAAGGATCTAGCACGATGTTGCCCCTGTTCATATCCCGATTTGATCTGAGACCTTGTAAAATTTACCGTTAAATCGCATCACAATAAAAGCCTACGCGATTTCATTATTTGTTCTAAATAATTTTTATACTCGTTTTTTTTTTTTTTTCATGATTTAATTGCCTTTTCACATTAGTTTCCTTTTTTTCTTTTCACGTTGTCGGGCTGCTTGTGGTTCGTTGGTTGTGCTTTCGTAGTCGGCAATCTAGTCACCCAAGGTGGGCCCCTTCTCCAAGGCGAAGCATAAAATCCTCCGTTCCTTCCAAAACCTGCAACTCCAGCTCAGTTTCTCGGTAAGTGTAATGCTTGCATGCCCCAGCTTTTGTATATAATTTATCCAAGTTAGGCGAAACCGACGGCTAAACGCAGCTTTAGATGAACTGCCTTAAGCTACAGGATAAATGAAATATAAAAAGGGTTTTTTTGTATCATAAAATTAACCTGTGTGGCACTGTATCATTAATTTGTCAAGACAAAGGTTACTTTTAGGAAACTTGATGTCTTTCGCAAGTACATCCGCATCTTATACAAAGCTATACCAAGTTTTGTGGTATAACGCGTAGAGATGAACAGAACAAGTGTCGAATAGTTTCGCTTGATAGGATGAAAAGAGTATCGTGACATCAGATATGGAATATCCGTCTTATGTCTTGCAGGTACAGCCGCAAATATTAATAAGTTTTAAAAAGCGTAGTAGACGCCGGTGACGCTTATGCAACGTAAGTACGTTGCGTTACATCCCTGTTTATTAACTAGCCGAGCTAAGTTCACCCTAACGTAGGAAAATAATATGTACGATTGATTTTTCACGTCCAGTTTTGGTCGCTTTGGAATTCTCATTTGCGAGGCAAACGGTACGATTTTAATACAGAAGTCGCGTGTCTTTCAGCTCCTCTTCTTCGAAGCCTCGAGCGAGCCCCACGGCGAAGGCGGAAGTCACGGCGACGGCCACTTCCGGGAGCAGAAAGCGCGAACACACACCGGAACCGGAAGCGAGCACCAAACGGCACGTGGCGCCCCGCAGTGACGATTGAGAGGATCGCTAAAGAACCGCGCAATGTAGTCTGCTTCGTCTTATAACCGTATAAAACTAACAGACTGCGTTGTTAACCTCTCTCGAGGTAACCTCAAACCTCGAGAATTATGTGTCAACATAAATCAACTATGTGGAATTATTGAGACCGCCACAGTTTACTTCATGGTGAGTCTCCTTCGAGCTCTTGAATAGGTCTCGGAAATACTTTTAGTTCGATTGATTACTAACAAACGGCGAGTTCCAGAATGTGGTATGCAAATTTCTTAACCTTTCACATTTCACTCGGATCTCGCCGTTTATAACCATTTCACGACTACGACACGGAGGTCTGTCGTTACGTATTTATCTCGAATTATCTCGATGTAAAATATTCATGGTATTTAAGCGTAGATATAGCGACAAGTCGTTTAGCGTACAATGTAACTTGGAATACCTGGAACCTTCTTTTGTCCTTTTCTTTCTTCCAGTAGTATTCTTATTTTTAATGGGTAAACGCGTAAACAAAGGATATTAAAAAAAGAACAAAGGATCTGCATGAAGGGAATAGCGATTATGTGGTAATTGAATATATACCAGTATCTTAGGCTCCTTTACTAAAATTTATTCCCACAAAGCAAAAAAAAAGAGACAGAGACGATAGAAGATACACAATACTCTCGTTGAAGACCACCAAGGCGTGTGTACGCAAGGATGAAGTCGCAGTATGTAATAAAATAAATATCGTGTACCTTAGAAACCAAGAAAAAAATAAGAGGAAACGAACGGTGTTACAACAAAGACCCCGTGATATTGTTTTTCTTCTGTAGATAAAATATACAACTGCTAAAGAGTAGAATTTAGTCCATCCTGTGTTGAGAATAGCGTCGATTTCTCGAATTGTCATCGAAGGACCGGAAAACGAACGAAAATCGTCGTCTATCTAATGGATAAGCAATTGCTCCAAACTAAGTCACTCCATGCCTCATCGAGACTGAATCAAAATTTCCAGTACCTTAAAAAAAAAAAAAAAAAAATCAATGAGAGATAGAAGTACATACTATTATAAATCAGACACGGAACACACCAGATAGTCATAATTTAAAAACATTTTTCAGAGTACCAAAGGTCAAGATAGTGAAATTCCTGCACAGGATATTCCCAGGATTCTTCCAGATTAGTCGGCACGAAGTGACTAGGAGCAGGGTTAACTAGCCAGCCCTTCCCTTCTCTCTCACGAATAAAAGAGACCGACAAAGGATCAGCGCAAAACGAAAGGCGAACGAAACCGTGAGAGACGATAAAGGAGAACGAAGCGAAAATAAAAGAAGATCCGACGAAGGCAACCTAAGGATCCGTGGACGAGGCGTCGGCCCCAGGCCAGACGGCTCGACGTCTGTTAGTTATCCTCTGCCAGGGTGTTGATCCTGGCGTTGATGGCCAGGAGTTGCGCCACGAAAGACGTGTCGCTCATGACGGCAGCGAGGTCCGATAGAAGGCTCTCCAGGCTCTCCTTGGGGAGGCCCAACTGACGAGCGCACTCCGATATGACGGTGGTCTCTTCGGCGTCGGGACTTATCTGAAATCAAGATTATCTCGTTGTCATCTTAAATCAACTCCTGGGAGAGATCCCACCTTGGGTGTTCTTCGCTCCGCTTACCTTCGGCGAGCTGCAGAACTTGAAGAAGGGCATCTTGACCCTCCTCTTGCCATGGTTCGTCTGGTAGAAGACAGTGAAGAGCTGTTCGTTCTTCAGGTCGAGGACCACCGGGAAGTAGACGCCGGCGACCACGTGGCCCTTGGTGTCTCGGGCGAGCAGACTGCGGAAGTTGTAGACGAGATTCCTGCGCTCGGTGACGTCGATCGCCGTCAAGTACGGCCTAGCCACGTAGACGAGCGCCGCCTGGGTGCGCTCCGAGCCCCCGGGTCGGGTCTCGCGTTCGTGCCACTCCACGTAGTCGGGGTCCTGGGCGCAGGTGAAGTAGTTGTATTCCTTCTTGCATCCAGGCTCGTCGGATTGGGTGAACCACCCGGTGTGCGGATAGAGCTTGTCCGCCATGACGGTGATAACTCGGGCCACATGGTACCCGGGGTCCAATAGAAGAACTCCTCGACGACCGCCTATCTCGATCTTCAGGCACACCAGGACGTGCTCCTTCTCCCCGCTGTCGGCCGCTGGGGGGCCGCCCACGTAGCTCGCGATGTCACCGATCGTCTACGGGTTAAAGATTAAGAGGATAGGAAACGCTGCCGATTAATTTGGGGATCGAGGCCAAATTGAAGAAAGAGAAAGAAAATTCTCCGCTGTTCCACGAGCGGTAGGATCGGATTACCTCCTCGCAGGAGACCAAGTATAGGCCGCCAGCGATCCCGGGGAAGCGGTCCTCGAGTCCGCACAAACGCCTCAGCAGCTCGAAGCCAAGACCCACGCAGGTATGGTGTTGGTCGGTTATCATCGGCTGGTACTTGCGATAGAACCGATCCAGCGTGGCCTCCCCGCTCGCCTTGTAATCCTTGTACAACCTGGAAGGAGTCGTTCGTTAGGTGCGGAAGAAGAGGAATGCCCTCGTCGATGGACGGGACAGAGGATCGTAGGAAAAATTTACCTGAGGAAGTTTCCGACGGTGTCATAGCGATGCTCTCGCAGTAACCGTTGCGTCTCTAGTTCAACGCTGCCTGCCAGTTCCTCATAGTGCTCGACCGTGTCGACGGTCAGGGCAGGTGACTCGTAGTGCGCCCAGACCGGCAGGGGCAGTGGCACCCCCCTGATCCAGGGCCCTCGTGCCTGGCCCTGCGGCTGGCCCCATCTTCCTGCCCTCTCGAGTCAACTCGGCCATTCGCTGCCCCAGCGGCCCACCGTTGGTACGTACCCAAGTTCATCCCTGCAGCTGCTTATCGGCGCAACAGGGCTCTCTCCGTGCTTTATACTCTTCTCTCGCTCTGCAAGTAACACGTCACACGTAACTCCCCTTGTTTCCCCATAAAATCACGACACTGTTTCAACGTATACCCTCCCGCTCGTATATTGATATTGCTCGGATGACCCACTAAATAAATTTTAAAGTGGGTCATCGCTATCGTATACGGTCAATAGCCACACCTAAATATATGAGCGGAAGGATATGTCACATAGATCACAGAGGCGCCTCGAGGAGACAGCGTCCCGATTCAAATTTCGGCGCCAGTCACGTGTCCAAGATGGCGGCCGACGAGAGCGCGCGTGGCCAATCAATAAACACGATGTTGACCCCTCCACGCCACGTGTACCCTGCGGTTTATCCAATCCTGCCCTGCGAGTTACATCGCCCTCGACGTTTCAACAAGAACCCGACATCCACCAGGATCACCACCCCCAGGTAAGCGATTCTCGGCCTCGCCCCTTATTAATATTCCCCCGCCATGTCCTCGCACTTCCCTGAACTTAAGAAGAGCATTCCCGGTATTTCGTGACGTAAACGAAGGACGGTGAATTTACTCGTAACGTTAAGCGACAGCAACGGTTTAATGCATATCGTTTGTCAGGTTATGTGGCGGTTTAAAGGTCCCCGTGAGCCCGCCTTCGCGATCCAAGATGGCGGCCAGTTTCTAGTCTTCGCTAGACCATTCGAGCGGCGAGATTCCGGCCCTTTGGCGGAAATATTCTACGAAGATCGTCGAGGGTAAACGCGAGCCATTGGCCGACTCCACCACAGCTGAGAGGAGGGCGCCCAGAGACGACGCGACGACAAAGATATCCGCCCCTCTCGAGGCTCCTCCGCATGACGAGGCGCGATAAAGAGGTAACGGTGACGCGTTTAGGAGCAACGCTCGGTCCCTGCCGGAGAGTGCGAGGACGCGTCACGCGTTAACGACCGACAAGGTCGGCGCGCCTCCGCCTCGTGTCGCGACGCGGACCGGGCCCTGTCATCCTCCGGTTATAGGCGCCACGCAGTGACCCCGTTCCGACGACCTCCGTCAGGGACCGAAATACCGGCCCTGCTACTCACCCATACAATGAGCGCACCAAACAAATAAAAACCTTCCCTCCAAGGAAAACTCAATCAAACTCAAGAGTCCGAAGTCCGAGCCGAACTGAGCGCCGGAGCGCGCGCGGGCCGTTTTATCGGCTCCGCCGACCGACCCTCCCTCTCCGCTTCCGGAGGCCGGCCACGTGACCGCGCACTGCCACCTCCACCTTCGCGATTCCGGGAACGGTGCGCGCCACACTTTTCTGGGCAAGCCCGCTTCACCCGGGGAAAATGGAGATGCACCTCTTGGACACCTGCACTCATCGGATGGAGATGGGATTTTTTAGCAACCTGCGGTATGTAAGTCGAAACGGAAGGAAGAAATGGTTTTCTTTATCCGTAGACAAGGGGAGGAGTGGAACGTGTTCGTCCTCGGGGGTGGACCCAGGAATTTCGTTTACCTTGCGTATGTAAACGTCACCTCGTGGTCGCATTTTCGTTTCGAAAAATACGACTCGTTGTTCGCGAAATTAAGGCGCAGTTCAGGTCTGCAGATAAGTTTAAAGTTCATTTACTCGCGTTATCGGGGATCGCCCGAAGGTTACGCCACGCAAACCATATGTTCTCGGTATCGAGTCTGTCGAGCTGGTATCGTTATCGGCGAGATATTCGAGACTCGGGGAAAAAATGAGTAACCCGGGGAGTAACGTCAATTGGTATTGAGGAAAACATCGTTATATAAAATTATCGCTCCTTGTGTACGTTGTATCGTTATTTAATTTTTTTTTTTTGCCTGTTTCAGCTGCGATTCGCGTTCCGTAAGCAGGGGTGCCCTGGAACGATGTCAATTGGCGTAGGTGAGGTGAGCGCGACGAGGTAAGAACGAGTAATCAAGGACTTTATTAACATATACCGTATCGGTATGGAGGCTTCCAGCTGTTTCTCCTGACGTGGTTTACACGTGAGGCGAGAGAAGGTAATCGATGCCCCTTCTCAAGGTTCTCGTAGAACTCGGGGCTTTCCTTGAATCATCGATTGGGGCGAACCTTTGCAGCCGAGTTACGTCACGATTATTATTCCTCGAATCCGGTCGACATCCTGACGAGGCCGACCTCCGGACCCGACGTGCTGGCATGGATTTCGATCTAAATTGGTAAGTGGATTTCTGTACACGTGTTCCAGCCGTCGAAAAATTCCCCCCTCCGTCTCCTTCTGGAGAATGTAACCTGCTCCGTTTTTGCAGCACGTCGTTTACGTCCCAGGAAGCGTGTACACCTAGAGGCTGGTTCGCTCCAGTGGTATGTTTCCTAGAAATTTTAGTGTATCTTAATAATCGGTCCTAAAGCAATGTCAGTTATTTCGGTAAGTGGATCGGTTAAAAAATGCATGCCTATGGATTGCAAAAAAGGATCGCCTTTAAACAGGTTGCTTATTCCCCAGATATCGCCGTTATCCGGGATTTCCTGTTTGCGTTGAGGGTTTCTGCTTATTGTGTCCCTGTTTCCACGAACGTGAGTCATTGCGCAAACAAAGCGCGGTCCACGTGACAACGCGATGCGCACGCGGACTGCGCAAGCATCCATTCAGAGGCCAGGGAAATATTTCTACACAGGGAGGTAACCGCATTCCAGGTTTGGTACCGACCTCGTTCCACGGCTGCGCTGGAGTGGCTTCTCCTACTAAGTATCCCTGTCTTTCTTTCTTCTTGGTATGTCGTGCTACGGCCATCTCCTCATCTCCCTCCAGCGACGCCGCTCCCGCACCCTACTCTCTCCTTTCTAATGTCAAGTTTCCCTCTCACATTCTCAGGTCTGACGTCATGTCCTTTGGGAATAACGATCACCAGGAAGAGGAAAACGAGTGCATCGCATGACTCACCTGAAAGATAAGCGAAACAATAGAGAAAGACGTCACTGCGAATTCCTCCGATGGTCCGCGTTGTTAAAGTATGATTAAAAAAAAATTGTGACGTTTGCTGGAAAAATTCAATCGTCATGGAGACCGAACGTAAAAATTCCTTCCACTCCTGCGAAGTCGGAACGTCGCAGAAGTGGAAGGATAATGTGGAACTATTGAGTGAAAGGAACCAAAAGGTCGTTTCACTTAACAATTCCAGTCTTACGACTTGCATAAGAAGGTGCAAAGGGCCTTTCCATTCCCAAGAGGTGTGTTCGTCTTGGAGAGGGAAAGGGTTCCTTGCTCAGGATAAAAGGAATATGAAAACGAGTTCAAGAATAACTTGCCCGAAACCAGTTTTCAAAAAATTGAAAACAGTCCAACTAAGATTAATTAACCTATTGAAAAGAAGTTTTCATCGGAAAACAGTCGATCTTAATGCTATGCCTTAAATATTAGAATATTACAGTATTTCCTGCGCAGGAACAGTCAGACTTAAATTTACAACTTAACCTTATATTTATCCGAAGCTTTAGCTTCTCGTCGACCTATTCTAAATGCTGGCCAGCACTGCCCAACTTATGCTACCTTAGTCTAGATTATTCTAACGCATTAGCCTAAGAACTTTTCTAGGGGGTTCGGAAGAGATCTTGGAGGAATGGGTTCTTTTAACGGGCCTAACAACGGGTCCGGTAGGGTTCACGGATGGTAAGAAACTAGCCACAGGTTTCACCACCCGGACCACCTTCTTCGTTACGAACTCAGTATCTAACCTTCTGGAAGGAACTTGAGCTACGCTCCTCTTTGGCACCGCCGAGAGACCCATCTTCTTCCTCTCCTCTCGCAGGTATCTTCGAATCCTCCTTCGCAGAGTGGGGTCACCCTTGCACACGGCAAACCACCTCCTATTCACCAAGGCCGCGTCCAACAAAGATTCCCTATCTAGCTTCCTTAAGATGATGCACGAAACCTCTACGGGAAGGACTGACATAAAGTCGGTAACCTGCGCTCCGGCTCCAATGGCATACATCAGGTAGCTGAAGGACTCCATGTTGCTCGTTGCTTTGGAGGTAGCAGAATGAGGAACTAGGGCCTGGGCAGGCCCTTTTATACTCTTCGGGCCGGGGGGCTCCCCGACGCGCCGACCAATCAGAGCGCGCGGCTGGGGGACCCCCTAGGACGTCGACCAATCAGAGCGCGAGGGGAGGGACACAGTGGGGGGCCGGCCAATCAGAGGGCGGGGCACAGTGGGGTGCCGACCAATCAGAGCGCGAGGGCGGGGACACTGAGCTGCCGACCAATCAGAGCGCGAGGGCAGGGACACGGTGGGGTGCCGACCAATCAGAGCGCAGGAGCACTGGCGGTGCAGGGGTAGCGGCCAGTCTCGGTACGTGATAGGTTGACCGACGGACCAATCAGAGAGTAGCAATAGCCGTGCACTGAGGAAGTGAAATTGAGCCTGCCGCCATTGGAAATGGTGCATTTATGATATATTAATTTTTCCAAGTATTATAATTTTTTATCCAATATTTTAGATTGACGAATGTATGTTTAATTTAATGAATTAAAAGTTATATTGCAGCAGTATGTAAGCGATATAAATAATGGGACCCGTCGATAAAAAATATTGTATGTTGAAGATTAGTGTCAGGGTCATGAATAAAGTCCAGTGATACTGTTGCGTTTTATTAACGACAGTAGAACTTCACCTTTGACTTAAAAACGTGATTAATCCGTCATTGTTTAATGGAAGACATTGCAGATTTAAAGAACGTTTGGTTCCATCTTAGGACGGTAAAAGGAACTACATAGACGGCAGCCGAATCGATGCAGTTCAGAATTTCACCATTACCTCCTTGTTCTATGGAAATTCAAGATGAAGAACCTTGAGAGATTGCCATGTGCCATGTTAGACGCTGTGAAACTTTCGGCGAATCTGACGGCATTGAGGCGCATATCTCATCAGTTATCTGTAAGTTCAAAGGATTTTAAACGAGTTTTCGTCTTTCAAGCGGGCCGTGCGACTTCTGGGAAATAAAATAATGAGTTGTCACGCGGTGACCTAGCTTTGCTGTCACTCTTACCAACTTTGAGCAAATTCGAAGGAATGCTTCAAAATATACATATATTTGACCTCCACACATGAATTGAAAGGGGGTTTCCTTTGATAACGAGAAAAATTAAACCACGAGCACTCTAATTATAATATTTATATGCTGGTTCGAATTGCCTCCTTCGATTATGAATACATTATTATTAACTACTTTCCCTTATCCATACAGTCGGAAGCACAACAAAAGCAAGGTACGATAGATGAAGTCTTAGATCGACTCAAACCAGACGTTGTACTTAGCGAAGCAAACCGCAAGAATTGTGCAGAAATTTTGAAACACTACCGATTCCCAACAAAGGTGCTTCAGGAAGTCAACAAAGCTGCCGTTTTAGTCCCACTGTGTATGCACAAAGGAGAATTGGGGTTACTCTATACCCTACGTTCATCCAAGTTGAATACAAATCGAGGGCAAGTGTCATTTCCAGGAGGAATACAAGACGAAGCGGACAAGTCTCTGGAGGAGACTGCATTGAGAGAAACTTGGGAGGAACTAAATATTTCAAAAGATACGGTCGATATCTGGGTCAGTGGGAATCCCATTGTGCGAACGAACGTCAGTGTGTTACCTGTATTAGGATATGTAGGCGAAGTGGATCCTGATACACTAAAAATTAATCCCGACGAAGTGGAGGAGGCCTTTTTCATCAGCTTGAGAAACATTTGTGACCCTGCAAATTTTCGGTACACGCAGTTTAGGAACAATTATATCGTACCCACCTACTTAGGTGGAAAGCATCGTATTTGGGGGCTTACTGCAGGAATTACCCATATTGTCATGAAGGCTTTGGTTCCGGAAATGTACAAACATGAATTGACTTATTTGCAGCCAATCGGCAAGTTGTAAATATTTTCATTTCAGAATCGTCTATTGCAAATGATTCAAATTCTTCCGTGACCTGTGATGTGCCTGTAATTTATACAATAAGATTTATGACACTTCCAATTTCTATTCACCTAAATTTATATAAAGAACTTGGTACATTCTATTCATTAGGAGCTTAAGAAAGAGCTGTGTAACAAGAAAAGTAGGAATATCTCCGATCCTAACTTTTGGCACTGGTTAGGTTCCCTGCATTCAATTGCAATAATTTTTGTGATGTTAATACCACGTATAATTTATTTACGAATAAATAAATCCGAAGTACGACGATGACTATTTATAAGATATTGTAAAACCTCTAGTCCCATTTAAATTTTGAATCTTGAGTTCAATTAATTTTTTTAACGAAGTCTGAAGCATGGCACTCTTAAAATAATGTCTAGCCCTCTATTGTATTCTTAAATGAGCGAACTACGTAACACTGTCACATCTCAGTCGATAAATAAAGGATATCGACATTTCTGAATTCTGAATTTTCCAGGGAACTATCGAAGAGGCCTCACAAGTCTAACCTCAATTTGAACGGAATATTCGTAAAATAATTTCCCTTCTCGTCTCTACAGTAATCATTGCTTCTTGGATGCACCTTTTGCACCGTTGTGCACGAATGCTTGTAAGTTTAACTTGATCTTCGAAGAAAATGGAAGAAACATTGGAGGAAGGACCCACCGTGAATTTTGACAGAACCACATTAGAAATAGCTAAGCAAACGGAAAGGGACTCTAAAGAAGGAACAGACTCTTTCACAGGTGAGCGTGTATACGTTTCGTTTAAACGTCAGTCCATAATTCTACAAGTACTTCCCGATGCTGTAATTTAATATATGGTGGCTCGCAGCAAAGAAGAACAACGTTCCTACTGAATCGGTGCCAGTGCACAATGTCCCAAGTATACCTTTCAGGCACATCGATGCCCACACCTTTTTCTCAAACAGGCAAGAAATTGTTGAACAGGCCACAAAGGACTGCTGCAGGGACTTAGTGGACGAGGCAGAGGCCGATGTCATTGGGACTTGGTTATTAACGGAGTAAGCCTCGTTATAAGTAGACGTGGCTGTGAGCATCTTGCTCATTCCGATACCAAATATATGCTTTCCAGGATAAGTTTATGGGATACGGAAAAAGAGAGACTGCTGTTTCTGACTAAAGGTGCTCTCTACTCGGTCAAGTATGATTTTATATCCCTGCGCATCCTAGACTACTATAAATTGTCGTTGTCAGAGGTAGATACGCTTGTAAAGGGAGAGTTGGAGTATCCTGCGACTTCGGTTGTTCCGTAAGTTGCGACAAGCAGAATCAATTTGTTTATTGTCCTGGTGCTCCGTCACAATGGTCCCTATGCAGCATCTGAATTTTAGACGCCTAAATGGTTTGACGGATGGTGTGTCCTCCATTGTTCAAAATGCGGTGCGTCGGCAGTGGTCGTCACTGGACGCACGATCCGGTCTCTCTCAATTTGAACCGAGGTACTTTACTGGGTGTTTTTTTAGATGTTTTGATGCTTCTTATGTTTGTATTGCGTTTTTCGGTCATAATCACGCTTACACGTCCTTTGTGTGCTTCTATACTATTGCGATGCAATCTGCCGTGGAGTACTTTGCATTTTATTTTGCACGTAAAGCGGCAAAAGATGTCAGCTAAAATCCTCTTTTGAATAAGCACAAGTGCAATCAAAACAGGAAACGAAATTTGACCGGAGTAAGGATAATGTGGAACAGAGGACAGCCTCTTCCCTTAGTCAAGAAGTGGAATCCATTTGCAAAGAACATTCCATGGCTGACGTACACTAGTCATCCACTTTTTTGGCACAAAGGTACAGCAATCGATCTTCAATCTTCATTCACAGTTTTAAAATGTTTTTTTTGCATTCTATGTGCATAGGATCGGAATTGGAGAAGGCAAGATTCGACGTGGAAGATTTTCATAAGACCATTGCCCAAGTTTTGCCCGAAGGGTGTAGTGTCACCGATGGTTCGATTATCGTGGAAAATTACCTAGGCCTTGGAGCCATAATACACAATCGCAGTTCCCTAGGCTTTTTCAAAATCCGTGGAAAAGTCAGTTTTTAAATTCTGGCACTTCGTGGTTCCAGTTTTCACAGCTGCGTGTGCACACTATCGTACGTACTACTGCGAATTCCCATTTTACGAAAGATACTTCTCTTATCTCTAAAACATGCAGTTCATTGTCATGCACATCTTCCTTACGATTTTAAGCAGACTATCGCTTTGAAAAAACCTAATTACACTCTCTGTACCTAATTTTACTTTAATGTCAGTTGGTGGGGAGAAGACATCGAATTCCGCCGCTACTTACACTTAAGCGTTAATGTAAATCAATGTAATTCTTCAGAATATTATAGTAATTTTGAACGACGCGCCATCTGGCAGTTATTCTACTTCATACGGATGATGCGCAATCGCAGCTGCATTTTGATGAAAAACACTCATTAACTGTGCTTGGCTCCAACGGAATGGGCCAATGAGGTGGCACTAGGAAATGCATATGGCGGCTGCGTTCCTGTGAGAGGGCAGCACGTAACCTCAACATGAAATCGTGTTCGTTCGCCATCATTCGAGTCATTCGAGTTCCGACCGTTCTCGGAGGATTGTTGCGTTGATCGTCGCCGCGTTTCCGCGAGCCGCAGTTGACGATTTCATTTTCCGCGGACGGTGCGGGTCGACCGTCGACGAGGGCAAAACAGAGAGGTTGGAAGAAGCAAAGCCCGGAGCATGCGTCACCGCGGGAAGGTAGCGACTCAGCAGCTCGTGACAGCTCGCGCTAGCCTGTGCTAGCGCAGAGGATGTGACTTCGTCGGGACGTTCTGGCAGGGCCTAGAGGACGTCCAAGAAGGTTGGGGGAGCCCGGGAAACGCGGGGACAGCCCTCGACCTCGTCACGGATCGCGCGGAACTCTGACCCGGCCATGAAGTGAACCGACCCGGCGAGGATAATGATGGGCGATCAGTTTCGCGGGAAAGCGGAGCAGTATTCACCCAAGTCTTCACCCCGGGGCGCCCGTTCCCCGGTTGTTTCTCGACAAGACTCCACGGGGACTCTCAAAACGACGATTTCCCTCGGCAAGAACCCATCCATCGTCCACAGCGGGCCCTTCTATTTAATGAAGGAGCCCCCTGGTAAGTCACCCTCCGGTCTATCCCTTCTGGGGCTTTCGATTGCTAACCAACGTCAGATTGATTTGTCGACACATGTGCATGCGTTGCAGGGGAAAGTGAACTCACGGGGGCTACGAATTTGATGGCCTATTATGGCCTGGAACATTCCTATAGTAAATTTAGTGGTAAGAAACCAAAGGAACAGCTCTCCTCGTTTCTCCCCAATTTGCCTGGGATCGTCGACACTCCAGGCCACCGAGACAACAGGTGCGTGGTCAGCGAGAATCTTGAGTACTATTCTCCGAGAGGTTTCTGAAAAATTGTAAGACGTAACCGTTTATTCCTTTCAGCTCTTTGAGGTCGGTGATAGATAAACCTCCGATTTGTGGGAAAGAACTGCTTCCATTAACCAGTGTGCAATTGGCTGGCTTTAGGTTACATCCCGGGCCGGTAAGTGTCTTCAGACATCCATTGATAAGATGTATACCAGCAATAATGGAATGTCGATAATTATCCATTTCAGCTTCCAGAGCAGTATCGATATGTCAACCAAGCTCCTCAAAGAAAGCACAAGAACAAGCATAAAAAGCATAAGCACAAACCAGGGGATGTACCTGGTGGTCAAGAGACTGCCACTACCGATATTGGTGGCCCCGATACCCATGAAAAAAAGCACAAGAAGCAGAAACGACACGACGAAGAAAAAGAAGCCAGAAAAAAGAGGAAGAAGGAAAAGAAAAGGAAAAAGCAGAAGCATAGTCCAGAACACACAGGTGGACTGACGCCCTCCCAGCATTCTAGTGCGTGATCTCAATATGTTTATCTAATGGAAAAGGGAAATTGGGATCTGAAAACTTGTTCCGCAGTGCCATTAGATTATCTTTGGTGCAGTGAACGAAAGTGACTTATGGCTAAGCCATTGAAACGAACAACATGGCTTGGCCTTTCGTACGTATCTACTGTCGTACGAATTGTACCATAAAATTAAGTGTGGTTTGTTGCAACTCGTTACCCGATTTCACAAGCTGTAATTGGATCTTTGTGTTTCTTCATGATCGCATTTCGTGGGGCCTGAATTAAACGGCGTCATCTTTCGTTAGTTAATGGCTAAGGACGATCTCGAGCCGTTAACACACCCCACTTGTACTATATTTCTTTGAACATTGAAAGACCTGATTCCTTGTTACCGTTCACCGCCGAACCAAAAGACTTCACCGAGGTCGCCCTGTCGACATCCGTTGCCTCTGTATTATATCTTCTAGGGAATGTAATTTTGATAACAGTCGAATGTCGGACACGTCATATTTATAAATATAGATAAGAGAATAAAGAATTAGTTTAGTAAATTTCGCGGTTCTTGCCGGTCATTGGGAAGTGTTGTTCTCTTCAAAAATTATGTAAAATGTCTGCGGTTTCTGTTAGAATTCTTTTGGAAAACAGTAAAATCAAGCAGATTCTCCTTTCGCACGTGGTAATGTATCAAGTCAATGCACTTCCATCTAATTTTTTCTACGAATTTTCCATGGTCTCTAAAAGTGGATGTTTAGTGGTCCCTTGATGTACCAATCAGAACGCTTAGTTTTGGATGCACTAGATAGAAAATTCCGACATGAATTGGCAACGCCTCCAATCCAACTTTACGCGAACCTCTCTGGATCTGCAACGCCGTTTGCAGTTATATACATTCTTTCATTCGATGCTTGTGAAACGCAAAACGAGCTTCGACAGGCTGTCGTACCGAAAAGCCGAGCCGCCTATTAAAATATCGTTTGAAATTGAAGCGCAAAAGGCGCGAGCGATTTGGATAGCGGAGACACTTCCAAACGAGGTAACGATCTTCGAACTCGAATACAATCAGGACTCCCGCTTTAACCTATTATTGATTCGATATTTTACTCTCGTAGACAAATGTCAGGCATCGCGATTGCTAGACTCGCAGAGGAACGAAAGGCATGGAGAAAGGATCATCCGTTTGTAAGTATCATTCGAAACTATTTTTGCATTTAAAAGAAGTTCGCGAAACGTTAGGCGAAAGTGAGGTTAGAAGCCATGCGGCGGTGTCAATTGTAACCGATCTAAATACATTGTTTGTATACATCTACATAACCATTACTCGAGTCGACGACTATTGTGGGTGTTAGGACTTTCCTTTAGTCTTTGGAAATCTTTTATGCATTAAATCATAAATATCTGTAGTTACATTTTTGGCGATGATACAGGTCCATAGACGTGATTTTCTTTTAGGGCTTTGTGGCACGTCCGACGAAGAATCCCGATGGCACGTTAAATCTAATGAGTTGGGAATGTGCAATACCTGGGAAGAAGTCGGTAAGAATGGATTCGGTGCATACATTTTTTAATCTTTTGAAGCAATTGAGTTTGATATTTACATTGTATCGTCTGTGACAGACGGCCTGGGAAGGTGGATTATACAAATTACGTATGATCTTTAAAGACGATTACCCATCCAGTCCTCCCAAATGCAAATTTGAACCTCCTCTCTTTCATCCTAATGTCTATCCATCCGGTACCGTTTGTCTATCGCTGCTAGACGAAGAAAAAGATTGGAGACCCGCGATCACGATCAAACAGATCCTTCTGGGTATCCAGGACTTGCTCAATGAGCCCAACGTTAAAGATCCTGCTCAAGCGGAAGCATACACCATTTACTGGTACTGTATTACAACGTGGATTGGGTTTTTTCTGCTTTCTATGCAATGTCTATCGATTTCTTTCCGTTGCAGTCAAAATCGGCTGGAGTACGAAAAGCGAGTAAGGGCACAAGCAAGAGCAATGGCACCACAAGAATAAGCATCATCTTTAGGTTGTGAATCCAGTGTATTCCAGCTATACAAAGTCAATATTAAGTGTCACCCAGTTAAGTCGCTTATTCTTTCTCTATATATTTTTTTACCTGTAAAATTAACGCCACATACTGTAACAGAGTTAATCACAACCGATAAATGACAGAGTAATATTTCTAGTTGATTGCATTACAAGCTTGGGGATTTTTTGTTTCGTTGATCAACACATCAAAAAAGGATGAAATTTATTCACTAGCTGGTTAAAGTATTAATTAAAACAATATTTTTTTTTGCAAATTCCGTCATATCGATAAGGTAAAGTAAATGTCTTCAAAGTCGTGTCGAAATTAGTCCGATTTAACTTCTATCTCGTGACTCATGAAATCATCTAGTTAAGATATTAGTTGTACTTATATATTTAATTATAAATTTACGGTGATCATTCCCTGTTTAATTTACTTTTTCTTTGCTACTCGAGATACGTATATGTCAGGAAAATTTGTAGGAAAAAATTGTTAGAATAGATAGAATTAGCTTAAGCTTAGTGCCTCGCTTATCGATCCACGACACCACCTTATTTTCCTACGATTGTTAATTATGAAAATTTCAATCGGTATCCTCTATGTTCTTTCATTTTAAAACCTTACAACTTCTAAGTTGTACTAATCGTTCGATCTATGTAAAGAGTCCCGATCTCTCGAATAAATTTTGAGTAAAACAAATGTTCGTTTTCCAGTAGAAAATCGAGAGATCAGAGCGATCTGTTGGCGATCGAACCATCCATTGACAAGGATCACTGATTATGTAAACGAACCTTCCCAATAAATGGTCAGGTATTATTTTACATGCCATTGGGTTTGTCATAAAAATCCTAACACATCTACTGAATATTCATACACTCTGCTTCTCCTGTAAACAGGCGTCATTAGTTCTGACATCAATTAATTGATAACGATGACTGGTACTATCTCTTGAGAGAACTGCTTGATAAATCTGTGATATTGTTGGGATTAAGGAAGGCCATTAGTTCTCCCGCTTAGTTGTGTATAAATTAATTAAATTAATCGACAGAAGGCGGCGCGCGCAATAACGATTACACGAGAGGGGATAACGAGGGTCCAAGTACAAGAAGTCAGTTGTGTCAGGGAGCCACAGGTTGCGCATCCGAATTTCAACCATGAGACGCAACAACGCGTCCTCGGGAACTGCGCATGGCGGCATTGTTTTAACCTGTTTGCTCGGCTGGGGTCTTTCTTACTACGCGTTCCAGGTGGAAAATGCAAAGGAGCAGGACGAATCATACGAGGCGGTGTGCGACGTGAGCGAACACGTGAGCTGCTCAAAGGCCTTTTTTTCAGAGTGAGTATCTTATCGCCGGTTCTTCCTTTCCCGATGCCTTTAGGAACGCCCTGACACTTTCACGCTTAATTTAATCCCGTTAAATAAATCGCGGTTCTCGCGGAGTTACTTTCAATAATACTTCTTTTTTTTATTTAATATCCGTCGAGGTAAATAATCCGTTGCCGGTCTCGATATCTCAATCTCATAGACTCAATTTGTCGGATCGCGAGGTCGGCCATCTTGGTTGCTCCATAATCCGCGGTGCTTCTTCCACTGCTTTTAGGAACGCGATATCGTCCTTATTTTAATCGCGATTTCAATAGTCATGATGAACTGATTTTTTTATAAGTGATACCGGCACACGGATTTATAGAAACACGTCTGCAATGCGTATATATAAATGGAACATTTAGATACTTGGGGTGGCGGCCATCTTGTTTTCCTTTTGCAGGTACGGAAAGGGTTTCGGCTTGGTTCCAAAGGATTCCTGGCTTTACGCGTCCAACAGTCTCTACGGAATAGTTTTTTACGCCTGCGTTGCTGTTTTGAGTAAGTCCGACCGGTTTCTTCGACGAATGCAAAGCATTTGTAAGTAAATCACCGCGTTTCATTTCAGATTGGTATGACAGCGCCGTCAGCGTCGCGCTCATGCTCTTCCTGGCGATCCTCGCGAACCTCGGCACGATTTACCTCGTTTACATTCTCTACCTGCTGAAGAACGTCTGCCTGGTCTGCGTCAGCCTCTACGTCGTCGATGCGATGCTCCTGGTCTTCGTCGTGAAGAAATCCAGAGCGCTTTTCGCCAAAAAGGCGAAACCACATTAGCGGGAACAAAACTAATGGGGTCGCTCGAACGAAACGCTCGCGACTTATGATGCATCGTATAAACTGTAATTTATTCTCGCAATCCGGCCAGTTCCTTCCCGCCGAACTGCTCGAGGTCTCCTCTCGATTTAACGTTAAGTACGCTCGAGGACGTAAACGGTTGTCAGTGGGTTTTAGTTACAAGGATTACAGGTCGGGCCCACCCGGAAGAGGGACCCCCGACACACGTGAAGCTAGAGTACGTCAAAGGGGCGTTAACGTTACGGTTCGTTACGGTCGTTACGGTAATTATAAATAAGAGAGCGACTCGATCGGTACCCGATCAGTACTCGTACTTGGAGGCCTTGAAGAGGTCCCTGTTGCTCCTGCTGATGCTGGCGAGGATGCCGGGGCTCTTGAGGGGCGGCGTCTCGTCCAGTCGATTCAGCTGCGAGGTGGACTTCCTCGGGGCCTCCTCGGGACCGCTCCTGCTCGCCTCGACGTTGAAGCTTTTACTGCGAGCGATGGAGGACTTGTAGGCGCGCTCGGGTTTCTCGGGACAGCGCGCACTCGTCCCCGGCTTGGAAGCCACGGGCGAGGTGACGGTGTTCTTGATGCTGATGTTGATCATGCTTCCAAATTGACCCGAGGGGACCGAGGACCCAGCCGGGACGGACGGGACGCTCTTCCCGACGCCGGTAGAGGTGGCGTTCGGCGAGCGCCGACTGGACCCCGGATGCACCGCGGAGTGCAGCTTCCTGGGGAGGGTCCGCGTCGTCCTGAACTCGTCCCGCTCGTGCTCAGCGGTCAGCCTGCCGGTGGACTTGCTGAAGCGGCCCAGGGAACTCGATTCGACCCTGGAAGAGGAGGGACGAGACTTCGAATATAGGTATCGACGCTTGTTTTTAAATCCTGGTCCGGGTGGTTACCTCGTCCCCGGTTCCGCGGGGGATCTCCCAGAGGTGCGTTTCCCGGAGGGCTTGGCCATCCCTCCGTAGCCCTTCTCCCTGCCGTAGATGCTTCCTCCGAAGGGGTCCTCCCCGAGGTAGTATCTGTGCACGGGGGGCGCGGCTCCCTCGGTCCTCGTCCACTGCTCCTGGGAGACGCGCTCCACTGTCTTGGAGGACGCGGAGACTCTGGCGGTCGGGGAACGCGGCGGCCTCTCCTCCCCAAGCGGAATGTTCCCGTCTACAACGTTGTACTGCAAGTAGGTCGGCCCGTCCTCCCGGTCGGTCCGGGCTACTCGAGCGGAGGACTCGCCGTCGGACGCCTTTTTGTTTCTCCTCTCCGAGCTCGCCGAGCGCAGCTTGCCCACCAGCTTCCGGAAGGACTCGCCGATCTTGTACTTGGACTGGCCGGAGCCTGAAGAAGCCGAGGATTCGTGACGCGTTCGCGACTTCCGAAAAATTCCGAGCGACTTACTCTTCGAGGCGCGAGGTGCCCCGGAGTCCTCGGAAACCTTCTCTCTGCGCCCTGAAACCGGAGGAAGGGGAGAGGCCGACCTCGACCTCGGAGGTGACTTCCGAGGACTGTATCCATGCGGCTCCCTTTGCACGGCCTCGTTCCGCGCGTCTCGAGTGCGGCTCTCCCAGGTCCTCTGCACCACGTGGACCGGACTGGCGGTTCGCCCCGAGGACTCGTACGCGCCCTTCTCCTGCCTCTCCGTCACCTGCGAGTCGAACAAGTGGTATCCAGGACGAGAACAAATTTTTCCCTCCCCGGGGCGCACCTGTTCCCTGGGTCTCCTGCGGAGGGGCGGGGAGGGAGCCTCCTGGGGGGACGGTTTTCGCTCCTGGGAGCGACGAGAGGACTCGAAGCCGCGCGAGTAGCTCGACTCCTGCGTCCTCGAGTTCTCCTGGAGGTACCCGTTGCTCTTTGGACCTTCCGACACGTAGAACGTCGGGGACGCGGACCTGGCCTGGTCGTTCCTCTTTTCTGGAACCCCGAACACAGGGAATGGAGTAGGCGCGGATCTTTACTCCGAAGAGCGACCGGATCGAGGTCCACTCACCGACTCCTTGGTACCTCTCGGACCACTCGCTGATGCCGTGGTAGTACCCGGAGGGCGAGGCCGAATCTCGACTTCCTCTGGGCTGAGGACGCTGAAAGTGTGCGACCCCTCGATATTCCCTGTCCCTCGGGGTGCAGGACTTCATCGTGACGTTGATGAAGCTGGTGTTGGTCCCGGTCTGCACGGGAGGTTCCTCGGCCTCGGAGTCGTGGGAGGATCGAGAGTCGCTCCCAAAGTGGCACTCCAGCCACTTGGAGGTCTCGAACTTCCTGGCCTCGTCCTCCTCCTCGAGGTCCAGGGGCTTCTTGGTGAGCGCGTCTTTCCTCGAGGCCGCCGCTGCGTCCGCGGGAAATCCTGGAAAGAGGACGTTTCTCTTGCCGGTACCCCCAGGGTGTCGCCGTCACCGGGACTAACGCTTTATTTACCGTGTTTGTGCAGGCGAGTAGTCTTCATGGTCGTCGTCGGCGGCCAGTTGCCCGCCCGCTCGCCCTCCGTCGTCTCCGAGACGAAGCGCGTCTCTCTGGCGATCTTCTCGCCCCCGGAGACGTAGTCCACGACGTCCTCGTCCCTCGTCTTGACGAACCTCTGGGAGCCCTCCTTCCTGGTCTCCTTTTCGACGTCCTCGTCGGGTCGGCCGTCGTCCGGAAGCTCGTCGTCCCTGATCTACGATCGAGTTTCAAAGGACGATTTCGAGAAGGATCGCACCCAGGGGATCTCGACCGCTCACCTCCTCGTGCTCGACGGTCTTGTTGGTCTCGGTGACGACGAGGCCGTCCGCCTTGAGCTCCTTCTTTTCCAAGGTGTCCTCGGTGTCGACGACCTTGTTGGACTTGGTGGTGTGGCGCAGGACCCTGGGCCCGGTCTGGGGGGCGAGCTCCTTGGAGGACTCCTGGAGGGCCGCCCTGAGGTCGGTGCGGTTCGCGCGGATCGCCCGCTGGTAGGCCTGGAGGAGAAACTCGGTTCCTAGGAGAGTTTCAGGAGCGAGGCGGGAGGCCAATGGAGAGGAAAGCCCGCGGGGAGGGGCGGAGGCGCGCGAGAGATGGAGAAAACGAGAAGAAGGAGGACGAGCGAGTGCAACGAACCGGCCCGGGACCGGGACCGGGAGCGTCCTCGCTCGACTCGACGCTCGACTCGACGCCAGTGACGAGCGAAAGCGGTCTTGGTCTCGCGAGATGCAGAAAGAGGGCAAAAAGTGAAACGCGAAAAAAATATGAGGTAAAAAATTAAGATGGCAAAGAGAAGAAATTGAAAAACGGCAAGACCGAGATAATCGCCGATTTCGCTCGTCGCCGTCCTCCAACCCCGGGACACCGACCTCGTCGGTGATGTCGCCGAGCTGCCGGCGATCCTCCGTCTCGAGGCGTTCCTCGGTCTCCTCGTGGCTACGGACGACGGTCTCCCGGTTCAGCTCCCGGTGCACCAGGTCGGCGACCGGCCACTCGAGGGTCCTCGGCTCGTCGGCGGTGGTGCGGCGCTGGAAACGGGACCGTCGATCGACCCTTTCTCTCCGAAAACTTTCCCCGGTCTCGGGACGGCTCACCTCCTGCGTGGTGTGCTCCTGCTGCTCGACGTCCTCGGTGGTGTTGGTGGTGACGAGGGGACCGGAGTCGACGACCACCTCTCCGTCCTCGAGAACGACCTGCCGCTTGACCCTGGTCTCGATCTGGCGCGTCCTCGTGATCTCCTTCTTCTTCCGGGTCTCCCATTCCTCTGCGGGGAGGCCGAGACTGAGACAGGTTTCGTTAGCCGAAGAGGCTCCGCACGGCGAGGTACGGCGAGATATACGCCGGTGATCGCGATCCCAATACGGACGTATCGGATAAAACGGCCACGACGAGATAACGAAATAAAAATAATATAGGAATAATTAAAAAATACCTTAGAATTAAGAAATAATGTTTAATCGATTGAAAAGTAATTGAAAAAAAAAGAAATCGTTACAGGTGCGGAGAGTTCAGAGGGCGAGTCGGCGCTCCAGGTGGCCGCTTACCTTCCTTGACGGTGGCGACCGAGGCCTCGGCCCGGGCGGAGGCAGCGGAGGGCGGCTCGCCCAGGGCGCCAGGGGGGCGAGCCTCGTACCTGCGCGTCGAGATCACCTCCATGGCTGGGGCAGGGCGGGCTCCGCTGCCGGGTTACCTGCGACGAGACGCATGGGCGGTCAGAGGCGGCCCTGGAGGGCCCGGCTAGAGGCGCGGCGCCGAACGTCGCCGCGGCGTCGCTGGGCGCCGGGGGAGGGGGATTTAAATGGAATTCGCGGAATTCGCGGGCTCGCCAAGCTCGAGCGGGCCGGGAGGGGGGATTTAAATGGGTCGAGGGGGGGACTCGTGGGTGGCCGAGTAGGTGCAGCTGGACCCCACGTGACCTCCCCAAGGCCGTCGCCATCTTGGGGCCGGAGACTCGCGGAGACTCGCGGAGACTCGAACGCCCGGAGAGAGAAGCGCCGAGGCCGCGGCGCGGAGGTGCGGGCGCGCACCTGCGTCGTTGCGCAATCCGGCGCACCTAGGTGAAGAAGGGCCCTCCCAGGGGCGAGGAATACCTGGCGATCGGCTCTCCAGCCAGGTATCCGTTCCCGGGACCTGACGGTCCCGCTTCCGGGCGCTCCTCGCGGACGACGCGGCTGATCTCGCTGCAAGAGCGGCCGGAGAAGGAGCGAGGGTGCGCGCCGGTCGGCGGCGTCGCGGCAACTAAGCGCCTCCGAGGGAGTCCCCTGCTCGCCGACCGCGGAGAAAGAGAGAGAGAGAGCGGCAGGAGGAGCGAGGCCGCGCGCGAGTCGAGGCGCGCCTCTTCCCCGGGTGCGTCACGGCTATGAATATTCCGCCGCGCGAGCGCCTGAGGACTTCCCGAGAGAGCGAGGAGCCCTCCGGAGAAGGAGCGCGAGGAAATCGGTCAACGGGTCGACGTCGCCTCCTCGGCCGAGGTCTCGGCCGGCTCGCCCCGCGGGCTCCTTTTAGGGAGACGCGCGCCCGGTGACTCACGAGAGAGACTTAGACGGAGACCGTTCGCGGAGGTGCGCTTTCGAATTGCCGATCTCGGAGCGAGAGGATGAGGAATTCCTCTCCTTTCCGAGTCGGGCAGCGTCTCGTCGCCGAGACAGATGCGCGCGGCGTTCGAACTTTCCCGCGCTGCCGCCGAAGCGATTCGGGCGCCACGCTGGTGGTGCCATCTCTGTGGCCACGGGGGAAACCGCTAGCCGAGCGCAGGCCTCGCCGGGTAATTCGGGGACGCGCAGTAGGTGGAGCGTCGCTCTCGAGGGAGAGGGTTTCGCGCTTCCCGGTGGAAGGAGCGGCCGACGAGCGATCGGAGGAGTCTTGGAAGGCGTCAGACGTCTTCTCGATCCTCTCTCGGAGGAGCTCGAGCGTCGGCGGTGGCGCCGCCTGCGGCGGCGGCCGGCACGAGCGCCATGTTCCTCGGGGAGGCCCTCGCGGCGAGAGTCGCTCGCGTCTCGAGAATGCAGGTCGGGCAACTCGGTCGGCGTAGGGCTCGGTGCGGCCTCGGAAGGCCCCGGAATTGATAGAAGCTTGCGGTCGGCTCCGGTGGACCGGCGCGGGTGCGAGACCGAGCGAGCGGAGCGAGGATTCGGCCCCGGGATGAGGCCCGGGCCGACGTGACACGGGCGGGTGCGCGCCGCCATTTTTATTTGGGCGCACGATGCGGCAACCGTGCGCGCCCGTTCGATCCGCCATTCCAAACAATCCTCGGAGTCCGCGGCCCCTTGGACCAGCCATCTCGAAAAGTGGCTAGCGACTAGTCGCGACCTCGACGGCGTCCCCGGCCCGCGGCAGCTCGTCGGCACCCTCCGCCGCCCGCGGCCACATCGCCGGCGAGGACCGTCCACCGTGCGCGTCCGAGGGGCCCGGGATCGGGTCCGGGGCGAGAGGATGCCAGGTCGTCCCCTCCGGTGAGTGCAGTGCGCCCGGGATGCGCCGCCCGCGAGGACTCGCCTTCTGAGCGACCCACCTAGGGAGCCGGCCACCCTCGGGAACCGCCGTCCAGAAGTCGGCCCGCGGCGATGAGACGACGCGTCCCCGTCCGCTCGGCCGGGTCGCCTCTCTGAGGCGAACAGCTCCATCGGGGGCCCGATCCGACTCGACATGGAGATCGAGGCGAAGCAGCGGAACCAGAGGAACCGACGAAGGGAACGTGCCCAGCGCATGCTCGCCCAGCGAGAGAGCCTCGCCAGCGCGAAGCAGCAGCAACAGCAGCGACAGCAGACCAGGAGGCCTGCCGACGAAGAGGACAGCCATAGCGGGGAGGACGAGGACGCAGCCGGAGGCCTCGCTTCGATTGGCCTGTCGAGAGGGAGTCGACCTCGAGAAAGCCGCTCCAGGCCTCCGAGGCCTCCCAGACCCCCCAGGCCCAGGAAGAAGTCTTCCCTTGCCGGGGCGGTGCAGAAGGATCCGCCGTTCGAGGAGGACATAGTCGACGGATTCGCCATCCTTGCCTTCCGTACCTACGAGGAACTCGAGGTCGGTCCTTCTCTTTACCCAGGGTCTCGGTCGTTTCCTCTCTCACCTCGGAGTCCACTGGAAACGTCCGACGAAATGACATTAGCTCTCTACGAGGACAAGGAGCCAATCGTTGCCAATGTTTTAGACTCGTTCTCACCCCGTGATTTTGATGTTAACAAATTGTCTAGCATTTAAAAACTATGGCTAAACGTTGTCTTTGAATGCCAGGGAACGGGGTAAGGACGGAGTTTAAATCCCTGACCGAATTAAGCTTAAACGTCGTTTTTTATTTGTTACCCCTCTTGTAAATGTGGTAGTATATTAATGTAGAGTACGGAAATGACAGTCTCCTGGGAGGAAAAAATAGAGGGAGAGAAAATAGTCCGCGTGAAAAGCGAGCATCTTGTGAGCCGAAATCAGCGAGACGATCCTCGGGATCATTGCATTCGCGACTCGACGCCGACGACTGCTCCTTGTCCTCGAGCTCGCACGCTTCCACGTTTCCGTCCTTGTCGCTCGTCCGTTTGCTCGCGTACGTCGATCCTCGTCGCTCCACCTTGCGGCCGCGACCCGCCGGCGGAACGGCAGAGCCTGCGTTCTCTCCTCCGTTTCCCTCCCGCGTCGCCTCCCTCCTTCTCCTTTTCTCTCTCTCTCTCTTTTTCTCCTTCTCTCCCGCTACTGTCACAACACGCGTGGCTCTCGAGGTTACTGTCCCCTCTCGGGGTCCCTCCTTTCCCGCTCCTTCGCCCTCCTCTTCCTTCCTCGTCACGCAGCCGAAGAAGAGGCGGAAGAGAGGTTAGACACGGCAGGAGAGGGGGACGCGGTAGTAAACGTTGCCATGGAGACCGGTCGGCGAGCGACAACCGGACGGGCCCTCGGGTTTTCTGAAAAAGACCTCCTTTTTTTTCCCTCCCCGTTTCCATCGCGAGTTCGCCGCGATTCCCGCTCGAGGGATCGCCCTGGGATCGGCGCGGGAGGGGAGGCCACCTTTGTACGGGAGGGCTCGCGAGTCAAACGTAACCTAACGCAACGCGACCAGGAGCCGCCCCTCCGGCCCGGGAAAAAAGCCCCATTCATCGGCGGCGATACAATCGGCCTTTCCAACGGTCCCCTGGAGCGGATCGCTGAGGTCGCCTGCGCGCCGGATTTCCCTTTCGAAAGTGGCGCGAAAATTCGAAACGGGATCGATAGGAGGTTTGAGTTTCGCCCCGCGAGCGGCGCTCCGGACGCGGCCCGACGCTGACCTTTGCCAAGCACGTGCTCGACGGGTCGACGCTCGTCTTTCGGGACTTTCCTCGAGCCGAGGTAGCGGTCCATCGGCGCGGATCGACCCCCCACCTTCGGGGGGCCGAGCCGCCCGTGAGGGGAGTCGCGGCGCGACTGGGGCCCCCGGTCCGCGCCGTTCCGGCGTTCCAGCTGGTCGGCTCGACCAGGGTGGGGGAGAGGCCGAGCGCGCGAGCGGCTGTTCCCTTCGGTCAATGTCTCCTCGCGCTCTCCCTCTCCGTCGCGCTCGCCGGATAACGGGTCCTCCCCTCTCGCTCGGCCTCTCCCTTTCACGGCCGGCGTGCCGTTTCTTCGCCCCCCCTTCCCTCGATATCTTCGCGCATCTCGCGCCGCCCGACGGAACGTGGAACGCGAGGTGATCGTCGCGATCTTGTCTCGGTGCGAGTATCGCGGTTTTTCGTTTTCGTAGTTTTCCTTTCCGTTCTTTTTCTCTGTTGGTTTTTGTTTTTCTTTTATTGGCCGAACGCGTCGGAAATTCTTACGTCGCTGCGGGTCGAGTTCGCGCGTCGAGAAAGGGGAGCGGATCGAAAAAGTGAGATGAGACGCTTTTTCACTCTGCTTGCGGTTCCGTCTCTTCCCGCCAGGGGCGCGCGCCGCGACCTCTCCTTCCCGTTCCGACGGCTCTGGAATTCCCGTCCTGCACCGCGCGCGAATTAGTCTTTCCCTCCTCTTCCTCTCTTCGTTTCATCGGCCGCGCCTCCGACGTCGGTCCCGCGAACGAGAGGCGGACGCGGCAATCTCGAGCACCCTCCGCGAAGGGCTTGGGAACGCGCTGCCGAGTTGCGCCGGGTCCAGGGAAATACCGGGCTCCGATTGGCCGGCTCGTCGCCGTTCCTGATTGGTCCCCGCCGGTCACGTGGTCCGCGGGCTCGGAAGAAAGAGATGGGGCGAGAGAGAGGTTACGTCGACTCGACATCACCCGGGAGTCACGCGTCCATAGGGAGAGGTGCGCTAATGCCCGGCTTTTATCTTCCATTGCAGAGTGCAATAAAGTTGGCCGGCAAGAATAATGTCAAGAAGCTCCATACGCTGCTCTCGATAGCCGACGAGAAGCCCAAGGTTGACACCGGCCAGCACGACCGACACGGCGAGCACCGCATCAAGAACCACTTCAAGCACAACCATTATACGCATAATTCCATACTGACACCCTCCACGCTGAACCAGGTATGAGAAGGTTTCATCGAGTGGCGAGTCGAGTGGGTCGGGAAGTTGAAACGGTTCGTTGTCGGTTGCAGGGCTTAGATGCGGGCACTAGCGACGACAGCGGGAGAGCGTCCGAACGGTTGCACGGCCCTGGTATACCTAGGGATTGCCAGGACGCCGACAGCTCCAGGGACCACCTTAGCGATGTAAGCGAACCGCCTCGTCGAAGGTTGCTTTTAAGAATCTGAGTGTGAAGGCCCACGTTCAAACCGTTTATGCTTCGCTTTACAGGCTAGCAGTCATTGCAGTTCGGGTAAAGGTTATATCGTAAGTATCGGAATGTATCTTTGCTTCGGTTACCTCAGGAATCGCGTTTCATTAATCTTGTCCTCGTTCTTTTCAGTGTGATAGCGAAGGAGAAGACGACAAGGTGAGTAGCCATAGATTACCGTCGAGAGATCCACGTTTCCGAGGAGACGATCGCGTCGTCACTCAAGCGTTCCTCGTGTCCTTGCAGGTCTCGGATGCGGAGTCGATACTCTTCGAGTCTTCTACTCCACCGCCGCTCGCACGAAAATGTACGTGTCGACCCTTGACTTGGGCACCTCTCATCGACGAGTCTCGCAAGCGGTGTATCGATGGTTCCGTTTCAGACGAGCTGCCGTCCTCCTCGCCGCACGCGCTGCCACCGGCAAACGGAGCGGGGGGCTCGCCCCCCGACACCGGCGGCCAGATCTCCAACCCGGCGACGGACGCCCCGGCGCCGATTCCGCCTCCGGCGGCCGCGTCCGCACCCGTCCCGACGGCGCCCAGTCCCCCCAGCCCCACGCTGCCCCCGCACATATCCCAGCCTCCCGTAAGTCGACCGCCGCGCGCCTTAGCAGCCGAGGACCATCCCCTGTATCAACCGGGCGGCCGTCGACTTCCGTTGCAGATGACCAGCCCCCTGGCGGCGAACCCTCGCGCCACGGTCCCGCAGCAGCTGGTGCAGCATCAGCCCCACCAGCCGCACCAATCGCACCAGCCGCATCCGGCGCACCAGCCGCAGCAGCCGGCGCACCAGCACCCTCCGTCGCACCCGCAATCACAGGCCCAGCCGCAGCAGTCGCAGCAGGCTCAGCCGCAGCAGCCGGCCCAGCAGTCGCAGCCGCGGGCGGCGTCGCCGGCGCTTCCGCCGCCCTCGCTGCCCCGGCACCCGGCGGGCGCGCCTCTGGCGCCCTCGAGCCACACGACCAGCCCCGCGGTAGCGAGCCTGGGGGTCGCGCCGGCAGCGCCCTCGAACGGCGCTTCCCAGGCGACGTACCCGCCGCCCCTCGCCATGTCGCTGCCCTACTCCCAGACCGGGCAGCCCTCCTCTTATCCGCCGCTCTACACCCCCTACGCCGCCCTGAACCACAGTCCGTACCTGCCACCGGCGGTGCCCTCGCCCTCGCACTCGGCCGCCTCTTCGAGGACCGACGCGGTAGGTGCCCGCCGCCATCCGAGGGCCTCGCCCGCCGTCCCGGGCCCGGCTGACTCGCTTCTCGGTTCGCAGCGGGCGTCCCCCTGCGCTCCCGGGCTCCGACAGCCGGCCGGCCCGGGCGGCTCGACGCCCCTCAGCGCCGCGACGACGACCTGCGTCTCTACGATCGCGAACACCGTTACCACCGCCAACACGATCGCCCACCGGGACGTCGTGGCCTGCAGCCTCGCCGGCAGGGCTAACGCGAACAACTCGCCCCGAGGGCACAGCCCCAACCGGGAGCGCGACAGCTATAGGTACGTCCCCGAGGGGGGTGGCGCGGGACGAGGAGCTAAAGGGGTCCTCCTGGTTACAGCAGCAACGTGAGCAGCCTGAGCCGGGGCAGCGTGACGCCCGTCAGTGCGGCCAACACCTCCTCCCCGGCGAACTCTAGTCTACCCGCCTCCTACTCCAAGGCGCAGTCATGGATGGGGTGAGTGCTCGTCGGCCCTCCGGTCCCCGGTACCAGTCCCGGACTGACCGTCTTCTCTTCCAGGAACACGGCGTCTCAGCTGTCGCCCGCCACGGCCACGTCGGTGCCCAGGCCGACGCCTCCGCCGGTGCCGCCTCTGGGGATTCACGCCTTCCCGCCGCCGATGTTCGCCGCGCCCCCTCTGCCGCCGCCGGTCTCGAGCTCCAGTCCGCACGCGACGCTGCCCTCGCTGCCGCCGCCCCCGACCTCGAACCCGAACCCCTTCTCGGCGGAGTCGCTCTTCCAGACGAGTGAGTGCCCGGTCGGTCGCGACCCGGCGAGCGCCCGACCTCTGACCGCCGTACCCAAGGGATCGCTCACGTTTCAGGCCAGACCGACCTGCTCAGGCGGGAGCTCGACAACAGGTTTCTCGCCTCCCAGGATCGGGGCGTCGGCGTGGCCAACCTCGGGCCCCCGGCCTACCTGCGGACCGAGATGCACCACCACCAGCACCAACACACCCACGTGCACCAGCACACGACGCCCCTGCTGCCGCCTCCCGCGGCCACGACCCTCTTCCCGCCGCCGATCGTACGTAGACCATCCGGAGCTCTCTTTCCAGAGCACCCGTCCAGCCTCCTGACGTCTTTGCATCCGCAGTTCAAGGACATTCCAAAGCTGGGGAGCGTCGACTCGCCGTTTTTTCGCGGCAACCTCAACCTCTCGAGCTACTCGGGTTTTAACGCCGGTCTCCTGCACCCCGGGATCGGGCCGCCACCTTCCACGCCATTCGTCCCGCCGAATCACCTGACCTCGTTCGCACCAAAGGTGGGTCAAACGGTGGGGGAGGGGAAGGCGGATCGACGTAACCCTCGATCCGACTTGCAGAAGACCGGCAAGTGGAACGCCATGCACGTGAGGATCGCTTGGGAGATCTATCACCACCAGCAGAAACAGCAGGCGGAGGCCAAGGCCGGCGGGGTGGTCGGCGCAAAGACGGAGCTCCTCAGGCCGCCCGGAGGTCACCCGGTTTACCCCGGGGCTCCGGGGGCGCCGGGAGGCGGCCTCGGCATCGGCGCCCCGGTCGCGCCGCCCTTCGCGGCGAACCTCCAGCCCGCTCACCCACCGGCGCCGCCGCCGCCCCCGCCTCCGCCTCCGCACTCCGTGGGCTTCCTCTCGAGCCCGGCCTCGCACCTGGTCACCACCGCGGGTACGTAGCTTTCCGGGCGACGTCACCTCTCCCCCGGGGTCTAGCTCGTTGCCGGCCGATTGATATTTTTTTTTCTTCTCTTCCAGGATCCGGAATGTCGCCGTTCGGAAGGTATCCCACGACGTTCGCCGCGGCGAACCCGAACTTCCCGGGGCTCGGCGGGTTCCCGCTGGCGCGGGAGATGCCAGCCCTGGGAGGCCTGGGCTCGGTCCACGACCCCTGGAGAGGGTAAGCGACAGCGTCCGCCTAGTCTGTCGCGGAGTAACCAGATCCTATGTCTTCCTCCTTTTGACCGTAGCTACCCGTCCAGGTTGCAGCGCTCCGCGGGGGGCTTTCCGCCGACGACGGTGTCCTGGGGTCTGAAGCCGGAGCCGCCGCCCGTGGACCGGCGGGCCGAGCTGGAGGAGCGGGAGAGGGAGCGGGAACGAGAACGCGAGAGGGAGCGCGAGAGAGAACGCGAGAGGGAGAGGGAGCGCGCCAGGAGGGAGCGGGAGCGCGAGGAGCAGAGGGAGAGGGAGCGCAGGGAGCGCGAAAAGGAGGAGAAGCGCAAGCAGGAGGCGGCCGAGCGCGAGAGGGAGCGGGAGCGCCGCGACAAGGAGAGGAGGGAGATGGAGAGGCGGGAGATGGAGCGCGAGAGGCTGCTGCACCAGAACCGGCAGCAACAGCAGCAACACCAGCAACAGCAGCATCAGCAACACCAGCATCAACATCAACATCAACAGCACCAGCACCAGCAGCACCAGCTCGGCCGGGAGCGCTCGCCCTTGAGGAACGGCGGCCCCGAGGCCGGCGACGTGATGCGCGTCAAGGAGGAGCCGCGCGGCAAGGACGACGAGGTGGTGATGCTGCCGCGGCCGACGGGGCCGCTCCCGGATCCGCGGTACCACCACCCGCACCCGCACGCGGCCTACTTGGCGGCGCGCCATCCGCACGGGATGCCGGGGCCCCACTCGATGACCCGGGGCATGCTGCCGGGCCTGGGGGCCCACCCGATGCAGCACTTCCCTCCTCCGCCTACGGCGGGACCCGGGGCGCAGCCCGGGCCCGGGCCTTGGGCCGCGGACCCGTTCCGCGACCCCTACCGCTACGACCCGCTGCAGCAGCTCCGCTACAACCCGCTGGTCGCTGCGGCGGCGTACCGGGCCGAGGAGGAGGAGCGCTCCAAGTTCTACGCCGGCTACCCGGGGACGCTGCGCGCGAAGGACCCCAGCCCCGGGCCCCTGAGCAACCTGCACATGCACCACCGCGCCGGACCCGGACCCGGCCCCGGCCTCGTCCACGACGTCCATAAGAAGGAGGACGCCTCCCAGAGCCGATGATAGGAGAGGACCGACTGTACATAGACGACGAGGGGCCCGATTATTTAATTATTTATTTATTGCGACGCGTCCGCGAGGAATCTCCCCGAGAGTCGACGACCCCGGCCGCTCGTTTAACTTAATCGATGTAATATAAAGAACTTTATATATATATAGATACGTATATATATATATATAAATTTTACTTTTTCGATAGGGCTTGTAAATTAGTAGCGTGGACTGTAGGTAGAGAATGAGAGTGACAGCGACTCGTAGGGATGGAAGAGTATAGGACGCTCTCGCCCGCGCGGAAGTAGAGCGAGAGAGAGAGAGAGAGTGTGGGTGGAGAGGGTGACGCCGCACTCGGTACTTTCCTGTGATATAAAATGACGATTATCTAGTAATACCTGATGGCGCGGACGGAACCCTCCCCCCCTTCCCCGGAAATCGATAGAGGGCGAGGAGCGGCCGCGATCCCTCTCTCTCCCTCGGAAGCGGCCGTCGCGGCGTTTAACCACTACCCCCCCTCGAGTCGCCGACGTCGGCGACGTTTTCCTAGGCGCGATTCGTTCCTCCATTTTTTTTTTTTTGAAGACGCGATTCGTTGTTACGTTTTTATGGCCACGATTCGTCGCCAAAATTCGCAGCAACGCGTCCCGTTTGCGCGACTTTCGTTGATTTGTTCGTCCTCTTCCCTCAACCCCCCCCCCTGTTTTCCCCCGAAGACCTCGAGGGAGGCGCGTCGCCGTTAAGCGTCGTCGAAGCGACCAATCGAGAACTGTACATTACCCTGTAATTTGATATATAACGTTTCTAATAACCGCTCGTCGTTGGGCGCGACCAACGCGATCAGGGAACGAGACGAGGCGGTGACGGCACGGACGGAAAGAGGAAAGGAGAGCTGTAGATAATTCGATCGTAGGTCGACCGAGAGACCCGATTGCGACGCGATGCAATAACCACGAGTCGGTTTTCGTTTTTCCTCCCCTGAAACCCCCTTCTTGTAGATACGTCGCGGAGTATAGGCAAGAGGTTTTGTGTGAATATAGGTTCTTTTCTATATAGAGAGATCGAGAGAGAGAAAGAGAGAGAGTGCGAGTGTGAGAGATCGATTCTTTGTAAAAGGGTCTGAATAATCATAGTTTACACGAAAATACGCCCAATTTGCGTCAATAGTCCGTGTTCTTCATTCATTGTCATTCGTTCGGGATACATTGGTGTCGAGGGTGCGCGAGAGGTTAGTTCGACGTGCTCGAACGTTTTGCCGCGGTAACGGTAAAAAAAAAAAACGAAGCGGCGGGACTTCTTGAAATGGTTCCGCGCCGCTATCGAACATGTCGCGACGAGTATCGTAACCTGGACGCGGGACGCGTGAACCTCGCGGACTCGATTATTTTTAATCGGAACTCTTGCGGTAGAACGGAAGAGGTAAGATAAGGGATACTCTATATATCTCGGCATTCGATATATTGCTATATCGCGTCGCCCTTTCGAGCGAGGTCAGAGGGACGGGACGAAAACAGCCCCCGAGTTCCCCTTCTTCCGGTTCTGCCGATTTTATGGTCCGATCAACGGGCGCGGGTCGCGCGTCCCACGTGGGTAGTTCGAAACGAAGAAGAGGGACGCGCCGGCAAGGCTTGCACTCGCCTCGAGGTGAGTCTCTTCCGGGGAGTCTCGGCGCCCGGGTCGGCGAGCGAACCTCCACCCGCGCGAAAAGTTCCGTCAAGCTTGGCCAACCGGGCCGTTATCGGGAACTGCTGGAGCTGGACCTGGTATAGCGTCGGTGGCGATGGCGAGGGTTGTTCGGTGGGCTTCGCGAACGCGTGCGGGGTCGCCGACGGGGAGGTCGGGGGCTTCTGCGGCGGTTGATGGGCGGTGAACGTCGACGGTACCTAGGTGGAGAATTTCTTCCTCCGCCGCCCCACCTGGGTGGTGGCCTCCTTCCCATGATCGGGGACATCCTTCGCATGGGCGGTGGTCGGGGCTTCGGAAGGAGCACCGGCGCGGCGGTGATCTCTTGCCCATCTATTTGTCCTGTATTAGCCAACGGAGAGTTTGAGGTTAATTCATGCGACTCGGTTAAAGGGTTCGATAGACCCTGGTTTTTGCTTACCTCCGTCCATGTGCTTCATCGCATTTTCTGCTTCGTCCGCCGTTTCGAACTCCACGTAGGCGAAGCCTCGACCGTGGTTAGGGTGTAGCTTGTCCACCGCGAAGTCTATCATCTTGATCTGACCGTACGTAGAGAAAATCTCCATGACGTGGTCCTTGGTGACGTTGCGAGTCAGGTGGCCGATGTGAATTTTGGTGGGTCTGGGAATGGGTGAGCGTTCCCTGCGTTTCCTGCGGGGAGATGGTGACCTGGAACGCCCCTTTGGCTTAGGCTTTTCCGCTACGGAGTTGCCGCTCTTCTTCTTCTCCTTTTCTCGCTCCCGCTCCCTTTCGCGTTCTCTCTCCTTCTCGCGCTCCTTCTCCTTGTTCTCGTGTCTGCGGGATGCATCGGCACTCTTGCTACGACTGCGCTTACGTCCCCTGTCTCTGGAACTGCTCGAGCTGCTAGACGAGCTGCTCGAAGAACTGCTCGACGAGGAGCTGGAACGAGAGCTGATCCCGCTACTGGAACTAGATGACCCGGAGCTGCTGTCCGAGGAGCTACAAACGGTATCAAAGGCCCTCGTGTACCTCGTCGGAGGGAAACCAGGGATCGGTGAGTGAATTCTACGTACCTACTACCACTGCTCGAAGACGACGCGGCGCGTTTCTTCCTCTCCCTCTCCCGTCCGCGGTCCCTCTTATTCTCCTTATCGGTGGCCTCGGAGTCGCTTTTTCCAGTGCTGTCTTTGCGGCTGCGAGTCCTGCAAATCGAACGCATCGTCAAACCGAATGCCTTGAATTGCACGCGCGCGCGCGAGCACGGACGCAAGTTTGCGGTTATACGAGGCGACGTCGCCGAGTACTCACATGACTCAAACTTAAGCCTAGTAGTTGTCAATCGTAAAATATTCTTCCTTCCAGGCGGTGCGTCGTTTATTTTCCGGCGCGCTAGGCCGATTCACGGGCTCCTGGGTGCCCGAAATCAATATTTTCCCTGAATCGCTTTGGTCGTTTCCGAAATATCCGCCATATTGCACTCGGTTGCGGTTAAATCGTGCGCCTGGCTGTTCCTCCGCGAGGTGTCGCTACTCGCTGTCGTCTGGGATTTCCCTTGGGCCGGTCCAGGGGAATCGACCAATCGCGAGCGAGAAGTACCTGGTCGGCCAATGACCGCCACCCAAGGTGCGTACGTGCCCCACGAGCCGCAAACGGGGGACGAAGATGAATTGGGAGATTGCTCACGTGCAGGGTCGCACGATCGCGTTGAGAAAAAAAATTGCAGCCCCTCGTTCGATAGACCAATTTGATGGAAAGGACCTTTCCTATGGAGACTGCGAGTGGCTCGCGCACTTACTCCCAATGGTAGTCCAACTCAGAGATAAGTTGGGAGCATGGATGAGTTAGATTCCTAAGTTGGCCTCCATTGGAGGAACGTGCATCAGCCGCCTGCATGCTCCACCGAGGGCAGCACAGAACGCATCGCGCGACCTTGCTCGTGAGCAATCCCGAACTCTTCTCTGCGGGGGACGCGCGGGTGCAATCATAGCCGACGGCGCACGCACACAAGTTCGAGGAGTATCTCTGACGTGTCCCAAAAGGACGGAACCACTTCTGCGACTCACGTTCGGTCTCGATCTACGTTCTCAAATTGAAAAGAGCTAGTGATCGGTGAAAACCCGTGCAAGCGCGAGACTCGACACAATCCACGAGAAGGGCCGACACCTCCACGATGGCGACCACTCTGAGGAATTTCCTCAATACCTGCGGGAACAGCCTGTAAGTTCCTCGGCATCCATCGGTTCCGGGGACCTCGAGGAAAGAAAAAAGTGACATGTTTACAAAATCCGCGCGATATACGCCTCTCCTTCGCGCGGCGCGTCGTCACCTTTGTCACCTCACCTGACGCCTAACCTTGGTGATGTAACGCCTTTAAGTTGAGGAACTTTCGAGCAAACGCGATGCCTTCGTCGTTCGTTAAGACGTCTTGCGCTTTCTCTGGCCTGAGAACGTCGCTTGATTTTCCTGGGAGAGCGATCTCCACGTTCCGGTCATCCTATGCCTAATTGTATTTTTAACCTATCAGGTACTACTATGGTTCCGTCGATTTTCAGGGATGCACCACTGAGGCAGCACCTGAAGAACGTTTATGCCTGCCTCGCCATGTCCACCTTGACCTTTGCGGCAGGAGCTTATGTTCATCTGTACACGGAAATTCTCAAGGGAGGACTGCTGATGAGCCTCGGAGCCTTGGGGCTCCTCATCGCGCTGTTCGGCACTCAAGATGACGGGAAGAATCGGATGCGTAGGCTCTCCTACCTCCTAGGATTTTCTTTCCTCTCCGGTCTGGGAATGGGCCCCACGCTCGAGGTAGTCATGAGCATCGATCCCAGCATAGTGATGACGGCAGTGTTGGGTAAGTATCGACATAGATTTTAAGAACGTCCCGTGAAAGCTATCGTGAACGTTCTTTTCTCAGGCACGGCTGTCATCTTCGTGTCGTTCAGCCTCTCCGCGCTTTTTGCAAAACGTGGTCAGTGGCTCTACCTGGGTGGTGCCCTGATGGGCACGCTGAACTTCTTGCTCCTTCTGTCGATCCTCAACTTCTTCTTCCGTTCGAGCCTGATCTACCAGGCACATCTGTACCTGGGCTTCTTCCTGATGTGCGGGTTCATAATCTACGACACGCAGCTCATCGTCGAGAAACACGCGATGGGCAGCACGGACTTTATTCTCCACTCGTTGGATCTCTTCGCCGATTTCGTAGGCGTGTTCCGCCACCTGCTCGTCATTCTCACCCAGAAGGTAACGAAGCCCTGACTTAACCAAAACGATCTAATCCTCCGTAGCCTCTACCGACGAGCGCTTACGTGAACCGTTCCTCCTGCTTCAGACGCAGCAGAACAACCGCAAGGAGTAAACTCGACGAGCGGTCAACGGCGGCGTTCTTTCACGGCATTCAATTATAAAAAAAAATCCATAAACTAAAGGTCTTCATCCGATCCTATCCATGCGTAGTTAAAACGGCGCGTTCGCTGGCAAAAGGGAGAGGAAGGCGAGCACATCACCGACTCGGAAGGAGGGACGTCGGGCGTCCCACGGAAGAGCGGTGTACTTATCTCTGGTAAACGGGAATCGGAGGGGTTAGGACGTAAATTCTCTTCCTCGCGTCTCCGGGCAGGCGCGCCCATGGAGAACACTCATCGGAACCATAAAAATCCACTGTACTTGTATTTTTATTCGTCAATAAACGGAGCTCTCCAGTTAACCCGGCCTCGTCGCGGCGGTCGTCCTCGGGAAGGAGGTTAGGACGTCCCTCTCGGTTACGAACTAAAGACCTTATCCTTTATTAAAATCTAACTTTACACGGACGGGCTCGGGCCCCGTCAACGAGTACAAAAGAAAGTCGCCGAGGTGCCTCGGATGGTCTCGGGGAGAAGAGGAGAAAGCGAACGTTACGCGTATCTCTCCGGGTGGGGTGGTGTCGCGTCGTTGCGTATGTGTACATATAAAAGGTGCGAGTCCGTCGGGAGCGTCGAACGGCGGCGGCCTCCTCCGCTGCGCGCACCCCGTTCAACTCGTCAGGGGTCCCTCTTTCCTTCAGTAGGGACGCTGGCGATCCCTGTCTCGGTCCCCTCGGCTGCAACAAAGATCACCCTGAGTACTCCGCTCCTCGACGATCGATCCGGCTTCCGCCCTCTCCCGTCGCGAATCCCGCGGGAAACGTCCTCGACGGGAGCGAAAGCGAGGCAAACTGCACCAGTTCCGCTCGACGAGCGTCCTGGACCTCTTACCCGCCGCCTCCTCGCATGGGTCCCCCGCGTCCTCCGCGACCCCCGCGGTCGCCACCGCGGAATCCGCCTCTGCCTCGGTCGCCTCCACTTCCTCTGCCTCCCCGGTCTCCGCGGAATCCTCCGCCTCGACCTCCGCGGTCGCCGCCTCCTCGACCCCTGCCTCCTCCTCCACCACCACCGCCGCCCCCGCCGCCGCCACCGGCGCCCTCGGGCTTGGAGCTCTTGCAGAGGTTGCACTGGTCGCGCCAGGCGAAGTTCGTGTTACCGCAGTCGGGGTTGGTGCACCTGCGGGAACGTCGGGAATAATTAGGACGAGTCCTCCGAGAGGCAACGTCAAGGGGAAGCTCGGGGAACCCGACCGACCTCCAATCGCCACCGCGACCCCCGCGGTCGTCGCCGCTGCCGCCGCCTCCCCCGCGGTGGTCGTCCCTGTCGCCTCCTCCTCCGCCACCTCGGGAGAAGCCTCCTCCGCCTCTGCCGCCCCCGCGACCTCCTCCTCGGCCCCCGCCCCCACCTCGACCGCCCTGCCAGCTGCTCTTGTGCTGGGCGATCTGCACCTTGATCGTGCTCCCCTTGAAGTCCTTCCCGTCGAACCAGCTGATCGCGGAGCGCGCCGCGTCCTGGTCGTCGTACGTCACCGTCGCCTCGCCCTTCGGCTTCCCGGTGTTCTTGTCCTTGTACATCCAGATCTTCGGCTTGCCGGTGCGCTTATCGTTCTGCGGAAGAAACGGACACCTTGGAGATCGAGCTCCCGGGCCGCACGAAAACCTCACCCCGCCCCGGAGGAACGCCTCCGGGAGAGGACCTTGGTCAAGGCCTACCTTGATCAAGCCGATGGCCCCGAAGTGCTGGCAGATCTCCTCCTCGGATATCGAAGGGTCCATCCCGGAGACGAAGATGGTGTCTTCCTGGACGACCATCCCGTCGCCGCCGCTGCCGCCGCCTCCGTTACGGTCGTAGCCCCCTGCAACGACGCGAGATTAGAACCTTCCTTCGGCCGCTCTGGGAGCATTTCACTTCGCCCTATGTTTATAGCTCGACTACCCTCCGGAAAAAAGGCCACCTGACGGCACTATGCGCGAATGACTTTGGAACTCGCGGTTTATATCCCCCCTGCCTGCTCCTCGTCCCAGGAGCCCAGGGGCTCGTACCCTCGAGGAGCGACTCTCTCGACGGGACGTCGGAAGGTCCGCTCGAAGTGCGAGCGTCCAACGTGTTATCTATTCGTATCTCTCGGTATACATCTAATGTTTTATAGGATATGTATCGTGGCACATGTATCAGGACGACGAGCGACGGAGATGCCGATCACCGTCCGTCGTCTCGCCCGGTCGTTCCGGGCCCAATCGACCTGGCCTCGTTGAACGTGGTCGACGCTCGCCGACCCTTTTCTCCTCCTCGGGCTCTTTACCGATTGACCGCGACCAAGACCCCCTCGCACCGAGATTTACTTCGTTACACACCTTACTCGTTACTCTTTACATTTTCGTCTTTACCCTGGACCCTAACCTGCCGCCTCGCAGGCGCGAGATGCGACCTCCCGCAGCCATGGTCGGGTTCGAAGATGGGAAAATAATGCGGAACAAAACCGGAAGTAGAAGGAAGATGGAAGAGACAGAGAGTGCAAGGAATATATAAAACACGTACATCATACGGGGAGACGAGAAAAATGTAGGAACTGGAGGAAGTCAAGGAATCTGCCGATCCCTCGTCGACCGGGAGGACGAAGGTAGACGGAGCAGGAAGGAAATAGAGAGAGAGAGAGAGAGAGAGAGATACACCTCGGACAATGGGCGCCGCGTCGCGGGGGACCGACCGGAAGGCTGCGGTCGGCAAGTGTCGCGCGCGCCTGACTTTAAAAAATCGAACAACCTCGGATACATAGTTTAAGGTAGAATCTAGATTAGGAACGGTAAATAATTAGAGAGAGTTAATGCGTGAATAGCACCAGACCAGTACAGGCAGTCTGGTGCATTTACCTTTGTTATAACCACCACGGCCACCGCCACTGCTAAAACACAGAAGCAGATATACCAATGAGTCGACTCATGGACACAGAGACTGATCGATCTTTGGATCGATTCGCATCGGTGATCCCAAGTATTCGGGGCAATGGAGGCGCTCGCAGCCCGCTCGTGCTCCTTCGGTTGTACCTGCTTGCATACATGAGTGCGAACATGTTGCGAACCGCGGCTCGGAACCTCCCTGCCCGAATGCCCGACTGCCTGCCTGCCTGCCTACCTGCCTATCCCCGGGTTCGACCCCCCCGTCGGCGTCGGGACGGTCGCGAGTACCTGCCTAGCCCCCCTCTTAGTCGCCTTTTAGCCCCCTTAGCCCCCGGAATCTGATTCGTCCGTTTAATCGTCCGTTTGGTCGTCCAATCGACAGTTTCCGTTTGGTCGTCCGTCCGATAACGTCCCGAGCGATACGTTGAAGAGGCAATCCGCAAAACAAAGTGACTCGCGATCTCCACCGGTTCTCCGAGCGACCTCGATTCCCGAATCTCGAAAAAAAATTAATATATCGGGAAAAAAATCGCGTACGCGTCGCGATGGTGCACTGAGTCCAGTAATCGCGGCCCGGATCATCCTCGAGTGGTCGCCCCGTGGAAAGGAAGAAGAAGCAGAAGAAGAAGCCGAAGAGGAAGACGCGGACAGATGTCGGAGAAGGTATCGCGCGCGACCCTCGTCCCGTCGTTCGTCGGTTTTAATCCTGACCTTACCGTTATTATACCTTGTGCGTTAAACCTGTAGGCACACTTTAAAGAACATTAACGCCCAGGGGGCACAACAGACCAGTCACAAATGTAAAGACAGATGCACAGTAATCGTTACTATTCATTCTTCATACCTCCGTAGAAATCCCTCGAGAGTTCACTCGGTGCCCGAGACCACTAAGGGCTCGTGGACTTAACGCTCGTCTCGGTTACTCCTTATCGAATCGATTCCTCTTTCATTTTGGTTACACCATAGCTCTTTAACGATCCTCCGTTATCGACTAGCGTATGGAATGTGGGAACTTACTTGTAGCCTCCACCTCCGCCTCCGGAACGGTCGCCGAATCCGCCGCGATCGCTACCGTATCTACCTCCTCCGCCGCCACCGCCTCCTCCGCCACCTCCGCCTTGACCTGTCGAAAAGGAACGTTGCATCGGAAGGCTGTCAAGATCGCGAGACTAGAGGGATTCGAGCCGACGCACCACCGCCGTATCCTCCTCCGCTGCCACGACTGTATCCACCTCCTCCGCTGCCTCCGTAACCACCTCCGTAGCCCCCACCTCCGCTGTTGCCGGAGCTACCGCCGTAACTACCCTGGTAGCTGGACTGATTTTGACCCTGGCCGTAATCCTGGCCACTGTTGCCGCCACTGCCTCCGGTGCCTCCACCGCTGCTGGTATTGTAATTATTGTAACTACCGTAGTTCCCGGCACTCGGAGGCGGTTGGCTATACCGATTGTAGCTTCCACCACCGGTCGAGGGTGGAGGGTAGGACGTATCCTGTCCACCGGTAGCAGGCGGGGGCTGGCTGTACTGATTGTACCCCTGCTGCTGATAACCGGAATACTCTGCAAACGGTTAAGGATGTAAACGTCGAGCCAAAGCGGCAAATGAAGCTCCTCCGTCCAGAAGCCCTTTACACCCTGGACCTTGGAGGTTACATAAGTACGCATCAAAGGTAAATAACTACACCCTAATTTTCCCTGTCGAGTACTTTGAAGCATATAAACGTGAAATTTATGGCATTTCAATGAATAGCCCTCCATTATTGGCGAGTCGACGAGTGCCACCAAAAATGTACCGCGAGATGCGTCCGGTCGGCATTAAACGACACCTGTTCCAGACAAATTACGATTTTCAAGTTCCCACTGAATGTAGAAATTATTTCTAGGGGTTATAAACTATTCGAAAAACTAGGAGTGAGCTAACGAACGACATCGTGGCGGCCTCTCCGTGAGCCCCGCGAAAATCTTTCCCTCCTCGACGCGGCCCGCCCATGGACGCGATCATCCCCGTTTGTTGAGAAAACCCCTGGAGACGGACTCGTGGTGAGTCGAGTACTTACGGTTGTCCGTCATCTTGAATAACGTGTGCAAAACACGCGGGCCTCTGCCGGAAAGGAAGCCGCCAAGTGATCGTAATGGCGGGAAACCGACTCGGAAGCACTGGGACGCTTCTCGCTCGACCCCGCTGGGATCGCGTTGGTTCGCTGTGCGCCGGCCTCTTCTGCGACCAGCAACACCGAGGACGTCACCGACGCGCCACTCAACGCGAAGGTTGTCTCACCTTTAGCTGCGTCCGCATCGAGCAGGCCAATCGTGTCACGAGTCTTCCATAGATGGCAGCACTCGACACACCAAGTGGTGTCGCAAGATTCGTCGTTTCCTGCCTTGACTTAGAACATCTTCTAAAAATCGTCGAAATTCAAGAATTTAGAAACTAAAATATCTCGACCTACTTAGCAATAACCTTTTACGTAGATATTCCGACATTTTGTATTAACTCGTTTTCTTCTTAAATCGTCGAGCAGGTTTCCGCGAAACGAATCGCCCGCGCGAGCGGGAAAAGTGAAAATATTCACACAAGATGGCCGCTCGCGCGCTAAAGGTGAAGACATTCACACAAAATGGCCGTTCAAGCGTCAAAGCGTGTAATAAGTGTTTTTTCGATTCTAATTTACCGACGACCGTATTCCAAGCAGCCACTACTACCTCTGGTGAAGCGTCCTGGAATTACATACCGACATTCATTCGCCACGTGACGTCGCCGCGGACACGTCGAGCGACGTGCCGGAGAACTGCGTGACAGAGGGCGCGTATACCTGAAAGTTAACCCCAAAAATTTGCGTCTACGAGGCTGCTCAATCGCTGCACGTCGATAGCTTGAAAATTGTGAAAGAAAAGGGAACGATGTCTGGAAAATCGAAGGCATTTACGAAGGAAGAGGAACTCCTGCTGCAGGATTTCTCGAGGAACGTTTCTACCAAGTCTTCCGCCTTGTTCTACGGGAATGCGTTCATCGTGTCGGCAATTCCCATCTGTAAGTTGATTCAAAATTTCTAAGTTAAAACGTTCGGTTTGTATACCATTTTTCATGGGTTCCAGTGGAAAATGTGTAAAGTTTAGTTGTTCTTAATTTGCTACTATGTAGTGCCCAATGTTATAAGTAGGTATAGGTATTTGAGGTTAGAACCGAAAGGATCCTTACATATCTTAAATTCTCTTCGTGTGCCACAGGGCTGTTCTGGAGGATTCATCTTATCGACCTGTATGCCAGCTTGATCTCCTTCGTCGTGGTGACTATCGTGAGCACCTACCTCGTCGCCCTAGCTTACAAGAACACGAAGTTTGTCTTGAAACATAAGGTAAGTCTTAATGAGCGAGTAGTTGATGGTTACATTGGTATAGTGGTTATTTCATAAATATTAATTAACAGATTGCGGTGAAACGAGAGGATGCAGTCACTCGGGAGATGAGCCGCAGGCTGGCAGAGGACAAGAAGATGAGTAAAAAAGAAAAGGACGAACGGTAGGGGCATGGACTTTAAATTATTTCCAGCGAGATAGGATACAGGTGTTAATACATTATTCTCCTCTTAGGATCTTGTGGAAGAAAAATGAAGTTGCTGACTACGAAGCCACGACGTTCTCCATCTTCTACAACAATGCCATTTTCCTGGCACTCGTAATACTTTCGTCCTTCTATGTGCTTAAGACCTTCACTCCTGCCGTCAATTACATACTGTCGGTGGGCATAGCGAGCGCTCTATTGGCACTACTGTCCACCGGCTCTCAGTAAATCGAGAGAAGCATCGACTACATTCCTATAGTTAAGTTTTTTCACCCGACATTTTGAGACGTGTATAAATCCGTGATATGAAAGGAACACTTTTATTTATTCAACGCGACTCATGCCAAGATCTATTTGCAATCTTAATCTCAAGAAGTCATCCACAGCGAGTTCCATTAGTCAAGCTATCGTACGCCTCCGATCGCTGTGCACATGACCACCAGCTGGTGCATTCAATTCTATGCCTGAGGTAAGGCACCAAGGACAATACATAAGCTCCCTCTGCGTGGAGTTCTCTACGTGCCCACCGAGGGAATATCACAATCACTTCGGAAGACTGTATTGTCTACGAGGGATATTATTAGCCAAACAAACCTCAGCCCGATGCAGCAACATTGGACCGATGAGAGCACTCCGACCGAATCGCAACCCATTTTCTCTGGCCCGGATTCTGCGGTGTCCAAGGGGGAGCAACTTCGCCCTGGCCCCTGAGTTTCTAGCCCGTTGGGTACGTCTACGAAACCTCGCCGATACTCGGCGTTTACGAGCGTCAGCTTTATGGACCCGATGCTAAATCTTGGACGCGTTGGACCCGGGCCAACCGTTAATCCGGGGAACTCCAGTCGAACGAGGAACAGCAAGGAATGCAAGACGAGCACATAAACGTCAACCAAAGGGATCTTTCGAGTCCTCGAGATCCTCAACGGGCGATTACGGTACTCTCCTCGAAGCTCCCTTTTGCGTTCGGGATCGCCGAGGATGATTTTATTTAAATGCGATGACAATAAAGCCAGGAAAATTCGTAGATGGTAATAACGATTTATTTAAACCGTACCGGCGAGTCTCGTCGGTCGGAGCTCTCTCGGCCCCGTGGAAGAGGTCACCGCCGATGGCGAGGATGCCGCAATTAACGTTGTCAATAATTTTCAGTGACTCGAGGGTGCACCTGGCAGCTGCGGCGACGTCTTCGCCGGATCTATACGAGCGTCTAAAGAGCTCGTCGAGAGAGGAAGATCAACGACGACTCGCCGGCAATAAATTAGGGCGAGAGCACCGAGGCGAGTTCCCGCTCGAATAAAGCGGTTTCCGGGAATTCGCGGATCCGCGGCGCCCGGTTTACTGGCACCCGACCACGGGCGCATTTGCGCCTCGAGGCGAGCCCTTCCGCCTGTCGAAATGCCCGGAAAAAGCGCTGGCAAGGAATCTCCGGAACATTCGGGGGAACCCATGCCGCGGAGGCGGCGGGGCCGCGACAGCTGCGGAAAACGCCGCGTCTCTGGCCAGAGGAGCAGGCCTTGCGAAATGGCGGATTATTCCGGAGGATCGCGCGCGCTCTCGGAATAATCGTCCAGGCGCGCCCGAGGACCTTGGGAATCGGGGACGACCCCTCGGCGAGAATCGCAGAAGGTGGTCGGAAATCGAGCGGGATTTTCGGCCGACCTTGGAGCGCGGAAGACACGTCGGGATTGGCATCGTTCCTAGAGCCCACCCACGGCGTCCATTGTGTCTTCTCCGTCTCCTCCGTGTCTCCGTCACCGCGGTTCCAGGTCCTGGGGCGCGAGAATTCAAGGATGAAAAATACAGGGCTCGCCCCCTCGCCCCCCTTGGCTTCGGACTCACCGGAAATAGCGTCGGCGGAGAGAGGGCGCCCCGACGAGGGGGCACCGGGGGCACCCTGGGTGCCCCGGGTCCCGTCGAGGCGGCCGCTCGGACGCTCGACCGCTCGGCCGAGAATAGCTCGGCTCGGCCCGCTCGATCGCTCGATTGGCTGGAGCGGCCGCGGGGAGGGTCCTCTCCCTCCGCCCGGGGACTTCCTGGCGGGCCGAGGAGGCCGTCCACGCAACCGCTATATCCTCGGGGCCGGATCTTATTAAGGGGCCTCGGCCCCGCAGGAAGGCTCAGTGCCGTCCTGGAAAGAGCCTCTCGCGAGTCGCGCTTTCGTGCCCTCTTCGACCCCGGCAAGCCCCGCGAACCGCCCTCGAGGAACCTCCCTCTCTACCCCCGTGATCGCTCTCGAATTCGGGCCCCCCTCGCCCTAGAAACCGCCCCCGAAACCGCCCTCGAAACCGTCCTCGACGATGGTATGTTCTATCGATGAAATCGTAAGTCGTCGCCCTGGTAAAGGACACCAACTTCCGCTCGTTACTCTGATCTTTCTCTTTCCTCCTGTGATCGATCTTCTCTCCTCCCCCTAAACTCCTGGGGAGAGGAGGTGCACCGTGTTCCTCGCGTACTACCGGTGTTTATGTGTGTGGGTGAATGTGCGGCCGAGCGAGGTCCTGTCTTCTTTCCTGTGCTTGTCACATAATTCGGCGTTTCAGTTTTATTGCTTATTCGAAATTATTATTTTTTTATTATACTCCCGGGTAACGAATTCACCGAATGCCGTCCTTGCTCGAGTTTGAGCTAACCACCTGTGCACCTGCGAGCGTGGACGCGACGAATTTTCTGGCGGCACCCGTTTTGTCTATCCGGTCTTCCGGGTTAACTCTTGACGTTTCTTCGTGGATTCGGACGGATCTTTTAGAGCATTCGGGACGTCATTAGCGGAGCCCAGTTCCTTTTGACAGCCGACGTCGCGACGCCTCTTTGACGGGTCGGTGACGGCTCGTTGACGGATCCCACTGTAAACTGGTGTCTCGCTTGTCCGATTTCTCCAAATCTTTCCACCGTTCCTTTCGGAAAAAAAATTTTTTCCTGGCTTAACACTCTCATCGCGCGTTCGTGCACGAGCATGTCGACGTCGAGGAAGCGTCGCGCCGCGGATGCTAATTTAGAATTTCGTACGATTAACCCTTTCGGTGCCACGGGCTCGCGGAGACGCGTTAAAGGCACTTCGCTCCGATCGGGCCGACTAACTCGCATCCCTCGTTTACGTCTCGAGGAAGGCCCTTCTAATCCTTTCCATTTTTTCTTTCCATCCCCAGGCCGACGAGCTGCCCGCGGAGCAGATCGCTGGTACGTACCCGGAGGCAGTTTCGACAAGACCCATCGACCAACGATAAATAACCCTGGACCCTGAAGACCACCCCTTGCTTATACCGACGCTCTCCTAGGAAGCGGAGAACCGACCCCTCGGGTACCAAGGGCGAAAATCAATTTTAAATCGATCCTCGAGACTACCGATAAGAATCCCGGGAAGACCTCGACGCTCGTCCGCAAAAGGTTTATTCGGGCACCTCTGGTGTATTTAAAATTAATATCTATTCAATTGTTTATAATTTATATATCAGCTTATGTTCGAGACTTCGAGTTGGCGAGCCCTGGGGTGTCCGGATCGAGGTTTCCGCTAGAATCGAGGGTACCCGAGCGCTCGAGCGGTTCGTTCGATTTTATTATACATCGATTCGCGGGGTACCGGGGCCACCTCGGGTGGAGTATCTTTTATTCGGCTTGCCGAGCCACCTCTCTCCACTATCGGATCCGGCGCTAGGGGCGGATTAAATTTAGAAGCCTGCCTTCGCGGTCGCTCGCTGCTCGAGTAAGCCCCATTTACGCGTTCCCGAATATCGCCGTGCCAGTCTCTATCTTTAGTCCTTCTTTATACCCGTTGAACGAGCGGTTACGCACGTCGTGGAGCCCTTAAGCCGGGTCGGACGGTGTCGGATTTAATTTCTCTCGAGCTCGGTCCTAGGAGAGATCGTTTCTGTCATGGACGTAGGATGCAAATACCAGCCTTCGCGATCAAATCGGGTACCACCTTTGCAATCGTCCTACGTCCATGTCGAAGACGCCCAAGTTTGGAATCGAGGGGTACCGGCTTAAGGTATCGAGTGACGATCGAGTACCACCGAAATAAATGTAGACTGGCACGAATCGATGTCATCCATGTATAACGAAGTGGCATCTTGTCTCTTGACGTGCCGCAAACCCTGACAGCAAGGCAGCGCGATTGTGGAATCAGCTGATCTTGGAAAAAAAAAGAAAATTCCTCAGGGGTAGCGGCGCGGCTTTTCGGCGCGATAAATTGGGGCGACTCGTCGGGGAGCGCAATTCCCCGAGTTCGATTAATGAACCGCCCGATCGGGGAGAGAACCACGAGCCAAATTAGCGCCGCGCCAAACCCGAGCGACCGGGGGGCATTAACATCGCTTCTAAATGCGAACGCCCTAGCTCGACTCTATCTCTCCCCCGGTAAACACCCAGAAATCATCGACCTGCGACCCAAGCCACGAATCGGGTCAGCCGCGGGGTCTTCGAGGGTTTAATTAAGCTTTGTCGCTTCGAGACCAGTTATGCGTACACTTAGGATCTAGATACTTAAATGATAGACTTTCGAGTGGTGCAACTATGTACTACCGGTTATACGCACGTTCGATGTCTATACATAGAGATCTAGACGCGGGACATTCGGGGATTCGGGCGCGGTAGATGGTGCAAGTCGAAAAGCGAGGGAAAGGACAGGGCCGGGGGGTGGCCGAAGGTGGAGGAAGGTGGAGGAAGGTGGAGGCTCCGGTGCGCGAAAATCGCCGGTCGAATCGGGAGCTGGCCTCGGGCCAAGCCGAGAGCGCTGGGAGGGAAGCTCCGGATTGGGCTTAGCTCGGGGTGGTCTTCAGCAGCGGAACCGTCGAGCCGCGAGAATGTTTAACGGGCTCCCCCTTTTCGAAGTTCTGCGCAAGGCCTTCGACAGCTTCGACAGGGAGAAGAGCGGAAGCATCCCCACCGACATGGTGGCCGACATCCTCAGACTGATGGGTCAGCCCTTCAACAAGAAGATCCTCGACGAGCTCATCGAGGAGGTCGATGCCGACAGTACGTACGATACCCGGAGCTCCTCTTCGGGGTGTGACCCTAGTGATACCGAGACGCTGCCTCTTCTTCTTCAGAATCCGGCCGACTGGAGTTCGAGGAGTTCGTCACGCTGGCGGCCAAGTTCATCGTCGAGGAGGATGCCGAGGCTCTGGAAAAGGAATTGAGAGAGGCGTTCAGACTGTACGACAAGGAAGGTAGGAGGATCCCCCGGGACCCCCGGTCGAGCGTTATTCCCGCCGAAAAGCGAGGCGGAAGTGTTCGGCGCCGTTCGGGGCGCGGAGGAAAAGGGATCCGCGATTCGGTCCCGTCCGGGCTCCGGGCGGATTCCCGCTTCTGCTCGACTTTATTGGCCCGGGGCCAATGAAACGGCACCTCGGAAGCCCTGGAAGCCGAGAGAGAAGCCGGGAATAGCGGCGGGAACCTCGCTCCTCTCTTTCTCTCGAGGGGAAATTCGCGGTTTTCCGCTGGTAATCGCTTCTCCTCTCTTCAGGAAACGGATACATCCCCACCACCTGTCTGAGAGAGATCCTCAGGGAGCTGGACGACCAGCTGACGGACGAGGAGCTCGACATCATGATCGAGGAGATCGACTCGGACGGTTCCGGCACCGTAGACTTCGACGGTAGGTTCGCTTCTTCCCCTCGTTTTCTCGAGCGAAAGAGCGGTCCCGACCGGGTCCGCTCGTTAATCTCCCGAGGACTTCCGGTGGGATTATCTGGAAGCTAAAAATCCACTCGGCGTGGCTGGAAAACGCTCGGAAGGTTCGCCGAGCGAAACGCGGGTTTATATTTATATCGACGTCAATAACTGGAGGGACTATTTCGGTCGAGAGTTCGGAGGTAAGCTCCGATGCCGTTCGTCGTCTCCCTCGTGCTTCCTGGGAAGAAGGAGAAGGGAGCTCCCTCTTCCTCTCTCCTCGGCGTTTCCTCGACGGGACTTCCTCGTCTACCGAGCCTGGAAGTAAAAATAGCGAGTCGAGGGGACCTCGAGGGGCGTGGAGGACGAGGAACAAAGTACTCGTTGGACGATGCCGGGATTTCGCAACCGCCGCCCGGAGGCACTTCCTGGTTCCTGAGATCGATGCCCACGTCCGTCGATCCAACCGTGACAATGGCGGTTCCGGGCCGTTTCGTTGGCAACCCTCCTCGAGATCGAATCCACCGCCGCATCTCCTAGAAACGAGGAGGATGATTAATCTTATACCTCGGGGTTTGCTTTCAGAATTCATGGAGATGATGACCGGAGAATAGTCCCGTAGTCCGAGGAGGAAGATACGTCCTGGCCGTGCCGACCGGAGACGAGGTGGCCCTCCGGGAAGCCCCTGCGTCGGGACCGGGGATCCCTCGGGAATCGTCGGGGTCATCCGGTGCTCGCGTCGTTCGGGACGACCAGGTTGCCGGAGAGTTGCTCTCGTTGCTTGTCGCGGCGTAGCCCCGTCCTCGGCGGCTCCTGTCCGCTCCCCTTTCGTATACGTGCCACTAAGGTTTACTACCACTTAAGGTCTCTCGCTACGTGTTAAACTTACACCGTGCTTGCTGAATTTTTCATGGACAGCATTTATTGTTATTAATAAAACTCACAAAACGTCCCAACGCGCGCGGCCCGAGGCCTTTCCTCGCCGCTATCGCCCCCTCGACTCTTCCGATCCCGACGCGATCCGCGGTCGATGATTCGTGATCCAGGACCGACGCAAAAAAATGCCACTCCAATAGCTTAGATTTGGAACACCGTCATAGGCTATATACGGATTATCGACTAGACTAAGATTTAAAACTGGATGCGCATGGATCGGCCCTTAAATCGGAGAACCGTTCGCCTCGTCTTCAGGGAATACAGGCGGCCCTATCGGCTCGCCATTTTCGTGCATTTAGAGGAACGTCTTCTTTCCTCGGATTCTCTTGCCGTCGACGAGGACGTTCCTTCTAATGACTAAGATAGCGTTTCGAGAGACTGGACAGTGGTACCGCCCTGTACGCGGTTCGTGGAGATTCACCCGCGCGGTATTTACAGGGATTTACAGGGGTCCAGAGGATGACCCTGGTCCCTTGGTCTACGACTACCGGGGAATGCCTTCGCTACGTGTGCGCGACTCCTTTGTGCCATGCAGGTAGAAGGTGAGTGCACCGGTGCGAGCCGAAGAGAGTGATAGGTAAATTGCCGGAGTCGAGTTCCCTAGATGTAGACGCCGAAGAGAGCGACCTAAACCAAGGTCTGCAGATCGTCGTCCTCGGGCTCCTTCGACAGCGTCCGCATTACCTCGACCACGGGGGTCGAGGTTTGCAACAGATGTCACATCTGGAAGAGGTGCGGGAACTCGTTCCCGATCTCGCGCACCAACTGCTGGTCCTCTTGGCTCTCCGACGTCTCCTCGCAGAATATTCTGCCAAGCGGATTTATTATTAATTATGTTATCGGGACATTAACCAGCGTTCCGTAGGACCGGCGGATCTTGAAATCGCACCTGGTGAAGCACTTCAGCAAGTCTTCCGAACGATGCCGGTGCTCGTCGTAGTTGGAGGTCCTCAGCACTCTACGACATAGCTCCAGGTACTGTCTGCGCTGTTTAGTCAGTTTATGAAGTAAGAAAAATTGGTTAAACGCTTCTTGTCGATATATTTGCAGAGAAGGTTGAGGTTGGAACCTTCACCTTGGTCCCTGGGAAGATGTCAACCAGTTGGCGCAGAATGATGTCGATGAGCACCTTGATGTCGTTCGTGTAGAAGAGCTGGGCCGTAGACTCGCTGCCGAAGAGGTCGACGAATAGCTTCAGGATCGAGTGCGGAGGTGCCGGCTGGTGGTCGAATATTCGAACGGGATCCTCTGTTAAGTTGAGAGTTCATTCCGCGAAATGCCGGGGCGAGATCGCAGCCGGGACTCACCTTCGCGGTTCAGAAGGAAGAGTATCTTCTCGGTGAAGGTCTTCGCTTGGGTTCGCTCCTTCAGGGCGGTCAGCACGATATTCTCGGAATTCGTAAACTGCAGGTTGTAGGATAAGATCAGGTTCAAAAATAGGTCCGGGATCTGGTCTTCTAGATCCGTGTCCGGAGGGTTCTCTATGAGATCCAGGAGGAAGACGACGAAGTCCGTACCCAGTTGCTCTGCAGGTTGATAGATCATCAAAGAATAAAATAAACCCTCGACGGGTCGTTTTGTATTTTATTTTACTCACCCAGGTGAGTGATCGGCATTGGCTCTCCCATGGAAAATATCATCGTGAGCAGGAGAGAGGAGTAATTTAACTTTGGCACGTTTCTGGGATTGCTTTGCATATCTCTGTTTCAGGGAACGAAAGGCACAAAGTTAGGGTAAACGGAAGATCACTTTGAATTTTCTTTGCACCAAGATTCGGTACCTTGCTAGTTCCATTGGTAGCACGCTGTTTAACATTATTGTAAGAACTACAGGGTCTAGGCTGCACATGACTCCGAAGGACTGTAGGAGCAGTTGTCGAATGGTCCATCGCGCTTCCATTTGGTAATATTGTACCAAAGTCGTTACTCCGTTGTACTGATCTATCCTCAACGCGTACCTGGAGATGTTCGCGTCCGCGTTGGTCTATAATTAAAAAATGGCGACGGGTAGTTCAAGGTTCTGCCTATTAATTATGTATCAAGAATATTAATTACATCCTACCAGTATCGATGTGAGTTCCTTGATGTACTCCACGATGATTGACTCATCTTCGTAAAGCATCCAACTTCTCTGTTGAGAATCCTCCTTGCAGGAAGCGAGTTCATTGAAAATTACTTTCAATCGATTTGCATCGTAAGTCTCTTCGATACTCATTTTGGACACATTTAACGGAGACTGGAGCTGGTTCAGGATAAGGTCGAAGTAATGGCTGACACTTTCTGGGAATATTTCCTGTAAGCTTGCGACTACTACGGTGACGGCCACTTTGGACATTTCGTAACTGAGCTGAGTATTTCGACGAACATCGTCCAACAATTGATAAGCCGTTGCAGAGTTGATGTCACATGAAACAGGAGAACTTTTGACCGGGGAGGAGCTGGGAGTTTGTTTCACAACGGTGTGAGAAGGACTCTTCTGTGCAGTGTCACTGACATTGAGCTGCGTCCTTTGAACTATCTCCGACGAACATTGTCTAGGAAAATGTCTGAACCTATCTTCTGTGGACATTCTTCGATTCTGGTCCAGCACCTGAGTATTATTGGAATCTCCTTCGTACCGTGGTCCAGATTGCGCAGTGCTTCCTGAGACGTTACTCGGTACCGATCCAGAGTCTCCATCCGAATTATCATGTGTCTTGCGAGGTGACGACTCTTTGCTCGGTGCAGAGCTTCCAAAATCTGGAGGCACCGGAGCCTGCTTTTTAGTCTTTCTATTAGACTCGGCCTGCCGTTTCTTCTCGATCAATCTCAGTAACAGGTCCTGCCTGTCAGCTTCGAGAGCAATGCCTTGTTTGCCACCTTCGCTCCGAACCTTTTTTATACACTCTTCCAGAAATTCCACCAGCACCTGTGGCTGCACCTGTGGCAACAAATTTCCTTGAATCTCCTGACCCTCTCTAGTCCCCTCCACCCACCTACCTTCACTGTCGTCACATAATTCGAGGGGATGTACCCTACTTGTCCGTTACTATTTACCACCTGCCACCAGTTACGTTGTTTGGTATTCGTCTGGTACAGAATAAAATAGTCGTGCTCCCGAAAGCTCAGGGTCTTAGCGAATGTTGCTTTAAAGTCGTACAATGCTTTCAGCATCTCATAATTCTCTGTTGGCAGTGACATTATGAATTAGCAATGGGATAGAAATTCATAAGTCATAGAAAATATGGACAATTTTTCCAGTACGTATCCTAAACGATCTGTCTACTATATTTTAACACGTCATCAATTTTTATCCCCAGGAAGATGTACGAAAATACGAAGAAATGTAGTAATTAACGTAGACGATTGGGAAGCTCCTCCGTGGACTCACCTAACCTGATATAATTGTCCCCCATTGTAGCAACAACGAATCAAGTGCAAAGTATACGCCGTTTGCGAGGGACAACGCCCACGAGGAAAGTAGATCACCTGGAACTACCGGCTGTTCGGCATTTCACTTTCATTTACGCTGGACTATTCATTTTTCTCATTTTTTGACAGCTCCGTTTCCACTCCGCGCACGTGCTTGGCGCAGTAGGAAGTTGACACTTCTCGGGGAGGGAGGGGCGGGAGGTGAATTTGCGACTTGGACAAGAGATGGCGCCACATTCGCCCTCCGCCAATGAAGAGCGAGTATGAAAATATTCCGACCAATAGCAAGATACCTAGTGCTGCACCTACGCGGAAAAAAAAGAAGCTGCTTCAGCAGGTGTTTTGACAACATTGCTCTAATTTTATCTCAGGTGTTTAGTTTACTTGGTGTTCGCTGTGTTCGTCGGTGAGAACGGAGCTTGTGCGGAATTGTTAAAAAACAGTTAACTGAAACGGCCCCAGAAACCGAGTACACATTATGTTATGTAACAATTGCTCCTTACTCTATTTTTAAAAAGCGTAATAATTTGGGATTCTAGGTTATGTTGGGGATGAGAGGCAAGGTATGTACATTTATCTTTAAAGAGTTTGCGAAAGAATGGTATTATAAATGTAGCAGCTGCTTCTATATTTCAGTGGGACTGTAGCGAAAAGGATGACAGGGTAAATTATTTTAAAACTATGCCATTGTCGTGTGTCGATTACCAATGATGGTGGAGTAGCTTGCAGCTTATGCTGCAGTTCGTACTCCTTGCATTCAGAGAATGAGTTTTCTCCTAGACTTTGTGAGAAATACTGTCATTAAGATGCTGGAATTGTTTTGGTTTGGTAAACGTAAATTGTCAAACTGCCTCAATATTTATGTCAAAACCAATACGGGTAAGACACTGTCTATAGAACTGGATCCAAAGTGGGACATCAAAAACGTAAAGGAGATCATCGCGGGTCGAATGGGCATTTCGCCAAGGGACATAAAAATTATATTTGCTGGGAAAGAGCTGCACGACTCAATAATCATAGAGGTAACGATAACTAGATACTTATTTAAGCTTTTACAAGAAAGTTCTTCTTTTTAATTAATTTGTGTCATTTAAATTGTAGGAATGCGACTTAGGGCAGCAGAGCATTTTGCATGCTATTCGGACTCCAGCAAATCGTCGTAAATCAGGTAGAGAAGGTCCTTATGCCGATGTCATAGAAGAGTCGTCAGAGGGGTCAGAGTTCAATGACAGTGGAAGTAAGCCATTGAATGAAACGCTGACCGACTTATCCTTAGATGAGTCAATGATCGAAGAATCTACAAAACAACAAGGTTTCTATTTTTTTAATACTTAAAATCATTGTTTATTCAGTACCAAGATGTTTGTTTTGTCGGTTGGTCACAGAGCAGCAAGGAGGTCGAGCCCATTTCTACGTATATTGCTCTACTCCGTGTAAGTCCATGGAAGCAGGAAAACTAAGAGTGAGATGCTCTTCCTGTGGTAGTGGAGCAGTCACGGTCGACAGGGATCCTCAGTGTTGGCCAGATGTCCTGCTGCCAAACAGAATCACCGTTCACTGTGAAAATGATTTTTGCACTCTCCCACTCTCGGATCGATTCTCTGAGGAAACCTCTTCTCAAGTGCACTTTGCGCAGTTCTATTTCAAATGTGCAAACCATGCCAGCCTTGGGGAGAAGGATGAGGCTGTGCCATTGTACCTAGTACGACCTAATCTTAGAAAGGTACCCTGTCTAGCCTGCACTTATACCAGGTAAATTTATTAATACATTTTATGAATTTGCTTTATTGTATTGTTGTATTTTGTTTATGTTTAATGAAATAGAGACACAGTGTTGGTATTTCCATGCGAAGCTGGTCATGTGACGTGTCTGGATTGCTTTCGGGACTACTGTTCGATTCGCTTGAGGGAACGTCAATTCCAGTTTGACGATGTCCGTGGCTTTTATACTTTGCCGTGTCCTGCAGGCTGTCCTGATTCCTTTATTCCTGAGGTTCATCACTTTCATCTCCTACCTGCACAACAGGTTCCGTACTTTTGCTATTTCTCATACATATTTATTTCTAAAGTTTTCATCACTGATCTTCAAATTATAATCTTGTTGCAGTATGACATGTACCAACGTTTTGGTACCGAAGAGTACGTTCTACGTTCTGGAGGACTCCTTTGTCCGCAGCCCAATTGCGGCATGGGAATCATACCACCATCAATGGATGAAGAGAACGAAGAGAAGTGTCGAAAGATTCAGTGCATAGGTGGTTGTGGAGTAAGCATTTTTTAAAACTATTGCTTTTAATGCGTTTAATAATCGTATTGATTTTTTTTTCTGTTTCATACAGTATGTCTTCTGCAGAAAGTGTTTACAAGGTTTTCATGTTGGAGACTGCGAGACACAACAACAATTGTACTTCGGTTCTAATTCAGGGTCTGCAGGATATGCCATAGATCCTGCGAAAGCTAAAGATGTAAGAAATTTTATTTTTCTATGATGCATATGTGTGAGAATATTATTCTCATTCTGTTTGAAAAAATTATTTTTCATTACAGGCTAAGTGGGACGAAGACACCAAAAAGACAATACAGACATCGACTAAACCGTGCCCTAAGTGTAGGACTCCTACGGAACGAGATGGTGATACAAATTTTATAACTATATTTAAGATTATGTAAAAATATTAATAATTTAATAATTTATTTTTTAGGAGGGTGTATGCACATGGTTTGCACTCGCGCTGGCTGCGGCTACCAATGGTGCTGGGTGTGCCAGACCCAGTGGACCCGAGAGTGTATGGGGAACCATTGGTTCGGTTGATCGGTCTTCCTCTACTGTGATTCTTATCAAGTTAAGCATAAGTATAGCGTCAGAAATTCGAACACGTCGCGATTAATTAACCTTTATTTAAAAGTTAATTATGTGAGTATACGTATAATTAATTCAAGAGTGGAGACGTGAAAAAAAAATGGATCTTCCCGTTATTTTTCAGCCAGAATAGCAGTGATATTCCCATTAAAATATGTAAATAAAATTTTGGATTCCACCGTTTAAATTGGTGTATTCTCCAGATTGTACTTACGCATGAATTGTGCAAAATGATCCCAGCAACAGATGATGTGAAAGAAAAAATGGAATTAAGTAATATGAGATAGAAGTTATTTATTTATTTATTTATCTATGTATGCAGAAGGGTGGTGTACCTTTCGTACGTTTAGGGAACGCAGATATCTACAAGATGTACTACAAGGTAACGAGGATAATGTACTTTGTCGAAGGAACTTATGTACAGTTCACAGTAAACTTGCATTATTAGACGGAATTATTTATTTAAAAGTGTACAAGCCTGGACTCATTATGCACGGAGACATGCAACTGCATCGCTGCTACACTTTACCGGAGGAATTTATTTACACCTAATTCATCTCTGCATGCACTCAGAGCAGGACGGAATCTCTCGACAGCCTACTTGGGAACCAACGAAACAATTTCATGGTCGGAATCTCCTAATTACGATTTAATCTGCTACAGTCCGGATGAAACTATCATATCGCCGTAGTCTGCGGTGCCGGTGGAGGAGTCAGCGGGGTCCAGGTCTGGTGATCCTCGCTCGACGGATCCTGAGGATGATGATGATGATGAGAAGCATGACGATGGTCGATCACCGTGGCGGCGTATCTCCGGTCGCTCTCCACCGAGACATCGTCCTCGGGGTTCCCCTGATCCGCGTAAGCGATCTCGTGCTCCTTCGGAGGATCGTACTCTGCAGGAGGAGCCGTTGGCCCCTCCGGCTGGTGCAGGTGCAAAAGCTGGTGGTGCGTCGGAGGCCCAGGGTGATGGTACTCCGGGGCATAATCGTGCTGCGCGGGAGAAGACACCGAGTTGGGGTCACCGTTGGACGAGTGAAGAGTCTGATGAAGAGTCCCGGGTGCTCCGGAGGGGTACGAAGAGATCTGGTGATGCAAATGTAGGTTCAGATTGAGGTACGGCTGCTGTTGCTGCTGCTGTTGCTGTTGCTGCTGCATCTGGTCGCCTCCTGCGGAGGAATGCAGCCATCCCGACGAGTCCGTGCAGTGGGCGTGCTCATGGGGAACGGGACTGCACCCTGGAGGAGCCGAAGGCACGTAGAGGGCACAGGTCGTGGTCGTCGTCGACGTCGTCGTCGACCCTGCGTGTCGACCCAGGACGGAGTGAGAGTACGAAGCCGCGGCAGCTGCCGAAGACGTCGGAGAAGGCGAAGGCGACGAGGGCCAGTCCTGGGTCAACGCGGAGTTCAGGCTACCCATTGGTTCCGGGCTTCGAGGCGACCATCCCGTAGCTGCTACGTAGGCTGCGGAGTGCAGAAGCGGCACGGGACTGTACGGATCCACGTGTTGTTCTACAAAAAATTAATAAGTTAATGAATTTCCAATTAAAAGGACCAGGAATTATTTGTTACTATTTGTAGTTGACTTTCCATCCGATATTGCGTTAATCCTAATAATCCTAATAAATGGTCGTCGACCAACCTTCTTGCAGATATTTATGCCTGAGAGTGTACGGTGCCGGCCTTCCGGAGGATTTGTGATTCGCAGAGATGGTGCAAGCGTTCCCCAGGTTCCCCGGGCCACTTGGCATTTGGCCCTGCGCTACGGCTATCGCAGGATTGTACTCGTAGCCCACGGTGGGCTGTGGAAGAAACCAAGCGCTCGTATCTGCAAGGTGGAGAGACGTGCTAATTGAAACGGTACACAAGGTCTGCCTCGCTTCGCTCTCCGCGCGGCTCGACTCCGAGGGAGCTATATCGAGGAAGCCGACGCCGTTATCGGATCTCGCACGAATGGACAGGGACTACCGAAGAACGAAACCCCAATGAAAGAGAATTCAACGAGAGATCGCAATGTGATATATTATTCCGAGTACGGAGAGAGCTCCAAAAAATGACGTACACTGCGGATAGGACTGCGGGTCGACGGGTCTCTCTTTGGCGTCCAAGAAAGCCTTGGCGAATGGATTGTACTTGATTTTTAGACTGGTCACCTCCTCGTTCTGGTACGCGGTCACCGCGATGAACTGGGTCTCCGGGAACCTGTACGTCAACACCTGCGAAAAGAAAAGAAATGTCGGAACGACGGAACGTTCAGGGAGTCGAACGAAGGAAAGCCCTTGGCCTTTTTTACGGCGGAAATTGCAAGAAGAAGATCGAGACCGATTTTGATCGGTGAACCTACGGTCCGCTGTTCCTCCGTGCCCACGCGAACCAGGTGCACGCGGGGCTCGTACTTGTGCAGGGAATTGAGCATGATCTGCCCGTTGCCGTTGGACTTGTTCGTCAGCTTCACCTTCGCGAACGACACGGCTTCCTTCATCCAGTGGGCCCCGAAATTCGGACTCTCGGGGTGGATGTAGATCGGATTCGGAGGAGCCACCTCGGCCTTACCTCCGGGCACCCACTCGCCGTTCACGTACTTCCACCTGGAATCACCACCGAGCAGACTACGTAGCCGCTAAATACTAAGACCGAGGCATACTGGTTAATTTTCAGTTCTACGTTCCTTAAAAAAAAAAAAAGAAAAATTGTATAAACCTTCCTAGGCGTCCCTAAATAAATCTTTACGTTTCATCTAGGACGATTTTCCACTTCAGCCTACAAGAGGAATACCTGTGAGGGTCGACTTGCACGAACTCCAGGAGCAAGGTGTACATCGCCGCCGGCTCCAGACCTCGGGCGATCACTTTGACCACCGGGAACATTCGTCTGGAATTTCGAAGAAGATGTCATCCCCTGAGCTCGGCGCGATCCTTTTTTACGCGACGTTCTCGCCATTCATCCCTTTTAATGGAGCTTTTATACAAGGGGTATAAATTCGGCCGTTAGGAAGGATCGCGTACCGAAACGCCTAGGACATCGAGACGTCTTTCTCCGGTCGAGAGGAAAGAAAAAGCCCGTCGGCCCGGGGTATTCCTCTGGAGTCGAGAGGGACAGGGCGGTGCATTCTCAAAGACCGAGGTAGACTACTGTCTCGCGTAAAACCTTTACTCTTTTATTGCCGCGTTTTATAGCGGGCTCTTCGTTGAACGCGGACTCACTTCAAAGTCTTCATCCGGAATATATCCCGAGCGACAGGTTTTTTCGGATACCTTTCGCAATCGAAAGGGAGGCCTTAAATCGCGCCGTAAAGTCAACCTCGGCGACAGGTCGCCAGTTCATTGTAAACGCGGATCTTCATCGGGAGCGAAATCGCGAGGAAAGAGTCCTGGACTCTTCGGGTCTGAATTTCTTTCGACTCGATTGAGAATTTTATCGTTTCCCCCGTCCGAATAAGAGTTCTCTCCTTTCCAGGACTCGCTCGACGCACCTTCCGTTCTTCGTGACGATCATCTCGTTGGTGATGCACTGGAACCTGGTCCACAGTTCCCGATCCTCGAGGGCCAAGGACAAGCCCGAAGTCGCGCAATGCCGGGAACTCCTGTCGCCGCGCTCTTCGTGGTCCTGCCTCTCCCGCTCGCAGCACGACGACCTGGGGGGACTCTCGCCACTCGGACTGCCGCTCGACTGCATCTGCAAGGTGAAAGAAACGACCGACCGATCGTATACGCGAGCTCCGAAATCGGAGCAGGACCTAAGATAGGATAGATGATCGCATCCGGTGGCGAAGGTTCTCCATTAATTTCGTGCCAACGCGTGCTTCGATTTTCAGGCAGGAAGACGATTCGAATCCCCGACACCCCGAAGAGGAGCGTCCGAGTGTCATTTGTTCGCCACCGACGATTCAACGTTTCGACGTCGCGTCGAGATACCTCGCCCACTCCGACCGTCTGGATAAGGACGTCGTTCGGCTTTCGGTACATGGTACGAGACTCGATCGACCCGAAAACGACGACATTTAAATTTGATCCAGACGATCGGAGGTCGACGGCGACCCGCAGATGCGCTCATCCGGGGAAGTGCGAGCGCACTGAGAAGTAGGCGGCGTCGAACCTCCAGCCGAGTCTTCTCGGCGAGTGCCCGGTTTCTGGTGAATTAATCAATTAGAGGCGATTTAATCACCGGCCGGCGTCACTAACACTGACTAAACGAAGTGATTATCAGGCGTTGACACCGACAAGGAAACGCGTCCTCGGACGACGCGAGAGAGTCCGGCCGAGATGCGAGCACGCCGCGAGGAGAGGTTTAGGCTTCCTTGTAACACTTGGGCGCGATATTTCACACTAGCCGGCGAACTCGACTGGTCGGACCCGATGCTCTTCCTTCTGCGCCGTCAATTGGCCCCCGACCACCACTCCAGGAGCCGCTCTCGGGAATTAGACTCAATTAGGACGACTTAGGCCGGACGTCGGCCGAAGTGGAGGCGCCGATTGGTCGGGGACGCCGATGAGCCGCGGCCAGGAGGGCCTCATTGGCGGATTCCTCCGGTCTCTCGAAGTCCTGGACCCGCCGGGGATTAGCCACGTCCTGGGCGGAGATCGGTGGAGGTCGAGACGGCCCATTGGTCGAGAATTCCTGGGACTTTGGAGAGGGACTCTCGCCGAGGGGGAATTGGGCGTCGATGCTCGCCCCGGACCCGCCTGGAAGTTAGGCGGGCTCTTATCGGCGAGGACGACGAGCTCGAGGAGGGCCTCCCGATGGAGATGGGCAGGACGCGAGAATCGCCCCCGGGGCCCGCCCTCGCCTGGGAGATCGACGCGCGGTCTTCCAGGTCTTCGAGTGCCGACGAACGTTCCTTGAAATGTTTTCGACGGACGAGAAGACGGAAACTGGAACTCGCCTCGAAGAAGCCGTTTCGACGGGAACGAAGAGGAGATTCTCGAACTGACGTAGGAATTGGATACCGTTCTCATTGTGACCGTTTCCACGTGGTGTACTTTGTTACCCGGGTATCGTGCCAGTGACGGGGTACGGATTATATTGCAACACCTTGAAATTATTTTTACAATCCGGAGCCGAAGAGGCAACGACGGCGTTTCAATGATGGATCGTTAAAAAGCCCGTTCCTGGCCATTTTCGTGATGAGAAAAATCAACAAAGTGCAACTTCCGCGGCCGAGCCATCTCGAATGTTTGAGGAAGACCGTCGGTTTACGAGCGGGTCCATTTTCGAGGACTCCTTTTACGGGCCTCGTTATTTGCGCAACTAGGAGATAGAGGAAACACGAAAACGAAGGACCGCCTCGGATTTATGGCCTTTACTCAAAATTATGGCGTTATTAAAAATCGCGCGCGCTGCGGTACAGTTTGTAACTCTTAGTGCGCGTTTGTTGGCGCGTTTAAGGAGTTCCCAAAGAGTCGAGGAAACTTCGACATTTTTTTTTTCGTGCGGTTTCTTAGATTAATATTAATAATAAATTGTTAGATTAAGATGCCCGTCTTTTTGGTAGGGTGGCCTGCAAAAATTGCGGGGATTTCTGGCGATCGACGTTCTCGAAGAGGAGGAACACGCAGCCGTGATGTCGAAGTCGGTGCTCGGCGAGGTGGAGGAAAAAGGCGAGGGTGCGTTTATATGGTAGCTGGCCCAGCAGTGGTTAGCAGGGCTATAAAAATTCTTGGGTTAATCAATGTTTATTGTTTGACGTTGCTGGAGCGTTTTACAGCACCTGTCGGTCCGTCGAAGGAAAGGACGAGGATCCCATTCATCGCCCCTCGAGTTTTCCTTCCATCTTTCGTTCGCTTATTTGAGGGATGCCGCCTTGAGTGAATAATCATCGTCAAGGCAGGTCGTATTCACGTATACCATCCTCGACGGATCTTTGGAACCTGCAAAAGGATGCGCTCGAATCCCTGGCCCTCTGCTTTGATCCCGAGTGAGTAAATTGTTTAACACGGTAACCTTTCAGTCGGCAAAGGAAAAACTGTCGATATCGTAATTTAATGTATCTACTATACTGCGGATAACTCTAGATGGCGTAACAAATTTTTTTCTTGGCTCTCTACCTTTTTTCCCAGAAGGTGGAACTACGAAGAACCGCAACTTCCCAGTCGGTAAAGAAGGACAGTCGCGCTAATTTCGGAGCAAGTGAAATTTTCATAGTGACAACGTTGACGGAAATTTATTTTCAAAGTTGTATTGCAAATGATGGCTGACATTGAAATGGACGGGGATAATCAAAGTGAAGACGGAGAAATCAAGAAAAGTCCATCGAAAGATATGGAAGACTACAGGTATGTAGTTACGAAGATTACAACTTTAGAGGTTAGGTCTAACGTATCCTCAACGTTATAAATGACTTAATCTGTGTATTTTTCTATTTTCGTTTATATCGCATAACTGAAAAAATATAATTTCCGATATATCGTTTAAATATTTCTTTTTATGGTGGCAGTTTCTCGGAAGAGGAAGGCGGAGATACCGCGGATTCGCTGGACATCAAGCCTCCTCAGGCAATGGTTCGACATCACAAGACCATTACAACAAGGAGAAGAGACAAGCACGTGGAACGTCGAGATCGCAGAGAAGAGAAGGAACGAAAGTCTCGTCATCACGAACGCGAGGAAAGGCACAGAGATAAGCATAGGCATCGAAGGCACGGAGTTGAGGGCATGGAAAGGGTCGAGCGCCCAGAAGGCTCCAAGAGAGAGCGGGATAGGATAGAGCGGATCGAAGCTCACGGTAGAGAGAGAGAATCGTCTAGACACGAGCGAAAGGAAAGAACGACCGGAGATCGAGTTTTGGAAGATTTGAGGGAAAGGTAAGTACATCATGGTGAAACAAACAGTCTGTATTTTCTTGCTATCACTCATATTTTCACTTGCAATTATTTGATATGAATTTCAGATTGCTCGATAAGCGTCGGGAGAGAAGAGAAGACCCTCGGGAATATAAAGGAGAATCTAGAAGAGAACTGCGCGTCGAAGAGACTCGTGAGGTTAGAGAGACCAGAGACCGTCGAGAAATGAGAATGGAAGAGGTTAGAGAGCGCAGAGAGATCAGAACTTTGGTGGACGATACGCGGGATCGTCGAGAGGTTAGAGTGGAAGAACGCAGGCACGTGCGAGTGATGGAAGAGCAGTATGTGGATCCTGAATTGATAGAGAGACCAGAGCGGGAGAAGAGACACAAGAGATCTCATAAACACGAGAGAACACGAGATAGAGACCGGGAAAAGGTAGATAGGGAGAGGGAACACAGGGAGAAACAGTTGAGAGAAGCCATGGATGTCGTCAATGTAGAAGATCCAGAGGAGGAGGAAGTCAGCGAGGTGCCGATCGAATCGAAAGAGGTTAAGGAGCTCAGCGAACAGGAGCTCAGAAAAGAAAGGTATGTAATTGTTCAATTTTATTCTCATAATTATTTGTAATGAAAAAACTTATAGTATTCTTAGAGTAAGCTCACTGTATTCCAGGCTATTAGAAGCCGACAGAGAGATGGCCAGAAGAAAGGAAGTGTCCAGGTTGGAGCTCGAGGCTAGAAGAATGAAGAGAGGCGAGAAAAGGCCAAAATCTCCGGATCCCGATCCAGACCCTTCGGTAGTGGAACTCTCGGATGAAAGCCCCAGTCCTGTTCAATCCGAGGGAGTACACTCTAAGTAAGTTGAAAAATTCCAATTCTGCCAGGGCTTATTAATGTATCGAATTAATAATTAATTACTTAACCTCAAAGTTCCAGACATTCGTCGGAGGAGCAGCAGAGCAATCGAGAGAGATCGTCGGACAGACAGTCCTCGGAGTCCTCGGAGACGACCAGCGATGAAGAGGACGAATCCAACGAATCGAACAAAGGCAGCAACGAGGACTCTAATGATGGCTCCGACTACAACAATCCCAGTCCACTGTCGGTCGATCGTCTGGCAAAGTCTGACCACTCCGATGGAGACTCCCCTGGCCACGTGGATTCTAACGGTGCAGCTCCAAAGGAACCTCCTGCTGAAGAGAAGAAACCCGTAGTGGAAGAAGAAGAGGAACCCGAACTGCCACCGTACCTGCCAGCGATTCAAGGTAAGGCCATCGCTAAGCCAATCTCCTACGTGGAAATATTTCTATCGCAAATTACATCCTCAGGATGTAGTTCGCATTCTCGCATACTTTTACCTTCAGTCCATCGACAACTAATTAATAATTTCCTGCACAGGTTGTCGCAGTGTCGAAGAATTCCAGTGCCTGAATCGCATCGACGAGGGCACCTTCGGAGTGGTGTACAGGGCCAGGGACAAACGCACCGACGAAATAGTTGCTCTGAAGAGGCTGAAAATGGAGAAGGAGAAGGACGGCTTTCCGATCACCAGCTTGAGAGAAATCAACACCCTCCTGAAGGCGCAGCACCCGAACATAGTAACCGTCCGCGAGATCGTCGTCGGCAGCAACATGGACAAGATATTCATTGTGATGGAATACGTCGAGCACGACCTGAAGTCGCTGATGGAAACGATGAAGCAGAAGAAGCAGGTTTTCATCCCGGGCGAGGTCAAGTGCCTGATGCAGCAACTGCTCAGGGCGGTGTCGCATCTCCACGACAATTGGATCCTGCACCGGGACCTGAAGACCTCGAATCTCCTCCTGAATCACCGAGGCATCCTGAAGGTGGGAGATTTCGGCCTCGCCAGGGAATACGGCTCTCCTCTGCGACAGTACACCTCGATCGTCGTCACCCTCTGGTACCGGGCTCCGGAGCTGCTCCTTAGGGGTCGGGACTACAGCACTCCCATCGACATGTGGTCTGTCGGGTAAGCCACCGGACTCTTCGACCATCCTTGACCCGGAATAACCCCGTTCTCGTCTTCCAGCTGCATCTTCGCCGAGCTGCTCAGAATGCAGGCCCTGTTCCCCGGGGACTCCGAGATCGACCAGCTGAACCGCATCTTCAAGGAGCTGGGCACTCCGAGCGACCGCATCTGGCCGGGATACAGCCAGCTGCCGATGGTGCAGAAGGTCGGATTCACCCACTACCCGGTGAACAACCTGAGGCAGCGCTTCAGCCTCTCCTTGTCCGACCTGGGCATCGAGCTGCTCAACAAGTAGGTCCCGCTTCCGGAAACTTTGTTAATACGTTCTCACCTATGGGGAAAGAAGCGAATAAATTTGATTGGCTCGTTTTTTTATGTAGCACCTCACGACTCCCATTTTTCAGGTTCCTTACCTACGATCCGCACCAGAGGATCACGGCCGAGGATGCTCTGAAGCACGGCTACTTTACGGAGACCCCTTTACCCATCGACCCGGAGATGTTCCCGACCTGGCCGGCCAAGTCGGAGCTGGGCATTCGCACTGCGAACGCATCCCCGAAACCGCCCAGTGGTGGAAAGGAGTACAAGCAGCTCGGAGATGCCGACGACGCCGAGCTCAGGTTCTCCGGGTTCCATATGGGCGTCACAGGAGGTGGACGCCAGCCACCCATGGGCGGTGGCTTCCACCTGAGGTTCTGAACTGCGACCATGAAATATGCGAATCGAGAGCAGAGAGCGGCTAGTAATTTACTCCGGCCACGGCGAGGAACCTGAAGACGCGTATTCGATTCAGGAATTAATTATAATTAATTATCCGCGCCGGAAGGACACTGCCTATCGGCTACCCGAAGAGTCGGGTCTAGGACGAGCCCCCTTTTTTAAGACGTTTTTCATGTTTGCAGGATCGATTATTTCTAGGATAAGATAACGGCGCTCGCTCTGTTTTAGAGTATAGTCTCTTCGGCAATGTAAATAAATTCGGAGAGGTGTGGAAGAACGAGATCAGGTCGGTCTACGGTTCTTTATGGAATGGGGCTAAACGTTTATACACATGTCGACATGTTGAAGAGGGTTTGCAAGCTTGGCCAATTCGCGCGTCGCTCGTCAGTCGAAGAAATCCTTATTCCCGAAGACACCGACGAGGACCTCTGCACAGGGAGGAGGACTCATTTCCCGGCGTTCTTCATGTTCCTCGGCAAGCCCAGCAAGGAGTTGATCAGCTCGGAGTTCCTCTTCACGTGGCAGAGGCGGTGCGGCACCAGCAGCATCCTCGCCAGCTGCAGCTCGCTGTCCTGAGGGAAAGGGACGACTGATTTATCTTGTTTTCATTGTCTTTCTTTTTTTTTTTTTCTCCGCGAGAAATACACTCTTCAAGTTTGTTTCCCAGATCTTACCAGGCCTCGACCGTACGGGGGATTCGACATGATGTTCTTCTGCACGTCGTCGAGGGACTCGTAGGACTGGCCCAGGACACCCAGGACGGCGACCACGATGAAGTACAAGAAAGTTGGACACATCCTTGCTGCGGTACTGGAAGACGAACCTTGAAGAAGAGGCTTGTGGAAGTAATACAAACGCACGGAAAAATATTAAAAATGACGACGAACCGGATACTACCGGAACGTACAATTTATGGCAGTAAAAATCGAGGCAACGCTCAATTTGCGAAATCGACGTAGAAGAAAAATTGCAAAGGAGCGAGCCAGCGGTACGTACCTTGAAGAGCTGCGAACGGCGATCAGTTGATCGGCTGAGAGACACCCTGGGGAGCTTCCTCGGAGTGGCCGACAAGTTTCGCGTCTTGGAATCCTTCCGGAGGTATCTGCGGCGATATGCAACCGCTTAATTCTTTTATACCCGGGGGAGAATCTTGCAGGATCTGTGCAAGACAGCCGCGCAGGAGATTCGGTCCAGCGGAGAGGAGTCTGAAACGGACAGGTGTCCCATCCAGGTAGGGGAACCCACCGCGTGGAAACTTCTCTGGATCGAGGAACCATTTAGCCAGAAAAAAAGGAGAATTATTTAAATTTCATACAATGGAGATTCATTAAAAAAAAAAAAAAAAAATTGAAGAGTCGATCGGCCACAATTCAGGATTTCTGGCATTTAAGTCGAACGTGAAGAAATCTTGATGGGAACCGCGAGTACAGTCAGTCTTCATTACAGTCGGATTTCGCCCAACCGGAAGTACGGTAATAAAATTAGAATTATCTCGTGAGCGAATAAACCTCGAGGCCCTGAAGACACGCAACGAGAATCTTCAGGGCTTCCCGTCGAGTAGATGAATTATTTCCTTTGAGCGGATTTGCAATCGCGATCCAGCTCGATCTCACCTTGCGAACGTTTCAGGTGGCAGGAGCGTTCGAGAGCCGAAAACCTGATCCTGGAGAGCGAGATGACCCTCGACGGGGGAAGGTTCTGACGAGATTCGAGGACTTTGAAAAAAAGGAGAAAGAGTTTAAGGCGACGACAAGGGCCCTCGGATCCCCGCATCACCCCGAAGAGGAGCCTGCGGATAAAACTCGACCCTGGAGGGTACCACGAGGAGCCCTGGAAAGAACCAGCGACGGTATCGGTTCTTCCTTCGCTCTTGTCCTTCCTCGCATACGAGAGGAACGGTAGGAGGATCGAAGGAGTCTCGAAAATCTTATCTCGCTCCTAAAAGGCCAAGAGACTACTCGAAGAGTGGCGATTCGGGCGAATCGCCGATAGGGTTCACTGACTCGTTCGGTCCGTTGTCATATTCCGCTGCTCCCCGAGGAGTTTCGAGCTCTAAGTCCGGTTCAAGGCTGCTCCGGCTGGTTTCTCGGGCCGTGGTTAGTGACCCGCGATATAAATCGAGTCTTCTTATTAGCCCGTCCCACCTGGGACGCCCAAGAAGAGGATCCCCTGTCCTTCCGCTCTCTTCCTTTTTCGAGGATCACCCGGCGAGAAGGGAGCGGCCGAAATGCCGGCCGACTTTTCATTTCTTTTCGTTAATTCCGGCTCGGCTTTAATCGGCTTTCATCGCAGAGGAATCGCCGCTCCTCCTCGAGTTGGCGTCTCTTCCCGCGGATCCAAGATGGCGGCGCGTCTCTTCTTCGCCTCGCGGACGCCGCCGCGAGAATCGGTCACCTACTCGGCGATTATGTATTAATTATTCATTTTTATCGTATAATGACTCCTTGTACGGCGCGACCGCGTTCCCGTGACGTTGCTTCGCTTCTTTTTCGCGTTTTTGTCGCGGCGATTCCTTCGCGTCAACGACCGGGACGACGATCCCGGTACCGGAGTATCTATCGGTCGATCGATGACACATTGCCGGTCACTCGTCTGAATATTCCGAAGCAATTAGGTGCCGGGAACCAGATCCGTCCGCGGGCGGCTTAGAAACTGCTTAAATATTCATTTCGCATATTTCAAACGAGATCGCGCGCGGACCTTCGTCGGCTGCACGCCTAAAAAAATCCTTGTGAATTTGGCATGGCGGGTCCGAATGAAACGCTCGATACGCGTTTCAAGAATTCATTCCTTCTTTTCCTTTTAACGGTGACGTGCCTCCGGAAACCGTGGCCCCTCGACAATGGGCGTTTTCCTGGAATATGTTAGGAACATCGCGGATAGGAGTACCGAGGAAAAGGCGACGAAATGGGATTTAATCGAGGCGATGATAAAACTAATAGCGGCCGCTCGATCATTGTCACTTTATCGGCCAATAATCTGTGTATTCCAAATTAACGAGGCAGCCAGAAACCAGATCTGTCCTGGAGTGCTCGAGCATTACGACTCGCTCGGCTACGAGCTCTTCTCCTCTATTGCTCTTAACTCTTAACTTTTCGCTCCCGGGAACACAGATTCGCACTTTTCAGTCGGCCGCTCGTTATCGAGGCGCTCGTTTAAATGGCCCGGCCTCCAAGTTCTGGGAAAAAGAGTAATCCCCGTTGAAGTACCTAGCAAATAGTTTATTGTACGGTGCGATCTAGTTTATCGAGAAAAAGGAGCCGAGGCACTCGCGATACGTCACGTCGAGGCAAACCTGTTAGCGGATTTGCAGGATCCTCGAGTCGACTAGATTAATTCCCGCCTCTTAAATTCTAATACATATTAATTTAGATTTTGACGGTTCCCATGCCACGGTTTAGATTTTTTCATCTTCGTCCCGCTGTTTGGACTTTCTTTTTAATATTTGCGCAATAATTCCAGGCTCGATGGGCCACGATAGTACCTCCGAGTATCCTCTCCTCCTTTTTCCTCGGTCGTTAATTAAATTATCCTTCGAGGAAGCTCCTCTTCCGCGTGATGTCGAAGGCGCGTCAGCGAGGAGAGGTCGGCGCGTCTTATTTATAGGAAAATACAATTTGCAAGTCGCGTGCCGACGTCGAAGGACCTTTATTACTAGTCCATTAGGCATTCCGACTTTGTCGCGCTTCAGGGTACACCCTGCCGACGACCTCGGCATGGAAGGCTCTTCGGCAGGCGTGCACCTGCCGTCCCGATGCGAAGTGCGATGCGAAGTGCAAACCGATCCGTTAAAAGCGCGTATTAATGACTAATTTTTTCGCCCACCGTACTATGATTAACGTACATCGATATTTCTACATGTCGCTCTTATTTCTAGTACGGAGCACGGCGGAGAGACGTCGAGGAGGGGCGGGCAGAGATTTCTTGTCATCTCCTCGGCTCGCTCGGAGGTTCCGTAAACAGGGGAGTCTCGAGCGGTCGTTCACTGACGCGTCCACCTTACTTCTCGTCTCGTCTTCGCTTTTGCGTTCTCGAGGTAAACGCAGACCGGTCCCGCTCGTTAGAAATTACCTTCGGGCCCCTCGGCTCCGATAATGGCGCGCTTTAAAATCTGCATTGTTAACTCGGGCATTCTCGTCGGACGCTCGAAGGGCCGAGAGGGTTAAGGCGGTCCTCTTTAGCGTCGAAGGAAAATAAGGAAAATGCGTAGAAAATATGTGGAAAATGAATTTCCAATGAAATTTTAATCCGTGAATTTTTTGGTAGGCGGGGGAAGGATGGGCCTCGCGGGGCCCGTGGGAGGGGGGCTCGCCGGGGCCCGGGAGGGTATAAATAGGCCCCCGGTAGGTGGGTGCACCGCATTCGTGGTGCGCCCTCCCGCGAGGTCGGGTCCGTCGTCGATCCTCGGAATGCTGTGCTAACAGCGAGTGTTTATCATACTCGTCCTCTCGATCCTGTCGATCCTGTCGGTCCTGTCGATTCCTCGTGGAAGAAGCGCGACTCGCGAGTGACGCCGAGGTCGGTCTCCGCTGATTTCCCCGGTATTGGTCCTGCGAAAAAAAAATACCACGGATCGGTTTAGGGTACCAGCGATACCGCGAATAATTGCACCGGATAGGTGGTAAATTAATATGTCATTTGCGGTCGACGTCAATTAATCTTACACCGGCTAGATAATTTCAAAGAGCCCTCGTCCTCATTTTTCGATATTCATATCTCGTATGCGCGGAGGTCCCGTTCGAGGTCGGAATGTCGGCGGTCTAGACCTTGTTATCATTCTTGTCGGTACCTTCCGTCGACCGCGAATGGAGCGCAGGGTAGCAGGGAGGGTTCCTCGACGTTGGATTGCCGATATCGAAATTATTTGGCGCCGTTTCGGGGAACGGACCGCGCCGAGCGTTTATGCAAATCGACCCGTCACCGGGACTATTAATAAACTCGGCGATTATAGGATCACCTTGGGGTCTTCTTGGCAAAACAAAAACCGCAGAAATTTCTGCGGTGGCCGATAAACTCGATAAAAGGGTGTTTTTTCGAGATACCTGCGACGAGTAAAAGGGGACTCCGCTCCTCGTCGCCTTTGTTTCCATCCGCGCATACGTGACCGGACGACGCCGTTCCCGATGAATATTAATTACTGGTTTCCCTGAAACCGCCGATTCGGAGGCCGCGAGGGGAGAATTTTTCCACTCGACTTCTTCGCGCTCTTCATCTTCCTCTTCGTGGTTACAGCCATGCGGTGGCCGCTCGCGGCCGCTTTGGCTTTGTCGCTGACGTCGGCCCTCGAATTGCGCAGAGGATGGATCTCCGGGGGAGCCCACCTGCCTACCTTCAGCAGGGACTCCGTCGAGAGGCTGCCAGAAGTCCCGGACCAGGGTGCGCCCTTCTCCATGAGACTGCCTCTCAGAGATGCCGTCGAGGCCCCCCCGGATGTCGACGAGCAGAACCGGCTTCTCCGAGAAGTCGCTGGAGACCTACCAGAAAGGTTGGATTTACCGAACCTCTGCGGAGCCCTGCCGAGCGGGATAACTGCACGCGAGGTTTAGCATATGAATGAAAGTAACGAGCCGCGCACCTCGGGAATTACCCGCAGAAATTAACGGATCGATCCCTCGTGGATTTTTCTGCTTTTGAAGAGGGGTCCAATTTTCTCGCGATTTTTCAATCGGGTGATCGATAGGATGCGACGCGGAGTGGACGTCCTTGCCAGGACCTGCTGACGTAGATGTGGTTTCAGCGGCAAGAGCAGGGTGCCTCTTCGCGATGCGGTGGAGTACAGGGTGGCGCCGACCTTCGACGGCCTGGATTTCGATTCCATCTGGATGGAGCAGCTCGCGGCACCCGCCGTTCGCAGGAAACAGGAGCCTCCCAACGTGATTTGTCACCTGGAAGCAGGAGCGACGTACAGAACCGAACCGTTCTCTCTTCAGCCTCAAGGTGTCCCCTCTCATAGGTGCTCTCACCTGATATACAGCGCGGCGACTCTAGGTACGTTGACTCTTGCGTTGCTTAATTTGGACAATCGAGTAGTCCCCCGAGGATGAAGTACCCGATCTCTATCTTGCAGATCCACACGACCTGACGGTGGAGCCCAGGGACTCGGAGTATGACTTGGTCAGAGGTCCTGTCGAATTTCAAAATATTTCTACTAAGGTAAGAACTCGAAGAGGATACTGACGATGACAACGTTTTAGGAGGCTACAAGGCAGCCGTGGGGCTTCGACAGAAGGACCCTGCCCTGCGAGTGATGATCTCCATCGGATCTCCGGATAGGGGAAGGCTCTTCAGGGAACTCGTCCAGTGCCCGGACTGCCGGCGCAGGTTCCTCGCCTCGACGCTGGACTTCCTGAAGAGACACGACTTCGACGGGGTGGAGATCGACTGGGAGGGCGCCTCGACCTCGATGTTGAAGACTCTCCTCGGGGACATTTACGAACCCCTGGCCCAGAAGGGATACCTCGTCACCGTGGCTATCAGACCCGAGGACTCCGTCGATCCCGAAGTCGCCTCCATGGCGGACCTCCTGCTCCTCAGGGCCTGGAGATCCGGAAATGAGAACCTGGCTCTTCATCCCGCTCCCCTTGATTTCGTTTCCGACCTCGTCAAGAAGTGGACCGACGCGGGGGTGGAGGCCAGGAAATTAATTTTGGGCGTGCCTCTCTTCGGCAGGAGCTACACCCTGAAGTTCGGCAACGCCACGCGAGCCGGTTCTCCCACTTCCGGCCCCGGCTTGGAGGGTCCCTACACGAAGCGCAGGGGTGCCCTCGCCTACTTCGAGGTAAGACCCCACCTCCGATTCGACTTTAATTTTTTGCATCCCGAGACCTCTCTCTACTTCCTTCTTCCAGATCTGCGAGATGTCCGAGAGTCTCTGGCTCTTGGGAAGAGACGACGAAGGAATGTATTTATTGCTGGGGGACCAATGGATCGGCTACGACGATCCTCTTCTGATCAGGATCAAAATGGCCTACCTCAGGTCAGCGGGCCTAGGCGGTGTCTCCCTGTTTAGCCTGGACCTGGACGACTTCCAGGTAAACCCTGACCCCTCTAACGCCTCGAGCAACTCTTAAAGATCTCGATCTAAATTTTTTAAAATTTTAATCCAGGGTTTATGTGGCAAACCCTGGCCAATTCTGAACGCAGCGACGAAGGCCCTGGGCATCTACGACTCTTCCCCCGGGAAGTGCAAAGGGGAGGGTCGCTTCGCCGACCCTGACAACTGCTCGGGATTCATCTCCTGCGAAAAAGGTGCGACCAGAGCCATTGGTATACCAAGTCCTATCCAACGGAAAATAAAAACTGACCTAGTCTGTCCGATCAGGGAAACTCTACTTTGGGAACTGCGGCCTAGGGAGGTTCTTCAAGGTGAGTCGAGGCCGGTGCGTAAAGGCCGACCCGGAGATCTGCAAACCCGGGCACGCCGCGCGCACTCCCAGCGGGAACGATACCTCCCTGGTGATGGTAAAGCCTCATCCCGAGCACCTGGAGCTGCAGACGAGCGGCCCTCGGCTGGTGTGCTACCTGACGTCCTGGAGCCTGTACAGGAAGGGGGAGGGAAAATTCGTACCCGAGCATCTGGACCCCAGGCTCTGCACCGACGTGGTCTACGCGTTCTCCGGGTTGAACCCGGAGACCTTGCTAATGCAGAGCTTCGATCCGTGGGCGGACATCGAGAACAGTGAGTGCAGGGGTCCAAAAAAATAAAATTCAAGGTGAACGCGAACGTGCACCCTGGCTTGACGATCCTCTTTTCAGATCTCTACCAGCGAGTGAGCAACATCCGGGGCCCGAGGGTGTTGCTCGCCCTGGGAGGCTGGACGGACAGCTCGGGTGACAAGTACTCCAGGTTGGTCGGCAGCGCGAGCTCGCGTAGGAAGTTCATCGCGGCGACCATCGGTTTCCTGAGGAGGCACAACTTCGACGGGCTCTCGGTCGAGTGGAACTACCCGCGGTGCTGGCAGAGCGACTGCAGGAAGGGACCCTCGAGCGACAAGGCCAACTTCGCCAGGTTTATCCAAGAGCTGAAGAACGAGTTCGTCGAGCAGGAGCCAAAGTTGATCCTGGCGGTCGCGTTGTCGGGCTACAAGGAGGTGATCGATGCCGCCTACGACGTGCGCCGGCTCTCGGAGGCCGCCGACTTCCTCTCGGTCATGACCTACGACTACCACGGGGCCTGGGAGCCGACCACGGGGCACCTGTCGCCTCTCTACGCTACCACCTCCGACAGGAATCCATTCTACAACGTCAACTTCACCATGGAGTACCTGGTGCAGTTGGGGGCGGAGAGAGGTAAACTGATCACCAGGGTGCCGATGTATGGACAGGCGTATCGACTCTCCGACCCTGCGAGAGCCGAGATAGGCGACCCGGCAGCTGGCCCTGGTATCCCTGGGGAGTTCACCAAGCAACCCGGCATGCTGGCTTACTACGAAATCTGCGACAGGATTCAGAAACACCAGTGGCAGCCCGGTCCCGGGCCCAGCGCCCATCACGGGGACCAGTGGGTCGGCTTCGAAGACCCCAAAAGCATGCTGAAGAAGGCCGAGTTTATTCTGAGGAATGGGTACGGCGGCGCCGCCGCATGGACCGTCGATCTGGACGACTTCACCAACCGGTGCTGCCTGGAGTCGTTCCCATTGTTGAGAAGCCTGAATCGGGGTCTGGGACGCCTGCTGAGTCGTCTTCCCTCGGGAGGAGATTGCCAGAGGCCGGAGGAACCGGCCACGCCGTCGCCTCCAACATTGACGACGCACAGCGACGCGAACGACGGGGTACCTAGGCCCACTTCTCCTTTGGGAGGTTCTTCCAGCACTACGGTGTCCACCACGTGGCCTACGTGGACGGAGAGACCCACGAAAACGCCGGATCATGTCCATCCTCCTGGAAAACCCGATCACGTTCACCCGGTTCATACGACGGAGCACGTCCACCCATCTACGAGTACTACCTTGAGGACCACCACCACCAGTGGAACCACTTCTTCGTGGACCACGAAGTGGCCGTGGACGACGACGACACGAAGACCACCCTCCGACTGGGAAACCTCTCCTTCACCTGGCGGCCCCCAGCCAGGGGCCCCTTGTCACCTGGGCCAGTACCAGGCGGACCCCACCAACTGCGCCAACTACTACCGTTGCGTCCTGGGCGAGCTGAAGAAGGAGCAGTGTGCCCCAGGGCTGCACTGGGACGCTTCTCGAGGTATCTGCGACTGGCCCTCCGCTGCGAACTGTCGACGCCAAATAGGTGAGAGAATCGGTCGATCTCAAAAAGAGGACGAGTACCGTGAAGAGCGTACTTTAAAAAACAAATCCTGTTTCAGAGAACTCCTCCCCGGCGTCCTGGGAACGTCCTCCGACGACGTACAGGCCACCCCCTAGACCGCAACCGGAGCAGGATCTGAGCTCCTCGGAATCTTCTTGCGAGCACGGGACGTACTATTCTCTCCCAGAATCCTGCACCACCTTTCTCGTCTGCGTGAACGGCGACCTGGTGGCCCGTGAGTGCGGACCAGGCCTCAACTGGGTGCGCGAGCGGAACATCTGCGACTGGGCTCACGAGAACCCCTGCAAGGAGGGCCCCCGACCCACCCGGGGCACTTCGCTCTCTATCCGCGACAAAGTGGAGGAGTGCACCTCGGGAAGCTACTCCGAGGTCCCGGGCGACTGCGGTCGCTACCAGGCTTGTCTCTGGGGGAAGCCGCACGAGTTCCAATGCGCTCCTGGTCTGCACTTCGACAAAGAGAACCGCATCTGCGACTGGCCCTCCAGGGCGAAGTGTGGAGGGGGTGGGAACGAGGTTCCAGGAAACCCAGATCCCTGGGACGAGGTCTCGATTGCGAGCCCCGAGTCTCCGGGTTCGACCTCCACGACTTCCGCTCCGTGGAGCGAGGTCACCACGCAGAGACCCGCGTCGAGCACCCGGACTCCACGGCCAACCTCCACCCTGGACCCTTGGAACGAGGTCACCACCCAGAAACCTCTGCCGAAACCCGAGATAGACCCCGCCAAGGTCTCTCCTCTCTCCGGGCACTTCAAGGTAGTCTGCTACTTCACCAACTGGGCCTGGTACCGCAAGGGCGTTGGCAGGTACCTTCCGGAAAATATCGACCACACCCTCTGCACGCATATTATTTATGGATTTGCGGTGCTGGATTACTCCGAGCTCACCATTAAGGCCCACGACTCCTGGGCGGACTACGACAACAGGTTCTACGACCGCGTCGTGGCGTACAAGAAGAGGGGCCTCAGGGTTATCCTGGCCCTAGGAGGCTGGAACGACTCGGCGGGCGACAAATATAGCAGACTGGTGAACAGTCCCAGTGCCAGGAAGAGGTTCGTCGAGAACGTCGTCCAGTTCCTCGAGAAGTTCGGGTTCGAAGGACTCGACCTGGACTGGGAGTACCCGGTGTGCTGGCAGGTCGACTGCGGCAAGGGCCCCGCCTCCGATAAAGAGGGATTCGCCGCTCTTCTCAAAGAACTCCACGAGGTCTTCCGACCCAGAGGACTCCTCCTCTCCTCGGCGGTCTCTCCGAGCAAAAGGGTGATCGACGCCGGCTACGACGTGCCCGCCCTCGCCAAGTACCTCGACTGGATCTCCGTGATGACCTACGACTTCCACGGACAGTGGGACAAGAAGACAGGCCACGTGGCGCCGCTCTACTACCACCCCGAAGACGAGTTCTACTACTTCAACGCGAACTACTCCATCAACTACTGGATCTCCAAGGGCGCTCCGCCCAGGAACATCGTCATGGGTGAGGGAAGAGTATTTATATTTTTTTTACTCGATGAAGCGCGAGATGTCAAGTGAATTTTTTTTTTTTTTTTTCAGGCATGCCGCTTTATGGGCAGTCCTTCTCCGTCCACGATCCCAAGGCGGGGACGGGTCTCGGAGCTCCGGCCAGTGCCGGGAACGCCGGCGAGTTCACCAGGGCTGCCGGGTTCCTGGCCTACTATGAGATCTGCGAGCGCATCCTGAACCGCGGGTGGAAGGTCGTCCAGGACCCTCAGCGCAGGATGGGACCGTACGCCTTCAAGGGGAATCAGTGGGTCAGCTTCGACGACTCCGACATGATCAGACAGAAGGCTCAATACGTGCGAGACATGGGTCTCGGAGGCGGCATGGTCTGGGCCCTGGACCTGGACGACTTCCGCGACAGGTGCGGGGAGGGGCCTCATCCCCTGATGAGAACTCTCGTCCAGGTCCTCGCCGACCCCCCCAATCGCCACGATAGACGTAAGTAGGTCCAACTATCTCGCTCTTTTCTCGACGTGTCGAAGAGTACAAGTCGCTTCCTTCCGCAGCCATCGAGCCGCCGGCCGTGGGCCAGGAACTTGAGTGGAAGGTCTCTACGAGGCCGGGCGAGACGATGGCTCCTCTTCAAGAAGCGGAACCGTCGATTCCCCCGGAGGATGACGTCGGCTTTAAGGTCGTCTGCTACTTCACGAACTGGGCCTGGTACCGGCAGAATGGGGGGAGGTATCTCCCCGAAGACATCGACCCCGACCTCTGCACCCACGTGGTCTACGGGTTCGCCGTGCTGGACGTTACCGGACTGACCATCAAGAGCCACGATCCCTGGGCCGACATCGACAACAGTAGGGGTCGCTTCTTCTTCCTCATCTCCGGCACCCTTAAACGTCGGTCTTAATTTATCCAAGTCTTTCCCGCAGAGTTCTACGAAAGGGTGGTCGCGCTCAAGGCCAAGGGCGTGAAGGTGTCGCTGGCGATCGGAGGGTGGAACGACTCGGCAGGTGACAAGTACAGCAGGTTGGTCAACTCGCCCGAAGCCAGGAGGAGATTCGTCACTCAGGTGCTGCAGTTCATCCAGAAGTACGGGTTCCAAGGTCTCGACCTGGACTGGGAGTATCCGGTCTGCTGGCAGGTGAATTGGGCATTTCCTGAATTTTTTAGACGTCCGGGTAGATCTGGCCGACTCGGTTTTTACCTGCCCCTCTTCCAGGTGGACTGCGAAAAGGGGCCCGCCTCGGACAAGGAGAGTTTCGGCATGCTGGTGAAGGAGCTGAGCGCGGAATTCAGACCCAGAGGTCTCCTCCTCTCGTCCGCCGTCTCCCCCAGCAAGAGGGTCATCGATGCCGGCTACGACGTCGCTCTTTTGTCCGAATACCTGGACTGGATAGCGGTGATGACCTACGATTTCCATGGACAGTGGGACAAGAAAACCGGTCACGTCGCTCCGCTCTACGAGTTCCCTGGAGACTGGGAGCCCACCTTCAACGCCGTACGTTCCTGCCAATTGTTTTTACAATTTAATTCGGAGGCTCCAATTATTAAACGGAGGGCACGAAATACCTTGCAGAACTTCTCCATTCACTACTGGCTGGAGCAAGGAGCCTCGCCGAAGAAGCTGGTCATGGGTGCTCCGCTTTACGGGCAGTCCTTCAGTTTGGCCGAAAGGAGCGAAACCGGGCTGAACTCGCCGACCTACGGGGGAGGCGAAGCTGGCGAGTCCACCAGAGCCAGAGGGTTCCTTTCCTACTACGAGGTTGAACCGCCTTATATTGTCTATTATAATTTTTTTCAAGGACCTCCAGTTACCCAGGAGCCGGTATTTAAATGCATCTACCTGCAGATCTGCGAGAGGACTTTGACGCAGGGCTGGACCGTAGTCCAGGACCCCGAGAGAAGAATGGGACCTTACGCCTACAAGGGCGACCAGTGGGTCAGCTTCGACGACGCCGAGCAGACGAAGCGCAAGGCTCAGTTCATCAAGGACCTCGGTCTGGGTGGCGGCATGGTCTGGGCTCTAGACCTGGACGACTTCAAGAACCGATGCGGCTGCGAGAGCAGCCCCTTGCTGAAGACGATGAACAGGGTCCTCAGGAACTACCCAGACGGCCCGGTGTGCCCGATTTCAGGTACTCTACCTGTATTAAAAATTCCCCGATAATTATTAAGATTTACCGTACATCCTAATTTGAACATGGAAACCATTTAATGTACTCCAGACTCTCCTGTCGAAACGCCGTCGTACCCGACGTCCTCCCCGGCGACTACTCAGGCAACTGCGGAAGTTGAAGAGGTTCTCACCACGACGTACCCAACCTACCCGACTCAGCAGACCTCCGAACCTTCCGCGATCTCGACGACCGAGGACTCCGTCGAGGTCGAGGCAGGACCTCCTCTCGATTTCTCGATGGACTGCGAGGGTCGAATGTTCGTTCCCCATAAAACGGATTGCTCGAAGTACATCCTCTGCAACTTCGGCCAGGTGTCCGTCCACTCTTGTCCCAGTGGGCTCTACTGGAACGACGATCGGTGCGACTGGCCCGAGAACTCCAAGTGCAGGAAGCGGCAGCAGCAAGTGAGGAACCCTCTCAAGGTGGAGTTTCAGGTGTCCTCGGGTACGGAAAAATATAATCTGTATTTTCCAGGCGGCAGCCGAGAATCCTTTGAACCTCGCGGCGATACAGCAGCACCGGGAGATACTCGAGGAGGTCTCGGCGATCCCGAAGAGCAGGAAACTGGTCTGCTACTTCACGAACTGGGCCTGGTACCGACCCGGCGATGGACAGTTCTTCCCGGAGGATATCGCATCCTCCCGGTGCACTCACGTCGTGTACGGCTTCGCCGTCCTGGACGCGGAGGAGCTGACCATGAAGAGCCATAACGTTTGGGCGGACATCGGCAAGGACTTCTACGGCAGGGTCACCGCTCTCAAGAGCAAGGGCGTCAAGGTGTCCATCGGCCTGGGAGGGTGGCACGACTCTGCCGGAGATAAGTACAGTCGGCTGGTGAACGATCCCGCGGCCAGGAAGAGGTTCGTCGCTCGTGCCCTGAGATTCGTCAAGAAGCACGACTTCGACGGCTTGGACCTGGACTGGGAGTACCCGGTGTGCTGGCAGGTACTGCACTTGGTCTCATTGTCGCGGGTATAATTGAGGAGTTAATTACTAATTATTGTACATCTATGACGAAGATGGACTGCCGGAAGGGACCGGCCTCCGATAAGGAGTCTTTCGCCTCCCTGGTGAAGGACCTGAAGGAAGCCTTCCAGCCGTGGGGTCTCCTTCTCTCGGCTGCCGTGTCTCCTAGCAAGAGAGTCATCGACCTTGGGTACGACGTCCCCAGTCTTGCCAGACACCTGGACTGGATCGCGGTGATGACCTACGACTTCCACGGCCACATGGAACGCAGGACCGGCCACGTGGCTCCTCTGTATTACTACCCTGGCGATGAGTTCGACCACTTCAACGCGAACTTCTCCATGCGGTATTGGATCGAGAAGGGGGCTCCCCCGGAGACCCTGGTCATGGGCATTCCTTTTTACGGGCAGAGCTTCACGCTGGCCGATGGCGGATCCAGGAACATCAAGGCTCCCGCTTCCGGTCCGGGAAGAGCTGGCCGGTTCACCAGGGCGGCTGGATTTCTCGCCTTTTACGAAGTACGGTTTGCTTTTAATTATCTCATTTCATGGATTGTCCTTTAAACAACCCATTGTTCGCGTGACGTGCAATGTACATTAGTGGTGCTCTAACATATTGATAAATGCCGATTACAGATATGCGAGAACGTCAAGAACGAAGGCTGGAGCGTGACGAAGGACCCTGAGAAGCGGGTCGGACCATACGCGTATAAAGGGGATCAATGGGTCAGCTACGACGACGTGACCAACGTAATCGAGAAGGTGCATGCTCCAACAATTAACAATGGTCGTTATCTTTGAGCGGACGCATCTAGACTTGACGTTCGTTAGATAACGGAGCTACTCGAGGAGTTCTCCTAAGTGTCGTAACGAGGATATGCAATTAATTACCGTTTAATGCCACGGTAATTACACTCCGGGGAACGATAGATCTGCCGAGACGAGGGGAAAAATACGTTTCGTTATCGGTCCTCCTCCGCGTCCTAATATGACGTCGACAAACGTCATGGCGCCGTGTCGCGTTATCGGTCGGTCTTGATTGCAGCGTAACGTGGTTCTCAGATCGCGCGTCGATAACGTTACAACATTTCAATAGTCGGTAAACAATGTAATATCTCCCTATTTCGTGGGGAGAGCCGGTGACGACGGATTTATACGAACGCGTTTTGTAATTCGGACTCTTCCACGTTGTAGAGGGAGATGAAGAGACGTTTCGGTCGAGCTTGTAGAGGGAGATCGTTCGGAGGAATTATTCAAGGTTTCTTCTCTTTCCTCAGGCGAACTTGATCATTGATCTGAACCTCGGAGGAGGAATGGTCTGGGCTCTGGATTTGGACGACTTCAAGAACCTCTGCCAGTGCGGGAGGTATCCTTTATTAAGGACTCTCAGCGAGCGACTCCAAGGCAGAGAGGTCCTGGCTAAAGACTGCACCTAAAACGTAATTTGTTATAAGCGTGGGCGTTTTCACTTGTAAAACGCGCGAAATTCTTCCGGGTGACATCGATCACTGGGGGGGGGAAATACGGTTTCGCGATCGTGTCGCCCGAGAAGACTCGATTAAGTGGAAACTCCATTGACATATCCTACGATGTACTTCATATCGCGTTTTGTACTCAACAATGGACTGCTGTTTTTACTTTCGCCCTCGGCCTTTCCTTCGCATGAAAGGTTCCCTCAGATTCGGCCGGAATCTGGGAATTATTAAAATAACTTGAACGACTTTAGGGGGTTTAAGAGAAATAATGAGCGTTGATTTTTTCATGAATCGGGGCCTTGTGGAAGCCCACAAAGAGGTAGTTTATCTATCGGTGCCAGGCCTCTGGATACATTTCCGCTAGCGGTTATTGCTCAACTTTCTACGTAAATCCACCACAAAGGTCGCCCAAGTTCCTCGCGGATTCCTTCCCTTATATACTCGTTACACGTATCTGCGAAATAGACGTCGACTCGGCATTTGCATCGACCGAACTTAAGCGCGAGTTGCTTAGAAAAGTACGGAACCTAGTGCTCTAGATACTAGAGCGAGGCGGAATATTAATAACGTTATGCGATATCATTACTGGTGTTATACTACTTAGAGCGACCGGGTCAATATTTCCGGCAAACGCGATCGACGGAAATCGACCTCGTCTCTCTCGTATGTTAATGCAAACGACCGAGTGGATAATACATGTACGCTGATTCACGCAATAACGAGTGCTACGCGCTTCTCCTGCAGTTAAGGTCAACACGTTTGGTAAATAGTACGCGAGGTACGGTGCGATCATTCTTCAGAGGTTTTCCCGAGGAACTCGGCTTCTACCTGTGAGAACATGGACAGCGATTTAGGTAAGCTTATCGGATTATAGGTCGGATATAAGTTAGACGTATTGGGGAAAAAAATTAAACGCCAGTCGGTTGGCTCTCGTCGAACCGAGAGGTCTCCTAAGCGGTGAACACGGGTGTACTTTACACTCTTCTTTGTCCTATTTTGCATACGTCGCGCCAGCTGACTTTTTCCAAATTCACGAGGCAAAAGACTCGAGCGTTTCCTCTTTAAGCGGCTGGGGGAGAAGAAGCGATGAAGCGGGACTGCCAGTTAAAAATAGTAAGTTTGTTTAAATAATTTGCTGGAACAATTTTCAGGGAATTGTTGGATTATTGACATTTGAAATTCGATATCGCGGATTTTTAAGCCGCGATATCTTCTTGAATTCCTCGAGAGATAATACGCGTCCTGTGATGTGTTGACCGACGAGCACCTGGTTAAACGAGAGTCGGGGATTATTTGTTCCGATTTTAACCTATTACAGCATCGTAGCGGAAATTTTAGGATCCATTGCACGCTTACTTTTCGTTTACACGTATATTGTAAGTAAAGAGTAAATTTTATTCCATTCAAATTTTATTAGGTCGATTAAAAATACGGTATCGATAGGGACAGTCGACTGCAGCGCGTGCGACGCGATCGAGCGATTCGATAATGACAACACCTCGATAGTCGAGGTCGATCGATGTCATCGGCTGGTCATCTCCGCAACTTCGTTACTCATGCCCACGCGGCCCATGTTGACGCACGTCACTCGCGCGATTTTCTCATCTAGATATATCCCACGGTGCGTTCACCTGGGCCGTGCCTTCTCTCTCTCGCGCGCGTACTCGCCGCCATCGCTCTTTCTCGTTCAGTCCTGTCACTCTCGATGTGCGTGACAAGTGTGGGCAGACCTTCCCGAGTCGGCATCCTAACCTTATTTGTCAAAAGTTCGATGAAGATTCTTGATAAATAACGACGAGTCCTGATAATTCCCTTCGAAGGAGAAAACTCTCGTAAGTATCTCGGAAGCCCGAAATAACCGAAATGAGTGACAGCAATTGTTTCTTGAAATTCCCGCTCCAGTGGGCGGATTTATCTGGACCTTGAACCTGGGCGTTGCGCTCTGCTTGGAGAGTGAGTAACCTAAAAAAACGGGCGAAAAAAGGCCCGGGCTGGCCATCCGAGCTATCGCGGCTCCGAGATCAGCGGGCCGAGTTATCGCGATTATGAAATACTCGGTCTCGACGGAGCCGCTCGCTGACGCGTGAAAAGGGCGCAGGAGTCAGTTTTCACGCGTCACTCCGAGGAGTTACCTCCCCGGGAGCTGCGGAGAACTCGGCAAGGTCTCAGAGAGGTCTTCCGACGAGTCAGGCAGAGCATGGTTACAGGTGGGAAATGCCTCTGAGCTTCGGAGGCTCCTCTCCGAGGCCTGGAGTCTTCTTCGCTCCTTGTCTTTACTAATCGCGGTGCAATGTTATTGCAGATACCGATGTGTCAGCGCTGTGCCTCGAGGTATCGAGGGTTGCTACGCTGCCCAGTGGACGGAGGAAGATCGTAAGTCCGACTCGCTGGAACGGTCATCCATGACTCCCTACAAACGATAGTTTGTCCTTATTGCCTGTCTCGGCTCGGTTGGCTCTGACTCCCCTCAACGAATTGCGCGCAAATTAAATGCAATCGACCAATTGGCAAAGTCGAGTGAATGTGCATGCACCTAAAGCGTGCACAACGCCGTATCAAAGGTTAAAACTTGTGGGCCAATACGGTCTCCGGTCACTACTCGGTATCAGCTGATTTTTGGTGCAGAGCTTCGGTTTAGTTCTAGGGTTGGTAGTTCTTTAAAGCATATCCCATTCAATGAATTTTTTTCTCCATGTACCTCTTTCTACATGGTAGAAAACGAGTTAATCTTAACTGGAGTGAATGTATGCAGGGACACAAAGATGGAGTAATCATCGGGGGTCGTGCCATTTAACCCCAATTTATTTAATTGAATTTGTCTTGCTTTGTAGTTGGGTGACCAATGACTCTTACTGATTTACCCTAATCTTAGTAAATTCCTATTAATTTAACTGCCACCTCGTTTATATTTACTTGTCCAATTTTTTTTTTTAACTACATGCAAAGAACAGGATTAGATTACGCATGAAACCTCTCCGTAGTTGTGAAGGAAACTACAAACCATAATAATGCATAGATTATCGTGAGAATAGTTTGCAGATGTGCCTATGAAGTGCAGGTTTTTACACTTTCATTCCATCATTTGTCCTGAGGGTTTTCCGTATCCACAAATAAATGGTACCACACTAGTGTGCGTGCTATGGACTGCCCAAGAAGCTTAATTTTTTGCAGTGGTACGGTCTTCCTCCGATCAATCTGCTTCCATAACATCAGTTTAATGCCTTTGCAATATTATGCACAGAATTATCCAACACTTATGGCGATGATATAAAAAATTCTTGACATTTTTTAGGAAACCAACAACGAAGAGCACGAGAACTCTGCAGGATGGACTCCGATGCTGCTCCTGGCAGGGGCAACGTGTTGTCTGGGATCGGCCTTGCCTGCTGGATTCAATATAGGAGTTATGAATAACCCTGCACACGTTGGTATTTCCTTTTTCCCTGAAATCTACGTGTTCTAGATCATAATGGTATAAAGTGTCATCGATACAAGTGAATTTTTTCATTGACAGTTGATGCAGGACTTCTGCAACCAAAGCTTCGAACAGCGATACAATGTCCACCTGACCAAAGAGGAACTCAATGTGGTTTGGTCGATGATAGTGTCAATATTTCTTATTGGAGGAGTGACAGGATCGCTGGTTGCTAGCTGGATAGCTGACAGACTCGGCAGAAGAGGGGCCCTGGGAATTGGAAATATTTTGGCTATTATCGGAGCAATATGCTTTCTAGTGGTGCGAAGCTTAAATTCAGTGGAGCTGCTTTTAGTGGGCAGATTATTCGTAGGTACGCTTCAATGCATGACTGATCAAATTATCTTCTGCGCTGTTGGTAGAAAAGTACTTTCTATATTTTTTTTTTTAACTTCATAGGATTTTCTGGAGGCTTTGCTACAAGCCTGCTTCCAGTCTACCTTACGGAAGTTGCTCCTTTAAAACAGCGAGGAGCTGTAGGAGTACTTTGCCAGTTAGGAATCTGCTGCGGAGTGTCATTGGGACAGATCACTAGTCTGGGTACGGTACTGGGCACTGAAAAATCTTGGCATATCATGTTGGCCTCTTTTGCTCCTATCTGCATTTTCGCTTTACTGGTGACATTTTTTCTGCCAGAAAGCCCCAAATACCTTTACGTAGTCAAGAAGCAAGAGACAAAAGCTCTTAAAGGTTGGTGCTTGTGATCACTTCCTAACCTCCTTCACATATGTAAAAAATATTAACTTGACCGTGATTTCTTCTTCTCAGAATTAAGTCGCTTGCGGAACATGGAGACAGTGCTCCTTCGGAGTGAAGTAGCTCTCCTCCGGGAAGAGTCTCTCATCGAGGCTGCCGTAGACCCCTGGACTATTCAACGGGTAACAAGGGATCCCACTTTGAAGTTGCCCCTGATCCTGGTCTGTGCGCTACAATTTGGCCAGCAACTCAGTGGCATAAATGCCGTCTTCTACTACTCTAGTTCTATATTTAAAAATGCTGGTCTGGACATCGCTGGGGCTCAGTATGCTACCTTAGGAACCGGTGTTGTAAACATCGGAATGGCTCTAGTCGCAGTGCCCCTGATGTCGGTCTTCGGCAGGAGAACTCTCTTCCTGACAAGCTGCTACACGAGCTCAGCTTGCCTCGTGGTACTGTGTACTTCGATAGTTCTTATAGTAAGTAAAAACCTGCAGCCAGAGATAACGGTATAGAGGACTGCATCTTGAGGCTATGCACAGTGTATTTTATTAATAATTGTTCTTCCAGAATTCCACACCATTTATGCCGTGGCTGTGTATAGCAACAGTATTGATTTACGTCTTATTATACGGAATTGGACTTGGTCCGATACCTTACTTCATTGGATCGGAGCTGTTCGACATTGGTCCAAGACCAATCGCTACGTCTCTTGGAAGTGTCTTCAACTGGGGTGGAAACTTTCTGGTTGGCATGACGTTCCCTTCCTTGCAGAACTTCGTAGGCCCCTACGCCTTCTTGCTCTTCAGTGGCATCGTCTTACTCCTTGCTCTCTTCTCCAGGTAAAATTCAATTTAAAATTCCTCTTTGACGGGAGCTTGGAGACCTTAACCTAAATGTGTACATCATTTCAGGACGTATTTACCTGAAACTCGTGGCAGGAACACGAACGATATAGCATCCACCATGACCAAAGGTCTCAAGTCTAGGCCAAACGAAAATTGATATTGATCGTCTGTCAGGAACAGTCGACAGTGCTCAAAGTTCTATCGCAAGGTGAAGGATGGAAAACCTAACTTAACACTGTTACTCATTTCTGTTCATAGCAAAAAACTACTGTTTAAGCAACTACGTACAATGACTTCTATCAGAATGCGTTCTTATTGACGTGTAATGAGAGGTCCTCTGTGTTCACTGGTGATACTTCCTTCAACCGTCAATGCTTCCATGCCATTGTGGGAGAGAAGGATATTCCTACGATGTGTGACATTTTTACGTTATACTCCGATGCGTATGAGATTTTTATTTTCTACGCTGCAGGAGAGCGTAACAATTGTGCATAATAAACCCGTCCTTTGTACACCGGCGGTCATGAATGGCTTTCTCGTGTACATGGAGCAGCCTGGTGATGGTAACGTAAACGTAACGTAAAAAACGAGCTCGAGAACTTATGTACTTGCGGTACCTGAGGTATAGTAAACTGTAAAATAATTAATGTAATAAAGCAACTTATTGAACGATAACAATGAGCATGTTTAATTAGACGAGCGTGTCTAACAAACCCTCTAATCGCCTAGAGAGTTCTTTTTAGAAAAAATTTATTTCGGTACAAATACATTCTTGTACAGCTGGTCGAGTTTCTCGTAAAACACCAGACAGAGGACCGTGTGAGGGGCGATCCTGGCCCACATGGGAAAGACTCCTTTGTACAGCCCGAAGAAGCCTTCGGTCCTGAATATCTTCACCAAACCATCCCAAAGGCCATCGTAGAGTGCACCCTTCCCTTTCTCATTGACACCTGTACATTTTTTATTAACATATAAATTCTTATACATTTATCCCTTTCTTTAAGTACCCGTTAATCATACCTTGATTGTACAACCTGGTGGCCAGGACATCGAAGGGCTGCATGGTGACAGCTATGCAAGTGCCTCCGATCGATGCAGCTAGAAACGTCAGCAGCAGGGGTCGATCAGGAAACGCCTAACAAGATGAGCTTCCTTTATTATTGACTTCAAATCATTAACTAAAACGACCTAATTTCCTAGACAACTGAGCAAGGAAATGGAAAGTAAGAGTATCGATACCTGCATAGCGGTTTCCACTGTGAAGTGTAATCGTTATCGATTAGCCAAGTGTTTGAATTTGCTTTTAGAGTTTCACTGATTGAATTATTTAATAATTGCGAAAGAGGGGAAGATATACGTTTATAGATTTTAGCCAGTCCGTGGCTAATCCAAAAGTGGTCAGCTGAGTAGCGGCGCCCACGAAAAGCCTTGGAATTCCTGCGTACCACCCTCGGAAGATACCAGCGATTCCGTTCTCTCGCCATAACGTGGCAAAGGCGGAGCACATCCCAGAATGTCGGTGTTGATAGCCAACCGCGATGTTCTCCGCAGCCTGTGCCTGCAGCTGCGTCTTTACCTGCAAAAGATCACTACCGTTTTATAACCACCTCCCCCAATTTTTACCGACATACAGGGAACCAACCAGATAAAGGGGACTGCCGATAATCCCCGCGAAGGCACCAGTGGTCCCGGTAACAAGTATCGTCTTGACGATACTCGTGTTTCCCTTCTCGTCCAGAATCAGTCCAGTGTTCTTCGCCGTGTTGTAGACACCCAGTCTGAGGCCGTTCAACACGACTTGGAAAGCCAAAGCGGGCACCAGGCCGGCTTGCAGGGCGAGGATCCCTTCGTTCTTCGCTATTATGTACGCCGCGTGGACGGTGTTCTTGTAGATCCTCGCGTAGGACCCTCGGGCCTCCAGTTCGCCCTGGAGCTGCAGTCGGATCTTTATCACGTCCATCGGGTTCGTGAAGAAGCCCGCCCCGACCGCGGAAAGTGCCCCCATCGCGAATTCCATTCCTCCACTGGAAGTATCCGCATTAGTTAGAAAAAAATAGGGGGAAAAAGAAAAGGAGACCTTACCTTTCCGATTTCAAATGGCGCTCCGCGTCGTCGCTCTTACCGTCAATGAAGCGACTAAATTTCTCGTCACCGCGCGATATGACACCGGATGAAGGGCCCGTAATTCGTGGGGAGCATTTTAAAGAATTTTCCGTCGATTTGTCATGGGATCCGAGGAGATGGGACGATTTCGAGTGATCGCGACTATTGGCGACTTGATTCGCGCGGTTCTAGTGGCGCGGACGAATGGCGCGTAGTCTTGACAACTGGACGCGTCATCGGCGCGACTCGTTGCGTAATTCCGTACTCGTGGCTTCCGTGACTACAGCGGTAAATCCGGACGAAAGAGTGAGTTAAGGGTAAAGAGAGGTTGTACCTCTCGGAAGAGCGCTACTCACTAGCTGCCATTTGCAGATTTCTCTGCGATCGTCATCTCGGTCATCTCGGAAGGGCGTGAAAGAGCGGGCGGCCGAACGGGATCATGGAGCCTCGTAATGCGCGAGATGCGCGATCACGCGACTGCGCGCGACTGTCGTTGCCTTTGGCCGGCATTGACGTCCCATATCTAAGGTTGACTCGAAATTAAACCTGCACATATAAGCGAGGAACTAAGCCTGTGCATACTTCGTCTCCGAGTGACGTGACGTCTGCTTTCATAATCTCCTCTTATACGGACGTTTCGGTTATCTTTCGAAGTCATCCCCTCCCTCTTGCGATCCAATGGTTAGAGATGTCTCCCTAGGTTTATCCTATTTTTCCCTTTATTCGGTTCATTGTACCATTGAGCGTTACCTTCTCTCTTCTCCGATGTTTGAAGTACTTAATCCGGTACATCGGATGAGGGTGTCGTCTAATAAAAAATATATTTCAACAAGTACAATATCTTTTGGTGAAGTTTAGTCGTCGTACATGACGGATATTACATGTAAGAATATTTTCTACCCAGGCTAGGGGGTGATCGGCTGAGTGGATCTTAGAAATGTACTATTAATTCGTAGCAAAGCATTATTTTTATCGTGGGAAGACTGAAAACTGGACTTAGCTTACTGTTAGAGGTATTTAAGATTGTCCAGGGACCGGTACGGTACGTTCCGCTAAGTTACCCTTTTATCGGTTCGTGTAGGTTACTTCGACGGTTTCATCTGCCAAGAGCTGTAAAGAACGGAGCTGTCTTTGTCCACTAGCGACTTGCCAAAAGTATTGTATATAAATTCGATATATAGCGTACTTTACCATATATCTCAAGAACGACAATTTAACATTCGTATCACATGTTCCCTTTCTTTATACGGAGTAAGGTTCGCTTGTACTCTCGTGCTTAAGTTTCCTTTGTAGTAATTTCAACTAAATCGAGACAAATGGAGGTACATTTTCCATTTTTTTTTTTTCCTTGGAAACCGGTGCCAAGTGTTTTCTTCCATTGCCAATCCATGGGTTGCGATTTCATGACTAAAAAATTACATTTGACTCAACAGACCGACGAAGCATCGATGAACGTTCTTCTCGTGGCTTCGTAAAGTGAATCGACTAATAATTTCCTGTACTCCTTGGGTCACCGATAGTGGAGTACGTCACGAGACGAGTACGATGATTCGATCCGGTGTCTACATACTCCGAGAGGCAGCCAGCTGCCAAAAATGCTATTTCGTCGTCTCGAAAAGAATGCGTCAGCTATCCCAAATTGTTATCGTTACTGTCACGTTTGGAGGTTACCCGGCCTCGTCCTGTACCTCTCCTCCAAGTACCCAGGAACCTGCAAAGAATTTCAAGAAAATCATAAGTCAGGCTCCTTACGGTTACTTTCACTTGTACAAATAACGTATGAAATCGTGACGTCCACTGTGTTAAAACAACGCGTACGAGACCACAAAATATTAATTACAATTTTGACATCGATCACACAAAAAAGTTTCCATTAGTCCTGAGTTTATCGACCCAAGTAATGCCATGGAGTAGTCGATAAGCTGCGACAAGTGTTAATAACTGAATTCGATTACTTTTCCCAAGTTAATTTATTTACGTCAGATGTATATATATATATGTACATACATGATTCATACAAGCAGCCTATTCTATTCAATTGCCATACAGACATTCGCATTCATGCCGAAACCATCGACGCACAACATGCACAAAAAATACAGGAGCCGAGGAAATGTACCAGAGCTTGAATAGATCAATAGCAATCGTCAATTGCCCTAGCTTTGAAGCTCTGAAACACGAACAAAGGACGGTAACGATTATCTGGAAAACATTGCCGAAGTAGCTGTACAAATAATACAAATCCTTGCTAAATTATCTTCGGTATGTTGTGCGTCACCCGGACCAAGTAAATGCAATCGTTGCCGATAAATGTACAATAAGTGCCATCTCCGTAGGTCTACTTCGATCATCGGTCCTCGAGGGTCCACTCCGAGGGAGGTGGACCATCAAGAAACACTTTGCCGTCCCGATATCTACACCTCTCCGGACTTGGGGTTCTCTCGAAGGAGGGCATTAATCCATAAAAAATATCTAAGGTGCGGGAAACCTCCGGGTAAGTGTGAAAGCGGGTAAGACGTGTTTCAGTGGTCGCTCTCAAAGCAATGCAAGGCAGTCGGTACTCGGTCTCAGGTTTTTCGGGAACGGCAAGCGAGCTCCGGGGTCCGTCGACCGGACGGCTCGTTTACTGGGAATGCGAGATAATGGTCTCTACCTTAGGTTTCGGCCGATGAGTGTCCACGGCGTCGATGGGCAGCCGGATGTGCTCGACCTTGCAGCCATAAGCCACCGGGGTGAGCTTGATTATCGTGTGAAGAGGAACCTGCAGGTACGGCAGCTCGTCTGGAAGACGAGAAAGAAGTGAAACAACTACCCTGGACCGCCTGCTTAAAAGCCAAAGAGGGGACCTCCCACGAACCTGCGTTCTTATCCAGGAAGTACGCCAGCAGACACCTGAGGACCGCTTGATGGCTCACGACGAGGACGTTGCCTTGCCTCTCGAGCTCCATGATGACGGGCTCGAGTCGCGCCACCAGGTCCTCGTAGCTCTCTCCCCTTGGGTATCTGTACGAGAATTTGTTCTGGTCCCTCGCTGCAAAATCCGCCGGGTACTTCTCCGCGATCTGGCTGTACGTCATCTCCTCGCAGATGCCCTGGGGAGAGAAAAGAGAGTAGGTGAAGACCCGGCGTCCACGAGGCGCTATTTATATATTTACGTGTACTCAAGATTTCGGACTCACGGCGTCGATCTCGTTGAGAGCCTTCCACCTCTCCTGGGGCACGTTGACATCCTTGGCGGTCTGGATGGACCTCTTCAGCCAGCTGGTCCACACCCGCAGCCCGTGGATGTCCTGCTGGGCGATGTACTCGGCGAGCTCGTTGGCGTAGGCCCGACCCCTCTCGCTGAGATCCGAGTCCCCGCCGATCCTGCCGTCCAGGTTCATCGCGCTCTCCCCGTGGCGGGTCAGGTAGATCGTCCTCGGCACTATGTGGATGTTCATCAGGTAATAGACTATCCGACTCTGTATGTGGCCCTCGTGCTTGTGGACCAGAACCTTCTCCCCGGTGTTGTAGATCTTCATGAAGGAGAGGCTGGCCTCCCGGTCCTCGTCCAGCGGCTGGTAGCGCTCGCGGTAGTGCTCGATCCGCAGCATGAAGTCCGCCAGCACCTCCTCCTTGTCCATGGTCTCGTAGTCCGGGCTGCTGACCTTAACCTGGAACGAGTGAGTTCGCGTTCACCTCCGTGTAGTTTCAGCGACGAGGAGGACCCTCCTCGGAGACTCACCTCCATAATGTTCTGCTCGACGATCTCGGGGTCGTTGCACACCGACTCGACGAAGAACAGCTTGAAGCCCATCTTCTTGACGACTATGTCGTGGATCATCTGGCGGCGGTCGGTCGTGGAGTTGGTCGCGTCGAAGACGGCCACCTTCCCGTCGCCGCTCTCGAGCCACTGGCAGACGTCCTTCAGGGCGTCCATCGCGCACTGCGTGCGGATCGCCATGGCCTTGACGTTGTCCGGCCGGAAGAACTCGTGGCACTTGTACGCCGAGGTGGCGTGCCTCCGGTACTCCCCCAGGTTGAACACCTTCGTGCTGATGCCGATCCAGTTCAGGTACCTGCAGAGCTTCTTTGAGATGTAGGTCTTGCCGCGGGCGGGCAGCCCGACCATGGCGATCACGTGGGGCTTGTTCACGAAGTTGGCCCGCTCGCCTGGAACAAACGTGGAAGTCGGTTAAGGGGATACTATGTACCCCGAGGGATCCTAACGTAAGAGGTACGCAAGGGTGTATATACCGGGATGCATGGGGAGACATTTGCGGGGTACTTACTCCACCTCTCGAACATTTTGGACGAAGGGGATCATTCTCGCGGGGATTAAGCTACCGACGACTTCCCTTCGTCCTCGAGGTTGGCGAGTCGCGTCGAGACGTCGATATGCGTGCCGGGGGTATATTCGATACGAATGCATTTATATACACCCGGGTATATCTGAGCGTCGCGCGGCCGCGTTGCGCAAGCCCTCGGCCGGCAACCAAGGCATTTCCTCGTCTTTTCCAGGCTCCTCGCGTGCCAATTCTTTTCGCCCTCCCCTCCGGCGAAGCCTCGTAAATATGGGAACTTTCCTATCGGACGCGGTCCGAGATCCACAAGGTTGACGCAACGATAACCGGGATCACGCGACGCCGCGGAAGAGGGACGAAGAAAAGGAAGAAAGAAAGAAGCTCGGGTCGTTCGGGATATCGGATAACGCGTCGTGCGGCTCGCAACGCGAGGGAACGTCTCGGTCCAAGGTCGCCTCGCGCGTCTCTAGAATTCATTGTCAATGCTAAGAGGCGCGACGACTCCGCGGCCTTCCCGATTCCGGATGAATCCGACGCAAATTGGCGCTCGCGTCGCCCCTAAAATTACATATAGTTGCAATTTGCGCGCACCGACCGCTCTTATCTGCTCCCCGATAAGAGGCTTCTAGGAGGAGAAAATAGCAAGGAACGGAACGCCTTCTACGCGTCATTTCGGATTCCGGCTCGATCCGGTTAACGAGCATAAGTCAGCCCCAACGACACCGATGTAGCTTCAAAATTCCTCCCGAGACCGGTTCGCTCTGGGAGTAATTTAACTGGTCAATTTGTAGGTTAAAGAGTGGTTTCGGGCACACGAGGTAGTTTGGTACTACGTGGAAAGACCCGAAGTTATCCTAATGTCTTTACCTCTTATAGGGAACGGTTTGGTTTGTATCGTATCCGATGAGGGTGGCGTGTAGTGCATCTCGATCTGAGAGTCGGACATGGTCCTGTGGTACCGATCTCGAGGATCCCTGCGGGCGGTGGCTCCCATCTGTATCTCGGAAATGCCACGAGGACGAGGTCTCCTACGTTCCAGGAAGTCGCGAGCGACCCCACTGGAACGGATCCCCTCAGGGTGCACCAAGGTCTCCGAATCAATGGTAGGGTGTTCCACGTTGCAACCGCGTGTCTGCGCCGTGGCGCAGTCACTTCCCCCAGGGAGGTATTCCTTATCTGGACGATCCGGTCGTCGAGGGAAGCAGGATTTTCTAACCAGCCAATCTAGAATTCGCAGGAGTTGTAGCTAGTATCGTCGTATCTTCTGTATTTATTCTGACGAAGACTCAGAGTCTTCTATCGCTCCAGACTCCAGAGACTCTTGTCGGTGGAAATTGGCCTAGGGATGAAGAACCCTTCCACAGTACCTTGAGTGGTCTCGGAGAGGCTCCGTGGCTTCCTCGGTAATTTTCGACGCAAAAGACGAAATCGAGCAATCCGGAGATCCTTGACACGCGTCGAGACTCTACAGAGCAGGCACCGCGAGCTCGCGCCGCTTTCCGCTGGCTCGTGCACACTGCAAGTCCAAAGTTTAGTGCGGGTCGCCTTTGGTTCGGAACCTTGAACGAATTTAATAGTAGGAGTAAAAGAGGGATACCTCGGGAGCTCCGGGAGGGGAGGCAAGGTTCTTCGACCAGTCGCGCACTTGTTGTGACTCCGAGGAGCACCGGGGGCACCTAGGGGCACGATGCGTCGCAACGTCACCACCTAACCTTTACACAGTTATTTCGCGCCGCGAGCGAATACGACTAACATGACTGACATCGGATGATCCTAGGAACGAACTACGCATCGTCCAATGCGCAAGCAAACTCTCGGCCAATAGGAACGCTCCGTTGAGACCACATGACCAATCACGTGACACACTATTGGCCGATTAAAATTGATTAACCAACAATTTATTCTTCGGTTTGGGAATTCTTTATTTAGAGATCGACGCTCTAGTAGGAACATAAATAAATACTTAAAATAATTACTTGAAATACTTGAACCGTCTAAGGGTAAACTCGGTGAAGCAGTGATCGTTTAGAAATATTCAGACTGAGTACGACTTTCGATGGTCTCACATCGTTATGCAACATTCACTGTCTCCATTTTTCAAGATTGGCTTTTTCACTAAAAAGCTATGTATTATGCTTTTCTAAAAAGGAATTGATCACATCGGCTACCCGTTTAGGTTGCAACATGTGTAAATGGTGAGTTCCGGGTAAGCATTCGAGTCGAAACTCACTGCAGGTTGTTTTCAATATATTTGCAATGTCATAAAAGTTCTCGTCACTTTCAATTAATTGCAATCCCTCGGCTTTGACGACTAAGTAAGGATTTCTAATAAGGTTTGCTATCTGTCGCAGGTGATCGTGAGTGTAGCCAGCATACACGAATCTCAATTTCAATATTGGATCCCTGCTAAATACGTATGATCCATTTTTTAATTTACGGGCTCCTCTAATCATAAGGGTTTTACATGCTTTCTCGTCGATGGAGTTATTTGTAGCTTCAATCCATCTTTTCATGAGATCGGCCTCCGAGTAGCTCGGTGGTGGAGTCCTTTGGTTCTCTACAGCTAATAATTTTGGTATACCATTAGCAAGTGCTTGACTGTGTTCAGGAACATGTCTTGACTCATATTTTAAAGCATCGATAGAGATCACAAATTTTGTGTGGTCTGGATACAGCGATGCATAATAGAAATGGAACATACAGCCCCAAGAGTGACCTAAGAGTCTAACATCTTTCCAACCAAAGTACTCCTTTATTCTGTAGATTAGTATCACGTGAATCATCTCTGAGTATAAAATTCCAGTTGGTAGCCAACTTGAGAACCCATGACCGGGAAGATCGATGGCCAGGATAGGACTGTTAAGTAGCGGTGCCAGGTGATCAAAGGATCCTGCATTATCTTGCCAGCCATGGAATGTTAGAATAGGCTGCTTATCCTTGGGGCCCCACCACTTGGCTGCCGTTATTCCAACATATTACTATTTTATTTTCTCTGACAAATTGAACTATTTAAAACTTTAAATAAATAGAAGGATCGTACAAACTTACCGGCAATCCGACCCCATGGCACAGGAATCTCTACCTCGGCAGCTTCTTTTGAAGCAAGTTCTACTTTACGACAAAACATTCGCCTTGTCATTGCATGATGAAATATTTGTTTGTAGCCTGGCCATTGTGAAAAACATAATCTTCCATACATTATATTTGGTGACAGACTTTCCAGTTTTAAACGAAAAATTTGTTAATTAAAGAGACTCTGCACAATTGCAATCGATCTCTTTGATGCTGAATGTGACACTGCAAATTGCCCATTCGATTTAGTTGAGTCTTCCATTCTTCCCTTATCATGCTTACTTGTAAAATCATCAACAAAGCAAGATTACATTAGCGATTGCAAAATTACGTTAGCAACTATCAAAAAAAGAATTTACACTCAAGTGACAAAAACTTAAGGCATTCTCGACGAATGGTAATGGGTACTCACGATACTCACCGCAAAGAATTATACGTTTATTCAACAGTTACAACATTTTGGGTCCACTGTTCACATCTCACAATGATTCAGCACTTTTCTATAGAAACTGTTTTCTCTGTCTAGGTTAGGAAGGCATGAGTGGTCTCGCCTTTACGGGAACGCACGAAATGCATTACCAATTTTTCTAATGATCTCCCACCGTTCACAAACGATATTTAACCACCAAAGCTATGTTCCAAAGTCCATTGCTTTAAAGTTAACAGATCTTTCCTTTGCCCTTCTCACGAGATTACAATCAACTTTCGTCACTGTTAGGTCATCAAAGAAAAAGAAAAATTAAAGTTTGCTGTTGAATCTTATCAAGACACTTGATCTCGTGCTTGCACAAGGGCAAAAAGACAAAAGCCAGAACAACCTCTATCAGTCCAGCAGTGTGCATATTTTTATTTATCTACCTTTGTATAATTATAAAAAATGTTTGAAAAAGTGATTGTAGTACAATCGACATCCGAGTTACATTTAATTTCGAACTTATTCACACTTCCATTTCCATTTATCAAGTCCGTTCTTCTTTTTAATACTCTACCTGTATTGTTTTAAGTAGATTGTTTTGTAAAAAATTATTTCCAAAAAAACTCAGCAAAATCAAACTCCACTCTTGCGTTTAGACTTCTTATGTAATTCTTCCGACCTGTAATTAAATTTTCTGTGATCCATGCTAAGTTTGTATTTGCTGCGACTATGTTTATCGGTTTCGTCAGAATTATGTCGATCTTTCTCTCTCAATTTGCTATCTTTTATTGGTTCTTCATCATCCGAGCTTTCGGAACTTTCCGAGCTTTCCGAGCTGTCTTCCTCTTTTTCTTCCTCTCTATAACTATTATGCTTCTTAAACCGTTTTTCCTTTTTCTTATGACCCTTTTCCTCGTGCTTCCTCTTCTTAGTTTGACCGCTATGCTTCAACTTTTCGTCCTCTGTATCTTCATTGTTGGAAGACTCCTCTTTCCTTTTATGACTACTTCTAATATTTTTATTAGAATTGTTTCTACGTTTTTCCCTCGACTTCTCATCTCTCACTGATTCCAAGTCATCATCCGAGCTTTCAGAACTTTCGGAAGTATCGTCGCTACTTTCCTTCTTCTTCTTTTTCTTCTTACCTTTATGTTTGTCTTGATTTTTTGATCGTTTTTCTTTCTTCTTCTTCTTGCGACTGCCGCTCTCCCTCTTGTCGGTCTCGATTTCCTCTTCGTCAGAAGAAACAAACTCTTTCTGCTTTTTGTTCTTTTTGTGACTCTCTTCATAATCTTCCTTCTTCCTGTCATATTCATGTTTGTGTTTCCTATCGTCATCTCGATACGGAATCCTCTCTTTGTTTTCCGTCCCTTCGAGTTCCCTCCTGCCATACTTCCTTTTCCTATTTTCATCGTCTCGACAAAATGTCCTTTCTTCGTTTTCTTCGCGTTCTTTTTCCCTTCTATCGTACTTACCTTTCCTATCCTCGTAACTGCGATTATTAATTCGCTCTCCATTTTCCTCCCGGTCCATTTCCTTCCTCCCATATTTTCTTCTCCTGTCATCGTCTCGACAAGATGTCCTCTCATCCCTTTCCTCTCGTTCCCTTCCACGTTTATCAGTCGTTCTCCTCCTATCGGCATCATCTCTATACAACACCCTTTCCTCGTTTTCATCTCGTTCTCTCCCCTTTCTCTCGTGTCTCTTCTTGTCGTCATTTCTGTGATGAATTCTACTTTCTCCATCCTTTCCTTCTCCATTTTCATACATCCTTCTTTCTCTGTCTCTCTCCTTGTCGTTTCTATCCGCGAACTTTCGCTTTCTCTCCTCATCGTTTCTACAGACAATCCCACTGTCATCCTCTCGATTCCTTCCCTCCCTTCTTTCGCCTTTATTTTTCCTGCCTTCGTCTTCTCTGTAATTACCCTCGTTTTCCTTCTTATCATACCTCCTTTTCCGATGTCGAGCTGCGTTCTCCCCTTTTTCAAAACGTTCGTTTTGTCGTTTCCAGCCATGACGATCCTCCTCCGAGTCCTTGTTTTCCTGCCTGTTCTCAAAGTACTGTATACCCTTACCTTTACCTCTCCACCTCATTTTTGCTACCGATTGCGAGAAGTCCACGTGAATTCGTCTATCGTCGATTAGTACGTTGTCCATCTTGAAATAGGCCTCTTCGCAGCTCTTTCGATCAGCGAATTCAATGAAGGCATACTGGAGCGAATCTCCGGATTGTCTGTCGCGTATAACTTCGCACCTGTACAGAATTATTAGTTGTATCATTTTTTTTAACTCTTCTATCGCATACTACCAGTCCAGAAAATTTAATTACCCAATGATCTTTCCAAATCTGCTAAAGATGATTTCTAGATCATCATCGTTTGTCACTGGATTCAACTTGCAGACAAATAAAACGTTCTCAGGTGGAGCCATTTCTGCGTCGGGAATGTCCCCGACGATCTCTAGAATCGTAGCCCGTGCCTTTGCCTCTTTTTCCTTCTGCATTTCTGTGATCTCTTCGATCGACATGCCTGCGGTGTCATCGATAGCCTCATCAGCTCCTATTCGTTCACTCTAAAAAGGAAATATATGCTATACTAAAAAGAGAGAACAACTAAAATTATACAGGTTAAGAATTACCATTAATGCTTCTTTTGTTGGTTCTGGGCTTCGATCGGGTACCACTAACCCTTTAGGATCATCATATGGATCTTCGAGTATGACAGTATGTGATATGCGTATATCTTGATAAGGCCGATGATCGTCATCGCAAATGGTTTCATTGAATTTTAAGATGATCTCCAGTCCCTCGGCTATCTCTCCAAAAACGCAGTGCTCGCCATCCAAAGATTGTAGGTCAGAACCCAGGGTAATAAAAAACTGAGAGCCAAGCATGCTGTCTCCGCAATTAACCATCGACAGCAAGCCGACTCTGTCGTGCTTGATCTTAGGCATTCTTTCGGCTTCGTAGTAACGAGCTTGGTCGCCCAAGACAAGACTGTACACGCTTTCTCCTCCTTTGCCTGTTCCCAGTGGATCTCCAGTCTGTGCGATGAAACCATTTTGCACTGTATGAAACAGGTTCCAATTGTAATATTTTATCTTGCACAATTTGAGGAAGTTGCGACATGCTGAAACCAGGAGACAACAGGTTAAATGTTAGAAAAATTCACTGCTGGTACATTATCAATATCAATTTCACACTTTAAAAATATAACAAACGAAGGATGTAGGTGTGCTAGAATGAACAAAACATCAGGTGAATATTTATAGGTTAAATGCTCACTCTGGGGTCGTTCTGCCGTGTAGAGATCGACAGTAAAATCGCCAATCGTTGTTTCTATTACCACTGCCATCCTCGATAATTCAAATCTCCTTTTAATTTATATTTAATCAATATTTACATTTGCACGATCAACACTCTAACCTAACCTCATCGCGTTGCACAACTCGTTTAGGTGCAAGATTCTAACAATAAATAAATATTAAAGCGTTCACATGTTACACAATCGTGTATTGAAGGCTGCCTAAGTGTCCTTGTTATTTCAATATTCTAATTCAATGCTATCCTTTATATATTTACAAAGTAACGTACTTTCCAAAAGGAAGAACGAATTTAGAGAATTAACAGAATAGGTCCCATGGGAGGAAAAGAGACGCGGATAGAAAGGCAGGTAATGTGTGAATAAGATAAAGACACACGTAACCCGCTATATATATTGCTATAAGTATAAACTCTGAATTAAAAGAGATGGAGAAATGTTTTCAGCGCCGCCATCCGTTGGCAAACATACTAATTATCGAACACCGAATGTCCGTATCCTTCCGGGCTTCTATGTGACTTGTAATTCTTTGCTTGTACGGGCAGGGATCTGAGTTTGATATGTCAAAGTTTTTCCTTTAATTAATTACATTTATCTACTTTGAAATATTTATTACTACTGATAAATTGTAGATGGTACAAAAAAAATAAATCGGGTTAACGTTCATGTCCCGATATGGCTCCTCCAAAACGCGTGAAGAAAGATACTGGTACCTAACCTAGTTACGAGTATAAATGTATACTGAAGAATATTTTCTAATGCCATTGATAATTAATGCGTCGGTTTTGGCATTTCCAGACAGGGGAAAGTGGAAAAAACGTAAGGAGGATCACGACAACTATAATGATGATGACTTCGGAGAAGGTTTGGAAACGGAGGGCATTCCCGATGCAGCTAAAAATGATGTGGAGAAACAGGATGAGACTGCAGTTGAAGACGAGTTTGGTGCCAAGGATTATCGGTCCCAAATGTCGCTGAAAACAGATCACGATGTGAGACCACTTTGGGTGGTATGTAGTTGCAAGTAACAGATTATACTTGAAAAAATTAATAGCAGATATCAATCTTTACTGGATCATTTTTTAGGCACCGAATGGTCACGTGTTCTTGGAGTCTTTCTCTCCAGTTTATAAACATGCTCATGATTTCCTAATTGCCATCTCAGAGCCTGTGTGTCGACCTGAACATATTCACGAGGTAAATTAATAAATAATAAATTAATGAGATTGATTCCTTAAATGTTGAATCATTTAATATCATTTACAGTACAAACTGACAGCATACTCATTATATGCCGCTGTCAGTGTTGGACTACAAACTCATGACATAATTGAATATTTAAAACGGTTAAGCAAAACTTCGGTGCCAGATGGTATTGTCGAATTTATTAAACTCTGTACACTGTCTTATGGAAAGGTGAGTAGACGATCCAGTTTTATATATTTTTTTATCTTGATATTCTGCCAGCAAATGAGCAAGTGAAATTAATTTTTTTCGTTCAGGTTAAATTAGTTTTGAAGCATAACAAGTATTTTGTCGAGTCACCTTACCCAGATGTGCTGCAAAAATTGCTGAAGGATCCTGTGATTCAAGAATGCAGGCTACGACAGAATGTAGACGAAGCAGAGAAGGATACATTGATAACAAATATTAATAGCAAAGCGAAAACTGTGCAGGTGTGAAAATATTTCATTAATTTATAATCTAGTGAAACTGAATTCTCTTCATTATGCATAGTAAGAGTCTTGCAGTACCTTTATGGAATAATTTTCTTGTAGTTTGGAGCAAAGCCGTTACCACCTTCCCAGCCCACGACTGATGTAACTGCAGTAACGGAAGTACCTGCTGATCCAGCAACACCTGTCGAAACTGCTACCATTCCCGAAGACATCACCAAATTTTATGACAAAATTGATAAAGAAGATGAAGATGAGGAAGAGGAGCAACAATTAAAGACTGTCAGTTTTGAAGTAAATCAGGTGCGTGTTTGGACTATACCTGTCTAGAAATCTAACGAGAAAGGAAATATTTTGCTATAGAGATATTTCTCTTACTAGGAAAAAATTGAAGTGATACAGAAGCGATGCATCGAATTAGAATACCCACTACTGGCAGAGTACGACTTTCGAAATGACACAATCAACCCAGATATAAAGTACGTTTCATGTTATAGTTATATCGTTTGAAGAGCAAACTTTCTAAAGGTACGAAGATAAACGAAAATAATAATTATCTAAGAAATTGAACTACAAAGTGCATAGAAGTGGCTTCGTCTTCCATAAAATGCTGAGATTTATAACCTGTATCGTTTGCAACTAAACTTTTCAAAAGCGTCTTAATTTTAGAATGTTTTCAATTTGTTGGCATGTTATTTCAGTATCGATTTGAAACCATCAGCTGTACTGAGGCCGTACCAGGAGAAAAGTCTGCGTAAAATGTTTGGAAACGGTCGAGCCAGATCTGGTGTTATCGTCTTACCCTGTGGTAAGTTGAACTTTGCGAGCAAGCGCTAAACTTAGCAATGAAGCAAGCTAAATCTTCGAACTATCGAAAATTTTACATTAATTCATAGGTGCTGGTAAAAGTTTAGTCGGTGTGACAGCCTGCTGTACAGTGCGAAAGCGAGCACTGGTACTCTGCAACTCTGGGGTATCGGTGGAGCAGTGGAAGCAACAATTCAAAATGTGGTCCACCGCTGATGATTCGATGATCTGCAGGTTCACTAGCGAAGCAAAAGACAAGCCAATGGGCTGTGGGATTTTGGTCACGACTTATTCCATGATCACTCACACTCAGAAACGTTCCTGGGAGGCTGAGCAGACAATGCGGTGGCTCCAGGATCAAGAATGGGGCATCATGGTTTTAGATGGTCTGTACCTACGTATAATTTTAAATCATGTATCTAAGCAAACCAATAATAAGGAAACTATATTATAATTGAATGTCATTTCCGATTCACAGAGGTCCACACGATCCCTGCAAAAATGTTCCGTAGAGTGTTGACCATAGTGCAGTCTCACTGCAAGTTGGGATTAACTGCTACACTATTGAGAGAAGACGATAAAATCGCTGACCTGAACTTCCTCATTGGCCCGAAGCTGTATGAAGCCAACTGGTTGGAGCTCCAAAAGAGAGGATTCATCGCAAGGGTCCAGTGTGCCGAAGTGTGGTGTCCGATGACTCCTGAGTTCTATAGGGAATACCTCAGTTGCAAAATGAGCAGGAAGTTGGTGAGTCAATAAAATTGTCATTATCATATACTAAGAGATGAAGTAGAAAAAAATGTCTTTTCTTTGTATATTAAATTAAAGGAGAGTAGGAGGGTCTTTTTTAACAAAATAGCATTCACGGTGAAATAAATTCAGATCTTGTCCCTTGTTCCAGCTTTTGTATGTCATGAATCCAAACAAGTTCCGGAGCTGTCAGTACTTGATTCGCTACCATGAAAGGAGAGGAGACAAGACTATCGTCTTCTCGGACAATGTCTTTGCCCTGAAACATTACGCCATCAAAATGAACAAACCGTATATTTATGGACCTACGAGTCAGGTTAGTTAAAAAAAAAAAAATAACGAAAAAACCTTCGATGTGAAATTTTTTTAACTTAGACAGATATTAATAGGTCATGTTTTTTTTGCAGAGCGAGAGGATACAAATCTTGCAGAACTTTAAGTTTAACGTGAAAGTGAACACGATATTCGTCAGTAAAGTGGCTGATACTTCCTTCGACTTGCCGGAAGCCAATGTTCTTATACAGATTTCATCCCATGGTGGATCTCGAAGACAAGAGGCCCAGCGATTGGGAAGAATTCTACGAGCAAAGAAAGGTACCAATGCATTCAGGCGTCACTTTTATTCTCTTCAATAGTATCGTGACTTGATCTTTAAATTTAAGAAGTCTACTACATGTTTAAAAATTACTACGTGTTACAGGTGCCATTGCCGAAGAGTATAATGCATTTTTCTACACCCTGGTATCGCAGGACACCATGGAGATGAACTATTCAAGGAAGAGACAGAGGTTCCTCGTCAACCAGGGCTACGCCTACAAAGTGATTACCAAGCTGGCCGGAATGGACGACGTGAGTCTCGGTATTTTTTTATTAAATTGTTTATCCACTACCATGTCATCGTTGCCAATGTTTTACTCTTTCAGGATGCTGAGTTGATGTACAAGACTCGAGAGGAGCAGGGCCAGTTGTTGCAACAAGTATTGTCAGCCAGTGACACCGATGCCGATGAAGAGAGAATCCCTGGAGAAGGACCTCGACCGGTAAGCGAAACAGGAACGCTTCCCTGAAATAATTCATATTTAAATAATTAGTTGATCTACCGGATCAACAACTTTCGCTTAATTTCTACCAAAGATCACATTTTTGTGAAGAATTTGTCGATGAGCAGGTGTAAGCAGGGGTTAGCAAAAAAAGCACTGGACTAAGACTTCATGGAATATTTATGCAGTGTATAAATAGCTTTGGCAGACTATTATCTTTTTCTTATCTTTGTTGTAATTCCTGGCGGTGTACACACTAGCTCAGGCGAACCTCGATAACGAAGTCTCATGGTCTTGTTATCAATACCAATGTCTGTAAATAATGCATTATCTCACTTTATTAGCCTCTTTCGAAATATATGGGCCAACTTAGCTACTTTATAAAGATAATTATAAGCATGGAATGCCTTTTTACCGACTAGGGTTCATTGGACCATCCAGGAAACACGTGCCAAAAATCTGTTAATTACAAATCAAACTATCAATACTAGAGTAAAGCTTTCAGTTGGTTGATTTATCCCTTGTTTTTTTTTCCTTTAATCACCAAATTCTGGTCAATTGGATTTTTAGCATTTCTAGTGATGTTATTGATTCATTTCAAATTAATGTGATATTTTTTTCCTGGGTTGATCATTCTCCGATATGTTTTTTAGCACTCACTTTTCTCGCCAAGCAAACGCAAAGCGCTAAGCGTGCTCCCACTAATGTTTCCTAAACGAAAGGCCTATTATTGCCCATTTGCTTTTTGAAAACAATCGCTATCGACTTGATGGACTATTAATGGCTGTAAAGCATGTGCGGTTCTGCAATGAATCAAACATCCCAGTTATGGTTGTTTTCGAGATATTAAACGACGCGTGATTTTCAACTGTATCGTGTAAACCGTGCTAATATTAATTTATTAAAATTTAATCATTGACCCATTGCTTCTTTCCAGGTCGTCCGCAAGATTGGCAACATGGCTTCAATGTCTGGAGCTGACGATGCCGTGTACTACGAATACAGAAAATCTCCAGCCTCTTCGACGGCGAACAAGCATCCACTGTTTAAGAAGTTCAGGACCTGAAAATTCGACTTTTCGGTTTGTTTTCATTCTCTCTTTTCAGATAAGGTATGCAGGCCCATTGGGGCTATGATGATTAAATAATCATTTCTCATAATTTATTGTCGCTTGTGAACCATGGCCAAAATCAAGGCGGAGCCTTATCAAACTCTGGCGATAAACAGCAATAAACGGTTTGATTTTATTCCGTCGAAAGGGAACTCAAGCTAACCTCTCATTTTCATTCACGTCAGATTTATTTCATAGTGAAAGAAAATCGAAAAAATTGTGACGGATATCACTAGTTCTTCGCGTAAAAGATCTCGTAAAATAAAATTCGTAAGCTGTAGGACGTTTCTCTCATTTCCCAAAGGAAAGTTCGAGTTTCTTCGGGAAGCGCCGATTGGTCGGCGCGGGGGCGCCAAGACCGCGCGGAGCGCGCTGATTGGTCGGCGGATCCTTGGTGGGACAAGATGGCACCGGTTTGCTAGAGCACCGAGGGGTTGCGAGAGAACCTCGCCCCTTCCGACGTTCTTTCGTTATCTCTTTGTTCCTGAACAGGAAAGGCCGCGAGAAAGGAGATGACGCGTCGCCGAGTCGTTTCTTTGTCGAAGAGTGATTTTGCGATCCCAGGATCATCTTTGGGTTCTCGAACCGCGACGCGATCCAGAGTGGTCTCCGCACCCCACCCTCGCAGAGACCATTCTCTCTCTCTCTAGCCCAGGGACGTTCGCGGGTGCGAGAGAGACACCTTACGAGCATCCCTGCGAAGTCTCTTGAACGTACCCCCTCCCGCGCGGTCCTGAGTGCGCGATGAGTCATTCTCTCGACTCGGACACCTCTACCCGATCGACCGCGACCCGTAGTATTCCGCGTCGCGCGCGGCTCGGCTGTCACATGCAGTTGCATGCAGTTGCTGTCCGTCGAGTGCGTCGAGCGGAGCGAGGAGGTACGAGGTCGGGAGTCTCGCGTCCCGGGAGTGCGAGAGCTCGACCGTGGGAGGGACTAACCTAGAAGCGAGAAGTCGTGCCCAAAGAGAGTCATCCCGGTGCAGGAGGGATTCAGGAGGGATTTCGGAGGGATGCAGCGGGCGGAATGCCCCTGAGCGGCGACCGCCCTCGAGCCGGCGAGGAGCGGCTAGCCAATCGGCGGCGCGGATCGGCCACCTCTCGCCTTCCCCCGGAGCGACGACGCCGACGGACCGACCCGGTCGATGGCGACGCGGGGCCCTCCTAACCTCCCAACCTATGTCCAGGTCCGCCGTTCGCGCTCGTGGCACGTGGAGGTGCGAATCCCGTCCGCGTGACCGCGTCGGGAGGCGCGGGGACTGTGCATCGTCCAGAACTGAACGCTCGCGGCGAGGGAAGAGCGCCGACTCGGGGTGAAGTTAAGTTAGGTTAAGTCGGCTTGTGATCCGGCTCGCGCGCCCCAGGAAGTCGCGCGTGGATGTGCCGCGTGGATCGCGGTGACGGAAAGAGGCGACGGCGCCGAGGAAAACGGCGCAAGTCGTGGACCCTCCTGTTCATTGGGAATGCCCAGGCTGTGCCAGGGCTCGGAGGGTCTCGAGTCTGGACTGGAACTCCTTGGCTGGTCGGAGTATAGGAGAGCGAGCCACATCGGGGGAGCCCCGAAGGAAGATGAGCATCATCGTGTACACCCTCTATGGCTTTGCAGCGTTCTTCATGATATTCTGGGTTGCTATGTGGATAATCCACGTACTGGCACTGATCGCGGGAAGGTGGAAGCTGCACAGAAAGGTGGCACAGATGCCCAGCTACGAGACACCCCTGCCGGGAGTGTCGATCGTCAAGCCGCTGATGGGGGTCGACCCGAACCTTTTCGCCAACCTGGAAACCTTCTTCACGATGAACTACCCAACGTACGAACTGTTGTTCTGCGTCGAGGACGATTCGGATCCAGTTCTGATGCTGATACACAAGCTAATGGAGCATTATCCCGAAGTCGACGCCAAATTATTTGTCGGGGGATGCAACGTCGGCGTCAACCCCAAGATTAACAATATGCAGCCAGCGTACGAGGCGGCCAGGTACGAGCTGATCATGATCAGCGACAGTGGCATCAGGATGCGGGAGGACACCCTGCTGGATATGGTGAATCATATGACGGAGCAAGTAGCCCTGGTCCATCAAATGCCATTTACCTGTGATCGGGAGGGCTTTGCCGCGGCCTATGAAAAAATTTTTTTTGGAACGGTTCAATCCAGAGTGTACCTGGCCGCGGACGTTCTTAGGATAAACTGCCATACCGGCATGTCGGCTCTACTAAGGAAGGCACCGTTAGACGAGGTCGGAGGTCTTAGGGTATTCGGTGTATACCTGGCGGAAGACTTCTTCTATGCCAAGTCGCTACTCGACAGAGGTTGGAGGATCACGGTGTCGTCGCAACCTGCCATGCAAAACAGTGGTCACTGTGAGCTGCACTCCTTTCAGGCCAGGCTCCGCAGATGGGCGAAGCTGCGAGTCGCCATGCTGCCTTTGTTCATCATCCTCGAGCCTCTCAGTGAGTGCCTGGTCATAGGAGCTTGTGCCTCCTGGGCAGCGAGCGTTCTCTTTGAGTGGGACTCTTTGGTCTTCTATCTAGTGCATGTGCTTCTGTGGTTCATGTTTGACTGGACGCTGTTGTGCGTCGTGCAGAACGGACCTTTGCCGTTCAATAAACTGGAGTTCGTGTGTGGCTGGTTGTTGAGCGAAGCCACTAGGCCGTACCTCTTCCTTCAGGCGTTACTCGATCCTCTGATCCAGTGGCGCTCTCGGGTCTATAGGCTCAGATGGGGTGGCGTGGCCGAAGAGGTCAAAGCTAAGGTGAAGTATTGAGGACCGAAGCACCTGTTTCATTGACCTGGACTGTGCCGGGTGTACAACGATCAGATCAAGGTGTGTGTACATTGTGTACGATATGTGTAATGTACAGGGTGCCTTTGAATTATACCGTGGTATTGTTACAAGTCAATCTGAAATGTTACGCCTGTGACGAAAAGGTTTAATTTTCTTGTATGTTTTGAAGAAGGTGACTAGAAACACCTTCAGTCACTTGGGTCTTTTTAGCATCGCGTTTTAAACTCGTTTACATATTTATCTCATTTTTCATTAGAGTTTAGAATCGGAGCAATCACAGAATGCACATCAAACATGTTTCGCGAAAAAACGCGCAGCCGCAAAGAAAACAAATTAATATCAGGTGATACTGTGACATTTGAGGAGGCTTCAGATGAGTACCACAGGATTTTTCACGCACCTTGTACATGCGGCATCTATACGGTGAAGATATATGTGTATATATACATGATACGAAAGGGTATATATTACAAACTAGAGGCGCTCGTATGCATTCTTCCCATAAATATACACGTATATTTATGTACTTTTATATTTATGAATGAATAGAGCGTATGCGATCAAAGGTATGAAAAGATATGCAAGTATATAAATATATAAATACATTTATGTGCATATATGAAGAAGGCATGCCTGCGCCTTGAAAGCGTGCCGAGAGATCACGCACTGATATTTCCAAGTATTCGCGGCGTGTTCGACCTCAGTGCAATGACGCGAAAGCAAGGAACTGGTTTACCTACAATAGGTATTATTAGTGCTTAAGACGGTTTTCAAGTTTTCCATTACCGGTGATGCGATTTCGAATCTCGCGCGGTTACAAGTTGAGTAACCGCGGCCATGCGCCATTGGTCGGCGGATCGTGACATCGACGCCGACCAATGGCAGACCGCGTTGTGAATAAGCAAGGTTGGGTACGCGATGCGAAACCTGTAGCGTCGTCTCTTTTATTTTTTTATCCTTTATTTCACGTATTTATTTCCAAATAGTCCAGAGGTTTTTTTTAGCATTTCACGTTATAACGTGGTAGAACGTGCTCAAAACGAAAAGGCGAACGTCCTAATTATAACTGGCATTTACTCTTCTTCATTAACCATGGCTAATTCGCGATCGCGGGCTCGCTCGTCGGTCGAGAACAGACCTTATGATTAATTCTTTCGTTCCGTCCGCGTTTTCACTTGTTAAATTTTTTTTTATTATTATGCACATTGCACATAATCACCCAACCTTGGCGAGCGGAGGAAAGAATAGGCGGTCTAGTTATTTCGTACTACCCGGCACTACTGGGCCGGCGGGAAAACAAGATGGCGCCGTTCGCAGCTCAGAGGGACGCCATGACTCGCGTAGATGTGATAAAATGGTCTCTTTAGTTTTTTAACGTAAAAGAGTACGTCTAGTTTCATTTGTATATTTTTTCTCTTTCTCTCTATCTCTCTCTTTATCTCTTTCTTGTTTTTCGTCTCTTCGCGACAACTAGGTGTAATTAAGCAACTCCGCGTGCGAGTGATAAAAATAACTTTTATATTTCGTATTCCCGGGCCGGGTGGGAAACAAGATGGCGCGCGGCTCGGGGAGCGCCCTGATTGGTCGGCTGCGGAGCCAATCAGAGCGGCCCCCGGCAGCCAAATCACGTGGGCCTTGCGCGGTCCGAAAACGCGTCGCAATAATTACTTGTTACATACGTCGCTTATATTTTGTATAATTCACTCTCGCTCTTAAGTTGAGGAACAAGGAACGACAAGACTTAGGGCCCAGGGACCACGCGAGGATGCGAGGAACGGACGAGGAGTCAGAGTGTCGCGTGGGAGACGTTAATATTCGCAAGGTATGGTTTTTAGGGAAGGATGCGACCGTTCGGACGATCGTAGCCACAAAAGTTGAGATTCATCTAGCCTTAAGTTTTAAGAGGACCCTTGTAAAGGGACTCGTTTTACTATTTCTGTTTTTTTTTCTTTTTTTTTTTTTTTAACCACGCGAGTGTCGGACGGTGCGCGTTATTGCGTTCTTTTTTTTTCGTCGTTTCGGAGGATCGTCCGGTAATGCTTGCACCGCGTTGCGTCCTTTGCAAGTGTTAATTCAAGCGAGACAATCGTAACGGTCGACAGTGGCTCAATTTTTCGCGTCGTAACGACAATCGCCACGTTGTCTCGCGTAGTCACAAGGACGGGGCATTATTTAAAATGGGCCGGGGCATTTCTTAGCGAAAAAAGAGACGGGAAGACCGACTGTCATTGACTGATGGTTTTCTCTGTTTATATTGGCAACTTTCTATCTCTTGGCTGAGTCATTAAGTGAGTCATGGAATTCCACGTACACTTTGACGAGTCATCGCGCTATCGAGGAAGCATTTTCGACCGGTAGATATTAGCAGTACACGTGTTGTTTTAAAGTTGGATGAGGTATTTCTACATGATTACTCTGTAACGATTAAAACGACGAGCGTTGAATGCTACGCCTTGGGTTGTGATTATGCAATAATGCACTTTAAGTGGCGCTGCATTCTTTACTCGATTGCGTTTTTCTCTCGTGTCGAAACAATTCTTGGGTAATTATTTAATAATACATTTCTACTGTGTTCAATACTCTAGCTTGGCTTGTGATCGTACAATTGCGTTGGTTCTCGAAGAAACGAGTATTTTGTTCACTTGGTTATGTTTGTCACGCACAAAAATAATTCATGTACAATCGTTTGATTATACGTCCACGGGTCTAATTCTCCACTCTGGGTTGTGATTGTACAAAAGCGTCTGTACTCGAAATAGAAGAGTCACCGAGTTTATTTTTTTTTCTCCATAGTACGTACAAAGCGAAGGTGCTCGTATCGAATGCACAAAATCTTTTGGACGCACAATGTCTGTCAACATAGATCTAAGTACTATTCCTCTGTGATGGATTAATGACAAATTTGGAATTCGAGTGGTATGCATCAGGCTGTGATTATAGGGGAATGTCCGTGTTAGGAGTACGATAGTTTGTTCGTTTTAACTGCATACAAGATAACGTATTTTTTTTTTTTAATACTAAAAACTTAAATTCCTTTAACGATACATCACCATCGATCGCATAATGCAACGAACAAATGGTAATATAAAGGAATCTTTTTTACATGGGCTTACCGATAATCACGGGGGTCGGGTGACACTTATTTTTGGTGGATATTGCAACATTCAAATGTCGAGATAAAAAAAGAAAGCGAAGACGGTTACTTCGCGTGGAATGTGACAGATTTTAAATTTCCTCGCATCCGGCTGGTTCCTCTTATGCATAATACGAGAATATTAATAAGTAATAAATAATTAGGTAGTAGCGAAGACGTCTCGCAACGCGCAACGGATATGTACATACACACGACTCGCACATACGAGCAGCATTATTTATAATTACGCACTGTGTAAATAAATGAAAAAGAAAAGAAGGGCATCGGCTCTACTGTACAAAGTTCTCCGACAGTTTCTTTTCTTTTTCCTTTTCTCGTTCGGTTTTTAATTCCAAGATATCGCGCGTCTCGGCCGATAAGGAGCACGCGCGCGTTATCTGGGAACGTAAGTTTATACCGTGAAATTTTCGTTCCTCGGTGAAGTTCCGGAGACCTCTTCGTCAACCTTTGAACGGCCGCCATCTTTGACGCGAAGTTTAGTTTCGATCGAAGGACGGCGCGAGATCTGAGAGGTGTTTGCGAGAAATTAAACGCGAAGGAGAAAACGTCGGCGAGTCTCGCGTCGGTCGGGTTTTATCGGAAAATCTCGCCTTTCTAAGTATGATTTCAATATTTAACGAGGAGCGAAGAGTTGGTCGAGGTGGTTGCAGGTTTTCAACTTTTTGGCGCTCCTGCAAGATGGCGCTTTTCAATATGGCGCCTGGTCACGCGCGCAATTTTCTACGCTTATACACACGGCGGTTTTTCTACTCGTCGACTACTCTTTCCCGGGTAGCCGCGGCTCAAAATCACCCCCCGCCACCTTGGCGATTATTTTTATTCCATTCGACTTTTCTATCCTTAACGAATATTGATAAGACGTGGAGAAGAGAGGGGACCTAATCTCGATTTAAGGCGGGTTTACGCGGGACGTTCAAACGGCCGACGTTTCACCTCGAAAGGGACTCTATTATTTTTTTTATTCATTTCTTTGGTCTCGCGGAGGCAGCGCCGTCGCGGGTAAAACCGCCTTTACGTTCTGGACGCGGGGAAAGCGGAGAGAAAGAGAGGCGTCGCGGTTATTACTAAATTCCTTTGAATTTTCCCAAAACCGCCTTTATAATTCTCTGCCGGGCTTTTGCTACATTCACGTGCCTTTTTTATTCTTTTATCTCTGGGGATAGAAACGTAACGCTCTCTTTCGTGGCTTTCCTCGGAATCCTCGGGACGTCTCTCTCTATGAACGGAGGGAATGAATTTCGAGCGATTTTACATTATAAGACCGGCGACATTTGCGTTTAAGATAAATCTCGCGCGAACCTCGGAGTCGCTCCGTCAAGGGCCGCGCGGCCTTGATCTCCTTCGCGGGATTTGCCAAATCGTCGTTGTACCCCGTTAAAGATGTCCGGCAAAAATTCACAAGTACTCATATATTATAAACATAATTTCTGACGAAAATTTTCGTGAATTTTTGTAATTAATATATATTTTTTTTTTGTATCCTAATCCGAGGATTTTAAATCTCAAAAGAGCGGTGGAACGGAACCGCGGAGACGAAGCGACATCGAGTTTCGACAAGGCGACGTTGTTACGTTATTTATTTGCGACATTCGACGGCGAGTCTCGGGACGAGCCTCCGTTACTTTCTCGATTTCCTTCCTTTTCCTTCGCGTATCTCGAACTTGAGGACCATTCTGACGAACTGCGGGCGATCTGTACTATCTCGAGGGTCTCCTCACTTTCCGGCTCGACGAGGAGAGGGAAGGAAAATTCTCTCTCTCTCCTCGCCGATGCAGGAGACTCGAGCCACCGACTCCGATCTATTGGATCCTCGCGATCGGTTCTACACTCGTGAAGAATTTTCGAAATAGATCATGCTTCCAGAACTACCACCGTCTTATGTTTTCTCCTCCATCGATTCCTCCGAACGTCGTCGCGAGGCCGAGTTATCGGTCTTGGAAGGGCTCGAACGATTAATCGGTTTCCGATAGCGAATAAAAAAAATGCCCATCGATTTCCTTCGACCCTGAACAACCGAGCTGGGTGCAACTTTACGATCGAACCTTCCTTTAGTTTTAGGAACACCTGTCCAGGGTTAAACGTCGACCCCTCTCGCGTGGTTCCACCTTATCCGGGATAATGATTTTCGACGCCGTTATGGTACCATCGGTCGCGAAGGATAAAAGTTCCGCAGTCCGCTGGCAAGGCCCGAGGCTTCGGAGCTTCGAGGTCTTCCGGGGAGTGGAAAAGGAGGAACCGGAAGAATTTAGAAACGAGGGGACGCCAAGGAGTCGTTTAATCCGGACGACAGGGATCGAAAGAGGAGACGCCCCCGAGGGGACGGCTCCGCGATTTCTGGAGCCCCTTTGCGACGGCACGATTCGTCGTTCCGTCATTTCTCCCTCTTTTTTTTCCCCCCCTTTTCGACGAGAGAAATGTGCCGACATGGGCACGTGTCGGGCACGTCGATGTATAATCCCCCGGTTGTTATTTATTAATCCGGCGATCGCGTTCCGAGGTTCGACGATGCCGTAATAACGATCAGCTTTAACATCGATCGGGGGATGGGCACCCTTCGATTTGGCCCCGACGTAATTTCAATCGGGCCGGTAATTGGTTCTCGTTGGCCTAAGTCCAACCGGGGAAGAATCGCCGGGAATCAAAGTCGAGATATCGATACTTGACAACCCGAAGGGGCTTCTTAACGTCCTTAGGACGTCGCGGGCCATTTATCGCAGCCCGCGGAGCCGTTCAGCAAGGTTGAACGGCGACGCGCGAGGAATGGAAGAAATCAAGATGGCGGCGCCCAGCGTCGAGCACGTGGGTTTGCTCGCAGGACGATCGATGTTACGCAATCGGGGAAACGCAACCGCGCGGACCTCGGGGTACGGGGAACTGGTTGTCCCCCGATAACCGGGCGTCGGTGCATCGGTAACTGGCCGTAACTCCAATTGCCGGTGGCGGTAAACAACGAGCCGTTGCCGCCTTCGGGTATTAATATTCCGCGTGCCCTTCGACTCGATCGCCTCGAGGGTTGGCGATTCGCGAGCCAGGATCTCGCGCGGAGTCGATCGATTATCGATTATTCCGTCGTCGCGTGCCGATGTCCGGCCGTTAATTGCGCGACGCGACGACCGCCAGGACCTCCTGTCGTTAACGGTCGACGAAGAGGAGACGTTTGCCAATTATCGACGTATCGCTGGCAGCCGGGTGCCCGACGATGCCTATTAACTAATTATTGATTCCGCCCCGTCGAGTCGCATATTTCTATGGCAACTCTGCCATCGACCGGGCGGTTACCGGTAACTGGTACAAGGCGACCTGATGGGACGCACCGACGACCCCCCTGCGCCTTCCAGAAGCCTTGCGATCCTGGATCGTTCCCTTTTTTTTTATCGCTCGTTATTCCGCATCTCGCCGCCGACCTGAAAGAAATGGATTTGTCCGTAATTACTTTTTTACAGGCCTCTACTCAATTAGCGGCGCCGTTCGAAGTCATTAACCGGTTAACCGAGCGCGGCGAGTTGACGCGCGATCGGCGAACCCGACGCTCCGGTTAACGGGTTAATCTTGGATTAACCGGGATGACGAGATAACGTTCGTTTACTTCCTCCCGACTTCTCTTTCGATCGGGAGATTGTTCTACTTTTTTTTTTTTAATTTCGTTAAAGGACTCTAAGTCTCCTCGCTATCAAAGCTCTCTGTCGTTAAGTTGTAAGAGGTCCCTATCGTTAACCTATAAACTGGCACGCTAGAACGAGACCTGTTAAGTAAGTCGTTAAATTCTAAACTGCCGCGCTATAAGGACCTCCTGTTAAACTCGAAGCTATACGAGGCTCCTGTCGTTAATCTCTAAGCTACCGCGCTGTAAAAGCCCTCTGTCGTTGAGCCTTAAGCTACCGCGCTGTAACGAGGTCTCCATTGTTACGTCTCGAGCCGCCGCGTTATATGAGAGCATTGTCATTAAACTCTAAGCGGCCGTGTCGTTAAGCTCCGAGCGACTGCATTCGAATGCGGAACGCCATTCGGAGCAGCTGCGAGCCCAAGACGGCCTCGCGGAAACGGAACGTCCGGCCGCACGCGTCGGCACATCCAAGATTAAAATACACGAGCGAAGGTCGCTCGAGTCTGCCAATACGCCTGAACTTGTACCGCGAGTCGCCAGGACGTTGATTAAACGAAGCTTTGGCCTCGGGAGAACCTTTTACGGCGACAAGGGACGTTTTCCGATCGGAGTTTGCGCTAACTCGGCGCGGTTCGCCTTTTGAATTTTCCGCCCCGCACTTCCCGGAAAATTCTATGTTCGAACGCGGATTAAGCTTACGAAACAATAAAGGAATATTCTTACCAAGATATCGGGAGGATCGATGTCGCAAGGATGTCAAGAACTTCCGGGATTACGATTTTATGCACTGACGCGATACGTTCCTGTTGACTGTGGCGAGTTTACTGACAAGATGGCCGGTAACGCGAGGCACGATGTCGTGGCACCATCTAGCGAGGGAAGTCGGAAGCTCGTAGCGAAACGAAGATTTGGCAGGGTCCTGTTTGGCTATCGCGACCGTGGCGCCGTCTGTCGACAACACTCGGAAGGTTGTCGTGCCGGAAAATCGTCCAACGCGTCAGCGTTCAGCCTTGCCGACCATCCAATTAAATGGAATTTAAATAAAATTACTTGCCTCGATATTTAAGTCGTTCACAAATAATTCCTCTTCGCCGACTTCGTAAAAGTCATCGCTATCCGGAGTGTTTCGGTCTTCAAAGTCTGTGCATTCACGGTGGCCCTCCGTGAATTTCTATGCACACCCCTTCTGAAAAAAAAAAAAAGGTTAGTATTACCACAATGAAAATTCGTTATTACACGTCCTAAAATATTAATAAGGCAGAGCAAATGCAAATACAACACTGGTGAGTTCTTTTTCCCGTCTGCGGTTGGCCCTTGGAGGTGGTCTTTGGCTACGATTTCCGCAATTCCTCTCCAGGTCGCTGCTGGAGCTTCAACGATAAAAAATGAGGATTCCTTACCACCAGGGACCAGAATAGGTACCCTTCCGGTGCACCCTTAATGCCGATGCACGTCCGGAATTGCAGCGGCAGCCGAGCATCGAATGAACGGGCACGTAAGCCTATCATTAGGGGAGGGGCCGAGGCGATCGGATGACCCGTTTGTGGCTGCATCGTGAATTATGAAGAGGTGCATCGACTATTTTTGCGAGATGACCTGGAGGAAGGCACTCTCCAGGGTGGACGATGCTTCCGAGAGGAAAGGACACTTCCGCGATTTCCTTCCGGGGTCAGTTCGCGAGAACCGCGACGCTGCTCCGCTTGATCGGCTTCTTCTCCATCGATGAAGTTTCCCTTGGAATTCCGAAGGGCCCTAGCAACTTAGAGACCGTCTACTTCGTCACCCTGATCGGTATGGACGGGTTCGTCATGAGCTGCCAGCTCGTCACCGTTTACAGGGAATGGAACGGCAACAGACAAACCGCCTTCGAGGTCGGCTGTGGCACCCTGATCGGCACCTTCGCCATGACTAAGGTGAGGCAGAAGAGGATCTCCTCGTTTGGCTCGACTTAGAGTGAACGTTGCCTCTTAAGAAATTTCCCCATCTTCCGAGGACTCACCAGACTCCTCGGGGACCTCTTCGATCTCTTTTCCCTCGTTTCTCAGAGCATCTGTCTCCTGTGGAGAAGGGTCGAGGTCCTGGATTTCCTCTACCGACTCTCCGTTACCTGGGAGAAGTACATCGATAAGCTCAAGGAAAAGGCGATAAGATCGTTTAGGAAAGCTAACACTATCCTGCCATTTTACGTCACGGGGACAGGGTGCACCATCGCGATCTTCATCATCCTTCCGTACCTGTAAGTGTCGACACGTTTTCGTCAACTTTTTAATTCTCGACCGCTCCTCTGCTAGGGATATCCTGAAGCAGTACTTGTACACGAAGAACGAGAACAATTCGTACAATTTCACGGAGACGATTTCGTTGGCGACCTATCCCTTTCCGACCGAAAACCGCGTGTCTTATTTCCTAATCCTCTTCTGGGAGCAGTTCCTCTGCATCTCTTTTGCCATCCACTGGCTGGCCAGCGACTTCCTCTTCGTCCAGGGGGTCACGCAGATCATCTTGCACCTCAAGGTAAGCCATGGAAAATGGCAATTGAAAATGGAGCGCCTCTTCGGCATCTACTTCTTCCTTTTCCTATTCTCAACAGGTTCTTTGCGACGATCTAAGAAACCTCGCCGAGGGGAATGAGAGCGAGCACTCCGTCCTGAAGAAACTGAAGAACATCGGGAAACGGCACAATGAGCTTTTGGAGTGAGAACGCAATGGACATGTTTTTTTTTTTTTTTTTTTAAATTAATATTAGAGATTATTTTCAATGCAAGGTTGGCGAACCCGAATTTTCCAAAATGCTCCTCCGCTCGGATGTTTTTCTGAATTATTAAGAGTGCTCGACAAATCATTTCTCGGTACCTTTTGGGTGAACGTAGGTCGAATTATTTCTTCAGGTACTGCGGGAGAATGCAGGAGATCTTCAGTCTGATCCTCTTCATAACGATGCTCGTCCTGTCCATTCTCTGGTGCTTCTACATGTTCCGACTTCAACAGGTACTTTCATCCTCTCCTTCCCGAATTTTCCTGCAATTTCCACGATTCTCTGTAAATAATCAAAGTATGAACGGTGATTCAATTTGAACTCGCCGGATATTTTAACTTGATTCTGATAATTAAATGTTCTCTTCCTAGACTTTAACGAATGGCGAATACGTAATCAGTTTCAAGTACGTGAGCTTGTTGGTGACATTGTTCTTGCAAATTACGATTTACTGCAGCTACTCCAACGATCTGACGGATCAGGTAACTCCGACGAATATATTCCCTTTTAAAATCGGTTCTGATTATTAATAATTAAATTTTTACCGAACCTGCAGACGTTGCTCATCTCGCGCGCAATCTACGAATGCCGATGGACGACGCGCAGCAGGGAATTCAAAAGCATCCTCCAAATTATGCTGCTAAGGTCTCAAAAGCCTTTTCAACTCACAGCTTGCAACTTCTTTCCGATCACTTTAGACCAACTCACAACGGTAAATCGTCGAAACGACTCGATTTCGTCCAGCTGTACTTTCCACCGAAATAACGTCTCATTGCAGGTATTCAAAACGGCGGTTTCCTATTTCACGTTGTTGCAGACCTTCAGCGACTGAATTTTACCGAGTGTCCCGAAATATATGTGCCGAAGACGCACCTCGGTTGATTCTTTCTCTTGTACTTTTCTTCTCCTCCCTTCAACGAAATTTCTTCCGGCACTCCCTCACCTTATCCACAAATGGCCAGAATTTTCCAGAAGTCGTTCGCCACGTCCACGAAGAGAGCTTCGTCCTCTGGAAAAAAAAAAGGGAAATTCTGAAAGGGGGAAGAAGTTCAACTCGGAAGTCGCGTCGCATGAGCCGAGCAACTTTTTTCCCCTCCTTCGCGGAGAAATAATTTTTTCATCGGGCCGAGCAATTTTCCGAATGTCGCGAACAAAGTTGCAAGTGCGTTGCAGAAGCCGATGGGTGCGCAGGGACCACGTAAACCTATCATTACACCAACGGTTGATGCTATCCGGAGGCATCGAATCAATTATGGATGACAGCTCGTTGCAGTCATCGGCCCTGGGGATGAGTTCCACATTCGAGGGACCTGTGTACGCCATTGGAAGGGTGAAGCCGATCGAGAAACTTCTCCGTGCAGGTCATTGGCATGGCCGGAGGTGAGCATAGGGTTCGACGTCCAAGAAAAATCGTCACAGTCTCTGTCTTTTTAAATCTTCCGTACGCCTTATTTAATTTTCTAAAACAGGAAAAGACGATTCCATAAAGTCTATGAGGAGGTACCTGCACACCAACATTACCTTGCTACGCATGTGTGGGTTCTACTCCATGGAAGGCATCTTCACCGGAGAGCCTTGCCGGTCCAACATTTGGGAGTCGGTGTTCCTCTGCTTTCTGATACCCTGCGAGTTCTTTATGATGATCTGCGAGCTGCGCACGGTGTTCCGGGACTGGTCCCGAGAAAAAGATCACAGCATCGAAGCCGCCTGCGTAATGTTCATGGTGGGCAGTTGCGGTGCACAGGTAAACGACGAGCGGCGTCGTCGGTCGACGGTCGTTGCCGGATTCACCGGGTTTCCTTCCCAAGGGCTGGGGACTGGTCTACAAAAGGGTGGAGGTCCGCGACCTTCTCCGGCGCTTGGTGCTCGCCTGGGGAACCCTAAATCCTGCCAATGAGACCAGCCAAAGGATCACCGAGTCCATGCAGAAGGTGGCCCACCAGACTACGATTTATTCCTGCTTCGCAGTGAGTGCTTGCGGCATGTTCCTCGTTCGTCCTTATGCGTGAGCCACTCTTTCTCTCCTTGATCGGCTGCACTCTCAGAGGTCATGTTCACTTCTCGGTGACTTTTAGAGACCTGCTGACACAGTATATGACGAAAAACTCAAGCGAGCCGTACAACTACGCAAAAACGGTTCTCGACCCTATGTATCCGTTTCCCGTAGACGACGTCTGGACTTTTCTCGCGGTTGTCAATTTTGAACAGATGTTGAGCGTGATCATGTTGATGTACTGGGTCTCCATAGATTCGCTCTTTATTCAGTGCACCATGCATATCGGAGCCCACTTTGAGGTGCGACCGAGCTCTGCATTTATCAGGGACTCTAAAATACCATTCGGAGCAACTGACCATTTTCTTTTTCAGATTTTATACGAGGACTTGATGAACATCGTTGACAAAAGTAGGGATGAGTTTTCGAGCTCGAAAGAGGACCGCGTCGTCGGAAAGCTAATGGACATCGCGGAGCGCCATATTAAACTCCTCGAGTAATTTTCTGAAATGTTTTAGAAATTGATTAAGTCTTTCCCTGTGAGATCGACATTCTTGTTTCAGACTCTGCGACGCCATAGAAAATATCTTCAGTCCGATTACCTTGATAGTAATGTTGGTGATTGCGTTCATCATGTGTGTCGGTTTATTCCAATTTCAGAAGGTACGGATCATTTTTGTTTCGTCTTCTTGGCTTTTTTAATGTTTTTCTTCTTCATCCTGGTTCCAGATGCTGCTCGCAGGCAGCTACTTGGAATGCTTGAAGTACTTTGCCCAGATCACGTGTTTGGTGGGGAAGACCATCGTTTTCTGCTTCTTCTCGAGCATGCTTTCCGACAAGGTAACCATGGCGCCACGCAGTCTCTAAAAATCATCTTAAATCTTAATTTCACGAAGAAATTGAAAACGTTACACGCAGACCTCACTGATCGGCGATGCCGCATATGAAGGAGAGTGGATGAACCGCAGTCGAAAGTTCAACAGTATTCTTCTCCTGATCTTGATGCGATCTCAAAAGTCATTTCATTGTACGGCGTATGGTTTTTTCCCAGTCACCATAGACCGAATGACCATCGTAAGTGGGCCTTCCTTAAAAAATAATCACGATTACGTTTCTATCATCGCAGATATCTAACAGCATTTCATTTCAGATTTTTAAGACCGCCGGATCTTACTTTACGCTGTTGAAAGCCATGACATGAACGCGACGTGCCTGTAGACCGTCGAGAGCAACGAACATTTTTAATACAAACATGTGTACTTCGTAATTTTTTTTTCTTCTTACCGACACGTGAAAAGAAGTGGAATAATTGCGATTAAATCGTAAGGGTCAGATCCGTCTCGGCAATTTTTTTACTTCAATCCAAATGTCAATAATTCCGAAGGTGGATAAATTTTTCTTCTTGGTTGAACATTAAGGTAATTCTTCCCTAATTTCTTTAGAATTAAGGTTCTGAATAATCTCGATACAAATTCTTATGTCTGATTATTGGTTTCTACAAGAGATCCTCAGAATCGTCGAAGTAAGATTAATGTATCGGAGATGAGGCTTAGATACAAAATATGCAAATTTACGCCATTGTCTTCAGGACCGTGAAGTACGATATCGCTGTGCTGAAAATCTGAAGATAATGACACCGATATTATTTTCCCTTCTTAGAAATCACTGTATCGACATTTCAGAGAGTTTAAGATTTTTTTACATACAGTCGTCACCTGATTCAGACTGACAGGAAAGAATCCGTAAGCCGTGCAGGAAAATGGTTTCTGAGACCTCATCAGAATCATCTGAAGCATCCTCTTGAATTTCTGATTACGATTAGTCCAGTCGCAGTTATAGGCTGCATGTGCCATCTGCTCCGTCTGCAAAAGGGTCCATCGTTACACATAATTTATCCATATACATGATTCGTGCAAAGCCTTCGGTTAAAGTTTAAAAATCCCACTTCATCGGTTAACAAGTTGGAGTAGCCGCAATAAATAATGGTCTGCACGAAGAGGCTCGCCAAGTGGACGAGGTACTTCCCGATTTCCAGATAATTGCCTTCGGAGGACATCTGAAGACGTTCGAGTAATACCGAGTAAATCTCAGAGGAAATTCCAGAATCTCGGATAGTTCTTCCAGTACCGTTTCCAGCTGATGCATACAGGTGCACAGGCAGATCGCGGTCAGCAGCATCGACAGGAAAATGACGGGGCTGAAGATCCGCTCGATGCCCTCGCAATACCTTAAAAGACATCGAGAATTAACGCCGTCCGTTTAATTTCGTAGAAACCTCCACGTCCAGACATACGAAGCGTCTCATTACTCGAAGATCCTCTTGTGTCGCTCGGCGATGTTGGCCAACCTCTTCAGCATCGAGTCTTCGGTCTCGTCCGAGTTCTCGGCGATGCTCACAAGGTCGTGCCGCAGCACCTACGAAGCGAAAAAAAATTAATTCAGATTCGTTGCCAGCTTTTCCGCCTCTTATCGCCGCTCTTCGGAGTTACCTCGATGTGGATGGCCGTGTGCGTGGCGAACTGGGCGAAGAGGGAGTCGCAGCACATCCAGTAGAGCACCAGGTAGGAACAGATGACCTGCTCGTACAGCAAGACTCCTGCGTAGGTCCACACATCGTTGATCGGGAAGGGATACTTGGCGTGGACGACCGTCGCCGTGAAGTTGTAGGAATTGTTCTCCGTTTTGGTGAACGCGTACTGACGCAGCAGGTCGCTGAAACGTGGAACGAAGTGTCGGCTTCTCTTCGAGTCCTTCGTCCTCGTTCTCCTCCGGACAACACCGTGCATTACCAGTAAGGATGGGCCACGTAGAAGACGCACAAGCCTCCGGTCATGGCGACGCAGAAGGTTCTCAAGAGGACGGTCCTGGTGGCCATCGCAAAGACCTTCTCCGCAATGGCATCCGGGATCTGGCTCTCCCTCCATAGGTCGGACAGCCGTAGCAGGAACTCGCGCACCTGCAGGCGCGCGTACATCAGCCTGGCTCCCTGGAAACGTTCGCGATGAAGCGCCAACCCGAAGAAAGAGGTCTGGAGTTTCGGCGAACCTTGATCACGCAGAAGGTGCCGTCCATCATCCCGCAGAAGAGGTCGATCGCTCGATTTCTGTCGTAGTGCCACTCGGCCACCATGGTGCTGGCCACTCGAGAAATCAGCAGGAGAAGCAGAACCGTGATGACGCCGCAGAAGAGCGTCTCCAAGGTACCGGGCCTCTTCACCTCGTCCGTGAACACGCAGTTCATGGAGAACATTCCGCCCCACCGAAGCAGGTCCACGTTGAGCTTGAAGTAGTGCTCGAAGTACGACCTCGTGTCCATCCGTCTCTTCATTTTCGAGTGGTTGAGTTGCATCGGGATCGACCTGGAACAATTTATTTTCAGAGCCGGTGCTATTCGAAGGTCTCGCGCCTCTCGGGGCCAGAGTGGTCGAAACTCCAAATTGGCCTACCCCAAACCTGGGGGAAACTCCTACCTGGCCACTCCACGAATAGTTTTGCCCCTTGATTCGTGTATAATTGATGGGTCGCGAGCAACAATAGACTCTCCTCGAGTGGACTTTCTTCCGCCGGTCGTCAATAATTAATCCCCTTTTTTGCAGCTCTCTTCCGGCTCGCCTCGGATAGAAGAGGGCTATCCTTGTGGCCTGCAAATTGCATAATTAATGTTATACCATCATCGGTGGCGTCGCTAACTCTACAACTAGTCGCCACGGACGACCCGGGGGCGGATTATTCTCTTCCAGGTGAATTGCGCGCCTCCAGGTATAGAACGCTCGCCGGTAATTGCAGGTTTGCGAAGAACAAGGAGGGCTCCTTGTTTTCCACTGTTTTCCGAGTAATTGCGGACGTTTGCGCAATTTCTCCCTCCATGAAGAAAACTTCGGGTGTTGGTCCAATCGCTGAGTCGAGCTTGAGGCAAACATTGGGTTTCTTCAAGGTTTTGTTAACGTCTGAAAAATCAAAGATATTAACGATGCCAAATTACCCGCTCTCAGCTGATTTAAATAAATATTCCACGCCGATCTTCGGGTTCCCGAGGTAAGTGGACCTTTTTTACTCTTCTCTTAAAGTCTCCTCGTAAATCATTAGTTATCTCATGTTGCGTATTTTCGCATTACAACGTGTATTTTATTAAGCTCGGAGAATATTAATGTACACCTCAACAGCGCGACTCCTCCTCCAATGGATGCTTACAAGCGTAGTAATATACAATAATGGCCACTAACATTGCTAACAAAATGTACACTTTGCAACACAGGCAACAATTCTCCAGAGACGAAATAATACACATTCTTCCATACACAGCGATGTGTCAAAAAAATTTTTTTTTATCGGAAATTATTAAGAATTGCTCGCTTTTATTAGGATTTTGCATTATAGACGAAGAACTGGCACGAGCGTCACGGGGACATAAGATTTTCTCTAGTTCTTAATAAAACTCCAATTCCAGATTTTCTGGCAAATCTCCAATTTTCTTGCGATTTCGGAAATTTAAATTCCATGTTACTCCAGTTATGTATCTGGTCCCCAGGAACTCTCAAACCTACAGAAATAAAAAAAAAATTCTGTATCAGTTGATTTAACGTTTCTGTTAAAACTAATGTAATGAAGATTAATATTTAATTTAGGAGGCAATCCGAAGATCGTGATACTTGCCAGTAATTTCTCATCTGCAGTCGAGAGCCTTGCTTTCTAGAACTTCAAATTCTTGATGAATTTATCTTTTCATCGTCCATCAATTTCTTTAAATCATTGAGTCCAATCACCTGTACAAAAATAAATAAATACTAGGTTTAGTCTAAGGGTGGTATTTACTTTGCTATTAATTTTTCTGATTAACATTCCACAAGAATGAATTTGACTCTTGCTCGATTGGGGTATTCCTTTATTCTTTCAGTTCTGCAGAACCCCTCTTTTTACCTCATTTTTCAATAAATTTTGAAGTTCAATCTCGTTGAATTTTCCAGGCATTTTCGCATCCACGTTTTCATCGAATAACCGCGGATTGTAAATATAAATAATTGCCACTGGAATAATTGCAATGACACAGAGTAACAGCACGACATACAGCTTGACGCAACAGCATGCGATCATCTCATGACGATTTTTATAAAAAAAATCAAACAAGGGTTTTTTTATTGTGCAATCGCTAATAACCTGTCTTGATTAACACGTTCACGCCGGCGCGTACCACCGGTGGCTCGCGCTTGATTGCGCCATCGGGCGGCGCGTACCACCGGTGGCTCGCGCTTGATTGTGCCATCAGGCGGCGTGTACCACCGGTGGCTCGCGCTAGACGCATCATCGGGCGGCGTGTACTACCTGTGTTTCGCATTCGATTGTGCTATTAGACACTGATAATTTAACGTACATACATAAAAACGTGTATTTTGAATAAAAATTATAATTAATAACGTATTATGAACATAAATTTTGCTTAATAACACACACATAAAAATTCAGTATTATGAATGTAACTTCAACACTCAAATCTTCCCCCGAGGAACATTCCATAACGTTGCTGTTTACGTTAACAAAATCTTCGCCTGAAGAGGAAGAAAGTATTCGTAATCTTGATGCGTTTCTCCTGCCTCTATTTACACATTCGTCTGACGAATCACTTATTTCCATATCCATGTTATGGGCAAAATTAAAAAAATATTTTTAAGGGCAAAATTTAAAAAAATATTCTAACCACCTTTTAGTTATTTTTACTAACAGAAATCTGTGGTTAGGATATAAAAAACGGCACGAGTCACATCATTTGCAAAGTAAGCGCTCAATGTAATACTGAAGAAACAAGAAGCGCGTGCAAGTCTGAACACGCGAGAAATGCGCGCCGCCAGATGAAGCGCGACATAGATTTGTGTGCCGCCGTTGGGGGAAACAAATGAAAATTGGCGCCGGCGGGAACGTGTTAATGACATGCCTCAGATCTCGAAAAACATCGCGATTTGCTTTTATTTTTGACCCGGAAAACGATTTTCTCATTAGTGTCTAATGATAAATGTACAATTTGTAATTGCAATTAATTTGACTTGAAATTAAAAATTCTTCAGTTTTATAATAAGTAGGAAAGTATTAGAAAGTCAAAAGCAAGCCCATTGCAAGACAGGTATCGATCAGAAATATTTTGATCGGATAAGGTTATATACTTCGTTCATTTAAGGTTGACGTTCAATTGTCTCGCGTATCTTATTTTACTCTACGAGGCTCGCCATTAAACAACTCCTAAAATTATTTTAAAACTTCACATTTTGTACATCACAGATCTATTCATTGTGTAATAATAATTATTTTTACTTTTCACGTATAAATGTACAATCCAATATGCTCTCTAACCACTCTACAGGGTCAATAAAATAAAACAGTTTTCAAAACCGAATCGATCTCACATCACTATCGAGTAGTAAGGGACAAAGGTCCTCCTTCCAAAAAACACTGTATCGCACAGACCGAACACTTCCATAGCTACACTTTAATGTCTGCAGCAATACTGATTCGCCTGATCTCCAGAAGTATTTCACTTTTTCTCGACAACTTGTTCAGCATCTCCTGCTCTGGGTTCTTGATGTCACCAGTTTTAATCTTTTGTTCGAGGGTTTCGATTTCCCTAATCTTCTTATTGAGGTTTTTGAGACGCTTCGTAGGGTCCACCATAGTATTCGTAACAGTGCCAGTAGTACTACTGGCAACGCTCGTAGCAGCCGAGCTAGCCGACTTTTGTTTCTCAAACACGGGTTCCGTTATCCTAGTCTTCTGAAGACCATCCGTTATCGCATTAACTGTTTTGTTTTTACTTTTCTTCTTTTTCTTCTTTGATTCGGTCTGTATAACCAGACCAGGAATAGGGTTTGCGGATTTGGCTCTGGCTTGAGCTTCGATCTCTGCCTTGCGAGCTTCGGCATATTCCACGCTCATGCCTGGTGGATAGATCGGTTTATTCTTTATGAACTGCTTACCTTTACTCTCGTAACTGAAACGAAGAGGCAAAGGAATTAGTAGTAACTCTCGGAACTGTGACTTGAGAATCCAAAATCAGCTATATAGGTTAGCGTACAGTGGAACCTCCTCCTGGGGAACGTATCCATCTTTAACTCTCCGGGGTTTACGCCAAGTGCCATCAGGGCGCTGTGTAGCAGGAATAAAAGTACCCCCTGCAAAAATATTTCTAGGTTCATTCGAAATGACTCAATTTATTTTCCTCTTTAAATCTCTTAGAACGTTTGCACGGAAAACTTTAGGGATATCTCCAGTTCATCAATAATTAAGAATTAACCAGACATTTGTTAATTTCGCATTCTTTGAGAAAAATATCCTATACTTCTTTCGCGCCGTACAGGAATAAAATTGTTTACACTATTGAGGTTAGAAAACTGTCGAGTAGCGGGCTGATTACAGCTTTGCCGGTACCGGGGCATTAAAAATTACCTTGTTCATCTTTAATGTAAGCCGAAGCCATTTTCCCACGAAGAGACTCTTTTCTGTTATTACTTTATTTATGTTTATTGATACTCTATCAATCGCGTACCATCCTTTCGCCAAGGTATAAGCATGAACATAAAGTACCACAAGAAGTTCCCACTCGATGTAAAAGTAACTCCATACGGGACTTATAGCCAGATTCAAACCGGAAACAACAAGTGATAACCAATGAGCGAAGCGAGTTTTCTGCCCCCTTCCTTCTTAAAGGAAAAATCCAGCAATATTATTGGTTGGTGATTGCAGCTTGTCGCTTGTCGCTACCGGTACAGGATAAACCTTGCAAAGAAATTGAGGTTAATTTTATATTTACATGGAAGCCCCATACTACTTCGTGGCTACTTCGTGCAAAAATCCTAACCTCTCGATTTAAGGTTAGATAATAGTAAATAATAGGATGAACAAGGCAATCGTTAAAGAAGATTTAAAGAAAAAAGTGGCAAGTGTGAAGCATGAAACAAGACAAGACGTCGACGTTGTTGGGCCACCGGATAAAGTGTCGAATTTAAGACCCGTCGTCTTTGCCATTCGGCAGAATGAGAGTAACCTAGAAAAAGGGTATAGGGAAACTCGCGAGGCCACTCAGCATTGGAATCAACAATTCTGGTCAAAACATAACAGGAATTTTGCTGCTGTCAGTGTAACGTTGTTGCTTGCTAGATCTAAATGTTAAGAGTTATGTCTTTAACAAACGTTAGTCGTGGACATATTTTCCTTAAAATTCGTTTTTCAGGAGTACAACCAATTCCGAAACACACTAAAGCAAAAGGAAGCTGGATCGTCGATGGCAGACCAAATGTCTGTCTTTTACAAACGATTTCTTGATAATAACTGGAAAACTCATGTTCGTTATAACCTAGAATGGTATCGAAGAAACGTTGTATTATTGCTCCTGGAGGTTAAAGTCAAATTATCCAGATTGAAGTTCAAGTGAATGTTTAGTTGTATAGTATTTACTTTAATATAAATTTTCATTACTAGGAACTTTTAACAAGGTTTACGTGTTACACAGTGACCTGTTGACTGATAGCAAGAATGGTAAAAGAATTTAAATAAACCGAATGACTGTAAATAAATGAAGCTTCCTGAAATTTATTATCATATAATTTAGTTAATTTATTAGGATTGGATGAAATTAATAGCATCGATTTACTGCTTGTTCGTTTAATGCTGCTTTAAGTGTTTCGATCTCCCAATTTTTTGGAAATCCGGAATTCTGACGTGTTTCCCTTTTCCGGAGGTACTGGAGACCCTCCTTTCCAACTCTGAAGGGTTTTCCTAGGTCCTGGTTGAGCTTCTCCAATCTGGGTGCAAAATTGTCATTTGCCATAGCAAAAGAAAATAATTTATTCAGTCAATCAAACGCCCCTAAATTTCTGAACATTCGCTGGGCCTGGCAATTGTTTTTTAAATCCAATTAACGTTTTTACATGGTTTACATCGCTCTTCCAGCAGAGACGCCCCCGTGGGTAGACGTTTACCGATCCGGTAAATTCGGAATCAAAGAATGGCATCGGCAAACTGAAGAGAAATTCTGTCCGAAGAAGAATAGCGAAGGCCTGAAGAGGCGCGTCCTCGGGCGTTGAAATTTCCTATTTTTGGACCTCTCCCCGACCTAGACATGTTCAGAAGGAACGGAAAACAACGAAAAGGCTCCAGATATTTCCGTTGGGGTCTGCTCTTCAGCTTAGGCCTCGCCTTGTGGTCAGCATTATGCTTCGCGGACGCTTTCAGCCCCGAAATTTCGCGCCCCGGAGAACGAAGGGAAAACGCGTCCGCCATCTTGCCTTCCTGGCCGGTCTCCGTGGACGTCCTCAACGGTATTTTATTTCTAAATCTTGTTAACCCAGAAACGTTAAGCCATGAAAATTAACCAGAAATACGTCTAAATATTTAAAGTAACGTGCGATTAAACGTGACTACCCTATTGAGAAGATTAACGGTGAAATAAATATATCCTTCCAGACGCGAAGCCTGCGAAGGAGCTCTCGCCAATCTCGGAGCACACCTTGGCGAAAGCGGGGCCTGACCAGGCCCACTTGCGATGGTTCTATAATTTCTACAGCCATCTCTGGGGCCTTTTACCATCCCCTGGAAGCGTGGTTCGCATTGTGGGTCTTCTGGGTCTCGGCGTGGTAGCCATGGAGGGCCAAGTTGTGAACTCGACGAGGAGAATTCAGATCCCTGCGAGCTCGGACAACAATTGCTCGTAAGTTCCAAAAAGTCAGGTAGGGAGTGCAACGCATGATGTTTTCTGCATGATTTATTAACCTATTGTCTATCAATTAAATCGACATTAATTTGTCATTAGAATCCTGCCCCTGGGGAATGGAGCGCGGAGGTATCTCGACGTCGTGGCCAGGGAAAGAAACAGGAGCCCTGTCAGCACAAGAATTTTCCTTTCCCTGCGAAATAGAGCTTCTGTGAATCGACGAAACGTCCTCTCTAGTCTCGATAGAGAACTCGACGCTCTTGCCGTTCGGTTTCAGGGATGTCCGGCTTATGGAGATGCTCTCAACCGGCATGGGACGCTTCGCGAAGGGAGTGCATCTCTGGGGATAAATTATCCTCCCTGCAAGCGCTCCGGAATAATCACGTCTTCCCTCGCTTTCAAGGAGTTTCTTACAAATCTGACGAAAGGAACATCCTGCTGCAATTCCTCCATCTAAAACGATCCTCCAATTAATTTAGAGCGAGATTTGCTTCCGTTGTAAAGAACTTAAAGCGTATGGTAAAAGTTTAATAATTTCGTATTCTCGCGGGAGGCCAAGGAATTTTTATCTGGTGCCATCTATGAGTGCGTGAAGGAAACCTCTCAACATCCGTTGATCTGCGATCGATATCGCTATATCTGCATTATCCTTTTGAAGATAACTAGTAATGCAGATGCGGAGGTTGCTGTGTGGCACCATCTTTGGAAGATTTTGCGAAACCGCTCAAGAACTGTGCATTCACGGTGGGTAACAGAATCTATATTGACGGAACGTTCCTAATACCCTTGCTGTATTTACAAGTATGACTTGCTGAGGGAACCTGCAAACTCCTTAACATCTGTTTCTGATCTAATTAATCAGATACGTAGCTGGTATCGGAGAAGGCGTGCCGCCTTTGTCTCGCGAGGGAAAGGAAGCCTGTGCTGCCACAAAGGGAGACCACAAAGTTCGAGAGTCGCTACCGCCAGATTGCGTCCCGACGAACCTAACCTATTCCGTGCTCCGCTATTACGGGGGCGTAGTTCGGTGGCGTCATTGCTCGTGGCATAATCTCGATTTTATCGCAAATGTTTCCTTCGCAGCAGATTTTCTCAGTTTGTGATCGTAGAACGGAAGAAGTAAAATTAATAACGGTGGATTTCGCGAGGCGAAACGTGCAATAAACGAAAAACGACGCCGAGCGTCCCCGACCATCTCCAACTGTCACCGAGTGTAGCCAATTGTCACCAACTGTCACAGAGCTGTCAACTGCCGTGATTTGGCTTAACCTCAAACAACCGCGACAGCATCTTCGGAGGTGCGGTGTTGATTCTAAAATTCTCGTTGCATGACGCATCATGGCCTCGCGTAGACACGCACGCATGCACCCGCATGCTGCGGAAGGGTAGGAGTGTGTCTTCCGTTGGGACAACAAGCCCTTCATCGATAACCATTTTTCCAGGAAGCTCTGTCAAAAATAGGTAATGCAACATCGGTTGATGAACTGCTATCCAAGTCTGATTAAATGTTATCGTTTCAGGACAAAGTATTCACTTCCAGTTGGAATAGGGACTCGGCTTTATTCCTCTGAGTCTTTCGCTTCAGGATGAAGAGCTTAATTGAATTTGAAGAGTGCCTGCGGGACACTCCAAGATTTCGGTAGGTTTAATTTTAAATACGCATCTGTACGGGTTGTTAAATATTTATTTGGACAATACTTTGTAGATCACGAATCGAGGAGGTGGAGACCAACGTGGACCAACTTGAACAGAAGCTGGAGAAGGTAAATTTTTTAGTCAATTATTGCCTTATATTTTGGTTTCTCACAGTTAGAAGCTTCATTAAGTGAGTTTCATTGTTGCAGATTTTAAAAAATTGTACATCTATGATCGATGCAGGCAAGACCTATGTTGGGCAACACAGGTATTATTTCCTGCTAAAAATGGGAGTATTTCTTAGAGTCTGTGGTAAAAGAAGGATTCTATTTTTCAGCCAGTTTGCCAATAGTCTGTGGGAATTGTCTCTTTACTTTAATGAAGATGCAGAGGTAATGGCTCTTTTGAATAAATTAATTCGAGCTTTACACGAGATGAACAAGTTCCACGCCATCTTACTGGACCAGGCATCACGGACTGTCGTTAAGGACCTCAACTCTTTTATCAAAAGGTATGGCTTTTTTTTATAATACATTTCCTGTGTGATATATGTGCCTCTTTGGTTACTGTGCAACTCTTACATTTTTTTTTTTTACCAATATTCCTGTGTTTCTGCAGTGATATTAAGAGAGTGAAGGAGGCTCGTCACTATTTCGATAAAATCTCTGGAGACCTGGACGTAGCTTTAAACAGGAACTCTCAAATTCCAAAATCCCGACCTGCAGACTATGAAGAATCCTCCAACATCTTGTCGGCGACCAGATCTTGCTTTCGGCATACAGCATTGGACTATGTTCATGCATTGACGATGCTACAGTCTAGGAAACGTCATGAAATATTAGGGACTTTGCTAAGTTACGTACGCGCCTGCTTCACGTACTATCACCAGGGCAGTGATTTGGCACAGGACTTGGACCCCTTTCTCCGGGACCTTGGTGAAGAACTAGCTAGGATGAGGGGTGACTCGATGAAACTTGAAAAAGAAATGGAGAATCGCCATGTCTACGTCACCAACAGAGACCTGATCCCTCACTCCGCACCTAGCAATCCGAAAATGGAGGGCTATTTGTTCAAGAGAACGAGCAATGCATTTAAAACCTGGAACAGAAGGTGGTTTTCGCTAAAAGATCATCAGCTAGTCTACAGAAAGCGAACCGGTGAGAACGATTACACAGTGATGGAGGAAGATCTGCGGTTGTGCACTGTTAAGCCAGTTGTCGACTGTGAGCGAAGGAATTGCTTCGAAGTATTGAGCCCAACAAAGTGAGTGAGCACATACCAAATCTTTCTAGTCCAAAAATTGATCACTAAGATTTTTTTGGTTATGTTTTTAGTGTGTTTTGATTCTCCTCGTTTCTTAGGAGCCACATGCTGCAAGCTGACAGCGAGGAGATGTATCTGGCTTGGGTGACAGCGATGCAGCAAGCCATTGGAGCAGCGATCCAGGTAGGCATCGGTCAGCGATCCGATCTTGGGACTCTGCGATCTCGTATCGGAGACTGGAATGGACAAACCAGACCTTTTGGGAAGGCAAGATCAAGGTAAGTCATTCACTTTATATTTAGAAGAGAAAAACTAATTTTCAGCTAATTACAATCCTTTATTTTTAATCATAGAGTTTGGGAACAGCTTCTAAAAATTCCTGGCAACAACGTGTGCTGTGACTGTGGAGGAGCTAATCCAAGATGGGCCAGCATCAATCTGGGCATTACCCTCTGCATTGGTAAGTGCTTCTTGTACTTTCACTCCCTGCTTAGGGTCTTGGATACGTATCGATAAATTACCCTGCTTTGGTAGAATGCTCCGGTGTGCACAGGAGCCTTGGAGTTCACTACAGTAAGGTGCGATCCCTCACCCTGGATGACTGGGAGCCTGAGATTTTAAAAGTAATGGCTGAGTTGGGGAACACTGTAGTGAACAGTGTCTATGAAGCTTTACCGATATCTTCAGAAGTTGTCAGAGCTACGTCCAAATGTGACGGGTATGTCAGAATTTTTATTGTATATTCACTAGTAAATTTTAATCTCCCAATGAGATGATAATTAATGACGATTAAATACATTTATAAAATTTTTACGTTCAGAAGCATCCGCGAGGCGTGGATAAAGTCGAAATACGTCGACAGGAAGTACGTCAAACCACTGTCTCAGGTAGTGACGACGCCTGAACAGAAAGTCTCCTGGGAGCCGATGCATTTCCGCAAATGGAGTGTCCGGAAATTACGGCGTAGGCCTAGAAATCGTGAGTTAACCGAAGAAACCAGTACAAAGCAACAGCTCCCTGGTCTGTCGAGCCTTAAGGAAAATCCAGTGTTGGGTGAGATAAATGCGAACACCTCTACGATGAAAACGTCCATCAAAGAGAGAGAGAAGGATCCCCCAGGGCACAAAGAGCCTTCCTTGCCGGAATCGCCCTGCGTACCAGCGAAATCTCCGGAAAATCCTCAAAAGAAGCCGGACATGGACACCGACAACGATACGCCCACTGATTTAGACACAGGCTCCGAGGGCTCTGCATTTACCCAGTCGACCATTTTAAAAAGCCTAGGTGAGGCTTCGTCTTTAGGGCTGGATCCCGAAGACGAGACTACAGACAGTGTTAATACAAAGAATAATTTTAAGGAAGTGATCGAGGACAGTAGTCAGTTGAGTTCAAGTGCTCCGGTGAATACCGATGGCTCCAAGGTGACGGATGAAGATGTTAATAAGAATCCTTCCAATCCTAACGAAACGGTTCACGGTGAATTGTCGAATAGAAGTGCAGGTAAAGCCAACGAAGCAGCAGAGGGCGAAGTCTTCACTTTTGGCTGCGACTTGCCTAAACCGACCATCGATGGGAGCCTGGAACTGAGCTCCGATCAAGACTCGACTGCTGGGGAGGACGAAGGCTTCGCAGACGAGGAGGACCTGCAGAATCTCCATCCTGAGATGTTGTTGTACAAGGCTGCCGCGGCACACAATCTGCCTGTCATGTGTGCTGCTCTCGCTGCTGGTGCAGATAAGTTGTGGGTGAACGTGAAGGACAGAGGACGCAGTCCCATTCACCAGGCTATAATCAGTGTACGTAAGAGCCTAATTATCATTTCAATACTCAGTGAAGTGTGCATTACTCCGTCTTATCCCTCCTTGGTTTTCAGGGCTCGGTCATGTCCTGTGAATACCTTATACTCAACGGAGCCAGGATTAACTGCCAGGATGCTGATGGAAAAACGCCTTTACACGTCGCCACAGAGCTTGGTTAGTACATTCTACCGTCCAGTGTAAATGTTTCAGGTATAATATTTTTTTTTTTATATTAATGCTTTTCTAGGCCACACGGCCCAGGTATGCCTGTTACTTAAGCATCATGCCGACCAGCACATAAAGGACGAGAGTGGAGTAAAGCCTCTCTCGATCGCAGTGAAAGAAGCCAACGCGGACATCGTCACGTTGTAAGTTCGGTAGACTGATAATTCCAGGAAGTGTTCAATTTGCATCTCCTTTTTTTTTCCCCTTTGATTGCAGGCTGCGATTAGGGCTACTTAACGAGGAAATGAAGGATTCGGAGGTAGGAGTCAGCGGAGACGAAACCTTCAACGACGTCGTTCGCGACTTCAGCCACCTGGCCTGCTCCCATCCCGAGAAACTTCACCGCAGGAGCGAATGCATCGATCCGGCAAATTCAACGAATCTCAACGAGTAAACGTATTTAGTTGCGGTCTATTTTACTTATCGGTTTGCCCGAGTCGCCTGGAAGCGAAGGGGGCCATCTTCGAGGACGCCATGGAGGCGTCGAAGTCTTCGGCGCTCGCAGGAGCGCTCTTCTACCAGTGGCCAATTGTGCATGCGTCCCTTATCTCTTTTTTCTAGGATTAACTATTCCGCGATGCGGTTTTTATGCGATAATCATTATACCTTGGCGCAGTTTCTCGCGCTTGTTTCTGAATATTCTTCGAGGCACCCTTAAGGTCAGGTGCAGGGCTTTAATGCACTTGTTCTGGACTTCTTTCCGAGAACTCGGCACGTAGGGAAAGAAAAAGCAAATAATGAAAAAGTAAATTTAAGCCTTTAGGAAGACTTAAGTTTAACGTTATACGCTTCCTTCACTGGCAAATTCCTTTTCGGCTGGTCGGAATGACGGAAAACAGTGAAAAAGCGAGTTGTCGGAAAGCTCTTACCGCAGAATGTCTCTTCGACATCCCCCATATATTTATTCCTCGGTCCTCAGGACTGACCTGCATCGTGATTCTTACATATTCCAGAAAACTCATTAAAAAAACGACGAAAGCATTTAAAAAAGAACACCTCGCCGAAAGAACCGAGTATCTGTACCGTGTACTTCGGGGGAATACAGAAAAATAGCGAGAAACTCGTCCGGTCCAACTTATTTTAAGCCCTTCTACTCCGGAATTCGTGTACAAACCAGGGGGACCGAGTCTCTTTACGTCGCAAAAGTCCGAAGTCATTCTTTCTCTCGTTTCGCGCGAAAGCTCACCCCGAGGTCGAGGCACTTTTCTTCGCACTATCTTCCTGCGTTGACAATAACGACGTAAACGCGTGAGCAAGCTTCGTTAGAGATGATAAATTGCGTAAAACTGGGTACGATATAGTGGGTCAATAATCCAGGCTTGCTATCGTGCGTGCGCTTCGGGAATATCTTATCCGCTGGTTCGCGCTACTCAGGGTCGGCGTATAAAGAGCCCATCAAATCTGCCTTTATTGACAATGCTTCGACCGGATGTTAACGTCGCGAATAAAGGGAGGAAACGGACAAGACGACGTCCCCTAAAAATTACTGGCTGCGAAACAACACGCCGGAGGGTTTACGCGTTTCGCGTATAGAGCTTCGACGACCGTTTCGTAAGAGATCGAGATTTTGCGACCCTCGCGATTGCCCTTAAATCTCGAATCCGCAATCAAACCCACGAGCTCGCTAGTAAACATCCGGTGGATTTATTTGAAATTTATTTAAAAATACGCGTACTCGTCGGCGGGAAAAAGTAAAAAAAAAAGTCGCTTCGGCCGGATTATTTTTTCCACATTTAGGGAATCGTGTTCAGAAGAAAAATCCTCGGTAGTATAGTGGTCAGTAACCGCCAGGAAAATTGGCAGAGATAATTTAGCTTCCTCCTTGCTTTCGAGGGTGCGTATCCACGACGCAGCAGAATTAACGACGAGCAAAGAGAGAAAAGATGCGGCGGGTTTTTGTTTCTTGTACGGAGGCTGCAAAGTCCGTCTCCCGGTGATGGATCTGCATGACGTAGGCCATGCGTACTGGCAGAGGTCGATAAAGAGGCCGATAAGGGCGGGAACGACGCGGCTTGCTCTCTTGATTCGTTATATTGGAACGGCCGGCGACATGCAGCCTAGGCATTCTACCGGGAACTATCTGCTGCTGGACCCCGATTCTATTTTTTTAGAAGAATAAGTGGATTAATAATTATTACAACCCCGAGGTATGCAAACGGCGGGTCAAATGGCGTGGAAAGACGGCTCCTCCTTCGATCCCACTTGCGCCGACATTTTTCCGAGTTCGCCAATAGATCCGCGTGGCGGTCTCGATACTTATTGTCGGCAGCGGGGTGATATCGTTGGTCGATGCAGGGAATAAAAGCTCCTCATTCGCGTCTCGTCGCGGACTTTCAATGTAGGAGATCGACGCTCGGCGATGGGGATGGCGGCGCGCAGTCTAGGCATTCCACTCGCACAGCTATTCCCAGATGTCAAACCAATTGCTCGGGCATTTGTTCAGAGGTCTTCGCCTATGCCAGCTGGTCAGCCGTCGATACGCGCTAGATCTCGCAGACGGAACGCCCCGGCACGCGCCGATTTAATTACGGCTCCTGAAGCGCGTCTCGTTCCCTGCGGAATGCAGATGCGGTCGTCGATGTTACTTAAAATTAACACGAACTACTAAGATGGGTCAAAATGGCTCATCTCATAGAAAAAAAAATCTGTCGGTCGTTCTAGTGTTAAGAAACCGCTAATGATTACTTCCTATTGCCTGAAACAGTGACCGTTTTTATCCGGTCGTATATTTTATAATTCAAATCTTTTAGTACCGCCTACCGCCACGGCGCGTGATACTAAAATGTTTGACCGGCAAATGAGCGTATCCTAGTAACCTACCCCTAGCGGCGGTTCAACGACTTTGGGCAAAAAACCGTTGGAATCGGGCAGCTCCAAAATGGCGGCCCTTCGGAAATCAAGAGGAACGTCGCAAAACACGCGGAGCCGTAAAAGGTGAGAAGCCGATATCGCGAAAGAAATGAAAGAAATTCCAAGTTCGTCGCGGGAAGAGAGTTCAACGAAGGAGCGGTGGAAGAGAGCAAGAGAAATACGGTGAGACTTCGCGTGACTTTTCTCGCCGGGAGTATTCTCGGGCCGTTCGGTGCAGCGGCTCGCAGTCGTTTACACCGACTCCGGATTGCTCCGGATGTATATACATCGATGACAATGACGGCGACTCGCGTTGCCGGCAGACGAAACCGAGGCTTGTCGGGCTGTCTTCGGGATTTGTGCGTCTAGACGCTCTCCGGCTGTCGTACGCACGTTACATACGTTGCCTCGATAGCGCATTTCTCCCCGGAGCTGTCTGCGAGTTGATTCAGCGGAACGGATTTAGAATGGCCCACGGAATAGCCACGCTTATCCCTGTTTAACGTGTCGATACCCATAGATTTCAACGCGAGACGAAACAACCCCGGCGACGCAGGGACCGAGCCCGGGTAAAAAGCGAATCTAGCCGCGGACACCGTAAAGAAACGTGCTTTACATCTCCTGAGACGTCGCGCTGCAATTTTAATCCTCAACATATTTTTTTTCTATTCGCATCACCGCTCCATTTAATTTTTTCCAAATATTCGTCACCAAGGCTCGGGATTTTTTTCGAGTGAAAAGGAGCCGACCGGGAATTTATCCTTGGACAGAGTTCAACGGCGGAAACCCTTTGCCCGAGGTCTCCGCTCACGGGTACGAACCTTCCCTCCGGTAACTTTTTCGCCTCGTCTGGTTTATCTGGTGTCTAATAAGGCCACTTTTCCCCCAATGTTATTAAATTAAAACCTAATCCCATAATCTCGGACGATAAGCCAGGGTAAGGGAGACGGTTCATGGCACCCGGCGACCCCTCGTTAAAGGCCCGCCTAAATCGGCTGGATTTGCCTATACTCGGGCCGATAACTCGCGGTTTATCTGCGAGCCCACTCGGCGTGGGTCACTTAAAATTAGTCCAGCATGTGCAAAAAAATCTCAGTCACATGTTTGCTATCCGGTACGTCCTCGGTACCTCGGGGAGGAGGTTCGCAATAACCTACGCAAGTCCTCGTAGAGTTAAGTCAGTCGTATCGCGCGCAAATAGAAGAAACGAGCGATAATTAATTCGATAGCGACGGTGCGCGATAACGGCTCGTATGAGACGTTATCGGGTCCTCGGTACATCATTGGATTCCATAAATTCCCCGACTAACTTGCGAAGGTTAAAACATTTATTTCATCTTCTCTCCGACGCCGCTTCATTTAATTTTCCTTTCGAGGAGAAGTCGCGAATTTATGGAGCGACCCGATAAAATCTCCGACAGGAGTCACGCACGCGCGGAGAGGTCTCTCCCTCCTTCTCTCTCCGTAGTCTAGGGACTTCTCTTTGTTTGGCGCGAAGGTACCACTTTATAGCGCGGCGCGCACCCCTCCTCGGAAGAAGGTACATAATTCGCCTCGAATCGTGCAAAAACACCCGGCAAAAGTGTCCACCGTCGGCGTCGAGGCGGTCGTCGTCGTCGCCGTCGCCATGTATTGGCCCGGCGAGGCGCCGGCGTCTCAGACTGGCTGCGTAAATACGCGTAAATTCGGCGGCGATGCTTAGTGGATCCGGCGGGCGCATCAAACGCTCTCCGGCGCCGCTATATAAGTTTCCTCTCGCGTGTCATTCCGCATTTGATGTTTTCGTTTGAAGTATGGCGGCGCCTCCGTAACTTCTTTATGCCTGCGCGTTGTGTCCCCGGTGCTCGATATCGGTCTCCTCGGGGGTCGACGTCGCTTCCCCTTCTCCACCGGGCGCGAGTCACGTGGTGGGGATTCGGGCTCGCCCATTGGCCGTCCGACTCGGGGGAGGGACGCCACCTTAGCCACGTGACCCCCCACCGGGCGAACTTTATGCGACGGATACGTCGAGGCCGGGTCTTCCGTGGACGTGGATTCCGCCGGTTTCACCTTGCTTTTTACTTTCGCAGGGCATCTCGAACGTCGCGGAGGAGCCATTCAAATTACGAGGTGCGAGCTGATGGCGCCTCCACCCTCCCCATTTCTCTATCTGTCCCGGAGGTGACGTCAATCTTTCGATCCCTTTCGGCGAATTCGCGCCAAATATACTTTGAAAAACATTTCCGAAGACTCGCGAGGGGAGGGCTCGAGATTTGGGTAATAACGAACATGGCGTCGAGGCGCGTTAAAGGAGTACCCATCCATCCGGTGGTCCTGTCCTGTAATCGCGATCGGTCACGAAATTACACGCCGACCGACGAATCCCCGTATTCCCGGCGACGCAATTGGCAGCGCCCGCTGGTGGTCTTCTATTCTCGGTGGTGGCGGGGGTGTCAGCTCGTCTAGCCTGGCGAACAGGTGGACCGCGTAACGAGCACTCGGTGACGGACACGCGCGACTCGGGAACACCTGCGTGTCCGCGAGACGCAAATAAAGGTGGCGGCGCGCCGTCTGGTGCCCACCGGCGACCGGCCGCGGTCTAGGGCCAACCGCGAGGACCTCCTTCGGAAGCTGGTCGAGCCATGGACAAAGGAGCTCCTCCGAAGCGAGGTCCGCACCGAAAAATTATCCTAAACGTTCATGGAAAAATCCGAATCGCACGAAATACAAATATAGGCACCCTGGTACTTTGGACCACTTCCGAGTGGAGCGATCGGTGGCTTGGCTGCGTCGTATTAACGTAGGAGCGAGAACGACGTCACTCGAGGGCGACGCAAGAGAGACGAGGTTTCGGGAATCGAGAAGATATGGTCGGTCGGAAGATTGATGTCTATTTGGGTGCCGGGAGGAAGTCGGGAGGCATCGCTGGCCGCGATGTCTGGCGACCGGCAGACACCCGGGGATTCTTCGACTTGGCCGGACGCCATTACGGTGGCCGGTCCTCCGCGGGATGGAGACCGAAGACGGGCGAGCGGAGTTCATTAACGAACTCTTCCACTCCACTTTGGACCAGTTCGTCCTAGGCCCGGTCGTCCGTCGCGTGCCCGTGGTCGGGCACGGCGATTTGGGAACGATCCGGCCAGGACGGTTGGTTCCTCCCGAGGAAGCGCGAACTGGCGCGAATTGGCGCTAACCGGTGCGAGTCATTTCGCGACCGGAAATGCATAGGCGAGCTACGAAGCTGTCGCCTCGATTGGCCGGTCCTGGTCGGACGTAACCGGTGCATTAATTATTTTATTGGGTCGCCAGATGAGTTGCGTATTTAGATTGGGCGGGACTAGGGTTAAGTTGGCTCGGTTTGGGCATCTTGCGTTTAACTACCGTAATTCGATCGTTTCAGGGGAGACCTTTGGCTGCCCCTCGTCGCGCAAGAGAACGGAATCACGTCTCACTTTTCGCAGACGTTGTTCGCGACCTTCTGGCAACCGCTCGGCCGTTTGAGATGGTTAACGCGATCTCAGGTTTAAGTGAATTTTAATAATCGTCACTCAATGGGTCAACGTGACGTCCAGATGAGCCGGCTCCAGCGTCAGCTGCTCGAAGGGAAAAAACAAGCCGAGTCCAGCCCGTAAACAGGCCTGCCAGGGGCTATTCATCGACATCGGGACCGACTACGCGTCCCATCCGCGTCGAGACCTCCCAGTTGGTTCTTCGGCGATGATGATTTATCGGGTCAGTCTCCGGCTGCGAGGATTCAAGCGACGAGAAGACGCGCGTCCCTTCCTGGGACCCATTTTATGCCTACCGAGTCCCCAACCCAAAAAACCATTATGTCGGCGAGGGGCGTCGGACTGGAACTCGAGGGCGCGGACTCGTGGAAGAGACGCATAACCAACCGAGCTTCCAGGAAATCCTGGGATCAGCCGATGGGTCCGGAATGCCGGGGAGCTTTCGTCGTTCAGGGTGGTCCGCGGTAGACCGTCCCGAGTCGGACGTTCTCCAACGATGGAGGGTACCGCCCAACGGGGATGCCGCGACCGGCTCGCGTCATTGGACCAGATACGACGAGTCGATCGCGAAGAAATTTCGTTCCCAAGCCATTGAGAAATTTGAGGTGAAGCATCGGAAGATGGGCCGCCCCCTTCTTGCGAGGCAATATACCGATCTGCGTCACGAGTAGACTCGATTCCTCCGCGGTGCATTGCGCCATCTCGTGCGTATCCGAGGTGGAATTGTATTTGTAAAAGAGAGCAGAGGGCGACGAGGATCAATTGACATACTACGCAGTCGGTCCGATTCTTCCCGGAAGTAGATGATGCAATTCGGATCTTTCGAGGAGGGGTTATAGGTTATGTCGCGTCCAATATTGTATGCGAATGCGAGATGGGAAAGAATGTGGATGGCTGCGCCTCCCTCGGCTCTGTCATTCGTCTCCATTTGCCGGTTATAAATTACCTTCTCTCGCCCTCTCTTTCCCTCTAGATCTCGAAACGACCACAGCGAGTCGCCTCTTCGCCACGGCCGTTAATCGTTGATACGATTAGCTGGGAACCCCCGAATTGCCTAGGGAAAGGGTTAACGAATTCGTCCACGGAAACCGCCACGTGCGTCGCACGTGTGCCTCATGAATCGACACTCGAGACGGTGAGCGCAAGAGCGACGTCGCGACGCCGATAACCTAAGCTAAGGGTCCTCGTCTAGCGTCGTCGTCTCTTTGGGAAATAAGACCGGGAGAGGAACGCCATAAGTACCCGCCTTGGACCTTTGGAAAAGAAACGTCCTCGGTTCCCTGGAACACCTTGGACCTCGTTATCGGCAATTCTTCGGAAACGCCGCAGTTTCACCTTTTCAAGGAGGACGAGGGTTGCCGAAGAAGACAAGAGGACCATAAGCCTGTTTGGTTTTGGGGAGCGATCCCTTGACGCAGTTTTCGGCGAAGGAGAGCAACCCACGAAGTTCCGCGAACAAATTCCGTAACTTCGACCCTAAACCAATCCTCGCTTTTTGGATGGTCTACAAATGGAAAATCCAAAGGACTTCGGAGAAGGATGAAGAACCCTCGCTTGCAGCGGGCCACCCACGCGGTCACGAAGGTTTTAATAAACGATCCCCCGTTCTCCTTGCTTTCCCTGTCCAGGAATTTGCAAAGCCGGAGGGAGCCGAACTTCGAACCAGCGTTCACCTTCGACCAGGAAATTCGCAGACAGAAGATGGACGATCCTGTCATGGGGTGAGTTTCGGGAAGAGAGTCGGCATTACCTGGCCGGCGTCCTTCCGATCTCGGAAGACTCGTGCCATGGGTCACGTAGGGCTTGCGTTACTCAATGATCCCAAAAGGTCGGTCCAATGACCCTAACCGGCAGAACCGAGGCATCCGGCTCTCGGAGGCCGCGGTATGTCAAAAGCTGGAACACGTAAGGTGACGAGACGTCAGAGCAACGGGCCGACGCCATTGGTGGTCGTCAGGACGGGCCCCCGTTTATCCCGGCCCGGTGTAGGCCCGAGTCACTGACGACATCTTCCCGCTTATCTTCGTCGACGAACGAGATGCGCCGTGGGCGTATCTGGAATTTTTCATCGTCGACTTCTCTCGAACACCTCGACACGCGACGCGATAACGTTATCTTGGACGACCGACGAGGGGCTCGATACTCCCCCGAAATCGGTGACCAAGGAGGCTGACGTAACGTTCGCCCTAACGGGGTGCTCCTTCGTGGACCTCTCGCCCCTTCGGGCGCCAATTGGTCACTTTCCCATTCCCGTAGGGGGCGAGTGCAGCGAAAAGGGAGGCGAAGACCGGCACCGATTCCCCCATCCCTGTCTCCGTCTTGCGTCTCTCTCCTTCCAACGACTAGGCCGCGTCTTCCTCTTTCTCCCTTTCTCCGTCTCTCTCCGTCCTCGCGCGGCCAGCCCTGAAAAGAGAGAGGGCATTGCACAAAGTCGGCCGTCCCTCGGCCGGGCTCAGGCCGCGGCCCCTGCGCGGCGCAGCTTCCGAACCAATGAACCGCCGCCGTCAAATCGCAATTTAAGTTCGACTTATTACTCATTATTATAAGTTCTAGCTTAGCCGTCGCCCCCCACCGCGCCGCCGGGCCGGCTATATAAGCTCCCGCCGGCGCGAAAGCGTCCTCACTCCATAACGGCACCCGGTTTATGTATTAAGAGTCGAATCGCTACCCCGAGTGCACGATCGTCCAAACACGTGGTCGCGACCCTTGGGATGTAACCAGAGGTGACACCGGCGAACGTCAGTTTTCGAAGCTTCGTCCCTCGTCGGCATCCGCCACAGCCATCCACGCGTCGAACGGACCCCGCGCGGCATCGCTCAACCCTCGACCGCGGGACTTCTCTATCGGCCGTCGATTGGCGCCGCCTCCCGAGGACCTTGCTCCGTGAGACTTTTCGAGACCGACAGGCACGCTCCAGGTCAGCCGAGAATGTCACAGGGCATGCTCTTGGCCGTTCTCCTCGTTGCGCTGGCCCATTTTTGGCACGCCGCCGTCACCGACTCGGCCGCGGTCGGGTCCACGGTAAGTCGTCCGGACAGGATGGTACTCGGCCCTTCGGGGCTGGAAGTTAAGTTTCGTAGTCGTGGGTCGGATCGAGTCATTTTTCAATTTTCTTTTTATCCGACGCAATTTTGCGCCGTGAAACTCAAGATGTCAACGCGTCCCGGCTAATGGCACGTACAAAGTGTTATCGAGTCACGGGTTACGCGGTCCTTCCTGGAGATTGCCGTTCTCGTAATTCGAGCGGATTAATCCCAACCGTGGCGAGGCTGACGAGGGGAGATCGATTAATTAGCTCTTAACGATTCGGAGGGCGAATTCCTCGACGACCCCACAGTGCCGACAAATTGTATACTTTGGATAGGCCAGGGGTGATTCATTGGATCGAGACGTTAAAAAAAGGGGGCGGCCGCAAAAGATTTTCGTGTCTTGAAGTACCGTTCCGAAATCGCAATGCGTTCCTCGCGAAACGTATACTCGTTAATCTCACCGATAACGCAATTATCCCGGAGAAACGTGAGCTCCGTCTCGTGCGCGTCCTCGCCACTCGGCGGATATCACGGTCCGGGATAATTGGCCGACAATTAGGCACTAATTGCGACTTCTAATCGACTCGTAACTGCGCTAAGCATCTTCGGAACGATATTCCCTTTCATACTCGTGCATATGTCGCGAGCACGTTGTGGAGCGCCGAGTAACGTTGATTCTCGTTTTTCTACATGAATTTCCGAAGAACCTCGAGGAACTACCCTTTGAGATCCACCCGAGCAGCTTGAGGACGCAGCGGGACACCGAAAGCGCCGGGGAAAATGCGAGTGCCAACTCGAGTGGTCTCACCAAAGTGGGGGATGAAACCTCCAAACGCAACTGCGAGAACATGGCTTGTGGATGGGCCGTCTACCAGTCGATCACCAGACGGGTCGTATACTACATGAGGAACACGTAAGAACTGTCCCTGAAATAAAAGGATTCTCTTAAGTTAGGCACGATTTGGCAGTCTTTACCTGCTTCTGTTCTCCGCTTGCACAGGTGTCAATGCCCTGACAAGAGTTACAAGTGCGTGCGCATAGACGACGACCTGTCCGCCAACGCATATGTCTATCGATGCCGTCAAAACAGCACATTGGCCGACCTGGAGGCCTCCGAAGATTCCAATTGAGAGGGTCTCGGCGACTTTCCATCCCTTTCCCTGGTCCTCTCCCGTTTTGCTCCTCTCTTCTCCCCGAAGAGTCCCAAAGTCTCCGCTCCGTGTTCGCCCGAGTCCTGCCGGTCTCTCGCCCTTCCGCGTTAAGAGAGTCGAAAAACGGGAAAGCGTCTCGCCGGATCTCGATGGGATCCTATTATTTTTTTTTTTCTTCTGGATCGAAATCGCGCAGACTGGCCCCCGTTCCCGCGGTATAACTTAAAAAATAGCCAGGTATTAAGCGACGGAGCATCGAAAATGGCCAAGTCTCGGGGGCTTGGAAGGCGCAGTCGTTTAAAAGCGGATCTTAGGTGGTGCCACTTTCAATGTATCGAGTGGGATCTGTCCGGCGGACCAGTTCGGGATTTCACGGCGGGTTTTAAAATAGATACTCGAAGCAGCGGGGACGCGCGGTCGTCTTAACAGCCGAAGCGTCTTCGAGGATGATTTATCCCGCGGGTTTACGAGACCCGGCGAGTGGACCACCCTGGGTAGCGAATAAAACGGGCCTCGATTCGGGCGAGACGATTTCCCTACTCTTTCCGGAGTCGTCTGGGAAGGTTCGCGGCGTTGTGGCTCGCAGCCTCGGAGAGGCGCCGACCGCCAGTAACCAGGAAGTCTCGGTAGTATTTGATTAGGTTCGTTTCTCATCGAGATCCACCGCCGTCTTCATTCCCTTTACCTTTCGCACCAGTTCATGTACTTAAGAGCAGAATCGTAGCGGAATAACGTGCCATGATATGTACCCCATACACGCCACACACCCATGCGTACACTCTTTTGGAAGATATATAATTCATTATTTATGGCTTTGCATAGAGATTTTAACGGTTCAAAAGGGCACTCGCCCTGCAGAGAAGTTTCGCGTTCCGCTCCGAATGCTGAGAATTATACGTCTTTTTCTAAGGCTGGCTCTGATCCATACTTCCTAATACTACCTGAGTAATGGAATCTAACAGATTGTAGCTCCATTTAGTCGATAAGAAATATGCGTCGCGGTCGTTGATCGCACGCCGTAGACTTTAGATAAAACTAACACGTAGTAATTTGTAATCAAATGTATTTGTATACAGTATTGCGCTTAACGACGGACTATGTAAAAAAGAAAAAAAAGAGAGAGAGAATTTATCTCGCTGTCACCACACGCTGAACGAGAAATAAAGGTATTTTCCAGCTAAAACTCTTATTGACTGTTGGAAATCGTTTCTTTTTTAAATACCTAACGTTTGATACACGCGACGGACGTGCGTTGCTCGGATTATATACGTTCGAGGAAACAAAAAGATCTCGGGCCACGTTTATAAATAAGGTTCCAAGAACCGTTACGTTAAGTCGAGATGCAATTTTGGAATTGAGCCCACTGTGAACTGCCCGTTTGCAAAATAAATTCACATGCGCCGAAAAAAGAAATGTAACCGTGTCGGGACGTGTTTATTAATATTCATGAAATAAAACATATCTTTCCTGGGACTCGAAGGTTACAAAAGAAGAGCGTACTTTCAGATCGGATTTCTGGAAAATGTAGCTCCCGCGCATTTTCGAATCTCGATACTTACCCTCCGAGATTGGTATTTAGCACGGAATAGAAATGATTTCCAAAGTCGATAAGAAATCTACCTCAGCTTCGTGGTACCGTTCAGGCACACAGGTGGCACCAGCGACGCGAAGTTCGGAGGCAGATAGCGCCACGTGCGGGTCACTTAACACACGTCACCAGTGTGTTCGAGCTCGAATTACGATATTTGAGTTAATTCTCCTGAAATAATGACTTTCGCGTGAGAAACGGGGGTGCTCGTAATTAGAGAGAACGTCGCGTCTCCAGGAATGTGCCCCGCGTCCGCGTCACCGGCCCAGATACTATGGAGGTCGTCCTAACCTAACTTTCCCTTTTCACCGAACCAGTCGGAGGTAACTGTTCCTTCTATCAGTAGAATTAAATGCTATCTTTCAAGTGAGTTACATCAAGATAGCATGTTCTGCATGTGAAGTCGAAATAATTACATTTCGATTAAATTTAAGTTCGAGTGAGTGATACCTCAAGGTTAAAAAAATTATTTTAGGAGTTTGCATCGTGCATAATTATTCATACAAATGTTCCTCCTTTTCAGCCCCACAGCAGAAGTCGAGAAAGAAATGTTACAATTGGATGTAACTTTGACATCAGTAGTTTGATGCTAATCTAGTTCTTGAAACATGATGTCAAACGGTATCCCGAGCTCTACCAGAGAGGCCACGGTGAGTCCACCAGCCAACAGTGGTGGCTGTGCCCCTATGCCGTCGTCGTCATCAACCCTGGACTCACCATTCATGAAGTTATCTTCGTACTTCTTAGCGGCACGGCCATGGTCGCTAAGTGCATCTCTAGTACCGACTCTCTTGGGCTCAGCCTTGGCATGCCGCTTGACAGGCCTCGCAGGCTTCAGTTGGATCTCATTGGTCTTAACGATATGTACCGTTGGATGTGTTCACGGTGCGGGCAATTTAGTAAACACTTATTTTGATTATATAAAGGGTGTCGATAGTCGAAAAAGCGATGACAGAATTCTGGTGGATCAGCTGCTCTCCAAGGATGAGGTGGTAACGTTCGGTGCCCTCTTGTATGCCCTTGGATGTTTAGGCTTCATCCTACTGACAATGATCTCACCGGCAAAGATGGAGCATCTGGCACTGGTGTACTTTGGTGGCTTGTCATCATCTTTCCTCTATACCGGAGGTATTGGATTGAAGTACATTGCATTGGGTGACGTACTGATTCTGGTAATCTTTGGACCCATTTCGGTTCTTTTTGCATTCATGGCGCAAACTGGCTACATAGAGTGGGGTACTATGTATTATGCCATACCACTGGCTCTAAATACCGAAGCGATTCTACATAGCAACAACACTCGTGACTCGGAGAGCGATAAGAGGGTAGGCATCATTACCTTGGCCATCCTCATTGGACATACCGCATCGCATGTTTTGTACGCTTTCTTACTATTCGCACCATACATCATCCTTGTAGTGCTCGCCCTGAGGTACTCGGTGTGGTTTCTTCTGCCAGTTGTGACTTTACCGGTGGCCTTTAGAATAGAGAAACAATTCAGAAGCCCTCAAATGATTCAGAGCGTGCCGAAGCAAACTGCTAGGCTGAACATGTGTTTGGGAATTTTGTATGTAGTCGCCTGTATCAAGGCTGAGCCACTTCCATATCTCTAATTCTGGAGAGTCATCCATTTGGAGCCTCCCTTTTATGAGCACCGAAGTGCGTTGGAGAAGCTTGTGGCAGTTAGCAGCTCCTGGCAGTTGACTTGGACTGCTTGACTTATGACTGATCTGTCTGCTGTTTTTTATCTAAACACTGCTGTCAATCCTAATGCCGGTGATGTACGCAGAGAAGGCATGACACAACTGCAAAGAGAGTCGGCATTAGAGCTGTCTCGAAGACACGACTACTTCCATTTTCTACGCTCGGCTCGTGGAATTTGAATTTTCATTGTAAGCACCCCTGAAGCGCATCAAGTCTGAATAAACAAGAAGCCTAATTTGACAATATATTCGAAGACCAGGTCGACATCTTGTAGTATTTATCAGTTCTACATCTGCATTCATGTTACAAAAATCCATTAAGCATACAATTACATGTATTGTAAATAACACTATTTCTCAGAATCTTATGTTATTTTGTAAAATTCAGTGGCAAAGTTTTACTGTCGCGGTGGGTCCGAAGGCTTACGTTATCGGTATATATACATTATATCGATGTGTTTATTTTAATAAAATTAATTTATTACTACTCACCGTGGTGAATCTCGAATATAGATGATAACTATTAAACAGGCAATCTTGTGATCAATGTTTTATTACAAAACATTTTTACATGAAAACAAAGACAATCTCCCGTTTCATTATAAAAATATAAAATAAAATATTTCGCTTTCATATATGTATCTATAGAAAATAGTTTGGTTAACGCTGTGTTGAAGAAATGTTTAAATACTCTCCGTTAATTATTAATTATTTAGAAGAATCATTTTGATAATCAAAAGTATGTCTTTTGTACTATCTAACTAAAGCAGGAACTGAAGCTTAATGTTTTACGCTACTCTATTTAGCGTAAACATTGGAAAGTGCTATTATTTTCGATTTTGTTCCTTGCCGCTAATGGGTGCGCCTCTTCCAATAGCAGCAAACATGTGAAGTTTTTTATTAATGCCTCGGGGCTTGCCTCGGGGCTTGCCTCGTCCGATCCCTACAAGGCTGATCATTGATTCCATGTCATCAATTGTAGAAACTTCATCCTCAGCCCGTAATAGTGCTTCACTGTAACCACGTGGGGTTCTGAGAGATTCATCGAGTTGCACTTCCTTGCAGTTCTTAGAGCTAAAATAAATATAAGACGTAACTGAAATTTCTGAACAATTGTAACAATGATCATTTTCTGTAAAGTATATAATATAAGGAGTGTTACGACAGTAACCTTAAAGGTTCTTCAAATGTGATCGGTTTTATAAAATTGTCAATCGATGTGTCAACACTTGCATTACATGGCCAATTTCCATGAGAGTCTACCTCCCAAGTCTCATCGGTGTCTGCTATGCTCTCCATTTCAGATGGAACATAAGTCTTAATGGATCCCTGCTTTGGTGTGCCTAATAAAATACAAGAACATACATTGATATCAAGTTTGAATTAATATAATACATTCGAAAAATTACCGAAGAGATCGTTACAGTACTTTGATACAAATAAGGGTCCAAGAATGTTCTCATTGGACACGTCTTGATATGGTTCTCCATATCTGCCTTGAAGAGTCTATGAGTAGCATTGTACGGACATATCTCTTTATAATTCTCAGGGAAATTCTGCATAAGAAAACATGTATTGCAAATTTTATCCCATTATAAATACCGTCTAAATTTTAATTTTAATTGTTGAAACAGTAAGAGTACTTGACCTACCCTCTCGCATTTCACGATATGCTTTTGAATTCGAGATCTAACAATTCGGTGACTCCTATCATAGGGGCAAATGATAATGGGATCGTCTAAATCATAAGATCCGAACATTCTAATACCTTTGTCAAGTGAACCTTTAAAATTCAAAAATCAATGAATACAGTTTGGTCGCTTCCTTTCTGTAAATACCTCGACAATCGACAACAAAGAAATCAACAGAAGCCGGTACACTCTTTATAGTGCTTTTGTTTGAATTTCTCCCAGAACAAAAAATAGGGCTAAGTTTTTAACCATAACCTAAAGGAGACGAGAGTGGTCACGTCAATTTAAACGTGTGCATAGACATCTGTAGGAGTTTCGCGGGAACACGTTCAAATTTCCCGCACAGGACGAGCTAACCTACCATACCGTGGTCCTTATTGACTTTGGCGGAACCTCGGAAATCAGGCGCCATTTTGGATCTGTCAAAAGTGACTGTTTTGTGTATTGACGTCCCGCGGCCGATTCCGGAGTTCCGTTCTATCCGATCGACGCGGTCGCGATAGGAAAAAGATCGCAGAGGGAGCGTTGCACCCGACGGGTCGAGGATGAGCCTGCCGCGGGAGCTCCGATCTCCCGGGGGACTCGGGCGCGTCGGAAAACGAGTATTGTAGCAATTTAAGCAGGGCTTGGCTGAGACGTTCCCCGACATGAAGAGCCGAGCAATGATCGACGCTTTTTGAGGCGTCGGCCTTTCTATTGCTCTCGTCGATCTCGAAAAGAGACAACCATGGCTACAAGCGTGGATGAATCCGACCCGGACGAGCACGGCAGGCCTGCTTCTCCAAAAAGACCTCGCAGGCTGCTCATCGAGGTCGAAGACTCTTTTCGACTGGTAATCTCTGTTTATTATGCACCTCGCACATTTGCAACCAGTGTATTCCCCTTTACGTTACAACTATGTCAGAATAATTCACGTAATCTTTTATTAACACTTAGGAGCAGCAACCGCCAGAGAAGGAAGCACCCGTCGAGGCGGAAGTTGACCCAGAATTCAATGAGAACGAGAGACTGGAAAGGGAGGAACTGAAAAGATGGCAAGCCCTTCAAGACGCGAGAGCGTTTGTGGACAATGCGGTAAATCGTATTCTGGAGAGACACATCATGTCGCAGCCAACTGCATTCAGAGGAAGCGAGATGGAGGACACGGCGGTGACGATGGCAATTAGAAACCATGGTTTGGTTCAGTCGACGGGGTTGGTGTCTCAAACCTCTCGTCCCATCTGTAAAAACGGATCTAATGGAATCTGTAACTGTGGAGGACCTCCGGTAACACTGTGCTTCTATCCGACAAATTATGGCCAGAGTGTTTCCGAAACTGGCCCATCAAGTAACCAGCAGGAGGACTTCCTGGAGTGTGCCATCATCGAAGCTATTAGAAAGAAGGGTCTGAGTGCGCTTGGTGACGACTAAGGTTAGCCCCAGGGTCTCTGTCCTTTGGGATCGTCTCATCTCACCGTTGCTCGTCGCTATGTTTCATAATGTAACTTCCTCGGATGTAAAAGAGAGGCTAGCCAGTGTACATTACCTTTTGATCGGCCACCACTTGTCTCGAGTATTTTTCAAAGAAAAGACTAGCAGAGGTGGCCACTCGTGCCCTGCTGTACCGCGATCTATGGTGTCGAGAATGACACGAGTCGAGTAACTAAGTCGCTGGCTTAACAAAGCAACGGAGAGCTATTTCTAATTATTCCATAAATATCCGCTTTGTTCTAGCGGTCGCTAGAATCGTGTATGGTTCCTATGCATCGTCGTTTGCTGGAACCAGGATTTTAAATCGATAAGTATCACGAAATGCTTATTGATTTAAATCGGAGAATTAATCCTGATTATCAGTATGACAATGTATCGAGTGAAGTTTAGGGTTCCTAAACTATTACTATAAAAAGAAAAAATATATATTATATCCTCATGTATGCATATTCGATGACTAATTGTGTGATCAATATTATTCACAAATATAAATAAACGAGGATAGCGAACATTCGGAGAAGAAACCATTGGATGCTGTCGGACCTATAAAATTCTGTGGTTTTAATTTTTTTTACTTTATTTTTTTTCAGCTCCGATATATATAAAATTGCATGTAGCCTTTTGCATTGGCTGCCTGCAACCAATCAAAGCTCGAGCTTCCAATTCCTAGGATTAACAGGAAATCCGTATGTGACGCCGGGAAGAACTTTTCTCCCGGCATCATATGTGCCCTCCCTCTCCATCTTGCACAAGAGAAGGCGGAGACCGTTGCTTTCTTTCTCTACGAAAATAGCATCCTTCTCTCTTGCTCCGTCTTGCTTCCCGTAAGAGCAAGAGAGATAGCGTGGTCTCCCGATTTCCAAGATGGCCGCCTGCTCTATGCGGGCTGCAGGATCCCATGCCCCGCCCGGAGAATTCGCGGCCGTTGATTGGTCCGGGAGCGCTCGCTCCAGGGGAAATGACCAATCACGGGGACGCGCGCGCCCCTCCCGGCGATCGTGGCCGTAGCGACGGTACGGCGTGTCGGCAGAGTCTCCGGAGCGGCGAGTCCGGCCGCGCGTTCCAAGCGAGTGTGCGCGTCCTTCTTTGATGTCGTATCTCGGCGCCGTTTACGCGCACGGCCCCCGAGTACACGCGAGTGACCCCCGCGCATAGAGAGGACGAACGAGCAGGAGCCGCGACGGCCACCGAGGATGGCGTCCGACGACGAGGTCGAAGAGAGCTACGCGGGTAAGTGCCGCCGCGAGGACGCGCGCTTTTCGTAGCATGGCTGCCATGTCAATCAAGGCGTCCTAGGATGTTAGACGCGCGGTGAGGCGAGAGACGCCTCCGAGAATCCGAGATATCCATTTAATTGCAACCCCAGGTCCTTTTCCGGTCCTCTCGGATACCTCTCTCGGTGCCGGCGGACCCGGCGACTCCTTCGGAAATCCTCGGAAAATTTCGCGCCGTAGAGCGTGCTTCGAGACTTCACCGGCTGCACTCGCGACCCCCCTCTCCGCTCTTCCCGCTTCGAAGGTTTTCTCGGCTCCTGGGGACCTGCCTTTTCTTTTCGTTCCTTTGCTTCTCATTCTTCTTCTTCTTCTTCTTAACCTTAATTGAGCCTATTTTTTGCTTTACTTTAACTGCCCATGTTTGAGGTTGGAAGATCCGTGCGGGATTTTTTTTCTCTTTAAGCATCTACTATTATTTAATTGGCATTCATTTTCTGATTTTATTACTTTTTGTTTATTTTTAGAGGACCTAGCAAGAGGTTGGAGAAGCTAAGATTTGCATCGGATGTTATTTTGTGACTTGACAGTTCTGTCAATGGGATCATTTGAATCGTGTTAAGGGATTATCGGTAATTTCCATGGATTTTTGGCAATGATTCGAATCCTGGTGATCCTAGTACTGGTAGTTAACTCAATATTCAAATGACAATTATATCCTTTGGATAATGTAACGTTCCTTGCTTCTCCATTAAATCTTGACCTGGAAATGGGCAAGCACTAGATCGCTATGTGAAGAATATTTTGTAAGTTACATCCTGCGAGAAAGTGCAATTTTATTGTCTTTGAGGATCGACGATCGGTGTTGTAGTTTCTTGCAGTTCTACGTAGGTTCTGTATTTTATTTTCATGCATTGTATTTTTTTTCCCCTGTTTATTTGATTCTCGGAAATTTTCGGAAATGATTCGCTAAAGGAAGTTAATAGGATAGCGATCTCTTGCTACTCGTCGAGAGGTTAGGTCAGAGAACTTTTCGCTGATTTTGTAGGTATCGATATATCTGAAGGAGAGGAATGAATGAAAAAAGAGGATGATGGGGCAAAATGCATTACGTACGTCCCAAGCGAGGTTAGGAATCGGCAGATTTCGGAGGTAGGGTTAGAGAGATTTCCCCGGGAGATGGAAGTTGCCGTGGAGAAGTTTAGAGCGGGACGGAGCTATCGGCGGGGCCGCGCGTCAGAGTGAGAGGAGGCGCGACGGGCGAAGACGAATGGTGCGTGCCCTTTTGAGAGAAAATGGCCGCGACACTCACGCGGCATTCTCGTGCAAACAGGTGGCGGTCAATTCGATTTGAAAGCCCGAACTGGCCCCACGGTTGGCTCGGTTTATCATCGCCGAATCCATTCGACATGAGCCTCCCTCAAGTTTGCTGCGCTTTTAAAAAAAAGGCGATTCAAAAGTCTCGAGGCGGTTTAAGAAATAGTCGCCATGACGTATCGCCCGGCGGTCCGTTCCTTGCGCTCCGATTGGTCCATCCCCCTGGATCCTTCCGCTGTCCGCGCTTCTCGATACCCCCTTCATTTCCTCTTCATTCTTGAAAAACTGTAAATTCGAATCACTCTCGGACTTACGAAAGCGAGAAACTCGGATTACAATTTCTATGTAGCTCCTTTTTTTTTTTTTTTTTTTTTTCTAGGAGCAAGAGGGAAATACGCGAAATTTTCGTCCTTTAAAATATTCCCGTTAGGGCGAGCGCATGGACAAATTATTAAACATGCGCGCCCATCTCGAGTATTTGCGGGCCCGGGGGAGAGGGCATTGATTAAAAATCAATATTAGAATTTCAAGCCCGGCCGGACCGAGTCATTCCGCGAATGTGTGGTTTGAGGGCGGCAGGCGGAGGGAGGGAAAAAAGAATTGCAGCGAGATAAAAAGAGTTTTCAGCGGATGCACCGGGTACCGCCTGCGCGTGTGCGCGCGCCGATCCGTACACGGATCGGGCACACGCACGTGGGACCGCGCGGCTTTCTTTTTCCCTCTCGCGAGCGCACTCACCTGGGAGAGACAAAGACCTTGGGCTCGGCGGCGCGCCAATGAGACCACCCGTCAAGATGGCGCCGCCGGTTGCCCTTACACCGTTGCACTTATTCCTGGGTCGGTGTCTCTCGTTAGCTGTCATGGCATGAAATATGGAACGGCAAGAAATGACGCTACTTTCATTTTTTTTTTTTCCATATTCCATTACGAAATAAAAATTGTTTCCCTCTATATACTTACGTACGACATATGTAAATGCATACGTAGGAAGTTCTATTCGTGAGATTCAAAATTGGGTTTTATTCGGAATTTATTTATCGAGGCCTTGGCTCCTCCGTGAAATTCGTCTACATTTTATTTTAGGCTTTTGTATCGGTTTTAGGGGGTGGAAACCTTGGCGAGCCGAAGGGCTGCCAAGGGATTACAAGAGAGTGCACGAGGAACGCTAATTATAGCTCTCGTATTGATTTCCGCCGATGTATGAATTATTCGGCATTCACTCCGCAATAATCGCCAGGAGGATGAATTTCCCGAAATTTCCTGAGCTCTCGAGCGTTCCGCTTTCTTCCTCTGTTTAAGTTGGTCTCACTTTAGCCGAGTCCGGGATTACTCTCTTTCGTCCATGCATTCATATGTTCGAAGGGTTCGGAGGGGAGAAATGCTAATTCCGGCATTCGGTATTGATTTCTGTAAATGTGCCGAATTATCTGTTTTTACGCAGAGAGGGGGGCCGTTAAAAATGTGACGCCCTCTTATTTTTTTTTGCGTTTTTAATTGAACGATCGTTAAAAAATTGCTGACCTCGATATTATCATCATGAGGTTATAATGGAAGTGCTGATTTTTTTTGTTAAGGTTTTTCATATATAATTTCGGATTAACGTCCGGGATCATCCGCATCTCGCTGGGTTCCCATTTCTCCCTTTCCCTCACCCTTTTATTTTGCCAGACATGGAGAGGGTTTATTGATTTCCCGAGCCGGATGTGAATTGTTGCTCTCGCACCTGCGGTTTTGTATCGCGGCCCTGGGCGGATCGAGTTTTCACCTTTGACAAGGATTTTTTTTTCAATTAACGCTCAATCTTTCTTCGCAGGTGAGGACGACCCAGAGGAGGCCGGAGCTCCTGTGGCGAACGTAGGTCAACAGGTGGACGGTTCTTCCGAAGCGGAAGAGTCGCAGAGATTGGTACGATTGGTATTGACGAATTAATACTACCATCGGTTCCCTCCGATATCACGATCGTTTTCAAATCAATCAGTGGATTAATAAGACTCGAGACCACTTTGAGTATATTTTATTATCGATAACGGACAAAGCAAGGAGGTCAGGTGAATTTTCCGATTTTCGTAGCCCTCGATGCCGTTTCCTCAATTTTTCTATCGATCCACAGGAGGAGGATGACGATTACGAGCCCGAGGAGAGGAAGAAGAAGAAAGGGAAAAAGCGAAAAGCTCGCAGCGAGGACAAGAAGGGGAAGAAGAAAAAGAAGAAGAAAAAATCCGACTCCGGGGACGTGAGTATGCGAAACATTGGTTTCTCTCCGAGGAATTCGCTCTTTGCTTCGTTCTCGGGAAGATCGATATGACGTCTTCGGTGGCGAGACTCGAAGGGGAAAAAAAAAATGAAATTTTAGGAGAGCGACTATGGCGGCGGCGAGGTCGGCGAGGGCGGAGGGGACGACAGCGATTACGCGAGCAACCGAAAAAGCCGGAAATCGTCCTCGAGGAAGTCCTCGGGCCATGGCGCCGCGACGCCCCAGAGTCAGGAGCCCACCACCGGGATGCCGACCATAGAGGAAGTCTGCAGCACCTTCGGGCTGACCGACGTCCAGATCGAATATTCCGACGCCGATTTTCAGAACCTTACGACGTACAAGCTGTTCCAGCAGCACGTCAGACCTCTCCTGGCCAAGGAGAACCCCAAGGTGTGCACCTCGATTCCTCTTGAATTTTTTTTTTTCACCCGTTATAAATTATTTTTCTAAATTACTTCAAGGATGTATTTACAAGAGGTACGGATGTTGCAGGTTCCGATGTCGAAGCTGATGATGCTGGTGGCCGCGAAGTGGAGGGATTTCTCCGAGCTGAACCCCCACACGCAACCAGAGGCCGAGATGTCCTCGGGGAACGTGGACGACGACGGCAGGGGCTCCAGGGCGAACCGAGGTGGACCCGTCCTCGAGGTCGAGGACGATGAAGACGACGACGAGGACAGCGATCGGAAACGCAAGTCCAGGGGCTCCAGGGCGAAAAAAGGGAAGAAGGCCTCGAAGGTGCCCACCCTGAAGATCAAACTGAGCAAGAGGAGACGAGGCAGCTCGGACGAGGAAGCCGAGGGGAGCGGCGTCGGCTCCGACAGGGATTCGGACATGGAGTTCGAGCAGATGCTGGCCGACGCCGAGCAGGTACCCGGAGGCGAGGGCAGCACCAAGGGAATCGAGGAGAGCCCCGTGGAGCCCCCCGCCGAGCCCGTCGTTCGACGGAAGGCCAAGACCAAGATCGGGAACAAGACGAAGAAGAAAAAGAAAACGAAGACCACCTCCAAGTTCCCCGACGGCGAGGAGGGCCTTCAGACCGACCACCAGGACTACTGCGAGGTGTGCCAGCAAGGAGGGGAGATCATCCTCTGCGACACCTGTCCCAGGGCGTATCACCTGGTGTGCCTGGAGCCCGAGCTGGAGGAGACTCCAGAGGGGAAGTGGAGCTGCCCTCACTGCGAGGGAGAAGGAGCTGCCGAGGACGACGACGAGCACATGGAGTTCTGCAGGGTCTGCAAGGACGGTGGCGAACTCCTTTGCTGCGACAGCTGTACCAGTGCTTATCACACGCACTGTCTGAATCCTCCCTTGTCGGAGATACCCGACGGCGATTGGAAGTGTCCCAGGTGTTCCTGTCCCCCTCTCCAGGGAAAGGTCGCCAAGATATTGACCTGGAGGTGGAAGGAGTGCTCCGACGGACCTTCCGAGGAGCCCTCGACGAGCAAGGCCGCGCCCAAACAGCGAAAGAGTCGCGAATTCTTCGTCAAGTGGGCCGACATGTCCTACTGGCACTGCGACTGGATCACCGAGCTGCAGCTCGACGTGTTCCACCCCCTCATGTTTAGGAACTACTCGCGCAAGTACGACATGGACGAGCCTCCGAAGCTGGAGGAGCCTCTCGACGAAAGCGACACCCGCGTCAAGAGGCTCAAGGAACAGGACGGAGCTACCAACCGCGACGAGTACAACCTCGAGGAGAGGTTCTACCGATACGGCGTGCGTCCCGAGTGGTTGGTTGTCCACCGCGTTATCAATCACAGATTGCAACGCGACGGCAGAGCCACCTACCTGGTCAAGTGGAGGGAGTTGGGCTATGACCAGGCCACCTGGGAGGACGAGCACGAGGACATCCCTGGATTAAAGCAGGCCATCGAGTACTATCTCGACCTGCGGGCCGCGAACTGCAGCAGCGACGGGACCACCTCTCGGAAGGGCAAAAAAGGTACTTCGCTCAGTTTATCCTGCTTCCATTAAAAAAAAAAAAAAAATTGAGACATCGATTGTCCCAGGGTTCCGAGTATTGTAATCTCCTCTTTTTCCTCTTCAGGAAAAGGGAAGAAGTCCAAGACCCGGGAGATCATCGACGACGAGGAGAGAACGCCGAAGAGGTACACGCCGCCCCCGGACAAGCCCACGACGGACCTGAAGAAGAAGTACGAGAGGCAGCCGGATTATCTAGACCAAACCGGGATGCAGCTACATCCTTATCAATTGGAGGTGCGCTCTCTATTTTCTTCCACTTTATTTTTTTTTACTCGAAGATGTTGAATTAACCTCGTACGTAATTTTGACTCACAGGGTCTCAACTGGTTGAGATACTCCTGGGGTCAGGGCATCGACACCATCCTGGCCGACGAGATGGGTCTTGGTAAGACCATCCAGACCATCACCTTCCTCTATTCCCTGTACAAAGAGGGCCACTGCAAGGGGCCCTTCCTCGTCTCGGTTCCCCTCTCGACGATCATCAACTGGGAGCGAGAATTCGAGACTTGGGCCCCGGACTTCTACTGCGTCACGTATGTCGGTCGGTATACCTATTTTTCGAGGTGTATTCTCGGGTATACGATAAAATCGCTCCTGGCCGAAGTGTAGAATTTTTTAATACGTTTCAGGCGACAAGGACAGTCGCATAGTGATCCGCGAGAACGAGCTGTCGTTCGAGGAGGGCGCGGTGAGAGGTGGACGAGCCTCGAAGATCCGCTCCTCGCAGATCAAGTTCAACGTCCTGCTGACGAGCTACGAGCTCATCTCCATCGACTCGGCCTGTCTGGGCTCGATAGACTGGGCGGTCCTCGTCGTGGACGAGGCCCACCGGCTCAAGTCGAACCAGTCCAAGTTCTTCCGACTCCTGGCCTCGTACAACATCGCCTACAAGCTCCTCCTGACCGGGACGCCTCTCCAGAACAACCTGGAGGAGCTGTTCCACCTGCTCAACTTCCTCTGCAGAGACAAATTTAACGACCTCGCGGCTTTCCAGAACGAGTTCGCCGACATCTCGAAGGAGGAGCAGGTGAAGAAGCTCCACGAGATGCTGGGGCCTCACATGCTGAGGAGGCTGAAGGCCGACGTGCTGAAGGTTAGTTCCGTCTCGAGGAGCATCTCGACCACGATCGCGACCCCTTGCTCATCCGACTCGCTCTTTCCCTCAGAACATGCCCAGCAAATCCGAGTTCATCGTCAGGGTGGAGCTGTCGCCAATGCAGAAGAAGTACTACAAGTACATCCTGACGAGGAACTTCGAGGCGCTCAACCCGAAGGGCGGCGGCCAGCAGGTCTCTCTGCTGAACATCATGATGGACCTGAAGAAGTGCTGCAACCATCCCTATCTGTTCCCGGCGGCCTCGCAAGAGGCGCCCACGGGGCCCAACGGGAACTACGAGACCTCCGCGTTGATCAAGGCCGCCGGCAAGCTCGTCCTCCTCAGCAAGATGCTCAAGAAGCTCAGGGACGACGGGCACCGCGTGCTCATCTTCTCCCAGATGACGAAGATGCTCGACATCCTCGAGGACTACCTCGAAGGCGAGGGGTACAAGTACGAAAGGATCGACGGGAACATCACCGGCACGCAACGGCAAGAGGCTATAGATAGGTTCAATGCTCCCGGTAAGTGTCTCCTTCTCGAGGACGTTGTTTAAGTTCCTGCGGCTTGATCGGAGGTTTTCCTTTCCCTTGTCAGGAGCGCAGCAGTTCGTCTTCTTGCTGTCGACGCGCGCCGGAGGATTAGGTATCAATTTGGCGACCGCGGACACTGTGATAATCTACGACTCCGACTGGAACCCGCACAACGACATTCAGGCCTTCAGCAGGGCCCACAGGATCGGCCAGGCGAACAAGGTCATGATCTACCGGTTCGTCACCCGTAACTCGGTGGAGGAGAGAGTCACCCAGGTCGCGAAGCGCAAGATGATGCTGACCCATTTGGTCGTACGACCCGGAATGGGGGGAAAGGGGGCCAACTTCAGCAAGCAGGAGCTGGACGACATCCTTCGATTCGGTACGGAGGAGCTCTTCAAGGAGGAGGAGGGCAAAGAGGACGAAGCCATCCACTACGACGACAAAGCCGTAGCGGAACTCCTGGACCGAAGCAAGGAGGGCATCGAGCAGAAGGAGAACTGGGCCAACGAATACTTAAGCTCCTTCAAGGTCGCCTCCTACGTGACGAAGGAAGGCGAGACGGAGGAGGAAGCCGATACGGAAATCATCAAGCAGGAGGCGGAGAACACCGACCCCGCGTACTGGATCAAGCTGCTTAGGCACCACTACGAACAGCAGCAGGAGGATATTGCCAGGACTCTGGGGAAAGGTTCGTAACCTCCTTCTCCCTTGTAACGATTATTTCTCATCCGTCCAAAAAAAATCATGTCGGCGACGCATCGGAAGAGAAAAGTCTCTCGGTAGGTCTGAATATTTTCTTGTCGCCCCAGGTAAACGCGTCAGGAAACAGGTCAATTACAACGATGGAGGAGTCACCGGAGACCAGGGAGCCAGGGACGATCAGCCCTGGCAGGAGAACCTGTCGGACTACAACAGCGACTTCAGCGCTCCGAGTGACGACGACAAGGAGGACGACGATTTCGACGAGAAGGGCGACGGAGACCTCCTGTCGCGTAGAAGCAGACGTCGACTGGAGAGACGGGACGAAAAGGACAGGCCGCTTCCTGCTCTTCTTGCCAGGGTTAACGGAAACATCGAAGTTAGTGATAAAAAATATCCCTCCTTTTATTCGGGTGATCTCCAGGACGCGATTGAATATTTAACCGGGGCATTTTAGGTACTTGGATTTAACGCGAGACAACGAAAGGCCTTCCTCAATGCCATCATGCGTTACGGAATGCCACCGCAGGACGCCTTTAATTCTCAGTGGTAGGTTGATCATTTTTTTGCAAAAGGTATACATTTTTTCTAACTGAATTTTTATTTCTTCAGGTTGGTCAGGGACTTGAGGGGGAAGTCGGAAAAGAACTTCAAGGCGTACGTCTCGTTGTTCATGAGACACCTGTGCGAGCCCGGAGCCGACAATGCCGAGACCTTCGCGGATGGGGTGCCCCGAGAGGGTCTCAGTCGACAGCACGTCCTCACGAGGATCGGAGTGATGAGTCTCATCAGGAAGAAGGTACCTTACCGCTGCGGAAACGGTTACATAAAATGCAACGTAAACGACGATTAATTAACGATCGATCATTTTATAGGTTCAGGAGTTTGAGCACATAAATGGATACTACTCGATGCCTGAAATGATTCGCAAGCCCGTCGAACCGGTCAAAGTGGAGGGAGTCGGTGACGCGGCAACCGGGACGAGCAGCACCAGTGCCACGCCGGCCACTTCGAATGCTCCGAGCCCCAGTCCTGCTGCCACTCCGACCCCCACTCCGTTGAACAGTGCAAGCGAAGGAATCAAATCGGTCGGTGACACCGATGGCAAGGAATCCAGGGACGATGCGAAGGACAAAGAGGTAAGTGGTCCACGACGTGCCTTGATCCCCGTTTCCCCCCCAAACTAGAGAACATCTCTAGAACCAGGAAACGCTGTCGGGCGCCGAATAATTTTTTTTTTAAACTTCTTTCAGATGATAGATGGAAAGGACTCGAAAGAGGACCAGAAAGAGTCGAAGGAGGAGGACGAGTCGAGCCATCTGGACAAGGACAGAGAAAAGGAAGAGATCAAGAAGGAAGAAATGATGGAGGTCGACCCGGATCCCGCCGACAAGGAGAAAGAAAGGGAAAAGGAGAAACCCGAGGCGAAGGAGGAGAAGCCCCTCGTGAAGTTGGACGAGAAGATGGAGAGCAGCGAGGGGAAGCCGAAGTCGGAGCCCGAGGAGGACGTCGTCATTGTCAAGGACGACGAAGAGGAGGTCGAAAAGAAGGACGTGGGTATCCCGGCAGTCCCCGACGCCCCGTTTTCCGTTCCAGCTCGCAATTTTTGAACGCGTAAAATCTCTTCTCCAGGACAAGGAAGCCAAGGAGAAGGAGGTGAAGGAGTGCGAGGCCGAGGTGATGAAGCCGAAGCGCAAGTTCATGTTCAACATCGCCGATGGCGGCTTCACGGAGCTCCACACTCTCTGGCAGAACGAGGAAAAAGCCGCGGTACCCGGAAGGGAGTACGAAATCTGGCATCGAAGGCACGACTACTGGCTCCTGGCCGGCATCGTTACCCACGGATACGGACGTTGGCAGGACATTCAAAACGACATCCGGTAAGCGGGGGTCTCTCCCTTCCAGCGATACCGGACACCTCGTTATGGACGATTAACGAATCTCTCTCCTCAGGTTCGCCATCATCAACGAGCCCTTCAAGATGGACGTGGGGAAGGGCAACTTCCTCGAGATAAAGAACAAGTTCCTGGCGCGGCGGTTCAAGCTCCTGGAGCAGGCGCTAGTGATCGAGGAGCAGCTGCGCAGGGCGGCGTACCTGAACCTGACCCAGGACCCGAACCACCCGGCGATGAGCCTGAACGCGAGGTTCGCCGAGGTCGAGTGCCTGGCCGAGTCGCACCAGCACCTGAGCAAGGAGAGCCTCTCCGGCAACAAGCCGGCGAACGCCGTCCTCCACAAGGTGCTGAACCAGCTCGAGGAGCTGCTCTCGGACATGAAGTCGGACGTGAGCAGACTGCCGGCCACCCTGGCACGCATCCCGCCGGTGGCGCAGCGGTTGCAGATGTCGGAGCGATCGATCCTGAGCCGACTGGCCGCGACCGCGCCCGGTGGAGGCGCCGCCCAGTCCGGCCAGGCCGCCCTCCTCGCCCAGCAGTTCCCCGCTGGGTTTTCCAGCGGCCAGCTGCCCGCCACCTTCGCCGGGGCCGCCAACTTCGGCAACTTCCGGCCTCAGTACTCGGTGCCTGGCCAGCCGCCCCAGGGGTTTACCGGTGAGTCCTCCAAATTTTTCGGAGAGAGTTTCGGTTTTAAAACGGCGCTATCCTCTTTTCAGCTTAAACGCGCGAGCTGGCTGACGAGACAGTTCGACAGGACTCGGGAGAGGCGAAGGACTCTCCCCGGACCGGACCAGGAAGGACAGTCGGGCGGGGTCTGCGCTCCAGGCCTCGTTCGCTCGACTCACCCCCGGGATTGCCGAGCGCCGAAGCGTCGACGACCTCCAAGAATTCCTAGACAGGGATCCGACGGTTCTGTATTTATTGCGACGTACGTGTGTGTGTACAGTTTCGGTGCCGGGCGTCACTTCTCGGGCCCGTCGGCGAGGCCGAGTCGAAGTTTTCAGGTTATGACGCGGTCGCCTGCAAGAGGCCCGGGTTCGAGTTGGAGGTTAGGTTGCGAAGAAAGGGAGGGGGCGCGCCACTCGATGACCGACGCCTGGTGCGCGACGAAGTTACGTCTTACTTAACCTAATTTAAGCCCTTGACGCGCCCGCGCTATTAATTTATTCGTAAGAGTCTCCCCAGCAATAATATCCTCCGACGCAGGCACGAGACCGGAGGCTTCGGCGGGCTACGCGCGATCGTAAGGTCGGTGGGTTGCTTCGCAGCGAAGCCGGATTTTAGCAGCGAGCCAGGGCTCTGCGTCCGGGAGAATTCGTTCGATGTGCTACGAACACTGCTCGATGTAGAGGTCTCGAGGAGAGGTCGGGCATGCCGGTGGTAGAGCGTACATTGATTGTATTACTCGTTTAAAGACCTTTTAAGTAGAGTAACGGTGATGCCCGATGGGTGTAAGGGGATCGACGATCGTAAACTATGCAGTGAACCTCTTCGACCTCCCTTGTTTTCCAGTCGACTCCTAGAGATCCTTCGCATCGGATAGTGGTATCATCGAGAGTCGAGGAACACTGCGTGAGAGGTGCGACGTGCGTGTGCGAGTGCGAGTGCGTAAGAATTCTCTCGGTCTTTTTTACTCAATTTTCACGAGACAAGAAGGGACATTGGATATACTTTCTTTTTCCGATCGACAGATGTGCCGAGACACCTCGGCAGTTGGTTAGATTTTTAGGAGCGTAGGTTTAGGATGTCGGTTAAGGAATTAAATGAGGATAATTGAGTGACAGTGAGAGAGAAAGCGCCGCGAGTTTCATGGAAAGTAAGTAGCACCACTCGGAATGGTTTGTTGTATGTAACATTCCTGTCTGTGGAATAAATTAATAATTACAAGGTGCACAAAGAGGTAAGGACTCTCCATTGGATTTGTTCCGACCGTTACCGCTGTCAAATCCTTTCCCTTCGCATTCCTGGATGGGCTGGGTTAATAACTTAAATGTTTCAAATGAATTTTAAATTTTATAGTTACAACTTTAATTTACTCGATACAATTCTTAAATCTGAATATTTCCTTTCGATTAAACATACCGTTCTCAAATAGAAGTTGTCTTACGCTTTTAACAAAGTCAATGAAGAGCGTTGAAATTAAATAGCGATGGTGAGAAATTTTCTTATTTCCCATGAAGCACGCACGTAAAAAATGACCTGGAGGAGGATCCATTAGCCAGAGGCTTCCTTGCTCTGCCGTTGTTGGACCATCTCTCGGAGATGGTTTTCGCTGTCCTTCAAGCTCTGTTGTAAAAACGTCTTGCTGTTTTCCAGCGTGGTGATCTTCTTCTCCGCGTTAGCCACCCGTTTCTCGAGCTCTTCCTTAATATTATCGATGTCGTCGAGCAGAAACATTCTGCCGACCGATTCGTATAGTCTGGTGTTAGGAGGAAGTGTGGTTACCTCCTTGACGGTGAGCTTCGCTCGCTTCATCGTTCGTTGCAGGGAGTCAATCTGCAGATCCGTTAATGTTTGTTTCTGCGAGGTGTCTATAAGCTTCCTCTGAAGCTCCGCAAACGCCTTTTTTAACTCTTCGTCAGGTTCTCTCGCCATTTTCGAATTTATCCAAAATTATCCGGAGCTTTGTTACCTTTTTCGACTTTCCCCTGGTTACATTTCCAAGGAACAGAAGTGGTCTGACTTCGACCAATCAGCAGCGAATTTCCGTTGGATCCGAAGGGTTCTGCTCGCCCATTGGTCCGTCGGCGGTAATCGCATGGACTCTCCTCCGATCTTAATTGTCAACGCGCTAACGTTCTACAAATGCGTTTTGTTCGTGGTTGAAATTAAAAAATTATAAATGTTCTTCGTCTTGAACGTGAGTTTACAATTTTGCGATACATTTGCTATAATTATTAAAGAAACATTTCAATTTATAAATTTTTACTCGTGTTTTATAGGAGCATATTTTTTCAATGTATAATGGTAGCGTCTCTAAGTTAGGTTAAGTGTCAGCACACCGTAATATAATTTTGGCGTAATTTTTCAGTGTTGGCTTTGACTGCTGGACTTCAGTTACCTTTAGTCACTGCAGTGGAATTTAAATTATCTCTCGGATTGTTGAGGTTTGAGATAATTAATTTTTATTATCATGGAAAATACATCCGAAGCACGAGAAAGAGAGCTGCAGGATTTAGATAGCTTCGTGGAGCATTCAGAGAAAGATTTACTTGAAATCATCCATGCTTTAGGATGGACAAAGGAGAGTATTTTCAACAAGGTGAGCAGAATTTATTGTTTATAATGTTTATGATTTCTTAAGTCGATACCACAGTTGCTCATTACTTTTGTTTTTTGTAGACATCAGATTTTATCAATTGTCCATTCAATGATTCACATCGGATGACAGAAAATTCATTTGAACGACATTTGGAGGCATGTCAATGGAAAGCTGAGGGTTACAACGAACAGGACATCCCATTGTCTATTGTAAACAGTTCGTCGAATTCGTCAGCTGCTATTATGTTTGGTAACTAAGAAATCATCGATGTGATTAAATTCATTTGTAATACAAAAATTCACACGGGATCAATGATAACATTTCCTTGTTTTTATTAGACGAACAATTGCAAGACGATGTACTTGCCGCGGCCAAAATCCAAAATCCAGCTATGAAAGTAGGTCAGTATCGATACGTCGATAGAAGATCTTAAGGCTTCTATCACGTGTTAAACTATTTGATTTTTTCCAGAAGTTTATGAATGTTATTCTTGGCATGGACTCGCTATATCCTTTTTCATATCCTTTGCTAAATTTATATTCATTCGTTGCTCTTGATAAATGCCTAGTAGATACATATGCCAAGTCTATTGGCGAGTACAATTGTCACTCGCCAAATATATTTCTTTACACATCAAAGAGAACAATTGACAATAACGATGCTCGATAGGTGTGGGCGACCGATTAATTCCCCGCACGTCAGATAGACTTGTAGCGGATTTTACGTCCGACGAGCGCAAGGCACTGTACGACCACGTCATTGCGAACACCGTCAAGCCTGACATCGGCGATGACATAGCTGATATCAACAGATTGTGAGTACATAAAATTAATTCAAATATTTACTCGAGATCTGACAATCCCTAATTAATCGTTACAGAAAAAGTGATGGAGAGCCTAAGAAAATGTCATTCCTGGAGCTCCTTGCCCAGGAACGTAACCTGAAACGACGGAGGGCAAAACACAGAGGAGTCCACACGAACAAAAAATCCCATGTAGAGATTCTCCGGGAAGTCATCGAACAGCAAATGGAACTGTACGCGGAGTACCTCTCCGATCAGCAGGGTCTGTGTTCTTCGGTGAAACTAGAAGTCGACTCGGCGTCAAATAACAACGAGAATCTCGGAAAATGGTCCAGCACGAAGAGCGAAACCCAGAATGCGGAGAACTTCCCTCTCAAAGGTGGCACTTCCTGGGCCCAAGAGAGAGACGTTTCCTGCCCCAGAGAATGGAACGGCCGACGTCCTCCCGATTTTCAGGACGGACACGAGAGCCACAAGGTACGCAGGAAGAGGGACCACGACTTCGACCGAGATCCTTGGCGAGACTACGAAAAAAGTAGGCACGGACATCGAGAGAGAGAAAGAGATCATCGGGGGGAAGAGAGACGGTCCTCGGGGAAACGAAGAGAGGAATCGGAACGAAGGCACGAGTCCTCGCATCGGAAGTCGCACAAAAAAGAGAAGCACCGGTCAGGGGACGAATCGACGAGGGAGAGCTCTCACAAGTCACACCATGAAAGACGTAAACGCTCCCACCACGACGAGGAAAGGAAGAGGAAGCGACGACCGACGCCGTGAATCCACCTCCGAAGGAAAATCTGGGAAATAACGAACACTCGCCGAGGAAATAATTATTTACGCGCATCTAATCTTCGTCCGTCTTCGCGATACACTATCTGTTAACAACTACATTTCCGTTCAACTCGAGGCACCTAGTAGTCGTTCGAAATGCGCTCTCGCCGGAAGTGTCGACGAGAGTCGAAGTCGTCGAAATCCGGACTCCCGTAGTTCTTGAACGCGTCCTTGTAGTCTTTCAAGTGCTTGAACGACTGCAGCTTGTACAGCTTCGAGACGTTGAAACTCAGGAGCTGCAGGACATCCGGATGACCGTGACCCAGAGCCATGTAGAGATTATCGGCGTTGAAGGTCTTGCACTCGTAGGAGATCAAGAGCTTCTCTATGTCGTAGAACGACAGGTGGATCCTCTGCCCGATCCTCGCGTTCTTCCTCTGGAACAAGAACCGACCAAAATCAGTTCTCCCACCCCGAATTCGCCCTCGGGATTTTTACCAGCGGTATTAGCGTCGGCGATGACTTGTTTACGGAGAACGCGGTCATCGGGTAGTGCATGATGCTATCGTAGTCGTAGGGCAGCCCGAAGGTATTGGCCTCGGTCTCTGCCAGGACCCTGAAGTTGAAGGCGTCCCCTGAAAAAATAAACGAGTAAAAATAAAATAAAAGGTAGTAGGCTAGTTCTTTCGGTATCCGAAGCCCGGATTCGCGCGGTACCCTTTTTAATGTTCTCCCAGACGACTTTGACGTGCCGGTCCCGGTCTGACCTCATGTGCTCGTGATAGACCCCGAGAGTGTGCAGGAACTCGTGGACGGCGTGTCCCCTGGTCCTGAAACACCTGTCGACCTCCAGGTTGAGGTAGGTCGGCTTCCAGGGGGAACGTCCCAGGTCCGACCAGCACCCCTTCTCGTGGCCTGTAATATTTACCCAGGAGTGCCCAGGGAACCTGCCTCTTGCGTCAGGTCGTACCCTTTCGAACTTGATGCAGGTTCTGCGCTCGATCTCCTCCATCGCGTCCTCGAGAACTGCCAGGGCGGACGGCGCGCTCGCTGCGGAACCGTTTTCTCCTGTACCTTTTCACTCGCACTCGTTGCTAGCAACCCCAGGTCATAATTAATTTTAAAGCTCACCGATGGACTCGTGCACGTGGTACTTCACCACCCCGTTCGGCCAGAGCAGCTTCTCCCTCCTCGTGACGGTCTTCCTGGACGCAGGGGCCAGCTCGATGTCGCCCTCCTGCCTACCGGCTTCCTCGGGGTTGTCGTACTGCGACCAGGCGTCCACTAGAAAAATATAGAAATTAAATTGACGACGCTTATGCTTGTAAATAATTCAACGACGATTGCCATTCAACCGGATCGAAGAAGCTCACGTTTATATCCGATCCCCTGGTAATTTCCTGTGACCGTTTCCTGCGTCGAGACGGACCCGTAGACGTTCCCATCGAGCGGCGCGACGCAGCAGCAGAAAAGGACCCACAAGGTCGTCCTCGAGTAGCCAGCGCCTTTCGTTTCCGTCATACCCTTTTTCTTTAGATCGCAGAAGCCACCTCGCCTCGGGAAAGCACACTCGTCGACGTCCACAATGAGACTCGACGCCCAACGCCGATCGGCCTGCCAGGGGTACGTCGACACTTAACGAGCCGTTGCCCATAACTTCTCCTTATCGCCGCCTCCACCGAGTCGAGGATCCTCGTGGCTCGGCTTTTTTCTTTAAACCGCGACTATTCACCGGCTACGGAAAATCCTCGACTTGGAAATTATACCCCAGGGCGATCAGGATTTGCTACGGAACGTATCGAAATCGTTCCGCGGCATTCCCGAGCTCCATCCGAACGGCGGTCGGCTGGTTCGTGATAAAAATTCTAACGCTACAATCGATAACGCTCCTCGACGAATTGCGTTATTAGACGTCATCCCTCCAGGATTTACAATGTTCGCCCGCGAACGAGATTTATCGCCGGCCCGCTTTTGCCTCGGCGTCAGCGATTTCCATGCAACCGAGCGCGTGTCAACGTCGCCAATAAAAGTGCACCGATTCGTCAAACCTCCCTGTCCTTTCCGCTTATTTTTATTCGACGGAGTTTAACTTAATCGTTATTACACGGTGTGTGTGTCCGTAAGCCTAGACGCGGAGTACCGGAAGCGGAAATTGTGGTTTTTGAAGAAAACCTCCTATAGACTAGACGAAATTAATATTTGGTAACGAATAGAACGAATTAATTGTGTTCCGCAAGGATCACGAGCTGGCGTTTTATAAGGAATCCGAGTGGCTTTCCTCTTCGGTGGAGGGTCCTCGAAGAGCCCGGATGGACATTATCTGGTACAAGGGGCGAGGCCAGTTGGACGAAGGGCCCAGGACTCTCAGGCGGACGTCGCACTTTTCCATGAGGAACCTCCACTTGATCTTCTGCCTGTCCTCGACGCTCATGGCCTATGGAAGGAAGCGGAAGAACGAGGTGAGGTAACCGTGCCTCGACTTACTCTGCCGAGGCACGGTTACCTCGAACTCTTCGGGGTCGCAGCCCAGGAGCTCTTCCGCGGGTTTACCGGTGGCCTTGCAGCCGATCAGGTACCCCGTGTCGTCTTTGAGGTTCAGCCTGAGGTTGAAGGTCCTTACGTTCTCCGGGGCTCGCGTGCCGTTCCCGAAGGGACAGTCCAAGTTCATGCAAGAGTCCTGCGAAGGGGGTACCATCCTCTTGCACCGCGAGCTGTAACGAAAGTGGAGCATTAAACGACTCTTCGACTACGATTCCAGGATAAGCAGAAAAACGGGCACCATCTCGTTACGATCAGCCCAGGCTCCGAATTGTCCGCGTTCATGTCGGTGACCACCGCGAAGACTATCGTTGCGAACTGTTCTCTGACGCTCTCGTCCAGGTTCTCGTCCCTCTGGTCCAGTCTCTGGATTATCTGCTCGATGGTCATCACGGTCTTGATGTTTTCGGCTGCAAAGGTGGACGATGCTTTCAGGATACCTTCTCTACGTGCATCTACTTGCATTTCTCGAGATGATGAATTTCTTTTTACGATTTATCAAATCCGCGGCGTTGTCCAGGGAGTTCTCGGGTCTCGAGGCGATGAGAGTCCTCAGTTGCTCGGTTTGAGGGATGGTCGGGTTCTCGGTTATCAAAGTCTTCCTCGCTGCAAGTGCAAGGGCGTTAGGCCGGTGAAGTCGACGTTACACCATGAACCAAACTAGTTCGAACACCAAACCTAACAAGGGGACGTTCCTCTTTTTGAAGGGATTCAGGGCGATCCTGACGTCCGCCAAGAAGAGGACGGTTTCTCTGGGTTTCCAGGCTGCGGAGCGATGGACCCAGTCGACCTCCCAGAGTCGGAGTCGGACGTGAGCTTCGCTCGACTCGTCCATCACCTCGAAGTCTCGACAAGCCTGGCTTTTTCCGTTTCGCGTTACCATCTCGCGAATGTCGCTCAGCTGTGGGCGTTCAGAAAATATTAAATTACGAAATTAGTCGGTTAATCGCGAGGGAAATGCGTTATCGATGCCGAACGTACGAAGACGACGAGCACGAGGAGGTCGACGTATTGGTCGGTCATGCCGTCGACGTTCTCCAGGACGACTTTCAGCGGCATGACGCGTTGAACGCTCTTCGTGGGTAGAGCCAACAGCTTCAGGTACTCTCCTCGGTTCGGTGCATCGTACTTCTCGATGAGGGAGGTGCCCTCGTTCAGAGTCAACGCGAAGGGACAGCTTATGGACGGCGAGAACTCCTCGTTCCTGTCGTTCGGACGGCGCTCCACGGCCTTGCCGTTCACGATTTCCACTGAAGAAGGGTTCGTTAATTAAATGTACGCTTTCGGGACATTTTGGTCTCCTCCGTTATTTTAAAAGGAAAAGGTTCATACCGACGTCTCCTATATGGAATCTTGCCGTTAAACCCCTGATGTAGTCGGCGCTTCCCCAGACCGTTACGTTTGTGAAATCTTTTTGCGAGTCTCGGAAAGTGAAGCTCCACACTCCTCTGGTCCCGGTGTGGACTGAAATCGCTCTTCTTGATTATCTTTTTCGCGAGAGGGAGTGAATATTTTATGAGGGATACCTACACCATGAATTTCTGGATTCAAATTCTCTCATATTCGAGTTGCTGATGATCACCCCGACGATGAGGGAATTCTTCGAGCTCGTCGTTAGGGAGTCCAGGGTCTGCTTGAAAACACCGGCCATCGTCCAGGAAGTATTATTCTCCGGAGTATTCTAAGGATTTTTCCCGTTTCTCGCGTCTCTTTCTTCGGTGAGTCCAAGAACGAGCGGGAGGACGGTTTGAAATTGGATTATTTGAATTCGTTCAAGCGGTTTTTGGGTTTCTAACGAGTCCGCAGAGTGGCTCTGCAAGAATATTATCGCGAGAGAGGCGCTGCGATTACCGATTAAAGGACGCTCAGAAAGATTTTTTGTCAATCGAGGAAGTGCACCGACAAGTCTAGAGTGTCCCGAGAGATGGCACCACCATAACATGGAAACAGATCCATGTCCCCAATCAGGACCTCAGTCAGTCGCGAACCTTCTCCGTAACCGCATGGTCGAAGGATCAAGTCATCGCGTATGCGCGCCGAGCTTCAGTCACCTGGCAGTGGCGGCGCTGGCTGTAACTGTTCGTACCGTTCGTACGATGGGTCGACGCGTCGTCTGTCGGGTCTCGTCTTGGCTGTTCGTTTTGTGACTTCTTTGACGATCGGAAAGAATATATTAAAATGTGACTTCCCGGTGATCAGGCTCAAGTGGAATTGGCCAGTGGTAAGACGCGAATCCGTTCTCCAACGACGAAGCACGCTGTGTGGATGCGTCAGGTGAGGTTACGAATCACTATACGCCGTACAGTGTACTACATTAAATGGTGTCAATTTTGCTCGGACGTTTTATTCCCATTTTAATATTTTCCGCCGTCTCTGAATTAAACGTGTCCTACTAAGAGTTTAAAAATATCTACGGATCGCGCTTTAATGCTCTTTTAACCTGAGAGGGTGTGGATCACTCGCTTTGGCAGGAAGCATCCTTTGTCTCGCCGTTGCTCTTTGTTTGATGTTTCACATGTGGCCTGTGACTACTTGCCTGTTGCACGATTGTTAAATTCTGTAACAAGCCAATCGATTATTCCTCGATTTTCCAGATTCCAAATTCAGGATTCAGAGGAAATATAGATGACGGCGCCAAGCTCTCCGAGAGACCTGACATTCTTATAATTGGTGAGTTCCCTCCAGTAGGGTGAATTAATTTCCCAATCTCTTTTATATCCGAATTAATCGATGTATCGTATAAACATACAGAGTCTCGCGTACACGTACACATACTCAAGCACGTAAATATGTTTATCACGACGGCAGAGCCTAGAAAGGGTCACCCTTGACCAGCCCGTATACCCCAAAGTCCAGAGAAGTTCCTTGAAAGGAATCGGACAGATCTAAACTAACTCCTCGATCCCTCCCGAGCACCCATCCAAGCCGAACTCCACATCTAAGATTAATTCCAAGGAAATCTGTGAAAATGAACTCCTGGCTCCCGGATCCCAGGACCTGGCTGATGTTCGACTCCGATCTAAGTACGGTAAAGACTCCTTGCACTTGTAAACATTTTTCTTTACTTCTCTCTAATTCATCATTCGCTCGATACTCATTGAACAATGATTTTTTGAGTACGTTTAATCGGCAGAACGGTTCTTCCAGCGGCCATTCTCGAACCGTAAATCCCGAGCTCCGGTAAGGCCGCGAATCGAGCAGAGACCACGAGTTTCGCGAGTGATATGCCAGCGAAGAGACCTTGTCGCCCTCTTAGCGGCGTCCAGGGATCTGCTTTATCGGCCTTATCCGTATCATCTGTAGTGACTGGCGACGTTGCGAAGATTGCGTGAATCGCGCCGAAATTCCCTTACCACTCGGCGAACCGTGACACGCGTCGGACCGAAGGAACCGAAGGATACTAACGAGCCTCTCGTGCCTCCCTTTTTCTAATTTTTATTCAAAAAACGTGGGGAAAAAAAAAAATCGCTAATCCGCTTTAACGGTCGGTGGACGCGCGCGCCAATGGTCGAGCCCGCCTAAGTCCGATTAATTTCCAGGTCGAGCGGAGTTCTCGAGCGATTACGAGGGGAGCCGTTGCACGGAAAACGCGGATCGCGTTATCGAGAGCTTGTCGGCGTTATCGGAGCCCAGTGACCCGCGGATGTCGTCACTCCGGAGATCGCGATCCTCCGTTCCCTCGACGCGTCCTGCGAGGGCGAGGTTCGTATCCGTAGTTTTCTCCTTCGTTCCCTCGATTCTCCTTCTTTACGAGGCTCGTAAGGACACCGGGAAGTCCTTGGCGGCGTTATCGACCGACCATTAGCACGCTTCGCTCGGAGCGAGTGACGATTTCGAGGCGATTCACGCTACTACGTCCTTGGATGGAGAATCGCGCGAATCCTGGCCTCGCCGATGCGCCCATTCTTCGCTCGTCTAGTCGGAGAGAAGGAACCGAGGAGTGACGACCGGAGAGGAGTCTCGAGAGACGAGCCCGATAGCGCGGTCGCTCGCACGTGCCGCGGCCGCTCTCGCGTTGCGCAATACCGATCGGTTCCGATCGATCCCGATCGTGAAAATATCCGCGACGGCTTCCCGCTGCTTGGACGTATCGCGCTGCGATTTCGATACGATCGGCCCCGGGTCTCACCCGGTGGTCTCCTCCAGTGTCGTCGCGAACCTCCGCCCCGACCGAGGTCTCTTGAAATTCCCGTCGGAAAATTATTATATTAATTTAAAGCGATTAATTTTACGCGGAGAGAATCGAAACATGCAAATCGGAGGGTAAACGATACTCCGGGTGAGCGTAAAAATATTTAAAGCTAGAAAGTGGGTGGACTCCGATGTCGTTTCGAGGCTTCGCCGATCGGCGCCGAGGTTGCGAGGAGAGCGACGTCGCGTTGAGGTGAATCAGTGCGGGAAGAACTGTGGAAATCGGTGGAAGAAGGAAGAGGAGAGGAGGATGTCCCACGCGCTACAGAAGAGCTCGTCCTCCGGGCGGGGCTATCGACAGGTGTCCTCGCACGCCGACATCAGGAGGCACCAGTTCTCCCTCCTCAGGGGTCGGTCCCAGGATATCGTCCATCGACTCGAGCACCGACTGCAGGAGGTAACCACCCAGAAGAGGAGACACCAAAGGATGAACAGGATAGCGGGCGAGTCCGGCCTGGAATCCGCGATCCTTGGGGCGTCCTTCCGAGGAGGCGGGAGTCTTTGGCAGCGGCGCCAAAGGCCTTACGTGCATTCGCCCAGTCGCCGTGCCAAGAGGCACCGGGATCGCATTATTCTCGGCCGGACACCCCCGTCTCCCTAGCGATAAGCGCCACCTTTTATCGGTCTCCTTTGCGCGCCTCCATAGTTATTATAAATCGACCTCGAGTTCCTCGCGAAACCTGCGAAATTTCATTCCTAAGTTTAACCGGGATCTCCCGCTCTCGTCGTTAGGTCCCGCAACGACGGGCGAAACATTGTTGCGTGTTCTTGACTTAATGTCATTGTATTTTCTAGTACCGATAGGTAACCGATAGCTTGGGCAACGATTGGCCCCCGTTCAAAATGCGATCGAATTCCGAGGCCCCGTTGCACCCGGTGCATTGGGACGCGACCCTCTTATCGCGGCGAGGGGGAAGCCCGATTTTTTTTTTTTGTGTTTTCCTTTTTGCGACGCGGGTTCATTGTCGCGTCATTCGACAATGGCGGATAATCGCAGGGGGAGGGATCCCTCCCGTCGCGATTAAGACGTTTTTATGGAGAGCGCGAGACGACCGATTCTCTTGACCATTCGGCCTCGTTCTCGCCCTATTATCGGCTGCGTTGATAAATCGCTGCCTGGATGGGGTTTATCGGGAATTATCGAGCGCTCCCCGACGCGAGGGGAGAGGTTTTTCCAATGTTGCATTAAACTCCCCTGGGAGTGCAGCGGGCAGTCTTGGATCGGGTCTTGCGACGCGGAAGCGCGCCAGGAATTCGTCTCCGAATCGATTTTCCTTTCGCTTCGATAATACTATTGCCGATAAATCCGATCGATCAGCTGATGGATAACGCGCCGATAAGACGGAGTGCTTTATAGAGAGTGCAGCCCAGTCGGTCGAGATACGCGGTCTTCTCGATTTTAATTTTTTTTCTACCTTATTTCTTTCGCTTTTAACTCTTTATCTCGCGTTCGTTGCGCTCGTCGGACCTCGTTAAGATTTCAAGATCGAGTTTAGATATAATTTCAATAAGGTGATCGATGGGAGAAATCTCTACGGACATTCGAGATGACGTCCCCGAGCTCGCGAATGAATGGACGCCTGTAACGCGACTCGCGGGAACTCCGCGCGATTCCAAGCGTTATCGGAACTCGCGATGCGTCGATAGCGGCTCGATAAAGTGACCGATAACGCGACGTCGCAAATTATCACGCGCTTCTTTATTGCCTAAGGGACTCCGTGAGTGGATTAACGCTCGCTTGCGTGCTTTTCAAACCATGGGGTCTTCTATAAAATTGTTGTACGCGAGATTCGGGGTAATTATTAAAAAAAGGTCGCATTCAAAAGTGCGGAGGTGAATGAACGACGGAATCGCCGCGGGTAATTTCGTAATATTATTTCATTATTTCGGAAAACGTGGGAAAAATGAGTGGATCGAGTACTTACGTGAGTGGGAGGGAGATAACATGAACGGGTCGGTAAATCCGCGCGCGGACTGGTCGTCGCGCCGGTGTCCCGGCGAGCGCACGAGCTTGCTCTCGCTACCGGGTTCCAGCGGACTGCCGAGAGGTGGCAGCACGGTCTCGCTCCCGGTGACGGCGTTGAGCGCGGGAAATTACGGATCGCTCACCTGCCGCCAGGTCGTCCAGAGATTCTGGGGTACGAGCAGACAGGTACGCCGTCGTTCTCCCTCGAGAAGTATCCTACATTTCGACGAAAAAAAAAAAAAAAAATGCCGTTCTCGTAGAAACTGTATTTTCGAGGCGCGTGAATTTATCTTAAGTATTGATTTAATCCCCGAAAATCGAAAGACGTCGATCGCGCGTTATATCGAGCGAGAAGAGCCGTTTAATCGCGACCGCAAGGAAGAATGCGGATTCTACCGGCGCTAAGATAAGAGGTGTCTGTTTGCCCGCCGATTGGAAGGGATCTCGGGACCGCTCCTCAAATATTACGCTCCGCTTCATTTTCGAGGGGCCGTGTTTGTTCGGCAAGAGTCGCCGAGCGCCGCTTTGCGCAATAAGGGGCCCCTCGATGACGACGACGGAGACGTCGGCGGGGTCGGTAAAGTCAATTGCGTCCGTTTGCTCGGGCTCCCGATCGCCCGAATCGGGCACGGCCGCTTTCTCGCGACCCAAATTCCGAAGTCGCTCGAAGTCTCCGAAAGAATTTACCTCGAACGGCGAAATTTAATTCTACGACTTTTGTCCGGGTCAAAGTTGAGGCGGAACGCTTCGCGTCCGGGTAGGAAATTAAGCTTCGATTTAGCGATCCTCTCGGGCACGCAACCGCGTGATATCGTACGTCGCGTCGCCAGTATACTCGGAAAGCGTCGTTTACAGTGTACACACGATTGCACGGTAAATTGGCCGATGTCGTAGATATATATACGAAGCGAGCGAGCGCTCCCTTTCGTTCCTCGCGATCCGCCGACGAAGTTGCGCACACTTCGGGGCTCCTTTTTTTTTTTTTTTACTGTCCATTCTGGCGCTTTTCACCCTGGAGCACCGAGGAAGGTGGATCGCCGCCATGCGAAGTGCCCCTTCGTGAAGTTTCGCCAAAGTTCGCTTAGACTTATTCCCGGATACCGACCACCTCGAAGATGCTTAGGCTCACCACTTTGTCGCGGGTTCGTCTCGTTAATTTCTTACTTATCGACACCGCACCAGGTAGCCAGTGAAATCTGGAACCGTTCGTTTCTCTTTTAACACCTAGCTCGTCGGAATCATTTTACTGCACCAAACCCCCGTTTCGCTGCGCCGAAAGTACACTTCCGGTACCGTCCATGACCGTTTGCTTTATAGCGAGTACTTTCCCCATGTCTAACGTTTAAGTCTCCTGGAAACGATCGCGTCGATCGGCGAGACTGGCAGTGCTTTGAACGGTTGCAGAAGTCGGGAGGGTGGCGGAGCTTTGATCGAAGAATGCCATGCGGAAGTCCCGAGAGAACGACCCCGGAAAGCGGACGAAGAAGTTCCGGCGTGGCGAGGGCGACGAAGAGGAAGAAGACGAAACCACGGAAGTGGCTGACGAAAGTATCAAGGGCAAAGTCGAGCACTCGTCGGCGAGGAAAAAGCCCTCCGAGGATCGCTGGAAGAGGTCGTCGACCCGACATGGCGACGAGGCGCCCTCGAGGGACCTCCAGGAGTCATCGACGGCTGGCGGAATCGAAGGCTCGACGCTCAACGGGAGAACTATTCGTCCAGAGATCTCCACGTTGGCGACGCCTTCTCCGGGTAGAATTACCTCCGAGAATTCAAAGGCGAGCGTCGCGAGACCGCCGATCACCGCCAAGGACGCCAAGGCATCGTCGACCTTGAGTATACCTTCCGCACCTCGGGAAGGTCTCGGACACCTCGTCGAGTCTCACCTTTCCGTGACTTCCCGGGTCGCTCGTCACGATGGGAGTCTCTCCATGACTTCGGTCAATCGACAAGATGCATCCAGGAGCGCGAAGAGGCGGAGGTCGTCGTCGAGTCACCGGGACCTGGGGGATCATCGAAGACTCTCCAGTATCCTGTCCCTGGCCTGCCAGAGGCGCAAGGCCTCGAAGAAGCGAGCGTTTCCCCTGGAGGCGAGCCCCTGGGGGGAGTCACCGTCTTCGGGGCCTTCCACGACGTCCGTCAGACGAGACAGCATCGCCAGCCTCGCCATCTCCTCCAGCATCGGGCCCAGCCTCGTCGGGATCTTCCCCGCGACTCGGTTCAGCCCCGACGGGTTCCCCGAGAGTGGCACGCCCTCGTCGAACCCCAGCTCCGAAAACCTCACCGACGATCTCGGCCAGGATGTCAGGACACGCCAGAAGAGGCTGCCCTTCCTCAAGCTGCACATCCCGGACCCGGGGGAATCCGCGTCCGGCCAGAAATACGCCCAGGAGAACCTCGACCTCGACGAACACCGTCATCGTCATCATCATCCCAACTTCGGGGCACATCTCCCCCACATTCACGTACCCACCATCACGTTCACCGCCCCCGCCTCCGATGGAACCCGGAAGTTCAATTTCGCTATCAGAAGGCACTCGCAGGTGGTTAGTTTCGCGAGGTCCACCTTTTGCACCCGTTTCCTCCTCGGGGTGGCGAAACCCCCGAGACCGCACCCTCTGAATGGTTTTTCTCAGGACCTGACCGACGTGGATTTCTTTGTAACCACGCGATTTGTGCAAGCGACCCTGCGTTTTCAATTTTTCTTTTTTCTTCCGAAGCTGCTTGGAATTTGATTTATAGAGGTGATTTTCCGTGTGGCTTCTGGACCTTTTCCATTTTTTTTTCAAGGTTTGGAACGAGCGCTTGGACGCTACACTGTTAAAAAAAAAAAAATTTGAAAAAAAGAAGTTCGTCACGTACCGATTTTGAGGCACCGTAAAAAAAAAATGTGTACTTTGAAACCGAAACATTTTTAACAGTGTAGGCGAGGTCTTGCTTCTTAGTAGCTTTTGATGCTGGATTTTTTGTCGGGCGAATCGTTCAATCGCGAAAGGGGAAGGAACCCTGTCCGAGCTGTACACATTTGCGTATCTTTAGTGCGGATGTCTCTGTATTTTCTGGAGTTTGCCTCTTTAACAGTTTGTCCTTGATCTAACCGAGTTTAATCGAGAGCGACGCCAAGATGTCGTTTTCATTATCGGAACAGACCCCCTCCACCTTGATATCGAGGACGCGATATTTCAAGGATCCCATTAGGGGTGATGTCAAAATCGGCCTTTACCTTATTCAAAACGCTTCTCCGAAGATTTCGCGGGAAGTCTCTCGGACTGCGAAAAAAAATTCCTCGCCTTTTTTTATTTTATCTCCTTTTACTCAACCGCGAATTATTACGAGAAATCGTGAATCATCGATCGTTCATCAGTCATTGGATTTGGGTATAAAAATCGTGCTTGAATGAGCGTTTTCGTCGCGTTATCGAAATTGTAGCCGCGTCCAATTACGATAAGAAATCGAGCGGATTTAAATCGACGAGTGAGACACCAATCGGTCGATCGATGTGCGATCCCGGTGCACGAGGGTGCATGCCGAGCTCTTTTTTTTCTTTCTCCTCGAGGACCACGAATCACCGGAAAGGGAAATCGAAGATCGATTTCCTCCGATAAGAAATATTATGTATCGGCTCGATCGGCACGCAGCACGCAGAGCCATCTTGGTCTCGAGTAAAGGCGCTTGCAGCTTTCGTGCTTTCCGTGAGAATCGGCTGACGATTCGAACCTCTTTGGTCCATGAAATTTCCCTAATTCGTTTCCCGATTTTCCCTCCAGACTCTGCACCGGACTGACTCGATGGTTTCGCTTTGCTACCGATCCCTGGTGACCTACATAACCGACGACAACCTCGCGGGTCTGCAGAACTTCCTGGAGAACAAGAGGGTGCAGATAGACGATCGCGACGAGGTGAGCCCGATTTATTAATGAAAATTCCCCGATGGGAATTATTCCAGTCTCCGCTCACCCGGGATCTCCTTTTCGCAGAATGGAAGCACCGCTCTCATATACGCAGCCACGAAGGGAAAGCTGCATTTTGTACGCGAACTCGTGAACCACGGAGCCGACGTCAATGCCGAAGATGGGGTACGTCTTCGACCTCTTTTAACGTTCGTTCCACGTGGAACGAGACTCGATTATTATTTCTCATTTTTTTTTTTCAGGACAATTGGACGGCGCTTTCATGCGCCGCGAAGGAAGGCCACACCGACGTCTGCCTGGAGCTGCTGGAGCACGGTGCGGATCTCGAGCATCGCGACATGGTTAGCAAATCCAGGAATTTTATTAATATTTGTATCGCAAAGGGTGGTTGAAAAAGCATATGTTTAGGGAGGATGGTCGCCTCTTATGTGGGCGACCTACAAGGGCAGGATGGAGACCGTGTCGCTTCTTCTGTCGCGAGGGGCGGACGTCAACGCTCACGGGAACTTCCACATATCTTCCCTGCTCTGGGCGGCTGGCAGGGGTTTCTCGGACATCCTGAAGGACTTGATAACCCACGGGGCTAAAGTAAACGTCGGCGACAAGGTGGATACCCTGCGAATAAAATATAAAAAAAAATACCCCGCGAAGCGATTTTTACTCCGACACTTTTTTTCTCGTTTCTCAGTACGGCACCACGGCGTTGATCTGGGCGAGTCGAAAAGGAAACGTAGAGAGCGTCGATGCCTTGCTGAAAGCTGGAGCCAACGTGGACACGGCGGGGATGGTGAATAAAATAGGTTTTATTTCATGGAAAATAATATTTCTTTCGGATATAAAAGACGTCGCGTTGGTTTTCGCAGTATTCCTGGACGGCGCTGCTGGTGGCCACCCTGGGGAACCACGTGGAAGTGGTGCTGCTGCTTCTGGAGCACAAACCCAACGTCAACGCCCTGGATAAGGATGGCTGCACCGCCCTGGCGATAGCGTGCAGAGACGGCTATCACGAGATCGCGAACGCCTTGCTGAACGCTGGAGCCTACGTCAACATCCAGGACAGGGCCGGCGACACGAATTTAATCCACGCGGTGAAAGGCGGCCACAGGGGAGTCGTCGAGTCCTTGCTGAAGAAGTACGCCGACGTCGACATCGCCGGCAAGGTGCGCCCGGGTCGACCGTTGCGGTTTCGCGATTTAAAAATGAAGGAGCTGCAATAAATTCCTTCTTTTCAGGACAAGAAGACGGCGACTTACATCGCGGTGGAGAAGGGCAACGTGTCGATATTGAAGTTGCTGCTGAACGCCAACCCGGACCTGGAAATCGCGACGAAGGACGGCGACACGCCTTTACTCAGGGCGGTGAGGTCCCGTAACGCCGAGATGGTGCAGCTGCTGCTGGACAAGAAGGCGAAGGTCTCGGCGACCGACAAGAAGGGCGACACGGTTTTGCACATCGCGATGAGGGCCAGGTCGAAAGCCATCGTCGAGATCCTTCTGAGGAACCCGAAGAACAGCCAACTGCTCTATCGACCCAACAGGCAGGGCGAGACGCCCTATAATATCGACATCAATCACCCCAAGACGATCCTTGGACAGATCTTTGGTGCTCGTATGTGGCGATAGTCAGTCGTCTCTGTCAGGCTCCCTTTGACGATTTTTTTATATTATTTATTATTTCCTCGCAGGTAGATTAAATACCAACGAGGACAACGAGAACATGCTGGGGTACGATTTGTACAGCAGCGCACTGGCGGATATTCTTAGCGAACCCTCTCTATCCACTCCGATCACGGTGGGTCTCTACGCGAAATGGGGCTCTGGCAAGTCCTTTTTGCTGAACAAATTGCGAGGTATGCATCTACGATGATAAGGAAATTCTAAGTCTCGTTGATCGAGACGGCTTATGCCTCCTGGAATTCCAGAGGAGATGAAGAACTTCGCTCGCCAATGGATGGACCCAGTGTTCCAGTTCTCCTCGCTGCTCTTCATCGTGGTCGTGCACGTGTCGCTGCTGGTCGGGTTCGTCTTCGGGCTCGCTTTTCAAAGCTGGATCATCGGTCTGGCCACGAAAGTGGCGTTGGTCGTCGTAGTCTACGCTTTTCTGGTGCTGGTTTGGTACTTCAATCAGAGGTACGTTTTTTGGGAGACTCATGGCCCACCTTTCAGGTTTTTACCTGCAATTATTTATTTCTTCAGGTACGACTGGTACTGGCCCTACAACTTCAACGTGGCGCTCAGCACGAAGCTGAACTCCCTGAAGCTTCTCCTGCAGGTGACCTTCTGCCATCCTCCGAGCGGACAGGCGACGGACACGGTCGCTGCCCAGCCCATCAAGTTCTACTTCACCGATCAGACTCGAGTTGGCACCACGGCTGCAGGAGAGAACGCCGTCGTCCACATGGTCGGCTCCCTCTACGACTCGATAGAAAGCGACTTTGGTTCCCTCGCCACGAGGCTGTACAGAGCCTTCAGGCCGAAGCCTGTCAAGTCCACCTCATCCTGGAAGTGGAGGCACCTCTGCTGCCTGCCCTACGTCGTCATCTTCGAGTTCTACTTCTGCAGCTTCCTCGTCGAAGTCTCGGCGCTCACCTTCTACCTCGTGGACTCGTAATTGCCCCCACCGTTCTGAGAGTTCACCTCCCTTCGCGAGAACACCTCTGGGTCGATAATCAGAATTTTCTTCCAGGCCCGTTATGGAGCAAGTCACCGCCTACATCATCCTCATCACCGTCGCCCCAATTCTGGCAGTGGGGATCATCGCCAACCTGTACACCTGGAGCAGAACTCTTCGGGCTCTCATTTTCTCCCAAAAGAGGCACCTGCAGCGCAGCATTTCTAGGCTGGAGACCCTGAAGAGCGAGGGGTTTATACAGATACTGAAGAGCGAGGTCAATCTCATGACCGAGATGGTAAGGGTGAATTTTAGTAGTCAGGTCCATCGATATTTTTTTTTTTTTAATCGTTCATTTTTTAGGTGAAGTGTCTGGACAGTTTTACGGCCCAGCAGAGCAGGCTGGTCGTGGTAGTGGACGGCCTGGATAGCTGCGAGCAAGATAAGGTGCTTCTCGTCCTCGACGCCATTCAAGCCTTGTTTAGCGATAACGGATATCCCTTTGTCGTCATTCTGGCGATCGATCCCCACGTGATAGCCAAGGTGAGCGCGCCGTCGAGGATTATCGCGGAAATAGTATTAACCGAGAATATCTGACTAACTCTGTGTCGATGATTCCCTTGCCTCGTGGGCCAGGTGGCTCGCCATCAGGTAAATCGACCTTTGGTCATTTTGACGACCCTTTTCTTATCGTCTTCGCTGTCCAACGTGTCTGCTCGATGTTTCTCTACGACTCGTTTCCTCTCGAGGAGAGACCTTGTTAAATGATCGTTGAATTGAGTGTGACCAGGTAGATAATTTCGGCATAATTTTTTAACGCGTCTCTTTATTCTTCTCAGGCGGTGGAAGTCAACAGCAGAAGACTCTTCACGGAGTCCAACATAGGAGGGCACGACTATCTGCGCAACATGGTGCACCTTCCCTTTTACCTGCAGAACAGCGGCCTGAGGAAAGTCAAGGTCGCCCAGCAGACCGCCCAGCACAGCAAGAAGACCACCTGGACCGAGGCCGAGGAGAGCGTGAATTACGCGACGACGAGTGCGATTCACCGTTCCGTTTCGAACAGGAGATTGAGCACGGAGTCGGGCGTGATGAACAGCAACGAGAAGCTGAAGCCACCCAGCAGGAAGGGCAGCAGAAAACTCAGGCTCAGCGAGTCGATCGCCAGCAGCATCGGCAGCAACCTGAATCGACTCGGCGGCGCTCACGACCTCAACAGGATGCTGCTGACCGACGACTACTTCAGCGACGTCAATCCTCGCAGCATGAGGAGATTGATGAACGTAGTTTACGTTACCGGTACGGCTGAAATTTAACTCTTCGTCCTTGAAGAAAATTAATCCAAATCCGAAGTGATTCTAAAAGGCGATTCACTCTGCAGGTAGATTACTGAAAGCATTCCAAATAGACTTTAATTGGTACCACTTGGCCAGCTGGGTTAACATTACCGAGCAGTGGCCCTTCAGGACCTCCTGGATAATTCTTCACTACGACATGTACGAGGACAGCTTGGACGACTCGACGTCCTTGAAGACCCTCTACGACAAGTAAGCCCGTCCCGCGCTGCATTTCATATTTTTTTTTTTACATATTTACGTATTCTTTAATTTTTTTATTAATGTCCAGAGTTCGCCCGAACATCCCTGTGGTGAAGGACATCCACCCTTTTCTGGAGATGGACAGAGACGAACGGAAGCTGGACGTTTTTCTGACGTTCCACCGATCCAGCTTGCTGGTCAGCGACATGAAGATCTTCCTGCCGTTCACCATCAATCTGGACCCGTATATCAAGAAGAAGATCAAGGAAGAGCAGCACACCATCGAGGAGGAGCTCAGCCAGGGATACCCGAGATCTTTGGGACCAACTCAGTCCGACTTCGTTCAGGATTCTTGGACTCCGAGTAGAACCGGGATGACCAGCAGGCAGTCGAGACTCACCAGGACTCCCAGTCTTCAAGGACACGTTTCTCAAATCGTCTGGCCTCCTCGGCAACCCCTCGAGTGGCAGACCCCATCCTGGCCTCCCGTTGTTCCGGTGCCTCCGGTTATTTCGGTTCCTCCTATGGAAGCTGCGACCAGGTCTCTCTCCGCCACCACCAGCTTGCCCGTACGTCGACCGAGCTGGGAAGCTCATTTTGCATAAATCCTTTATGACAAGCTGAGTTTTTTAATTTTTTCTCCTGAACAGGCTGATATCCTGGATACGAAACTGTCGTCGCTATCGGTGCAAGGAATCTGCGACCTCGTCGACAGGATCGAAGATCTCAACCCTAGTCAGACTCAGCAGTACAAAAATCTCATCAAGGAGAATAATGTCAACGGACGAGTGCTACTTCACTGCGATCTCCAGGAGCTGAAGAAAGTAAGTGCTTCCATCGAGTTCTTGAAATTCTATGGTGTACAGTGATCTCCGTTTCTCTAGTTATAACTATTTCTTTACTTTGAGGTGCTTCGAATGTCTTTCGGAGACTGGGAGATGTTTCGCATGGTGATCGTGTCCTTGCGAGAAATGGAATTAACTTCCTTCAACACCCACGAAGAAGGACCGCGAAGTGTTCGCTTCACTGTGGGCTCCGAACAAATCATTCGAAAGGGTAATGAGCACCGAGGCGTCATTTATCGACCTCCGGCAAAAAAAAATTAAATGATCGGTGAAAAAGGATTTTCTAATTTTTTTTTTTGCATACTTTTAGAGCACGCGTCAACTAACAATGCCAATCGTACGTCCACTCACGTGGAGAAGGAGAAATCGACGTCGAGAACGGACGGGCCGTCCAGACGCGATCAGACCAAGCAATCCATAATGGAAAAGCAAGTAAGTAGAATCGTAGTAAGTACATAAGTAAGGTTACCAGATCTAACTTAACATCTCACAATTGGCTCTGTTTTGAATCGCTCTTGTTGGACCTCAGTTCCAGGTAAGTTTCGAGATACTATCTGCGTTCCTTTAAAATTACTCATTTTAATTTTCTTATTGAAAATCTTTTTGTCACCGGAGCACTACTTCGCAGTATTTTTGAGGTGCGCAATTCCCAGACGTGTTAAAGCCGCTGAGTTTTCAGGTGACTTTGGAGGAGCAGATGATCTGCGGAGCTCTTCAGACACTAAACGAGGAGGCCTGCGAAGACGTCCTGGACGTACCCTCTCCAGCTGCCCCATCGGCTGACTCACTCCCAGGTGAGATAGCCACCTCTGTACCGATTTCACTGCCTTTGGTCATAGTTCAGGAACCTCCGAAGCACGATCAAAGCCCTGACACCGTCATCGAGTACGCCACAAACCTCTAGTCGCGCTTTAACCACGAAAGTCTTGCCGATGATCCTCACCTGCTGCGAAGAGAACCCCATCGAGGGGTTTTTTACTAGTCACGAAACCGTCGACGTTAGTATTTTGGGATATGCTGGGTTTAGGTATTCGATAAAAATCAAACTAGGGTAGTACTTACTTGGTACTTACATTATTAACAACTTGTGAACCTTGATATCGGTACCTTGAGGTGAAGTCGAAAGACTCTAAAGGTATTTAGGTAGTATTTTGGTCGGATTTTGAAGAACAATCAGGGCAAAAGTTTACGAAGTATGCGATTAAAGTTGTTAACAAGTTGAAAAAGTTAGTTAAGAAACCAACAAAATAATCCTACCAAATAATTTCCATTTATTTTTCTATTTGGTAAATATTGGGTTAAATGCTACAATTAAAATCAATGGCAGGGCTCGTACTGAGAAATACAATTACTAGACCATCAATGAATTCCATTATCCTCGGAGTCATTCCTGACTCTGACATATTAGCCAATGTTATTTTATTTAAGCAATTTTATTTTTATCTAATAGTAGCAGTATTTTGAAAAAAAAAATGTACAACGGTATGAGGTTCTGTATATATTGTAAGTATGTTAAGGGAAGTCGGTTAAATGTAAGCTAAAGATTGTTAATTTTAAGAGTGTTTGTTTTGTCCAGAGAGATTATTTAGAGGTTATTTTTGGGAGATATTTGGAATATTCCACTAGACTGAATTTGTAATTTATATGTATATAAGCGAAGCTATGTAGAAATATAAATTATGAATGCTTTAGTGCGAAGGGTAACGTGCCATCGTGAGAACAAAGCCTAGCGGAGCAGAGATTGGCAGATTCCTGTTAAAACGATCATTTTAACTCGTTTACTTCGACTCTGCAACGCTTCAATTAAGAACCAACCATGGAACAAATATACAAATAAGTAAAAACAGAAATTTTTACTGGCTTACAAGAGGGGAAGCTGATATTTTTTAACACTTACAGAGATTTAAAGATTGTTCCGTAAACTCATTAACTCCATCGATGCCAGTTGATTGGCACGAAAGGCGATTTGGATGACTTTATACGGAGTGAGATCATTGTTGATTATGGAGTTTATCATTCTCTGTATTACCGTTTACTTGTGGCTTCGGTACTTCTTACCAAACAACTTTTGTTGTAACTTTACGGTACATTTTTGTACGGTTTGCCCATCTCTGTATCGGAGTGATAAGTGATAGCGAGCACCTGTGTTTACATTTCTTAGATACGAGACGTCTGCTACCTGCGTGCGGTTAATTTATCTAGTTAACATACGTTTCCTGCCAGTCTTAATCTTGTTTCGGGTGCCAACTCTCCTGCAAATGGACGACCGTTTAAACTGTGATAGGAGGATACGTTTTGTATGCGTTGTTCACGTTTGGCATTATGGAGATATTGTGTCATTATATAGTTACCCTCAAAAGTGGCAATAAAGTGTTACGAAAAATGGATTGAAAGCACGGCGTAAGTGGATTTAATTCGGTGTACATATTTTAGAGTTGTATTAAGATTAGCTTTGGAAGAGGTTTGTGGACGTCGAGACGGCGTCGAGGGCGAGAGCTGGTGGTGCCTCCAGGTTTCATGGAAACGGAGAAATTTAATCTTGGCAAAAAGGGTCGTATCATCGTACGAATTTTTTTATCACTCTAATTTCCTATTTAACTATTACACTTTGCACGTTTTGATCAGAGTTCATCTTTTCAAATGATTTTTGTTTAAGTATTGTTGGCTCAAGACCTTTCGACAGATAATTACAAGTTTCTTTTCTGTTAACATTAAATTATACTTAGTCGTCGCCAACGTTTGATGCGACTTTTTTTTATTTAAAAAATTTAAAGAGCTCAAGGCTTAAAAAATTGGGCATTTTAGGTGATCGACCAAAGACTCTGGGAATCTCGGCAATGGACACAGACTACGTGTTGCTGCAAACTTCTCCGTTGTACCACTGGATTCCTGTGCAAGACGAAGGAGACAGTTCCGATGACAGCTCATTGGAAGACTCCTCGAATCATCTCCATCGGTCCAATTCCCAGCGTAGCCTTGCTTCCCAGCGTAGTGTCAAGTCTGTCTGCTCCTATGGCAGGAGAAACTCAAAGAAGAACTCTAACGTCGTAGGAAGACCTTCTTCGCTTTTGATATCACCTCCTGCATCCCCGAGACCGGCAACAAGGTCCAAGTCTAACGAGGAGAGGCGTTCCGGGATGGACATTTCTTCAAAGCCTGTCGTCTCTTCGTCCCTGTCGTGGTCTCGGTCCAGCTTGGACGAAGAACTGTCTATATTCATCCCCGTTCCTATCACCACTGGTTTGGAAAAGCTTGGGAACAAGATCAAAGATCGAGTCTTGGGTACGGGGTCCGATGGAAACGCAGGTAAAACTGACAGTGACGACGAGTCTACTCCATTGGTCTCCGAGATGTCGAGTCCCGTACACCTCCAGGGTGAAACTGGGATAAAAAGGTGTTTCAGTCCGGACAGCAGTGACTTTTCACCTTCCTCGGAGAAGGATTTATCTCATGGTGGAGAGCAGTACTTTGACATCGGGACTGTGGATTCGGTGAGTCTGGTTGTGAGAGAAACTCGTAACGGCAGGTGCCTGCCCAGGCAGAATGCCGAGGGCTGGGACGATCCGGAGACACCTGTATGATGGTTAAAAAAAATATAGAATTATCTAAAAGGGACCATCGTTACTACAGAAACATATGACATTCATGTATTGGCAATAATTACAACGGTTTTCTCTTGGATAACCTGAAAACGCATTACCGGTGGTATGGCTCGAAAACACCAAAAAGTTTTCGAACGGGTTTGTTTAGCGTTTCGCATTTACGCCCTTGACTTGTTGCGCGCCAATAATAGATGTCTAATTCGTAGAACAAGGTACTCACTTTAAACAATAAGTACGAATGACAATTGTAAATAAGAATGGTCGATCAGTATGCGGTCCAACTAGTGTAGTTAGAAAATTGCAACGTTAACTAAGTCTGCGTTTCACGCGAGTAAAACAAATGGTAGGAAAATAAGGGAAATTTATTTCAGTGAGAAAAATTATTCTCCTGTTTTAACTGTGAATGAGCAATTTTTAAGTTTGAACCAAGTCTCTCTATGTCTGCGTTCTGGATTTCAGCATAAGGTTGTTAATTGACATTTACTTTCTAGAGTAAAGGACTAGGCTGTGCGAGTGGCGAAAGAATGACAAAATCAGATATTACTAGAAGTAAGGTGTACTTAAAAGTCCAACTTGGCCAATGCCAATCGGTGGCTATTTGTCGTTTTCTCTTAATCACACGTTTATGACAGAATGCGATAATTTTTTTTTTTAACTATGTGGATAAGCGCAAGTTCGTTATAAAAAGTAGATATGAAAATTAAAATTTAACAAAGTTCACCGAAACGCTGTTAAACCAGTGATCGGATAGTTCCGAAAAGTATCCGTCTTTTCACCGACAATGTATTATTTATAAACTGTAAGGCAATGGAAGAAATGTAATATAGCAGGAGTGCCTTAATTAAATCTATTCGATGGAAAATTGTCAAGAATGTTATCGGACAATTTCCTTCGTCTTAAAAACCAGAAGAGGGGAAAAATCCCGCGTGCGGGATATCCTTCGCGTTTTTTGCCCCTTCCTTGTCTAGTATATCTCTATTATTAATTTCAAGATTAATTTTAAGTAGTGCACTCTGAGTCAATGTGTCCCCATCGATTTTTCGCCTGAATTAGTGGAATTATTGTGGATTCTTCGTCTTTATCGACTGCTACCTTCTATTTAATCTGCTGGTAATAGATATCCTGGTCGGTAAAGAGATTGCGGGGTTGCCAGCTCAAATCGAGCGCCACCTGGAAATTCGGGGAGAACTGGCAACCCTGGATCCGATGTAAACCGAGTGATCCGCGGTCTAACCTCTATCGCTCAGTTACGGTTAAGTTCTCTCGAACGTGTTGTGCGGGTTGACGGCCGATTCTTCGCAAACCGCGAATTTATGGGGATATCTCGAGATTTAAAGCGTTGGTGTGTAATTTCGGGAGTAACCGAAGAACTCTTCTCATCACTCTTGCGTCCCACTTTAACGGACTAATCCAGCGACAAAGACCTTGCTTTTCGGTTGGCTCGGTAGAAACCATTATTGACAAGTTTTGCTCCGATTGGTAACGTACTTGAGATTGGAAAATCGTGAGGCTCTTCCCCTTAATCATCCCCGATTTCGTTTCTAACATTTTCGTACAGTTGCTTACATATTATCGCCAGATCGTTCAATGGAACTCACACCCTTGATACCAATATTTCTGTGTAATATATAGACAGGTATCAAGTTGTTTAGAATCTCAAGAATTAAATTGTTACTAACCTGCAATCTTGCAAGAAATAATAATGTTTATTCTATGAACTTATCTACGATTCTAGAAACAGGAACGTTACGGAATTTTCCGCTACTTTAAATTCATTCTAGGACGAGAAAAAATATTTCATTAATGATTCAGACACTTTAAAATAGAGCGAGCAACAGAGAGCATGTCTATGACCACTAATATTCGCTCAATGATTTTGGAGCTTTTGCTAACCTGTGCGAACTCGTTTCATTCTGTTGTAGATTCATCACCTAATTAGTTTTTAACTTAGGGTATCGAGTCATGGCAGAGAGTTAATGTCACCCTTGAATTAATACTCATCGTGCATTTCCACGTCTTATCGACTAGTGTCGTCAATTAGTGAGTTTAATCTAAATAAGATGGCTGCTACAAGAAGGTTGGTGAAGGTACAAAGGATTTTATTTTTATTTTCACTTTGCGCAGTGAAACTTCATATTAACTTTAATTTATATTTTTCTCTGTAGGAATTAGGTGACTTAAGGGCTTCACCTATGAAAAACTTTACAAATATTCAAGTCGATGACAACAATATTCTTACATGGCAAGGACTTATATTACCGGTATGTGTGTTAAGGATTATTTGTTACTTTAAATAATTGCAGTTGAATTAATTATTGATTCCGATGTAGGACAATCCTCCTTACAATAAGGGTGCATTCCGGATTGAAATTAACTTCCCTGCGGAATACCCCTTTAAGCCACCAAGGATAAATTTTAAAACAAAAATCTACCATCCAAACGTCGACGAAAAAGGGCAAGTGTGTCTCCCGATTATCAGTGCAGAGAATTGGAAGCCAGCTACAAAGACGGATCAAGGTAAATACTCCAAATAAATTGAAAGATAGTAGCCTGATAAATTTCCATGGATACTTAAACTTAAAAATAATAAATTGTATTTAACTAATTTATTAACTTGCAGTGATTCAAGCATTAATAGCCCTTGTGAACGACCCCGAGCCAGAGCATCCTTTAAGAGCGGACTTGGCCGAGGAGTTCCTAAAGGATAAGAAGAAATTCGTTAAAAATGCAGAAGAGTTTACGAAAAAACACGCAGAAAAGAGACGCGAGTCCTCATCCTCGGCTGACTAACTAAGAATCACTTATTCACCAAGATGCCTGCGGCCCGCTTCCTGTCTCACAGAAATATTATCTATCGTAACTGTGTCAGCTCTTGGAATCAGAATCAGGCTGAGTTTTCTATGTACAGTATTGGTTGACAAATGGCGAGGAAATGGAAAGTATGCGTAATACCAATATAAACGTTTTTAATACACTATGAGTTAATAATAAATATATATATTACGATAATGTGGAAGGACATTAAAAGAGGAAACGACAGGCCAGGCAATGTGTATCTACCCTAAGAGAGTGACACGCAGTGAAGTAATTTTAAGAACTTGGTGACGTTTCATGCATACACATAGCTTTGTGCGTACGTTACAACGTATGCAATTGTATATTTGGCGTGAAACTCTACCGAGTTTCCTGATTTGCGTTAGATTTACATCAGGGCGGTAGGTCTGCCATGAATCTACCATAAATATTGAAATAGTAAGCCAGACAGGAGCAGATCCTGCCATTTCAAATTAAAGCTTGAACATACCGAAAAGAATTATAAAGTAGCATTATCCAAAAGGTTGGGAGTACACTCGATCATTGAACAAATTTGCTGGAACTTAATTCTTGCCACTATTGCATTCAACGCGTTAGTGTAATTATTTTAAACAATCACAACAATGTACGACAAACGTCTCTAAAGTTGCATATACTAAAGTTTTGAAATACTTTACTGCATTTCCGAAGTACATATTATATATATAAAAATAGTATCTATATATACCTATTATTAATCATTACGTGCAGTACTTGTGTATATGTGTGAATACGATGTACATACGAGGACGTTGGGAAAGTGTATTTTTATGACTTTCGATCCACGACTTGGATCCACTCTCCACCTTGATAATTAAACTAACTGAAAGTTTCCAAAGTTTGGTACTAATGTATGAACATGAAATATATTTAACGTTATTGCAGGGCTACGGAACTTGAGTTGTTTCTAAAGGTATGTATTCGCACATATCGGTTCCTATCTTAAGTCCTAATTTTAGTAACTGCATGTCTGTTAATTAATCAGTGTCCCGAAACCGTAAAAATAAACACTTTTGGAGGAATAATTTCGTCCACCACGTGTAGATAGAGCACGATTGAGGAATATTAAAGAGCGGACCGTAGTGGCCGCCATGTTGGAAGATGGCGGCAACCTGATTCTCGGGAGGGGCGGCCGCCATATTAGTTCCACTATTAAAACCATTGAATAGAACTTGTCAATGCACAGTTAAGGGTTAAGTCATGGCCGCTATTCACCGAGAGGCGATACAAAAGCAAATTCAGCAGGACTGGGCAAATCGAGAATACATCGAAGTCATTACGGGCAGTATCAAGAAGATCACGGATTTCCTGAACTCGTTTGGTAATGGTCCATTCTGTATCGGAATCGTCATTACTCCGAACTACGTAGTTCTAACCTAAACCTTAAGAGCGTCTGTTATGTTTACAATCGTTTCTCGAAGTCAGTAGACGAGAGTACAGTTATTTTATTTAAAAGAGAGGAGGAGAGAATTATATGATAATCATAGAATTTCGATTTTTGGTTCAGATATGTCCTGCAGATCAAGATTGGCTGTACTCAATGAGAAGCTGACAACCCTAGAGCGGAAGATCGAATACCTTGAAGCTTGCGTAAGTACTTAAGATTTATTTTTTTCTTTCGTTTCGACATCTCGAAATGCACTAGGAAAAATCGTGGCGTTTACCTGTCGATTGTTGCAGGTAACCAAAGGAGAGACGTTAACCTAAAGACATCGAAATTGATCATCGGAAGACGTTTTTGGCGATGTTGTTCTAAGGCACTCTCCTCCTTCGGCTCATGAACGCGAATATCCTAATAAAGTGTCTCGAATCCACGAGTACTCGTCTTGTCAATTGCTTCGGTAATCGTTGGCTGCTGGACGAAATAAAAATACCACCTGGAACATAACGTAGACAATTGTTTTCATCTTCGAGGTTCTATAAAGTACCACTGGTGGCGTGAATTGTTCCCTGATCAGTCGTCACCTCCCGTCGTTTACAGTCGCGTTTTTAACCTTCCGACGCAGAAGTGGAAACGGAAGGCATAGGAGAAGCACCATGAACCCAATTCCCGCAGTCCTGCTCGTCATGTTGGTGCTATGTTTCCCAACATCCCTAGTCATCGTCACTGCAAGAAATTCATGCGATGACCCGAGAAACGTGTCCTTCGTTCTGGAACGGCGTGGCGTCAGAGGTAAAAATCGTAAACCCTAAAGCAGTCGTTTGCTCCGAAGGATGTCTCGGTGACTCCTTTTTAAGTGATGCCCAGCGAGCTGGAGCAGTCGGAGTCAAGGGACTGGGAGCTCCTCCGCGAGATCAAGACGAGCTTCGTGCCCAGGGACGTGCCCTTGACGATTTTTTCCTCGAAACGACGGAGAAAGAGAACGGAACAGGTAAGAATTCCGTTTTCCCTGAAGGATCTCCTGGCCCACGTGTTCCCTTTCAGCTCCAAGGCGAGAATGCTGACTCCTGCGGGACGGCTCGCGAGGAAAGAGCGGAGCGCATGCAAGACCTGGGCGAGGATGTCGTCGACGCCCTTTCCAGGTGAGATGTAATTAACCCTGTATAATTATTATATTTTATATATTAATATTTTCCTTTTTAATTCCTTCGATTTATTTTTTCAGGATGAACGCAGTCAAGCAGAGACGCCACGCCGAGGAGCCGCACCCCGGAGACCAAGTCTCGGGACCCGCGGACCCAGGCGCCTTCTGGAAAGGCGAGAAGGATCCCGAAGGGGTCAGACGGAGCCAAGGTACATGCAAGGTACACCTCCTTAAATTCTAAGCACCCTCGAGATCGGCTTCGAGCTCCCTTTCCAGCCGAGGCGATGTTGCGCTACATGGACCAAGCGGTCGACCCCTGCCAAGACTTCTACGAGTACGCCTGCGGGAACTGGGCGGCTCGTAATCCCATACCGAAGGACAAGGCCGGCTACGACACCTTCGAGATGCTCAGGGAGTCGTTGGACTCCGTCCTCAAGGAGCTGCTGGAGGAGCCGATCGGCGACGGGACGCGAGCAGGAGACGCGACGGTCAAGGCGAGGCATCTCTTTAGGAGCTGCATGGACTACGGTGAGAAAAAAAAATATAGAGCCCTCGAGACCGGGACATCTGGAGCACGTGTTCATCTAGAGGCTCCGCGGTCGCTTTCTCAGACATCCTGGAGCGCCGCAGGGACCGACCGCTGATCCGCCTCCTGGACGAGCTCGGAGGCTGGCCGATCCTTGGACGGCGACTCTGGGACCCCGAGAGGTTCGACTGGCTCTTGCTGGTGGGGCAGTTGAGGCTCTTCAACAACGACATCCTCATCTCCGAGTGGGTGGGGCCGGACATCAAGAATAGCGATCAGTACGTCATTCAGGTGAGGGTCGCCTCAACGAGGTGAGACCTTGAAGAGCGAGGAGAGTCCTTCCTTCGCAGATCGACCAGACGTCCTTGGGCCTGCCCACCAGGGACTACTTCCTGCAGCCGTCGAACGTAGTCTACCTCGAAGCCTACAAGGACTATCTGATCGAGGTCGCCACGCTGCTGGGAGCCTCGCCGGAGAACGCCACGACCCAGGCGGCGGAGCTCATCGAGTTCGAGACGAAGCTGGCAAAGGTGTCAGGATTATGCGACGAGGAAGACCTCGAAGAAGTAATCGAGAGTCTTTCAGATCACCTCGTCGCCGGACGAGAGACGGGACGTCTCCGAGCTTTACCAGAGGATGACCATCGGTGAGCTCAGGGCCTTCGTTCCCCAGATAGACTGGCACAGGTACTTCAAGATCGTCCTGGCCAGGCCGGTGAACGTCTCGGAATCGGTGGTCGTCTTCGCCCTGCAGTACGTCCAGGACCTGGTCAATCTGCTCTCGAGGACACCACCCAGGTACGAGACGAGCCGGAGACGACGAGTGGAAAGGATGCGACCCAGGCAGGATTTTTTAATTAAACACCGTGCATCGTTTTCAGGACCGTGTCGAATTACTTGCTCTGGCGCTTCGTCCGCCACAGGGTGAACAACCTGGACGACCGTTTCCAGGAGGCGAAGCAAAAGTTCTACTACGTCCTATTCGGCAGGGAGCAGGCTCCTCCTAGGTGGAAGAACTGCGTCGCGCAGGTCAACTCCAACATGGGGATGGCCGTGGGCTCGATGTTTGTCAGGAGGTACTTCGACGAGAACAGCAAGAACGACGTGAGGGAACTTCCGTTGACGTCGGCTCGTCGAGGATGCTCGTCGAAGATCCGTCTCTCCGTTTCCCGCAGACCCTGAGGATGACCAGAGAGATCCAACGGTCGTTCCGCGAGCTGCTCAACGACACCTGCTGGATCGACAAGGAGACCAGGTCGCTGGCGAGCGAGAAAGTCGACGCGATGCTCCTCAGGATCGGGTACCCCGAGCTGGTGCTGCAGCCTCACCTTCTGGACGAGCGTTACGCCGACGTGAGGAACCTCGTCCTCGAAGAGCCGAGCTTGCTCCCTCAATTTCCGATTTCAGGTCGTCGTGAAGCCCACCGAGTACTTCGAGAACACCCTGAACGTTCTTCGGCATCTGACGAGGGTTGAGCAGGATCGCCTGGGCAGTCCCGTCAACAAGACCCTCTGGAACACCGCACCGGCCGTCGTCAACGCGTACTACAGCCGCAACAAGAACCAGATCAGTCAGTCTTCGGGGTCTACGGGCACCGGTCCTTTTGCGGACGAACGCTCTCCGATTCGTTTCTTCCAGTGTTCCCCGCCGGGATCCTCCAGCCTCCGTTCTACCACAGGGACTTCCCCAGGGGCCTCAACTATGGGGGAATCGGCGTGGTGATCGGCCACGAGATCACCCACGGCTTCGACGACAAGGGCCGCCTCTTCGACAAGGACGGGAACCTGCACCGGTGGTGGAAGGACGAGGACATCGAGGAATTTCACCGCAGGGCCCAGTGTCTGATCGGCAAGTGACCTCGAGGATCGAGAAATAGGGAGAAATTGAGCGTTCCGGGTCTTCCTAGATCAGTACGGTCGCTACGTGGTCACCGAGGTCGGCATGCGCATCGACGGGGTCAACACCCAGGGCGAGAACATCGCCGACAACGGGGGAATCAAGCAGGCCTTCAAGGTAGGGAGCCTCTTCGAGGTGCGTCCAGCGTCCGGTATAGTCGATCGCTTCCCTCGCAAAGGCCTACGAGCGGTGGCTGAAGTCCAACGGAGACGCCAACGAGACCTTGCCGGGCTTGAAGGCGACCGGGAAGCAGCTCTTCTTCCTGAACTTCGCCCAGGTCTGGTGCGGCACCATGAGACCCGAGGCCACGAGGAACAAGCTGAAGACCGCCGTCCACTCGCCGGGGAAGTTCCGGGTGATCGGGACGCTCTCCAACTCGAGGGACTTCGCGCAGGTCTTCAACTGCTCCGTGGGGACCTTGATGAATCCCGCGAGAAAGTGCTCCGTATGGTGACTCTTAGGGGACTCGGCACCTCGAGGGACTTTGAGGACCGCTTCGGAGCGTTTCCTCCTCTTCGAGGATCCAGCATCCGAGGAGGCCCTCAGGGAATGAAGGATCCTCGGGAACGTGAAATACACCATTCGATACGATCGCAACTGGTCCTAATACGTATTAATTTCATAATAATCACGATGGCGCGCGTACCTTGACGTATGCATACGCGCGCACGAACATGGATAGACTATGAATATCGAAAACGCGGATATAAAGGATCTATCGAGAACGAATAACGGAACGAGATGGAGTCATCGGGAACCTCAAAAATTAAGGGTCGTCAGCAGCTGGTGCCCCGTCTCCATGATCATGGATCTCACGTGGTCCGCGTGCATCGCCTGACTGCAGACCTCGGAGTACTTTTGGAAGATCGCCTCGTTCTCCCTGGGCAGGAAGGACCGGAACCTCTTCAGGGGCAAGATCTGCACGAGGTAGACCAGCGTCTCTGCGGAAACGAGGGATTTTTCAACGATCGATCGCGAGGCCCTCGGATAGAAGGGAATCGAGGGTCTTACCCTTCATGATCTCGCCGTACACCTTGCCGTGCTCCTTGTCGCCGCCGGTCCAGGTGATCTTCCCCTGCAGCATCTCGATCAGCATCTTCCACTCGGCAGCCCTCGTGTACTTGTACTGGAAAAATCGAAAGGCGGTCGGAGCGAGCTCTTTTTCGGGCATCCAACCGGAGACCCGGGGGGACGGTACCTGGGCGTACTCGAGCAGGGCCCTCGGGCAGTCGTCGATGAGGATCCTGGTCCCCGCGGCGGGGTCCAGGCGGTAGAGGATGCGCAGGGCGAGGTCGCCGCCGGGATCCTGCTCCTCGAGGAAACGGTCGACGTCCCGAAGCGACTCGGCGGGCAGCCGACCGCTGGCCAGGAGAGCTTGGAGTTTGAGGAGCTCCGGTCTGATGTGGACCCCGCGCTGCGAGGCGAGGCGGTCCAGGAACTTGGGTCGGCGGCTCGCGAAGAGGTACGGCTCCTCGGGGTCGTGGCCGAGCTCCCGCGGGTCCTCCTCCTCCTCGCGGAGCCGGCCTTGGGCGAGCTTGCCCAGGTAGGAGCGCACGAGGATGCGGAAGGCCTCGCGCTCGGCTTCCGCGTCGTCCGGGTCCTCGGGGGATCCGGAGGAGCGACATCTCTCGCCGAGGTAGGCCTCGAGGAAGAGCTGAAGCGCGCCAGCGGCGTCCAGACCGTCGCGACCGAGGCGCGAGGGCAGATATCCCAGGAAGACGCGCACCGCGATGCGGGCGGCGAGGAGACGGGTCGTAACGAGGCGCGCGAGCACCTTGGCGAAGAGGCCCCTCCGGGGACGTCGCATGAGGCAACCGGCGAGCTCGGAGAACCCGGGTCCTCCGCGGTAGCCCCGGGAAACCGGGGTCCAGTCGAACAGCAACTTCCAGTGGCGCATCAGGACGCGTTCGAGGCCGTGATCGGGCAGGGCCTCGAGAAGTTCGGCGGCGGGCCCGGACGCCCCGGTCTCGGCGAGGAGCAGCGCCAAGGAGAAGCGCTCGACGAGACCCGCGTCGTCGGTCGTTGAGGAGGCGACTCGGCCGCGTAGGATCTCTATCAGCTTGTCCGCGGCGTGCTCGCGGAGGACGGGACTCGCGAGCACGGCCTCGGGCAGAGCGCGGCGGTCGGGGGCGTCGCGGTCCAGCACGGCCGGGACGTCGTGGCTCTGGAAAAGGGCGTCGGCTTCGGCCTCGGCCTCCGGACCGGACGCGGCGTCGAGGCCGGCCAGGAGCTCGGCGACGAGGGCGGCGCGCCCGGGACCTGGGGCGTGGACGACGCCCTCCCTCGCCAGTACCCTGGCGGCCGGCAGACCGGCGCGACGGTAACAGCGCGCCGCTCGCCGCCAGTCGGCCGCCGACCGCGAGCCGAGCAGGTGATCGGCCAAAAGCGCGGGGCACTCGTCACCCGGGCCCGAGGGCCCCAGGGCCAGGGCCTCGGCCAAGAGGCGGCCGTAGGTGGCGGGCTCGGCGGCGCGATGGCACTCGGCGGCGCGTAGCATGTCGCGGCGCACGTCGCTCGGCCCGGGCAGGGCGAGGGCGTGGATCGCCCAGTGGGCCTCACCGGCCGCCACGAGCACCAGGTGGCGACCCGAGCACGCGAGCTCGCGCACCCCCGGGAACGGCCGCAGGCCAATCAGGAACGGCGGGCCCTCGGGCGGCTCGTCGGGCCCCGCCTCCAGCCCCGGAGGACCCAGCCGAGCAGCGTACGATTCCAGGCCCGCTTCCGTCAGGGCATGCAGCGCGGTGGGCTCGAGAGCGACTCGTCGCGCCGACGCCGTCAGCGGGTACACGCGCGGCCGCAGCTCAGGACCCCGGGCGCCGCGTCCTATGCGGAACGCGTAGCCCACTCTCCCTGTGCACGCCACGCACCCCACCGCTTCGGGATCCAGCGGCTCCAGAAGGGAGCACGAGAAGGCCTCCCCCAGCGCCGCGCCCATCCGCACGAGATGCTCGACCGAGTAGCGCCCCCCCGGCTCCACGCTCGCCACCGCCTCGTCGGGGTTGGCCTCAAGCGGAGCCCCCACCCCGCGCTCCGCCAGCACGCCGGGCAGCTCCACGGTTGGCGCGCCGCGCGCTGCCAGTCGGTCCCAGTCCACGGGCCCGTCCGTGGTCTCCGGGACTTCTTCGGGATCTGGCGCCTGATCGGGTTGCGGGGAACCTCCGGCCGCCAGTCGGAACACCAGAAGACGTCGCGCGTCACACGCCGCTATCACGTCTTCTACCGCGTCGACCCGTTCTGGGGTGAAACCCAGGGTCAGAGAACCGCGGTCGGCCGCTGCCCGGAAGTCGATGAACCGCAGCTTGGTTGGATTCAGGGTCTCCACCTTGTACTCGTAGAGCAGGATCCGCGGCCCTCCGGCAACGAACAGGTTCCCGGTCGCTTGGCAGCAGGCCACCGCCGCCGGAGCCGCGTCGAGGCCATCCAGGGGAAGCTCGATCATCTCCAGGCTGTCCGAGGGAGGGTTCGGACTGGGAGTCACTCTGCCCGCGATCCGTGCCCGGATAGCTCGCCCTCGGTTCGCCTTCGAGCCCCAGTTCACGTAGACCCTCACAAAGCGACCCACGAGCGAGCCCCGGCATGTCTTGGACTCCAGAGCCAGCACGTAGTTACCCTGGACACAGTGGCGCATCGACTCGACCTTGTCCACCGTCGGGAAGACGGTCCTTGGCTCGACGTTGGCAGCATCCAGATCCCGGACCTCCACGCAGTGACTGGACAATGCTATCAGCAAGGCCTCGTCCTCGCCTACGTGGGCTATGCATGCTGCCGTTGGCTCCTCCTCCAACTGAGCCACGTTCTGCCCCAGGAAGTTATGCACCGGGATCACGCGAACCATCGTAACTTTTTGTGCTTTGACGTCGACGACGAGACTGCTCCTATGAATCCCTGGCTTTCATGACGACGACTTCAACATCCTGCGAGCCTCCTGGACAAGGTAATTTCTGTTCCACTTTTGTTGGTAGAAACGAATCGGATAGATAGTAAAGAGTTTCTTAGCTCTCGCCAAAGATCAAGCTTTCGGGAGAATGACATTGGAGTAATTGTTAATTAGTTAAGTTTCTTACCATTAATGGAAATTCTATCCATTAATGACACGGCACAGCGCAAATCCGTAACTGTCCCTGTGCATTAGGTTGAGAGATCAACGTCTAGACCATTTCGTCCCACCCTCTTTTTAGAGACTTCCTTTAAAGCCCGGCACGTTCACCTCCACCGGTGACTTCGTCTCTCGTGTTTTTTAAACTCAGACCCTCCCTAATGCGCTTGGTTAGGTCCGAATTGATTTTCCGTGCTTGCATTCTTCGTCTCTTGACAAAACGACTGTCAGAAAGAGATAGGGAGCATAGTTATCGACTAATTGGGAGAAGGTGGCTCCATCTAGCGATGTATGCCGGTAGGTTGTCCCCCTAGTGGAATCGATGCTCTTCTTGAGGTAAACGCGGCGGACCAATTGGAGCGCGCCGTTTCCGGCGTGCACCAATCAGAGTGCTTCTTGCGCCGGCCGGCACCTACCGCCTTTTCTTCTCCCTTCACGTAGTCGCACATGGAGACTCGCTGTTAAACGGAGAAGAGGCACCGCCATTTTGCCGCTACAGCTCCGTTCGGAAAGCGTTGGTGACGCCGTGGATTTTCTTTTCTCTCGCTTCGACGGACCCGAGAACGCCCGCGGGTCCTTCCTGACGTTACCTGGTCGACAAGGACGCGAGTGAAATGAGCGCCATTGAGGTGAGGCTCGTCGTGACTCGTATTCTGTGGCTATTACGCGGCCGGGGTCGCGGTGGATTAATGGCGCGTACTACACGCCGCGAGTGATCGCTTCTTTTTTGCCGCCACTATTGATTCGCGGGCCGATATCCACCTCTTGCTGCCGGCCGAGTTATTCGCATTATTTTATCTTGTTTCCATTTTTTTCTTTGTCATTATCATGGTATTAAGAGTCAGGGAGAGATTATCAAGTGGCAGGGTTTTGTCTTTCGAACTCGTTCGCGACCGTTATTCAGCGCTCTCGATCGCGCTCATCGACATGTGCGAACGTTCCCGGAAAATCGAGGAACTGTTTATTATTCAGGATGAAATTAAGTTAAGAGGAAGTTTATTAATGGAAATTATCATGGATTTTGTTGGATGGTTAACATAGTGATTTATAGTGTTGTAAGAAATTCACTCGGCTTTAGTTATAAGATGATTAAGATGCTTCGTTTTAACCAGTAGCGTAGCGGTAGCCGTAGCGCTAGTCCCAGAAGGCCTAAAAACAGCGACGGAGGAATGAGAAACTCTAGATCGCGATCCCGATCGCGCAAGTCACGAGAGCGCAAAGAGGGCCACAGACCTGTCAAAGGGAAATATTCACGGTCACGTAGCAGATCTGCTTCCCGGGGAAGGAAGTCCTATCAGATGAGCAAGTACTCGAGCAACAGACGCCGCAGCAGCCGCACCCGCAGTCGCAGTCGAAGCAGATCGAGCTACCGTGGAGTACGGTACTCCCGCAGTAGGTCTCGCTCGTACTCCCGTTCCAAGTATTCCCGCGAAAGGGACAGGTATGTCTACCGCTCGCACTCGAGGAGCCCCATGTCCTCGAGGCGACGTCACGTCGGCAACCGCGACAACCCCTGTCCTTCGAGATGTCTCGGTGTCTTCGGACTCTCCATTTATACCACCGAGCATCAGATCTATCACATCTTCTCCAAGTATGGGGTTGTCGAGCGAGTACAGGTTGTCATAGATGCAAAGGTGCGTGTTTCACAATTATTAGGTAAAGCGACCTGAAAGTGGTTATATTAATCAATCGAGAGAGATCGTGTACACGGTATAAATATTCTTCCCCTGAAATAGCCATTTAAACGCAAAGTATCGCGTTAGAATGTGCGATTAAAAATAATTATCAGGGGGTACAGTAAATCGAACCAGAGATTTAGAACGTTCGCTTGGTAAGTCTCCGCGATACGTCAAAGGCATCTGGCCACATCTTTTAAAATATTTCTATGTAAATTTAATTTATTCTACGAGAGTCTTGAATCTCCCCTTCGGGTCGCTTTACAAAATAAGATGTATCGATTGTGGAGCAATTAAAGGAATACCAGGATAATCGAATCATGGTTTTTCAGACTGGACGGTCTAGAGGATTTTGCTTTGTATATTTTGAATCGTCAGAGGATGCCAAGGTAGCAAAAGAACAGTGCACGGGAATGGAAATCGATGGCCGGCGAATACGAGTAGATTTTTCAATTACTCAACGAGCTCATACGCCTACTCCTGGAATTTACATGGGCAAACCAACCCACTTGCACGACAGAGGCTGGGACGGACCCAGACGTAGAGAGTAAGAACCGATACTATCCACCGTCTTGGATAACGTTAAAGATTTTCGTTCTTCCTGTCCTTTTTAATGGACGATTTACTAACGAACTATCAACCGGGGATCCCCCTCAGGAGTAGTTACAGAGGAAGCTACCGACGGTCGCCCAGTCCATATTACAACCGACGACGTTCTCGATACGACCGGTCCAGATCACGCTCCTATTCCCCACGTAAGTGTACTGGATAACTTGGCATTCGTTATTTAATATAGGAAATCAACCCGACGAGGTTAAACGGATAAGAGATGCTGTCGTTTTTGTATGAAGTACCAGGTAATGAAATATATTACATGCGCGCCTCAATACATGTGCATGATTGAAAATGTGACACCTACGATAGAATCTGACCCGATAGCGCGATTATTGGAAATTCATCGATTATAAATCGGCGCTAGCGAGACACGGGAAAGGCTGTTCGCCGGCTTTATTCGGCTACTTTAGGGAGGATTCGGCGGCAAGAATTCGATAAACCCCTCGCGGTATTAGCTAAGTGCAGCTAACCTAAAACGCGCGTACCTAACCAAACAATCACGGTCTTTGTTGCTTAATGAATTTCAGGTCGATATGTAGTGGCACGAGTGTGATGCGAGAGGCCAGGTGTTGGGAGCCGTTTGTGTGACTTGATCCTTTGATCCCCATTACTTCTAAGTAATACACTCGCACGGTGCCAAATCATTTTATGCAAACGCCGCATTACCACCCTACCGTTCTCACCTTACCCGGCTCTATTTCAAAAATTGCACGGATTCGACAGGAGCCCGATAAGTAGAGCCGAAGAGGTCGAGCCTTTCCTGACCAAAGTCTCCGCTATTTTCTTCACGGCTTCGAAATCATTTTACCTTTCCTTTAACGCTTTGTGATTTTAAAAATCGGGAAAGTATTCTTCATTGATTCGTGAGGCCTCGTCGGTTAACATCTCGCAAGGTTTAAATTTAATTCTGTCCGTTAATTATATTCGATTGAACTTTATCGATTCGTGGAGGTGCACCGGAAGGAGTTCTTAAAAGTATAGTTATAGCGGGATAATTTTCGTTGCTCGGAGGTGTCTTGAACTTTTGAGCTTCGAGCCTACTTATCGGGGAGTTTGAGATGACGGATACAAAGTACGGTGTATCGAGGATCTTTCGATGGGACACTTGGAACGGAGAAAAGATGCCTCTAGCCTCTTTTGCCTAGGAAAGAGTAAGGTCAGAACGGACGCGGAACTTTATTTTCATGAACTTCCCCAGACCTACTCTTCGCTCGACGTATCTCAAAGTTAAAGGAGATAAGGTTTTTAGTTATACTCTTTACTCTCGTCCGGCGATAATGTGAAGGTTGGAATACGCATGTGGAATTGTTGCGAGGTTCTGTCTCGTTGGTTCTTCCCTCTCTCTCTTTCTCTCGCCCCCTCTCGAGGGGAGTTGGCCCTCGGTACAAAGTTGTATTTCAGCCATTCGACGGTCGACTACCACCCAGATGGTACGAAGCTGCGCTAATGTGCTACGCGTAAACCTATAAATGTATCCGTCTATCTATCGTAAGGCTTTATTACGAAGAAGGTGAGAGAGGGAGAGAGAGAGCAAGAATGGGTGCGAGTGTGCGAGTGAATGGAAGAAAGAAAGAGACACGTTAGGAGAGAAAGAAAAAAAAAACAGACAGGAAAAGCAATAAGAAAAAATGACAAACTTAAGCCTGAACGTTGTACGAATAAGTCCTCTAACACGTTTGTTTGTTTATAAGGTTTTGAATCAAGAGGTATTGGATGATAGAGGGAACTCTCTGTGTCGAAAAAATGAACGGTTTTGCAAACGAAAAGTCGAAGACAAGAGATCCGCCGGAAGAGAAGAAATACGTTTCGCTTCTTCTCGCTCGGCTAGGCTCGAAAAATCAAGAGAAAACCGAGGGTTCGTGTCGCGCGACTCGTGAGAAAGAATATGATCCGAAACCGGCCTCCCCCCCGTCGAGTTCGTTCTCGGGCCTCTAGGAAGAGCACTCAAGCAATGGTTAATGCAAGAGAATACGAGAATACAGGAAGAGGGAAAAACGTTGGGTGAGTCGGTGCTGCGAGAGAGAAATACCGATATATGTACATGTACGTCGAGAGAAATCGCTCGGCGAACGTGGCCCGAGAGGGAAAGAAAGAAGAGAGAAAACGTCGAGATATCCGTAGAGCTATATATATATATATACTTATACATATATATATATGCATATACATATACATATATACGTACCCGCGAGAGAAGAATAAGGAGATTCGTGCTCGCAGGTTTAGTCGAACCGATCATATTCTTTATCAATTGGTTGTGTATATCGGGTGTCGCTCGTTCTCGAGGACGCCACATAGCTCGCGGTCCGGGTCCTCGGCCGGTCCGCCACTTCCCCGCTTCGCAATAAAAAGAGAGAATAAAGGTGTGCACCCCTCTCTGTCCATCCTGTCCCTCCACCATCCCAAGACCTCCGACAGTCGCCCAGTCTTTTATCTAGAGATAGACGTCCTTCGTTTTCGCGGGTTCTTCGTTTCTTTTCCATTTTCTCGAATTTTCTTTTATCCCAAAGCTTCTTCCGTCGCCTTTCCAAGGAGCTGACGATTCCGGGGCGCCTTGTATTTGCGTTTAACCGTGTACAAACGTGTCCATAAGTATTGAATAAAGATCAAATCATCGATCGAACGGTCTACGTCGTTTTATTGTTAGGGCTAGCCTTCGACGGGTCGGGTCGTGGCATTGCACTTGGCGCGAAACTCTGCCCAGGCTCTCGTATTTTTTTCCGAATGTACATCTTTATTAAACAAATACAGTTGACGTCTTAATGTTATTTATAATATGTATCGTTTAGATATAATATTTCAATCTCCTAGCCTGTGCGACGGGTAGGTGCGCGAGCGTGTCGTGCTAGTTTCTAACATCGTCGATAAACAATTCTTCCGAGTTGAGGAGAGCAGGTTTTAAAGTGTATCTGCGGGCCGAGTGACTCGTTGCGTTGCGGAAGAGACGCGCGGCCTGCCTCTCCTGAACGTTTCCGTTCCCCGTCAATTCTTAATTTCTTCCCTTTTATTTCCCCCTCTGGCTAAAATTCTGGATCTTGGACCCCTTTTGGCGCACGTAACGGGGAGTATCTTTAACGGATTCTCCGAGGACTCGTTTCGCGTCGACATCCCACGGGAAACGAATTCCGCCAGCCTGGCGGAAATCTCGGCCCAGGAGAAGCTCGGCCCACGTCCCCAGGGTGCAGGGTCTTTCGGTTTCCTTGTAAGTTAGCTCGGCAAAGATTCCCCTAGACGGCTGTATATGTAACGCGGTTTAGCCTGGGATACCCTCCTCCCCCTTCGCTATATAATTAGTCCCTTAACGGTACTATATTAATTATTAATCTTATTAGTTAACACATAGTCGATCCGTACCAGGAGGGAATTTAGAGGACTCCTCTTCTATTATGCTTTCCTTTTTTTTTTCTCGACTTTTTTGTTCCTTTTCTTAGTAATCGGATACGGCCTACCGTTCGTGGCAAATTGTTCCTTCTCTTTCGTCCTTTCTCTCCGCCCGATCGCCTATCGTTTGCCGCGCGCGCACATATATGTATACATATATATATATATATTTTTATTCATTTATTTAATTAAGTACCGCGAGGAAAAAATTCCGCACGGAGAGCGGGCACTCTCCCCTCTCCGAGTATTCTACGTTATTATTTCTCATTTCCTCTCCATCGCTTTACGGACATTTTTTTTTTCTTTCTCTTTTCTTAGCGTTTAGCGAAGTCGCCGGAATTTGTGCACGCGTGTACGGTTTTCCGGTTCCTTTCGGTTTATTTTTATATTTCTCTCGAGCGTCGAGAGAAGCGGTCGACCGTGAGTTTCTCCGGAGGAAGAGGAACCGGAAGGACGACCTCTCGGATCCGGAAAGGGTACGGAGAGTTTAAGCCGAGGCGGAGCTTAATTGAACCTTGATAGCGCGAAGAACGCGGGGAGATATTTTTTTTTTTTCTTTCTACGGAGTTTTTCCACGCCTGGCGATCCTTCCCTCGCGTCGGACGCCATTTGTTCGGTAGTTCACGTCCACGGGTAAACGTTTTCACGGTGCTCCTAACTCTAACGATACTTCTCCGACAATCGACGGTGCAGTAAAATCGGGCGCTCGGTCTAATCGAACGGAGGTGATAACAGCCAGCCAACGAAACGACACCGCGCATATATATATGTACATACATGTGTTATTAGCTGCCTACAAAATACGGTGATATATATATATATATATAGGACCTAGCTGTAGTATCTCTTCTCCTCCTCGTTACAGTTATTAAGTACATTCTTTAGGTGCGCACACCTAGACGGGTTATTGTATTGATAATTCCTTGTTTGCAGAGAGGGCATACTGACGGAAATCGACGACGAGGTATCCCATCGGGAGAGAAACTCGTCCCTAGGGATAGGCGTACATACGAGTGGCAGGACTCCTGCAGGATTCGAGTCCCCGTTCCGATAAGGTGCATTATCGAGGAATTCCCTCTCTTATCCCTATAAGCGCCCACGTGGCGCGTCTCGTTCGCGCACCGCGAGTTGCCTTTTTCTCTTTTTTGCTCTCGTCTCTACGCGTCGCGCGAAATCACGGCGACGACCTGGCAAGAACGCGGTAAACCTTGCTTAAGCGGATCGTCCGAGGATTAAAGATTAATCAAGGCTTATGTTAAAAAAAAAAAAAAAGGTACAAATTTAGTCCCGACTCGGCAACCTTCGATACCGATGTATCGCAATCGGCAATTGGCGGTGACGTACGACATTATCTTTTTTTTTTTTTTAACGCGAATAATTTTACATGTAAAATTTAAAATTAGCATACACTCGCGCGAGTTACATTTTGCGACCTAAAGTATTAACGACTGGGCGTGCGTAACGAAATTAAGTACATGGCGTTGATTGATTAATTAATCGCGTATAGGTACTGGTTATAAATATTGCACCCGCGACGAGAATTTCACTCCTCTCTTTTTCTACTTTCGCTCGTTGATCGCGATGATCATTAGATAGGCGTGAGAAAATTTTGGAAAACAGGGAAAAGGAAAAGCGGCGCGAGAACGAGACGTCCAGATCCGGACTGCGAGTTCTTTCCGCGTTTCCTCCATTTTCTCCCACTTCTCTCCGTTTCCTTTCTTTCCGCGGTCGCACGATAATCTAGGTATATATATATATTTTTTTTATATAGTACAGCGGATAGATCTCTCGGCTGTCAGACGGGGGACGTTCGATTTTTGTTTCCATTAATTCTTAAGCAGTGCACAACTTTCTCCATTTTTCTCCTTCGGGGAGGGGAAAGAGAAAGAGGAAGGTCCGTCCAGCTCTCCCTCTCTCTCTCCCCCGAACGGAAGATTAGTTTTACATAGGTGACACACATCGTGTACGAAACTCTTGCATATCTCCATATCGTACCCTACTGTCCAATTTCCTTGGAACGTGTACACGCGGATTCGACTTAAAAAACGATACGAGAAATAAGGAAATGTAAATTAACGCCACGTTAATTACGGCCGAAGTCGTTGTTGCACCGTTACGGGGAGGAAGCAAAACCGAGGGAGCGAATAAAATCGCTGCGATATGGCGGAGGAATTAACGATCAACGACCGATGATCAAACTTTTGTCGCCCCGTTAATTGGGAGAAAACGAAAAAATTAATCGGGGGTTAATCCGCGGAGCGAACCGAAACACTGACCTGACGGAAATAAGCGAGGAAGAAGTGGGGACTGTTAACAATTAACGCTAAGTGCAACAACGATTAATCTTACGTGCGAGGGAGGAGCGCTTATTGCGAAAAGGATTAATAATCGATAGCGAAGCTCGAGGAGGCGGTGACGGAACTCGGGCAGGTTAATTAATGAGAAATTGGAGGGAAAGAAATATAAGTTCTCGACACGGGTCGAAGTCGCCCTCTTTATCAGCGGGCTCGATTCGGTGATAACGAACGACACTAATTCTACGATTAAGGATCCACGGGAAAAACGATCGAATACGACAGACCTCTTATAAAAATGATATGATACGCGCCTTGAAAAAATAAATTGTCTCGTACATTCTATTACAATATAGATATCGATACGTGATCTCTCAATAGTAGGTATCTCATCAGCGTGCGTGTGCCGTGTGTAGGTGTGTACGTGTATATTAATATATATATATATATTTCTGCGTCTCCCTCGCATAACACGTGCACATACGGTTCTCCTCGGCGGGTAAAGCCCGTTTATATGCACGGCGGTATAACGAATGCAGGATAATTCGCGGTAAAAGCTTCTTGTAGAGGGATTAAAAAAAAAAATAGGGAACGGAAGGAAGCGCGTCCTTTCCTCCTTTCGCGATAAAATCGATCGCCTATAGAATCCGCGTAAAAGGAATCCATAGGGTAAATGCGTAAAACGGCGAGTCGAGAGTTTAAAATAAATGCACATAATTGAGAATAGAAACGCGTCCGACGTTGCGACGGAATTAAAAGCGGCTAAAACGAATCGTCGACTCGCCCGGTATTACGGGTTTTGTGTGCCGTATTTTTTGTATACGCATTCCTGCGTAATTCACGATTTTCGCCTTTCCTTGATTACAGGTAAACGTGGGAGAGGCGAGAAAAGCGCGTCCGCTCGGTTCATAGGAGAGACGGCACGCCGTATACTTTCCCTCGTTCGATCTGTACAACGCGTGCGAGGGGACGCGAATCGCCTTAAAAGGGGGAAGAAAAAAAGAAAGGGCCTCGGAGGAAGATAAAGCGGGAAAGAAAAGGGAAGCGTTGGCGCGACTCACCGTTTTGTTCGAGAAAAAGAAAGATTCTCCAGGAAACGCGAGCGCGCGGAAACGCCGTAGAAAAGATCCTAGGGGGAGACAACGAGGTCGAGGGTCTACCTAAACGTATAGGTACGAAGAAAGGGGTAGGCGGCCTGGCCGTATAAAAACTTGTGCGTGCGTTCTTGCGCGAGCCAAGATGGCGGACAGACGCGCGGCCCGAATCGGTCGAATTTCTGTAAAACGGCGGAATCGCGGGATCGCCAGGCGCGGTCGCGGAGCTTTAGGCCGAGGAACCCTATCAGCGAATTCTCCAAGTCTCCTCCGTCTAGCAAAATCAGTCGCGAAGAAGCGCTCGCGCGGTGGAAAGGGAGAAGACGGTGGAGTCAACGCGCGCGCGAGAAAAGAAAACTGAGAGGGAGGCGAGTTTGAGGAATATGAGAAGACGCGCGGCCTGATCCCGCGTCGCTCGCTCGAGACGAGGATCTCGTCCGACGTTCGACTCGCCATCTACGGGGACGGATGCGGAGAGGGAGAGAGAGGGCGGCGACGAGCGGGGGACGGGGGACGGAGGACGGGAGATTAGACGTCGCGGTGGTCCCACTCCAGGTCGTGGGGCGAGTCGCGGCGGGCCCGGCGATGGTGGTGATGGGGGTGGGCCTGGCGGCGGTGCTCGTTGATCTCGGAGTCGTTCTCGCAGTCCGAGGTGTCGAGGTCGTCGGCCCGATAGGAGCCGTCCTCGGAGTCGGTGCTGGCCGAGTCGTAGGGGTCGTCGTCGGGCGGCGCGGGTCGGCGAGCGGCGGCGCGCTGCTCGGCGACGCGATCCATCGGGTTGACGGTGATGGCCAGGGCGGAGTCGTCCCAGGCCATCTCGGTCTCGGCGGCGAGCTCGTCGCCGGCGGCGCGGCGTCGGCGGGCGGCTCCGCGGACGCGGGCGGCGCCCACGGCCGCCATCAGCAGGAGGAAGCCGACGCAGGCGGCGGCGACCAGGGTGACGGCGCGGCCGCCCCCGCCGGGGGCGGCGGCGCGCGGCACCGCGGGGGTGGCGTATTCCTCGGGCAGGTCGGCGTGGTGGGGCGAGAGGCGCGCGTGGCCCGGGGCGGGCTCGGGGAGGTGCACGACGGCCGGCGGCGCCGGGGCCCGGGACACCCCGGGCGTGGTCGCCTCCTTGGGGTGGATCACCGCCAGCGTCTGCACGTACTCGTTGCTGGCGAACCGGCCGCTCAGCTCCGAGCACGTCAGCTTGAAGACCCTGTCGAGGTAGTAGGCCGGCTTGCGGTTCGCGTAGGTGATGAGCCGAATGAGCTGCTGGTAGTTGCGCGGCGTGTCCGCCCCGGAGAGGACGACCCCGTCGCGGTCGATGCGCGCGGAGATGAGCCGGGAGTGGCGCAGCGCCTCGGCCGGCAGACCCAGGCTCTCGTGGTCGGGGTTCAGGCTGGGGTAGACGCTGACCGCGCAGGCGTCGAGGCGCGCCGCCGACCCGGCCGTCACCCGGGCGTCGGGGAACACGCGCACGCCCAGCCGGAACTCGGCGTACTCGCGGGCGGCGTAGCCGCTCCCGTTGACGGAGATGCCGGGCCTGGGGGGCGGCAGCACGGTCACGTAGGACTGCGCCGCGGGGATGGGCAGGGGCCTAGCCCCCGGGCCCTCGCACGCCACGCTCGTCTCCAGTCGGAAGTTGCGTCGTCCGGGCGTCGGGAAGCGCCGGGAATTCGAGTAGCCCACTCGGCGCAGCAGCGCCTCCACGTTCGTCCGGTTGTCCCCGTCGATGCGCACCTCCGTCAGGTCCGAGTTGGTCAGCAGCTGCGTGCCCGGCTGCAGCAGGTCCATCGACGGCACCCTTATTCCTGAAAGAAAAATCGGACCCCGTCTTTGACTCCTCTCTCGATCCTTCGCCCTTTGCCGTGCACCACGCAACACGGGTTCCTCTAGCCCACCTTCCTGGCACCGCCGCAGACAGGCCAGCACGTCGGGCTTCTCGTTGCGGCCCACCAGGACGGACAGCCCCGCCAGGTAGCCCCTGAAGTGGTGCTTGGTCCCGTTGTCGGAGCCCTGCCAGCACGCCCCCACCGCCAGGGTCGTGTTCACGTCCTTCGCGGGATGCAGCGGCCAGTCGTCGATCACTTCGGGGTTCTTCTCGTCCGCCCTCCATTCCTCGCCGTCCACGAAGAGCGACACTCGGGGGAAGTCCGCCTGGATCGCGTAATGGTGCCACCTGTCGTCGCACACCTGCGCCAGCTTCCAGCGCCACTCGGCCGGCCGGAAGATGTTGGGGTCGCCCTCGGAGAAGTCCCTTCTCAGCAACAGGATCAGCCGGCAGTTTCGGATGAAGAGGGCGTAATGGTGCCGGTTCATCTCTGCGAGAAAAAATTAGGGAGCGTTATAGCGCCGATTTCGGGCACTTCCTTCGGAAGACGCGACCCTCGAGAAAAGGGAATCCCCGAAGGAGAGGCCCTTTTCCCGCGGAGCCGTTCGAGGTCGGTTGACCGTCGAGCGCGCGTTTATCTCTCGGTCACGAGACACGACGCGACGGCGACACGATCTCGTGCGAACCGCCCGCGTGGCCTGGAGATCCGGGTAAAAGTTAACGAGCCCCGAAGAGGATGTTCCGTCGTATATTAAACCGGCGCTGGAAGACTTCCGCAAACTCGAAGAGAAACCCGACAACATGCGTATCCTGGCAGTGCTCGCGATTTTCCTGATAGCGGCTTTCGTGGCCCTTGGCCAGGAAAGCGCGACGCGATCGAAGTGCTCCTGCACCAGACAATGGGACCCTGTGTGCGGTACGAATGATCGCACCTATGGGAACCTGTGCACTTTCAAGTGCGGTCAGGATCGAATCCTCAGGGAAACTGGAATTAGTAAGTATTTATGTTCGTCGCTCGGTCCAGCCGCTCTCTTCGAGAAGGCTCGGCGAAGCGACGCCTCTGAATATTTTTCTTGCACAGTTTTTAACGTCACGGTGTTAAAGTCCCGCCTTAAAACGCTCTTCATTGTTCTTTTCAGAAATTCAAATTGCCTACAAGGGACAGTGCGGCAAGCCGCTTTCTTAATCGAGGACCGCTCGACGAGGATCGTTTCTTTGCGCGCGTTCGTTCCACGCCTTCGAGTCCGAGTTACAATAAATAATTTCAACGTTCTCGCAATCGCCTTCATCTTCTTCGAGGACGAGCGTCGAATGTACGCCTCCGAAATCGGAGATTTCGTCCGCTCGCAGCCGGTTCCTCCAGTGGTCGCGTTTACGTTTCATCGCCTCTCGTAACTCCCGTTCGTTCCCCGTTATCCCCGTTGTTCTCGAGCCGATCGAATCGACACCGGTCACGGGCCATTCCGATTTGTCCGATCCGATTAGCTCCTCCCGGGGTCGCGGTTATCGCGGCCCGATAATTGGCAATCGATCGACGACGCCGCCGAATAAAACCCGGGAGCGGTAGCGAGGAGTCGTCTCTTCGGGGTCGTCAGTGGGTCGCTCGTGTCAGGTCGAAAGTCTCCATCGAGCTGGAAGGATGAAGGTACTGCTGACGATCGGTTTGGTCCTGGCCTGCGGGTTCCTGGTCCTGGGCCGGGTGTACCACCGGTGCGACTGTCTCCCCACCTCCAGACCCGTCTGCGGGAGCAACGGGGTCACTTACCCAAACCTCTGCGAACTCCTGTGCCACCAAGACGACGATGCTGACTTCGGCCGAGGTACGACGAAACATTTTTTTCCTTCTCGAGAGAAGCCTCGAGGATGCCTCGATTCGCGCGTCCCGATGTCGGGAAATTCCTAACGAGCTACCTTCGTTCCAGTTCACATCCTCAACTTTGGGTCATGCGGGGAGGCCCGTAGTTGGAAAGTTTCGGGTGGGTTGAAACTCGGACACGGTCACCATCACGGGGCCAGGAGAGAGCAGCAACAGGAGCAGGAGGAGGAGGACTAGATCGATCGACGTTTCCGAGAGCAAGGGATGCCGCCAAGGCATCCAAGGGATTTCCTTTTCTTCTTCCTCCTCTTCTTCGAAAAGCGCACCCTTGGGAAATCTTTATCATCGAGAACGTCTCGAATCGATGTAGAGTATCGTGAGAAATAAATTGGGTATTATCGCGCGGCGAGTCGTTGCGATTAATTCCGGGGCCCTCCTCTTACGGTCTGCGAGGAAGGTGTAATTACAAAAGGTCCGAAACTCGGTCGAGTCCGTCCGCTAATGCACTTGGCGCGAGACTCCGGGGGGTCCCTTTTTAACCCGTACTCACTGTGGTCATCCGCGGCGCAGAGGATGTGCTCCTTGACGTGGGGATCCTGCCTGGGCCTCGGCCTGTGCTTCACCCAGACTCCGATGCTGAACTTCCTCGCCAGGGAGTGGTCGAGCACGTCGTTAGGCACGATGGCGGCAGAGCTGGCTCCGTCGAACTCGAATATCTCGTCGGCTTCCCTGCCTTCGTCTCGGGAGAGGCCAGAGGTCCAGGAAGAGGCCGGTCCAGGGGTAGGAAGAAGGTCCACGCTGTCTCTGGAGGCTCCGCAGAGCTTGCGCTGGCTGCGGACTCCATAGGTGTCTCGGTCGCAACCCTTGCCGATGTGGTCCGTGGCCAAAGTCAGGGTTACCCTCAGGTTCCGTAGGATGCAAGGGGCGTCGCAAAGTTCCAGGCGCGCCGAAGGCAGCAGGGACTGAGATCCTACTCCTGTGGGAACCGTGGATCAGAAATTTATCCAATTTGTTTGACAAGTCCCGAGAGTTACAGGGACGGAAGGATACCAACCTGGGGCGTAGTCCACTCTCTCTGGAATTCCTCTCCAACCTGGGGAGCAGACTCGGTTGACCTTGATCGTAACCATCGCCGGGGCTGACTGTTTCATGCCGCAGTCGTATGCCACCACGCTGAGGATGTAGTTATGGGAGCGCTCGTAGTCCAGGGGTTCGGTGTTACGGATCGCGCCATCGTTGTCGATCACGAACGGTTGGTCGGCCGTCAGGATCTCGTACTTGCAAACGTCACCGAATTTGGGCGTACAGTCGCGGTCGGAAGCCTCCACTCGCACCACTTCCTCGTAGAGACGACCCTCATCGACGGTGCTGACGTAGGCTGGTTGCAGGAACTGAGGGGCGTACTCGTTTACGTCGACCACTGTGATGTGCACGGTTGCGCTGGAAAATTCACGCGTACTTGTGATTTTTTAGACTCAAAAGAAATTCATGCCACTGTACCGTCGAGAAGAATTCGTGGTTCGAGGGTTACGTACTTTTCGGATTGCACTCCATTGCATCCGACAGCAGCGATGTCGAACTTGTAGTTGCGTCTCTTTTCGCAGTTTAAGACCCTAATGGCTCTCAATTCCGCGGTGTTCTTCTCCTTCGGTATGATCTCGAAGGGTGCTTCGCCATGGTGTTTGTTCGCGATCCGGAAGGAGCAGACCTTAGCTCCTGACGCGCGTATCTGTGGTGTTACCTCGACCAAAGTCTCGTTTTCCTTAACGAGGCCATGGTAGCCACTCTCTAGGCTCTCCAATTCCAATCTGGGAACTGTACCGGTATTTGTCATATTAGTCGAATGGAAATTGCCCTTCCAATTTTTTAAAGAAAATTTCATTGTCTAGAATGCATACAAAATACTTCTATGGCTGAAAATGAGTGGAGTCCATCCACAAAAATCATTCCACCCGTCGTTAACGCATTTCAAAATCAATTTAATTAAACTCGACCCATATTACGGATCTCCTAGTCCACTCGACAACCGAATAGCATGCCGGACCAAAGGTTAACGGGTTTAAAATCGTTGAAATAGTATTCGACTGTCATAGGCTGGACCGACCTCCTACAAGGACTCCCAATCCTGTCCGACTCCGACATCAATGGGGACACGACCTATCGACGATAGATCTTCCCAACTACGAACCTGCTTGCAATTTGCAGACGCAAGCCCAAAAAACCAGAGCTTGGGAATACTCTACCTGACGCTACCAGGATATGTGTCAAGGCAAAGGTACATTGCGATACAAAGTGGTACATTGCGAAAGAGCGGCATGGGCGAGCCAAGCAGGGAGCAGAAGCGGCGCAGGAATACCAACGGCATTAAGAGGTGAAAAGTCACCTGCTCGGTCGCCGAAGGAGGCGGCGGCGACCTCGTCGAGCGCCCTGACGTCGGAGGGCGCAAGGACGAGGGCGAGGGCGAGGGCGAAGGCGAAGACGAGCGCGAGGCCCGAGGGCGAAGCCGCGGCGATCATCGTCGGGTAGACGAGGAGGGCTCGCAGGGGCGCACGCAGCCCTCAGTGGCGATGGCCTGGGAGAGTCGCCGAGATACCAGTCCTGGGCTTCAAAGGGGCCCTCGGGGTTCCTTGGATCCTCGCAGACGACTCGCACGGTCCTCAAAGGAGCATCGCTGCCACCCGAGCGGGGGTTCGCCTGCTTGCCTGGCCTGCGACACACCGCACTATCCCGAAGTCAATATTTGAGCGGAATATCGATTCGTCAGCTAAAATAACGCCGATTCCACGCTAACCGAGGCGCTGGCTTCGCCACACCGATATAGAAGCCGCGGATCAACTTATATGGGAAGACGCGGAGAGAGGTGAGTTGGGAGATTGATCCTGGCAGGGGCCGCGCGATCGCATTCTGTGCTGTCCTCGGTAGAGAATGCAGGCGGCTCGTGCACTTGCCTCCTTTCGCGTCGAGCTGTGGTCGCAGGTGCGAATCAAATTCATCGGGGGCAGAGCATCCCGAGGAAATGATATGTACATACTCCTCAAAAAAGCCGTTTTGCTGTAGTACGGCACGAAATTATATGTAGAATGTGGAACAGTTTTGGTTGAGGGCCACCTGGTGGCAATGATTCACTATAGCTACGAAACATGGAAGCATAGCCACTCTCTATTAATCTCTGATTTTATATGTTTGCCACATCAAACGCTCGGTGTAAACGTAGTAAGTGTCATGTTCGGTCGTATTTTCGATTTTATGTCAGTTCGTAAGATTTTTATAAGTATATTTCCATGAAACTCCTGAATTTTTCTGTCGTGCAATTACGATAGATCAGCAAACGATATCACGGTGCTTCCTAACCTTCCCTTTGACCACCTTTGACAGTCTCTTCAATCTGTACATGTAGGAAGGTTAGTTTGGTAGTTCACAATTTTTTTGCATTGCAAAATATTATTGCTACACCGCGAATGAATCTTCACTATTTAGACAAAATTTTTCTTAGGCATGAACATGAGTAATCGGTGAATTTAAAGTATTTCACTGTTAACGTCATGGGGTCTACACCGAGTCGCTATGAAGACCTCTCGAAGAACAGCTATTTGGAGAGATTTTGTGGGAAAAAATCCATCCCACTGAACGATCCATTTTGGACTCAATTTTTGTCCTTTAACGTCAGACCCCCAATTACGAGAAACGACCAAATAGAATTGGATTCACGATTGGATTCTACGTGTCAGCAATTACTAACTAATAATTTAACGACCGGTAACTTTGGCTCCTTGATCCAAGTTTTCTTAAATCGAAGCAACGAACTCCTAACTACGTTAAAAACTGACAGGTACAGTGTTATTTTACAATTTTGCTTCTTCATGTTGCTACATATTAAACCATGCAGTAAAAGGTTTTCAAAGAAATTTTCATGAGACCATTGATAGTCACGTATTCTGTTTTTTGATTGCACAGCTTAATATCAATGTGGCAGACGTACAATGCATTATTCGCCGTTAGATGTATTTTAAAATATCTCTTGGAAACGGTTGGAGAGGAGGAAATGGTAAAACATGCCGAAACACGGCCATTATCCGAAGAAATTCAGGACACTTCTTTAGTACGAATTTCAGCATTCTTTGAAGCATTGATTGCGATCATTATCGATGTACCATTATGGTGAGTTAATTTTTGTTTGAGCACTGTACTACTAGTTAGAGGAAATAAATTTAATGGAAACTCTTTTCCCAGTGAATTCACATACGTGATACATTTGGAGGCAATCAACTGTCTGCTCGTACTTCTGTCGGTACAATTATTTTCTCAAACCCCTGCCGAGTACAGCTATGTCTATCGAATGGCGATGCACGAAGATCTAAATGTACACGCTCCTGTGCTAGTGTGCACGTTGCTACATAATTTTGTTCGTCAAGAACATGCTCCACCTGGTCTGCTCACACAGCAGAGCGGTGGCAGCATAGTGTTCAGTATTGCTGGTACGTTTGCTGCCTGTCCCAATGAAGTCTCAATATTCAGGGATTCTTACCATACCGTCACCTTACTACAGCAGGGTTATGGAACGTGATCACAATGGGTATGAGGAGTGGCTTAAAAAACGTTCAAATCAGTAATAACGGCACGGCCGAAGAAGAAGAGAAGAAACGAGACACGGAAACTCCTTTAGCTAGTCAATCGTTGCTGCTCCTGCTCATTCTGACGAACCATTGCACCGCCACGCACAATCCATACAGGCACGCTCTTTTTAGTTTTACCAACGTGCAAGGTCAGTATCTTTTTTTCTTGTCATATTTCGAAATGTTTAAAAATTGTCCGACATCAAAATGATCTTTTTTCTTTTTTTCCAGACGATCACGTGCCAACGCCGGTGAAGGCAGTCATTGCCTTCAGATTTAATTTAAGTAAATTATACGAGACTATTTACAGAGTACAAAAGTCAGATGAAGTCACGTTGCTACTGTACATGCTGCTACATCGAAATGCAAATGTCAAGCGGTATATCATGAAAAGGCCGGATATACATCTACTGGTGAGTCTAAACGAAACTAAATTTTAATTCCTATTTAAACCACTCCTGTTTTCCTTTTTTCTAGGTGATACCTATACTGCAGATATTATACCATGCTCCTGATAACACGTCGCATCACATTTACATGTCCCTTATCATACTTTTAATACTGAGCGAAGATGATACCTTTAATAAAAGAATACACGAAATCGTAAGTACCAACGTACCTGTAGGTTAAAAATGTAAACGAAAATTAATGGTTCGGAAAATGCTTCAGGTGTTAAAGGGAATTACCTGGTACACGGAAAGGTCCATAAGTGAGATTTCATTGGGAGGTCTTCTTATCCTAGTAGTTATACGAACTATACAATACAACATGCTTAAAATGAGAGTACGTAAACCTCTTGAAACGACGTCTCGACGAACCAAACATGCGTTACGATGAATTAATAATTTTTAGGACAAGTATTTGCACACCAACTGTCTGGCTGCTTTAGCGAACATGTCTGCACAGTTCAGATCGTTGCATCCCTACGTAAGTCAAAGACTGTTGAGTCTATTCGAGACTCTCGCGAAAAAGCATGCAAGATTGGAGGGAAAGATTCGCTCGCAGTCTCCTGCCAACTCTAACAGCATCACGGTTAACGTCAACGGCGGTGCAGCTTGTACGGACGTGGTAACGTTGGATTCCGTTAAAAAAAAAAAATGACTAGCCGATGCTATCGAATTAATATTCCGATTCCTCGACGAACGTAATTTTAGGTTCAAGATTTAACCATCCTAGAGGAAGTCCTGCGCATGGTACTCGAAATAATAAACAGCTGCCTGACGCACCAACTCGCGCACAATCCAAACTTGATCTACACGCTCCTGTACAAGAAGGACATTTTCCAGTCTTTCCGAACGCACTCCGCGTTCCAAGATATAGTGCAAAACATCGACTCCGTAATTAACTTCTTCTCGTACAAACTGGAACAGCGAGATCAATCCCAGATTGGCGTGAGTCAAGTACTGGCTACCATCGAGCAAGGGACGTGTCAGTGGCCAAAGGACCGATTAAGAGTGCGTACCAATCGTTACCCTATCCTTTCGCGCGAAGAAAAATGACGTCGTACCTTGAGCCTTCGTAGCGCGAGGAAGTACTTGCCACGACCAAGCCGATGAATCTTCGGGAACTCATCGGAGCGCTTCTCACTTTTCAGAAGTTCCCCGAACTGAAGTTCAAGTACGTCGAGGAGGAACAGCCAGAGGAGTTCTTCATCCCGTACGTGTGGAGCGTCGTCTGTCAAAGCGCGTTGCTTCACTGGAACGCCGAGAACATCAAACTGTTCCCGCCGAACAACGGAGAACAGACAACGATAATAGTTTGCTGATACCAAAACTACTACGACTACTTGCTTACGTTCTTATCGGAGATCGCTCGTTCGAAGTGCTAATTTCGAGGGAGAGTTTAACCTGAGATGCGGCGGACAACCTATCGCGATGACGGCAGAGACTCGACTGGCTCGACCGAACCGAAGTCACCGAAGACCAAGCGAGACAAAGACTGGGTGGGGAGTGATCTCGATGATCGATCAGAGGACGCGCGTCGATAACGAAGTCGACCGCGCGGATCTAGAGGGGAACGGGAACGCTTGGCCTTTCGCGCTATTTTCATCGATATCTCGCATCTACGGATCTCGCGCGCGGTACAGCCGAAAAGGTGAATGTTCCTCCGATTGGAAACAAGGAACCGGAGGGAAGTTCAACCGCGTCGTAGACCGCCCACCATGACCCACGAGAATACCTGATTTTCCACCGTTATTGCGGGTGTTAACATATTCGAGGAAGAGTAACAGTGTCTTATTAACTGACGCAGCTGTGAGTTTATAGTAACAGATGATAATATATATATAAATATAAATATGATTAAGGTTCAACGCGTTTAGGTTGCCAGTCTCGGAGACTTAAGTGAACGCTATTTATAAAGATGCGGAGGGTGTAAATACGCGAAGACGGACTTCCGGCGTCGGAAGGTAGCATGCATCTGCATAGCGAAATTGCGTGATAAATATCCCAAATCACTGACAATGCCCGAGACCGTACGAAAGATCCCCCATACCTTGTTCAAGAATTTCTACGCGACGGAAGCCAAACGTCCACCGATCTTCATGGAGGTTTTTAATCGTAGCAATTAATTCGTACCTTTGTCGCGATCAATTCGGAGTCGATCCCTTCGATACGAGGAAAGCAAAGCACTTCGGTTGCTTGTACATATTGTGGTACATATTGTAGGGAATGCTTATCTCCCGCGTACTCGATACATTTTCACGCGTTACTCTACGACATTCACCTTTTCAGTTGCATCGATCGGTGATCGACCAAAGGACCGACTAAAACGCGTACGGGGCCCTCGGGAGGGGAAACCGTAGACGCCCTAGGTCGCAGCTTCGATTTGTGCGCGTTGCAAAGCATTGTGCATTGTTTATACCAATAAACGTCGACGGAAAAGCCAAGAGTGGAGTCGAAGTGCACGCGCGTACCTCTCGTCCCCGTAATCAGCTGACACGGAGCGATGCAAAACATGACTCCTCCGGTGCCACCAGGGAAAGCGTATTCATCGAACACTTGGGCGCCCATTTCATGGTATATTTCATTCGAACGATGTCCGAGGACCTCACAAAGGAATTAATAACTAAACACACTGTAAATGAACGGCGGAAACCCGAAGGGAGCTCGCCGCGCGTTTGGGGGTCTACACCTAGATGCTTATAAAAATAGCTAAGTAGAGTCGATGTCGATGTAGAAAAACTGCCCTTGGAAAAGGCCCGGGAAGCACGAGGAGCGAACGCGCCTTCGCTACGAGAAGTCGAGGGCAATTTCTTCCTCCTCCTCGCGCCTCGCGATCGTCGGCGGAAGATCGCGCCTTCGGGGCCTCGCCGAGAGAAAGAGAGAGGACAACCTCGAGTCGATTGCCAAGGGGTTTTTAAAAGAATAGAAATTTCATAGGATATCGTACACCGGCCGAGCCACGGAGCCCGGCGAGACGCGATCTCTCTCTCTCTCCTTCTCTCCGCGAATTTCGAAATTGGGAATTGGGAATTACGAATCGAGAATCCCGGACTGTACAACCGGCGCGCCTCTGCACCTCCGCGAAGGGGAAAGAAAGGGAAGAAATGAAAAAGGACCGCGTCAACCTACCTCCTTAAACCTAATCTACATAGATTACTCCGCGCGCGGAAAGTAATCGCGTCGCGTTCCCGAGGAAACGAGGAAACGAGGAAACTCGGGGGAAATGCAAGAGCGCCGAACGACGCGTCCCACGGGCGAGAGCGAGAGCGCGAACGCCAAAGAGGGCACCCCGACTCCGCGCGATACCGATATATATATATATGCGTATGTATATATGTATACGAGTCTCGCGACTATACGCTAGAATGTGTGTGTGTCTCCGCGTGACGTTCGGCGATGCCTCGATCGACGGTGCTCCCCTCGTCAGCCTCTTCTTCGGCCCGTCCTTCGAGGGTCGACGAGGGTCCGCTCGGCGAGGCTTTCCTTCCTCTCGTCCGCGACGAGAACCTTCTCGTGAACGTCTTCTCCTTGAGACGCGCCCGGGAAGAGACGCTTCTCTTCTGGACGCAACCTCGAGGAGGACCTTAAAACGTGCACCGTTTCACCCAACACCGAAAGGGTGAGCGAGGATCGTCCTCGTCCTCCCGAGAGCCAAGTTCTCGTGCCTCTTCGAAGAGGACCCTTACGTGGACAGCTCGGGCTGAAGACGCTCCACCCGGTAGCGGTTGTACTGCCGGTACGGCGAGCGGGTCTGGTCGTTGTCGGTGACCACCCTCGTCCTGTGCGGGATCAGGTTCTCGTAGCGGCCCATCAGCCAGTCCTGGCAGAGGCGGTGCTGGGTGTCCGCCACGTTCCTGGAGGCCCAGCTCGCCAGCCATCGGTGGAACTTGGAGTTGAGGTTCTTCGTCACGGTAGGATGGCACTGGACATTCGAAAAATTAATACCCGATCGAGGCGACGGCGACGTTACCGTTTACGATTTCAGGGTAGTCGACGCACCTCTCTCGCCCTGGTGAAGGAGTTCCGCTTGTAGAGGAAAGCCTCCTTGCTGGCGACGTAGAGCATGTGGTAGCTGTTGGGGTTGAATCTGCACTGGACGTCCCCCGAGGAGACCACGTCGGACCCCTCCGCGGCATCCGCCAGCCTGAGGGGAGGCTGCTGCGGCTGTTGCTGCCTCTTCAGGATCGCCTCGACGGGGTCTGGCGACTTCGCGGATGCGGCCAGGCTGGAAGACGATCGGTTCGTTGTCAGTATTCTCCGTACATCGGGGTACCGGATCTATATCTCTTTGGGTACTCACTCGGGCACCTTCTCGGCACGGGGAACCTCGGCCTGGGACGGCCTCGTCGCCCTGGCTGCGCGTTTCCGCCATTGGCGGACGTTCCTGTAGAGGAAGACGGGCTTGCGACCAGAAAGGATCCGGCCCAGGGAGCTCCAGCCGTTCCCGTCGATCTGCAACAGTCGAAACGCGCCGTTTAGAGGGCCGCCCACCCTCGGGAGGAAGCCGGGCCGAAGAAAACGAGACCCTCTTAGGAGCCGCGCCATGATTAAGAATTAAGATCGCGATACTTAACTCCCTGGAGAAGAGGACCCCTCTCTCGAGCCGCGGTTCGGCAAAGATTAGGAACGTGAACGCGCTTTGACGACGAGTCGCGATCGAAAATCCGCGGAAGAGATAGAATCGCGAATGCCTTTCGATAATGAGAAGCTACACGATGGATTACCTCGCGAGCGTAAAACGTGTCTTTGCCAATTCGTTCTCTCGCGACGCTTTTCTTGAATTTTAACCTAGACGCTCCTGGGGACCATGTTGAAATAGCCGCGTCAACCGGAAAGGCGTATACATTATTTTGATCGTCTAGAAGACAAGACAATTGCAATAATTCTCGTCGTTGCCGCGAATTGGGTCAGGACTCTTCCAGTTTTAGGACACTCGGATCGGATTCGTAGAGGAAATCGAGGAAACAACGTTTAGCGTTACCTAAAGTTACCGTCAAAGCCTGAGGTTCGAGAAACCCGTTTCGCTCGTCGATACCGAAGGGTGATATCGAAATGTACAATTATACGCGGCGAGCGTCGGTCTTCGAGTTCGGGTAGAACCCTGTCACGACCTTGAAGACGCGTCGTTCCTTAATCTCTTCTTCACCGACGCGATTTTCGCATTTCCAGGTGATCGGGCCCTGATGGAGGCGCAGGGAGAACCCGACAAAACCGATGGAATGGAAGAAAAGGCTCGAAGAGGCACGAGGAGACGAAGAGGTCGAGGAGGTCCGAGTCCAAAAAGAATCCCCACGTCCTCGACATCTTCGCCGCCCCCCGAAGACGAGGAAGAGTATCTCCTCCTCGCCTTTTCCCCGGCCCAGGAACCGAGGGCGCAGAAAAGGACGAAAAAGAAAGAAACCAAGAGACTCTCCAGTCCGCGAAACGAAGGGAAATTTCCCGAGAAGGCCTATTGGCGCAAAAACCCGGCGATTTTCTGTAAACGAAAGACGCGAGAAAAAGAACTCCGAGAGAAAAGAACGAACGGGAAAAAAAAAAGTAGAAAAAAAAAATAGCAAACGAAGGCGCGCGACTTCGTCTTCTCCTTCATCGAGCGCGACCGAGATGAACTTTCGGTGGTGCAGTAATGAGACGTCAGACGATAATGTTTAAAAACACTGTTCATGTATTTCAATATTTCTCTCTCTTCTGTACAATGTTTTAGTCTAGGTCGTAAGGTGGCCACTTGTTCCTTCTCTTTTATCCTTTTTTTTTTCCATCCCTTCTTCCTTCCTCCCTCCTTTCCCTCTCGTTTATACACAGAGTCTACGAATACAAAATATAGAGTATATATACATAACGTAAATATATACACACTTTTGTTCGATTAATGTGATCGCCATCGAGGAGCTTGCAAGGAGCGGCGTCGTCGTCGTCGCGAAATCGAAAAAGGAGTCCGCGAGGACTCGAACGGTCTTTCTCTGTCCCTACGAGAGTCCTCGCGTCTGCCCGACCGTCTGACTAGCTCGAGTGGAATTTCCTCCTTCCCTAAGAGAGCGCTCTTTTCCCACTTCCTCCTTTCCTTTCTTTCTCGCCCTTCTTCGCCTGCGAGTCGGCCAATGACGTAAAGAGACTTCCTCCTCCCTCTCCCCGCGTTCCCCCGATTTGCTTCACTCGTTCGTTCCCCGACGAAAGTACAAAAAGAAAAAAAAAAAAAATATCCACTGGGGAGGAAACGGCGGAACACAGGGAGGTGTTGAAAATTCCTCTCCCTCTCTCTCTCTCCCTCGCGTTGTAACGGATGCCTCGTTATCGAGACACCCTAACGGGGAACCGGGAAGCGGAGGAAGAGGGTAGAAAAATGTCTTCCTCTCCTTCCGACGCGGTTTTGCGGATCCTTCGTCGATCGGGACGACTCTCGAGGACCCGGAGACGAGTCGCGAGGCGGACGTCGCGCGATCGCCTCGTAATTTTGAATTACCACGGGAGGTCTTTTCGTAACGACGGCTCCAAGGCGAGAAAAAGTGCAGGACGGCAGGAGATCGCGTCGCCTTTTAACGGAGTCGAGCCCGACGTAACGCGGGTTAGGCCGTGATACCGAAGGGAACCGACGACACGCGTTATAACGGAGTTTTGTACTATAGTTGGGTTCCTCCCACGACCCTTATCGCGCCTCGCGGCGTCTCTTCGAGTTCCTCGGATTTTTTTTTTTTTAACGCGAGAGAGAGATCGGGACGTACCTCGCCGCGGTCGGGGAGACTTCCCGAAGAGTACGGATCGCTTTTACATTCTCTCCTGCGAAGGACGGAAGGTCGCCCCCCTTCGAGGTCTCTTTACGTCATTACTCGCCCCTCTCGTTTACCCGAACGGGGATTGCGATGGTACACGCCGTACTCTTAAACGTAACGTTCTCGTATGATCATTCATGAAATTCTGTGGTAGACACGCCCGCCTTAGTCACCGCCTGCAAGTCAAATTACGCATAAATTAATACGGCACACGTCGTACGCTTAACAGGTAGTTCGAAGGTGGGAGACATTTCTTTTTTCCCTTTCCTCTCGGACATCCGACTCTACGTTAATCCAACCATGGAGGGGACTTTCGCGAGATCCCTCGAGTCCTCGTTCGACGTCGAAACGAGTTCCCCGTTCCCTGAAGAAGACCACTGGCGTCGCGCCGATCCTCGAATTGCGTCTTTGAATAAACCAGATTTCCCGATATAACCGTTCCGACTCTTCGCCGTAGAAAATCATCGCGAAGGAAATGAAAAAGAAAAACAAAAAAAAAAATCGAATCGACTAAATTCTCGGCGAACGCCATAAAAATCCCGTCATTTACTTTGATTCGTCATCGTTAACCCCATTCGATATTAAAATGAGAAAAAAGAAAAACTTTATCCGGCGGTTTTCCTCCGTTCTATGGACGTCGATAACGAGAAGCGTCGGATAGTTCCGAGGTTTCTCGCCACGGGCGCTTCGGTGGCGTCGCCAGTGGTGCTTGGCCGAGAACGGAGCCCCCCGTTACACCGAAGGAGGACTACCGCAGTGGGCACGATGCGTGTACAAAACGTGTGGATGTGGCTAGAAAAAACATCGAAATCAACTGGCGGGCGGGACTGAACACTTCTAGCATCGATTCCGCGAGAAACCATTAAAATCGAGCACGAGCCTCTCGTTTCGCGCAAGAACCGTATCGAGGAAGACGCGGCATGCGCTATCGGGATGGATGAGCGTGTAATCGCTAATTAAAACGAGGTCAAAAAGAAAGAAACGCCGACTTCACGACTACGAGGCTCTACGATAAAAAGCGCCGACTTTATAAATTGCGATCGTCAAATTTTAATCTCCGTGAAATCGAAAATCAGCAAGACCGTTACGTACTTTTTTTCTCTTTAATCGCGCCTGCAATTTTAATTAAGCTTTGCCAAGGACGCGATCGACAACGAAACCTCGCGAAGAGAAGATGTCGCAGGGTGGAGGAAGTGGCGTCGATAAAGAAAAAAAATGAGAGAGAGAGAATCGAGGCAGGAAAAGCATCTTAAAATGTAAATCACGATGACGCGAGAGTACGAAGACTAAAAAACGTAACGAGAAATAATTCTATATATATAAATGTATATGTTTAAAAAAAAAAAAGAAAAAGGAAAAAGCACTTCAGCACCTGTTCGTCTCACGACAATTGTCAGTAATTAAACGTATAATATATGTGTACGCGTGTGACCGGATAAATCATTTTCTTCCTGTCATACAGGATAACGTTCTAGCACGTATATATATATATATAAATATATCATTAAGCGTATAAATGTGTATAAATAAAATGAACGACAATGTGGATATCTTTTCAGAGTACGACCGTGTGATGTATGATGACACCTGTCCGAGAGTACGTATATAAAAGTGGCGGAATAAATTCGAGGGCTACTATGCTTAAACGGCGACTCCGCGAGTCCAACCGTGCACCTACTTAATAACGCGAAAGTAAAAAACGAAAGGCGATCCAAGCGACCCACGTGAAGAACGAAAACGGCATAAGCATTCACGTGCCAAAAAATGGTAAACGTAACGACGTACAATTAGACCAGCTGCTAAACGTCTGCAAGGGGCAGCGAAACAAAAACAATTCCTTCGATTGCCTCGACCCCCCAGGTTCCCTTCGCGCCGGTGTTTCACCCTGCGGAGGTCAAAAACCCAACGACCCTAAATTTTTCCACCCCTCAGAGATTTCTGCGAATCCCTTCGGCAGGCTTTGCGCTTCGCCTCGGAGGAATCCTCGAAGGAATCCTTCGACCGAAGAGACGACACCAAACTTCGACTTGGTCGAGGGAGGAACCTGGCGGACGAGACGGGTCCGCTAAGATTTTTACCCCGAAACGACTCTATTTACATTAATATTAAAACTTTCAGTACGGGACTAAAACTTAAATCCCCGATAAGGGAACTCCGACTCCCTCCGAAGGCCTCCACCAGGTTCCCCCTTTCCGTCGCCCCGAAGCGACGAAACAATCGTGGGTGGAAGAAGGAACGAAAAGAGAATGAAACAAAAAATTAAACAAAGAGGACAAGCAGAGTCACACTGTACGAACAATCGAGACTACGGGAGGTCCTACGAGGAAGAGAGAGAATAACGGTGGAAAGAAAAAAATAAAAAAAAAAAATAATAAAATAAGCAGAAAGAGGAAGAGAGTGAAAAAATAGAGAAGATATCGGAAGAAGCTTTAGCGTTCCAAGAGCTATGGAAAGTGGCGTAGGTCCTATACCTTCTTATTAATATCTGTGTTCTTGCGCTTTCTGCCTCTTCCCCCCCGTGCTGCCTGGTCGTTACTCACAAGATGGCTGGCTGGAGGTTCGTCCGCAGTCGTTAGATTGTCCTTCGGACTTTCCTGACCCGCGGAGGTCGAGAATCTTTCGACATAGCTCGACCATTTCTCGGTCGACGGTACTCCCTCTCTCTCCCTCTCCCTGTCTCTACAGCTACCTTCCGTAGTCTCCTCTCCCTCGGTATCCAGCAGCTCTATCGTCATCTTGCAATCCTTCTTGTACTGCAAGCAAATAGGAAATTATCCGTCGAGTACCTCTTCGGCGTTCGAGCGCGTCTCCCCGGGTCGGGAGGAATCGAAGAGTGCTCACAATGTATATCTTGAAGCAGTTCTCGTCGGCCATGGCTTTCTCCGCTTTCCGCTGGTAGCTCGCCTCGGCCGCGATTCTGAGGTGGGCCGTGGCGCACAAACCGCCGGCCCCGCCGTTCTCCTTGGGTTGCCTCTGCTCCCTCTGGAACAGCTCCATGCACTGCTGGCATATCGAGTCCGAGACCAGGTGCTGCAGCTGAAGAACCCAACAGAGACTCGTTACTCGCGCTCGTCCGCTCTAGGAGAGGAGACCTCCGGTCGAACCGACTTACTTGTCGCACCGCGTAGGTCACCACCTTGTCCAACGTGAACGCAATGTAGGCATGGATGCCGAACATCTCGCGAAGCGTGTCTTCGTAGGCCATGCTCTCCATGTTCCCGTCCAGGACGTTCTTCACCATGTCGAGGAAGGCGGGGTAGTAGTCCTCGATGTCGATTTCATCTGGGAAGAGGGGACGATAAAAAAATTAATATTTTCATGATCTTTCAAGGCGGAAGGACGTCCGTTTTACTTACTCTTCGGCTTCAATCTGAGAGCCACCGCCGTGCTCTCCTTCCGCTGCTGCTTGTACCGAGATTCCTCGGCGGCGAGGGCGATCGCCCGCTCGTAGACCCTCGTCAGCCTCTCGCAGAGGATCTGGTGCAGTCTCAGGAAGAGATACCAGTTGTTGCTGCCCATGAAGAGGGTGTACGCCTCCTCGGGGTCGCTCGAAACGGCGTGGAGGGGCACCTTGACGTCCGGCTCCGTTTTGATCGTCGCCGAGGAGAGGACCGGCGACTCCAGGGCGTTGCCCCGGCTGTTCCGGAGGCCTCCGACGGTCGTGCCCAGCGAGGCGTTCGTCGTCTGCAGGTTGTTGGCGTTCGTCGAGTCCGCGTCCTCCTTCTCGTCGTCCTCGTCGCGCTCGTCGTCGCTGAGCTCTTGACGAGGGTGGAAAAACAAGTCGGGAACGAAGTGCTTGAGCAGCAGCTTGATGCGGTGCTTGTCCTCCTTGTGGATGGCGGTCTGCCGTTTGACGTGGTGGATCAGCAGGTTGGCGGCGTCGTCGAGGACCGACTTATCCTTGTAGGACAGAACCAGGTGAGGTCCGCCGTTGTTCAGACCCTCGCCGCCGTTGTCGTCGACCTGCTCGTGCCTCTCGTCGTAGAGGGTCTCGATCTCGTTGAGCAGACTCTTCGACCTCAGGGCCTTGACGTCGTTCTGCTTGAAATTGATGCCCTGGTGGTCGAGCGACTTCAGGTAGTACTTCTCGTTCTGCTCCCTCCAGATCTTGTTGAAGCCCTTCTGGGCCTCCCGCCACTCCTCCTCCTTGGTCTTGAGTCGTCGGAGGACGACCGGGACCGCGACCACGGGGTTCTTCTTGAGGCCGTCTATGATGTCGGCGGCCTTGTCACCGTATATCCTCTTCAGGGCGCGCTGGTGGATCGTCGGGGAGCAGCCGCCCAGGCAGTCGTCCAGCTTGAACTTCTGCAGCTCCTCGGGGTTCATCCTGCCCATCTTCTTGTGGACCCCTTCGAGGACTCGGATCGTCGCGGCATTGGTCTCGATCACGCCGTCGAGCTCGAAGCGCTCGTCCTCGCAGCGATAGATGAACTCCTCGTACTGGGTTTTCCTGAAAGGTGAACCGGAAACGAATCAGCGATCGTCCTCGTCGACGAGGTCGAGGTCGAGAGATCTCGACGGTATCCGCCCTACCTCGAGGTGACGAAGGTGCTGTCCTCCGACCAGGTCGGGAAGGAGACCCAGGTGTCGTTGAGGACGTCCTTGCAGAGCTGCGTCCTGCCGGTGCACTTGGGCTGGACGTAGGACTTGGGCAGGGCGCAGTACGAGGCTCCCAGTCTCTTGCAAGCCGAGTAATCGATCTCCATGGCGAGGTCGCCCTGAGGTCTCTCCTGATGCGCCCTGACGACGTTGTTGGAGAGGATCTCGATACCCAGCGCGGTAGAGTTGGCGGGAGTCCCGGCGACGGGATCGGACGAATGACCCAGGAACTCCTTGAACCATCGCAGTAGCTCCGGGAAGCGCCCCAGGAACGGCATGACCAGCTGGACCAGCTCGGCCTTGGAAACTATCTCCTGGTTGAAGAGCACCAAACAGCGCAGGAAATTCTCGTAGACTTCCTGCGAGCGAAGAGCCTTGCGAACCTTGTCGAAGAAGGCGTAGTCGTTGAGGCTTCCGTACTTGGCGGCCTCGGCCATGCTGACGTCTCTGAGGGAGGCGACCTTATGCTTCTTCGGGGGCGGGGGGCCGTGCTGGTTATGGTGGGAGTTTCCGGAACCGACCGACGTCGAGAACGAGGGGCTCCTCTTCAGCTGGCCGGTATTGTGCCCGAACTTCTGCCCCGTCCCAAGATCTCTGGCGCCCGAGCGCTCCCTCTCCCGGTCGCGCTCCCGGTGTTCCCGGTGCTCTCGATGCTCCCGGTCCAGGGTGCCGGTGTTTCCGCCGGGTTCGCGATGTTCCCTCGAGACGGTTCCCGAGTTGTTGTACGTCGCCTTCAGGCCCAGGGACTTCTTAACCGCGGCCGCGTGGTCGTTGACCGCGCCGCCCTTGTTGCCCTGAAACACGCCGGACTGGTCACAGTCGACGTTGAACTTCCTGCGGCTTCCCCGGTCAAGGAGACCCGGAGAAACCGAACGCCGACTCCGCAAGGCCTCGAGGTTCCCCGAGCACTCCTTCACTCGGGCACGGGGATGGCCACTCACCAGGGCACCGTGCTGGTTCGTCGCGTCCGGCAGAAATTGGCCGAACTCGGCGAGTAGGTCCTCCTGGTTCTCGAAGAGCTTGGCGACCTGGCTGTAGACCTCGGCCTCCGTCAGGTGCTTCCCGGTCCCGGCGACCCCGCCGACCCCGGCGCCCCCCACGTGGCTCGACTCCTTCAGATTGCGCTGCTCCTTCTGGTAGGTGTGCAGGATCTCCAGGAACCGCTTGTATTTGTCCGGCTGGCCTTGGAACCGGTGCTGCAGGGACAAGGCACGGGTGAGCTCTTCGAGTTCGACTCGTCTCGTTTTTAACCGCGCAAAATAAACCAGGAGACGGAACCTTGATCTTGTTGACGTAGTTGATGGCGTGGTTGAACTCCACGGGCTGGCTCTGCTGGGTCTGTCCACTGGTGGGCACGCCGTCCTGGGCCTGGCAGAGCGCCTGGCTGACGGCCTGAGCCTGGGCCGCGCTCACGTGCGAGTTGTTGAAGGACGGAACCGGCGGCGGTGGCGGCGAGGGTGCGTGGATCGTCAGGCTGTTGCTCGAGATGTTGTTCGTCAGGGTGTGGTGTATGCTGCCCGACCTGCAGGAGGGAGCTCGTGAGGATCTCGGTAGAGAAAGAAAAAAAAAAAAACGAAAAACGATCAAGAGGGGGAAGAGATCTCACTGCATGATCTGCAGGACGGGAGCCTTGGCGGGCTGCGTCGGCGGACTGGCGACCGGAGGCGACCCCACGTTGACGGTGCAGTGATGCTGAGAAAGCGTGGCCGTGTGCGTCGCCGTGGGGCTGGGCATGCTGACGGAGACCTGGAAGGCGTAGCCCTGCTCGTTGGCCTGGACCTCGATCTTATACCCGGGCGGCAGGAAGGTGTTGAACCCCACGATCAGCTCGGGGTGGCCCTTGAAGAGGTGGCTCACGCGGGTGATGACGCCGGGTGTGTCGATGCTCTGCGATTTGAACTCCTTCATGATATCCAGGAAGTCGTTGTACACCTGGAACGAACAACGAGCGACCCGGTAACCTTCGGTCCACGCCTCGGGGACGAGTCGTCGGGAAATCGGACGAGAGGATCTCTACCGACCTGCGGTTGGTCGTTGAACTTGTACTTGACCTGGTCCAGGTAGGAGAGCGCATCCTCGACCTTGAGCCTCTGAAACTGCTGGGAGCCGCTGCCTCCGCTCAGAGTGTTGCCCCCGGGAGGGGTGGTGGCCAGGGGCGCGGCGCTGCCGGAGTGCACCTGCAATCACGAGGATCGATCAGCCGTTGCCGCTCGGCCGGGACTGCGGCTACTTTCGAAGACGAAACTCCTGACGCACCTTCACCGCGGAGGCCACGGCGGTCGGGACGACGATCGCCCCGGTGTACTGCTGCTGCGTCTGCACCTGGCCGAATTGCACGCTGCCCGGCATGTCCTTCGAAGCCGCAGGGACGGGCCTGACGGTGAGTCCCGCTCCGACGCCGGTGCTCACGTTGACGCTGACCCCGACGCCTCCTGCGGGGGCCGCGTGGCCCCCCGGTGCCGCGGCTGCCGAGTGACCGGCCGGGTGGCCGGCCGCGGAGTGGCCGCTCGCCGGATGGTACTCCACCCCACTCCCGCCGCCCACGCTGCTCCCCCCACCGCCGCCGCCGACGGCCGACGAGTGCTTCGACGTCGCTGCAGCTGTCGATGCTAGTTCGTCCACCCCGCGAACTCGTTTCATTTCAAATCACATTTGAACACCTGCGAAACATCCTAACGCTCAGGATCCGTCTTAGGACGATCTGGGGCGAGATCCACGCGACCCTTTATTTTACGCCGCGGCAGGATAAAATTCCAGGATTTGACGTTTTCCTCCAGAGTGAGGTTAACTTTTGAGGTAAACTCTTTAAAGGGTTTTTGCTCGGTTCCCCAAGATGCCGGGGGACCTTGTGAATTTAAACCAAAAAATTTACCGTATGGGGGAGATCGAAATGATTGGACAAAAGAAAAATATCTATGCAGATACGAAAACCAGCGTTTCAATGGTTCGGTCTCGTACTAGGTAAACATTTGTTCCAGGTCGTCATGCCAGGATTTGGAAGATTATCTACAGGAGTTAATAATGGCCCGGTGACTCGATACCGGGTGTCCAAGGCTAATAGACATTGGATGGACAGTTGCCGGGGTAAAACATTGAAAATAAATTTGCGTTAAGACTATTTTGAGGGTATTCTACGAAATGCAATTATTTTTGACAGCGCAGTTGTCATATCTTCCCTTGGGCTAGGTGCTATTTCGTCGTTCCCACCACTTGAATTAAAAAAAAAAAATGAAAAAAAGATGCCTGTCCTTAACATGGAATCAATTCTCACATCCAAGACCCTTACGTACCTATAATAAAACCTTTTGTTATTCTCGTATGCTCGACCACTCAGGAGCGTTCCGCGAGGATCTCTCGAAGTCTCCGAGACCCCGTGCCTCTGGATTACGCAATGATCCGGGGAGCTGCCAAGGCTGGTGCTTCGATCCTCCGATCTATGCAGCACGAACAACTGGGACGATCCGGATGATCCTTTTGGGAGCCGATCGACTCGAGACCCTGGGTCTCTACGTACCTCCGACTCCGGGACAGGAGCAGCCCTCGTCCTTGGAGGGCCCACTCGGGGTGCTCCTCCGAGCTCTCAGACTCTTCTTCTCGGCTGGTCGCTTATTCCCAGCGCGCCGCTTCGTTACGCAATCTCCCGGGTAAACATTAACTCCGGCGGGCGTCGCGCGTCAGCAGGATGGCGGGCGGTCCCTCGGGGTCCGGATGAGTCCGGATGGGTCCAGACGGGTCCGGACAGGTCCGAATCCGGGGCTGGGATGGCGGGCTTTGGCGCGGTCGCGCCGGCCGCGCCGAAACCGCGGGCGGGCCTCGCGGAGATGCTCGCGCGGTGGACCCGGCTCGGCTCGGAGGGTCGTCGGCTCAGGGCGAGAGGCGTCCCGGGAGGCGCGACGGGAAGCGCGACGGGAAGCGCGGCGGGACGCGCATCTTTATCCGCTCTGGGCTGGCTCGCCTGGGCGCTCGGAGGCGCATAGAGGTGCTCGGAGGTGCTCGGCGGCGCTCGGGCCCAGCTGCTTCGGCGGGTTTCTCGACTCCCGCGGCTCGCGCCGCGCCAGCGACTCTTCCCCTGGGCTCAGGCGGGCTTCGGTGCGGGGCTCGTCGGTCGGCTCGAGGTACACGTCGAGGAGGGCCAAAGAGGCATCGCTGGGCGCGCGGGCGGTACTACACGGAACCAGAGGCGACTATTGGATTTTGCGTGGCGTACGCCGAGGGCCAGGAACGACTCGAGGGCCCAGCTCCGAAGGGGCGCGGGAGGGCGACTCGTCCGGGCCAGGGGCGGGCGGAGGACGCGCCGAGGAACGGTCTCCAACGAGTGCGGGTCGGCCGCTCCGTGCCGGGGGGCCGGCCAATCGCCGGCCGGCCCGGTCGCGATCCAGGGGAAAGGGCGGCCGCTCGTTGGCCGAGACCAGCGGCCGGTCGGATGGACCGCTCGACCCCGCTCGCCGCGGGGCCGACGGGCGGGGAGCGGGGAGGGACCGGGAGACCGCCCGACTCTTGCACCACTCTCTCTCCCGCCTCGCGAGGGCGAGAGAGACGAAGAGGTCTCTCGCGACCCGGAGTGGGGGGACCGCGTTGACCCTCCCGATCAATTCGCAACTGCGCACATAGGACGCGTAGAAACGCGCCATCGGCTCGCTTCCCTCGATCCGTCGCGCGCCGAGATTCAAAAACGGCGAGTCGTTCCGACACGTTCTTCGATATTTAAATTTCACGAATGTTATAAAATATTCCGACATTTTCAGAATGATCTCCCTTCGGGGGAGATCGAAGCGCGAAGTTTCCCCGAATACGTCACTCTGCGATCCACGAGCTGTCATTTTCGAGAGAAGAGTAAATTCTTTTATTGCACACCTCGCGTACTTCGACGACCGGCTACCAGATTCGCTGGCGGAGGGATCGTTCGTCGGATTGCCTCGATCCGTAAAACGTTTGTTGAAAACGAGTTTTACTTGCATTTCGTGTCCATTATCGCGAAATTCCCGTGAAGTAACTTTTCTTCGCATCCTTTTCGTTGTAGCCGCCAACGTGACCGAGTACCTGTCGGAAGGTCCGAAATAAATTTCCCGCCGATGGACCGGGGTGCGCTCTCCGATTGGCCGGCCCTGGGCGGTGCGCGGACCTCGTCTTCTCTCCCGCTTGCGTCACCGCGGGAAGATAAGATGGCCGTCAAGATGGCGGCGTCGCGAACGATCGGGCAAGGGTCCTCCCTTGTCAACGATGCGCGACGTTTCGCCTCGTCCAGCTCTCCGGGGAGAATTTCCACTAGCGATAAACTGGCCGAAAGGATCGCGGTAATTATTCCTCCCGGCCCCGCCGAGCACGATCCGCGTCTCCGGGGAACTCTACGCGTCGAAAACGGGCGCGCGCGATGCGCCGCCATCTTGGAAAGTCGAGAATCTCGCGCCAATTGATGCGCGCGTCCCCGATTATCGGCCAAACTCTTCGCCTGGCTTCCCCGACCGTCAATACGACTTTTTTCAGCGAATTATGCAGCGAAACTCCCGGAATTAATTCCTGCGAGAATTTTCAAGCGGGGCGAGGCGCGCGACGAAAAGCGGAGCAAGACGGACGATTCTCCAGAGGTCAAAGGTCGGGCAAGGACGCGCACGTATTTAAGATCTTTTATTACTTGATATTTTAACAAATCATGTGATACAATAAGCAATAATGACATACACGTACACATGAGAAAGGCTCCGATGGCGGAACTGAATCTTCCGGTGTTCCGAGTGAAGGGAGAAAGCACGCGCTGGCTTCCGCGTGGCCGACGAAGAATCGAGGATCGCGGAGCGCGTCGAGTCCGTCGGAAAACCGGCCGAACCCGGGCGAACCCGGACAACGAGGGAAGCCGGAACTCGGACGCGCCCCTTCGGACAAGGGAGGAGGAGGGGTGCAATCGACTACGAAAAAAAAGGATCTCCTTCGGCATCGATTTGGACCTCGGACCGATCGCGGGACGCTTTGATCTCCAAAAATGCGACTGGCGAAAAAACAGCGTGATATATATATATATATATATATATGTGTGTGTATATATAATATATATCTCCCTCTCTCGAGAGGGGGAGAGAGGGAGATATCATGCCAATTCGACGTCGTTATATGTACAGAAATGTTCATGCTTTACCCGCGGCTCTTCGAAAGTAATTCAACGTGCGGCAACTCTTTCGCGTACCATACAATTTAATAAAACAGGCTTTCCCACTCTTCGCACATACACAACAGTCTCACAGAAAGTCTCGCGCGCACGCACGAGACACGTTATTTTTTTGTGCTCAACACCGCGAACCATTGTCATACATTTGTCCAGGTACGATCCGCGAGCGAAGACGGGCTAGCCTCCCCTTCGATTACCCTGTCTACTCGACCGATTACGCGGTAGAGGAAAAAAAAAAAAAAAAAACAGGCCCAATTTTAAGGAGGACCCGCTCCTTTATGGCGGGGTTGTGGGGGGCGTCTTCCTCCTTATCGCGGATAATTCGCGATTTCGACGCGACGTCATTGGTAGAATTCCTCCTGCGTGCCTTGTCGGTCGTTCGAGGGTCGTCGGCGACCGGGGACCGTCCACTCCCGAAGAGAGGTTCGAAGAGAAGCGCCGCCCGTCCTCGCCGCGAATGCGTACCGGTCCACAACTCCCGTCGCCATTCATTTTTTCATCATGCTCGGACGATTACAGCCAGACCTCACGTTACTCAAAACTGACACGAGAACAATCGAGACAGATATTTACAATTCCTTGTGATCGCTTCCAAATCGCTTACCAAGGCATCTCTTGAGCAATGGTTTCCTTGTCTTAAAACTACATCGTGCATCGTGGAAATACGTCAATGCAAGACGGGGAAAGTCTTTCTCCGGGATCGTTACGAAGCTGAACGTTCGGTGCGTGTTCGGGCTCGAAGGCGGAAACGTGTCGGAAAAATCAGGTCGACGTCCCTACGCAAGTATACGCGAACAACCAAACGGGGAACGAACGGAGGGACAAGGAGGGACGAGTCGCGCGATCCGCCCTCTCGTGACGCGGACGACCCTTTCGGGAGAGAAATCGCGTCGACTCCCGGGTGGATGGTCTCCGTCATTCGAGGGCGGTCGCCGTTTCCCGGTGGACCCCGTTTCGGCCGGCCGCGACGCGGACCCCACCGGGCAACGTCGACTCACCCGGGAAAGGTCTCCGTCGTCGATCGGCACTTAAAGCGACGTATCTTATATCCTTTTTGTTTCGTCGATTAAACGGTTTGGAAGAGACCGCGCTCGCACGCAAGATTCGTACCTCCGATGCGCTCCTCTCTAGAGTCGGCTCAACCTATGGCCGCGTCGGGGAACGCGGCTCTCCTCCCTGGGAGGTCGCGGCCATTCAACGCACGCATGCCCGCTCCGGTTAAATCGCTCTTCCCACCCTTTCCAACGAATATATATATATATAAACACTCGGGCCGCGCCGATACCGGTGGCTACGGATACCCCACGACTTCCGCTAGATATACACAACGAATCGCTACCAATATACCTCTAATTACTGCGTCCTCGCGGGGACGATCCACCCTCGTTAGCAAAAAGGGCCCGACTCGCGTCGAGATCGGTTGCACTCGTAATCCATGTGTATATGTATATATTTCTATGTAATATGTATGCGCGTGGGTGTACTTCAGCGTATCCGCGTCTCGCGGGGTTAAGTTCTACCTTGCGGAGGAACGGGAGAGCCTCCCGAAGAGAAGTCGACCCGGAGGGAAGCGGACATTCTTCTGGACGTACTTCTACACCCGGGGACATCCAAACGACACGCACTCCGCTCCAGTTTGTACTACGTCCGAGAAAATAGCAGTCTTGTGCCAAGGATGGACCAGGGGCCCCCTCCTCGAGGCGCGCCCATCCCTGGTCTTCCGCCGTACGACCGATCCTCCCCGAGGAAACGAAGATCACGGGGAACGACAACGACGACCCGACGACGATACCTTCCGTTCTCGCGATTCCCAAGTCAGGGGCCGAAAAGAGAGTCAAAGCGGGGGCCAACGGAAACGGAAACAAGGGGAGAACGGCGTACGTTATCCTCGCGCAACACGATTACCTTTATTCTCGTTAGTAAATACTCATAAGATAATAGATGTCTCGATAAATCGTTAATGCGAATATTAATTATGCAGCACCCAATATTATGTACCGGCCGGCCGCCGTGTCGGTTAAGGTTAGTCGATATCGCGATCTCGTAAATCATCGTCCTGGCGAAACGGAGGGAGAGAGAGAGAAAGAGAGAGGGAGAGAGGGGGTCGGGGGGAGAAGACGGAGCGACAACCGTGTTAAAAATTTCCTTAAAACGCTCTACGCGGATCTCGCGACTCGCGTATCTTTGCACACCATAAACCTCGAGAACGCGGCTTACGATCTCGAGCACTAGCAAACCACTCGCGCAAACTAACAATCAAGAAACAGACCGTTGAAAAACGAAAAGTAAGTAGTCTCGCGATTACGCGCGTTTTCGCGTTTTCCATACTCTTTCGCATCTCCGGCGCTTTCTCTCACACAACCGGTAAAATGGTCTCGTCACTGAAAATCCTTCATGCACAAAAACCTCTACACTTTGCGTACACCCTAAACATCTACACGAGGAGTCACGGTTACGCGTGGCCCTCGGCCCGCCGAGGTCGGTCGCGACGAAGAGGAGGAGTCTGGAAGCGGATTCCAGGAGGCGGCGCGACCGACCGCGGCGGGCGCCGTCATTCGCAACGGATTGTGCTAAACGGGACGTGGGGGACGTGGGGGACGTGGGGGACGGGGGGGGCGTGGGGGACGCGGGGGAGCCGGGGAGGCCTACTCGTACTTGAGGAAGGTGTTGGACTTCTGGTCGCGCTGGCCGGGGTGGTTCTGCCAGGCGGCCTGGGAGGGGTTGGGGTTGTTGGGTCCGGGCCCCGGGCCGGGGCCGGCGGGCCCGGGGCCGGGGCCCGCGGTGCCGGGGTTGCCGGCGGCGCCGCCGTCGGCGCCGCCCGCCTGGTTCATCCAGCTGAGGAAGCCGGAGTTGGCGGCGGCGGCGGCGGCGGCGGCGGCCGCGGCCGCGCTGTTGTTCCCGGAGGGCGGCTGCCCGGGCGGGCCGGGCGGGCCGGGCGGGCCCGGCTGGTTCGAGTAGCCCTGCTCGCTGCCCTGGTTCTGCAGGTTGCCGATGAGGCCCCAGGAGGCCTGGTTGAGGGCGGCGGCCACCAGGGCGGGGTTGACGGGCAGGGCCGAGAGGTTGAGGCTGCCCATGGCGAGGGGGTTGGACATGCCCCCGCCCCCGGCGGCGCCGCCGCCGCCCCCGTTGTTCTGCCCGGTGATGCCGAGCGCCTGCAGGTTGGGCATGTCGATGTTGGCCCGGTTGCCCGGGTTGTTCCAGCCGTTGGGGCCCATGTTGTTGCCCGAGTGGCCCATGTACCGGTTGCCCTGGTAGCTGCCCTGGGCGTTGTTCTCCACCGGGCCCGGCATGCCGCGGGCCCGCGCGTTCGAGTTCATCTGGTTGTTGAAGTTGCGGTTGTTGCCCTCGGACTTGGGGGCGGCGTTCGACACGTGCACCGACACCCCCTTGATGATGTGGTCCTCCCCGCAGAGCGACTGCGCCACCTCCGGGTCTAGGAAGGTGACGAACGAGAACGCGCGGAACGGCTTCGGGATGAACACGTCCGTCACCTCGCCGAACTTGCTGAAGTAGTCGCGCAGGTCGTCCGCCGTCAGGTCCTCCGTGCACCTGCCCACGAACACCTTGCACGGCACCTGCTGAATCATGCCCTCCTGCGCAAAACCAGCATGCCAACCGTCATTCCCTCCTTCTCTCTCTCTCGCACGCGTCCTCGACGCGTCCTCGACGCGTCCTCGATTCCCTCCCCGACCGCGTTCCCGGTTATCTACCCGCCCCGCCACCCCTTACCGATATCCCTTCCCCGCCCGAAACGAAATACCCGACCCTCGACCTCGGAGTCCGCGCGCTGGCCCGGCGGCGAGTCGGCGAGGAGGTCATCAGTATCTCGAGACCTCGAGGACGTGGTGGTCCCGGGGAGGCCGGTGCTTGTAGTAGCGGTCGTAGTAGTCGTCCTTGCCGGCGGGGTGCCTGGAGCGCTCGGGGTAGCGCTCCTGGTAGCGGTCCTGGTAGCGGTCCTGGTAGCGGTCCGGGTAGCGCTCCTGATACCTGGAGTCGAGCTCGGGCTCTCGGACGTCGCGGGGCTCGCAGGCGTAGCGGCGCTCCGGTTCGCGGTCCTCCAGGCCGTTGCGGAGGGGCGTCCCCTCGGGGGGGTACCTGGGGTACGCGCCGCACCTGGGGGCGGGCTCGGGCTCGTAGTAGGGCCGCTCGTAGCCGTAGGCCGCGTAGCGCGGGGCCTTGTCGGGGTACTCGGGAGGGCCCGAGCCCGGGTCCGGCCCGGCCGCGTACCTCGGGTACTCGGGCTCGGGGGCGGGGGCCGGCGGCGCGTACCCCGGGTCCGGCGGATAGGGGGTCGCCGCGTACCCGGGCTTCTCGTAGCCGACGTAGCCCTGCGCCGGGGCCGGCGGCGCGGCCTGCAGCTGCGCCTGCGCCTCGTACTCGTACTTGGCCTCCTCGTAGGGGTAGTTGGCCGGGTACGAGGGGTAGTGGGTGGTCTTGTAATCGTAGTCGGCCTCGTACCTCGGCGAGGGGGCCGCCTCCGCGGGGTTCGCGCTCGAGTAGCTTTTCGGCCCAGGAACGCTCCGACTCCGGCTACTCGGCCCGTGCATCGGCACCGGCCGGTAGTACTCGCTCGGTTTGCTCGAGTCGTACCGGCGAGCCATCATTATGCCATCGATATTCTGCAACCAGACACACACCCGACACCAACGGCTTTACCACCAGCTCTTTCTCGAGGTCTCTCTCGCATGCCCGCGCTCTCCCCGTCCGGCCCGGGCCGGCCCGAGCCGGCCCGAGCCGGCCACTCGCTCTTCCACCCCTCGACATCGACATTCTTCGCTCCTTCACTCCTTCGCTCCTTCGCTCTCACGCTCGCGCACCCCCCGTCCCGACGGGCTCCGCGGCCGCGAGAAGGCTTAACCTCGCTCGCCGAATTCGGGGCAACGAAAATAACGACCGGGTAAAGATATGCATATCCGGTTGAGAAGGGGCGCCGGGACTTGGTCACGGGTCGGTACCTCGAGGTGCGCGTAGCGGCGAGCGAGGTTAACCTCTTGCTTCTCGCGGCGCCTCGAGGAAGATCTTCTCCTGGGGCGATCGAGATCCACCCGGTCGCTGTCCGGATGTACAAATGGCTGCGATTCCGCGGCAACGTTTCTTCGATTCGAGCATGCTCTTGGTCCAAGCAAATATCGCCGTCCTCCCTCGACCCCGTAGATCGACTTGGACTCCCGTTCGGGACGCGAAGTAGGCCGACTCAACGGGGTCTCGAATTAAAACGTCCACTCGCCGACTCGATCGACCGACACCATATCGTTTGGACACCCTCATCGGTTCGCGAATTAACGTCCCGCATGTATCACCGCGTACCACGCGCACATTCATCGAAACTGCATTCCGTTAACGTACCAATTCATCTTATCGTACCGCTCTCGCACTCAACAATTTTCCATACAAATTCGAAACATCATTCTGCGCACACATTCTTCGTGTTTTCACGCCGTACAACTTGGAAACACGCTCAGAGTTTGGCTTAGCTCTCCTCCGTACCCAAGACATTCACGACTGCCGCTTCTTGCGCGATAGTTTGTCGAACGAACGAACTAGAGGATAATTTACGCAAACTGGTCTATCCATTGATAAAATGTATTAAAAAAAAAATTACGAATTGGTGGTTACGTTATACTTTGTCTAGTCGATCGGAGGAAACTAAAGAAAAAAGAATAAAAAAAGAAACCGATGCAAGAGGCAGGAGTGTATCTTGAAAAGGGCACGTGCTTACCTTGCTATTAGGAACCTTGACGTCGCACCATCTTCCGTCGATCATGTGCCTCTGAGCAAGGCATCTCAATTGGGACTCGTAACTTCCGAACCTTATGAAGCCAAATCCTTTGCTCTGTCCCGATTTTGCATCTTTCTTCACCTACATTCATTCGGTTTGTCAAAAGATGGCCGGCAAAAAGATAAAACGACGTAAACCGTAAGCCATACCCCGAGAGATTCGACGAACGCGCAAGCATGGGTTGGCGTGCGTCAAAATAAAGTAAACAAAAAGAACGACCACAAAGCGCTCACCTGTGCCATTAGAACCTCGCCGAAGGTCTCGAAATATTCTCGCAAATTCTGCTCGCTGGTCTTCCATGGCAGTCCGAGCACTATCAGGTCGGTGCAGCGCAACTTTGTCTCCATTCTTTTGGTCTTGGCCGTTGAATTTTCCAAATTGTCGTCAGACTTTCTTTTGTTCTCTGCAACAAACACGAGTGGAGTCTACTCGACGATACTCTCTAAGTGGTCCGGCAGCTGGACGAAACGCACGAGGGATGCGTAAACAAACGAGATGCAGGATGCTCGGCGGGGATTTCGAGAGTAAAGGGTTACCTTTGGGAAAGACACAGAAGTAGACGGCCTTGCCCCATCCGTTCTCGGGGGCGTGGAGTCGACCGTCGACGAGGCGGACGCCGCGCATAGTCCGGGACTCGGGGTTGCGGTACTTGAGGCCGCAGGTCCCGGGGAACTGGGCGGCCAGGGTGGTCAGGAGGAGCGTGCTATCGTCCTCGGTGGGCAGCTCGATGGGCTCCTCGCCCTCGTCCTCCGCGACCTGGATGTACGACGACATGGCGGTGGGCCCGGAGTTAACCTAAACGAAAGACCTCCCCAAAACTGAAAGCGGCGGCCCGAGAAACAAATTCTCGGCCCTCGGAGAAACACAACAATCACACACGCTCAGTCTCGCACCAGCCACGCAGTGCACCACCTCTCTTTCTCGCTCGTTCACTCGATCTCTCTCTCGCTCCCTCGCTCCCTCTCGCCTTTCGCTCTCAAGCCCCGTCTCTGTCTCGCCCACACATCCAGCGGCCCGTTCGCGCTCGCGCTCGCTCTCTCGCTCTCTCTCTCTCTTTCTCTCTCTCTCTCGCCCTCGGTCTCTCCTTCGTCCGCTCTATCTCTCTTCGTTCTTCGCTCGCGCGCGCGCGCGGCGGTCGACGCGCCGAGACCGGAGCCGATCGGGAGCGGTTGGGACGCCGGGAGTGCTCGAAGCGGCTCGAAGCGGCTCGAAGCGACTCGTCGCGGGTACTCGTTCTCCACCTTCCGCTGCTCGCCTTGCCGCACCTTGCCGGACAACTCGCGGAACTCGAAAACGAGCGGTCCAAAACTTGCGGGGCGTGCGGCGCTGCGAGCGCTCCGAGATTGTTTCGACGCGGCGGAGGGGAGGGGGTCGATAACGGAACCGGAAGCGTCGGCCAATCAGAGGGCGCCGCTATCGCGACTTCGGACGCGCCTCGCGTTGCCCCTCTATGTACGTACCTATTCGTGACCGTTTCCAAGGTGCAAAAGGAATCGATGGTGCGCCATCTTCTTTCTCTCCCAATCCAATGGTTAACCGGCTAATTTGTAAAATATGTTTCCTTTTCAGCGAGACTCCACGAAATACTCCTTAGACGCGATTGTGATAAAAATTGTTTGACTGTTTTATGTATAGATATATATATATATATACACGTATATATATCGGAATCCAAAAGAAACTTGAGCATGTCACTTTATAAATAAAGAGGTCACGGTGAACGATATTATTATCTATGGAAAATTAATCTTCCGTCGCGTTCCAATTTCAGTGTCTTCTGTGTTTACTTCGATGTTTGTTCAGTTTTTCCGAATCCCTGTCCCTGGACCGACTGTGCGATCTATAGCGAGTGCGCGATGACTTGTGACTGCTCGATCGCCTCCGCAGGGACTTCTTTGGCTTTCGAGACCTTCCGTGGCTGTGACTTCTCGATCTACTCCTGCTGGCGTGTTTTTTCCTCTTGGCGTGTTTCGATCCCTCTACTCTGGTCGGCGAAGCGCTCATTGATTTTGATCGCCTGAAATTTCAATAATGCACACATCGTATACATACTTTGGATAGATATTTTATTAATTTTTAAATTCGCGTTACGAGGTCACGCATCCTTTGGGAGTGAAAAGGCAAGTACCTTGGAGTCTTTGCCCGTTCAGGTACCGCGTGAGTACCGCTTCGGCTGATAAATCCACCCCAAGCGTTGTGATGCTTCGGCAGAGGAGGACTCGGAGTATGGCAATCGGGGTCCCCGCTTCTAGCCTTTGACCTGGCCTCCTCGTATTGTCGTCGCAATTCTTCGACTCTCTTCTCGAGCTGTTCGGGTTTAACGCGAGGTCGAAAGTAGAGCCTCAATATGCGACGACAGACATCTCTGATGGCTGCCTCGGTAACTTTGAACAAGGAAAACCAACTTGGATTCGTAGGCAACGGAAGTTGCAGCTGACGAGCTCCTAAATAAACACAGGCACAGGCCACGGTTTCTGGCTGATGTCGCAAAAATACATCGGAGCGCAAAGAATCGTTCATATAGTTCCAACACTGTTGCATTAAGGCTCGATTCTTCTCGTACCCTAACACTTGCAGGTACATCACTATAATTTTGTGAGGGTGCTTCACATGGACGCAAAAGCCCAATTCTTTCAGGACTCTCCTTTCAGACTTGATCACTTGATTCTTCAAGGCGACGTAATTCTGGTCGAGCACCACCGGTTGTATAGGCCTGTAAGAGAAAATGACACGGTTGAAATAGATCTCGATGATTTCGGCTGGAAAATATCAGGTAGTAATACCAAGTGCACTTACTTTTGACTTGAAACTTGCTTTATGTGGTTGAAAACGTTAATGATATCCCTTATCCGCCTAGGAGCCTCCTCAATTTTACTTGCTAAGCATACACAGCCCATTGCAGTGGTTTCCATATTATGCCTAACCAATGATTTACTATAATAGAACCTCTGAAATATCACCTGCCCGGTCGCCATTGCAACCTGCAAAAAACAATGTAACACGACCACTGTATATACCAAATAATTTTATGTATTTATTCAGATGATGTGAAAACAAGGGAAAAATTGACGTTATCGTAATATTGCATATAATCTTGGTTAAATTATTACTCGCCCTACAGAATATTCATCTTCTAAGCCTATTTTATCACAATTCTATGGCTTGCACCCTGCGCCTGTTTGAAAATCATTTAGTAGATAACTCGAGTCTTCACATCACCTTAATAAAAGAAAATGGAGAGCAGATATAAAATTCATCCAGTAAGGGATGAATGGAAAAATATTCTGGAAGGTACTATTTCGTCATTGCACAAAGTACTGTAATCGATGTCCCTTTTTCATATTCAACAGCAAGGCACAACTGTTATAAAAACTCATGACCTCTTAAAAAAAAAGAGGATTTAGTCATGTGAAATTTTGATTATTGTTTCTGCTTAATTAAAATAAAGCACACGATAATCATTTTAGCAAGGGCTATATGTATAACTTGGAATTTGTGTGTATATGCATATAAGTATAAAAAACTATTCAGTGAACACGTTTTAAAAGGACCGTTCAAATGTACAAAGGTCTGAAGCGAGGAAAACATGTATCATAGGAAGAACTTTGGAGAAAAAATTCTCAGCCTCGGTCTGGACGTGGACTCAAAGAAGGGTCTCCTGTTTGCCAAGAAACAGCTTAATCGACTAAGCTTTTCAGGCCGTATCAAACTCTCCATCCAAGTCATGTCTTTAGGTTAATAACGTGTCCGAACCGAGCTGCCTTCCTCGAACGAGAGCATAGGTATCCAGCAGCGTGTTTGGGCTCCCCTAGAGTAAGAAACTTGAGACCATGGTGAAAACCACTCGAGAATACCAGTTTCTTAAACCTATGCAAGAGTCACCAAACGTCGCATGCAATATGTATCGCACCAATTCAAGAATCGACCCTTCGGCATTTAGCCTCGGCGTTAAGTTTCACCTGCCGACACTCGTAAGGCTAAGTCCCTTGCGCGTGTATTCGACATAATCTAGAAATCTTGCGCATTAACGTGGTTACTTAGGCGCAACGCGGTGAACCTTTTCCTACGTGCAGCTTCCCTGGTTCGGAACCACCGCGAGGAGTCCACCTTGAACGAGAGGTTAGGTTAGGTTAGGAACGCTTCGCAGTTAAAATCTGAGACTGAGTTTCGAGTAACGGGACTACGGAGAATATGCGGTGAGTGGACATTTACCTGAGGCAATTTCAGTAAAATCCCGGCCGTCTGTATGAGTTCGCATCCTAGGATTCTCAGGTCGGTCTCGGTCTCCGCGTCTAGACCGTCCAAGCTGGAGGGCGTCGAGCTGAATTTTTCCTCCGGCAGGAGACAGTTTTGCAGTGTCAAAACTATTTTACCGTACGGCTTGGCGTTCGCGGACGGCGGGTTTTTGCTGGTATTCACCACGGAATTCTCCTTCGTGCTCATCGTAGATTGGCACGTCAAACAACGTTAGTCCTCGAAACCAACTCGAAGCCCGCTTCCACCCGCTTCTCCGGACGCGAAGCGTGCATCGGCCACGAAGCGACGAAACTGTTAGAATGGATCAAGGTCGACTGATCGAAGTGTTCTTCCCAAACGCTTTTGGTAGGTTGAACGACGAATGCGATTGGTCGATTCTGAGAGAGCTCGCCAATGGCATTCGAGATACAGGACTCCAATATGGCGCCTGGCTCGTATCCATGTGCAGATCCGATAGATACGAAATGTTTTTGCGAAGCTCTCGATTAATTAATAATCCGAATTTATTATACATACATACGGGGTAGCTAAAGGGTAATCACGATAATGCAGCGGTCAACAAATCGCGGAAACGATGTAAATACAGCATTAAACGATTTCAGTGCTTTTTCATTAATTTAAGATATGTATATTACATAATTAGAATATTTGAAAAATAATATACGACAAAGGAGTATCTCACTGTCTTTCCAAGTTATTCGAACGCTTTCCGAGATTAACAAATCCGCAATGTCCTTCGTTGTACTTGGATGTAAAACCGCTTATTATTCTATACGAGATGAATGGTATAATTACTGTTGATGCCGCTTTGAAGGCAGTGCAGGCGCGCATAAATTAGGTATACTATATCTTGACATAGAGGTGTACTTTCTAATCGCAACTAAGGTTACATAAAAGCTGCATCGACGAAAAAATAATCGGACTTCGATGACATGCCTTAATTGGAACGGCGAAGTCTATTATTCCGAGTACAAATTCAATTGCGATCGCTAGTTCTCGTATCAAAAGTATTTGTTAACAAAATTCCTTCGTAAGAAAACTTATATTCAAGTTTGAAATTATTCACGGAAAAGCTTGGCCTCGGTCTATCCAATGATATACAGGCTCGTCGGTTGGATGATGCGAAAGCCAAGATGTTACCGCGTAGAAGAGGTATGGAAAGCTCAAGCGGAGAGAAGTTGAGGAATATAACCTGATTTGAAAATGTATCGGTAACCGAGATCTTCTAGAGGATCACATCTGGCCTTTTACATCACCTTGACCTTGTTTGTTCCATGGTTTCACACTTAATAGCGTACTGACTAAGATTCCATCTTAAACGATAACATCCTCTCGGTTGAACGTTCTCGACGTACCGTTACGTCGATATGGGCATCGATCCATTTCATTGGAACTCTTGTTCCTGTTGATGCGACAATTTACTAACATTATTTACAGAATTTCTATTAGAAGTCCAATCCACCGATGCATCCGACACATCTTCGCTGCTATTACTGCGTATGTCACCTTCCATCTGAACAATATACGTGGTTGCATTAATTTCAATGTAAGTACGAGCTGAACGGTTTTAACGCATCGCCGAACCAAATCTCTGAATGCAGAGATTGTAGACCATTCGATACAAACCTGTCCAGCATAAAATGCATTGTACGCAATCTTCAGAATTAACCAGGTCCAAGCAGCATGCAGCACCAACAGTAAAACCAACAGCGAGTTGAAAATATAATATGCTGGAAACATTGATACTATTTTAGGAGCTTCAATGGTTGTACTGTAATCACAAAAGGGTTGGTCGTTAATTAGAATCTTTGCGATGGGACGATTTGTAAAACATAAAATTCGGAGGGAGTAATATAGAAATATATACCTGTAAATTATCCAGAACGGATAAATGCCCATTCGCGTGACAATCCACAGAATCGTAAAAATAACGAAAATAAAGTCACACAATTTTTGGTAATTTGCATATTTAGCCATTTTTGCAGCCTGTAAAATAGTACTCCATTAAAATGTTGACACTCTCCGATTTAAGAGCTTGTTAATACCACAGCAACGATTTACAGAAAATATTTGATAGAGGACTCGGGCTTACTTCTAAAAATATATCCGCACAGTCGTGTATCAGTAATACTAACGATCCAATCTTGGTTAAATTTCCAACCCAGGAAAAACACATGAGCGCAATGGTCGCAATGTGATGTATGAACATTTGCCAGAAATCTTTACGACGGACATCGAAGAACTGGGAGAAACTTAACGACCAGTAAAAGGCCATCGATATCATGTAGTACCACCAAACGCCATTGGTCACAGGGTGGTAAGGATAATTGTAAAAACATTCCTTAATATCCCAGAGCCATGGCTTGTCCCACAGGACTATAAGACCATAGAAAAACGAGTACGTATAATATACACATCTCCAACTGAAAATTAATTAACACAGCGCCTTCGTTAAAAACAGATCCGTGAATGAAATAATTTGGCAAGCTACGCGAAGGAATATCTCCTGGATAAAAGCAAATGCAACAACTGAAAACGGTCTACAATTTTTTGGAGAACTGACTTGTTTTCGCAGAATTTAGTAAGCGTAGAAGGTTTGTCCTGAGACTTCCGCAGCCTGAACCACCGTTCCACTTGCCGCTCCGTCCAATCCAACTGTTTGGTTAATGCCAAGACCTGTTAATCCGCAAAGGTTATCAGTTCCGTGCCAAAACCGATTAAACTCGTAAGGATACATTCCTAATCGAGCAAACGAGGCTAGTCACCTGCTTGTGTTTAAACTTCTTAGCCGCATAAGCTTTCTCCAGTATAGGGTTTGGCAGAGCTTTCTTTGGTCTCGTGTTCTTGATGCCGAGCGACAGGCCAAAAGGTGCAAAACAATACCTGGGACGTAAATCGATAATCATAAGTGGAGATAACGAGGCCGTTCTCGTGAATAAATGTCAGAGATTATCGGCAGGACGTTACATAAGGAGAGATTAAGGAATACCTTTCCAGGGCGTATCTGAGGGCCAGGAGGACGAAGGCCATCGGAATGGGATACGCAAGGTCGCGGTAATCGGCGAAGCGGTTCTCGGCGGTGGGCACGATATCGTCCCAGGTCGTGTTGGGCGGCAGCCAGACGTCGGGCGACCAGAAGGAGGCCGAGAACTTCTCGAGGAACTGCATGGTTCGGGAGGAAGGGGCGCGTCGGTGGGGTCGAGCCGTCACCCTTCTCGTCGACGTCGCGCAATTCCGGGTTGGAACTCTCACGAAAGAGGAGCCTCCCGGCGACCGCCGGCGTCTACCGAGGGACCGGGTACCCGGGGAGGGCTCATTCTTCCGCGAGTCTTCCGCGAATACGAGGTGTGGGCGGGTGTTCGGTCTACCTCGAGGGGCGCCGAAGAGGCCGGTCGAGCGCGAGCACTCCGCGTCGAAACCAGTTGGAATCCGTCGACGAACCGCGAAAACCAGGGCTCAAGGACGACCCACCTTCCTGGCGAGTCCGCGACCGGCAGCGACCGGCAAAAACGACTATGAGGGAAAAAAAGCAGCAAAAACTTCCCGTTAAGGACGGTACACTGCGACGCGACGCGTCACCGGCACGGAAGGGCGAGGCGCGCTCGGATTGGCCGGATAGGCCCCTCCCGCCATGCGCAAGAGTTTTCATAGATGCTCCACTGGGTCGAGAACACGCGACCCGCCCGACGCGATGCCGCGACTCGATTGGCGCATTCCCCTGGAGCCGACCTCGAGGGACATCGCGTGACGAGCCAGTGAACTTCGCAGCCGCGGTCGCATACCCAGACAGGAAGTTCTATTGGCATACGGCGAGACATTTTTCTAGATAACCGCAGGCCGCTAGATTTTTATCGACCGGTTTCCGGAATCGGAATTCTTAAAAATATTCGTTATCGCAAAAGGCCCTTCGCAAGACCCTTCAAAAGTGGCTCGCACCAGAAAAAAAATTGTCGGGAAGAAACATCGAGGTAGGACTCAGTATTGAAATTATCTGCATTTGACGTTTGTCGAAATACACAAAGATGGCACATCCCAGTATGAGCGCAATACGTTTGTTATTATTATGTACATATGATTTAACGCATATCGTATCTAACGTAATTGCAAAGAACCAGTAAATACGTCGTATTACAACTTACATACGGCGACCATTCTAAATTGTAGAAATGTTACAATTAAATATTTTGTATAAAGGCTGCACCGCCATTACGTGAATTCGTATATGAAGCATCGATTTAACTTATGTCTCGTATGCCGCACAGTATCTCTAAATTAAATAAATAAAAGTATATCTCTTTCTTGCGATGGTATGCGACCGATAGACTGTATAATACTTCGAAATAATATTCCGTTGAGAGTTTTTTTTTAAAGAAATAGCTGCCCCATTGTCGTAGATAACCCTAAAATGCAACCAATGACAACGAATTAATTGTGATAGTTTTATTCTACCGGGGAGGGAGGAGAATCGTGAGCGTTCATGCAGTGAAGGGACTTGGCGTGGACCGACCGGGGACGACTAACCGATACGCTGTGTTATCACACTCGCATGCTTCTAATCCATCCGCACGAGGTGAGCGTGCTCGTTCCCTACGCCGCGTTTTCCAACGGATTAACATTAACGTGCCTTAATTAGGTCCTACGATACAACGCGCATAGCAAGCTCTGGAGTGGTAACCCTTCCGATAACGACGTCCGATGTATAAAAACCACGAAGGGTGGAGTGCTCGCTAGGGTTCAGGTGCGTACAGGGATTCTCTACGGCGGTGCATGCATTTACCGCAATTAAGTACTCTGACAGAGGCTGTCGGAAACGATGGACGCAGCGGCGTCCAAAGGGGAAACCTAGCTAGCCCTCCTTCGAGTCTCCTTTCGGGAGGGAGCAGACTTCCCGCGATCTCAAAATTCTCAGCCTGTACTTAAAATCAAGCTTCTACGTTACACTTGTACGGTTCATGCAAGAGTACCAAGCACTGCGGAAGTGACCTCAACGACGACCGAGGATCTAGGTACAAAGATGCGATGATGCGATCCGTAGACCTAACGTTGGCCCGCGAGAAATTTCCCGATACAAAAACCCCGGCAGCCCCCGTCCCCTCGTTTACCTTCTACCCGCGTCATCTCCCGCTAAAGTCTCGATTTTCCCTTTCCGCGAGACGAGAGGAAAATATAGGAAACGTGAGGAAAAGAGAGTCGGCGTCCAGTCGGGTTCCACTCTCGAGCTCGACTATTTACAAGGCCGGCATCTACATAACATCGACAAAAAACTCGCAGGGGTTGCCCATCGCGATGCGAAACGACTGTCTACTACCGGATATATCTTGCTGGTTCTGCTGGTTCCCCGATCCGGTGCCGGTCTGGACCGAGTGTTCGGAGCCGCTGGAGCGGCTCCGGCTGCCGTTCGACCTCTTCCCGTTGGACCCGTTCCCGTTCCCGCCGGTCTTGCCGGGCATGCTCGGCACCGAGGGCACGTGCAGCTCGGACTCCGAGGCCGACGAGCAGGACTTCAAGTCGTGGATCGGCTCCTTGCAGATGTTCTCGCTGCCCGCGCTACTGCCACCTGGAAAAGGGCCGGCCGCGGCGGTTAGCGATCCGCGACGAGACGAGAACGGGAGCGCGCCTCGAGGGAGTCCCGGGTACCTGATCCGCTATGTACACTCTCGTCCCGGTGGTACCCGTAGACCGTGGGCTCGTTGGTGAAGTTGAAGGGCATCGGACTGTAGCCGGTGGCGGCGTGCGGCCCGTACGTCCCCGAGTAGGGCACGTCCCAGGCGCTGGGCGGCGGCAGGGGGCCCACCGTGTCGCAGTCGAGCTTCATGCCGCTCATCGCCGAGCAGAGGTCGCCGAACACGTAGTAGCACTGCTCCGAGAAGGTGATCTTGTTGACGGTGTGCCTGATGAAGCCGGCCTTGAGCATCAGCGAGGCGTACTTCCTGGCGTCGCGCCTGTCGATGAAGCCCTCCACGTGGGCGTTGAGCCAGTCGACGACGTCCGCGCCGATGAAGGCATTCGGGATCGTGATCTTGAGCCACATCCGGTCGCGGATCTCCAAGCCAGAATCGGGCCTCGCCATCGCGCGCACTATCGTCGGCATGTCCGTGTTGATCGTCAGGTGCAGCTCCTCCAGGGGACCTGTCGACGAAGGCGATCAGCGACTCGTCGAGACGATCCCCCCTCAAGAGTCAAGACCACTCACGCTCTGTGTCCGGAAGCGTACTGGCCAGGCTGCTGGACGTCGAGGTCAGGGTCGTGGCGCTCGGGGGGCGGGGAGGGAAGCCCTCACCTCGGATCGCGGCGGTGTGCGCCACCCAGGCCCCCGGGTCGATCGGGCGCACCGGCTCGGTCCGCGGGATCGTGAAGTAGCCCTTCGGGTTCGGGTCCCAGCACTTGGCCACCACCAGCTTGATCGGCCTGGACACGGAAAGCGATTTATCTCCGGCCGTCTCGATCGCCGCCCTCCCTGGCGCGTTTCTATACTGACCCCGGTTTCTGGACGACCTCGCGCAGCACCCGGACGGCCTCGTCGTTCGACATGTTCTCGAAGTTGATGTCGTTCACCTGGAGGATCATGTCGCCGGGCTCTATTCGACCGTCCAGGGCGACCGCTCCCCTGGAAATAAGGCCATCGATTGCAGACAAATTTATCGGAGGAGCGAGTCTCTCCTCTCCGGGTGAGGCTGGATCCGGTGCCACGTACCCTTTCATTATCGAGCCAACGTATATCCCTCCGTCTCCTCCTTTATTGCTCTGCCCGACGATGCTGATGCCGAGGAAATTGACGGTGTCCATGTTCAAGGAGACGGTAATAATGTTAAGAGACATCGTGCTGTCCGTAATACTGCTGAACGAAGAGGTCCGCGACATCGGTGGCAGTCTGTGGCGGCGCCTCCGTTGGGGTCTCCGACGATCTTGTATGAGCAAGGTTAGATGTAAACTTTGACAAAATGGTTGGACACGTCACGGTATTCTACATGTACAACTCCGATTACGGGGCGTCTGTAATTCTCCCCGACACTCTGGGAATTCATTCTTGGATGGGAAGAGAACAGAGGGTGTTAGAGTTACCCCGTCATCTATGCAATTATATCGGACCACGTCCCGGATTTTCATCAGTTATGAATTTTCCCGTACATATTAGTGGATATGGTATCGATAAAAATGACGGTCCACGGTCGGACCGCCTCGAATCGATAGCAATAACGTACCCATGGTGGCTCTGTCAACCGTGCTACTCATGTTAGTGTGTCTTCCCGTAGTGGATGTGATTCGGCTACTCGCATCGTCGTCGGACTCTAGAAACGTAGTTGTCTCCAAGTCGGAGCTCAAAATTGAGGCAGTTTCGTAGCCATGACCGGAGCGATGCTTCGAGTGGCCATTGATGCGAAGTCCTAAAATGTTGACCAAGTATTGAACACGGAGGAATATAATGACACATTTAGCGTTAACTCGGGGACAAATCTATAAGGCTTTACTGCATCGTGAAATTTCTGTACGAAACTGACCATTATATTTGTTATATCTCTCGTATTTGTCCGCATGGTGCCTAGAGGTTTTGTGCAAATGATGACTTTGTCGACTACTTATGATACTTTCGGTTTCCGTTAGGGTGTCGTCGTGCGAGGGCGGTGGAAGACCACGAGTCGTATGACCCGGGGTTACGTGATCTATGCGATCGTGCTTTGCTTCGCTGTGAGCCACCGAGTCTGTACACTGTGAAGCACCATCCGACACGTTGCTACCTTCCGCCGAGACCAACTGTGTAATAAAACAGAAACATCTTTTATGCTTATTTTCTCGATAAAGACAATGCTGACTTTAAGACCGTTTCATCGAGCCTGCCCAGGAATTAAAGTGAATTAACACTTTATTGTACATGGCAGGGAAGAAGTTAATTCGGAGATGTACGATATAGTTAAGTTAACGTTAACTTACCCAGGAAACCACTCGACCATTGAAACATGGAAGATGGGCGTCGTCGTCGACGATTTCTTCTTTGACGACTCTGTTACCAAAAAAATAAACGCATCATTGAATACATGTACGTAATTTAACAAATTAAGAAAACAAATGCATTATAATGTGAAGCTTTAAATAAATTTTAAATTCATCCCATGGGACACAGGAATGCAAACGAAGCCAACAAACAAAACCTAATATCAATGTCTTGGCAACCCTTTGTTCCCCTGCTGCCTGAAAGTATTATATCGTAAGTAAACTAACCAGGAGAATATATTAAACCGAATGAATTTGTCTCACTGATTTTTTTGGAATCTACATAATGAATATATTTTGCTCAACCGGTTCCTAAATGATACGCAATGGAAAACCAATAAATCAATCCGGTTTATAAATGGCTATACATAAAGCAATTTTATCTTTAATATTGCTCCAAAACTATTAGAAATGGATTCACCTAATTAACTAGAGTACAATATACGTCCAATCGATTGCAGATTCTGTCAAAAAGAAGAAACGGCGCGTACTCATCGAAGCGGTACATAAAACTCTGACAACGCATTAATAGCACAAGACAGGAATCGTCATCGGACACGTAACGAAACATGATGAGTTCGAGCAAGGAAGCTGCCGGGCATTTAAAAAAGAATCTCCGGTCTTGGCTGTCGAAGGGACTTCGGAGAGGGAGCTCTGTTTTGCGGCGGCCGTGACTCGATCGGTGGTCGGTCCTTTAAACCTGAAAGAGGCAGAAAAGAGGGAGAAAAGAGAGAGAAAGGGTCGCGGCTCGCGGATACGAGGGGCGGGCGAAGGGGCCGGGGCCGAGGCCCAGGTACGGAAAAGCGGCTCGGAGGAAAAGAAGATGGACGATGCTGGTCGCGGACTCACCCGAAGTCATCGTCCATAGATTTGAAGAAGTACTTGTAGTTGGGCCGATTGAGGACGTTCTTGAAGTCGGCGAGGGTCACTCTCTCCGGGGAGATGTTGAGCTTGACGAGGTAGGGCGTCTCCTCGTCGTCGATGTGGTAGATGATCTTGGTCTCCTCCATGGTGGGACTCGGTCTATTTGACGCGCATCTGCGAGGAAAACCGTATCACTTGGGCCTCGCAACTGCTCGCAACTGACACGACACACAATAGTTCCGAAAGACACGGGAATATGGCGGCCTACAGTTGTCACGGCGTCGAGCACCGACTAGCACGCTTGAGATAGACGTCGGAGTGACCTCGAGAGGTGGACTGGGTCGGCTCGTGGAACCGCGACGAGAGTTCCATCTGGCGACGCCATCGGTAATATAACCTAAGATAGTCTCGCGACGGGTGTGCTCGAGCAGGGTCAGGGTGGTTATTACGTATTTTTGACGAGAGCGCTCACTTCTCGCACTTTCATCTCACGTGGGTTTATTCCCCGAATTACGTATTCGCTATGTGAAAGAACGTAGTTTTCACGAGAGCGCTCACTTCTCGCACTTTCATCTCACGTGGGTTTATGCGCTGAATTACGTATTCGCTATATGAAAGAACGAGATCACTAGTACTTCCGGTCTAGTAATATTTTTTTAATAACGGTACACTGGCGCTTAAATCCCTCATCTTCGTGATGATCAGCGATGTCCTAACCTTATCCTCCTTATGGAATCCTAGTTAAGGCTAGGCTTCGCTTGCGAAAAGTCGGATCTTGCAACTTATGGCTTATTTATTCGTTACTTTTTTGCGATAAAAGCTGGGCCAGCCCCGGGATCCGACATCCGCCCGACCTTCTCGGTCCTCATTCAATGTCGGGATAACCTCCTCAAAGCGACGCGCTGTTAAGGTTAGTAAGCCATCAGAAAACCGGCAGCTGTCATTTACCGGTTACCGTCATCGTCATACGCGTACCTGAGAAATCCTTTTTTGCTCGCGCAATTATAATTTTTTATGATGCAATTCGACCTTACCTAATTTCACCTCGCGATAACCTCGTGACCGACCTCTCGAGAGGGTTTCGTAATAAGAAACACTTTCCTTAAACGTCTTCTTTGTTTTATGCTGTGTATCGGTAGTTTAATAATTTAAGGGCTCTGTAGTAAATGGGGAACCCAGAGACCGAGCCGATAGATGATTCGACTAATTCACATTTAATTAAATTTGTCAACGATGACGAGAAAGCAGGCAACGAGGGTACGAGCGGGGTCATAAGCATCAGTAATTTATTAACAGTGTTACACGCACAATCATACATAGAACAACCTTGACCGATTATAGATATCTATCTCCGACGTTTATAGAAAGGGTCGACTATACTGAAATCAGAGTCGTTATTTGTATGCCATGTCCGTGTTTCTCTGCGTGTGCTCTTTTACCCTCGATTGATTCTCGACTAATTTCCGCCTCTACGTTTACAAATCGCTTTGCTTACAAATTGAGGTAAAGGGAAGAAGAAAAATAAAATAAAGGTAAAACGTAAAATAACGCGTGGAGAGGCGGGCAAACTGAGAAACAACGAGATGAAGGATCGAGACGTCTTTTTCGTTCTCTGTGTACGAAGACTGAAAAGAAAATAAGAAACAAAAAGCTGACAGATTCTGATTCTCGTTCGACGAGCATAGTTCTTTCCTCTTTGCATGGAACAAGGTGGGAAGCATAGCTTCCATTTGACTTTCATTTAACGCGTTGAGTGCCAAAACGGAGAGAATCGTAATAAAATTGCCCAGCGCCACCTCTGGACCCACTCAACGGGTGACAGATGCATCAAATGCTTCGCAGAGACGTTTGAAAACCCCCTACGAATCGCCTCGGTCGACTCTTTTGCAAAATTACATTTTTTATTTAGTCGTGATAACGCCGGGACTGCGAGTCCCCTCGAGACGGTCATCGAAAGAGTTCGGAGTGGAAACGGAAAGCGAAGAAATTAACGGGTGGGTGAAACCGTGTCGAGGAGTCGCTACTTGCTCGCCGAAGATTAATAAATAATGCTTAGAAAGTTTCGGGGGTCTTGTAAAAATAAGGCTCGACTCTTTAGCGAGTTATTCGTGGATTCCCCCGGAGGGTCCTCCGATCGGCCGCGACCGGGTCTCGCGAGGTTACGAGGCCGCGTCCTCGTCCCCTGTCGGTCGGGAACGCCTTCCCTTCGTCCATCATCCCGTGCCGTATTCGCCGAGAAGGCGTTCGCGACCGCCAGCGTACAACGCCAACTACAAAATCTCGAATAACAGTGTTTAAAAAACGTGTTTCTCGCGAGGCGTACGAACGCGTACGGGACGATCTCGAAAGTCTATTTTTCTCTTTCTCTATCTCTTTTTCCTCCCCTCGTCATCCCCTCTCTCTGTTTCTCTTTAAATCTATCTCTATTTCTCCGCGGCGAGGCATCATCGTCGCCCTCACTTTTTCCGGCGGGCGTACTTTTCCGAAAAAGTGAGTCGCTCCGAAACAACGGAAAATTGGAACGAAGGGATAAAAGGAGGAATCAATTTCGACGGCCCGACGGTTTGCCGGCGTTTCGCTCGCACGGGCGACGTTATGTTTTCCGTCTTTTCCGTGGTTCCGTTCGGTGATCGTTTGAATTAAATAAATTTTTTCACGATACCGAAAAAAAGTTGCGTGCGGAATCGAGCGACGGCTGATAAATCGATTACGTGATTATCACACGTCGCGAAATGCCGGTATTCGGTCGAACCGTGCGATTTTTCTGGAATCGCGCTCGAGACAAAAATCGACCGTCGTCCGAGGCGCCCAGGGGCAAGGCTAAGTCCGCCCCGGACGAAGAGTAATAATTTACAGGGTGTTCTCCGATAAGAGCCTCGGTCCGTTCCCCGGCTTCGTGGAATTAAATTTATGCGATGAAAAAAATTTAATTTGAATGCATCGACCGACGCAAAGTTCTCTCGACCATCCACGTGGCGTCCCGTGCGGCGTCCCTAGCAACCGTTGCCAAGGCGCCGCCATGACGCCGTTGCTAGGGCAGGCGGATCTGTCGGACTCGGCCGTTTATTCTTAATTTCCGAACCTTTTCCAATGTTATTATAACGATCTCTTTGCTTTACGTAGAATATATCGAAAGAAACGCGATCCCTCTGGTACTACGTATATCGAAAAAAAAAAAAAAAATTAAGGGTTTGTCTGGTGTGAGTGATTTTTTAGAAATACGATGACAGGAAAACAACGGAGGCTCTTCTCGCACATCCTGGCAACTTAAGTACTAGGACAGCCACAGGCAGCCGACGAATCGGAATCGATCGTTCCGCCACTGGGAAACGCCTGAAATGGTCTCGTCGGAAAACTTCGTACCGCTCGGCGTGTCGCTCGCTTTAATGCTTATCCGTTGCACACTCTATACTTTGCATGTAAATAATGCTTATTTTCCAAAGAGATGTACGTATTTGTATATTGTACAGTGTTTATGTAAAACGTTTGCCGTGGTTAGTTTCGTGACGCGGGGCCTCGAGTCGTTTGACGCATTCCCTGGGAGACCGTGGTTTCCTCGAGGATTTTTCGCTATTTAGAAAACAACCGCGATTTAAGATTTTCCCCAAATTGTTCGCGAATCGTAAGCGATCTAAAATCCAACAAAGTTCTGGTCAACGACCGAGCAAGCTACGTACAAAATTTTGGATTACGCGGTGCACTTTTAAAACGTACTCTTCGCGCGAAAACGGAAAGGAAACAAAAATAAATAAAATAAAAGGAGTTACTGTGAAGTCGTCCACTGCCGTGTAAATCACAGAGGAGCTTGGACGATCCAGGAATAATTCGCACAATTTCCTGCATCGGGACCTCCCGAGGATGCCGAAGAGGAAACGACCCGGGCCCCGCGCGTCCGCGCGATGTCCCTTCTTTCATTTAGCACAAAGTCTCATTTCGGTAATCGTCGACGTGTACAGGCAAAATTCGAAATTCAATACACACGAGTACAAGTGGATTAATACGTGGTGTGTACTTAATGAGGAATCCTTAACGATTAAACCTTACCGGTTAGAATATGTGATGCTTATGAGAGATTATATGAGCTACCGTACTAAAGGAAAAAACATACACCGTGTCGTAAGTTTACGTTACTATGGCGGCCGCGCGCCGTTTACATAAATGCGGACCGCCCGAATCGCGCTACGTTTACAATTGTGCACTCTTAATAGCCGGTGAACGTGCAACATCGTGTTCCCGATGCTTTCGAATCCCCTCGAGAAGAGGTGCGATACCTTTTCCTCCTCTTCTTCGCGCCGTTTCCAAAATCGTTTCAACGTTTCCCCCACAATTCCTCCCGCGAGTAACACGCTGATGCATCGGCACACCGCGTTCCTTTCACAGGGCACATCGGAAACATAGCAGGTTTAAACTAAGTATTATGCAATTATTGGAAAACCTCCACTAATTCTATGCAAAGTATAGCTTGTAGATTATCGCTCGTTAGAAATAACTTATAGTGATACACCCTTAAACGATTAGGTAGACGGTCATTTTTTTTCTTCCCGCCGAATTGGCGCAGCCCATACGACGCGCGTTTCTGCACCCCCCCATTTTTTTTCTCGCTTTTCTTCTTTCCTATTTTTCACCTCTCTCGACGCGGTACGATATACGGTACGGATACGGTGACGTACTTCGTACGTAGCATGCTCTCCGATGTGGCTCAAGGATGAGGAACATAATCGCTTAATAGCCGAGCCGCAAGAAACCCTGGCTCGTCGTATTAAAATGTCTGCCTCTCGACGTCTTCTCACGCCGTCCTCTTCTCTTTTCTTTTCCCTTATCTCTTTCACTCTCTAGCTTGCTCCTTTTTTTTTTTGGAATTTTCTCGTATCCATTTTCTAGCAAAAAATGTTCACACGACTTTTCTCGCCAGCAAATCGTCGCAACTTATGTACAAGTTATAATTGGCGCGCTCGAAGGAGGACGAGAGGGGAGGCCCTCTTCGGCATCTCCGACTCCAAGGAGAGTTCTCTCTCTTTTTCGGGATGCAGAGGAGTGCCGAAGACCCGGTCTCGGGCTCCCTCGAGCGTCGATAAAGGGCGCGAATTTCCGCGCCGGCTTCCCATTGGTCGCTATTCTCTTCTCCTCTCTCCTCTCTCTCAGCCCTGCCACGTCACGTTTTACGTAAATCGCGTTATTTCTTATTTTTCTTTTTTTTCTTTCTTTCTTTTTCTTTCTTTTCCCTTTAAGGCGATACGAGAGCCCGGGCACTGCTCCCTGAACTTTCAGTCCAGGTTCCTTTATTGGACTCTTCGCCCTGACCTTCGTTTCCCTCGTTTCTCCCCCAACTGTCGCTGCTCGTTCCCACTTCCCGAACAACTTGGACCGCGAGTTGTCGCTCTTCCAGGCTCGCCCTGGCCCTCGTGCCGCCTTAACCGACGACTACGGGGGATGACGGCGTAATATCGGGAGAGCACGGTGACGACGCAAGCCGACAAAGCCCTCGTCGGCGGAAACCTCCTCGAGTCGATCGCCGACCACTGCCGCTCGTATCAGCCGCGGGGTCCCGCTCGCTCCGCGGCGTAAGCTCGGCTAAAATTTATTTCAAAATGGATCAGAAATTGAAATAATTTCCACCGAAGCCTCGCATACGACCACCAGTGATCGACCGATCGCGCGCGGCGCCGGGACGACCTACCGCGAGACGTGTCCACGTCGCAGCTCTGGCGAAAATATTCTTAAAAATCCCCAGGCTCCTCGAAATTTCAATGTCATCATTTCTTCCGAGTTTCTTCGAGATTAACTACTATGAAAAGAGGACGCCTCGCTTCGGGTCGTCCCAGGCGGCTCGACCTCGAGGCCGGTCCGCGGCATACCTCAAGGTAACGCGACGACGCTATACAAAGGTACGAAGGATATCGAGCCGCGAATTCGCCGAGGCGGCCGGCGGCTACGAGACCAGGTCGGACGTGCTCCTCTCTCGAGCCGCGGGCCGCGGGTACGAGACGGTCGCTTCTCTCGGAGTGGTTCGAAGAAGGAGCCAGAGGGAACGGGTCGGGCGTATAAAAATCCAGTCCCTGGTCGAGGGGCGGTGCGCCGACCGGAAGCGGCCGTCTCTCGGAGCAGGGGTCTAGGGAGGCTTACCGCTTCACTTGTTGAACCTGGGAGGCCTCCTGAGCCTGGGCACGAGTTCCGCCCTGACGGCCCTGGCGTAGCTGGGCGTGGCGTATTGGTCGGCCACGGCGATGGGGCTCTGCAAGCTCTGGATGAAGAGCGGCGAGTCTTGGATCTGGCCCACCCCGGGTGCCTGGTACTGATACTGTCCGCTGCCCATGTCGGGGCCGGGATAGTGATTGGCCTGGACGAACTGGGGCGGGTTCTCGTACTGCGGATAGGGAATGGACCCTTCGGCGGGGAACTGCTGGAGTACCGGATTGACCGCGGCGTAGCTGCCGGGGTCGTAGCCCTGGAACTGGCCGAGCTGACCGACCTGGGCCGTGCCGAAGGAGGCCGAGGTCCCGTGGGCGAACTGGCTGGCCTCGGGGAAGAGGACGCTGGCGAAGGACTCGGGCCTGGTGTACTGGGCGACACCGGCGACTCCCGGCACCACCGGTGAGCCTCCGTACCCGTGGAAAGGCTGCTGACGACTCTGCTCCAGGTCCTTCGGGCCGGTCCTCGGGGCGAGCGCGCCGCCCACCCCGGTGGCCTCGTGCTTGGTCCTCTGCTCGAGCGCGAAGGGATACCGGCCGCCACCCTGAACGCTCTGAGGAGCTCGAAGCGGAGGGAAGCTCGCCGGGGCGACCTTCGCGCTCTCCAAGATTTTCCTGGAAGACGCGTAGGGTCCCGCATCGCCGGGCCCCTCCCTGGATAGCTGACCGGCCTCCTGAGCGCTCTGGCCGCCGAGCCTGGGCGCCAGGTTGTTCGGCACCCCCGAAATGGCTCGGTTCCTCGAGTCCTGGTGGTTCGACGCCTCCTTCGCGACCTCCGACTGGTGCAGCTGCTGCTGCTGGTAGCCCTTGATCTTGGCGCTGAGCTCACTCGAGAGCCTCTTCGCCCGGTAGTCCCTGGCCTTGTTGGTCTGCTCGTCGAAGGTCTCGGCGCCCCGAAGCTGGCCGTGGCCGTTGTCGTGGACGCAGCTCCGAGGACTAACCCGAGTCTCCCCGTCCACGTGGTTGACCTTCCTGGCCAAGGAGGGGATTCGAGCGGGCTCGATCGGCGTGCCGGCGTCCACCGAGATGCCGGACAGCGCGCCGACCTCCTTGGTCCCGGGGCTGGAGCCTGTCGCGCGGATTTGCGTTCTCAAGGACCTAACCTTGGAGCTTACCGCTGGCTCGAGCCTCGACTGCGCGACTCGGGCCTTCTCCGAGCCCTGGCTCGCCGACTCGTTCTCCGCGCTGTTGTTCTCGCCCTTGAGATGAGATTTCTGGTCCGGCTTGATGGTGACGGTGACGGCTGGCAGGAGCGGAGCGCTGGCTCACTTTTTGGTCATAATCTTAAGATACTCCAGGGCGTTCTGAGCGGCGCTGGCTTGGGCGTCTTTGCTGGTCACGCCGCAGCCGTAGCACACCGCCACCGGCAGGGTCGACAGCTGCACCAGGCACTGGCACTTGCCTGCAACACGAAAACCCGAATTTAACGCTCGACATCTCTCTTCCAGGTCGGGACGCCACGATGACCGCAATCGAGACCGGCAAGGCTGCCCTTCGCAACGAGATGAAGAAGGTTCTCGCGGGCATCGCCAAAGACGAGCGAAAACGCCAATCGACGAGGATCGTGGAAAAGGTGAATCTCTCGCTTTCGAGTTCGATCGCTTCTCCTAAACGAGGGACTTCTTTCCAGTTGATCTCTCTACCGCAGTACCAGCAGAGTCGGAGGATCTCCCTGTACTTGAGCACGGAAGATGAGCCCGATACGTTGCCGCTCTTGAGGAAGATATTCGACGCCGGTAAAGAGGCTTTTGTTCCCAGATACAGAGGCAAGGTCATGGAGATGGTTAAATTGCACTCGATGGAGGACTTCGAGAGCCTGCCGTTGACTAAATGGAACATAAAGCAACCCCACTTTCGGGATGACAGAGAAAACGCCCTGCAAGGTGGTACGTCTTGGATGAACTCCGGCAATACTTTCAGCCACGATAACGTGAGATCTGGAACGTATCGATAGCTTTCTAATTTTTTTTTTCTTTTTTTTCCCCCCATAAATAGGAGGATTGGATCTCATCGTCCTACCAGGGATGGCATTTACAATTAATGGCAAGTTTCTCCATGGAAGAGGTTGATCGTAATTTCTCATCGTTTGATTTTGCCCGCAGGTAAACGACTGGGACATGGTATGGGCTACTATGACAAATTCCTACACGAGTGTATCTCCTCGCAGGAAAAAAAGCCCCATTTAATTGCTTTAGCTTTTAACGAACAAGTAAAGGAAGAGATACCCACGACCGAAAAGGACGTCGATCTTGACATGGTACTCACGGAGAAGGACGTTCAATAACGATCTTCATGAATTTTTTTTTTACACTTTTATAAGTACTATCAAAAGCGACTGATTGATGTATCGTGGGGCATTTAATTAGACATTAAAAATAAAAAGAAAGGATTCTTACCACTGATAGACTTTTCTTCTATGTCAACGTATGTCACCTCGAACTGTTGCTCCGAAGCGATCTCTTGTAGGAATTGAACCAGGTTCACGTCGCCGTCGTTCAAGCAAGTATTCTGCAACATGGGCAATCGGACACCGTTAATCGATAGCGAAGTTTTCCTTTGATTTCGAAATCAAAGGATTAGGAGCACGGAATTATGATTTTCGTTTTTTAACTATCCTATAAACCGATGAGTATCGAATGGCAAGCACCACCTTTAAAGCCGTTTTTTCGATAGCGCAATTAAGTTATTTATTATTACTAGGTCAAATCAAATACAGACCTGCAGTTGGAATAGCTTAACACCGGAAGAAGATTTGAGGTTCTTGTGAAATAGCGAGACTTTGTGGCTGTGAGGTGTTGTCAACGTTGAGATTTTGCTATCTTTCAGGTCTGCGTAACGGGCGCTCACGTTTGCATTTCTTTGTATAATCTATAACGGACAATTTATGTGAATAAATGAAAAGAACAATTAGAGAAGAGCAATCGAATTACAGTGCCAGGGTTATCGGAGGTATTTCTTCTACCTAAAATTGACAAATAATTTCAAATGAAGTGGAAATGATCCTGAGCGCAATTGACATTGGTATACAGAGAGACAAACAACTGTGTAAAGCAAATAAAAAATCGTCCGTTATAGATCCGAAGACCGGAAAGATAGCTCGTTCTTTGGTAATGTGGCAACGGGCCAAAATCACTTCCACTTCACTGTACACTCACACACAACAAGGTTAGTAAACGCACACGCTTTAATAACAAGCGAATGGGAATACATGTATACAATGCAAACGGATTAATAAAGGCGCAAAATTACGATTGCAGAACCATAGGAAACATAAAGGTTAGAAATGGGATTACAAAGGAAGGATTACACGTTGCCTTTTAGGTGTTTTCTCTGGTCCAAGGTGTATCAAGAAAATAATGGGGTCTAAGTGTTCTAACCATGGAAGAGTCAGATGCGAAAGGTTATGCACATCCTTTGACTATTTAAGGTGTACTTACCTCGTCTTCGTCCACCCCAGGTGCTTGATTAGTCGTGTCACGCAGAGCCTGCCACATCTTCGAGGCAGCCTGCCTCTTGGCGAGCTTTTTGCTCTTTCCCTGGCCCACTTCTTGGTACTTCAGAATGGAACACACTATAGTAAACTCTTTCTCATGTGGTCGGCCTTCTTCTCCCTGCATCACATACTTTGGTGGTGGCCAGTGACGTGACATGCACATCTCTTGCAGACATCCGATCGGATTGCTCATCTCCCTCATCGACATGTCCTCTGGGTAGCCTTGCATGTCTTGCAAATTCTGCGAACTGTCCAAAATAGCACCGTGCTAACTCATTGAGGCAACATGGAAAAAGCAATTGTTATTTATTCTTACTCGGGTAGACTGTTGGGAAGCGGAGTCTCTGCAGTCTCAATGTTTACGCCAATTAGTTTGTCCAGTGCAGCTTTAGCAGCGGCATGCTTTGCTTCCTTTTTGGACCTTCCGGTCCCCATCGCTGCAACAGTTGGATCTACTTCCATTACATGGATCTTTTATATTTACACCACACACTCACGTAACGGTGCTCAATTTATACATCAATAATATTAATTCTTTAATGCAGAACTTTGAATCAATATTTTATATCGATCAAATCTAGGAATGTTTATGGCAATTAATAATAAATATAACAGATTTGAGTTAAAGTACCAACAACGTCGGCAACGGTGACGCGGTAGCGAAAGGTAGGTTCATGGATCGCACCCTCGATCTGAACTAGATCGTATTTTGGGGCTGTACCACGGCGCGACAGTAATTCCTGGAGCACAGAGACAGGAGTTTTACTCGGTAAGGCTTTCATCTCCAATCGAGCGGCCTCGTCCAGGGGAAGCGTCTCGGACATTATGGCATGCATCGTGACTCGGCCTCTGCTTCGGCGATGACTGCTATTCGAATGGTTAGGCACTCCTCCAACGACACTCATCATATTCGGTCCGACCTGTTGGGGATGGCGCATCTCTTCCATTTTGGCCTGAAATTCAATAGCAATACATGAAGGGATATTCGAGAGGTCGTATTTGAAAGTACTATACTTTCAAAGGTAAACATTTATTTCTGGGATTTTACTCGACACTATTTCTTCCGTACCATCATCTTTGTATCTTTTGTAATTCTAAGCTTGGAATTTCAGCTGCATTTACTGATTCACCCTGCGGCGTTTTCACTCGTGTGTGCCAAAATGTGTCTTTTAGTTTATGTAATTTGTTTTAATCTAGCCGGGAAACGAAGCACTCTGCAAAGCATATTTTCAGGAGACTTAAATGCACCGAGGGTGCCACGAGGCAACGTAACAAGATCTCTAATATTCGTCGTAGAACAAGAAACACAACTCACGTACACTCGAGACGCGTAATTAATCCCTTAGCGATTAAACCTCTCGTTCTAAGACAGTCATTTGAAACGTAACGTAAACACTGGACGACCGTTAACCCGAGAAGTGCCGCGCGAGACCATCGAAATCTACTTAGAAAAAAACAGAGAAAAGGAAACGTAAAACCGCAACGAGCAGTTAGGAGGCGAGCTTAGCAAGCCGGCGGGCGGCCATCTTGGTTACGAAATCCGCCGATCGGTCGCGGTGCTTCGGGAAAACCGGCAAAAATACGAAATCTCCGAAGGAGGGACAATTCTCCCTCGGCGAAGTCAATCGACGGTTTTCGGATCAAAGGGCGACCCATCGAATTTGACGAGCGGAATGAAAAGAGACGTCGAAGCCTCGGTGTACCGGCTCGCGGGGCGCATCGACCGCTCGGCTCCTCACGGTCAGGAGCTCGCCTCGCCTCGCGGGATTTACTCACGACTTTGGAATGGTTTCGCTTAGTGTCCGATCTCGACCGTTAGACGGATTCCAGCGGCGGGGCCCAATTCCTATGCGAAAAGCGAATCCCGCTTTTTGTGACCGATCCAAGTCTCACAAAAAGCTTGATCCGTTTGACGACAGAAAAGCGGTTCGTCGACTGCCGGAGAGTCCCTTCTTCCGAGGTGGGCGCCGAGCTCTCTGAGGCCCCGAGCCGCATCGCTTCGCCGGCTCGCCATTGATGGCGTTGCGTTCGCTCTCCGCTCCCGGCGCGTGTGGGCGCGTGCGCGGGGCAAACCAGAGATGAGTTGGGAGATTGCTCACGGGCAGGGTCACGCGATCGCATTCTGTGCTGCCCTCTGGTTTCGTGGCCCGATAAAGGATCGACCAATCACGGTCCTTTATCGGGCCGGTACCAGAAATTCATTGCGCCGCCCTTGGGGGCAAAAAACAGTGAAAGCTAACGTACGAAACCAGAGGGCAGCACAGAATGCGATTGCGTGACCCTGCCCGTGAGCAATCTCCCAACTCATCTATGGTGGCACACCAGTGCTTTTTAACCTTACAATACGAATTCCATAAACATCTGTTGCAGAAGGTAAAAGTACTGACAATGGAAAATATTGTTAAACCTTTGGTTGAGGATGCGGGAATGTCCCAATTTATGGGCATAATTGCTGCGATAATCGCTATTATAGTGACGCTAGGTAATTAGATAGTTGGATTAATAGGTTGGGTCATGGTCCATAGCATATACAATCGAACATATTAATTAAATGCATGTTAAAATAACACTTATCGATGATCTTATAATTGTGATCGCTGTCGATTTGTACATCTGTATTCTGTGCGTTATATGAAGAGATTTAATCATATGATTATTAAGTCATAGTACTTACTGTAAAATAATAGAAAAATGAAGAGAAGCAGTAACAGCGAGACAAATACAGTGTTGTGATTGTGTAAATAATAACAAAAGGTATACATGTCAGAATTTAAATATGATGCGGTAAATCGAACTCGCCTAGATGGTCTCGCGTCTTAACAAAAATTGGTTTCTTGAGCTGTACAATATGTAAAGTGTCACATTTTATAGAGATTCCGGTTACTAATTTATATCGCGTTAAAGCAGATTTCCATCTTTGCAGTTCTATTTGCCTTATGGCGTAGACGAGGCTTAGGCAATACTGTGCTTCTTGTGGGACTCTGTGATTCCGGTAAAACATTACTGTTTGCAAGGCTGGTTGGGTCCAAGTACGTTGACACTTATACATCCATTAATGAGAACATTGGTGGTGATCTTATGATCGACAATGTAAGTTGACAAACTAGTAATTGGCACTTCTTTGAACGGTGACGATTTCAATCTCATGTATCCTTCATTCAGAGACCTTTGAAGATTATTGACGTTCCTGGGCATGAGAGGCTGCGTTACAAGTTCTTCGATAAATTCAAATCTTCTGCTAAAGGTTTGATATTTGTAATCGATTCCGTAACCTTGCAGAAGGATATCAGGGATGTCGCAGAGTGAGTAATTAGGCTTTAGATATTGCCAATTCATTAGGCTTATCCATAAATGCATGTAATTCTTCACTGCAGCTTTTTGTATTCCATACTATCGGATCCACTTGTTCAAAGAAGCCTCCCTGTGCTTATTTTGTGCAATAAGCAAGACCAGATCAAAGCCAAGGGTTGCCAAGTAATAAAGGCATTACTGGAAAAGGAAATGAATTTATTGAAATTTACTAAGGCGAATCAGCTAGAAGCAACGGACTCGTCATCCCCACGATCTTCTCTTGGAAAGCAGGAGAAAGATTTTGATTTCTCTGATCTTACATCAATTGTTGATTTTGCAGAATCAAGTGCAGCTACTAAGGGTCCGGAATTAGATGCCGGTATCGAACAACCGATGGCATGGTTGCAAAAGATAGCTTAAACATATGTACAATTGTACACGATTCTCTTGATTTAATGACATTTGTTATAGCAGTTATTTATTTCGACTAAAAAAATAGTTCCTTCTACCACGCTGTATCGATATATCAAAGCATTATCTCTCTTCGACTTAGAAGATGGCTTTGCAAAAAAAACTCAATATTTACTATACATTAAAACCAATTAAATCTACATACGATGCAACTTATTTCCTCAATTGTTTTCGACACGATCAAAGGATGTGAAACGTGACTACAAACTGTTCTAGCTATAAAGGCTCGTCATATTGAACATTCCCTTTTTCTCTCCGATCCCCTGAACCTTGATACCCCGTTCCACTGCTAACTTTCTATTAACCGGGTAAACCAAATAACAATGAAGAAGCCGGAACAATTATTTCCAGGAGTCTATTACCTCGGTAAAGTCCTCGTCCTTGACTATCGAGAAATCAAAGTCTTTTCACCTGGACTGGTAAAAAACAAGTTACCCTTGACAGGTAGTGACGGTATTACGTAACTCGAGGCACTTTAGTCTGCGTATTTGTTCCTGTAATAGGTGTCACCGTTCCACTGGAGATCCAAGTCCGTCCTTTGATTTCCGGGGGTCCTCGAATTAACGACAAAAATTCATGGAATGATCCAGTCACGCTGCTTTCCTGGACTAACCTCAAAGTCGGGAGCACCGTGGCGTTTCAGCGCTGCGCACGCGCTTGTCTCGGTCACGTGGTTGACATCAGCTGATCCTAACTGGTCGCTTATCACTCCGACGCATAGATATCTACGGATGGAAGCATAGAAATCTGTGCCAGTGACAGTACCAGATTGTACCAGATAGAACCATGGCGAGCGTAAACTCCACCGTACACGGTGACAAATCGTTGACGGATCATATTGACATTGGAGGTATTTTGCGCCACTTTTCTACATTTACTTACTCTTAAACCAGCGAATCATTCTTTTCAATTTTCTGAGATTTTATTTTCTTCTGAACGAGGGGAGATTCTCTCGCTGATAAGGAAGTGAAATCTGTCGGGGAAGCGTGATAACGCAAAAGCACGAGACAGTTTTTTTTTTTTTTTTATTAACGAGGTGTGAACGCTAATTTAGGTATGAGGATTTTTTAAGCACTTTGCATTTTTTAGTAATCAATGTGTGTGTGCAAGGAGAGTTAGTATAATTACTATTAGGTGGTCTTTCAAAGGAATGCGCATAAAGTACAAGGACAAGAGCGAGACATTCACCGAGGACTGCTTGAAGAGTAAAGAGCCTTTTGGGCAATTCAAAGCCTGGTTTGAAATAGCATGCAATACTCCGGGGATCCTAGAACCCAATGCTATGTTTTTGGGAACAGCTACTAAGTAACGTATCTCCCAGGTTATGTTCGATGAATCGACATAGTTTAATCGTACCTCATATTTATTTCTGTGTTTCATAGAGAAGGAATTCCATCTGTCAGACCAGTCCTCCTTAAGGGCTATGGTTCGGAGGGTTTCAAATTTTACACGAATTACGAGAGTAGGAAAGGTCGCGAGTTAGTGAGTAATTTCTTTTTTAAGCTGTAAATGAGTAATTTTGACTGTGAATTTTTTATACGCCGGGTTTGTGAAATTTCAGGCAGAGAATCCCAATGCAGCGTTAACGTTCTATTGGGAACCCCTCAGGCGTACGGTGGGTCATCGCAAGCTGTTTTTAAAATGATTTCCTTACGAATCTTGAGCATGATTTTTCAGGTTCGAATCGAGGGTAGCGTTGAGAGGACCTCGACCGAGGATTCGGATCATTACTTTGCGAGCAGGCCGTTTCCCAGCCAAATAGGAGCCATTGCCAGCAAGCAGAGTACAGTCATCGCAGGCAGGCAAAGTTTAATGGTGAAGGAGAGAGAACTGCTGTCCCAGTTTCCAGAGGGAAAAGCAAAGAGACCGGAGTGCTGGTAGGCTCGAAAAAATAGACGGGAAGGACATTTAGTAAATAATAATTGCTGCTAATTGCAGGGGTGGATTTATCCTGCGTCCAGAAGTCGTCGAATTCTGGCAGGGCCAGAGCGACCGGCTGCACGACAGGATTCGATTCAGGAGAAGGAAACCCGGAGAAAAGCCCGACAATATCCTCACTCATGACGGCGAGAACGAATGGGTCTTCGAGAGACTGGCTCCTTGAAAAAAAAAAAAAAAAAATATGAAAAGAGAATTTATTTAGCTGTTAATATATTTGCTGTAGTATTTTGGATTTCGGTTAAGGTAGCTTCGCAAAGGGTTACAGAGAGAATCTATCGAGAGTTTTTTCTCGTCAGCCTTAGTATCTCTCGCATCAGGCCTGAAATGAATCCACAGTATTAATCGTTGCAATAAACGTGAGAGATATGTGATTTGTATTAACGGAGGAAAAAAATTGGCGAACCTTCCGTGCTCCTCCATACGACTTCTGGGTGGAATACATCGTCGTTCTTGACGAGGTTCTCGAATTGCCTCATTCCTCCTCCCACTCCGAAGTAGTACGTTTTGCCGGCCACGTAACTGATGATGATTCCTTAATTAAATTCCTCTTTGACTTCATTTGTTTTATATTCAATAATGAAAAGAGCGTACCCAGTGCCGGTTGACTTTAGCCTCCTCTTGAAGACGTTGTACAGTTTCTCGTGGCTATCCGGATTGTATATGGTCTCGCTCGTGAAGATGAAGTCATAGATTTTCTCCTCCGTTTTCTCGTCGCGTTTTGAGAGCAAACTATTAAGCGATTCCCAGTCCCCGCTATAAAATTCGCAGCTCTCGGCCACTGTCTTCGCGGAAGATGCGTTTAGAAAGACGTTCGGGATTGTCAGCGACTCGAGGACTTCTTTGTTCTACAAAAAATAGAGATATAAAATGTAGCTCGTTAAGGAGGCGCAGATTGTGGGGGAAAAAAGTAAAGAGCAAACAAAATTGCAATGCACGAACGTAATCTTGAAAATGGACCCTAGATCCCTTTGATAAGGCGAATAGCCCGATAACGCCCGCTCCGCAACCAAGATCCAAGACTACTTTATTTTTTAATGGGAGCCCCTCCTGCAGTAGATAATTCCCCAGGTCGTGGGTGCATTCCCAGATCTTGAGGCCACCTGCGAGAGAATACATTTCTCTGTAAACGTTCTTAGATCATTTTTGTTCTGGAATTTTTTAAAAAGTTTCCTCACCTTCGTACTCTGCTGGGAGCAGGTCCGAGTGCCGTGCCTCGGCCTGCAGGATGCACGTGCACTCTTTGCTCTTCAATTCCTCCACGATCTTCTCAGAAGGCACGAGTTTTAATTGACAATCCCCGAAAACTGTGGTGTCGCAATCCGAACCGTAGTTTTCCCGGATCTTATTGAAACTTTCCAAAGGGACCTGCACTTTGGCGGCTAGGAGCCACGCGAGCGAAGCCTCCGTACCCTGCTCCACATTTTTATCTGAAAAAAAGAATAGATCTCAAAATTCAACATCTTGTAATATTTTCTAACTATAATTTCGAGTTTATCCCGCTAATTTTTTTATAAACGATCATCCGCGGGGCAATCTGGGTACTCGACGTTCAAAGAAGTGGCGGGAATCGCCGTCGCCGTAACCTCAAAGGTTCGACGCCATTCACCCCCGATTTATGCGATTTTGCTCGTACCTTCTTTGATTTCGTCCCTGGAAAAGTTGAATTTGAACATGCTTCGCCTTTTTTCACCTTGAAATTAACCCTGAGCTCGATAAAATTGAAAAGTGCGAGGAATCTCGAGGTATCCATGCGGCGCCGCGATAACGGATCCCGGATATCACCGGATTTCCTTCTTTCCACCTCGTGGCGACATCTCCCGTCCCGAATAGCGCCCTGATGAGCTTCCGGAGAAAATCATGAATGAAAATCGAACTCCAGACACTTATAGCCCTCCTCAACAAATACCGGCCATTTATTCGGCTCCCGAGAAATCCTTAAAAACATTAAACTTAGAAAATCGGTACCGCGAAAATATGTTTTTCTAAGGAATGAAAAATTCAGGAGCGATTTTTTTTTATTCTTCCACGTTATCGAGTCTTTTCCAAAAAGACGTCGCTTTTTATCCCGACGGTTGTCGATTAATGCGCCGGCACAATCTCGAGTAGGCCGTTCTCTCGGAAATCGGAAATCTGATTTCCGATAAAGCTAATAGTTATTACGCTGCTTTTCTCGGATAAACAACCGCGACTGTTGTACCCGCTTCTTCTTGGATCTACGTTAAATTAATTGCGCGCGTTGCGGGAAACACTGTCTTTGTGACGCGAAAAACCGAAAATCTCAATTAAATATGACCGGCGATTCAAATGCCTCCCGAATAGTTTTCGAAGACTAGAAAATGGCTGATAAGAGAGGAACTTGAAAAAATGCGAAAGGAGGCACGGAGTACTGGAAAAGAAACGATAAATCCGAGAAGGGAAGCCCCGAGTGACGGATATCCACGGCTTAAAAGAGGACCGATCGCTTCGGCTGATCCTCAGTCTTCGATTCGGCTCCGAAGAGGTCGAGCTCGAAGATGAAGCTTCGATCGTCCTGGCTCCTGCTTCCCGGAGCACTCCTCGTCCTTTTCGCTTTGGCGACCGGGGCCAAAGTCGATCCCGATGGTACGTCCTGTAAGGCCGACTTGAAAATTGACGGTAAAATCGGAACGGGAAGTCCCGCGTCCTTCCATCGCATCTATAGCAAGGAGTATCGCAATTTCACTCGATCGGGGTCAAACCTTGAGGTCTGTAAATTTTCCTTTTCAGACACGTGAGGAAACACTTGCGCAAACGAGATAAACGTACGTCCGTTTTCACGATCTAAACTCGGCGTTGCGTAATGAGAATGGCCGATCGGAAGTCCTGGAGGACGAGACAGGCTCTTTTTTCCTTTTTCAATTTGTCTGCGATTTTTCCGGCTCGATTCTTCAATTGGGCAAAATTCTTCATCACGTGGCCCACTGTCGTCTAAAAAAATTCGTCTCAATTTTATATCTCGAGCTATTTTAATTTTGATTGTTTCAGCCTTTCCCAGGATCGTGAGTAGAGACGAATGGGGAGCGAGGAAGCCCGTGTTGGCACCTGTAAAATTGCCCCATTCTCCGGCTCCATACGTGGTGGTACACCATGGGGGGATCCCCGAGTACTGCTTCGACCAAACCAGGTGCTCCGAGATCGTCAGGTCCTATCAGAACCTACACATGGATGTGAGAAAATGGAACGACATCGGATACAACTTCGTCATCGGCGAAGACGGAAACATCTACGAGGGACGCGGCTGGGACTACGTGGGGGCCCATGCCCCAGGGTACAATACCCAAAGCATCGGCGTTTCCATCATCGGAGATTTCTCCGGTGAGCGACCTACTCTCGATAATAAAATTCTAAATCGTTAAAAATTTTATCTCGAGGTATCCCTTCGCAGAGATCCTACCGGACGAGGCGGCTCTAGGAGCTCTGGGCCGACTCATCGACCTCGGGCTTCTCTTCGAGAAGATCGGCAAGGATTACAAGATCATAGGCCACCGGCAAGCACGGGACACGTTGTGTCCCGGAGACGCTCTTTACCGACACGTCACGAAGCTTCCGGCCTGGACTCCCGACCCGACGCCGACCTCCTCCAACAAGAGTTCACCCTGCTGAACGGTCCTTTTAACCAAAACCTTTGACCGCCTCGAAGAAGGGGAAAATATAGGGCCGATCGTTACCTAAACCTTCCTCGTCGTCCATTGACATTTCCCGATAGATTTGAAATTCCGCTCCTCTAGTTTCCCGTCGTAGATCGCGCTCACTCGTTCGCTGTAACGTAACAACGCTTACGATAATTCCCCGTCCACGAGACGTCGCCTCGGGGGCAGAGGTCAGGGACCATCCGGACGACGATCGCAAATAAAGGTGGCTACACTCGTGACGATGAATCCGCACGGATTTAGTAGACGAGCGGACGCCGTGGTAGAACTAGATTTAACTGCACGAATTACGAGTCGTTACGTAGCCACCGTAAGCAAATTCCCTCCGGAGAGTCGAATGGGGAGTCGAAGAAAACCGAGTCGGGGAGTCCCCGACCGGTGCCGGCGCTATCTGGCCTGGTGTACGTTTCCGGCCAAGTCATCGCTCGAGATTGCGTATCTGCCTTTCGCCTCTCGAAGGCACTCGAGATGTTATTTTCAGTCGTCCGGAGATCATGTCGCTTAAAGCCGTGACCGCGCTTCTCGCGCTGATTTTCCTGTCGGAGCCGAGGACCGTCCGTGAGTCCACCTATTAATTTCATAATTATTGTTCGAAATTGGAAAAAGTGTTGACGAGTCCCCGTTTCAGGTGTCGAATTCGTGACCAGGGCCGAATGGGGAGCGAGGACTGCGGTGGGGCCCGTCGACGATTTCCCTTCTCAACCTCTTTACACGGTGGTTATCCATCATTCCGATACCAGAAACTGCACGGGTTTTGCCGACTGCAAGAAACTGGTCAAAAGTATACAGGTTGGGATCCGGAAGTCGCCGCTAATGGAGAAATTAGTGAAAGATTAATTGGGCGAGGAGCCGTGAACCGTAATTAATTTTTTCAGAACTATCACATCGACGAGAAACACTGGTTCGACATTGGGTATAATTTTCTGGTGGGCGACGACGGTATCATCTTCGAGGGCAGGGGTTGGGACAAGCAAGGGGCGCACGCCAGATCGCACAACGCGGACACCATCGGGATCTGCTTCCTTGGCCGTTACAACGGTGAGTCGATTAATAAATAATTAATAATCGCACCATCGATACCATCGGCACAGGATACGAATCCTTTCGTCGTAATCCCTCGTTTCTCCGTCCTCTTGCAGTCTATTACCCCAAACAGTCCGCGGTAAAGGCAGCAAAGGACTTCGTCTCCGAAGGAGTGAACCTGGGGAAATTGTACGACAATTACACGGTGATCGGTCATCGAGACGTCGGCAAGACCACGTGTCCTGGCGACAGGCTCTTCGGCATCGTCCAGACGTGGAGAAATACCGATATTTAAGGGACTGGATCTCTTGTCGTTCTTTGTAACGATGGACTCGGCTTGAAACTTTTTCTTTGACCCTCCACAAGAATCCACTCGGCGTCGATGATTATCGGGGTTTCCGATTTTTAATATGTCTCTGTTCGTTATAAAACGCCCGTTAAGTTGTCATTAATAATGTGCATGAATCTAAGGAACGTCTACATGTACACCGTCACGAGTCTGTTGACGCAATTGTCGTAGCTGTCGACCTCGCTCCTGACGCAGATGTCTAGTCTGGAGAACTCCTTCCCGTCCAAGTTACTGCCCCGGTCCCTGACCTGCATTAATTACGAGAGATCAACCGTATTATTTGGACTCGTGTCGAAAGATTCGGAAAAAAATTCGGATACGCCAACCTGTATTGGGATCTGCCTTCCGAAGTGTTCGTTTAGCTCGGGAATGCAAATGGGAGTGCCATAGACGAGGTTCAACGACGAGTCCATTGCACCTGTCACGTACTCGCCTCGACCGTCGATGTAATCCTGGATGCATAAAAGTGTTCCAAAAAATTGCGAAAAATTAAAAATTCTATGGAACGTCGCGGAACAACGAACCTGGAGGGAGCGCAACTTTTTCCCTCGGATGTCCAGATAATCCGACGAATTCGGGCTATCGTAAATAGGGTAATAAGCCGTCAACGAGACGTTGTAACGAGGCCGACCGGTGCACTTCAAGTCCATCCCGTTAACCACGTTCACTAGAAGTTAGAAAAATATTTGGTAGTGATATAAAAAATAGGGGAATGAATTTTCGCTCTTTCCGAAAACGAGATTAAACATCAAAGGGCATTTTACCGTCCGCTTGCCCCAGGGCAACCAACAGGAGAGAAATCGCGATGAGCATTTTCCGGAATCTTTCGTTTCCACTAAGTCCAGTTCTTCCTTCCCTTTTTTATCTTTAAGAACTTCCGTTTGGGCGTTCGTCTCGCAACTGCGGCTGCACTTCGGGACCGACGGCTGAGTGCAGCGAAGTGCAGCGGAAACGTGCTGACCTTTCGTTTCCTTGTTTTTGGGGCAGAGAAGTCTCGAGCGTGTTTCGATTTGCGATCGCGGAATTTCATCGTTGCGAAACCGATGGTGCGATGCATAATTATGCACAATTGCAACGAATGGGCTCGAGGAGGAATTAAATAATAAATGCGAACCGTTGGCTCGACTCGCAGAAATAGCTTGAAATTAATTATTACCTTAGTGCCCCTTGTCGAGCACTTGCACGACATCGCGTCGGTACTCGCGATGCAAATTTCGATATACATCCCATGGCGCCGCACGCACCTTTTCGCGACTTTCATAAATTTTTCCTAGCCTCGAATAAAGGAGGGCACTTCGTTGCATTCGTTCTTGGCATTTCGCCTCTCGAGAATTAAAAGATAAAAAGCCAGGCTCGAGAAAGGAGGAATCGCTTCGTTTAAAATGAATGTACTTGCGTAACAGCCGGACGTCCGAGGCTTCTGCGTTTAATTTATTTTTGTGGCCTCGTTCGAGTCATTTGTTCCTTTTTCGGAAGGGAAGAAAATTTAAAGGATCATTCGTTTATTTTAGGAAACCCTTGAAAGACGGCTCGCGGGAAAGAATGTCCTAGGTCGATGCAGTTTCCCCACCTTGACCTGCCGGCTCGCGAATAGCCATTTTTACGGCCGCGAAATTGCACCCTTTTCATCGCGCCGTTCTTCGGACCCCTCGAGAAGGTTCTCGTCGAGCTGAATTTCCATCCTAGTGTTGCGAAATAACAGGTTCGTCATTTGCCAGCGAAATTTCTCCAGGAATGAATTCCTCCTTCGACGACTCCCTCGCTTCACCCTTCAGCTCCCCGAGGGCTCGCTCCTCGCTTCGACAATTTTTCTCGGCGGTGTTTCCGCGATTCTGCCGTCGCTCATATTTTTCTCGGATACTTAGAGGTGTTACGGGTATCCAGGTGTTTTTGGGAGATTCTGCGAGAAGATGGAAAATCATGAAAAATAAGGAAAGGCAAAGGGGAAGGAAGTAGCGCGTCAGGCGGCTACGACATTTAAAGAAGACTCGTCGGCGGGTCGATTGATTTTTTTTTACCTCGTCTCTAAAGAAGCCGAGACGTTGTCGAGGCTATTTCGCGGGTATATAGGGTACATAGGCTCCTTTGAATAATAGACGCCGAGGGGGCTGGCCACGTGGAAGGCGTCGCGGCGTCAGTTGTAAAGTCCCGTCCATTGCGCTCGAACGCGGCGTCGAAACTCCTCCGCGAGGAGCCTTTTCTAAATACTTTTCGCAAAATGGGGCCCCCGATCATCCTCGAAAAAATTTCCCGAGCTTCATCGGCGACTAATTCGCGGATATAAAATTCCATCCGGAAATGGAACTATCGATCTCGCGCGGAAAAGTTCCCGGCGGTACCTTTGACACGTATACTTCGAAATTAAATGTCTCCGAAGTTGTTCCAATCGTCTCCAGGAAATTTCCTTGACGAAGTTTCGACGTGAGTACACAGTTGAAAATGTTTGTGAATTTCGATAGTAAATTGGGTCGCGTGTCGATGGTTTAATGGACGCGAGCAATCGCGCGTTATCGATTACTCCTTTCTAATAATGTATAAGGTGCGATCGTGCTCGCCCGTCGAAAATACTTCCACTTAGATACCGCGCATTAATACAGTAAAGCGAATAAATATTTTTAACGAGTATGCCGATTTTATTTAATTATTTAGATGAATCTCGCGAACGTGAGGCAGTGGCTGCAACGGGGGGACCTAGAAAAATTGGAGAACGTCGTCCTGGAAGGACGAGGGGCTCGACTACTGGGAGAACACTCTCCGGACCTAAGAACCCGCGTTTTTCTCAAAGGACTACCGAATTACCTGGTAGAAATACATTTTAGATTTTTTTTTAGAAGAAAAACCTGGATTCTTTTCAGCAGGAAAAAAATAATAAATAAATTGAATTTCCTAGACGAAGATCAGCCAGGTCCACGACGCCGTAACGAGAGGATCCTTGGCAGAGACTCAGAGGATAATCTCGGAGGAGCCGAAGAAAAAATTGGCGCTATCGAAGGATCCCTCTGGCACCCCTTTGGTCCACAAGGCCGTCTACCATGATCACCAGGACATCGTGCAGTGGCTCATCGAGCAGTATCCTGAAGTCACCCGTCAAAGAGACAGGGTCAGGATTCCCCGATAAAAGATAAAAAAATTTCTCTACTCGAACCGTCGAATCAGGATTTATAAAAAAATCGTGAAGGTGGATTTTTTAGGTTCGAAAAAACGACCCTTCCGTTTTATAGCAGGTCGATCCAATCGAGTCAATCGATCCAAGGGTGGCAATCGTTTAGAAGAGGACCCTTAATTCGGTTTCTTCGAGTTTTCTTTCACCCCCAAGAGCCGAGGCCAGGTGGCGGATCGCGTGTCGGGGGTAATCGCGAGGTGTAAACCACCTGTTCTTCCCTGTACCCATCGCCATCGCATTAGGACACGAAAGTAGAGACGAAGGGTGCCTCAGGGGTAGATTCTTCCTATAAAGCCAGTAAGTCTACCCCCGAGTATCGGCATTCATCGCGGTGGTTCTTCGGGGGAAGGCTCGTTCAGAAATTCCGACACCCTCGCGAATCATTTCATCGACATACATCGATCCCAATTTTAATTCCAATTTTAATCAACGCGGTGGATTCGGGGAATAAGATCTCTTCAGGGTAATAATTCCCTTCCTCCAATTTTTCTTCTCCCAATCCTAGGAACCCGTATAAATTTTTGTCTACTTCTTAAAGTGGTGAAGCAAATTTCCCTGCTAATTTAAATTCTATTTAACCCCTAGGAAGGGCGCAGTGCGCTGCACTACTGCGCAGCGTGTGGAGACCCCGACTCGGCGTGGGACGTACTCGTCGAGGGTGGCTGCGACTCCTCGATCTGCGACAAGAAGGGAAATCCCGCAGCCTACTACCTGGAGAATTCTTCGGAAATCGAGCTCCCCGAGTCGGAAAGGATGCCCCAGAGAAGAAAACCCGGAGGAAAGGAGGGTGAGTCGACGATCGGGTTCAAAGAGACGTTCGCCAGGTGTGCCTCGGCGTGAAGGTCCCATGGTCGAGCTCGGTAGATCGATAACCACTGAATGATTGATAAGCCGGCGTATCGGGCCCTGCACCCCTGCACCTGCCGAGGAGGCGGGAAATGTTCCGAGGAACGCCGGAACGAGATGGCCTCGCTTGCACGCGAGGTCCACGAGATGGGTTCGCCTTTAGAATTAGACTCGATATCTTCCCCCGGGGAGATCGGCCGATATCAGCTGATAGCCGATATAGCCGATATCGGGCGATCGCAAATTGAGTTAACCGAGGGTATAGCTGCGAGGTTCCATCGAATGCATCGATCGACGGTATTTCTCGCGGGAATGAGAAAAACCCCGTTCCATCCTTTCAGCCCTGGACTTCAAGCCATCCAATATCAGAATCTGGATCCACAATCGGGACATCGGGAAACTCCAGCAGGTCCTGTGGGAGGGCCACGGAGGAAAACTCAGGTGTGAGACCAGCAACAACCCTCGGGTCAGGAAATTCCTGGAGGCCGTTCCTTTCATCATGGTAAGAACGCGTTTCCTGCCTATTGGGGGTCGTAAAAAAAATCCCCACGTCCTTGCAGGGCACCATAAAGGATATCCATGGTGCGGCGATCGGGAACGACGTCCAGAAGTTCCAGGAAAAAATCGCCGATCCCGTTTCCCCGGTGATTCTGGGTAGCAAGGACTCGAACGGACTTACCGCTCTACACAAGGTATCTCGTGGGGACTTCATTTACCAATAAACGATCGATGTTTGACTTTTGTTAATTGACTCGACAGGCTGCGGGACTGGGACACACGGAAATAGCCCAGATAATAATCGACAAGTATCCTGCTGGCATGAACGTGCAGGACAACGAGGGAAGGACTCCCTTACACTATGCGGCAGCCGCGAAAGACGGAGGGGTGGTTTACAATTTGTTAGTGCAAAATGGAGCGGACGACAGCAAGCTGGACAATGTAAGTACATGTAATGCAAGTACGACACGAGGAGGGACCTCTCCGTAGGATTTTTTTTTCTCCCGTCCCAAGTCCTTTGGGCTGAGAAAAAATTTCGGGAAAACGATCCGTGAGTGAAAAAGTGGAAATTGTTGGAACAGAAGCAGAAAGCAGCGGCTTTTTACAAGAATCGACCCTCGGACGTGGACGGATCGAACCTGACGGTGCTTCCCGAAGCTCCTCGGGTCCATGGAAATACGTATCCCAAAGGATGGGACTGGAGGATCCTGGAAGCCGAGGGGATCGCCGCTCGCGTCCCGAAGAGATCCCCGAAGAGGTCCCCCGACGGCGCGTTCGGGGCTGCAGGGATCTCAGAAGTCACCCCTGAAGAGGACCAACGCGAGGATTCGGGGGTGAGCGTTCTCTTTCAGAATTCCACTGGTCCTTGAGATTTGAACCTGGCTTCAAATCCGAGTGGATGTCCTCCGCGTTAAGTCGACCACCCTTCGACGTTGTAGGGCCGGGAGGATTTTAAGGACGATCTGGTGGAACAGATTAAGCGAGCGGACGAGGAACTGACGAGGGAAGTCGAGAGGGAGGAGGAACACTCCGAGGAACCCGAGCCGGAGCCGGAAGCGACCCCGGAAAGGACGTCGGAAGTCGACGGTCGAGAAGACGAGGCGGAAACCGAGGAACCCGAAGAACCATCCACGGACGACGACGTAGTCCTGGGCACTGGTCCTACCAATCACGAAGAGAATCCCGAAGAACCAGGGAACCAAGGCGAAGAGGACGAAAAATCCGAAGCCACGCGAGATCCTCAGGACCCAGAATGGACCGAAGTCGACCAGGAGGTCCCGGACCCTGGAACGGGCGACTCCGGCGTGGACGTTCCTGCCCAGGACGAAGACCAGGTGCGCTAGCCTCCCCTGGTAACCTCTCTCTTTTTATCCAATAAGGAAATGAGAAAAAAAAAAGGGAGCAATCCCGTCGTTCCCTCGACTCGCTCGCGGAAGGACGATCGATGGCTCGTCAACGTCGCGCGATCGGTATCTCGGTATCGATCCTTGCCGGGTTTTGCGCACCCCATCAGCCGTGTCGGGCCGTAGGTCATCGAGGGAGAGCACGAGGAGCTCGCCGAGGCCGAGCTGAACGAGGGTAGTATGTCGGCGGACCCGGAAGTGCAGGACCTCCTGGAGAACGGGAGCATGGAGCAGCTGGCCGCTCTCGTCCTCAACGGGGAAGGACGTCGCCTCGTCGGCAGGCAGTCCGGCAACCCCGAGCTCCAGGCCTTCATCGACAACGTCCCCTCCTACATGGTGACAAATGCCGATAAACCTGGCGAGGCTCCATCGATCGCACCCCAGAAAGAACTGCTTTGATTTTTTTCTCGCGTCCTTGGGGTGAGATCGTCGAGTTTCCCGGCTTTCGCGCAATATTCGGTATTCCCAGGGGAAGATCCACGCGGTGCACATGGCAGCCAGGGAGGGCAACCTGCGAGACCTGCAGAGTGCCCTGGACAGGCGCAAATTCGCCATCGCGAGGGACGGATCCTCCCCCCATGGCGCCACCCCGCTTCACGTGGCCGTCGTCTTTGGTCGCACCTCCGTGGTCAGGTGAGAACCCTGGTCCAGGGGATGGCTGCCCGTTTCACCTCGATTTTTAATCGTGAAAAAAATTCCGGGGACGCAGGTACCTGGCAGGCAGGTTTCCGGAGACGACGCACGCGGTCGACTTGGACGGCAGGACCCCGCTGCACTACGCCGCGACCTTGGCCGATAACGGGCACTACTACAATTTACTGATACGCCTGGGCGCCAATCCCCTCGTCCAAGACAACGTGAGTCTCGTCCTCTAGCAAACCTTACAAAAGGCCCTTTCCTTGACACCGCGTTCCAATCGAGAACCGTCCGCTCCTTCAGTTCGAGCACACGGCGGAGTTCTATCAGCGAGACCACGAGGACCTCTCTCACAGGAAACTCCTGCGGGACTTCGGGGCCTCCGAGAAGCTCGCCGAGGAGATGCTGACGGACAAAGGTACCCGTCGCTATCCCAGCCACCGACCTGCACTATAAGAGGAGTACGGGGCACCTTTTCGCATACACCACCGCGGGCACGATCCGAACCCCGTGGCAAACTTCGCGGCAGGACTAAAAAAAAAAATTCTTCGGGGCCGACATGTATTTTTGAAAGTACTCTTCCGGGTCGGGGGCGGGGTGGGGCGTAGTTTGCAGGTGGACCGTGGATGATAACGCTAATCTTGGCGGGCCCAGTGCCAGGAGGCGACGCGGTTTCGGCCCGGCGCGACGTGGACGAGGCGGAGACGCTGGCGACGCTGGAGCGGTGCTTTCGGCTCCTGGGGAGCACGAGGCGGGGCGCCGCCCGAGCCCCGGGGACCCCCGGTACACCGCTGGGTCGGCTGCTGACGAGGCCCGTCTTCGACGGCATCAAGCACCGAGTGACTCGCATGGACCACAATCTGTTCGACGTGATCTGGCCGGCGCTGCGGAGGTGGGGGGGCGCGGGCTCGGGGGGGTCGGCGGAGTCTCTGGGTTCGGGGGGTCCGGGAGAGGACACGTTCCCGGGGGGGCCCGTTGTGGCTCCGGACTTCGAGAGCTATTTCGTCTTCCAAGAGCTGTTCGACCCCCTCCTGCGCGAGCTACACCTGTTGACGGCCACCGGGGACCTGCCGGACCAGCCCGAGCCCCTCTTCGTCGCGGAGGGGCCCGGGCCCCCGGACAATCTGGACCCCGGAGGGCGACACGTGCTGGCCGGGGCAGTGGAGTGCAGTCGCAACCTGGAGGCCTTCTGCCTCCCTCCGGGCCTGACGGAGTCGCAGCTCGAGGAGGTCGAGCGATATATGAGGTCTCGACTGGCGGGCCCCGAGTTCGAGATCGCCGCGGGCGGCAGGGGGGTCTACCACCCCTTGAGGGAGATCCTGGAGCTCGGAATGGAGGCCAGCGAGCTGGGGGCCCGCTTGGCGGCCGCAGGCCTCGCGCTGCCCCTGGAGGAGCTGACGGGCCCCGATTCGCGTCGCCTTCACGGGCCCCATTGGCCCAGAGGGAGGGGCGTCTTCGTCTTCGGAGAAGGTCGAATGGCCGTTTGGATCAACGTGAGGGAACACCTGAGGATCGTCTGCGCCACCGACCGGGCCCATCCCGGTCGGCTCGTGGAGGCCTTTCGTACTCTGGAGAGGGCCCTGGAGGTCCTGGGCCGAGGGGCCCCTTTTCGCTGGGACAGGAAGCTCGGGTTTCTGGGGTCCAGGCCCGTGGCTCTGGGAAACACTCTTCGGTTCCTCTTGCTCGTTCGCCTGCCCCGGCTCTCCAGGGACGGCAAGAGCTTCGCGCATCTGTGCGCCGCCCGCGGTCTCTGGGCCCGACCCTCTCCTCGCAGGACCGACACCTTGGAAGTCGGGAACCTGCAGTGCCTCTCTCTCACCGAGGCTCAGACTCTCGGCGATTTCTCGCGAGCGCTCCTCAACGTCCTCGCCCTGGAGCGCGAGGCCGCCCTCGGGAACCCCCTCCAGATCGCCAACCTCCTCGCCCGAGTCGTTCGCAAGCGACTCCCCAACTCCAGACGCAGCTCCAGGGTCGAGTGATCGTCCCCGGAGCCGGCGCGGTCCTTCTCCTGTTTGGGTTCCCCGAGGACGCTTTCGAGTTAGAGTAGAGTCTAGAGGGGTCGTCAAGCCCCTGCGAGTAGTCGCGATTAATGGCGAATCGGTGAAGATCGACGATCTCACCTGGAGGTAGATATCGGTCGGACGTAGTCGGCCAGCTCGTTGGAAAGATCCGTGAAGCCCTCCGGACGACCGCTCCTGGGAATCTCCTGAGTTTCCGATTAGGTCAGTAAATCCCGAGTCGCCTCGGACGGCCTTTCTGTGTTCGCACCAGTCGATGTTCACGAAAAAAATCCCGAAAAACGTGCAAATTCGATAACGCCTCGCACACGTCTTTCCAACTCGACGGGCCTCTCTTCGTCCCTCCAGCTCCGACAAACCGGGACCGGAAGTCGAAACGACTTGAGAAAGTTAAGCCTCGGTCGAGAACGCGTCCTCGGGGGATCCCGGGATTTTTAAATCTGTAATCCTTTTTGTTGGAAAAAAAAATCCTGCACGTTTTATCTCCCGGTCCCTTCCGTTGTTTCAGCGAATTGTTCGATTTCAGAGTGTTACGCACTGAAAGTTTGCCGAGTTTTGCACGAAGCTTCACATAAGCACCGTATACGGTTTTCTTGAAAATTCCGTAAAGCGGGGGATCGTCAATTTGTTACTTTTTTAATTTTTTCAGAGGACAGCCAGATGGACGCCCCGATCTTCCGAACGGAGGAGGGTCGCTACTTGGCCTCGTGTAAGTGCAAGGATATTTATTCGATACGATGATTATCCAGAAATTTAATAAAAAAATATTTCCTAATATTTTTATCAGCTCTGGGTGATCCGCTGATAAAGGGCCTGACCGAGGTCGCCAATACTCGCCCGAAGGATCCCGTGACCTATCTGGCCACGTACTTGTACAATTTTGCAAGTAAAAATAAACCCGGCCAAGAGACGCAGGCGAGTAATTAAGAATTTAATTAATCGTAATCCACCCGTGTCAGTCGATAAGATTTTTCATAACGGGAAATAAAAATTCCAGGAATCGAACGTCCTGATAATCCCGGAGAGGCGTCAGGAGGGAGGCAGGAATCACGATGAGGGTGCCGAAGAGGACGCGGGGTACCCGCGGAGCCCCGACTCGGACGTCCCGGAGTCCGTCTTCAACGGGGCAAACAGGGTATTTATCAATTAAACGGAGTATTTGGGTACGATCAATTTCGGCTTTCCCAAATTCGGGGACTCGCTTATCGATCTTATCGGTGCAGGACGAGCACGGGCAGAGCATGATCCATTTCGCGGTGGTCCGTCCTCACGCGAAGGACGGGCTGTTTCACCTTCTTCAGGAAGCCCAGGTGAATATCGCGTACAGAGACGAGGTGTATCGCACCCCTAGGGACGTGGCGGAACAGGCAAACATCCGCGACAACGTCGAGGAAATCGATCGCTGGGTGGTCTACCTGGCGGCGAGAGGTGGGTGTCTTCGGGCGTTGCTTCGAGATCTTTTGGAGGAAAAAAATGGTGAAAAAAATATTTCCACGAATCTTTCCGAATTTCCAATCCTCAGGAGAGATGGAGAAGCTGGTGGAGCTCCTCCTCGAGGGTTACGACCACATTCTGGATGCCGATGACGGAGGCGCGAGCATAGTGGACGTGGCCAACGAACGAGGCCACGAGGCGACGGTCCAGTTCTTGGAGTCGATCCCGGATTACGTGGTAATTTTTTTTTCTCTTCTCTCGTGGGATTTTTTGGGGAACCTCTCTTGGGGTACTCTTCGGTTTCAGACCAGGAGAGAGGAGGTGCATCAGGCGATCCGCAGGGGAGACCTGGCGAAGGTGAAGGAGCTGTTCGACAGCAACGGAGGAGGCGGAAAGCTGCTGGCCGTTGGCAAGAACGTCTTCGGCCGATGCGCCCTCCACATCGCCGTCCTCGGAGAGCACGCCGACATCGTGCGACTCATCGTCGGCATGTACCCGGAGACCCTGCGGACTGGCGACAACGTAGGTCATAAAAAGTTACAATGTCTTTGACAAAGAAATTTAAGGTACGATCTAAACCCTGTCCCGCGATCAGCTGGAGAGGACCGCTCTTCACTACGCCATGGGAGTGCCTTCCGTGGAGACCATGAGCAACATCCTCATCAAGGCCGGAGCAAAGAGGGTGGAGAAGGACCTGGTAAACCGGATGCCATCTAAAATTGACTTTTCCTCTTAACTATTGCGGATAATTTTTGTAACTTTAACAGAAAGCGAGACAACCCTCCTACTACTTCATGAACAAGTCCGACATCCAGAGGCTGCAGGAGGAGGAGGAAACCATGGTGGTCTCGTGAGAACGAGGGAGTCCGTAAAAGGTGCCAGACAACCGAGAGAGAGATTATTTATCTACCAATTTATTTATAAGTAGTAACGATTCGTTGAGTTCGTCCCGAATCAGCTGATCGCGGCGAGTAGAAGAAGCAGCTCGAGTGCGCGGGGAATCGCCTCCTAATAAATATCTCAAATTCAACATGCGGGATATTTCGAGATTCATTCCGCGAAGGAGTACGACGTGGTATTTTTTTAGGTAATCTTTAAGGTCTTTGACCGAGGAGTTTCCTGTTAGGAAATCGGGCTCCCCTCTTCGTCGTCGACTCGGAAGGTTTGTCTACGTTGTTCTCCTCGCTCTGGACGACCGGCTGCCAGGGGATCGGGTTGACGTACGCAGGAATAGCTTTCTGATGAGCTGTAAAGAAGAGTGCGCGTTAAGGAATCGCGACGCACAAAAAAAAAAAAATTATTAACTAACGCAGCAGTCCTTGGGTGGCGGGCTTCGGCTTGTTCTTCGATTTCTCTCGCCACTCCTCGAAGGCCTTGGAGCTCTTCTCGAGTCTTCTCTCTTTTTCCTCCTCGGCCTTCCGCTGATTAGAGCGCTGCTCCTTCTGCAGCGCTAGGGGGACGATTACAATTTATTTATCTAATTATTTCTATTCGCGTCGAGAGGTTTTACAGGTGGGAGGAACCTTTCAGCTTCTCGTCCTTTTTTCTGACCCACTGCTGAAGACAGATCGTCTTGGCGACGACGGTCTGTTCCTCGATCTCTTTAAGCCTTCTCCTCAGCTCCGCCTCCTTCCTCTCGGCTTCTTTCCTCTCAACTTCCTCCTTCTTCTTCCTCTCGACCCACCCGAGGAAGTTCGCCCTTTCCCTGAGTTCCCTTTGGGCCCTCTCCTCCTCCTCCTTCCTGCGCATCTCGGCCCGCTCCTCCTCCGTCGTGCCTTTACCGATCTTCCTCTTCCTCCGGGTCCGAATTTTCTCCGCAAAATTCCTCGTCGATCCCGGACCACCCAGCTGGCTGTCCGAGCTGGAGAACGACGCCATCGAGCATTGCACCACCTTGTGGCCGTTCACCACGTACCTGAATAATTAATAAACTGGTAAATAACGAGGTCTATCGCCTTAAACGAAGGTGGAGGTACCTCTTGATCCCCGATTGGGGCTCCGGAGTTCCGAGCACGCATCGTCGCTCCGTTCTGCGGATCGACCCGTCGGTCGTCAGGGTGCTCAACGAGTCCCCGGACAGACCCAGGGCCGACTGGCAGCGATACGTCGCCGGTTCGCCCTCGTTATTTTTTTCCTTCTCCGCAAGGTGCAGCTCCGAGAGACGGTCGACGAGGACGTCTCTCTGCTCGTCCTTGACCGTGAGGTACGCGCCCAGGGTTTCCGCGTAGATCGCGGGATCGATGACCCTCACCTTGGAGTCGGCCTCGGAAAAATCCCGACCCGCCGCCTCGCCATTCGACCACTGACGGTCAAGGTCGCCGCCGACCTCTCCCATCCTCCGACCCTCGCCTCCTGGTCTGAACCCAGTGGTTCCCTTCGAGGACTTCGCCTACGACCTAAGCGCCATATCTCGCGAGATTTGTTCCCTGTAATCAACCGGTCGCGGCTTGTCGCGTTAACCGCGTCAACCTCCACGGGGAAACAAGAAAGAGTCGTTGGGAAGAGGCGAGCAGAGTGGGATTGGCTCTGAATTTATGATATAAATTGATAACGAGAACAATCCGTGAGCCGTTCACTGGTCTTTATTTGCCCTCTTCCTGCGCGTTTTGTGCATGTTTCGGAGTAGTTCGGAGAGGTAAGGTGTCAATGCTCCGTCGAAACAGAATTTTTCGCGTTGGCCTCGGTCGCGTTGGACTGTCGCGCTATCGACAGGTACTCCTCGGCGAGCTCCTCGGGCTGGAGCTTCGCAAAGAACGATTCACGCTCCTGGTGAACGTAATAGGTGTCGTCGAACTTGAAGTGGAGTCCGAGGACTATATTCAGGGCAGAGGTGTCGTACGCGTGGCAGCCAGAGTACCGGTATTGAGGTTTTTTGTTGAACCTGCAGCCAGCGGACTGTGCACCTGAGACGAGAAATAACGGGAGGATGAATTTGGACTGATCGAAACTTAGGATGATTTGGGTCTTACCTATGGGACAGATGCAGTCCCGCGTGAGGGCACACTGGACCCACGGTAGCATCACGTTGTCTCTGATCTCCTTTGTATTTCTTACGATTAGATGAGAGGCTCGGATCAGTGGCAGGAAGAAAAAGCTTTCCGCCGAGACCCTGAAGTACTCGTACATCTTTGGGTGGGTCAGAGAACTGATCGCATGCCTCGTTGGCCAGGTGAGGATGCCGGACTTCGGGGAGAGATATTTGGAGATCTTGGAAGAGTTCAGTCGTACGTTGGAATCCATGTACAAGATGGTCCCCAGGGAGTTTAGAGCGGTCTGAAATATTAATAGGTGATATATTATCCTCCGAAGGAATTTTAACCGATCGAAGAAATGTCTATGGATACCTGAATGACGAGGGGCCTGTAGACATGGAGCCTGTCATCTTCCACGTGCGTAGGAAAGGGGCTGGAGTCGAATCGGATAACCGCGCACTTGCTGGAGTTGCACGCCGACCTGACATTTTGCAAGGCTTCCTCGTTCAAACCCACGCCGTACACTATGATGCCATTGCCTGGTAGAAAATGGCTGACATTTCGGACGAAGCCGTGAATTTGCTGCTCGCTGCCAGGTCGCAGCAGAGACACGACCGTCACATTTTGGGGCTTAGGGGTCAAAGGGGTGGTGTTCGTCGGGCCATTTAACCCCAGCAAAGCAAGGTACTTGGAATCGGTTACCAATCGTTTCTCCTCCACATCTTTCAAGTTCTCCTGCCAACAAAGGGTAAAATTAATGCTATAAAGAATCTACGTTACTTTCCAGATCTCAAACGGAGTATCAGGTCTCGAGGTACCTGGAAGTTTCGCAGCTGCTTGTGAGTCTCGGTGACTAAAGTCTGTATCGAGGGGCGAGGGTTGCTGAAGGCAATGAAGATAATGCTGCTCCCGACTATACAGACGAGGAGCAACAACAGGCCTTTGGTACGCATTTCGCATCGTTTGTCCCAGTTAATCTTAAGCCAACGTTCATCATCTTCACCGGTCAAGTTGGGAACCTCATTTTCCCGTTTTATCTCACCGACCAGTTAGGATTTTCTCCTCGCAGGAGTTCATTTTCACGAGTAGTACCGATCGTACGTCGGTACTTAAATCGATTGCGTTAATACTTTTCTGCGAAATCCACGCAGTCAATCGAAGGTGCCTTTCGTGTAATCCATTTTTTAGGTTGGAAGCTTCTGTCAAACTCTCAGGAACGACGTACGATACTTATGTCACGTCTCTCTTTTGGGTAGCACATTCGCCGCCATAAACTATTTCAATTTTCCTGAATATTTTACACTACTTAATGTGCCCTGTCTTGACGTGTATTGATATTAAACGCGCACATTAAATATCGTATTTATTCGTCTCTTCGATCGAGGCCATTTTGACGCAGTGGCTAAGGTCACAGCTGATTGGTGCGGTTGTGACAGCTGTCCAGTTTTCATCCAATAATGCGTTTCCGAAAATACATGGGCCACTGCTCCATTTTCCTGTATCTATCTAATCAAAAGCTAATGTAATCGAATGGAAAGTTACAGCTGATCTACGAATACCATTCAATGAAATTGATAAGATTCGATAGCTTTTTAAGCTTCTCAGGGGTCGAGTCGTGTACGCGAGAATTTCCCCTGGCAGTTTATTACTTGCACTTTCCTGTTCGTATTTAACGAAGTTTGAAGTAATTCGACATGGAGAAGACACGTGAGTGATTTGGTTATGTTAAACGATACAAAAAAATAATAAGTATTTGCAGGAAACAATGATGTATAATTTATTCTAGTTTTAGGTCAAGCGTCAGGCCCTTTCAGCTGTTATCCATGATTTAAATTTTTTCTATATAAAACGACTCGAGTGACTGGATAATGAAGCTGTTTAAATTAATTGTGCACCAGAAAAATTTCAGTGGGGAAGACCTGATAATTAATCCAAAAGATTATCCAGGTATTAAGAAGGGAGATGTCGTAGAGATCTACCACCCCGAGGATGAATTTAGCAGGCTACTGCTGCAAGTCACTGCATTGAAGGAGGACTTGCAGGGTCGAGAAACAATTAGTGTAGAAAACAACATTGCGTCGATGTTCCAGTTGAGAACGTTTGCCGATGTTTATATGAATATTGTAAATCCGGATGATGTCGCTCTGGACTCGGTGGAGCTTACCTTTAAGGATCAATATATGGGAAGGAGCGAAATGTGGAGGCTGAAGAATAGCTTGGTAAAGAGTTTAATTTATAATGAACTTAGAATCGAATAATTGACACTTGAATTTTTTGTAGGTTAATACGTGTGTGTATCTGAATAAAAAGATAGAATTTTGTGGAGGCAGTATAAGATGCCAAGTCTATGAAATGTGGTCTCAAGGAGACCGTGTTGCTTGTGGGGTAATTACAGAGGACACCAAAGTCGGTACAATTCCAATAAATTACTGACCCAATCATTTTTATTTTTTACACAATTTGATAATTATTTTGCCAGGTTGTGTTTCGTTCGTCCACCAGTATGGTGTACCTCTTCATACAGATGAGCTCAGAGATGTGGGACTTTGATATTCACGGAGATCTGTACTTTGAGAAAGCGGTAAATGGATTCCTAGCTGACCTCTTTCAGAAGTGGAAGAAAAATGGTAGCAATCACGAAGTGACCATAGTCCTGTTCTCTAGAACGTTTTACAGTGCTAGCAATTTAGAAGAATTTCCTAATCACATGAGAGAGTGTTTACAACAAGACTATAGAGGTAGATTTTATGAAGACTTCTACAGGGTGGCTGTGCAGAACGAACGATTCGAAGATTGGAGTAACATCCTTGTTCAGTTGCGTAAATTATTTACCGATTATCAAAAGATCGTATTGGAATATCACCAGAAACCCGGGATTCCCATGCCAAAGGCATCAAACTCCACTGCTGCCCAAGGCAATTTCTTAGAGGTCTTGAATATGTCTCTTAATGGTAATTGCCCATGTACCTCAGAAAATAATTTTAGTGAATAGAACAATAAAATAATACATCTTTTAGTATTTGAGAAGCACTATCTGGACCGCAGCTTCGACAGGACAGGTCAGCTCTCCGTAGTCATCACCTCAGGTGTTGGAGTTTTTGAAGTCGACAGAGAACTCACAAATGTCACTAAACAGAGAATCATCGATAACGGAGTGGGGAGTGATTTGGTCTGTGTAGGCGAACAACCATTGCACGCGGTGCCTTTATTGAAGGTATGAAAATCGATATATGTTATTAAAAAAATCTTGCATTTGGTAAGAGTAATTTTGTCATTTTAGTTTCATAACAAGGACACCTCTGTAAATGCAGCGGATGACTACAGTATGCCACATTGGATTAATTTGAGTTTCTATTCGACGAATAAGAAAATTCCGTACACCACTTTCATCCCGCGGATCAAACTGCCCCAGAGAGTTTCCAAGCAATCTCTGGAAAATGGAAAATTGTCCTGCAAAACGAAACTCTTGCAAGAGGAAACCAGAGAGTGCCTTCATAATACTCTTTTTGACTACGATGCATACGATGCTCAGGTCTTCCAACTTCCACCGATACACACTGCCAGGTAGTTTTTCTTGCGGTATAATTTTTTTCTGACGCTGTAGGCACATCGAAACGTACATTTATTTTTTTTTCAAATATATTCTAAGCCTGCAAAGAGTTTCGACTCGGACGAAGAAAACGAGCGTGGCCTGTATGGAAACGCACAACAATGCACAAGCTTTGAAGCTCCTGAAGCGCAAAATGTCAGACCCTGACATCCATCATCCTCCTCCGGAGACTCCTCATTCCCCTCCAACGATCGCAGCACGAAGTGCAGCGATTTCCATCCCACGAAGAGCCGAGGAAACCGCCAGCAGCGAGTCCAAGGAACAGTCGAATGGTGACCGATCTCATTTTATTCCACCGTGTATTCGAAGGTATCTAAAACGACACGTTCTTCCTTTAAGGCAAATCAAAGTCCTCCGTTAAGAGCGATCTGACGGATGCCGAAATTTCTCCACCATTCAGACACGTAGTCGGAAGTGCCGGGAGTCCAACAAATACTGCCAGCCAACCCGCCAGCGTTCTCAGACCAGGAAGGGCACTCATCAACCCCTTCGATCCCTCCCATGTCACTATAAAACTCACTAGCAACCGAAGAAGATGGACTCACATTTTCCCCAAAGGTACACTTTGTACAGCGAAACTTCAAAACTCCTGCCATGAATACTTGACTTCTCCTGCTTTCTAATTTTGTTTAACAGGACCTACGGGTGTCCTGATTCAGCAACATCACTATCAAGCCATTCCTACCAGGCCCAGCTCGGAGCAGCAAAGCGACGCTACTTCTATGCTGAGCAGCTCTCCGGTCGATCAGGCGACAACCTCCTCTTCGACGGGGCCTCCGACTCAGCTTCAGATGCCAAGATCGGCTTCGCAGACAGGTCTTCAAGATCGTGAGTTTCGACTAGTTAGAACTCTTCTTGAAATTCCGTAAGATCCGATGCAATGACTTTTCCCACAGAGGTGAAAGCGAAGCTCCAGCGACCCAGTCTTCCTCCTGGCACCGTGGAGAAAAGTGGACCTTGCGGCTTGAACACCGGCAACAAAAGTCTAACCCTTCTGTGGGGTGCCACCGGAGAACAAGAATGGACTCCGGCTCTAACGACAGGTTTGCTACATTTTTTTTTTAATCGTCGAGCAGAGCTGAGCAGTCGGAGGAATGACAGTGCCCCGAGTTACTTGTTCACTTTTGTCTTCACTTGAACTAGACCGACGTCATACAATAATTTAATCACCATCGGAATTCGCAGTGAATCCCTTTCAAATGCCATCCATTGTTAAATTCAGAAAAAGTAGAGACGTACAAGATGAGAATAATCCAGGTGGAGATTCTTTAAAAAACAGAGAATGGAGAATTATCGTCGCAAGCCACCTAATGCACGTTGTCTCCGCTGCCGTCTCCACTGCCAAGTATCCATTCCATTTCAGCGATCATTCCGCAAGAACTAGATGTGAAAAAAGTAGGGCATACTTTGTCATCTATGATACGTTTACACTTGCACGAAATAGCGAGGAGAAACGAAAGGGGGAACCCCACTGTCGTTCCAACGAAGGGTGACAGCATCGATTAGCCGGCATCGATTACACCTATTAATCGAAGAATTCCTGCGACCGACGTATTTTTTTTTTCTCGAATTTTTCCTAGGCTCAGATTTATGCAATTAATGATGTCCGATTTATTTCCATGCCGTGGTACGTCCTATTGGGATGCAACGCTGGACGTACCGATGCGTGTGCGATGTACGACTATGATGTCACTTTAAACAGCGATCATAGGTTAGCGCCATACATTACTGGGGGCTGATTCGGTTATGGTATTCTTTATAATTTACTGTTCCGGGCCACCGAGCTCTAGCTAGGATTGTCACTACTCTAGACCTACGTCAGACCTTCTAATTCTACGTTCTTATTTCTTTTCTTTTTTTCCCCCTTTTTTTTTCCGTGCATGCCTGTATCACTCCTAGCGATTGCACCGACCTTAATCAGCCTTTATCGAACTCTATCGGTTCACTTTCACTTTGCAACGCACTCTAGTACCTGCACCGTTTTATGGCGATATCTTTCTCCCACATCTTGGCGATCTTCGCTTTCACTTTGAGAATTTTTAGCTCCGTTAAATAGTGATTTCGATAGACCGTAATTTGATCTCGCGGTTTATAGAAACTCCAGAGAAGAGCGTTCGTCGTTGCATTTCGACAGCTTGCAATTTAGTCCATAGAATTGTACTCGTTTTTATCGGGTTCGTGCTTTAATTGTATATACGTGTAAAGATCTTGTACCCACTTGGCTCGTACAATTGTGTCTTGCCTGTAAAATAGCTAAAAAATGTGCTTTGTTGACAGTTGTACGTTACAGCATGAGCTTCTCCCGTTTTCTGTCCTTTGTATCTTTCATGTTTGTACGTAGAAGAACAAGGGTATGCACGTGTGTATATAATTCGGAAATTCAATAGGAAGAACGTGCATATACTGGACTGTGAGCTGTCGAATAAAGTTGACATCCGATCTTAGTGGTTCTCGTAAGTCGGAACTAATCGCGAGCCGGATTCGTTAGAAGTAGCCACTAATACGTTTGTAGCTTGCTTAGGCTTGTCAATTGTACAACTTGTACACCCGTTTCTATCTCCTCTTGCACCGAACGAGCCCCTAAAGGTCTCCTGGCTCTTCGAAAAAGCTCAAATAAATTCTCAGGCGTCGACTGGAAGTCCCTCACCATTCCTGCGTGTCTGCCCATCACCACGGATTATTTTCCGGACAAGAGGAGCCTGCAAAACGACTACGTTGTGTCCGATTACAACCTTCTACCCGATGACGTTAATGCCGACTTTGCCCAGCAACGAGCGATCTACAGGAAGCCCCTGACAACGGCCGAGGTGTTCAAGGAACTCGTGTCCCAGCGACTGGCGCAGGTTTTCAAAGGATTTCTCTTTGGAATCATTTTTTCCTTATTCGTTTTAATCCAAGAAGTAAGAGGAATTTTTTCAGGGATTCCAATTGATAATACTGCCACCGAACGATAAGAACCAGGCTGCGACGCCTGGCAGCAACACCGTGCCACCGATCAGCTCGGTAATGAGAGGAAGACAGGCCGAATCGGAGCCCCGAGAGGAATATTTCTTGAGCATCGGAAGGATCTTTCATAAAATTTCTCTGTGCGGTAATTGCATCACGGTAACGCGGTACAGGCCCCGGTGAGTACCCGTTCCGTAAAATCCGAAAATTTCACGACGCTCTTGCTGGATCTAGAATATATGAAAAATGCTCTTAGGGAGAGAATTTTTCTGAGATCTTTCGCTTTCGTCCAGGCACCCTTATCCACCGTTCAACATTCATTATCGCTATCGATTCCACGCACCCCATCACGACACTTACGAGGTTTCCTGGGTTTCTTTTACTACGGAAAAGCTGGAGAATTACAACTGGAATTATTTGGACCACTACATCTGCACCAGGGGAGACACGGACTTCGCTCTGGTCGAGGTTAGCGATCGACGAGTTATCCGTTCGTTTGTTAATTAATTTACTCGACCGCTGTAACTAGCTGTCGTATTATCGTCGATCATCGTCATCAGGCTTTGAAGTACTGGAGGTTTCGGGTGTTCCTGTTGCCTCTGCACAATTCGGCGACTCGCAGGATCCTGGAGGAGTCCCCGAGATGCGACATTTACACGCCACCCACGGCAGCGGAGCGGGCGACCCTGATGGACGGGTTTCTGCGCTTCATCGAGGTCTGGCTGAACAAGATCCGTCGTCCGAACCCGAACAAGAGTTGGGTGAGTGATTCCCTCCCGCCTCGGCGAGGGAAGGGAAACGAGAAACGCGACGCACCCCGAGTATTCATGGTCACGAATGAAGGGGACGTTGATTGGCAAAACGGGCGCAGGATTTGACAGAGAACGCGCGAACCTAGAGAAAACGAAAAAGAGGAGAAAAGGTACCCCGCCTCGAGTCCTTCGTTCTTCGCCATAATTACGTACCGCCGCGCGGATCACAGCGTGTCGCACCTTGCACCGAATGTTCCTAGACGATCGAGAGAAGTCGAGAAGACCGCGACGTAACGCCGGGCCTGCATGTCGCCACTTAACGTCACGTAACGTCACCCTTCCAAGTATAACGAGCAACGCGATCGAGTCGCGACCTCCACCAGTAGTCTTTGGTTTTGCCGCTTGAACTGCCTCCAGTGAACCCTCGCTCGGTCTTGCCTTCCCCGTTTCGCCCTGGAGTCGGGACGCCGGGGAAGAGGACACGCCTCCGGAGGGAAAAGAGGGACTCGGCCGGGGCCTCGCGCGAGACTCGGCCGAGTCGCTTCGGCCAGGATCTCGGGCTGAAAAGGGGGAAACGGTCTTCAGCGCGATGTGTTTCAGAGCCCGACTGCTCCGGGCGGAGTTTCGCCGAGAGACCCCGGCTCTCACCTGACCAGGCGCAGGCACAGCACCGGTTTAATGTTCCTCGCCAACCAGGTACACACCCTGCCCTCGGGAGCGCCAATTCGGGCCGAGCTTCCGTCGTCGCGACCTTCGCGTCTTCTTCCTCGCCGCGACCTCCTCCCTCTTCGGTCAAGGCGAACGCACCCCCTCGACGTCCTCGCTCTCGCTCTTTTCTTCCCTACCTTGCACCCAGTCTTGCGCAACCGCTTCGCTGCAAGTGTACCAAGGCAGAGGCGAAGCCCTCTCCGGGGACCTTCGAAGGCCTTCGTTTTTTGCGATTCTTCGACTCGCGTTTTGGAGCGCGTCGAGGAGGTCTTCGAGGCCTCGCGGAAGCGGAACGTCCGGACGTTATCGCCCCTCGCCTCCGGTGGTCGGGGATTCCTTCGACGGTCGAGGTGGCTTCTGGCTCGGCCACCCCCAGGACTCGGCTAAATCTTCCTCCTGATTTCCAGACGAGTCTGGTCGGCAGCTCTCCCTTCAGGGAGCGACTCGGGAGCAACCGACTTCCTGAGAGACCACGGCCAAGGTTCGACCCGCATCCGGAGCCAATCCGGAGCCAATCCGGAGCCGAGATATCGCCTTTCTTCCGCTGGCGTCTGCACCGTATCCCTGGGCTTTTGTCCGTGGTTTTGGAAGATCCCTGCTACCCTCCAAAATTCCCCTCGACCCCCTGACCCTCCCGATTTGGTGTCGGTAGTCGATGTGTTTACCCTTAGCTCGATGGCTCTCTCTTCCCCGCTGTTTGCTGCACTCTGGACGAGCGCAACGTCCACGGATCGATTTCGTAGCTATTTCTCACTCTCTCTCTCTCTCTCTCGGGACCCCTTGATTTTTCGTTTTTCTTTAATGCCTCTCGAGGGACGCGGTACGTCCCCTTTTCTCGACTCGTCGAGGAAAGAGAACGGACGAGAGTGGTCCTTTGCGCGTCCTTCGAGGGGCCCCGCGTCCTCGACGCGGAGCATTCGCACGATTTTACATTTTTTATGGACAGTTTCGACGAGGGCACCGACGGGTGCCTTCGTTTTTTCTCGACTTCCGTGAGAATGCTCCGTGGACCGAGGCGAGATTTACCTAGGCGTGTTGGCAGGGCGTGAGCGAGTGACGAGGTCTTCTGTACAGGAGAAGCATGCGGCTGCGACTATCCGCACGTCCCTCGACACTCCTCGCCACCTGCCTAACAGGTTGGTCTTTTAATTTCCTTACTTAACGCCCCCGGTTCCCTTCGGGGAAGCAGGGCAGAGGACGAGCCCCTAAACCGAGGCCGCAGAACTGGCAACATTTTTTTTATTAATTGTCCGAAAGAGAAATTCACGTAGGAATTTTTTTCCGTTCGCCTTCCAGACGACGTCCTGGACGGCGAGCTTCCCGATCGGGGCTCGTCCTCCCTGACCCGCGAAGGCAAGAGTTTTTTCTTCCGCTGTGAATGCCTTGATCTCTCTAGCCCTCGAGTAGCTTGCACCTTCAGAGACTTTGCCTTCTCCGCTTGACCCTTTCGATGCATCGTGACTATTTCCCCTAGTTTGGTATCCGGTCGAATTTTTTTACCGAGTTGCGGTCCTTGCGGCAGGTCCGGGTCGAAGGTCATGGACAGAGGGAGAGTGTCCCCTGCCAGCGAGGCCGTGCTTCCTCTGGCCCTGGAACAGCAGCAGCAGGATCACCTGGAGACTAACGAGGAAAGGTGTGATGATTTTATTTAAGCGATGCCCGCGTATTGGTATAGTTTTTTTTTTTTTTACGTGATATTCGTGGGTAATCGATTAAATGTTTCCAGCGCGCATCCCGAGGTGACGAAGCTGAAGAGCAACGCCTCCAGCTCCGAGATCCTGGAAGCCATGAAGCACCCCCAAACGGGGGTAGGGTTCCTCACGCAGCATCCCTCCGTTCCTAGTCAGACCTTCATCAGCGCCGACGCGGTGCAATGGCTGAACGATCACATCGAGGGTGGAATTTCCATAGAGAGCGCCATAAACGTCATGAAGGTGGGCCAACTGCCTCCGGAAAGAGTCTCGAAAGACGTTAGACGCGACTCATAAATTTCTCGCAGGGGATGATCCAGGAGAAGCTGATTTGCCACGCTTCCGGAGACTTCTCGAAGCCGTTCATCCTGGGATTTTACCTCTATCACGTGGTGCAGGACAAAGAGGGCCAGAAGGGTAAAATTTGAAGGAGGGGTTTCCGAGGAATCGACCGTTCAGCGTCCTCTTCCAGGTGGAGACTACTCGCCACCCTTGGGGGATCTGCAGAGCTTCGAGAACGAGTGGGTCGAGGTCGAGACGAAGGCACCGAAGGGCTGGTGCGAGCCGAACGCGCCGACGATCTTGCCCTCGGTCTCTTCCCCGATCTCCATTCCGAGCTGCGACCCCGTCGACGAGTCCGACGTGCCGGCGTTCCTCCGGGACGACCTGGAGACGGGCGGCTCCACGGATGAGAGAGACTGGAGGGGTCCGTTGATTATCCTAGGTTTTGTCGGGACACTAAAGGAGAGGCTTTGATCGTGGCTTCTTCTTCTTCTTCAGGGCCGCCGTACAAGCACACTCATCTGGACATCGACATCAACAACAAGAGCGACAGGATCGAGTGGGGCCATCTGAGGTATCAGTCGCTCTTCAAAGCGGACCATTCCTACGAGCTGGTGGTCCAGTGGGTCGCAGCCTCGGGTAGCATCGTCGCGGATCTCGTAACGAAATTTTTCCTCTTCGAGTTCGCGAGAAACCGAGGTTCCCCCTTAATCTCTAGGATTCCGCGTTCGTAGATCTTCGTCTGGCAGCGCAAGGCGCAGATGTGCGGCATCCAGATGATCCCCATCCCCAGCGACTTGTTGGCCCTGCCGTTCACCCTGAAGAGCGACCCTCTCAGAGGCCCCATATTCATCCCCTTGAACACCGAGTGCCTGATGGCCAACAAGCAGTACCTCTTCGAGGGTGGGTTTAGATTGCACCTGGTGGAAAGGCGTTCCGCGGATTGGCTCAGCGGAGACCTCGTGTTGCAGAGTTCCGAGAGGACACCTACGCCCAGAGGCTCTTCCTCTTCCAGGAAGCCATTCTCCAGAGGTTCGGCTTCGTGCCTTGCCTCGTCGAGTGCAACGAGAACGACCACCAGTACGTCCACATTACCGGGAACGCTTTTATTCTCGTGCCCTCCACCACTTGTCCGAGACCGCGACCCAGAACGGGAACCAACGTCGTCAGGAGGAGCACCGGGCAGAAAAGGTACCCCGTACATCCGGATCAGCCCAGTCCCCACGAAGCGTACATCACCAGGCACGTCAGTGGGAAGAACAAGGACGACTACAGCATGGACAGGAGGGTAGGACCTATCAATTTCCTCGGGCGTCCTCGAATCGGTTGCCGAGGATCCCTCAAAAAATATTCCTCTTCGTTTCAGATGGGTTTCCTCTGGTCCTGGAACCACATGCTCAGTCGGAAGTGGAAGTCGCTGTCCACCTCCGCCGGGGACGAGCTCTTCCAGAAGAAGCTCATCCAGGATTTCCGGCACTTTTGCTCCAATGGAGATAACAGGTTGAAAATATTTTGGGAGTCTTGCTGGGAACTGAAGGAGAGGTCTTGCACGCGAACGAAAGCGTGAAATGGTGTCTAGTTTCTAGCTGCATCGAGGCGCGTCGAAAACTTGATTTTATAAATATGTTAATGCTTTCGTTTTTTGTACAGAATTTATGCAGAAACGCATATAGAGGGAATATAAGACAGAGCGTCAAATTTAAAGCTTTATATTTCCTCGTGTAGAAAAGGATCTATACCCTAGGACGATAAAATACGAAATGAACGCTGTGCAGTGGGTTAAAAGGTAAAAACAAAGTGTAATAAATAACTGGCGCGTACACGACCAACTCGGCGGCTTTTACCGCAAGTCGTGGAACTTCCCGCCGAAAAAAAATTCTTCCTGAGCAATCGTCGTCCGCATTTCCTTAGTTAGTAGTTTTCTTTTCTTCTCTGGGGCATCCTTGTGGAGCAGCTTATTTCAGCTTTAGGTACCGAATCGATGCGCGATTTGCGATCCTCTTCGTCGAACTCTTGTCTTTTACCCGCTTTACTTCTTTGTACGGTTTATTACAAAATTACGAAGACTTACTTCTACGAGTGGACCCATGGTGTGGTAATAATAGAGAATATAATTAATTTATAAATCATAAATTGGGCCGCCTCAAAAACCACTTTGCGACGGTGGCGTAGCAAAATATTTTTTCTTCCTCATGAAAGGACGGCTGTGAACATACGGATATAAAAATAATGTCAGTCCTGGAATGTAGAAATAATGTAGGGCGAAGGATGCGGTCTTACCTCGAGCCCAACGGAGTGTTAAAAAATCCTCGAGATACGGTTCTCTTCAGAAGAGACTCGGTTGACGGAGTGTGTCTCAGTTCTCCTGCTTTCGGAGTGCCAATGCCATTCAGGCTCTCGGGGTTGACAAAATTAGCCCAGTAGTCCGAAGGGATTTTTAACAAGCTCTCCACGATCTGCAGAGTCGAAGGAATTTTTTCGGATAGAAAATTAAGTCGGATGTCCCGCTAAAATAAATGAGAAAAACTCACAGCCACTTGGCTCTTCGTTTCACTCAGCATCGAGGTGGGGGTCGGCTCCTGACAGCTGTATCCTACCAGAGTGGGACCGAACACTTTGGCCAGATTGCTTATCGGCATCTTGCACTCCGGAGTGCTCGACACCCTTTGCAAGTGCAAGATCAGGAAGGCAAGTGTGTCTCGATTCGGCTGCGGAAGCTCGGATATCGCTTGATAAAGCGCGGCATCCGCATCCTGTTTGTCCTCGATCGTTGTGGCTCTGGCGAAATCGGCCCAGAGACCAACGGTGATAAGAGGCTCTCGAAGGGTCCTAAAATTCGTGACCGTCGAGTCAAATGTCGAATTTTTTTGCGACGAGTTAAGAGGAAGGTGAACGACTACCTGAGGAAATCTTTCAAAGTCGAGCAAATTGTGGGAATGTCGATTTCTGAGAGATTAGGCGCACCCTTGCCCTTCAGGAATTTTTCTTTCAGAGATTTCACCTCCGCGGAGCCCCCGTTTACTCTGTACAATCCTTGCTCGTTCAGTCCTCTCAATTCTACCTCGTTGATGCAGTGGACTACCAAGGACGGTACCATGGGTGGAATCATTGGGGTGTAATCCGCAATGGTGCCCTACGAATTGTTCAACAATTGTACTTTCATCTCTTGCAAAGAAATCCGTTAATCCGAAGGATTCGGTCAGGATTTAAGGCAATTCCGTACGTACAGCTGCACCTCGCAGAGTAGGTGTATTTCCTGTTGGTACGCAAGGAAGCGGTACCAAATCCTTACATTCTGCATGGGTCGTTGCTCTGCAATCTCTGCATTTAAGGGCTGCCTTGCCGAATCTTATTCTATAAATAGTAGAAATAGGAAAATTAGCTCATTGTTAAATGTAATAAAATTTACGCGTTTTCTTTACCTTTTACCACATGGAGTACATATTTCTGGCTTGATCACAGTTTTCGCGGTAAAACTGTGGCCCCTCGATGTTTTCGTGTGAAAAGTATAGCCTCCGATGTTTGGACTCGGCTTGAACACTCCTTCCGACTCGGAACCAGATGTCAGGATGTCAGCTTTAGGTGCCGAAGGCTAAAAATGAGAAAATTATTTAAAAAATGTTACCTTGGAAAAATAATTAAAATACCTACAATGATGTTGATTGGATCGTCGTCTACGTTGTTTATGTTTATTTCTGCCAACTTGGATCGGCTGCGATCTCCGCTCTTGTGTCTTTTCCTTGGACTACGATGAGGAGAATGGGGATTCTTGTTTTCATCTCCAGGAATCGCCTCTATTACAGAGGATGCCGTTATGGTCCCTTCTTTAGGTACGATCACCGTAGTCGTGGCTACTAATCTATCCGAAGTATTCAGCTCGGTCACTTTCTGAGTATTGCTTCTTCTCTTTTTAGCTGAATACTCGCCACTGGGCCTATGTTCCTTCCATTCCCTTTTCTTTTGGACATGATGAAGAATGATACTCGTGTCTAAGTCATCTTCCGATTTTGAGAAGCAACTCATATCGCTTAAAATGGAACCGGTGGAGTCCAGCTCCGCTATAGTATTCAGCCTGTAAACGATCTCAAATTAGATAAGCATTCCAGGAAAGTAAAAAAATAGGATAAATGTCTGCTCGTGTTACTTCTCGGTATATGGATCCTTTATGTTGGGATTACTATGACGACCGTTCAAAGTAGTGTTATTTAAAAACTGCAACTTCTCTCTAGTTTCATCATTTAGATTCCTTCCTCCGTCGTTGAACAACAAATCCCTGGCAAGTGCTATTTGTCGCTCCTGTAAAATTACACCGATTAAAGCAATCCTAGTCTTCAAAGTCCTAGTCTCAAAAAATACATTTTCTTGCATTTCTCTTACAAGAGAATTCCTTTGCTCCTCTGCTATGCGCCGTTTTCTCTTCTCCTCGTCCAGTAACCTCCTGGCATGGCTCAGCTTCCTGTCGAGATCGGCTGCTTCCAGATGTGCCTTCTCTAGGCTGGAATGTAGCCGCTGACACTCTTGTACCGATGCCAACCATTTCTGTCGTACTTCCTCTTGGTTTATAGCAAAGCGAAGAAACTCTGCTCAAAGTAAAACAAAACAAAATAGTAAAATTCAATGGACCAAACATGTTAGAGTAAAATATAATATTCTCCGCACCTTCTTCGCAGGATCCATTGACAAGGACGTTCGTGCATCGCACGAGCTCGTCGTGAGTCGCCAGCACCGATAGCGACGCGGTCATTTTTATTAAAATTGTTTAAAGTAACTTTAGAAACAACCAGCGGATGCACTTCTCACTCCAAAACGCTTCCGTTCCAAATTTCTTAGATTAGTCGCAAAGATGAATACGGAATTTTTAGATTTTCAATTCTCGGACATCCTCCTCTTTACTTGCAATTAATTATGCGTCTTCGTACCACTTGGATTCATGTTAACGGATTTTTTCAATTTGACGATACCCGACAATACAAAATGCCGCGTCGGAGAAATCGCGGCAGTTTGTCGCCACACGCTGCTAATCGGCAGAAACGCCTCTTTGCAGTCTAATTTAAACCGACCAACCAGCAGCCCGCTCCCGTGGAAAGAACGGAAACTATAGGATAAATAGACAGGAAACCTACCAACCCTGACTGTAGTAGAGGGATGGATTATTTTTATGTACATGTTTTAATACGTAGAGGGCGCCGTTTCGCAATTACCTGCAAGTTACGTATCTGTGGTCAGTAGCTGCTCTCGGCTTTCTTTTCTGTCCAGATAAGTATGAGAGTTTTTTATTCAAATAATTTCTAGAGATTTATTAAGAAGTTGGAAAATGTTATCTGCGATCGTAAAAGAACACCAGAGCAAGCAAGCTGCTAGAAAAGAAAGGCAAGGTATGTCGTTACGTGCTTTCAGATTTTGGTACGATTAAGATCATTGTTTACCATTGATTTTTTTTTGTAGAACAGAAACGTAAGGAGGCGATCGAAGCTGCGAACAAGCTGACGCAAGCCCTAGTTGATCACCTTAACGTTGGGTAATTATTTTATTTTAATTTTGGATCATTTCTGTGTAGTGCTTTAAGTAAAAAAACTTTCGGGTCGTAGGGTTGCCCAGGCTTACTTAAATCAGAAGAAGTTGGATGCCGAGGCTAAACAGTTGCAACACAGTGCAACGAATTTCGCAAAGCAGACCCAGTCCTGGTTGAACTTGGTGGAATCCTTCTCGAGTGCCCTGAAGGAGATAGGCGACGCGGAGAACTGGGCCCGGAGCATCGAGGGAGACATGAGAATCATTGCCACTGCTTTAGAAAATTCTTACAAAGGTGCCTACAGAAGGATATTCCACGTAAGGAACCAATATCACGTATAAATAAATTAATTCCCTTAATCGTTTCGTTTCAGCCACCCAAGAGTCACCTGCTCCTAGCACGGCCTGAAGAACCGCTGCTCTTAAAAATGCCATGACGTTCCACAAACTTCCTTCTTGTAATCGCTTTCTTGTACTATACTAAAATAAGAAGAACAAATTAATAAATGTTAAAACAAAGAATTCCCAATATCTACGTACATGAGTAAGTACATAAAAATGATTCAGGCTCGGTCTCGTTTTGGCGCTCCTTGGAGGACACCCTACGTAATTTTAGGAACTCCCTCTTTGCGTAGAGATAGGAATAACCGAAAGAGCTCTTGATTCTAGGTGGAGAAATTCTAAGCAGGAGAGTCGAAGAGGTCACCGATCCGGATTTCGAGGTCAAAATTTCGGGGCGATGAGCCGAAGATGCGCCAACCTTTCGCTTAGGTACACGTCCGCCCACACTAGAGGGGCTATGTCGGTTGGTCCTTGACCGGTATATAAGGTAAAAATGAAAAATAATGGAGGATGCCAAGATGCGTAGAGCACTTTCACCTCCTCGGCCCGCCCTGTTGCCCGTAGCCGGAGCGAGGCGTAATAAGGATGACGCTCGAGCGCCAAGAAGAGGACTCGTTTCTTTTTTCCCCTTTCCGGCCATGGATCCACGACTCATCGGGCGCTCACAGCATGCCGGAGGAGCGTCATTGTTTGTAAATTATGGAGTTGCGAATCCGTCTCCACGTGGACCAGAAAAGACCCCAGAGAACCTCCGAGAGATCGCCATCCGCGATAAGAAGTTACGCTCGGAAGGGCCGCCGGAAATCGGGTTTCCTCCGCGATTTTATTCATCCATCCCGCCTTTAAAATGGAGCAAATTCGGGATCCTTCGCCACCGCGTCATCTTCCTGTCAACCTTTTCCCCCATAAGTTAGCTGAAAATTATTCCGCTGGCATTACCAGGAGAAGAGAGGCGCCGATTGCGATCTGCTTTACGAAGACACCGTTCATTGTTTCGTGGAAGTGCCGGGAAATAAATGCCAGAGATGTACCGCGGCGTCTGGAGGAACGAGAGATGGTCATCGATTGCTCCCCCCATGAATTAACGTGCCATCTATTTTTTGGTAATTTTATTTTTTAAATAAGAGGGAGAGCGATTCCGAGGTGCGTGCCTAGGTGCGCCGGCAGCTCTGCATTATTTTTCCATTTTTTCAGGCGCAACCAAAGAGTCGGCTTTCACTCTCCAGGGGAGAGACGAAAAGATCCTCTTCGGCGTGCATTGTTCTGCTCCTAAGATCGACTCTTTCGCACGTGTCCGGATGATTCACGAGAACGTCTCCTTGAACTATGACTCCCCGTTAGTTGGACACGTATTAATAAGTTGCGGCCAAACACTCCCATCTACTAAAAGTCAAAACCGGTAGTACCCGGTAGTCCCTCCACCTGGCAGTGGATTCATCGCCATCCTCCACGAGGAAGTTTTTAAAATAATCAAAATCCTGACGCTCCCTGACGTTTCTTTGATCAAGGGGAAATAAAATAGACCAGGTCCGTGCAGAAGTCTTTGTTATATGTACGTATTACAAATCGGTATGGTCATTAATCACAGATTAACGGCGGCGCAGAGAGGCCGGAAGAAAAGGAGGCGAACTGGCACGAGAAATGACGAAGAAGAGGGAATTCCATTCCATTGATCTTCTGATTCATAGTCTACGGGATATCGAGGCAAGTATTCCTCCTACTCGTTTCTCGTGCAAATTCACGCTGGGAATCTCGTTTTCAGGGATGAACGAAGGACGGGCGACTAAAATCTGCGGAAGTTGTTGCCGTAAGTGGGATAAGATGGCCGGTAAGGCCTGTTGTCCTGGTCGTAGGAGTTGTCGTTCCTGGGCGGATTAGCGGCTAAGGCGCGACGAATGGCCTCAGGAATTGGCGGTGGAGTCGGCAGATGAGCGCCCTGAGGACGGAATCCGTTTTCGTCCGCGATGTATTGCACCGAGATCGGCGTTCCATCGGGAGCCGTGTACGAGTATTGCCCTTGGACCACCTGGGAAAAAATCAACCGACAGGTTATTCCGCTCTCTAATTTTCACCCTCTTCCGAGGACTCCCGGAATCGACGAAGAGCTCCCGTTCAAGATGAACGGTTCTAATTATATTGATTTATTTTAAATTGGCTTTTACCTCGGCTTGACCCTCAGGAGCGGCTTTGGGAGTCCCGGTCTCGGAGGCTGAGATTCCGTTTTCGGTCTCGTAACTCCAGCTGTAGGAGCCATCGGGGGAGATGTCTTGATACTGACTGCGGATCTTTATCTGGGGACCCCTGGGACCGCTGTTTAAAAATTTTAAACGGTATACTGAATCGTGAGAGAACGGTAATTTAAATATATCGAAGCATGCTCGATCGTATCATCGCCTTGGGAAGAGTGAATGATTTCACCGCTAGTCACTTAAATACCTTGAGTTAATATCATTAATAGGGAAATCATGCTAAATCCCGTCACACCCCTGGAAAATTTGAATAAGACCTTTCCCTCGGTTCATCCATCAAAAATTACAATGAGTCCTTTATTCTCCCACTTCCTACAGTCGACCCACCGCGTCGTAATACGGTCGTAAATCATCCCCGTAATTAGGAAAAGACGACTTTATCTCGCCGAGTATCTACACGGGAAGCTAACAATGTGACGCGAGTGGACATATCGAACCTCGCCCACGCACCAGTTTTGCATAAATAATATGCGAGGAACGGAAAAATAATTATGCAAGAGTCGGCCGAGCGCTCTCGGCGAAGGCGTCGATGACCAGTCGGACATAGTTGCCATAAATCAAACGCGATGAAAAGAAAAATGACAAATTGCAAATTTTTATTTTCTGTTATGAGCATTTAAGAAGTTCTCCTACCTGTACTGGGGCTGATACTGCGGTTGCTGGAACTGCGGTCTCGTGGTCTGCGGCAAAGCGTTCTGATTAGGGAATCCTCGGAATCCTCCGTACTGTCCAAGGGCGCAGCCCACCACGGCGAGAAGGACGATCTGCAAAGACACACCCCTTTGAGAAAAATCCTGGACCGCGAAGATCCAAGTCAAAGAGGTATCGAGAACCCGCGAAAAAAATTCAACCCTTAGTGGACGGATTTATGAAGTAATGCCTATTTTGAATTTTCTTCCAGAACCCTGGGTGTACAGTGCACTCACTACGAAATACATCACGCTGATTTGCCACGGACTCGGTGGACTCGATCGGATCAGATGGAATCTGCGCCCTGAAGACGAGCACTCCCGGCATTTATACGAAAACGCCCAGATCTTTCCCTTCCATTCTCGTAATTCTGCATTTGCGCGCTCGCCTTTAGGCGCACGAATGCCGTGCGGTCGCTTGCTCACATCCACACGCGTGAAAAAGAGGTTCGGTTAGAGGATACAGCCTCTGGGAGTTCGTGGAAGGCCAGTCGCAGGCTATGTGTGCGTGAGAAGAGGACGATACGGAGCGGTTTTCCCGCTTACGAGGCCGGGGGATCGCTCGAGAGTCGGTTTCGTCGGTGGAAGAAGCGTCCTCGAGATGAACGACGATTGTTCGAGGTGAAGCGAGGTCGATAGGTCCTCCGCTTTGGGTTTTAGAGGCCCTGGAAGCTGAAGTATAGACCGGAACAGCTGATCGCTGTCCGCCATCTTGGCCCCGCGGTGCCCGGAGTGCTCGTCGCCTCCGCGACGCAAAGTCGTCGATATTTTTAGAAATACCATTTTTTTAATGGAAGTTTCATTTTGTCGAATCTTCGTTATTTTAATCCGCGTTCGGTTTCAGGGAAATTATAGGAGTAATTTTAATAACGCGGCGGGACGGGAGGACGACTCTTGCGGAGACCTCAACGAGTGGGTGTGTCCGTTTCGCGAAATGTCAGTCGAGGTGGTAGTCCGCGATTTATTACCGCTAATGATTGCACGGAGCCGTGACAAGGACTCTTGCTCGACCAGTGATGTTCCTTAATATGCGTTCATCCTAAAAGACCGCCACGCTCGCTCACAATTTGCACTTGGACAGGCCGATCATTATTTCCCGCGATTACGTGCCTCTGAAACATTCCCCGTAATCCGCTTACAAGGCGCGATCATTGGGAAAGTCGCGTTAAATACCTCGTTGACACTAAAGATCGGTAAACCGTCATCGACCCCTCTAAAAAATTCTCGACTGCCTCGTTGAGTTCTCATGACCCAAAGTCTACCCTCCGACCTGGGAGGTCGTTCCTCGGTCGTCTTAACTTTTTTCTCGCGGAGAGTCACGGCGGTTGCTCGTTCCTAAAAAAATTATGCAAACGGCCGCCCGTCCATTGTCTCCGGGTTTCCGAGACCGGATTTTTGAGCTGGAACTGCCCTTCCTCAAAATGCCAACGACCGACGAATGGAAGCCGACTAAATAACCGTCGATCCTCGGACGTGGAGGTGACGAACGTGTAATTAGCTCGTGATGGCAGTCCGAGATGTGAAATTACTGAACGCGAATTCGAGGCTTTCCGTGGCAGCGCTTATGGAGCGCGTCTTCAAAGGATATCGCCCTAAGGCTCCCCCTTTATTTTCATTTCTATCCAATGGAACGTGATAATTGCAGGTTGACCGAGCCTGCGAGGAAAAGTTAATCCGCCAGAAAAAAGGGAGGCTGGTTGCGCAAATCTCATCCGAGGGAATTTTCTCGGACTCGGGAGCCTTGATCCCGCGGTCGATATTCCTTCCTATCCAAAAAGCGCGACGAGGCAGAGGAAATTATTCGAGGAGCGGCGAACGAGGTACTCTCATTTTTTATCGTTGCCTGACGTAGGGCACGATGCTCCCTGAATTTTTGTCCGAGTTCTTGTTTCAGGTGTCCGCCTTTTCGGTGCCGAAGCAGGAAGAAAATGGTAAAAGGTGCGGTTCGCTCCACGTGGCGGGCCCAGATCTGGCGAGCTCCAGATCTCGGTGCGGCGAGAACCTAAGAGTTACTTGAACCCGGCCTGACCTTTCTGGTTTTATTAGCCACGTCGACTTAGGTATGCCTCGTCATCTTCGCAGCCTACAAAGACGCGGATCGCATACCTTCGGGGTCCTCCCGGCGAGATATCCTCTCCGAGAATTATGCAAACCGCGATCCTGGCCCCGGAGGTTAGGGAACTACCGACTTCCAATTGCGCCCCTGCGTTTTCTCGAGGCATATTGGATCGAGAAAACGCCCCGAGGAGGCTGCGGCTCGTTTGTCAATTATCGGGCCCACGTCCAGCGAAGATAAGGATTCCTCCCGTTTGACGGGAGGGCAAGCGAGTGCCCGGTGATAGAGACGTTCGCTGCCCCGAGACAAGACCTCCGGGTTGATTTACGCCTCGCATTATTCCTGCGTTTATTTCCTTCGAGTAGAAGCGGCGACTCCCCGCTATCTCGTGGCAGGTGCATCGATCTCGAGTGCCGCCACTTCCTTTGTCTTCTCATCTAGAAACGAGGACGTCAATGATAACTCTTTCTTTTTCAGGGAATGTCTGCCCGGCCCCGTGCGAACCGTGACGTAGCTCGTTCCACCCAACGTCCCACCCAACGCTGCGTAGTGGCGCAAATGCCGATCGATGGCTCGCAGAGTCGATTCCAGCCAGAAGGAAATTTCTCCCGAAATTGAAGCGGAAAGACGGCGGGCGGAAAAAATGTACCGGTCCGGAGAAAAATCTAGCTTCGAGTTTCGGTAATTAATTTTGCGTTGGGCCAGGTCAGCAGGGCAGTCGGGAGAATCCTCTCTATCTCGCCATTCTCGTTTTTTATCCGCCAGTGTTAATCGGGCACAGGTGGATCCTATCGCCGATATAGGAGCGATAGAGGTCGCCGGCCACTTTCCATCCTGCGTCGCGGTCGGCCAAGGAAAGGAAGGGCTACTTAACCCCGCCATTTAACGTCCCAACGAGACCACGGGTGAAATAATAAAAATCATTTTGCATACAATCGCGCGACTCGCGAAACCGCGTCCTCGCCACGCACGGAGGCCCATTGGCCAAGGCTCGGAAACCCCGAAAATCGTTTATCGTTCACGAAAATGGAGCATCGAGTCGTCGCGGGATTTATTGGGAAATTGTATCCCGCGACTTTACGTCGTCCTCGCCGAAGAAACGCCGTTTCTCCGTGGGATTAATTATCCAAGAATTTCCTATTTGCCGGCGAGAGACTTCAATTAACTCTCCCTTACGGATAATTTACACTTTAGATTGAGAATCGCCTCTCGTCGGGGGAACGATTTCAAGGGAAAATTTCTCGCGGGTTTCCCGTGGGTGTTGCGCGCCCCTTATCGACTTATTAACGTTAATTGCGAGCATTCTATAAATTCGACAATTAACATCGCCCGCGTGCACCACGTCTCGGGACGCGCGAGGAGTTACGTAAGCGCTAAAGAAGAGCGATGATTTGCTTTCACTGGCTCACCTTTAGCGGCGATATTACGATTACCGTTTGACTTAATACGCTTCTGGCATTTCGAGTTGTCAGCTGAAAATCCCGCCGCCTCGCCGCTTTCCCGCAAACTCGAGATCAATGGCAAGAGCCTCGAAAACCCTGGCCAATGAAATAAAAAAGCGTCTAACGAGGGATAATAAATGGCGGTGCAGCATTAATAAATCGGCGATTAATTTTCAGAGTCGAGCTCGTCGGACGGAATGAAACGACACTCGGATAAATTGGAGTCACGTCGCGGAGTCACCTTTAGTGGCGATGTTACGATTAACGTCCGACTTAATGTTATCCTGGCATTTCGAGTTGTCATTCAAGAGTCTACGAGTCTCGGCCTCCCGACGAATCGCGACGAAAATTAATAATACTTTTCCCTTTTATCACGCGGATCGATCGTTGTGATTTTTTTTTTCTCCGGAATTTCCTAACTGGGCGCAGCTACGATTTATCAGGGGGCAAAGAGACGCGTCGAAGGCGTAATGCTTAATTCAGGATTGGCGTTAATAAATCGGGACGTAATATCCTCGTTTAACTTTGCAGGACGGTTGGCACCTCGATGTATGGCGGGTCACGCAGCCGCCGCCTCATAGGACGCGAATACATTAATTTATCGAACGAGTTGCGTAAACCCCGTATCTGCGTTTGCAGAATTTCAAATCTCGGACAAGAAAGTTGCGATAAGCGGCGATCGATCCTACCCAAAAGCGCCGCTGATCGCTGTTGGTTTCTTGGACGGTTCGCCCCGATGAAGAAAATCGTAAAAATATCACGAAAGAAGGGTTAACGAAAACGAAGCAACGCTAATTTCTGGAACTTCTCGTCGAGAAGAACGCAGAGGTTATCTTTATTGTCGTATGATCTCGCCGCCGCTGTACAGAGTCGAACGGAGAGTCGAAAGCGTTATTCGGTTTGCCGCGTCCGCTGGACGGACGCCATCTTAAATCTCGGACGGCCACCCCGCGGTTTCCCAGCTCGGGAAATCGGAAGAATACCGCGAAAGGGATGCCGGGAGGTCGCGATGAGATGTCATTCTGCCGGGTTTTCCGGCTCGGCGAGACCCTAGAACCTCCTGTACGGAACGCCATTGTCTTCTTCCGGATGGGCAGCATTGTAGGCCAAGGATCTTTGAATCGCAGGAGGAATCGGCGGCGGCGTCGGAAGGTGGGCTCCGCTCGGGTGGAACCCGTTTTCGTCGGCGATGTATGTCACCGTGATCGGAGTGCCATCCGGAGCCGTGTAGCTGTACTGTCCTCTCACGACCTCGCCCTGTCCGGCCACCCCTAGGTTGGTCGGCTGTCCTTGCTCCGCCACCGAAATTCCGTTCTCCGTGTCGTAACTGCAAAGGTAAAAATTCCTCCAATAATTAGACCTCTATTTTTTCTCCGACGTTTCTAATTATTCAGGACGCAGAAAAGAGGGAGCTGGAATTTCTGAAAGGGTAGCCGGCACCCCTAGGAACGAGAAACGATGAGAGACGCGGTCGCCCCGGAACCAGAGGTCTCGTTCGAGGAAGCATCGGGATCGGAGGCGCGAAAGGAAGTGCATCGTTTCCGCCGAGAAGTGACGAGACGTTTAGATCGAAAGACAGTTAAAGTAGCCTGAGTTAATAGGCAATCAGCCGGCGGGATCAGCTCCACTGACGGCAGGTAGCTGTAATTGAGATTTATTGTCTTAATGTCAAGTGGCGTCTAAGCGTCAGTCGAGGCGCGCCTTGGCTTTCCAGGACAGAAGTCGGTACTTGCCAGTCGATGATGTCGCCACCTCGAGCCTCCCGACTCGATAATCTCGAAGAAAATACGTTCTTCGATGTCTCTACAAAATTTGCCAAAGACGAAGAAATTAATTTACCGCGTCTTATATTTTTCAGGGAAATTCGACGCCGGCGAGGACGAGGAGGAAGAGACTGGGAACGGAGATAATCGAGAAAGGGCGAGTGAAAAGATCCCTACGAAGTGAGTTTCGAGGCGTTGTTAAGCAGGTAGGTCAATCGTAATTGGTGTATTGCGCAACGCATTATGCCAAGCCATACGGCTACGTAGATATAATGTCGACGATTAACATCGGCGTTAATTATCCTGCCTTGCGTCGACCATTGTTGGCGATGGCGAGAGCACGCGTGCTCGGTATCGTGGACCGTTGTAAAATTGTCCAATTGTCGATTTTTTCTTTGACCAGGGCCATTGCCGTTGAAATAAAAAAGAAACGGCAAGAATTAAAAATGAAGAAAATATCGTCCCATTTCGCGTTTGAAATCGATTCACTCAACCGAAAGGTTGCTCACGCAAACGCCAGTAGATCAATATCTGAGGAAATTAGCGTGCCTCCTGTCAGCCATTGTCGGGATCTCGACACGATGAACGCCGAGTTTCTGGAGAATCCACTGTTAATGGATTCCGCAATGATTTAGGGTCAAGACGTCCGGAAACTCTTATGTCTCTCCTAGGAGCGTCGCCAATAAATTCACCGATAATAGGAAAAATTAAAATGGAAGATAACTCGGAGGAATAAATCAATCTTCGCCTTCTTCGTATTTCCCGGAAAGGAAGTCATCGACTAGAATTCGGAGGCATAACGGAAAGTTTCTTTAAGGTCTCTAATGGCGGCAGGATGGACAAGCGAAGATGAATGTTGCGAAATGAGTTGCAACAGACTCCATGAAACGCGACAAAGGGGGTATTACGGCAAAGTAATGGGGATTAGTGTTTAGGAGTTTCAGTTTTGCTAACGATTGGTTTTACGGGCTACGCGAAACGGGGTATCGAAGGTGCGCCGGGAGAGACTCTAACCTGAAATCGCGCTCCACGAATGTCGAGTTAAAAAATAGAAAGGACGGATTTTTCGGTCCGGGAAAAATATCCTAGATAGATTCGATCATGGACCAGCTGCGTCCATTTTAGTTTGGCCTCTCTTGCTTCGTACAAGCCCGAGAATAATTATTTCCTCCTCGGGCTCGCGCGCGTATTTCGACTGACACACTTTTCACGCACCATTCACCCCGGCTACATCTTCTCGTCACGCGACCTACGTGTACTCGTTGCACAATTTAATCCCCCGTCAAAGAGACCCCGACATCCGCGGGAGAAATTATTCTGGGCGATAAATTTTGTAGAAAAAAAAATTGGCGATACCGATTTGGGCGATTTTTTTTTTTAGGATTAGGTCTTGGATTATTTACGCTAATTACTATGTCTTGTATCTTTCTTGTCTCTTTAAGTTTACCTGAAGGTGTACGAGCCGTCCGGCGAGGAGTCTTGCGTCTGGCGAAGAATGGCGAACCGGCGTCCATAGTAATCAGGATACTGCGGATATCTGTTCAACTGGGCTTGAACGACCGTCACGATACCAAGCACGGCGATCTGTCGGCAATACGATGAAAGGTTTCGGTCATCATTCTACGAACAACCCAATTTAAGCCCCTCGACCCCGAGGAGAGCACTCACGAGTATCTTCATGGTTGGCGGGGTTGCACTTCGGCGCGGAGACTCGAACGCCTGGAGGATGAGATCTCTTCCTTCTTCAATTCTGCCAAGAGGGGCGCGAATCTGCGGTGATTATCGATTACTGGCCAGAGTCCAACGTGGTCCTCGGTACAGGAAAGAGTACCTTCTGGCTTGGTACCTCCTTCGGAATTTATAGTACTCGCCACTCTTCTTGCGCGTCTTCTTCGGCAAGGAGGAGGAGGGGAGTCCTTCGGAAGGACTCGCCGAGTCTTTTTCCAAGTGGGACGAGCGCGAGTCCGGGTGGTGGGTTAGGCGAGAACACGCGTCTGGGTGCATCCGCGATATAAAGTCGTCAGGTGATCCAGCGTCGATCGATCGGTTATGGATTGGTTATGGATCGTCTTAGGGCGTGTTCCTTTCACCGATGCAATTCTGCCCGCCGCGATCGAAGATCGATCGAGGTCCTTGCGACATCCCGATGACGCAGATCGTCTCTTTGTGCGCGCCCTCCGAGTTTCGGTCCCTTTTTCTACGCTCGCTAGGACTCTAATTTCGGGAGTTCATCAGGAATCCGCGAAAGACACCTTGGCGGTGATAACGAGAAAGATGCTTATCCTCGGTAACCACCTCCATTGTGTTTTCCTGAGAAAATCCATGCAAGGTCCGCTCTCAAGGAAGTCGAGCGACGCGTGGTGGCGATTACCGCTGCACCGGAACAAAAAAACTGTCTTACGACAAATCGTCCAAGTTCTTCGTGAAAAAAAGCCGAGGATTAATGTTTCTACATTTTGTCCGCATCCGTTTTTGACGATTTAACGATCCTGAATTTTTGGATGCCATCAGGCGACTCCAAGGGACGACAAGGGTCGTCCAAGGAGTTTTCCAGCGGGAGGAATGCTCGTTTCCGGAGGACAAAGGGAACGATATAGGTGTGTCCTGGACAATGGCGCCTTGACATTAAAAAGCCGTTTCCTCGCGAAGAAGAGACTTCGGAGCGACTTCGGGCGGGGTGGGGTCTAGGTGGGTAAGCGTCTTCAAGGTGCAACCTAACCTCCCAGCAATGCCGAAGACCGTTTCCCAAGAGTGGAGTGCCCACCCTCGGATCGGCATTCATCATCTCGAGCCGCTTTTAAGAGCCCCGCGAACTTCTTCTCTCTTCGGCCGCGATCATCCGAGCCGATTAACGATCGACCCGAGTCGACCATAACGCGGACCTAAGACCGATCTTAGAGCCATAATTCAGCCGTTTTTACGGCCTCGACTAACTTTAATTAATCCCGGCCGAGCGTGATCCTAAACGCTCGTAAAGACCCCGGCCGATTCCCTGGTTTGCGCAAATTTCCCTCCGCCGTCGTCCATTTTCGATTTTCCGATTTCTCTTCGATATCCGATGCCTCGCAAAACTCGTCTTCGATAGAAATTAGCCGAAGTAAATTTTCGAAAGGCTAGAATCGATTTCGGTAGAAAGCGCGTCGGCGGAAACTCTGGAGATTTCAATGCCTCGAAGTGACGTCGGTTCGTCCTTCGACGGGGTAGGTTGGGAAACTTCGTGCCCCCGCGATAGGGACTTCGATTTCGTAGCGACGTACTTTAGCTTCTTTCGAATAACAATGGTACAGGAGTTATGGTCGATTCGCGATGTAGGTTGAAAATTACAGGCTACTCCCTGAGCGCCTTTCCTAACTCGCAGATTCCCATCGTCTCGCGGTGGTCTTTGCTATCAAGAGTCCGGTATCTACGACCATTTCGGATCGCAAACCACGCGACCGGTTTCGACAATATCCTCGGCTTTAAAAAGGGAACATCGTAATCTCCCTCTCGGTTTTATTATCCCCCATATTCCCGGATCGCGAGGTTGCTTTCGCTTAACGTGCAACGAATCCGCGATGAATCCGCAACGAATACGCAACGCCGCGTGGGTTGCGACTGTTCAGGAATTTTCAATAAAAAAAAAAAAATGCCTCCAAGCATTTCCGACCTTTTCGCAATTTTCTTCCAGGCGGGGATAGACCTCGGGAGAGCGGGTTTACTTTTAAAAATTGTTTATTTGCAAAAGTTGTGGTTCTTGCTTGCAGAATCGCAAAGCACGTCGCGCTGTACAGAGGATCGAAAGTAGAGCCGAAAGTCCAAGTCCTTTCGAGGGATTCCTCGAAGGATTCCTCGACGGAGAGGCCTCCTCTCCTTATGAATCACGTCCTGACGTTAATAACCGAGGAGAATATGAATTAAGTCCCATCCACGATGGGAAGAACGAGGAATCGAGCCATCGGCGCGAATCGCTCGCGCCATCGATCTTCCATCCCCGATCGCCGCGGAAAGGACACATCGGCGAACGGCAATTATCCAAAACCAACAATAAATCGATCCTGGCTAATCGTTGATCGGGGTCCCCTGTACCCTTTCACGATCCCGATCCGGGACCGATCGTCTCCGGTGAGAGGAGATCCAGCTTCCAGGTGATCTCTCGCTTTCGTCGGCTGGACTATCGATGGCGAATCGATTAATTGATGTCTCTTATCCAGGTGCTATCTGGAATGAGGGATTCGGAGCGCCTGGTTCTCGGGGATCTCGCCTCGCGTCACGATTGACTCGAATTTTGCTCCTGAACTGCCACAAGGGGTTCGTCGTCGTCCGCAAGTATTCACCCCCGGAATCCCTCGCGACGTCCTTGGACTTGTCGATGCCTTCTTTCGATTCCTGGTCGGTAAGTTTATTCCTTGAATTCTAGGGAGCCTTAGAACTGGCGGTGGCGTTGCTGCGTGGCGGGTTCCTCGGCCTGGGGATGAGCGGCGTTGAACTCGAGGGACCTCAGGATGGCCTCGGGTACCGGAGGAGCGACCGGGAGGTGCTCGCCCTGGGGCTGGAATCCGTTCTCGTCGGCGACGTAGCTGACGGAGATCGGAGTTCCATCGGGAGCCGTGTACTGGTACTGGCCCTGGGCGGCTACAGCTGGTTCCCCGTCAGGTCCAGCTGGCTGGGGAGATCCGGACTCGGAAACCGCGATTCCGTTCTCCGTCTCGTAGCTGAAGTTGTAGGAACCCTCGGGAGAGATGTCCTGGGCCTGGCGCAGGATCGCGATCGGGGGCTGGCCCGAGGCCGGGACTTGTCCGTATTGGGCGAAAGCCACTGCCAGCACGGCCATGGATACGATCTGTTCGATGAAATATCGATTTAAAAAGTGCTCTTCAAATTATTTTATCAGCCATTTCATTCCGACCGACTATGTTTAGCTCGTGTATTCCGAAACTTTCGGCGAAACTTCGAAATTTCGCGGAGGTAAAGCAGAAGAAAATTGTTCTTGTACCGAGACTCGACGAGTCTCTCGAGACGAGAAGCCGTCTTCGACGCGAATTGACTATTAATTATCGTTTCCGTGTTTATCGCAATTATGAGAATCCGTTCTTGAGCCGTCAAAAGAGTCATGACGGTCTGAATAGTAGAGGCATTACCTACTCGCGAAGTAATCGAAGATGCGCGTATAATAAATAAATGCGCAACGAGCTCGGCTCCTCGCGAGGATTACCCGGGTTACATGTAGACTGTAAATTGGTGGTCGATTACTCCTTCCGAGTACGTGCAAAGCGCGTAAGTAAATTGCGTTACCGCAATTACCGCACCCCCGAGTGAGGAAACGTTTAAGCAACTCCCGCGTCGTCAAAAGGAGATACTAAAAATCTCGTAAAGGCACCCAAGGTAATTGCGGTAATTACAAGAAGGGCTCACCGGAGAGAAGATATGCGCGAGATAAAATTAGGCCGACGAGCTCCCTCTTAGGAAAAATTGCCGATCGATTTATATCCAAAAAGGTCGAAATATAATCTCACCGCGTGGAGGACTATCGGGTACGTGAAAAATGAGTTTAAACTATTTTCTTTTTGTCGAGTTTACTCACGAGGAACTTCATCTTGCAGGCGAGGAGAAAAGGCTGCGGGATCACCGGGAGAGACTCGAAAATCGTTCGACTTTTGGCACTTGATTGGTAATTCGGCAGGCCGGGCCAGACATTTATGGAGGCTGGAGGCCCGACCCCACTTTTTTCGATGGACCGACCGAGGGGGACGGGAAAACGGCCCGAAAAAAGGAGACGATGCCGGCGAAATTCGGAGGAAGAGTCCCACCGAAGGTGCCATCTCTCCTAGCTTGACCTTTCCACCGAACCGATCGGTTATACAATCGTTCGGATCGATCCGATCGACCGAAAAGACCGAGATTCACCTTCCCTAAAAAATCCTTAAAATTCTTTCCAATTTTTTATATTCGATAATTCGAGGATATTAACTGATTTCAATATTAAATGATAACGAGGGTGTGGACCCTTTTCGATTTTTTCATTAATTTAAGGAGATCGCGAGATAGAATTAATCGCGAACGAGTGACGTATCGTTTGCGATCGCTGACAAATATATCGTTGCCAAATGTATGGAATAAGTTTCTTAGAGACGTTTTTATATATTTGACAGAAAAGCGGGTCTTAGCTCCTACAAAAAATTCCATCCCTCGAGGGGCTGACGCGGAATAATTAAACTCCATAATTCCACTCCGGTTTTTAATTCCATGCAAAACGATCGAGTGATTTTGCCGTGGCCTTTTCGTCAAAATCGGTTTATTATACGATCCTCTAGGATCACCTTGAGTGAGCTCTTCTCACGATCGGCCCACATGAATGGGAAGGAATGGGATGGAATGCATAAGAAATCCCGGTTACGGAATCGACGCCATTTTTTCTTTCCGTTCTTTTCCCCATTTTTATCCCGCTCTTCCTTCTTACGTCGTTCTTTTTTGCGCTCGCTCGGTTTCCTGTAGAAAAAAAGATTTCTCCGTGACCTTTCGTCAAAATCGGTTTCTTATGCAATCGACTTGGTCTTCTCACGATCGACTCGCGTCAATGGGATACTGCAAGCCGAATTTTCATACGTCTCTATTTACTCTCTATTTCACATGAAAATTTGACGTTGAAAATATTTTTCCGCGAAGAATAAAATTCGTCACCTGTTTTTAAATATTTCTGCAATTTTTCTAACTCTTTATTCACTCTATTTTGAATGGATTTTCCTACTTTTAGGATTTTCTGCAATTTCTCTGTTTTGTACAAGGAGAAATATAAAATCGGAGAATGAAAGAAAAATCGCTTATCCATAAAATTCATTTGACAAGATTCAGCGGTTAATCGGAAGACTCGTTGATCGAGGTGGCTAATTTTTTAGTAAATGTAGTTTTTTGGGTTATTTCAAGATTCTCCATGTCTTTTTTTCCCCCCAGTCTCGAGGAAGATGAATCCAGGGGCGAATCGATCGGAACGGCCGAAATTCGGAGCCGATGGCGGCCAATCACCGACCGAAGACGACTGTGGTGGTCCTTTCGAAAAAGTACACCGACGTTTTGCAATCGTCCTGTTTGGATAGAAAGTTTTTGTATAAATAGCTGAGGATTTGCGATTTGGGCAGCTCAGTCTTCAAATAACCTCCCGAGGATCAACATGAAGTTCATCGTGAGTGACTCCCCGAAAAAATCCCAAAAACCTCCCGACGATTTTTCCACCCACCCCCCGAGGGCGGACCCACAAAAAAAAAACTTCGAACATATTTATTTTTTCGAGTCCGACTTAATGGTCATTTTTTTTATATCGCGCAAAAATGGCAACGTTCCCAAGAATTTCGGAATAATTAATAGCCGGAAGCGTGGTTATATTTTATATCTCGAGAGGAGTCCTTCCTCGGAGCGAATTACGCGAGGCCGGAATATTAATCCTTGACAGATTCTAGAGAGGAGGAGACGAAGGATCAAAGGCGTGTATCCTCCACCTCGCGTGTCCCTATTAATCCCACGCGATGGCAAGGACTCGCGATCGAAGTCTTCGAGATCTGACATCAGCTGCTAAATAATCCCCGAAGACGTCGATCGGTCTATCGATAAGCGACCTCTCGTCGAGGCGTCAAATGAGAAATTGTTTTCAGATCGCATCCCTCGCCCTTGTGGCCGCGGTTTCGGGCCAGCTCCTGCAGGTGCAGCCCGGCCACGAGACGAAACCGGTGGCGATCCTTCGCCAGGCCCAGGACATCGCTCCCGAGGGAACTTATTCCTTCAGCTACGAGACCGAGAACGGGATCTTCGCCTCGGAGAGCGGCGAGCCCCAGCCCGTGGGTCCCGATGGAACCCCGGCCGTCGTCGCCAGGGGACAGTTCCATTACACGTCTCCCGATGGAACGCCCATCGCCGTGTCCTACACCGCCGACGAGAACGGCTTCCATCCCGAGGGAGAGCACCTCCCCGTGGCTCCTCCCATCCCCGAGGACATCCAGAGGTCTCTGGTCTTCAACGCTGCTCATCCCGAACCCGAGGAGACGCAGCCCAAATACGGCCGCACCTTCTAGCTCCTAGACTCCGTCTCGTCGCCTGGAAGTCGCCCTCGCATTAATTTACAATAAACTCATATTTTTATACGAAATATTTCGCTTCGAACGCGTTCCTTCGTGGTTCGCTCTAGACTTTCTGGATTTGAACTCTAGACGTTCGTGGGAATTCCACGGGTTGGACCTCTGGACGATCAATGTCACGATCGTCGTTTCCAAAGCCAGCCTAATTCCTGCACGTTTTCTCCATTTGGGAGACGACTCGATTCCCTTCCGACTTTCGGCCTTGGATCTTCACCGAGAAGGAAAATCACTCCGCGCATTCGTAATTCTCCCGTAAAATTGCGTCTCTCGTCCCCGTGGCCGTGACCTTCCGTAAAAGGGTTGGCCGAAAGACGTGACGCTTGTTAGAATTATGAAAGCGGAGCGGTTCTCCGGTCTTTGCGTGGAACGACGAGTCGCCATTTTGAATCTGGCTCGTTAGATGTTCGAGCGATCGAGACGAGTTCGTTTAAGAGTATCGCCGGTCTTTCGGTAGCCTTAATACCCAGATAGTCATCGTCATGAATATTCGCTTATTAAGGTTAGCCAATCCCAACGGACCGCGGAGTCCCCGCTCTCGAAGGAGGTCGGTCTTTCGTGGACCGCTCCCTTCGCTCGTTTTTTTTTTCATTTTTTACGTACGGCCGTGAATGTTTAAAAAATCGTTACGCGATCCAGGGAAAAAATTATTCGAAGGAACCGTCGCGACCCTGTCGCGTTCGAAAAGGAAAAAAATGTATTCCTGATGCCTGTCGGCAAATTAGCGCCTTTCCGAGTAGACTCTTCGACGAACGATCGAGAGGAAGACTCTCGGAGAGATCGGGCGGAAGCCGCAAAGTCGGGCCATAGAAGAGGAGATTTCTAGAGACGGATCCGCGCAAGAAAAGTCCCACCCATGAGCGGTGATGTCGCAATGGCATAAATTATTCGGCAATTTGGAGGCCTGCATTGCTCCATCGCGGGACCTTAAACCGTTGAGATCTCATCTCGCAGCATCCCGCTTATGTAACGAGCTCGCATAACGACATGCGTACTCCCTCTTCGGAGACCGCTCGGTCCCGCGGAAGATCCACTGACCTTTCGATTTTCGGGCCGAATGCAAGGAAAAAAGGTGAGAGAAGGTTCGATTCCTCGAAACTCCAAAAGGACCACCTCGAGGAGTCCTGGGAACCGCGTCCTGCGGCGTCGAGGTCAAGGGAATTCCGCGGGAGTCCTCCGTTCCTCCGTATGATTTTTTATCTCCCGTTTAGACCCTTCGTTTTTCTCCCTCGATTATTTCCTGCCTTTTTCGAGTTCCTTTTTGGCCAGGATATTTTTTTTTCGAGGAGCCGGATCGTCGGACGACTCGATAATCGAAACGAAAGACGCGTCCCTCGCCGTAGGGTGTTTGCTCTTCAGGAAACTCTCTACCTGGAAGTGGAGATTTCACCTGTTAACGGGAGTCCGTTTATTGCGGGAATAAGGACTCGCGGAGAAAGAGAAAGGACTTTGGCGCTCCGAAATTCTACGAGCTTAGATTCGATTCTTCAAAGTCTTCGCGCCCAAGTCGAAGAGGCGCCGAAATTGAGAATTTCGAGAGGAACCATTTCCCCCCATTTTTTCATAGCGTCGTCGGGAAGTTGTCACGCGAGTTTACACATTCGAAATCTACCGATCGCAGGTTTACGAAACCTTAGAAATTTCTCGAGACTTTCTTTCGCCCACTGGACCGATAACCTCCTAGCGATTGCCGTCAAAAGTCGTTTTCCACGGCCTTTCTCGATCCTTTCGACGAGGAACGATCCCCGACTTCCTCATTACTGTTTACAAGAGCGGATGTTTAAAGGAGGAGGATTCGACCGGAGGGTAACATTAATTAATTCCGCCTCGTCCCGGGTGAAGTGCCGAGGGCGGCCGATAAAGTGATTTTCTACAATGCCCTTTTTTACGAGCCGTGTCGTTTACACGCTCGACGTATGGTTAATTATATACGGATGCCTCGGAAAACACTAAGCGCATGCAGTTAATTCCGACGAGGCTCCGAGGAGTGGATGTGCTACAACTATAATGAACAGTCCGAGAAAAACGTACGTAGTCGATGCAATAATCGATCGGTGGTCCCAATATGCGGACCACCCGGTGTATCGCGTGATATGGCACAGTCGTACACTTCGGTTCTTCGGGAAAAAAAAAATCCTCCGAGCTAGTCCACTCATTATCCGTACAGATACGGCCGATAATGGCACGAAACCGTGCCAGGAACCGCGAGAACTCCCCGGGGGTCTCCATCGTCAATTTTTCCTGCTTCCCAAAATTGGCCATTTCGAGCCGACCTTCTTCCTCGGAGGAGAATTTCAAAGACCCGACAGAGTCGATTACTCGTATAATTGAACGCGCTTTCAATCGCAGGTAATCGGCCTGTCCGCTTTCGACATCTGTCCGAGTCCCACGTCTTCGAAACAATTAGCGCTACACCTCGAAAGGGAAAAATCGCGGAATCCTAATGATGACAACACAATGATCAGGCGCGAGCGAGAATTCCGGGATTTATGCGCGCCGTTGAAAAATCGAAGTTGTCTAATGGCGACAGCACAATGATTGGGTGCGATTGGATATTCCCGGGATTAACGGCGTGCTAAACGAGTCTGCGATTTATCACGCGGAGGTGCCGGAGAAATATACGGGGGCGACGTCGCGTCTTCGCCGGTTTACCCGCTCGTCTCGAGGAGCCGAAAGACGTCCAAACGGCAGTCCTCTCGTAATCCAGAGTAACGAGCCCGTCAAGGCCGTGGCGAACTTAATATTACCATACCTCGCCATACGTAATGCCGGGCATAATTCAATGGCGATTAATTAGCGGAGAGCGAGGCTCTACCGGTCGCGCGATTTCCGGCAACACGGAAAGAACGCACTTCAGGGTTTCCTCGGCTTTCGTTTCTCCTTTACGAGCGGAGCGCACCCCTGCCTCGCTGTATTTATGTCCGTACTTATGTTCTAATGCTGATAATACCCGAAGGCGTAAGACTCTATACCGTTGCAAACGAGATCGCCGTGTCATCGCGATTTTCCAGTCGTATTCATTAGTGTCCTTATAATTGCAGCGCGGGAACCCCGGAGCCGCCATTTTGTTTGGGTCGTCGGGTCGTTATTTAACGCCAGGCGAAAGGTTCGTGGCGATTAAGTTAAGAAACTTTATCGTGGAATGCATTTCCTCGGTTTTCTCCTTTCCAAATGCTTTCGTGGACTCTTGTGACGCGAGATACCAGCCGAGGGATCGGTTTAGTCGCGCCATTTGCATTTGCGCTTTCTGCGCTTTATCCCGGGAAATGGCGGAGGTGTCGGTGGGAATGTAAAGGCGACAGGGTCGATCCGTTGGCACGCCAGGCGTTCGGCGAAGGCATTCATAATCCCGACACCGCTCGTCCCGTCATCGTGATGTAAATCGTCGCTGAATCATCCACGTGTGTTCTAGCTGCTCAAGTAGCGTGGAAACACTCGGACCGTTGCGACTTCGAGCAGCCATCGGCGATGCCGACGATGTGTGCCGATCTACGAGCACCGGCCCGCCCAGAATGCTACTCGAACAATGGACAACGACTTCCTACACTTCGACTTGCAGTCGCTATTTAGTCCACACACGCCGTACGGTTCGACACGTTAATTTGTAACGATCGGACTTACCCTTTCGTATGTACTCGAGAGGGTCTAGAGACGCTTCTCTTGAGCCGCCGCTCGCAGTTGATGCCAGTTTTGATCCAATTTTTGAGCGAAATAGTTCAAATTTTCAATACCTTACCTTTTATGAGTTGGAATAAATTTAAATATCGGTTCTTATCCGTTAGGCTGAGACGAGAACAATGTCATTTACCCCGTGAATATTTAATTTCGCACTTATGGGGGTAGCGGCGCCCCTTGCGTCGAATGCTGGAACCTTGATCACAAATTTTCTTACCATCCGTACATGAGCTCTTATTCACGCCGTGATGGAACTAGCGCCAGTCGGTAATACAAAACCGAACTTTACGTAAATGTTCAAATGCAAGTGTTACTGGAATATCGAGGTCTCCCACGCTTTAAAATTAGTTTTAAAATTACGAAGAAATCCTCGTGTGCTCTTTGAACGATTTTTCTCACCTCAAGGATATGGTTCAACTTTTCGCCGCGTCGGCGGTGAAGTTTCGCTTTGCGCTGGGCGGTCGCCGGTCTACGGACGGTTCGCGCATCGTGACGAATATCTATGGCCGCCTCGTCCGGAGAGTGCACGTTCTGTTTTCCTCCGATTAGTTTTACGTTCCTCGGCATCACGCGGGTGAAACGCGTCGCGGCCGATTCCATCCGGTGAGTGGCTCCTTCAGGAAATTCCTCGGCGGAGGCACGCCGCCTGACCGTTCCCCGAGACCCCGAAACCGTCGCGGCTCGACACATCGACTCTCGTGCTCGGACGTACCCCGCGGCCGGCGATTTGTTTTACCAAGGAGCTCGTAGTCGCCGCCTGGCATTTTCGCAAGGAAATCCTGGAAGGCCTTTGGCGGAACTTCGTCGACGCTCTTTGTGTCCAACGATCAAAACGCTTCCTAGGGCAAAATGCCTCGACAACCGAACCTGCCACGCTAGCGACACACTTTACCGTCTTAGAATTTGTTGTGCACACCCTCCATGGTTATATTTTTCATTCTTACTTAGTAGACACTTTGGACAAGGCTGAGATTTGTAAACCGAACGGATGCAGTAGGTAGCATAGAAGCCGGGGCGGTGTCCAGGTGTCGATAGACTCTACGCTACCTGTGACCGTAAGAGCTTCTCGAATAGCCAAGGTTTAATAGCATTTGTCGCGGCGTGGCATACTCGATTATCCGAGAGCCGTGTACCGATTTATTTGTATTAAGCTTTATTTTTGTTTACTATGGAAAAGGTGAAAGACTGTAAAAGTAGATCTTGGAAAATCTGTAAAAACTAGCCAGGCAGGTAGGGTTATGTCGAGGTATCATAGGACTTTACGTTATTTGTAGTTACTAGGAGCGGTTGAACTCCCGTTACATGGAGTTTGATTCGTGCTGGAAAGAGCAAAGCCTTGTCGAGGCTGGCACGATTATTTGCGTAGAGATTAATTCTGGTTTTGAGAGTTTGTCAGTAATTATGAAATTTCTGGAGATTAACTACAGTTATATCAAAGATCACCGTGAAGTTAAAACGGTTTACAAAAAATCAGCTCGAGATATGCTTGGGTCAATGATTAGGTCAGAGTTATCGGTGGGAGATAAACAGGTCTCCGAGTACCAAACATTTAAGATCTTAACAAATAATGACTTTTTTTTTCAACCTTAATGTATATCTCATAAATGATTACTAGTACATACTGCTTATTTTTTTACCTGTGGTAGCGACCAGAAAATGTTGGAGCCTTCCAATATCTTTGATAGGAATTTATTTAATAATAGCTGCCCGAAAACTGGGCTTTCCCTGGTGAATATATATTTTGAGTTGGGAGTATTAATAGCACTGCATGACGTTATGCTCCAACATTTTGACAGATGCCAAAGGAAAATATTCAGCTTACTCCTTTAAAAAAATTTTTTTAGGTAAATTCTTGTAACTCTAATTTAATTACATAGAAGAAATAATTGTTTCACATGGGTTAAACTATTACTATATGAGAGGAAAGCAACAAATAACGGAGATTATTTAATTTAGCTTGATTTTTGTTATTAATCAGAATTTAATATTTTCGATGCAGCATCGCGGGGCCGATAGCAGTAGCCATAGCAATAGAGGCAAATCCGTGATGGAGAAGAGCGCGGACAGTTTATTGTTTCGCGCGGAGAGGAACAATGGAGCCGATGACACGGCGATGAGCATCGTCGGGGTAGACGAACGTGTCGCTATCCTGGACGCTGGCGCCCAATATGGAAAGGTGATAGACCGTAAAGTCCGAGAACTCAGCGTTCACAGTGAGATCTTGCCTCTCGACACACCTGCATTTACCTTAAAGGAAAAAGGCTACAAGTAATTGGATACCATTGTTTTTCAAAACCTATCCAATGTGCATTATTTGACATCAAACCTTAAAATTATCCATTCTCTCAGAGCGATCATCATCTCCGGAGGACCAAGTTCGGTTTATGCAGAGGATGCCCCGCGGTACGATGCCGATATTTTTCGAATAGGCATTCCTGTGTTAGGAATCTGCTATGGCATGCAAATGATGAACAAAGAGTTCGGAGGCACCGTGATACGAAAAGAGGGCCGAGAGGATGGACAATTCCCTATCGAGATAGATCCCAAGTGCCTTCTCTTCAAGTAAGTCTCCAATTGATATATTAACCATTCAGTGGTTTATTTTGTGACTTTGCGAAATTGCAAGTGGATAACGTTAAACATTACTCAGGGGCTTGGAGAAAGATCAGATGGTCCTGCTGACCCACGGCGACAGTATAGACAGGGTCGCAGACTGCTTTCGCACCACTGCCAAGTCGTCAAATTTTATCGCGGGTATCGCCAGCGATAAAATGAACCTCTACGGAGTGCAATTCCACCCCGAAGTGGACCTTACCCTGAACGGGAAAGCGATGCTGCATAATTTCCTCTTCGGCGTCGCAGGCCTTACGGGGAACTACACCCTCCGAGGCCGCGAGGACCAGTGCATCCAATACATCAGAGATACCGTTGGCAGCAACAAAGTCTTGGTACCGAATAGCATTACTTTTATTGGTTCGACTCCAACAACCTCAAATTTTCCTTCGCCACGAAGAAATCGTAGAACTCCTAAAGACTTCGTAGCTTAAATAATAACAAGCAAACCGTTTCAGCTGCTGGTGAGCGGGGGTGTGGACTCGACGGTGTGCGCGGCGCTGCTGCACAAGGCCCTGAGCAAGGAGCAGGTGGTAGCCCTGCACATCGACAACGGATTCATGCGCAAAGGAGAGACTCCGTTCGTGGAGCAGAGCTTGGCTCAGCTGGGGATCAAGCTGAGGGTTGTCAAGGCCGCGCACAGCTTCATGCAGGGCACGACGACGGTGCCGATGGACACGGTGGTGCCCGCGAGCAACGCCAACGCCGCGAACAACAAGGGCGTCAGCGTCACCGGGGGTCCGAGGACCAGGCTGACAAAGATGCTGTGCGCGACCACGCAGCCCGAGGAGAAGCGCAAGATCATCGGGGATGTGTTCGTTAGGGTGGCCAACGAGGCCATGACCGAGATGGGCCTGAGGCCCGAGGAGGTCTTCCTGGGCCAGGGCACCCTCAGGCCCGACCTCATCGAGAGCGCCAGCTCCATGGCCAGCGGTTGGTTTCTTTGAATTCTCTCGCGTGCCGCGCTAGACGTCGGTCGAAGGTTAATCCGTCTCTCCGATCGTTGCTCGTTCATCAGGTAAGGCCGACGCGATAAAGACGCACCACAACGACAGCGAGCTCGTCAGGCAGCTGCGGGCCCAGAGACGGGTGGTGGAGCCCTTAAAGGACTTCCATAAGGACGAAGTCAGACAGCTGGGATGCGATCTCGGGTTACCGGCTCCTCTGGTCGCGCGTCATCCCTTTCCCGGTCCGGGACTCGCGATACGCATCCTCTGCGCGGACGAGCCCTACATGGACAAGGACTTCTCGGAAACGCAGGTTGGACCCAAAAGAGAGAGAGAGAGAACCGTGTTTCGAGCCGAGGGCCGGGCGGTCTCGATCCAACTAATCGCCGGCGTTTCCTCTCCAGGTGATAGTCAAAATAATGGCGGAGTACGAGCAAATGCTACAGAAGAAGCACGCACTCTTGAATCGGGTGGAAGGCGCCACCAGCGAGAACGAGCGACAGCATCTCCGGCGGGTGTCGAGTCACCGTCATCTGGCCGCGACGCTTCTTCCGGTTCGCAGCGTCGGGGTCCAGGTACTTTTGGCGGATTCGACGAGAACCTCCGCGGGGTAGTCGCCCTCGGGGCGGAAAGTTAACGTAGAAGCGTTTTTCAGGGCGACCGGAGGAGTTACAGTTACGTGGTGAGTCTATCCACCGAGGAGACCGCCACGGAGGGCGTCGTCTGGGAGGACATGATGTTCCTGGCCAGACTCATCCCCAGAGTCTGCCACAACGTAAACCGCGTGTGCTACGTCTTCGGGCCGATGGTCCAACACCCGGTGACGGACATCACCCCGACCCACCTCACCTCCAATGTGATCGCCACCCTGAGGCAGGCCGACCACCTAGCCAACCAGGTCCTGGCGTCCAACGGTTGCATGGGGGCCATCAGTCAGATGCCGGTCATCCTGATCCCGGTGCACTTCGACCGGGACGCCGCTTCCAGGGCTCCCTCGTGCCAGAGATCGGTCGTCCTCAGGCCGTTCTGCTCTCGCGACTTCATGACCGGCACCCCGGCGATTCCTGGCAACGAGCTGCCACTCCATGTAAGTGGCCCCCTTCCTCGGTCGAGGCGGGACGGAGGACTAACGAAGACGCTCGTTTTTTCAGGTGGTGAAGAAAATGGCAGCGGAGATACTGACGGTGCCCGGAATTTCGCGCGTTCTTTACGACCTGACGTCGAAACCGCCGGGCACCACCGAATGGGAGTAGTGAACCCTTTCCAGCCTCGTTACTCGGCCCTTTCTATATTTTTTCACCATCCTTGCGCGTAAACGACTACGAAGGAAAAGTAAAAGCAAGACAACAAAAACAAACTATATTTAAAAAATATATATAGATATATATATATATATATTACAAAAAGACGTACCAATGCGAGGCCTATGACTTCTTGAACCAGACCGCGGGATCGCCCTTGATGAGGCGATATTCGTTCTCTCCGTCTTTACTTTTTTTTTTTTTCGTTAAAATCTTGGAAATTCGAGATCTTTCGCATCTTTTTTCTTTCCCTCGCGTTTCGCTGGAAAGTCCGAGAGAGAGAAAAATAGCATACCCGGAAAAGTTGTAGACGAGAAGTTCCCGAGCCCCGGCATTCGTACGCGCACGAGTCGCGCCTAGGAACCGCGAAGCAAATTAACGGAAAGGGGGAAAAAATGTGTTCGATAAAGGCCGACGAAGGTAAGTATATCACGTTTGCTTGTAAATACGTTCTCATTGGTTATAGCCCCGACGCTCTGTAAAGATACGAGTACATAATATTAATTTATAACTATTGTAGGGAGCTCCTCGAGGGTCGTCTCGCTCGAGCACTCGGGACTCCGGATGCCGAATCGATCGACCGAGGCAGTCGCCGAACGGTCGGAATGATATTATTCTCTTCGCGAGATTTCCAGACGGAAGGGAGTGGCGGAAACGAACCTTGGAGTCCGGTCGATAAGGCATCCCGGAGTTTTGAGATGGCCGAGTGCCCGGTCGCCTACTTTGCATAACCCCGTGGATCCGCGAGGTAGAAGACGAAGGTCGCATTGTACCAACCGAGAGCACGGGACATAGTTAAATAGTTTATTTTCGCTGCGACGAGATAGGGAAACGCGCGCTGTAAAAATATGAATACATAATTTAGGGGAGAGACGTCCCCGAAGACCAACGCCGAAACTCTCTGCCTGCGAACCCGTGAACCGAGGTGCGCCTCGTAGGTACGTAGGTAGAGGAAGGAAACGGATGAGTGGCGTGTAAATGAAGACGGGAGAATCAGGAGAGAGGAAGTAAGCAAAGGGAACGGCGAGGACAGGGTCGAAGGATTGGCTGGGAGAGACGATTCCGCGGAACCGGGCGGGCTTTAGGAAAGGGGTGGGAACGATGGAAAATATTTACGTGTTAAATTATTTAACGAACGGGCAGCTGGAAAAGAAGGGGGCAGGTTATTCGCGATGGGTATAGACGTAAGGGCGGCATTTCATTCGATTAATAGGGGAGGAGTTGCGGACGACGAAGGAGGATAAGGAGGGTAAAGAAAATATCTAGGGAAACGAAGAGTGGGGGAGGAGGCAGGGATGTCCGTTGAGCCCGGTTGTGTTTAACCTATTAATTAATTCGTTAATTTAGAGAGGAGGTTCATAGAGCGAGGTCCTCGTCGGCCAGGCACTCCCGGTGCTCGCATCTTAAATTGGGAACCATCAGCTCGCTCTTGTACTCCAGGCGCATCGAGTCCTGGACGTGGCCGACCATCTTCCTATAAGTCCGATGCCAGGGGCAGCTGCCTCTCCTGGTGACGCATCTGCAAAGAGAAACACGATTGATCTCGGGAAAGGTCGCTTTGCGATCCGCGTTTGTACATTTTTTATATTTCTATCCGTCAACCGTGGAGAAAAAAACTCGGTCGAGCTCGCGCCGCCCGATGCACTTGGCGAGGCACGCGGTCGAGTTTTTTTACGAGAATCGAAGGCGACGAATGTAAATAGAAAAAAATGTTAAATGGTTAAACGTCCTCCTGGGACATCCTTTCGAACGTAAAACTTCCTTTAAAATTGAGCCTTTCCCGGAACTGGCATGAATAATTTAACAAATTGGCAACGTTATCGTTGATTTTGTCAAGCGCCGACGAGAGACTCGAGATATTTAGCCTCTTTTCGTTGCGACGATAGGAAAAGAAAATCCTAGATAAGTAAACTTCGCATATCTGCCTCTCCGTTACACTGGGTGTGTCCCTCTTTTGCCACTTCTGACACTGTAATAGTTTTATGTCTATACATATAGATATATTATATATATAAAAATATGCATACATGTGTATTATTAAAAGGAAGTTCCACACGCAAGATGACATTTAGATGACTGACGTATATACCTGTGCATGGTTTTCAACAGGAGGTGCAGATCTTCGATACGCCTCTTTCGGGGGAGTATGCCAAGGAACTCGGCCAGAGACAGGAAGTCCACTTCGTTCACCGTCTCCGATACGGATATCCACGTCTGCACTTGGGTTTTCACCTGCAACCATTTATGCATGCATCGTAAGATCTTTTTAATTCATTTAATTCTTCCGATCCAGCGGGGTAGTTTAGAAATTGAATGGATATAGAAACCTGCTGCATCGGAAGGTCCAAGAGGTAGTTGACCAGTCTGTCGAGCATCTCTCGATGCTCATCCTGGGAGCTCTTTGGGAAGTTTAAGTCATGGGCTATTTCCATGCGTTGCGTTTCCAGTTGTCTCTTGCGGGGTTCGACGGCAACTTTATCTCCGGTAGGATTATTTTGACCTTCGTTTAAGCCCTCTTTTTCCCGATGACCTGCCTTCGGTCGACTTACCGAACCACTTTTAATCTTCTTTAAAGCCTTTGCACCCTTTGCTGGACCGCCTTTGATTTTTGGTTTTTGTCGAGTGTTCTTGTTATCCGGTTTAAATAATGTCCACACGTCGTTGGTTTTATTGGTGGTAGGTATCACTTTTTTTTCGGCATTCTTTAGCTTCGTCGCATTTTCCCTTTTCTTCGCGTGACAGTACAATTTGACGTCGTCCCTTATGTCTTCGGACAATGCGGCGAGGAATTCCGGATCGACTTGGGAGAATGACAAATTTGTCTCATCTATCTTCTGTTCTTTTTTCTTTAATTCGTTCACTTTGGAGTGCCGTGCAAGAGCTTCGGTCTCTTGAGCAGAGCTCTCCGAATCTTTGTCCTCCGAACTGGATGCACCTTCGGACTCTTGCTTCTTCGCTCGATACTCGTTCAAGATTTCGTTTCTAATGTCTTCGGGCAGTTCCACTAACACGGACATATCTATCTCTTCAACGGGCGGAAGTTTAACTTGTTTTGCTTTATTAGAATTAGGCTTTGTATGTTTAAAGTATGCCTCCTGGCTGGTTTGAATTTTCTTTGCAGGCTCTTTGCTTGCCTGTGATGGAGGCCTCGCAGCTTCTCGAGCTAATAAAATCTCATTTCTTATATCTTCTGGTAACTCGGCCAAAACGGCCTCGTCAATTTCTTCGAGAATTGAAGTCAAAGCCGACCCACCCTCCTGATTCTTCGAACTCTGGGCTCTTTCACCCTCACCCTTGTCCATATAATTGACAAGGGTTTCCTCGTGAACTTTTGGCTTCGAGATATTTTTTTCCTCGGTTCCTTTTTTATTACCATCATCGTGCCTAATTTTAAATGTATTTTCAGAGTGCGACACCTTACCCTTATTAAGGAAATTAATTAAATTGGAGCTGTTGGTTTTGCTTCGAAGCATGTCCAATCTGGAAACTTGTATCCCGATGCCACGGATGTCTTCTGGGACTTGCTGCAAATGAGTCCAAAGACCGAGAACTTCTCTGAAAATGAAAAATCAGATTTTGTTCGGTGAAGAAAGAAAATTAACGAAGCTCGCTGTAAAATAATTAACTTACTTTGTAATGATATTCACATCGTCTACAGAGGCTATAAGGTTTTTTGATCTCGTGAAATAGTAGCACAGTCCATGGCCCATAAATTTAGGAGTTTCTACCGGAGCTTCTTTAGCTCGAACCATAAGCTTCAAAGTAATGCATCGACCGGTAGCGTTGACTTTCTTCAGTCTGGTGCAAACCTCCTGTGACAGCTTCTTGAGAAACTCTTCGGCGTCATTGGCTCCTTTAAACCTTATCCCGTAATTGACTTCGGCAGAGACGGACTTCCTGACATGCTCCAAATTTAACTTAGAAACGTCTATTCCTCGACACATGTTGAACAGTACTTCACCGTTTTTCTTACCAAAATCTTTTTGCAAGCTACCCATTGAGATCTTCTGAAGGTCTTCACAATTTTTCACGCCGATAGCATTCAGCTTCTGCGTTGTCGTTGCTCCAACACCTTAATGAAGAAAAACTCTCTGATCTCTATTTATTCGCTATCTCACATAATTACTCACTATAACTGTACCTGGCAAATCTCGGACATTCAGGGTACCGATGTAGGATTGGACTTTTTCCTTCCTCAAATAAAACTGCCCATCGGGCTTTGCCTTCTTTGTAGCTAATCTGGCTTGCAACTTGTTCCCTCCGAAGCCAGTGGACACGGGGCAGCCAGTTTTTGTTTTTATTTCCTCTCTGAGCATGCTTCCAAATTCCAATGGCGTCAAACCAGTCGATACGAGCACTTTAGTGCAATCTGCATACATTTCGTCGCAACTCACTGCTTCAATATCTAATGTATAAGAAGTCACCGTATCGTAAAGAGCGTAAGCCACTTCTTTATAGCCTTCAAAATCGTATTTGATAGTTCTAAGCTGAGGGCACAGTTTCAGTGCTTGTCCTAAAAACATTCCGTTCCTAATTCCAGCCTCTCGTGCCTCGTAGGAGCAGGAAGCAACTTCAGAAAGCGAACCATACGACTCCTCGTCTTCTCCATCAATGGATTCAATGTTGGACGTTGATTTACCTTGTGGCTGTCTATTTCCTTTGGCATGTGTGACAGCTACAGGAAGTCCTTTCAATTCTGGTCTATTGCGAATACCTACAGAGACGAAGAAACAGTCCATGTCGATGTGCATGATTACCTGTCCCTGGATTTCTTCTTTTGCATCGTTCTCTGGAAGGTCTAGAGCATCGTCATCAGAGTCGGACTCTAAAGGGTTTGTTAAAACTATTTTCTTTGAACACCCTAATTGCAGTAACTTCTCCAAACCAGGAAAAGTTCCGTCGCTTTTGTCCCTCAACTCATTTATGTAGTCCTTAAAAGTTGCCCCCATTGTGGAAATGTGATGCAGGCGGGAATTGTTGTAAAACTCTGTCAGAAATTGTGGATTCTTCACACAATGGGAGTTGTCGGAACATTCTCCATTTTTTGATGGATTCAAAGAATTTTCCACAGCATGGCTGCTTTGACCGTTAACGGTCGATGGCTTCTTACTGGAGATTATTTTGCATGCATCATCAGGTACGTTGTTAACGAGTCGAGGAATGGAGGCTAATGTTTTTTTTGTTTCTGTAGAATTAAAGTTCAATACTGGTTGCAACTCCGTGTGATGAGTGTAGAGTAAATAATTCTTATAATTCAGAATTTTTCCTGCCTTGATACTGTCGACGATCCACTCTGGCTTACAGAGAGGAAGCGGATTTTTCGATTTTCTGTACATAACTATTTTAGAGTAAGGCAGATTGGAGGCGATTAAATGAGTCGTTGCTCCTGGGCGCTCATAATGATGGTAGACTCCTCCGTGTGCCATCATCAGGCGCTTCAACTCGTCTGCTGAAGGATTGGTATAGCCATTTACAAATATTGAAACTCCATTGAACAACGTCGAAGCCCCCTCGTACTCTTTATTGGCTTCCTCCAGAAACTGTTCTTGCAGCTTCGCTTTCTTTGCTGCCATATATCCACCCTAAAATAAATAACAATTAATACATGCAATTTCCTAAAACAGCACAAACTCTGATTCAACATGTGAAAGCAAAGATTCATTTCCACTACTCCGGAGTCTAATTAACACATAAGGTCCAGTATTTTCCTAAAACAGTGAAGAGGAGAACTCCCGCCAATTTCTCCGGAATGTTTAGTCCACCGATTCAACGATCGAAAATCGAGGAAATATTTAACAAGAATTTGACGAACCCAATCTTCGAAGCCATTTTGCCCCCATGCTTCGCTTTTCTTCTTTCTTGACATGGCATTATAAGAGGAAAAATTTGTTAATTTATGAAGTCAGATTCATGCTTGGAATGTTTTGACAGCTCTACAGGTTTCCATTAAACTAGGAATAGTAGGTATTCAAGATAGTCTTCCATCGTCTCTGCCGATGAATTCAGGTTGCTGTTTTACCTTCTTCTGATCTTAGCGCCTACATTCTTAACTTTGTACATAATTTTAGAATAAGTGTCTTCATACTCGATCGATCACGCAAGGAAGTACGGAAGCACGATCGTTTGACTTTGACCGTGAACAATTCTCCCAATTCATTTTACCGACTAATCCTCTTTGTTATCGGCAGCTTAAACGTTTTCCGAAATATCGCTGTACTTTGTTCGGAGTATTTTCTTCCGCCGTTTATTTATTTCATAATGAAGAAAGAACGCGTTAACGGCCAAGATTTGGCTCAACATATTGGAGAGGAAGCGATTCTACTCGGAGAAGTGAAGGAGGTTAGATGTCCGAATGTTTCAATCTTTTCCCACGATTTACATTCGAACTAGGAGGTTATGTTGTTGCCGGTTAACTTATGATACTATTACGTACTAAAATTTTGTAACATTTTTAATTTAGATAAATCCTCTGGGAAAAAGCGTACAATTAAGAGCTCCTGATGATACAATAGTGAATGTCACGCTTCCTACACCGATCAATGAATACTGCGATGGCTATTTGGAAGTCTGGGGTACGATTCAATCCAAGTCGACGATGAGCTGCTTTAGTTATGTGTTCTTCCCTCGAACAATGTTCAAGAAACATGGTAAGCCTAAATAGCGTACCTACTTTGCTTTCAGTTATCAATGGGTCATAAAGAATATATATTTTCTAGACGAGCAGCAATACACAGATCTTTTAACGGTACTTCATGTATTAGGCAACAAGAGGTGGAGAGTGTCTAGAATGTCCGAAAGCTTCTAAGTGTATTGCTTATCCATGTGAGAAATAGAATGTGCTATACAGTATTTCATCAGGCTATAACGTTTAAGATAATGTGTGACTTTATTCAGTTACATTATTGAATAATTCAGGAACATTGTGCACCTGAAATGTTTCAAATAAAAGTATATGCAAAATGAACATGATGCTTGTTTTGTGTATAAAAGTTTGATTCCAGTTTATACAATTCCAACTCCTGTGTTGCAAGAAGCATCCAATGTGAAGCATCTACAGGTACACGATGTAACTGGACACTCTGCGTGTTGTCTATAAAATTAAAATGCACATACTAATGTAATTCCAAAATTGTTCCACTTATTACATGCTTCTAAAAGAATAATTTTTACCGGAACCAGTTTGTTATGTGATTGGCGTGCCCTCCGTGCCTGCAAGTTTGACACCATGTAAACCAATTACTGAACTCTGTCAATTTACCATCGTCTTCGCTTCTACTTGCACTGCCAGAGTTTGTTTGAAACCCACTGACTGTGCCCATGTGCATTAAACAAATAGCGCAGCGAGGCAGAGGCTTCCGACAACTTGGACAGGACGTCATCTGTTGTGACAGAACAAGGCATGTTAAATCTCAAACATAAAATACTAATTTTTATATTACCTTTAATTTATTAGATGTACTGCCTAATCTACCAAATGGTCCTCTTGTCCTACTCAGACCTTGCATGTAAGCAGAGATGCTCTTGCCACAGAAATTGCAAGAGATGTACATTTGTTGCGGAGGTTTCTCGTTGGTTGACGATCTCATGATGATGTCAAAATGTGCTCGCTGGTTCCACATTTTCCAAGAATCTAGCAGAGTTCTGTAACTAAATTACACTTTCTTTATATAAATTTCAGTAATTTTGTTGCATTGTAATTCGTTTTATTTTTATACCTCTCTATCCAGACTTGAACCTGATTTTCCTGCAGAAGTTTCGGAGGCAAGGCTCGTATTGCTAACAGGCTACAGCTCTGCACATCACCGGTAATTTCCAAGTACCTGTTCAACAGTAGAATTCCCTCGAGACTAGCCCCTGAAATAATTTCAAAGGTTCTAATACCAGTTCCTGTCTCAAATTCATTTTATGTTCCTGAAGCAAGGATTGTTGAGACGCACCGGTAAGCAGGAATCCTGCCAAGTTGCCTTCATCCGTAAGTTTTTGGGTGAGCTTCTTTAGGTACTCGCATAGCTTGCCGTCCGACAGGAACATCAAGGCGAAGGCCACTCTGTCTTCGACAGCCATACCGTTCTCGTTCTATCGGAACAAGAGTTGCAAGAATCTCTAGTAATTTGAAGGAAATGTAATTATTACTTACAAGTACACCATCGTAGGAATCATTGTCAGCCGTTAAGAAGGCAAAAGTAGCTCTCAGATAGGGATCGGAGAGCTGAGATCTAGACTTCAGGCACAACTCCCTCCACATGCTGTTCCTGTCTTCGGAGAATCCAGAGAGAGCCATTGCTACGATGTTAAGGTTCGTCGATAGGGCCATCTTGTTAGCACCCCTGTTTAGGATTTCTATCGCCTGTCGCAAGCAAAGATTAAACACCGAGATCGCGGTTGCCCTTGGGTAAGCACCCTCCCTTTCGAGCCTCTCGATAAACAAGTTATTATACAAGTTAGTTTCCTTGTCGAACCGCAAGCCACACAATTGAAGTGCTTTGTCTCTGTCGATCGACCTGTAATGACAATTATGTAGACGAAGAAATTGTGGTTCTTTGACATTTAGAAATTATGTTGAACATTCGTTAATGAACTGTAATTAAAAAGAAAAAAATTAACCTGTATATCTTTGCCATGTGATTTGAGCCTATGTCAGTCCATGGTCGATGCACCAGCTCTGACTTCAAAAACCCATTCCCAGAGTTTTGCTGACCATCTAATTTCAGGACTGTCCTGTGAAAAATCTTTATCGATATATTAAATTTGATAAATACTTATAATTAATAGAAATCGGTGTTTTACCGGACACCAGGATGTTTATTTTCAGGACTTGGAATCGTGCCATCCTCTACCAATGAACGACTCGAATATAACCATTGCCATAAGTTCTTCAGCGTATCGTCTTCAGCTAGTTCTCCATTTTGAGACAGTTCGGGCTGAGAGGGAAAACGGAAGCAAAGTTTAATAAAATATTTGCTGCGCTTAAGAAGAACGCAATATACCTACCAAAAGTCCGTATTCTGCTATTGCTCTGGACTTTGTCAAGATCGATATGTCATCCAAGGCTTTATATATGTTATCACCACTGTGAATATACTTGAAGGATTTCGATGCATGATTCCATGCAAGGTGAGATCGCGCTGACCAATTTACAGTGATCCTTTCGAATACAGTATAATCAGTTAAGCCTATAAAGGTAGTTTTTCAGATTCACTTCAGAAAATGATGTACCTCTATTTTGATTTAGAAGGAAAAAAAGCAGTTTATACAAAGGTTTTGAACCTTGTTGTGATATAGCTAGAAGTCTATTAACATGCGTCGGATGCCAAGAAAAGCTCGTTGGACAGGACCAAGGTGGGGCCACCGTTCTTTCCAAAGCACCAGGCTCTGTGTCTTCTCCACCTCCGATGCCACAATGTTGGACGTCATGGAGGTGAAGCACTCCTGAATGAAAGTCATTGGTAAGTTTTGAGTAGCTGCCAACACTTTATTTGTATTTTCTCCCACATGTACCTGAATCCTTCTGTAGCGATCCTAGAAGATTGTGCCTCGTTGGACACCAAGAAACCTTTGTGACCTGTCTGCTCTGAAGTAAGGTTAAGACAGGTTTTTCAAAGTATCTCGTGTCCCATATTGTTATCTGATTCTCTACATGAGAGACCAAGTGGTAGTCGTTATGAGGATCCACCGATGTATTATACACAGCCTTTGTCGGAGTGGTATTGACCACTTTAACGGCATCTATTCAATTGAGATCCTGCCATAAAAATTCTTTTTACAGACCACAGTAAGTCTAGTATTATTGTACCTCTAAAGTCGATAATCTTCAGGTGTTTATTATTAATTCCAGCAACCAGACATCGGGGCTCATTGTTGAACCAAGCGAGCGAATGCACGGTCTCCGAGACTCCAGCCTCTGCTACCGGTCTGATGGACTCCGATTGAGCAGACCCATGATGATGCGGTCTATCGGAACCCAGAGGAAATTTCAGAACATCCCATAATAAGACGGAATGGTCTGTACGGTACTTGTCCAATCCAGAAACAATTAAATTAGGATCTACTGGATTCCAAGCGACGGCATTACACTGTCTTGCATGTTTTGGAGCTGAAATGATAAAGAAATTGAAAGTAATGCCAAAGAGCATAAAAAATCACTCACCAAACTCCTTTCCTGTAAGGCCTAGTGAATCAAAGGCTGTTGGACCAAATGTCGTTAAAACAACCTTGCCATTTGCTTGACCAACTGCCAAAAGAATGTCCGGCTCTGGCTGTGGATAAATGTCAATGCACTTGACATAATGATGACTGGTATTCGTTGCCAAAAGATGAGCGACGGTTGATTCAGAGATTTTTACACCTTTAATTGAAGTAAGTTAACTATATAAGAACATATGACATAAATTTGAGTAAAAATACCTACATGATGGTCTCACGGTTTCTTTGATTTGGGCGACTTCATACAAATATATCTCGGTGCCCCATGTTATAAACTTATTTGAGTGTATTGGAGACCACTGCACCTCCAATTTAACGCTACTCATTTTAAATTACAAAAATCTCCTCGAGTTTATAAACACAAGCATCTTTCCCGATTTATCCTTTTATCGATTCAGTTGCTTAAAGTTATCGTTTGTTAATGCTTTCACGTGAAATCTGACAAATTGTGACGATCATAACCTCGAAGCCGCCTCGACAGCAGGGACAGCAGGGGCAGCAGGGTTGGAATAAGTAAAATACCCTAGGTAATTTATTTGTCTGCATTCTCCACCGAGGGCAGCGCAGACGCAATCTCGCGACCCTGTCCGTGAGCAACTCCCAACTCAGCTTTGACTCTCATCTTCTCTCCACTCGTACTCTATGCATATGCGTTGCTCGTTAACGGAGCGGAAGAAATAGGAAGGAATCAGAAATCAACAGAAGGAACGGAGCAGGGAACGAGTTGCTGGAAAGGGGAAGGGCCACGGGGACCACGAAAATGGCCGAGGAAAGTAAGAGCTGGATTTTAACTCCTCGTACTCTGTACGAGTTGGGAATCGAAGCAGTGGTTGACAATTTCCATCGTGTAAAGGAATGTTGGACTCGCCTCCCCGACAGTGTGCTCTTCGATGTGCTCTCCAAGGTAACGAAGTATGATTTTCCTCATTTCTGGATTACGGGTGAATCTTGATCTAGAAGCAGTAACGGATCGTAAGATTGACAAATTCTAGGAAACCGTTTCTCGTTCGTAGTAGACTATAAGCGAACGTTAAGAGTCGGTAATTACCTTTTTTTGATTTGATGTTAGCAATGCATACTATTTTTAGCTGCACGCTTGGAGAGAATTTAAACTTCTTGGAAATGCACTAAGCAATTTTGAGATGTTCTCCAAATTACTAAAGGTGTCGGACCAGCGAGTGCGTCTCTTGGTGCTTTTCCAGGTATGTCGAGGTTAAAGTAGCGTCAAGGTACCTTTAAACAAAGAATAACATATTTTGGGTTCTCAAGACGGTCCTGGTCGATGGAATGGAGATCAACAAGGAACTGGAGGTTGGTTACGGATCGTATTGCTTCATGGTCGAGATTAATCCTTCGATTCGAGACAAGGTGATAAATCTTGGCTTGAAACTAGGCAAATTCTTGAGCGACGCTGGTTGTTACGTGGAAAGCGAATCGGTATTACTCAACTGCAAGGATCTTTGTATGGCAGAGGCTCACACTCCACAAGATTGGTGCCGAGTATTGGATTGTTGCCACAAGTGAGTTCGACTCGTCTTACCTCTCCAGGCTTTATCCATGCTCGCGATTTTTATTTCCGATGCCTCTATGCATACGTTATAGATTGTTGCACACGCAGTCGGCGTACTGTGAACTGGATCGGGCAGCCGAAACGTACAAGCTCGCACTCCTGATGATATCGAGGTTGACGAACGAAGGGTACACCGACGTCAACCATGCTGGGCTTTACACCGAATTTAGCGTTCTGTTCTTCATCAGAAGTGAATTCAATGAGGCGTACAAGTTGGTTCATTCCCACCGGGTACGTAAGCCAAGTCGATGCATCGGGCTAACGCTTGGTCCGTATCTCCAGGTGGAGCGTCGAAGCTATGAAACATCTCAAGCCGACTCTGCCAGCAAACATCATAGTCGATGTTTTTCGTCAGGCTGGGAAAGCTTGCATCGTTAAACGAGAATTTCAAAGAGCAGGGTTACTAATTCAACAGGCTTCGTATCTTGCTAGGCAAGTCTTTGGACCCCACCATCTCAAATACAGCGATGCCCTCGTCGACTACGGGTTTTACTTATTGAACTATGACAGCTTCGTGGACAGCGTTTCGGTATACGAGGTGGGTGTCGTTTCGGCTTCGTCGTAAGGATCTTTGGTAGCCTTTGACTCTTGCCCTTATCCACGATCTCTCCACCAGGAAGCTTTGCAGATCAGGAGAAAAATATTCGGCAGACTCAGTCTTCACATTGCTACCGTGCACGAAGAATTGGCTTACGCCCTTTACGTCCAAGACTACGTTACCGGTAAATTCCAAGAAGCCAGGTGAGCAATCGATAGGCTCGTCTCTGAACGAGACAAGTTCAGAGTTCCTCGTTCCGCAGACTTCACGCGGAGATAGCCATCAAGATCATGGAGATGCTGCTGCCGAACAACCACTTCCTCCTGGCCAGTGCAAAGAGAATAAAGGCTCTGATCCTCGAGGAGATCGCTTTGGATACCGGGGCCACTCCGATGTCCGGACAGAACTTGCTGCTCGAAGCCGAGTCGCTGCATCTGTCGGCTTTGAAATTAACCGAATCCGTCTTCGGCAAGGAGAACGTCCTGACCGCGAAGCACTACGGCAATTTGGGTCGTCTCTACCAGAGCATGCAAAGATACAAGGTAACTCTTCGGTATCGTCTCCGTCATTCCAAACACCGAGATAAATGTACTTAAATTTTTCCTTCTTTCCCAGCAAGCGGAAGAGATGCACTTGACGGCAATTAACATAAAGGAGGCCCTTTTAGGTCCGGACGACTTGGAAGTGGGTCTGAGCATAGGTCACCTCGCCTCGCTCTACACCTATCACCTGGATCGACACCTGTGTGCCGAGAAGCTGTACTTCCGCAGCATAGAAATCAGTAAGTGGACCTACAGCTCGACCTAGTCCGTAGGAACCGCTTTGGAGCGAGAATTTCGGAGACGATGGTCTTTGACAGATATTAGGTTGTTCGGAGAGAGCTACAGCGGACTGGAGTACGACTACCAGGGATTGCTGCGCGTGTACACGGTGTTGCATCGAACCGACAAGCAGATGGAGTACACGGAGATCCTCAACCGTTGGCGCAGGCTCAGGGAAAATCGCATCCTCCTGGAGGATCACGAGCTGGACTTGGAGAAGGACCCTGACCCCGTCGACGCGGTCATCCAGAAGTTCTTCAACATGTAACGCAGCGGTAGTGTTGGACGTTGGGTCGCGAAAGGATATTCAGGGAGCACTCGGAGCGATCTCCGGGAGCTTTCATTGTACATACGAAGAACGTTTGCCGGGCCTTGGCTACCAGAGTGGACTCGGATTCTCTCTCTCCGAAGGATGTACTCCGACGAAGTGTGTGAGAAAATGTTCACGATTGAGGGATTCACTCGGATCCGAGCAATACTCGACTCGAGCGGGTTTAAGATAAGAGAGTCATCGCGCGATACGAAATTTTGTCCTTTGCACACAGTGTACTTGTTATTTCGTACGGAATCCGTTCGACCGCTACGAGGCATTTTTCTTACGCGTTCGCATCGCGTCTTGGAAAAGTGCCACTCCGAAAAGGGAAAAGGGTAAAAATCGTGGTCGAAGTTACGGAATCCGCGTAGCTGTGAATCTCGGCAAATGAACAGCGCGTGTTCCGTAATTTTTTAAGGTTTATGTTTGTAAAAAGCGAAATAAATACTTCAAAAATGATCAGAGTTCCACTTTTACGCGTACCGCGAAGTCGTTGAGAATACTGGTCCCGAACATCTTGAAAAACATAGACCTGGACGCGAACTCGCGCCAAGTGACTTATTCGCGCTACACTCAAAGACTTTAATCGCATTAAATTACAGTTAAACGTTAAGTGGTACACAATTCGTATTTACAGGATATATATATATATATACTCTATGCGTCATCTCACCCAGCTGTCAATTAATAGGAATCTGAACTATTCTCGTCTCTTTGCGCCCTATAATTTTTTACCTAGCGATGCCTCTAGCATTTCCGAAGGTTAGGAGCATCCGCCTTGGAGCGCGCAACACCTCGCAGGACCTGTCAAACTCGTTAACTTCCTCCGGCCTTCGCTGTCTTCGAAGAAGTATATACAGAATTTGTAAATCGGCTACCTAGTCTACAACTCCCATCGAAGAGGTTCCAATGAGTAGAGTCCGCGGAACCACTCCCAGAGGATATTGCACGTCTTACCGAGCCAAGCCGGACACGTCGAGCCCCAAATTGGAGAGAGGTCGATTAGTCCGGAGTGTGCGGCAGCATGTGGCTGAAGTAGGGAGCAGTGTTGGGCACCAGAAGCGTGTGACAGACGTCGCAGACCTTCGACGGTCTCTGCTTCGGTCCGCTCTTGACTACGTGGGTGAGGCAAGCCGAGCAAAAGACTTGGCCGCAGTGTCGACAGTGGACCTGCCGATAAAACCCACCATTGGACGACCGGGCGGTACTTCTACCTCTGCATTATATACAACTCGTCGCGATACAACGATATAACCTTTTTCTTGACCATGGTGAAGGCAGAGTGGCAGTTCGGACAATCCTCGACATCTTCCTCGTGCTGCCATCGCACCTCGCTGCCGTTCTCGCGAATTTTTTCCAACTGGATCTTTAAAAGAACGCGATGAATCGGTAATGGATGCTGGGAAGGGTTAAAGCGTAATCCAAAGAGACGATCGTGGCTGGCCGCGTACCTGCAACGACTGGGAAAGACGAACAAAGTCCTTCTGCACCTCTTCGCTGTTTTGCAGCTCCTGCTGAAGGCTCGTCATTCTCTGTCTCAGATCGGCCACCGTGCCGTCCACCTTCTTCTTCTCGCTGGTTAGCTCCTCCAGTTGCCTCTCGACCTGCTTCAGTCTCTCTTCCCTCTCGGTAAAGACGCCGAGTTCGCGTTTATACCTTTCCACCTCGGTCCTGGAAAACCGTAGTCGTAGGTATTAACGAAATTCACCAAATGGGATACAAAAGGATCATCTTACTTAAGATGAGATATCTGGCTGAGAAAAACCGCCTCCTGTCTGTCCTTGGCTTCGTTCTCTCGGTTCATCTGCTCTCTGATAAGATTAACTTCCACGTGCAGGAGTTCCTTTGCCTCCTCGGCAGCTTCCTTGGCCACCTTGGCGTTGATCAAGTCCTCTTTCATCCTCAGCAACGTCACGTGCAGCTCTTCCACGTTATTCGGCATGTTGATGCTCTCGCTCTGCAACTCCTGGGAATGTTTACTGTGCTTCCCGACCAGGTTCTCGTTCTCCTTTTGTAACCTACGGCACATTCGTAATACAAGTCCGATGCATTCCACGACATCGTCGCGCTCATAATGTAGCCCAGATTTTCTTACGCGTTGAGGTGACTCTGCACTTTTTCCCTGTCTCGAGTCAGTTTCGAGAGCTCCTTAATGATGTCCTGATGAACCTGTCCGAAAGTCTGCTTAACCTCGGTCAAGGCCTTTTGCGAGGACTTTGTGAGCTCCGTAAGCTCCGCCACCTTGATTTTATGCTCCTCCTTTTTTTCGTTCCACTTCTCCTCCATCTCCTTGCGGAATTCCACTTCCTTTGCGAGATCCTCCCTCTGGCCCTGCAGCATGCGCTCCGACTCTGCCAACTGTTTCTCCAAGTCTTTCGCCGTGGACTGGATCTTGACTAGTTGAGCTTCGTAGTTGACGCACATATCGCAGATAAGCTCTGCTGTACCTGGTTCTTGGTGCCTCCTCTGACTTTGCACCTCTTTGCACTTTTGTAACTCATCGTCAGTCGATCGGAGTTTCTCCTTTAAGGCTTTGATCTCCTCCTCGAGAGGTACGACCAAGGAACGCAATACTTCCGCATCCTCTTGGGCCTATTAATTGAAATAAAAATAATCTTATTATATGAATATATATAGAAAATTCAACTCGAATAGAAAAGGTTCACCGACGTGCCCAACAAACCTGTTTACGCTTGATTGGACGCATTTGATATTTTCTTAGAGCACCGATATTTTTTGTAATTTTAACAAAAAAACCGTTAATGTTATCGCTCGAACAAATTCCGTTTCTCAGAATGAATATTAGGGTGTTGCAATTTAAGCATGAATGCTCACAGAAAAAAATGAATACCTTGAACAAAGTATGAGCGTACGTACGTATCGTTTTACCTTCCGCATGCTGTCCTCTAGGTTGTCCGATCCCAGTGACAGAGAATCAGCACCCAACTGCGAGGCTACTTTGCGAGCTAGAGTCTTTGTGACGGTCGATAACGAGATCGGCGGTCCGTCCACGGGTGGTTCTCTAGACAACTGAGACTTTAACATCGAGTTCTCTCCCTCCAGCCTGACGACCGTTGCCCGTAACTTGACAAGTTCTGCATCTAATTGTTTGCGAGAGCAAGAAGATTCCTCGACCGTTTCGTGAATCACTTGCTGCAGAGAAGCGATCTCCTCCTGAGCCTTTCTCTTCTCCATTAATATGTCATTCTGGATTTTAAGATCGGCGACGAGTAACTGACTCTTAGCCTCGTCCAATTCATTTTGTAGTCTGACGTTATCAGTTTGCAGGCAAAGGTTCTCCTCTAACCTCCTTTTCAGCTCCTCTGCAAAGGATTAGCATCGGCTTCACATAAATAACTCTCTACTGAAACCAAAAATTAACCGTCGATCGTAATAAGCGCTTGCCTTCCTTCTGGAGAAACAGTTCCTTCATTTTGGCCCTCTGTACGTTGAATTCTTCACGGATTTGAGTGTTCTCTTGTTCAAGCCTTTCGACCTTTGTCGGCAGGTCCTCGGAGTCTAGAAAAAATTATATGTAAACAGAACAATGGTGCTCTGGTCGACATGTAGCATTCGAACCAGAACGAACCAGTAGACGTTCCGTTAATTTCAATCTTTCGCAATGATTCACGAAGTAATTTTGCATACACCGAAAACGGTCTAAACAATTATACCCGCTAATTAATCGCATAAAAGAGATATCAAGTCTACCTTCCCGGCTCTCGTCGGCCTTCTGTTTATCCTCGGAGTCGTTCTCCATGATTTGCGGTTCTCCCAACCAGGCAGTGCAGCTATTACTGACGTGACTCACCGCAGATGATAAAGAACCCTTCGCACCGTGAGATCGCCGTCTCACCCAGTGATCGTTCTCGCCGTGACATGATACATAGCCCGTCTCAAGCCGTTTAACGTCTACTCCAAGTTAAAATTCTCCCTTCAACGGCCCGTCACCTTATTTCTCCTTTGATTTTCCTCGATGGGTCACCACGGGTGGACACTCCGCAGAAATTACCTAGCTAGCATCGACGGCGCCACCTGTAAGCTCTCCCTTACTTTACAACTAACTTCAAAGTGGTGCCATCTTAGCGGAGCGACTGCGAGTTAAATCCATTTCGTAGAACTCAAATTCGACCATCTTTCTAGGATCCTTCCTGTGAATCTCTCAACTCATCTCTGTTCCCTGACAGTCTATACACGTACGAACGAGACCGGCGATGTGGTTAATTATTTATTCCTGCTAGGAATTTTCTATAAATGTTATACAAAAATTTTCGCCCCGCATGCTATCGCCGAGTGAAGGTTCCAAAAGTATCGACACGAGGCCTAGCTACAACGTTCATCCCTATAAATACGAACTGCTAGCAGCATTGAGAATTATTCAAATTCTCCAAGGATTCGCTGGATGTTCATAAATTATTTTGCCGTTACAACTATGAGACTAAAGTACGTTATTTACAATAAAATGTCGCAACGAATGTATGTACACGATAATATCACCGTTCCGCGTTCGAAATGAATCGTGGCTACGCTAATTCTCGTCTCCTCGCGGAATCGATTGATCGTCCCCAGAAATGTTCTCGACGTTTCACAAATCATCCGAAATCCATTACTAGTGATTTTTCTCTCGAATTAATTTTTTTTTTGCACAAATCGTGCCAGATCGGGACCGATAGGAGAACGGTCATTCCTTGCATCCGAGTCCAGCCGACCAGTTGCAGATCCCACCAACGGGGTCGAAGGATAATTTATTCGGGCACGTGTACTCGGTTCCGATCACTCGTCCATTGACCATCCTGGCGCAAGTGATGAATTTGTTGCAAGACGTCGGATGCGGGAAGTTCCCCTGGTCCAGGCACCCGATGCTCCCCGTTCCGGTAACGTAAATCTTCCCGTTTAACGTAGACTTCCCGATGACGCGCTCCAGCTCGTCCTCGTAGTAATCGTAATCGACGATCGGAGCCTGTCTGGGTCGGTTCGGTAATTCGATCACCTTTTTTGGGACAGGCCTCTGACGACGTCGGTTACCGATTGCTCTGGGAGTTGGCGAGGGTTTCCGCTTGGGTGCCATGGTTGTGCTTATTCGACGTCTGGAGATGATCCCGAGCGTGGTCGCTCCTATTCCACGGGACAAGCAGGTTGGTTTATGGCGCAGAAAATTCTAAGACGACGCGGAGTCTGCCGGATCGACGGCAGACCTCGCGTCGTCTCAACGTAAAATTGCCGATCGGGATAGGCCGAGTAACAGGCCGTGTAACAGGCCGAGTCGTCCTGAGTGGGTACGTACTACTCGCAACCCGATGTACACCGACGGGTACACCGCGGGTGGAGGCGAGACTCGCTACAGCAAGTAGGACAGCGGTCACCGGTAGATCGCAGATAGAGGTGGAAGGCATGAGAGTAGGTAGAGAAAAGTCGAGGTTCCCCGGTGCGACGTCGGTTCGGACCAGGGCAGGGGCGAGTGCGTCAACGGAGAAGGGACACGGTTATTTCTGCGGCGAGGGCGGGTATTATGCGCTTAGAGCTGGGCAGAAAGACAGATTACAGAGAGACAGACAGACAGGAGACAGAAAAGATCGGCCACGTTGACGGTGGAGCACCACCGACCGCTATCCACCTCCACGAGTAGTCCTTCGGGAAATCGATAAGGAGTATCTTCCGTTCTCCGTCTCTAGTTTCCAAGTGATCTACCTGCAAAGGGCGAGGACCCGGGGACCGGAGGGTCCGCCAGGGTGATCGCGAGTTCCTGGGCTCTGCTGCTCTGGTCCTCCGCGTCGATCCTCAGCTCTTCCTCCGTTCCCAGCCGAGAGTAGCCTGGAAGGCAGAAAAGTCTGACGGTCAAAATCGGTGGCCCGAAACCGGATTATTTTTGTTTTTTCCCATTACGTTCTCACCCGTGATCCCGTCTTCGACGCTCCGACTCGAGTCTTCGGGGTGGGCCCTTCTGCGGATGGTATTGCTGCCGGGACCCAAGCTGTAGGAAGTTGAAATCGAAATCGAGCTGCTAGTCCCGGACGTCGGCCTGGGGTTGGACGTCCCGTCGGGTCGGACCAACGTTCCCGGCTTCCGGTTGATATTGGGGAGCTTGAAGAGGTTCACCTGTTTAACGTTTTTTCGTCTTAACTCCTGGCACTCGTCGAAATAATTTCTGTTCTCTCTTTTTTTTTTTTACTTAAAGGAATTAACGTTAACTCGAGGAGCGACAATTATCGGTGCGGTCCTAACCATTCGGTTTGGTATTCTAGAACCTAGGAACGCGATGCGGATAGCGGACAGAGACCGAAGCGCGGTAGTTACTTTCTTTCCGGTGATCCGCATTAAAAGGATGGACCTTCTTCTAGGTGGAGAAAACGGTAGATAGTGAAGGAAGTTTGCGAAGAAAATGTAGATGGTAGTAGACAGCGTTAATGCGATGGTCTTGGACGGGTCCGCCGTGGGTCTCCTCGCGAGGTCGTAACTACGCCCGCGATGGTTTCCTGGATTAGGTTTTGGAAGGTTTTGGGCGATGATTTGGCCGAGATTCGGATGGATCGACGAGTTATTATTAGTTATTCGCCATCGGAGTCCTCGATGTAGATTACGGACATCGAAGGCACCGCTCCGGACGGCTCGAAATGGTAGATTTTCTCTTTTTTGTTTATTTGAAGCGTTAGCTAGAGGAGGCTTTCGCGGTTCGTGAAGAGATCCCGATCGGATCAGGTGACTTGCCACTGACCTCGTCGTCAGTTTGGGTGGTTCGACCGTCTTCCTGGTGACCCGGAATCGCTTCCGAATTTTCGGGAGCCCTTGCTGGCCTTCCAAACATTGTCACCGGGGGGAGCGAGGAGAGTCCGCTCTTCCGATTTCCCGAAGAAGGAACCGTCCGCCGAGAATCGTTATCCTGTGGAGTTTTTACACGGATCACTCGCGAGTTTCGATTTCTACCTACTCTCGACGAAACCGATGGATTTCTCGAAGAACTCGCCGCGGACGTGTCCTCGAACGATGGTCTACGTCGTCGAACCGTCGCAGCACTTGCCGTAGTTATTTGTACGACGTCCGTCGTTTTCGAATCATCGTCATCGGAGTCTATCGATTGTTCGGTATTTCTGTAAGACGGATCGGGCAAGGATTCGGTAGTTTCTTTCGTAGTTTCCCAAGAATTCTCGGTACTTCCTGCTAAATCATCGTAATCCACTGTCGTAGTTTCGGGCATTTCCCGGTCGGTAGTTGACCCGTCTTTAGGAATAACGGGAGAAACCCTAAAATCTTTTTCAAAAGGAACTTTCCCGGAGGGCACGTCGAGTTCATTTCCGCGAACTTCCGTAGTTTCGTCGAAACTACCGGGCGTCGTAGTTTCGGGCGAAGAGGAGGCCTCGGTGGAGCCTTCCACCAGACTTTTGGTCACGTAAAACCCGCGAACGACGTCCGACTCGGTCAATATCGTAGGTAGCTTCCCTCTGACCGTAAAGGCCTTCGGGGTAGCCGCGGGATCGTAGAAGCCGTCGTCCTTTCTTTTCACGATATTTCTCTCGAGCCCGTCGTCGACCTTCCTGGTTCCTTTTCCAGCTTTATAGACGTAGAGAGTACCGGTCCCGACCAGAAGCGGGTCCTGAAGGTTCTCTTTGTCGGTCGACCTCTCCTCGACTTCTCCGAGAGGCGGTCCACCGAAAATTCCAGCAAACCCGGTCGAAGCCGAGTACTCCGGCGTAGGGACCGTTTGCAACCCGAGGAGTTCCTTCAGGGTCGGTAGCCTAACGGTATCCACCTGGAAAAAGAAAGGATAACGAGAGCGAGGTACGGTCGGGTCCTTCGACCGCTTCCTCAGGGACGACTTTGCTGGGGGGCCGTTTTCCTGCTCCGTCCTGGGGGATTTTCTCGGTCCAACGAGGCGGCAAGGCGAACCCCACCGAGGCGCTCTTCTCTCTTACTGTAAGTTATCCTACGTCTTCGATTACGCATAAGTCTTGTCTTCGGGGTATAGGAGGGTGCGGCGGGTGGTCCGGGCAGGGGGCGCGAAACGGAATCTACAACGGGAGGCCGGACGACACCCGATTCCAGGAGTCGATCACTTCCCGGTCTGCCTGCCGCCCGCGACGAGGTTGTTGAAGACGGACTCGATCTCGATGGTCGACGACTCGGCCGCCGGCTCCGTGGTGAACCTGCCGTCCGGAGAACGCGCGAATTCGCTCTCGATGGGCAAGGTCGACCACTCCGGGTTGCTCTCGGTGGTGTCCTTGTGCCTGATCTCGTTGGAGAACTCGTCGACGTCCCCCCGCTCCTCGCCGGACCTTTCCGTCGCGGGTCCCGGTCGTTCCTGAGGAACCAGGACAGGGACCTTCGAGGTCGAAGAAGAGTACTTCGTCCTGATGAGGATCTTCTGCCTCTCGGTGGTCCCGGACTCCGCTATGGAGGTCACGAGTCTGGTTACCTCGGGGTGGACTCGGGACGCCGGCGTCGTGGTCTCCGTTTCCGGCAGGCTGCCGGTGGCCTCTTGGACCTCCTCTTCGGGGTCCTTTTCGGAGGGTCTCGGCGTCGTCGTGCGCAAGGACTGCTGTTTCCTGATCTTCGCGTCCGCGGCGAAGTCGAACCTCTTCGCGGGGATCAGGGTCTCCTTCGGGACGGACTCGGTCGAGCTGGCAGGATGAAGACGGTTCCTGGCGTACGACCTGTTGTAGCTCTGCGGGGTGGTGCTCTCCCCTCCGTCGGCTTCCACGTCGACGGAGTCCTTCGACTCTCCCACCAGGGAATCCACGACGATGGCGCTCTTCCGGGTCGCCTCCTCCATCCTCTTCAATGATTCCGGTACCCGGAACCTCGGCCTCGTTTCCGGCTTGTAGTAATTAGAGATCGCTGGTCGACTCTCCTCGTTCTCCTCCCCGTCTTCCGGCTCCTCGACGTCCTCTTCGTCGCTCTCTCCCAAGAGACGAAGGGCTTCCTCTCTTCTCGCGTCCGAGTCGACTTCGGTTTTTCCTCTCCAGTCTACCGCTGGCTGAGAACTCGAAATCGGGGACCAGGTCGTCGCGGTCGTCGTGAAGCGCTTCCAGAACGCTGCCGTGTCGGTCTCCTTGGTGTCGACCCCGAAAAGGACATCGTGATCGATCCGGTTGGCGTTTCCGGTCGTGCTGGGGAAATAGAAGGGAGTCTCCGTCACGGCGCTGTCGTTGGCGCTTTCCAGCCCGTCGGCCTCCTCTTCGTCGACGTTGTCCTCCGTTGTCGAGCTCGTCGAGATGACCGGGCGTCTCCTGACGAAGAGGTTTCTCCTTCGCTTGGAAAGAGCCTCGACGTTGTCGCTTTCGGGTTGGACTCGAGTTTGGGATCTAGTGTACAAAAATCGCTTTGAACTCTCGGTCACCGAAAACGTGGATGTTGTCAAGGGTCGCTTTCTGACGAACTTCCTGACCAGTCGAGAACCGTACTCGGTCGTACTCGAAGCATGGTAGGTTCTCCTCGAAGGTGACGAAGAGACGGGAGAAATCGTCGTCGTCGTCGTCGTCGTCGTCGGTAAAGAATTAAAATCCGTGGTCCCTACGACCGTGTTGTCCTCGGAAGTCTCGGTGGTCTCCTCGTGGTAAGCGCCCGGAAGGGAAGTGGAATAGCCGTCGATGACGGTGGTCTCATCAGGGGGGGCACTCGGCTGGATCGTGCTTTCCTCCACCGTGGTCTCCGTCGTTACAAGGGGTGACTGGAGGATGGTGTTGTCCAGAAATCTGTCGTCTCCGGGTTGTACCGGAAGAGAAGAACTTTTTGCATCTTCGGGGACGCCATGTAACCCGCTCGTCTCCGAAGCTTCGAAGTCCGTTATGGAACCGGTTGCGGTGGATTCAGAAACCGCCAGGGTGGATCGACGTTCCGCGTCCGTTGATCGAGAAATCGGGGTCGTCGGCGTCTCTTCGGGAAGTGGACGAAGTCTTCGAACCACCTTTCGCCTCCTGAAGGTCTTCGAATCCTGATGAGCGTCCTCCGGGAGAACCGAAGTCGCGGTCGAGGGCTCCGCGAGAGGTCTCTTTCTCTTCAGGACCTTTTTCCTGATCCTGTGGTTCTCGCTCTTCGAGTTGCCGGTCGGATCCTCCGTTGTGGATGAATTTGCGTCCTCCGATCCTTTCGCACTCGTCGAGACGGAATCCACGGGTTTGGTGGTCCCCGCAAAATCGGGGACGAATCTGGTGGTCTCCGCCGAAGAGTCGTCGACCGGCAACCCCGAAGAGACCATCGAGGACACCCTCGTTCTCGACTCCACGTCCTCGGCATTCTCCGTGGTATTCTCGGCAATGGTTCCAGGATCTCGCGTTCCGCGATACGCTTCCGTCGTTTCCACGATCCCTTCTGCAACGTTCAGGATGAATTTCGTAGTATCGATCGAATATTCCGTGGTAGACTCCGCGTCCTGAGCCGTCGCTTCGCTAGCGGCGATCTCCTCTTCTCCGCTATACGTTACGGGATCGGTTCCCGAGGACGAAAAGGTGGTATCCTGGAGAATTCGAGGAGTCACGGTTCCCGAATTAATTCCCGCGTCTCCGGTCGTTTCCTGGAGAGTCGACGTCTTCGAGGAGTCCACTGTAGTCTCCTCGTTGACCAGGTCCCTGGAGTTCCGAGTAGACTGCGTGACTTCGTAGGGGCTGGTCACCGAGGACGACAACCCGGCGTCCAGAAAAGGGAGCTCCGTTCCTCTAGTGCCGTCTCCGAGGTCTCCCCTCTCGGACGAGGTCCTGCCGATGATCCTGATGTTGGAGAAGCCGGCTCCCTCGACCTTGGGTCCTCGAGCCTGGTTGCTTCGCCCCCTGACCCTGGCTTCGGGCTGAGTCGCCAGCCTCGAGGTATCCTGACGGATCCTGAAGACGCGGCTGTCCTCGGGGTCGCTTCCGCGTCCAGACTGGGTGGTCCTGAAGAATGGCCTCTTGTAGCGCGCTCCGGGGCCCTCCGAGGTGTCGGCAGGTGGTCTCGTAGGAGAAGTCGTGGTAGAGCTGGTATCGGAATCGACCCGACCCCTGGTCCTGGTCCTGGACCCCGAGGTCCTTCGTTCGGCTCCCGGATTCGAAGAGGGAGGCGCGTACCTGCCTGACCCTCTGGACCCGCCGGGGCTCCTGGACCTACCATCCTCTTGGGATTCCCGATCCTGAGCGGCCCCTCGTCCTCTCGCGGGCCTACGGTCGCTCCTGCCGGAGGGGGTCGCGTCCTCGTCTTCGGGGTCGGGCCCAGGAACGGGGTCCGTTGCCCTCGACCTCCCTCGACCTCTGACTTGCGAGGGCCGCGATATCGTCCGCGTCGGGGTACTCACCTTGGGCCGGGCCGGAGTCGCGGGAGGGACCGGGGTCGTGGCCTCCGTTGACGAGGCCGAGGTTAGGGTCGGCCGACTCCTGCGCGGGAATCCGAAGGGCCTCGGCTGGGACACGGCCGCGGTGGTCCCTCTGGTGAACGCCTCGACGGAGCCGGAAGCCGCCAGGGTCGTCAGCAGGATCTCCGTCGCGGATTCCTGCACCAGGCTGACCGTCGTCGCGGGAGGTGAAGTCGAGGTAGACTGGCCGAAGTCTGACGCGACCGTAGACGTCGAGGCAGGGGCGTCGGACGGCGTCGGAGGACTCGAGGGGACCGAGGAAGTCAAAGTCGGCAAGGTGGAGGTCGAAGTGGAAAGCGGAGACTCCGATTCAGGCTCCGAGGCCTCCGTAGTCGTCGAAGAGCCGGACGAAGTCGTGACTTCGGTGTGCGGAGTAGTGGAGCTGGGGGTTGTCTCTTGGATCGGGGCGTAGGACTCCGTCGACCCCGAAGAGGATGCCAGGGTGGCCGTTAAGAAAGGATTCCGCGACTCCTGGCTCTCGCTCGACTTGGAGGTCGTGCTTCTGAAGCGCTGGATGTTGATGTACCTGCTAAGGGAACAAGGAAAAAGGGACAGGGGATTTTGTTAATACTTTTCCATATTTTTTGAAAATCGGCGATCAACGAGCCATAGAAACCTGGGCTTCGCGGGGTGCTCCTCCTCGTAAACGGCTCGACCGTTCGGAGAATCGGATCTTACGCTCTCCTCGGCCTGCTCGCCTTCCTCCCAGTTGCTCCTGAGGAAAGAATCTCGTTCTCCCAGTGCTTCTATTTTTGTTAACGCTTAAATGCGACCGGTAATCGTTTTACTCACTTGGCCGATCCGGGCCTTATTCGCCGAGCGCTCGGCCCCCCTACGTTGATCTCCGCGTCCTTTTCCACGTCGTTTTCATCTCTGAAGGGAACGATTAAATATTTACAATTAACGGACGGTAATAATTTTATCGATTATCGTTCGATCGACTTACTTCGAGACCCCGGGTCGACCTCTTCGAATGTTCACGTAATTCGGAGTCGTCCTTTTTAGGGATGACGCAGCTTCGGGGTTGTCGTTCACCACTCTTTCCTCCGTAGAGGCCACGTCGTCGCTGTCTTCCTCGGCGTCCTCGTCCTCGTCTTCCTCCGGTGGTCTCGTGGACGGTCTAGACGATCGTCAATTAAAATTTACTAACCGCTCATTTCCGGCGGAATTTGAAAAAATCGGAAAATTTCTGCAGGAGGTACCTCTGCCTCTCGATGGTCACGTACTGCGGCTTCTTGCTCCTCCTGAGACTCTTGACTTCCGGGAGGTCGTCGAGGCCCTGGAACTGCGCCCCTCCGGGTCCGTTCTCGAAGTTCCTCCTGGAGTTCTGCCTCCTTTCCTGTCGTTGTTCCTGGGGGGACGCGGAGGGCGATGTCGTCGACCCTCCGAGGAGAGAGCCGGGATTCCTGTTCGCCTGCCGACTCAGAACTCGCTCGTACAAACTCCGGCTTATCGTCGGCGGGGTCACTCGACCACTCGGCGAGGTTTTCTCCGAGTGGCTTCCGCTATTCCTTTCTTGGAGCAGAAGCTGCTTCTCCAGTTGCTCGATTCCACCTGATCAAGTTTGACGCGCGATCTCAGCGATACATTTTGCACGGTCCAGCGAACGTAATCGTAATCGGTCCGCGTAACTCGTCGCTCCTCGTGCTCTCTTACGCGTAATGGGAAGTACGACCGGTCTTGTATATTTAACATACCCGAACCCCGGAAGAGGACCCGAGGGGAGAAACGTTACGCGAATGGATAAATATTTTATCGGCGTAAAATTAAATGAAAATAAATAAATCAAAGGGATCGATAGGGTACGTCCAGTTTACCGGCTTTCTTGATGAGGTCGATGAGTTCCTTGATGACCCTCGGGTCTTCCTCCTCGTCGAGGTCGCCTCGGTGCTCCACGTGGGCTCGACCGACGTCCAAGCTGGCGGTAGTGGTCGGCAGTTGGGTGGTCGGTTTGCTCCTGGATATGGTTTTGTAGAGCAGAGTTTTCGGCGTGGTAGTGGTCGAGGGGGTCTTCCCCTTCTCCTTCTCCGCTCTCCTCTCGGTCTCCTTGTCTTCTTCCTCGTCCTCCTCTTCGTCCTCGTAGTACTCGTACTCCTCTTCGGGTTCCACCGTGGTCGTCTTCGGGGACGTGCTGTACAAGTACGTGTTCCTGCTGGTGGCAGCCGTGATGGGAGCTCTGGTAGTCGTCACGAGATTTCCCTGATTTCCTTGGCTCTTCGCTTTCGGACAGATCACGTTCCTAGGGTAGTCGCAGGAGTCGGCGGCCTTGTTGAAGACCAGACCTGGAAGAAGCGGATCGAGTCATTTTTTTTCTACCTTTTCGACGCCGCTTATTTTTCCCAACGTCCATCCACTGCGAGTCGCTGTAAAATTATTTTTTTAATTTCAGCCACATTACGAAGAAATAATACGCGAATCGAAACGGTTTCGGTACCAGAGGGACAGGTGAACTGGTGGGCGACGATTCCAAGACCACTGGGACCGCTGTCCAGGCACCAGAAGTACTTCTTGCAGTCCCTGGGGTGCGGGAAGAATCCTTCGTCCTCGCACTTGAAATCTGAGGATCGCAAGTCGAGAGGCATCGGTAAGTGGAATAATTGAAAATCCTCCAGAATTTCATCGAAAATTGGACCCTACCGCTTCCAGGGTCCGGAGTCGTGGGCGGCTCCGGGGTCGTCAGCTTCTTGCTGAGCGATTCCTCTCCGACAGAGTCTAAGGATTGCTTCTTCGAGGCGTGCTGCCTTCGTCTCTGCTTCCGTCTGCCATTTTCCTCCCCGGATCTTCCGCGATTCCGGGCATTTTTCGTCCTCCTAGGTTGTTCACCGGAGTCGGCATTCCTGACGGCATTTCGGGAAGGCAGGGACTCCTCTTCGTCGTCCAGAAAAGAATTCCTGAATCGGGGGATCTGTTCGTCGTCCTCCTCGACGTCGTCCCGGGCCTCTGGGCGCGATCTGGAGGAACCGATTCGTCGCTTTATGGTGGGGATCGCGGTGGTGGTCCTGCGATTGCTCGTCAGGATCTTCCTGGGCACCTCGCTCCTCAGGGTCTGGCCTCCCGTCTTCTTTCCGTTTTCCGAGGGTTTGGACTTTCGTGCCGGCGGAGATTTGCTGAAACGTGAACGTTTAATTTTTTATACCGACCCAAAAGCGACGATACTTTCGGCATTTAAAAGGAGTGATAAGCGGCTAACTCGTTTCCAGCCATGAGGGCCTCCTTGGCAGCCTCGATCAAGGGGTACGGTCGACCGTGACATTTCCCTCTGAAGTCGTCATTGTCGATGGACCAGAACATGATCCCGCCCAGATTCCTCTCGTTAACGTATCTCGCCTTCAGCTTAACGATGTCCTCGTCGTCGTAGCCGACCCACTGGTTTCCTTTGAACGCATAGGGCCCCATGGCCGATGGATTCGGCTGCACGACCTCCCAATCGTCGGAATTGCCGACGTTTTCGCAAATCTGTTGCAAATAAAATTGAAAAAATCGTTGAATACGATTTTTAAAATTAATGCCAACATTGGCGTCACCTCGTAATAAGCAAGGTAGCCCTTTTCCCTGGTGGCGTCACCCTCCACCCCTGGACCATCGGCCGGCGAGCCAAGATCGGTCGACTCGTCGTTGTAGAGGGTGTAGGAGCGTCCATAAGTCGGGATGCCCAGGACTATTTTTTCGGGAGAGGCTCCGTTCTTCAGCAAATAATTTACCGAGTGATCCTGACAAAATTTAATTACATTAATTAAAACGCGTTCACCCTCGTCCTTTTCCAAAGAGGCGCTTACTATGGTAAGTTCGCTGTCGTAGTTGTACTCGTTGTCTTCTTCCAGGGGCAATAGCGGAGCATGGTGGTTGACGGCAGGTTCGAAAGCCGAGTGGTAGTCATAAGACAGGACGTTGAAGAAATCCAAATGGTCGTTTAATCGAGGAATATCGTAGCCCTTTTCCAGATATTCCACCCCTGCCGGGACCGCCATCGATAGCTGAAGTCGCGGTCGGCCCGTCTTCGAGTTTTCCCGCTCGAACTCTTCTCTCAGCTCCTGAAGAATCGAAGAATTCTTTCGATTTATTTCCATGTCGCCTTGAAAATATTGCGTCCGAGAAAGGTACGAATTAAAATGCAATCCTCGAGAGGAGATCAACCGCGCCTACAGGCGCGGCCTCGAGAGGCGGACCGGACAGCCTTCCGGGAGGTGAAAAATCTCCCTGCACTTTCACGCGTGCCCTTAAAGGTAAAGGTGCGCAAGTAAAAGCGAGCGAAATATGCGGGCAAGTGATCGTAAAAAATGAAAACCTCGCATGGACGGGGAAGGGTCTTTGTACCTCGACGAGGTCGGCGTAGTTGTCCTTGTCTCGTGGCTTCCCGCCGTCCCTGAAGGCAGGGTACTCCCAGTCGAGGTCGAGGCCGTCGAAGTGATTCTGCCTGAGGAACTTGACGGCGTTTTTGACGAACTCTCTGCGTCTTCTGGGCTCGGCCACCATGGGCGAGAACCTGCTGGACCCCTCGTTCCACCCACCGATCGCCAACATGGTCTTCAGGTCCTTGTTGTACGACTTCAGGCCATTGAACTTCGCGTAGCCGCCTGCGAGTTCGCATTTGGTTGAAATATCTTCGTTAAATATTTCTTACGTGGTCTTCCTTACCCTTTTCGATGTCCTGGTACTTGTCGAAAGGCTTCAGGGTGTTATCCTTGGTGAATCCTCCGAAGGCATAGATGAGGTGGGTGCAGAGATAAGGATTGATATTCTGGGGCGAGAATTTCGCGGTTCCCGGTCTGTAGACGGACCAGTTCGTGTAGTAACACACGACTCTGCGTTCCGCGGAACCTGGATAGGAGACGCACTTTTCTTAGGACAAAAGTGGACAAAAGTGGACAAAAGTGCGTAACACTCCGAATGTACCGAATTTACGAGGCTTTCTCCGTAAAAGGGCGGAAAAAAACAAATATAAAAAATAATACGACCGGGTCGATAATTCGCACCTTGGCGAAAGTCCTAAGAACGTAAAATGCACTTTTCCGCGGAGGGCAACTTTCTTTATCGGGAAATCGGAAGCGATTCCCAGAAAAAACGAGGAAAGACGCTCTTCGGCTTCCCAAGATTCCCAGTCTTTAAAAGGATGGTCCAGAAACGGACCCGAGTCGTTGCTGAGCTCTTCGGAGCGTGTTTCAAAAAATGCCACAACTGCGTGTGGACGAAATTTCCTTTCGTGCGTGCCGTACGCATTTCCTTGTAGAGGAAACCGTAACATAAATGGCCCGGTGAAACTATCGAGTGCACGAGAGAAATTGAATCGTCAGCTTTCGTTCAAAGGAACGCAACCTGCTCGGGGAATCGGTAAGCCACGCGAGGTGCCTCCACGTGCTCGATTTCGACGTCGAATTTCGCTCAATTTCCCTGAAATCGGTCAGGCGGTTCACGCTTCTCGCCAGGAACTTGCCAGGAATTCCGAAAAAGTCGGATCGAGAGAGAAAGAAAGCGATGCCTCGGCGGTACTCGACTTTTTGTTATATGGCAAAAGTTAATAACCCCGCGCGTGAAAGTAATCGTCGAATGTGAGGTAATAACAGGCTCGAATACGAGCGGAATAATGGCGTCTAACGATAACTAGTTCACCGATGATAATTTAAAATATCGTCCACCTGCGATTTTATTAACGCGTGAATTGTGCCGCAATTAGGTAGTACGAACGGTCGGACGATTTCCTCGATCTTCCCCAGGAAACCAGGAAAGGGTAACTAGAAACTGGTCACTGTACCAAAATCCTTTCGTCTTTCCTGTTTTTCCCCGGTGATTCGCGTCGCTGCGTTCGCGTGTTACGCAGGGAATGTGAAAAGCACGCATCCAACTCCACTCGTGATTACTCGAGCAATTCGAGGCATTCGAGAGACCGAAACGAAAACGAGGAAAGGAGTTTTATCGCCGTGTCCGAGATTAGACTCGATTTCCGCAAAAACGAGTCCGGCACCGTCTTGCGTTTAATTCGACAGTTTTTTTTTTTTTTGCAGGTTTTTGGATTTTACGCCGCGATCCAGGACGCGGTATTAGAAATTGACAACTTAACGAACACCGAGCCAACATCCGGTCCAGGCGGGTCGCCTCGTCGATCGAGCCTGTCCAAGTGGCGGACTTTAATTTATCATCGGAGTGGCCGAGCAAGGTACGTCGACAATTAGCTCGAAGAATTTTAAAGACTTTCCCCTGGACCGAGGACCAGGAAACGCGGACTCGGCGACAGCGAGAGACCTCGAGCAAAAAGGAATAAACGAGACTCCCGTCCTAACGGCGGTCCGTACCAAACCCCGGATAGTTCGCCTTTACGACTTTCGAGGTAATACTCGTTCCCATTTTCCTTTCCGCGAGGACAATTCTCATTTGACCGCTCTTACCATCTCGGCAGGAAGGATACGTCGCGTTAAGCGTCAAATTACCGGCACCTGAAAGTCAGGTTTAAACATCTTAACGGTAGTAATTGCGTCCTGGCACGAGTCTGCGCGTTAAATTAAATTAACGCGGACAAACGTCGAATATTAAATTTAAATTGCGCGGAAATAATTATTTGGGCGTTAAATCGATCCGCTATGACCCGATACAAAATTAGGACCGAGTCGTTAATCATTTATTTCGAGAGTATTTCGCGCGTTCGGAGTTTCCAGCTCCATTCGCGGTAGTTCCGCAACCGGAAGTAGGAAGAAAAAAATCCGAACAAAAAAATGTCGAAGAAGGGGAAACGACCGGGCCTTCCGGTGTCGCTGCCGTCGAAGCTCCGAATGCTTCGCTCTCTTTTACGACGTCTCTATAAAACCGGGGAATAATAATTTTTTTTTCTCTTCCTTTCCACGATCCCGTAACGATCGCAACGGCTCGCGTCTCTCTTTGCGGCGAGGAGTTAAACGAAATTGTCCGCGCACCTCCGTGCACGTACCATCGTTCCAGGAATAACGTCGACGTTTCTCGTCGCGAACTCACCATATCGAAGCGCCAAAAGCAAGACGATCAAAGTGAAAATCCTGGGGACGATGAGCACCTTCTGCAAGAGAGAAAAAGAACGATCCACGGATTAGGGAAGTTTAATAATTCCTCCCAGGGCGCGCATACGTGCTCGCGATCATTTAACGTGCGCGCATCGAACGTGCCGCCTGCACCTGCCTGCGTTGCATGAGCAACGAGTCCCGAAAAGGATCCGACACCGGATACTCGAAAAATATTCAAATCGACCACGATCACCATTCAAACCGTCCGGAAATTTCTTACGACTTCGGTATCGAAAATCGTTTAAGCCGACGACCCTGGAAAAACCTAGGGAGGAATTAAATGAAACTGGAGAGGCTTTTCTTCTCGGGTGGGCGTGGACGGATTTTCGATTCGATCGGCGAGAGATAATTGGCCTCTACGTATGCATAAATCGTCCCAGATACTTCCGAGCGTTACGTCGATTACGTGGTACCGTCCTCCTCCCGCAACGTTACTTCCCCCGTCCGACATCCGTTCACCACCTCTTACTTTTCGACCTATCATTTTTCAAAGGCGATCCTGGATCGACTTCCACGGCGTTTGCCGTTCCACGTTCCTCCGCGCGTTCTCGGGCCTTGGGCCTTTCACCCTGCCGCGATTATTCCACGTATTCTCTTCCCGATGGAACGAAAACGTTCATTTTCCCAAGAGGACGAGGATCCTCGGACGCGGTCCCACTCTCTCCTCCCTCTCGAAGGGTCCGGAGGTCCCGGAAACGCATCGAGACGCCGAGTTTCTGGGTTCGGGTTCGTCGGATTATGCAACCTGCATGTGGAGAGAAAGCAGAGGAACTCGCTTTCTCGGCTTCTCGGCCGTTTCGGCGTGTCCCCGGGCCCCGTTGCGAGTTACGTTCACTCGCGGATTAATTGCCACCCAAAGGGACATCTACGTGCTCCTCGAGGACGCGCGTGGGAGCACTTCTTCGAGTTTCTAGGAAGAAAGACGTCGAAGACCTTTCAAGGCCAATGCGGATCGACTCGATTGCTTCCGTTTCGAGGGACCGTAGTCACTTTTTAAATCGGCTCTTATGGATAAAATTTACTCGAGTCCGATTATCGGTCGATTCCATGTTGGGCACTTGGACGGATCGATGTCTCGACCGCGGTTCGATCGAGTCGGGGAAATTTTCGCCAATTTCGAATGACACACTTAATATCCGCGGACTCGAGGGACCGTTCGCCGTTCGCTCCCGATGTAGAGAGTAACGATGAGTTGTCATCTGCGAGAGAGCCAACCGCCTCGAGAGTCCGTTCGTTAAGAATCACTTTTCAGTGACTACCCGTTTTTGTTAAGTATTCTTTATAACGCTCGCACGCGTCGCGGGAATTTTCATTTTAATTTTACCGCCGTAAACTCGGAGGGAGCCGTTGGAAATAAATTCCACCGCCGAATTTTGCCGCGGGTCTGCAAGATTCGAACGTAAAACGTAATTGCGCCATCTTAAAAGGCCCATGAAACGCTTTAAGTCCTCCTAAAACCGAAGTCGGTTTAATCTAAGTCCCTTAAAGTTCATGCGATTTTAATTCGATCCCGCGGGCAGTTTTAACGAAAAAGGAGAAACCGAGAAGATATTAATTGAATCGCAATCCCCGCGTTTTCGGGAGAAATTCAGGAACGGGAGTGTCTTCTTTTGCTTCCACCTTGTTCGCGTCTTTTGTTCATTTTTGATTAAACAAAAAGCCAACCGAAGTCGTTTGCCTTTCGAAAGTGGTCTTCGAGATCCGTGACCGAGAGCAAACTACCGAAGACCGGGCAAAATCGATTCGCGGAACGTCCAAGGTCGGCTCTTCTCCGGAATAATCCTGCTATCTCCGAAGATTGTCGAAAAATTCGACAATGGCTCGAAATCGCAAAATTAGTCGAAGATCGTAGCTGCCTTAGGTGCTCGATCCAGACGTTCGAATATTCTTGCAGAAAATGGCGCAAAAAGGATAATCGTTGAAAAATTACCTGACACGTCGGTAACGCTCCATAAGGGACAGTCTACCGTGTTTTTCTTTTTTTCCTGGTAATCGTTAAAACGTTTAGCGAGAGTTATCGTATAATGCAAGAGGCAGGACGATCTCGCAGGTGTAAAAGAGCCTCGGGTTCCTGCAGGGGAAAGCCATTTTGCTCGACTTTTATCGCCTCGAAACTCTCCTTTAACATCCCTCCTCTAGGTAGGTACTCGTCGAGGGGTTATTATCGAAGAGGCAGTAAATACGATCGGGTGATTAACGCGAAATTCCGATAACTCGGGCCTAATATATGCGGGAAAGTACCTTTCGTCCCAGCCCACGTAAAAATTCAATAAACGCGTCAGACGACGATGCGGCTGTTAACGATATAAAAAATGATATTTCTGAATTTCACCTGGCACTCGTCTCGAAATGTGTACACGCGTCATCTTACGGTACCGAGTTCCTTTACCGAACGACGGTTCATTATTCGTTCGGTGTCGTTTGTCGTCGCTTTAATAACGGCAGTTCGCGTGCACGATGGCGACAATAAATGCGAGCCACAAAAGTGGAGCGATCGCTTTCTCTGGCAAAACGACCGCATAAGGCGAACAACCCTACGATGGCAAAATACCCCGTAAACACACTTTTTATATATCGACTGTACGAGCTGAGGGCAATTTTGCATAAAATTATGCTTCGCACGGCGCGATTGGAATTTCATGAGAGATTATGCAGGACAGCGCGAGTGGCACACGTAACGAATTCTTTTTCGAGTACAAAGGATTTCTCCAACCGCATTCGACGCGAAAGCCGTTTTTTATCCGGCTCTCCTACACGTACCTGTCCGTTCTACAAAATGATCCAAAGTCATTTGCCCCTTGATTTCAATTGCCGATTAAATATCTCCCTCTGTCCTGCACCGTCCGGAATCGATTATTATTTCTGTCGACAAGTGTCGGGGGTTCCGTTGTAAAAAGAAAAAGTCGGTAATCGTCTCGTTTCCTCGAATGTCGGACGATCGAACGATGATCTAGTAGTCGGAGGCAGGAAAGAGCCTTAGGTAAGGAGGAGCTCTCGTGTGTCCGATCCGGTCGGAGTGCTCGGCTTAACTCACTTTTACTTTCGAAGGAATTTGCCGGCGGCCAGCCGGACTTAAACTACACCTCCTGCGAGTAGGTAAGTACGGTAATACGCGGACGCCGAGGAAGCGAAGTCTTTTTTTAAACCATTTTTTCGGGGGCCTTTAACGTCGTGCCCTCGATCGAGAGTATCGTTTCGGTAATTATTCCAGTCCGTAGCGATTAATTTATTCGTTTCCCCACTTTACCAGAGTCCACGATTTGCAAGAGAAAATGGCAAGAATTGCCGTACCGGCATTGCACTTACAATGAAAAATGAATGGATTATTTTCGATGCAAGGAATCTCGCGGGTTCTCCAAAATGGCGACCGAATTTTATTTCGACTCGCTAAAGACCGGCCCGAAGAAAAAATGTCGATAACCCCAGAAGCTCGACCCCGCGTTCTCGAATGTTTTAACCGCGCGGGGGTAATTATTGTTCCTCGTGGTTGGAAGAAACGCCGGTCGGCGCGAACGTAATTCTTCCAGTCATTCCGGAGAAGAAGGTGACTCGTACCGTTACAATTTTCCGCGGCCAATTTAACGTCACCTTGCGCAATCCGTGGGTCCGTTTCCTTGAAATACTCCCCAACTACGAGAGCTCGACGTTCGGCAGAGAAATTTGACCTCTTGCGCGACGTTGGGAAGTCACCGAGCGAAATGCCGTAATAATTGAGAAAATGGACGAATTCGATATTTCACGATCAATTTCCAAGCAATAATCGTATCTAGTCACCGTGACGAGTTTGGCCGGTTTCCAAGGAGAATCTCATGCGAGGTAGGGATCGCTGGATTTGTGGAAAGGTCAGTGGAGACGGTGGAGACGTCCTCGTCGTTAAGGTCGACCGATTCCTGTTTTCGGTCAACTTTTTACTTTTGTCCTGAGATGAAAATAGCGGAGGCTCCCGTTCCTTTCTCGCATACCTCGCGAGGGCAGCCGTCTTTGAAGGTCGCCGGTTGGAGTGGTTCACTTTCTTTTTCTACGATTCGAGTTCCCTCTCTTTCTCGACGTTCTTCGGATTTTTCCATAAATTAGAAACGTCCCCGTGGTCACGGGAAAATTCTTCCTCTTTTCTCTCAATTCCTAGCATTCTTGCCCCCCAGTCGGGAATAAAAAGTACGTTTCTCCCTTTTCTCGCGTCGGTCGGAGGACTTTGGTTTTCTTTTTTGAGAAATTAAAATTCCCCTCCTCTCTCGAGATCCCCCAACTTTTCGTTTAATGCGTTAGTTCTTGCAGTTAGGTTTTAACGTTCCGTTTCTCTAATGGCTGGGACTAAAAAGAGCGGAGTCCACTTTTTTCCTCTCTCGGGATCCTCGGGACGTCCGCCGCCATGTTGGAAGGTCACCCGTCGACGGGCGCACCTTCTTTCCAGAGAAATTGACTTTCTTTCTCAAAGACCAACCGGTTGGTGGGCCTCTCGGCTGGATCTCTAAGGTTCTACCTTCCCTCCGAGTCCTCGAGATTCCTGAACGCTTCGGGAATCTTCGAGAGTCCTCCGTTAGCGAAAGAATCGACGGCCGTCTCGTCGGGATAGGACGCCTTGGATTTCGAATTTTTTCGGATTGGCGCAGGAAGTGGTCGAGGATCGTTAGAACCGCGGGAAACGTTGCTCCACGCTTTTCCGTTCCGGGATTTTCTCCCGAATTTCTGGAAGATCGTTTTCAATTTTTCCCAAAATTGCGAGGGAAAAAAAGAAAAGAGGTCTCAGATAGATCGAACAAATTCATTTAACAAAAGCGGGACGGCAATGTACGAGCAAGGCGTTTCTCGGGACAATACGTAGGATCGATCGTGTCGGATATATCTTTTGAAGCGCATCTCCGCGAGAGAAGATCGCATTTATCTCTCATCGAAGAGGACGCGGGTACGACCTTTCGACGACGCGTTGCAAAATGTCAGCTGGCTCTCCGACATTTTATCCCCGTTTTCGCTGCAAACGGCTACGTACGCGTAAAAGTATCTCGTGGCGATTACGTTACGAGTTACGGATTACTCCGATTCGTTCCTTTCGACCCCGAGATTCTCCGATTACGGATCGATGGAATGTAAAAGGAGCTCGCGAGATAGAGTTTAAAAATTCATCGCGGAGAAATTTCCAAAGTACAGGACCGCTTTCGAATTCCGAATTAATTCTAAAGCCACCACCTCGTTCGAATCGACCCCATGTCCCACGATAATTTTTCTCGCTTTGCCCGAAGTATCGCTTACTCGATCCATCTCGGTAGCACCCTGGTATCCTCAAATTCGGCACATATCGAGGTCCTTTTTCTCGCGGCCACTGATAACGGACTAAGGATGATTATCGGAGTAATCGAACGGGAGGCTTCGCGATCCGTAGGGAAGTCCGTCTCGATCGAGGCTCGGGAGGGCACTGGGAGGCTCGTTACTCGATAGGTGCCCTGTTACTTTCATGGGCTGGACACACCGTCGCCCCTCCAGATTCTCTTCGAGTTCTGGCAGGACGTCCAAACGTCATCCCCAGGAGATCCTGCCGATGGACCGGTGGGGGAGGTGAAAGGAAGACATTTCGCTCCTCGTTCGCGCCCGCGAGAACCGAACGATCGCACCGTTAACAAAGATCTTAATAATTCCACAGATTCCTCCTATCCTGTCTGGGGAAAAATGTAGACTCGCCATCTTTTTTCTACTCCACGCGTCCCATCGACTCTTAGCGAAATCACGAACCGATCAATGCCGCTCGGTCCATCGATCGAAACCGAAGAAAAACTCGCGCTGGAAGTCCGATCAGGTATCGAAGCGCGTGTCGGCACTTCTATACTTGGAAAATCGGATTCTTTCGATCGAAGCCGAGAAATCAATGAATTCGAATGCCAGATACATCGCATTATCCCGTCCCGTGGCTCTCGAGGAGCTTCTCGAGAAAATCGAGAGACACTGTGGAAAGTCGCGAACGTGAACGGGAACTCGAAGCGACGTTTAAAGCCTTTTCTCTTCGATCGTCGATACGAACTATCCCTTTCTTTTTTCCCCCGGTTATTTCCGACGAAGAACTAAAAAACTCGCCGGTTCGAAGAAATCGATACGTCCAAAAAGATTCTCGAAAATTTTCAAGAAAAGGGAGTCACGTTTGTAATAGTAAATATTCCTATTTATAAAAACTCTAGAATAATTGCAGAAATTAATTCGCGCGTCGGTACAGATCCAATCCTGACCGATCGTTTTTCGTTTCACGTACTTCTTGTCCGTGTAACAAGAAACGACTAATTTACGCCACTTCGAGGCCAACGGCTTCGGGGTCCAACGTCGACTTCTTGCTCCTCTTCGCCGAAGGTTCTGTAGAAAACAAAAGCAGAAAGGAAACATGAGGGAAGCTCGTATTAGGCGAGGTCGGAACTCGTCGAAACAATGCAGGCGTTCAACCCAATTCCATAGATTAATGGCTAATGGCTCGCTCTCGTGCGAACGAATGTACGAATACCTTGGTGAAAATGTTTGGCCGTTCGCTTTCTAAGATCTTCGACGTTCTCCTCTGTCTGGGCCCATTCCAGTACCAGTCTTCGTCCGTACAAATGCGTGCTCTGGCAAAGGGCTTTGAAGGCTCTCTACGAAACATTTTCTGTTATTTACGCGTAACGATCGATGCCATATTTCGAGTAAGATTTAAAGTGGTAGAATTCGCTGAAACGGCTAATAACCGTAGAAGCTGATGTCTTTTTTAAATTCAATGAAATTTCTTCGGGTACCTTCGCATCGCTTTTGCTGTAATACTCTACGAAAGCGAACCCTCTGTGATTTTCTTCGCCCACCATCTTCTTCGGCAGCCTTACCGCTTTAAGTTCTCCAAAGGCTCTGAAAATATAAATTCGAGGAGTGAAGATAACGCAAGAAAAATACGTATCTAAAAAAAATATGATTATGTAAACAGGAAAGGAGCTCACTTAAATAATTCCTGAATCTCGTTGGCATTTGCCTGAAAGGGAACGTTCCTCACCATGATCTTCGTTCCCGTTTGTGGGGTCATTTTGGTGGATTTTTTTGCAGTCTTCAGGTCGGATCTATAAATTAGAAATAGTACAATGGAATTAATCGATCGATGAAACGAAAAAGTATTTTCTACGTACTGTAATGTTCTCTCCGATCGTTTCAATTCCAAGGTCTTCCCATCGAGAGTCGACGTCTGCAAATCCTTCAGGGCACGATCGGTGTCGGCTTTCCTTTTATATCGAATAAAACCATAGCCCATCGATAGCTTCGCTCCAGGGTTCTTGGGGTCTTTCTTCGTTGCAATCGATATGTAATGCAGTTTGCCACATTTATTAAAGTGCTGTGGAAAATAAAATAACGAATTTAAAATAAAACATTATTAATAGGAATTAAATAAAGACTTGCCTTCTTCAATGCTTCCTCGGTTGTAGAGAAGTTTAGATTTTTAACAAAGAGAGTCGTGTCATTTTCAGGCTCCTCTTCTTCCTCTACATCTTCTTCCTCTTCCTTGCCATTTTCTAATTTTTCAGGCTCCTCTATTTTTTCCTTTATCGTTTCTTTAGTTTCTGCGGATTTACCTTTTCCTCTTTCTTCCTTGTCCTTCTTCCTAGATTCGCTCGGAGCAGTGCTAAAACTATCCTCCGGAGCCCATTCGAGGTAGAGTGGTAAGTGTTTGAATTTTGTGTAAGCTAAACCAGTGAAGGCTTTTCGAGCCTCCGAAGGCTCCAGGAATTCTACCAATGCTGTAAATTTTAAAATTATAACACGGCCAATAACGTAAATAATAAATATTCATCCATACCTGTAACACCCATCGGTGGCATGACTACTCGTCCAAGTTCTCCGAACCGTACAAATTTTTCACGAATCTCTTGCTTTTCAGTGTTTACTGGTAAGTTCTTTATAAGGATAACAGTCTTTGATCTCTTTGAAGCAGACTAAAGATAATAAAAAATACAAATTTTTCACGAGCTCAGGTGAATCACTTCAGTTCTACCATGCACTCCATAAATTTGGCAATACGTGCATCTAGTGTTTACCTGGTTAAAAGCATCGAGATGTACGCCATTTTCTTCAAGAAACTTTCTTGTATCTTCTACTAACTGAGTTTCTCCTAAAGCAAGTCTCACTGCGACACTTGTCCCTTTCTTCCCACCATCTTCCAAAACCTACTCGGGACAGTGTTTGAAACGCAATGGAAATAGACATTATTTTTTATAATATATTAAATTTGCCGTTTAAGCATACCTTCTCTTTCGTAGTATTGTACCTGGCTGCTATTGCATCGGCAACAGCATTTTGTCCTAAGAAGAGAGTATTCCAGTTGTGCGTAGAATTTGCAGTTGCTTTGTCCTTTAAGTCTTTTTTATCTTTGTACGAAAGTCCATCTTTTGTAAAGAAATTAGATATAATCATAAATGGAATTCACTTATAATATGAAACAAGTGACCAATCTCTGTTATATAAACCTTGTTCCGCCAAATCGTCTGATTTCGCCTTTCCAGGGAGTATATGAAGCATCCTTCCATGAAATATCGATCCATCTAATTCCGTGTAGGCTTTCACTGCATGTTCTGGCATTAAAAACGTCACTGTACCAAATGCCTTCAACTTCCTTGTGACTTTATCTACGGGAAGATTCACTTCTGCCAAAGGTCCTAAAAATGTATGATGTGAAGGAAGAAGAAACGGCGTGTATCTTATTGACTTGTGATAATTGTCTAACCATATTTTTCAAAGAGCGATCGTATGTCATCTTCCGTAATGGCATAAGATAAATTTCTAATAAATAATCTGCCCGATTCTGCTATACTTTCTTCGCCATTCAGTGCTTCCTCCTGTTCTTTCCATTTAAGATTCTGTGTGCCTCGATTGTTGGAGCCATAATCAGAGTCTTGTGTCTTCTCTTTCTCATGATACGCCGTTACGAATATACGTTTCCCATCTATGAAATTCACTACATCTAATATACGATTGCAGAGAAATTGTGTTTATTAGCGGAAAAAAAATTCACCTAAGAAACTTTTATCTTTATTTAGAGCTTTCTTCATTTGCATTTCATTTTTAAAACCAACATAAGCAATGCCTCGAATCTCTTGAGGTACTCGAATGGATTTGGCTTTTAGTGGTTTAAAGAATTTCTTTACATCTCCTTTCCTATGATTGAAGCCCAAACCTCGAAGTTTTACCGTAAAGAATTTCTGTGGACCATGCTTTGATTTTTTATCCTCGACACTTGATTTAGGTTTTGCACCCTGTGGAGTTTTCTTTTCCTTCAATGCTTCCATATACTAAAACGGAGTACATAAGGCTTTAAAAATAAAGGAAATACTCTTGAAAATTTTATGTAAAATAGCATCCTTATACTACCTCTAGATCTGTCATCTTTTTATTTGCAATTTTTTCTTCTTCATCTTTCTGATCCTTCTCAGTTTCCGCGCTGTCTTCATCTTCCGAATAGTCTTCCTTATCGCTCGTTTTCTCACCGTCGCCAACATTTTTCTCAAGAATGCTTGTATCATTGCTCCAAACTGCGTTTTTCCCAGTGTGCGATTCAATAAACTCGGCAAACAGAGGATCGTCTTTATGCTTTCAAAAGTAAAATTCCCAAAATGTAATTTCAATTTAAACGGCAACCTAACCTAACCAACCATAAACTACAATTGAAAATACCTTTTCAAGAGCCTCTATAATACTGTCCTTTTCTTTTTTCTTCTTCTTTTTCTTTTTCTGAGTCGTGGGCTCCTCGGTAACCTCTTCTACAGATTTCTCCTCTTTAACGATTGCTTTATGAGCTGAACTATCTGGAGCATATTTACTCCATGATTTTGGCTTGGAGGCATCACCTTAAGTACAAAAACCAATTAAAATCAACACGATATCAAGAAACAAATACAAATCACGAAAGGGAATAGCTGTCTAAAATACCTAGACCACTGCAGAGCTCGACAGAGATCTTCGAGGTATCGATGCAAGTCTTATCAAAATATTCCAAAGCAGCCTGCGCTTCGTGCTCGGTCTTGTAACCGACAAAACAAAATCTTCTGAACTTCCCCTCTGCCGTGTACTTGAGCTGTACATCCGTGACTACTCCTTTTTCACTGAAAAGCTGCCTCAGCCTATCCTCTGACACCTACAAGGTGCACACCAGAGGTTATGTCGACCACGACAAATAATTCTTCCAATTGTTAATCCGTATTTTCAAGCATATTCATCGACTAACCTTTTTCGGCAGATTTTTCACTATCAATCGTGACATTTTGAACAATGTCTTCAATCGAGTTCACAAAAGTTCACGTAAACATTTTTGAAAATGAATAACGCACGTGCAGAACTTGTTCAGATTAAGTTAGATTAGTTACCATGCGAGGGAAATGTAGAACGCAAGCTCAAGTTCACAATTTGTCCACCGATGGCGAACGTTGTTTCGTTCCGTGCAAACATTCTTCTATTTTCCTACCTGTATGGATCATATACCACTGGAAGTTTACACGATAATTCATTTTATAATAGTTTGTAAATGTAAAATGACAGGAATCATTTCCTGCAAAGCTGGGCAATTTTTAAAAACGCTAAACGTCCAGGACGAAGATACCTAATTACTGCTGAAAAACGGTAATAATTCCTCGACAAAAAATATAATCGCATAGGTCTCGGAGAATTAGAAAGCTTTTCTCTTTATCATCCTTTCTTGCGAACTAAAGAATTCCTCCCGAATTGCCGAGTTTTTATAAAAAATATGGCCGCATTGTCGTTACGGTCAAGGTACACTGTGCCTCTCCAAAAGAACGGAAACTCCACTACCTATAATTAGAGACCATTTGTTCGCAAAAATCAAGGAAAAATAAAATATCCAAGCATACCGTACCTTTTAATTTTACAAGCCGGTTTAAACAATTCCCGGGAAGGAGTCGTCAAATTCGAAATCTGTTGATAAATTATTCTATTTCCATTTTTCTATAAACTATCCTCGAGGAGGAGTGACAAGGCGAGAGGGAAGCAATCACGGAGGGCATTTCCTCGGGACTAATCAACAGTTCTTCGATGAAACGAGCAGTTGGCGAGGGACGTGCAAGTTCGAAGAACAAGTACGAGTGTCGGGACTCGTCGACGACTTAAGTCAAGTTTAATTAAACGGCGCAACGACCGTAAGGATACTTGAGGGTAATTATGATTGCCGTTGCTTCCCAGCTTTCGCGAATCACCGATTCGTTCGTTTACCTCCGATACCTCGATCTTTCCGCGTCAATTTCCGACGCGTGTCGATAATTTTTTGTTCGCTATACACGATTCAACGCAGTCTACGCAAATATTTTTTAGCGGAATTTCGGGAGGCCGAGAGATCCTCGGGAATAAATTGAAATAAATTCCTCGGGTCCGTGGAACCTCAAAGAGAAGGGACATTCTTGGATAAAAAATCCGCCGGTAGACATTTTTACAACGGAAATATCTGCTGCCCTTTCTTCTCCTTCGTTTGTCCGATTTATTTTCTACGACTGCATAAAATAACTCGTATCGATGAGTCGAAAATTAATACATCTGCGATTCTATGTTTAAGAATAGCGAAAACAACTTTGGATATTTATAACGCAATAATATATACATATACACATACTCTATATACCGCGGGTCTTCTCGTTATAACACTTTTTATACATTTACACGTAGACGTAACGACACAAGTTTGAATACCCAATATAAATGTCGGAGTCTTTTCGAGTATCTCGATAAATCTAAGAGACGGAAAAAAAGGAGAATATTCGTATATGATTTTTTTTTTATAATATAAATATTATTCTTTTTCCTCCCCAGTTCGCCCCGTGCTCGTTTCGCGAGAGATCGTACCTTGTCGGTATAAGTTTCGACATTTAATGAGATAAAATAAGTGAAAGATGAAACGGTAATTAAATCCGATGTTTCGTTACGCCGACGGAAAACTGGCGAATAATCGTCGGCCGAGGAAAGGAACGAGGAAACGAGGAATTGCGGGAAGAAAAAAATCGTTTGGTCGAGGAGGTGATCCTTTTCGTAAAGGCGTTAGTTCTCTCGGCAGGGAGGAGGCGCTCCCCTTTCGAGGAGGTTTCGACGTTTAATTACATAAAACCGGTCATGTCGTAAGTAACGGAAGAGTTCGTCGGGGACGTCGGTTCTTCTTGCTGGGATCACTTCCTCTTGAAGCACGACACGGCGTTGAAATAGCAGCGCCAATATACGCTCCCTCTTGCTTGGCCTCGGCGTTGAAGGTCCATCTGAAAGACGACATTTTCAAAAAGACCCCAAACGTCCCGGAACGAGTGCGTATTTGCGAATAACGGCGGGGATTCGATCGACCCCGGAATCATTGGGCCCAAGGAATTACCGTCTGTCCGTCAGCGGCAGGAACGATCCGCGAGCCGGAGACCGGCCCATGGGACGGTGCCCTGGAGATGGACCTTTCCCCGCCGCCCCCTCCGCTCAGGCCCTGGTCGTTTAGGGCTTTCTTCAGGGTCACCATGAGATTGTCCCAGAGGATGGTGGCCCGCTTCGAGAACACGACCTGCGACCAAAATTCACCTTTCAGATGAGAAAAGAAATCGAAGGAGACGGGACCTACGGCCGAGGCGGATCAGGAAGCGTCCCCTTCTCTCGTCGCAGGAGGGAAGTAACGAGCCCTGGAAAAAAGGATTCCCGATATTCCGCGGGAAGCGAGGGGCTTTGTATCGGGCTAATATCGAGATCTTCATATCGGCCGGGCCGTCGTCGCCTCCAACGTCCCCGGAGTCGAGAAGCGACGTCCCGGAACGTTCGAGGAACGTTCGGGGGACGGGCGGCCGAGGAGACGTCGATTTTGGCCACCCGGAAGTACTCGAAGATCGTCCGAAATGGCGGTCCTCTAATGGCCAATGCCTGATCTCGCAGCCACGTGTTCCGAAGGAGTCGAGAGATTTACTCGGGACGAGCGCATCAAGGATGGTTTTTTAACGTATCAAAAGTGAGGGCCAGGAGAGCCGCGACCCTCCCTGAGTCCTGAAAAATTCATCCCGCTTCCGGGGATTAATCGGTTTTTCGGGACGAAATATCGTTAAGAAATAATCGAGCGTCATAGACGGACCGTCGATTAATCGTCGTTAAATTTTCCACCCTTTTCGGGAAGAGAAGGGCGCCGTTCCGACCTCGCTTTGTTTTAATCGTCCCGCGCGGGTCGAACGCCTCGACGTCTTGTATTAATGCGGACAGATATCGAGGTTGGGGTTTCACGGCCGCGATTCTGGAAACGGAGGCCATTTAGCGCGTTTGCTTCGAGACGCCATTGACGCGACCGAATGCGCGCAGATATCAAAGCATTCGCGTCACAACTAAGAGGGATCGCCTCGAGCCGGGTCTGCCCTTTGTGACAATTTCCAGCACGAAGGAACGACTTCGTTCCAAAGAAAAGCTACGACCAAGAAATCTCGTTCGCATTCGAGTCTCCCTGGCAATCTCTCGTTCCGGCCGTCTCGCGACTTCATTGAATATCGGCGAAACGGCCGATAAATCGCCGATAAAAATAATGGACTGCGATGCCATGGCCGACGACTGTCGGGGACTCTCGTCCCCGAGATTCCAGATACGTCCCTTCGGACTCTCGCTCAGTGAAACGGCTCCAATTAAATCAAGAGTCATCCAAGAAAATACCTACGAGGAATCGTACCCGTCCATCGACTTTAAAGCGGAGAATTCGGGCTCGAAGCGCGATTATCGGAATCGCCTTCGGCCGGGTTTCCGCCCTGCAGGGGTTTCGAACTCGCCGATCCAATCAATTATCGGCCCAACCTGTGGCGCTCATTTTTTTACTCGACCCTCTCGCCTATCCAAAAGTGTCCCCCCTTTTCTTTTTTTCTTTTTTTCTTTCGCGGATTAAACCAAAAAATTCGTAATCACCGTATCATTGGTTAACTTGACTTCGCAGTTACGGAATGACCCGCCCTCTGCAAACGGCGCCGTATTTTTCTTTGCTTCTCGAGCAGGAAATGAATTTAAAGATCGATGGCGCGGACTCGAATTCGTTGATTAACCAAGTCCGGAACATTTCCCTCGCGTTTCCCCCGTCTTGGGAAATATCGCGTTCGGTTTACCGAAAAACCTGCCCGTAATTTGACGGAAAAGCGTTTGCTCGTCGACTCCTTCGGGATCCGTCGGGAGGTCGGAGAAACCGCCGCTAACTCGCGATACGAACGAGTCGCGGCGTGGTCCCCCTGGATAGCGTGACAAATTAAAAAAAAAAATAGGGATCGTAGAACGGCTCAAATACGACTCGGATCCCCTTCGAGGGATTCGCTTTGAAAACTCCCCAAAGTCGAGAAGACGAGACGGCCGCGTCTCCGTAAAAAAAAAAAAAAAAGGAAGTCGATCCAATTTTTTCTTTTTACATCCTGACATCGGGCGCGTTCCATTAATTCCCGATTTATCATCAAGATTGACCGTTCGTATCGCGATCCCTCTTCTCGGCTCGTATCTCTCGAAAACGAGCCCCCCCATTCGATTCCTCCGACCTTCCCGACGTTTCGCACAAAAGCTAAGAGGGAGAGGGCGTATCTTGACGTTTCGTCGATTTCCTCGTCAAAGCAGCCTCGACGTCTCGTCTCGCCGCTGTTCGAAATCTCTCGCCGAGATCTCCCATTTATCTCGTAAACGCGTTAACCTCTCTTAAAATGAATTATTCTTCATCCTTGAATTTCTGCGTCGCGTCCCTGGCGCGATCGCTCTCGTGATTTTACGTCGAAGCGACGATCGATACCAAAACGATTCACGATTTCATAACTCTCCTCCGGTGTTATCCCGTCGGGTTGATTTGAATTTAAAATGGATGCCATTACGATTCCCGGCTTTTGCGCATGAAAATAATTTGGAATTTTTGTTTACCACCCACGGGCTCATTTCTTTTCTCTCGTTGCCTTTCGGGCCGAACAACGCGCGGAGCGAAAAGGTCCAGTCCGACAGCTCGTTAATTCCTCGCGAGAAGTGAAATTTTCCCGACAACGTTCGATACCTTCGACGCGCGCGTTATCCCGGTCGCGATCGTCTCTGTAATGCAAAACCCGGATTACAGGTATCGAGCGGAGGAATTTGCATAATAAATTCGGGCCGACAAATCGAGTGAAAAGCGTCGGGTTTCGGAAATGACTCCGTTCGTTCAATGGGGGCTGGCGATCGTTGCGCCAACTCGCTCCGCGGACGCGACGTTAAATCGATCCCTCTCTCGAAATGATTAAGAAGCGTCCTAAAATAAGAGACGATACGAAAATTTCAGGCAATTTCGGGCGAACCGTTTAATAGGGTGACGAGATATTTCCCTCGAAGGCGGTCCCTGGGTCGAAGTCGGCGAACGGCAACAAGTAGTCGGAGCCCCTTGCGACGTTCAAACGGAGCTCGGATCCAAACGGGGGCGTAGGTAAATGGCGACGGAGATCCGAATCATCCCGGAGGATCTCGTCGGTCCATTAACGTTTGCTTTTACGGCATCGATCTCCCTCCCGTCACCGAGGCGCAATTTCGAGTTCTCCATATTTCCTCTCCCTCCCCCATTCCTCGGTCGAGCACCTCGGACTTATTTTTTCCCACCCGGCGGCGGACCTTTTCCGGACCTTTTCCGGACCTTTTCCGGACCGTTTCCGGATTAACGAGTCTACCCGAGATTAAACTTCCAGTCTCTTTTCCACTCCGGGACCCGAAGGGAGGAAGCGGCTACCCCCCACCGAATCGATCCGTCTCGCGCGATTCTACGATACATGAATGGAGAGCCTTGCGTAACGACGTTTTCCGTGGAAGGCAATTATCTTCGAGGAAACCATGAATCGGGATGTACCGCTTTCAACGTTAAAATTGAATTTCGGAAGAAGAAGGGAAGAAGAAGCAACGCGTTATGCGGATCGTTAAATTTCCGACAATTTTGCCCCCCGATTACGTATCCCGATTTCGTTTTCTTCCTTGACTTTTGAATCGGCATAAATCATATGCAACGACATAAATTTTGAGATACGAATTGATGGAAAAATTAAAGCATCTTCTTCCCCTTTTCTTTTCCCGTCCCCGTTCCACGGACGAGCCCCTTCGGATCGTCTTTTCTTTCCCATCCGTCAGCCGTTTCGCGGATTAAGAAAGTCGGGCCGAAAGATTAAGCCTGTAAATCTTTTTGAAGGACGAGACGATTCCGGGCGAAAGGACGACGTACCGAGGTATATGGGGGATTTGCGTAATGCGATTTCCTTTTTATGCGACGCGTAAGCGCGTTCACTCCCGAAGGCGCTCTCGGATAGAAAAGAGAGATCAATTCCGGGCCAAATCTGCTCCGACCAAAGTGATTTTTGAACAGTCGTTTCCCGCCTCGCGGAAGGCACTTACAGGATTCCGCAATTCGGCCAGATTTAATATCCCGGCCGTTTCGTTGCCGCCAAAAAATTTATCCTGCCTCCGGCAAGGGGATCCTTTCGTGCCCAGCCAAGAACGAGTTCGATCTCTTTCAAGAGTTTCTCTCGGGTCCGCGCCCGAATAAACCGCGGGCCAAAAATCGCTAAAAATCCGCTGCGGCGGTGGATACGACTCGGCCTCGTTAAATCCGTGGCAAGTAATTAAAAGCGACCGCGTCGAGCAACAATTAATTACACGATACGCACCGACATTTTTGCACGCGTGCCTCTGCGGCCTCGATTGGTAGGGGAAAAAAAAAAAAAGAGGATTTCTTCCCAGGAAGCGAGGGAAGAACCTGCCGAGCATGTACTAAGAGACTTCGACGCGTGGCCGAGACTTAAACCGACGCGACGATCTGCTCCATTCGAAGTCGTCGCGATGACGAGATAGGTCCGTCCTAAAACATTTTACGGATATTACCCGGGTAATCGGAATGGAATCGCGTTAATCGACTCCCGGATCTTCGGGATGACAAAATCCTAATGGACCCCGAATTTACCCGGCGCGGTTTCCCATAAAATGAAAAATCGGAAATGAAACCCCTGGAAGCATCGCTGGATCGCCTCTTAAATTTCAAATCACCTCTCCAGGTTGCAATTTTTCTTTCCGCCCTCGGTAACAATATGTAACGCGTCTTCCCCCCGGAGCTTCGTTCCTCGGAAAGCAAGGAGGAAGGTAAGCCGCGGTTGTTAAAAATAGCGAATCCGATCTCAGGGATCGCTTCTCGAGGAAAGGATCCCAGAAAAACCGAGCTTGAAACCCGACGAACCGCGGGGGTGGGGGTAGCACCATATCGATGTCTCTTTCGATTTGCGAGACTTTGAAATAATAAGGAAATTCGAGACGCCAGATGCAAGGGGAGGGAAAGCCGGGGTAGAGGCGCAGATATCGCTAGAAACCTTCAAACGATGTATCCGTTATTAATATGTATATATATAACGCGAGTCCTTGGACGGGATATTTTCTTTACGCGTCCACCTGGACCAGGTCGCGGGATGAGGAAAGAATTTCATCCCCTTGTCGAGGGGAAAAATCAAACCCTCTTCGTCTCGACTTCTTGCGATTTTTGTCTCTTATTTCCGAAAACAAATTACTAATTACTTGTTGGACCCCACCGGTATTTTTTGTCCATATAAATTTTGAAAAGAGGGTTCTTTGGAAGGGAGATGACGCGGAGGGTAACCAATTTCGATTTTCCCTTTTGCGGGAGAAGTGAAAAATGATCGAATTTATACGTTGCGTTTCGGCGGTGCAACGCGATGACGTCTTTTTTTCCCTTTCGGGGGGATATCGTCGTAACGAGCTTTCCAGGCGAAGGGAAAATTTTACTTTATTGCTCCTTTGTCAGGAGCAATAAAGTCGTCTCGCGGCGTTTCAGCCCTTATTTATCTAGCGGAGGTTCGAGTTCTAAGACAAGGGCTCCTCCCGGGAGAAAGGATGAGACGTAGGATGGCGGGCACGGTGTACCCATTTTATGCGAATTTTACCCGCGATGAAGATTCTACGAGAAAAACTAATATATTTACGGGACGTCATCCCGCGTCCTAATTGCCCGCAAGAATGGACGTTTGGATAAATGACATTAACGGTTCCGCCCTTAATTTTCTAGAGACCCCGTTAACGAGCAGTCTTCCTATCAACGATTCCGGAATAATCCGTAATCTCCCTATTAACGATCCATTTCGCAAATACGATACCCGAGCATTCCGCAAATTTCAATTAACGGGAATTTCGATTATTCCCCCTCGCGGCAGCTTTCGCCCGTCGAGCGGAAAAACCACTCCGCATTTTTCCCCGCATTTTTCCCCGCGGCGGCGAGGGCAAAAATGCAGGCTCACCGGGTCCTTGTCGTACTTCCTCGAATAGGCAAGAAAGTCGAAATCGTCCAGGCCGGGGGCGCTGCTCCTCCGGAGGGCGTGCTCCTCGGCCCCTCGGGTCGTCTCGACGACCGCCAGGACCATCAGGAGCAGAGCGACGCCCATGTCTCGGGTCCCAAGGCGTCGGGCGGTCCCGAAAATGGAATGGGAGTCGACGCGTTCTCCAAAATGGCGGCGCGGCCGCTTCGAGGTCCTCGGGGGGAAATTTGCGGCGTTTCTTCCGGTCCTTTCCGGGGGTCCCTCGAACTCGCGCGGTTCCTCCTCTTCGGGCTCGACTCACGGTTGGCACTCTCCACTCCCGGGGTGGCTTAAGGGTGCAATGCGACGCGTGGTGGTGGCCACCCCGCGTTATATACACTCGGCCCCCTTCGGCCTCCCGGCCCGAAGCAGACGCGCGTGCGCGATAACGCGGGGGCTCTTATCGGGAACGCACCGGAATGACGGTTTTCGCGGGGACCGTCCTTTTTTGCACGAGCCGGAAATCGACCTCGTCGACTATGTTTCGTTCGATGTCTGCCCGCCGATGGGGATTTCGGCCGCGAATCGGCGGCCTTTAATCGACCCCGGGTTGTATTCCGGGTTGTATTCCGGGTCGCTTTGTCGCGGTCGAAGGATCACAAAGTCGAGGCAGGATTGCGTTGGGAATTCGGTGGCTCCAGGTCGGATTACCGAACTTGCCGTCTCGTCCAGCATTTTGGAAAGTCGTCCCTGGCCACGATTTGCCCGCTTCCCCCCGAGGGACCGTCAATTTTGACAACTTTTACAATTTCGGAGTGACAAAGGAAAAAAGTGCAAAGGGCGAGTTATCGATCGTCGATGGGTCGGCGGGTCGAGACGTCGATTTAATTAGAGGGACTCGTCTTATTCGTAGTTGGCCGGAATTAACGAGCAGGTAATACCACCCGCCATCCGCGGGCGGAGCGAACGCGACGGACGAGTTCTCGTTCTAAATGCCTCCCAACCGCGACCATTTGTCACCGTTCCGAACGTGTCCGGCCGGGTCGAGCGCTATGCCGCTCCTTCTGAATCCTTTATTATTTTCTACGCACGTTGCTTCCGCGATCTTCGGCGAGGATCATTTTCTCGCCGAGGAAATGAGAGACCGACAATTACGCGGACCGCGCAATTTGTCAGAGATGGATGACCCAAAAATATTTCGGTCGCTCGTTGCCTCGCTTCCTTTTCTCTTCTCAAACGTTTCCAAAAAATCGAGAGTCACGATACTTTTTCAATTAAACGATAAGTCGATATGAAGTCGTAATTAGAAAGAGACCACTGGCGTTTTATTTCCCTCTTCGTAAATACGGAAGAAACTGGAATCGTCTCACCGGGGCAGGGGCGGGGACGTATCTCTCTATTTTATATCGGGGGATCGAAAGGCACCGAGTTTAATGCGTTCCTTCCATATCTGGCTGTTCCCTATAAAATGGGCCGCGTAAACAGGAAATCATCGCATCGAAGCAATCCCGCTGATTAACTAAACAAATCCCAACGTATTTTTAATCGACTTTCCGTCAAAATGAAAAACCTCCGATCGTCCGCCAAAGGGAAAACGATCCACGTTTGTTGGGACCACGAGAACTACGAAATAAAAAAAAAACTTCTCCATCGTTCGAAAAATCCCTCATTTTCCCCGCCTCGCCTTTCTCGTAAAAACGAAGACGATCGTCTCTAATGGGTAAACGTCCCGCTTATTTACCGGAGAAAATTAGGAAAGCAGACGTTTTATTGCGATTTTCCGGCGGTCTACGTCCACGCGAGGGGGAAAAGGGGCACCTCGAGGCGCCGCAACGGACATTCATTTTTATACCCAGACAATTAGGGGTCGAGACTCGCGGCCCTCGATTGGACGAGCGAAAACGAGTCCGGAACCGGTGCGAGGACATCTCTATTATTTAATTGACGCCCGGCCATTATCGCCGGCGCTCGTTGCCGCCATGGCCCCGCAATTGGATGCAATCATCCCCGATCTCGCCCCTTTCGTTCTTTCGGCCGATCCGATCGCCGACTCCTGTTTCTACATCTCCCCTTTCCCCAAACTAGCTCGAACAAAGAGGATCTAGATATTCGCCGTTGAATATTTCGTGCTCGATATTAAATATTTAATACCACGCCCCGAGCATTAGGTATTTACTTACCCTATCGATTAATTTCTGTACCGGATTATCGTTCAGCCGTTTCGGGGTGCCTCGGATGGGGATATCATCTGTACCTGGAAACGCGCCCAAGGAGGAGAATATTTTTTTCCTGGGATCGACGAAGGGTAAACAGCGGAAGTCGATCAGGAATCGGTGTCGATAATGGAGCTCGCAGGAAACGTGGAAACGATATCGCTTCGCGGTTTCTGGCTAAAGGCTTCCCTGGTAGCACTCAGCCACCCGCTGCTCCTTCCAACCCGACTCGAAAGCTCCGCTCCGGATTCGCCAGGAATGCGACCGAGTCGTTAACACCTGGGCACCCCGTTGGGAACGAGTTAATTTGCGACCCCTCCGAGAAGCGGTGGGAATCAATCCGGGAAGAAGGAAGGTTCGACGAAAGCTTCGCGGGGGAGAAACCGTGAAACCGCGTGGCAACTTTTCGCTTCTGGGTGCTTCTAATCATCGCGATAGCGGCTCGCTCCTGCTCGCTCGGAAAATATTACGAGCCGCGGGATTTTCCTGAAAGAGCGCCCTCTCCCCAGGAAGCGGATAAGAAAATTGCCGGACTTTCCATCGCCATTAACCTTTTACGATGCCGAAGATGTTGCCAGCAAACGCGAATAAATCACCTCGCTTCTGGCTAAACTTATCGTTCCGGCCGAACTCTTTCGTTCCTCCCTTTCCCACGTTGCGAGAAATAAGAAAACGCGAAGAGGGATGGAAGCTAAAAATCTTGAAATAAAGCACCTACGAGGGTGATCGCGCGGTCGGTCTTAGTTACGGGGCATTCCTTCTCCCGTGGACAGGGCTTCCATTGAATTCCCTTGCAAAAATCACGGGAACCACGCGGGGACGTACCTCGAGAGACTCGGCCGACGCGACGCTCCCTGGATCATGCTGGGATAGGACTGGACAGAACTGCCCGTTTCGAATTTGAATCGGAGCGTCCCCTCGGACCGGCCGGTTCCCGCCAGCACCATCTCTCGGGATTTCTCGCAAACGGGTCGCGCTCGTGCTCCCTACGCTACCGGCCACGTTCGAGACTGAGAATATTTTCCAACCGTAGATTTGCGGTGAAAAGGCGACAAGGAATACCGGAGAAACCTTTTTCGCCGAAAGTCGGTCAAATGGAGAGCGAAGCGGAAGAAATCCTCGAGAGTGACCATCCGCTGAGATCCGATGTAAGGCGTAATTTGGTTATTCTCGAGACTACTGCTTAAACGATAAATTCGGAAATAAGTATTTGCAATTAAAAAAAAAATAATCTAATTTTTTTTAACCTCTTATGCGAATTTTGACAATTTCGGACCCGGCTTGTCGCATCGAACCGTAATATCGTCGTTCCATATATTTCGAGAATTCGAAATTCGAAAATTCGCAATTTCGCGAGGGTGCAATTTTTTAGGGACATCGGGAATGGAAAACTTCACTCTTAACCGGAATTTTATGTTGCCTTCGAGAAAATATGATTTTCTTTCGGTTGGTCGTTATCGACGCAAATTAATAATTGGATAGAAAATCAGGAAACGCGCAGGTTTTACTTAGATGCGATTTATCGATGTCCTTCGTCGCGGAACGGCGCGAAGGAAATTAATGAATTGCTCGTTAAGTTGCGTAACGAGGAAAGTCTTGCGGATAGATCTGCGAAATGGGGAGGATGTTTATCGCCATTAGCCTCAATTATTCAACCCGGCCGTTATCGGGCTCGACATTTTCCGGGTAACGTGTCGCAGCTCTAATTCCGATTATTTTGCAACGTCGATTGGACTCTGGGTTTTGGTTACCCTCCGAATGTCTAAGTAAGATTATTTATCTTGCGCTCATTGTCAGTGGGGGCGAAAAGAGGGCAGAGGACGAGGTCGATTCTTCTCGGCCTTTCGCGAAGTGTCACCGACTCGAATTCCTTCGGGACCCTCCATCGGATCAATTAGACCGACGAGATCGAAGGGCGTCCAGGAGCTCGATAAACCGAAATCGAAATTCACCCTTCGACCCTCCCCCAACCGAATTCCCTTTATCCCGGCGACCCTTTTCGCCCGTAAAATAATCGTCCCGTTCGCCATTGTTTACAAGTCAAACACGGGAGAAGTAACGCGAACCCCGAGCAAGTGAATTTTTCGTCTCCACGATCGCCAGAAGGAATTTCAGGAGGAATTCCAGGAGGAATCCTTGTCTGGAAATCGGATCGATCCGAACACTCCGAAGCGATGTCGCGATGTAATCGAGGGATTACCGGCAATTAAGCAAAAGGGAGAACCCGGCATGTTCCCTTTTACGAGGCACTCCGAAAGGGACTCGGGGAATTCGCGGGAACGCGGAGGGACGTTCTCGAGAAATTTAGAGAATTTTCCGATCACGAGGAAACGTCGATGTCGAAAGAGCGCGAATTTGCATCTTCGGCCTGAATGCGACTTTTTAGTTCCGCCATCGGGCAAACTTTGAATTTTTCTCAAATGCGTTTCGTCGTCCCTTCGAGTCTTTTCAAGGAGCCCGGAATCGCTTATAGCGGAGGGTGATCGCGTCGCGAGTCGAATACGATATACATGTATCGATGATCGGTCGAGGGCAGGTGGGGGTAATTTCCAATCCCGTCTCGCATCCTGTTGCTCCCGTCGCGGGGTGGGAAAATTCCCTAGCCCCCACTCCGACCAGGGAGCCCGGAGATACTCCCGGTGGCGGTGGAACCAGCGGCGGGGATATAAAGTCGCGAGAAAGGAGAGTCGTCGCTATACGGTCAGACGCACTCGCGGCAACCGGCCGGCATAGGAGAGGCATCCTCGCACCTTCCACCCTCCACCGAACGGCACACGGACGGCAACCGAGTGGCATCGCTCTCTCCCAGAGTTTCAAATAAGATCCCCCAGCTTCTACGAAAACCCGTAAGTTTCCGATAGAGCTTTCTCAACGTTTTAAACTCGTTCCTTTGCAAAAGCGTCTACCTATGATACCGCTCGGCTATTTTGGGACTCTCGGAAAAATAAGAAAATAAGCCAATGAGCGAATTACTAAATAAATAAAAAATATAGTAAAGGGTATTATCGCTGTTTTACCCAGGTGAGCCGTTGTTTCAAAAATACGAGCGGGAGGGTAAACGGGGAGTAAAGGCAAGGTGGGTTTTTGGGACGAACGGTAATTCGCCTTGCCGACGATTTATATTTCATTTCACCGAATGGTGAATTTTTCCGGACAGTCTGAATTTTGCGAGAGTAAGGGGGCTCGGTAATGCCGATAACGCCGGTAATGGCGATAATTGCATACAGGTTGCTCCGGACAAATACGCCCGGACGCTTAGAAAGCACTTACGCGGAGCGGAAGGCCGATATTAATCGATGGCCAATAAGTCGGCAGGTGCACTTGCCTCCCCGTAAACCCTCTCCAGGATCGACTGGTCCCGATCGATGGTCAACCTTTCGGTCATTTTTCGACAAAAAACAGAATTGCGATACGTTAATTAGAATTTAACACGTTGTAACCTGGTTTTCCCCCGCGGCGACGTTTTCCTCTCCTTTCGAACTCAATGGCCCTTTTCTTGGGCCGAAGTCGTTCCAGTCGAGGTGAACCAGCAATTTCCAATGGTCCATTGACTGGAAACGATTGCTACCTTTCGGTCAAATGGAATTTATCCAGAGTCGGGAAATGAGCTAGAGCCAATTTTATTTGCTCTGCAGGTAAAATAACGATACCATTTCTTCAAGGAAAATCGCTCGGAAACAATTTTCCTTATCTTTCGAACACTTCCCTTCCCCTTCGAGGTGTAACAGGTAACTCCTCCCTTTTATCGGTCAACTCCGAGCGGGTAGAAATAAAATGTAATCGAATCGAATCCTCCAGCGGGCCGTAAAATAATATTTATTAATTTCTGCCGACTTATTCGCGGAAATAAAATTTAATTTCCCCCGGAGATAATCGAGTTTCGCCTCTTGATAAAATTTTCCTCATCTCCCCTCCCCGTCTGATACACTCTTTTCCCTTTTCACTCGGGATCCTTCCGCGTTAGCCGGGAATGTTTTTCAAGACTCGTCGAGACGGAAGCGTCGTCCCCGGAAGTAGGGGCGAACTTCCGCCCTTTCTTCGGTCAAATTGAAAACGTCGAGTCGGGAAAACGGGGCGGATGGCTCCTCGTTGTTCTTGCAAGTGGCCGGCTGTTTTCCTTTTAGCAGGCACCACGAGAGAGACGTCTTCCTCCTTTTAAAATGCGAGCAATCCGGCAACCGACGTCCGCCGTTACTCGGAGACGTCACGGCGGAGGTCGGTTATCCTCCCCGGGCAAGTAATACGACCGAGTGATACGAGCAAGTAATCCGGGTTCCGAGTTAAACGTGGCGGTCGCCGGAGGTGAGGTCTCCCATTAAGGCCGGACATTCGTTTAGTCCCCCGAATTCAAAACGCACGAGGAAATGGTTCTCCGTTTTGGAATCGAGGGTAGTAACTTCGAGGGCGAGATCCAAGCCGGATGCCGCCCCGGATAACGAGAGGGGGATAAACCTAATTTCCCGATTCCCCGAGTCGAAGATAAACGAGTAATTGCGGATAATGGCGGAACGACCGCACTCCCGAGATCTGACGTTTTCGCGTTTCCTCGCATTCCGAGGCGGGACCGTCCCGACACCTCTCGTTGATTCTTGGTCGACGTACATTTGTAATTGATTTTTGCGCAGAGGAAAGGAGGAGAGATGGTTTCCCTGCGATCCACCATCCGTTTGACAATGGTGCTCGTCGCTCTGCTCGGATTGTCGAGCGGACTGCCAACACCGGACAAACAGAGGTTCATCAATGATTTGGACGTGAGTATACCGCGTTTTAAAATAATAGCGAGGCCGGATTTCCGGTTTACGGGGCGAAGGAGAGAGGGAGGATCTACTCTCTGCCCGGAAAGGTGAAAACCGAGAGTCCCGCGGGGAATTGCGGCTCCGACGATATAAGGAGGTTCACGAAGGAGCGACACGGTCGGCTAAAGGATCCTCGGTCGTAACCGGAAACTGTCCCATTCGCGTTTCCTTGGCCCAAATTGGTCCCGACTTTGATTCCCAGGGAGCGAACCGACTCTCGTTAAAGTCTCACCGAGTTTTCCACAGTTCGTCCCTTTTTTAATCATGTTATTCCGTCGACCGATGTTTCCTTACTTTCGGGGAGAGTAAATTGAATTGAAATATTTTAAGAAGTATCGCGTTCTTCTTTCCTATTTCGAGAAAGCCATTCTGCCTCGAAGCGAGGGTAAACGCGTTCTCCGTGCCTGTTTTAAAATGCGCGACGGTAAATGGAAAGCGATCGTTAATCGTCGCCGTAAGTCGATTTTTGCGAGGATGAAAAATTGGTTTATCCTTCCCGTGGAAACCGAGCGAGAGAGGATAGGAAAAAAAGAGAGCTTTCCCCGCTCATTTTCCACAACGGACTGGAAACACCTCCCAGAGTGTAGGAAATAAAAACGACGTTAAGCGAGAAAGGGTGCAATATCGTGCGTTTTTTTTTTTCCCGAAAAACACTTCGCAGTTTGCGGGAAATAAACGCGACGTTAACCGCGAGGGGATGCGCGCAGCTTTGCGTTATAAATATGAGGAAGAAAAATACATCGAAGTGGATAGGGAATAAAAATGACGGTAACCGCGAGAGGATGCCCGCAACTTTTATGATAAATTCAGCGGAAGCTCCGCAGAGGGAGGGAAAAAGGAAACCCCTCGAAGTCGTTGACATTGCGTAAGATGCTCCGTCCGCTTCGAATGCAAATGCCAATCGGGCCGTTGCATCTCGCCACCCCCCGCGAATCATCGAGGAGAGAGAAGTCGATTCCTCCTCCACGGGTTGAGGAAAGCTAACGCGAAACTAATGGCGGAATAAATCCCCCGTTGCGGAAACTTTCGACGTTCTCCTCGCGCCGTTACCGAAGTTGCCCCGAGAAAATGGCCGCGATGGCCCTCGAGCAAGCGCGTTTCTTTAGTTTTCATCCGAAATTCCGAGAAAGCGAGGAGCGACGTGTTCCAAAGTGTACTCGCGATACCGTATATTTATCGTTTTTATCCGGTCGTGGATCCCCTCGCGGCTTTAACGCGGAAGTCGATCGGGTGGGTTACGAGGTAACAAAGGTTTACGCCGAAATCAACCGCGTGGAGGTGCTTTCTAAATTGCACCTCGAATCGCTCGGCCACGTTCGATAAAAAATAAGTGTTAGCGCGTTGGGCGGGCGATAACCACCCCGAGTCAACTCCGAGCCTCGAAGGCACCGAACCGAACTCCATTTCGGGTTCCATCCGGGTTCCATCCGGGTTTTTACCGGCTCCTTTCGCGAGCCTGGCAGAAGGTCGCGACTCGTGGAACGACGGGGACATCCACGAAAATCTCGCGTTCGGAGTAGGTTGAGTTAACGAAGCGATCGCTCGGCCGAGTCGTGCTCTCGATAATGCGGTGGAATAACGGACGAGCCGTTGAAAATGACGGGGTTGCGCAACGATTGCAATTAAACCTTCCACCGATCGATCTCGATCCGCAACAGCTGTCCGAGGATGCAACGTTTCGTCGCCGTTTTACCTCGACGATGTTCCATTTAATGTCAGTTTCTACAATTTATCGGGAGAATATTTTCCGGACTCGAGTACGATCCAAGGAACGCGCGATACCAACGGAACGTGCCACCGAATTCGATTACCTCGAAATGTGGGAGAAAAAAAAATTCACACTAGATATTCAGGTTATCGATATTCCGATGGCATTATTCTCTCTTGTATTATTCCTTGCAAGGATGAAAGGGGTGGATAAATTCATTTCCGCCAGGAAACTCGTCCGGTCGTTCCCGAGACTCGTTAACGTTAATCCGCGAGCAATGAGCCGTCGTTATGACCATTTAACTGGCAATTTCGCTAACGGCAGCTTATAAGGGTGCGTTGAGAAAATTTCTTTTAGCGTTTGGAATTTTATCGATGTCCAGTTTAATGAGAAAAAATTGATTTGCAGCTGGTGGACGATGACGGCAGCATCGAGACTGCTCTCATCAACTACCTGTTCACCAAGCAGCTGGTCCAGCGTCTCCACAATCGGATGGACATCGGCGATCTTCAGCGCAAGCGCAGTTACTGGAGACAATGCGCTTTCAACGCGGTCTCGTGCTTCGGAAAGTAGATCCCCTTTTCCCACTCTGCCCCCGAAGCGACCCACCTCGAAAATCCCCGTTCAAATTCTCTGAATGTCCAAGTTGCCGAAGTCGAAAAAAAAGAACGAACTCGAGTCAGAGTTTGCTTTTCGAATTATCGCTAAACGATTGCAAAAGTGTAACGAGTTAAGCGAGCATTAACCCTTTGCCATCCCAGTGGTCGAGATGTCGACCGCTCATGTCGAGTCACTCTCGACAAAGGAGGGCAAAGGGTTAAACGCGTGCTTCGACTAAGTGAATTTTGAAAATCGCGAGCTGCGGCGTGCAATGAAATCATCAAACTCCCTTAATTGTTTTGGCAAGTGCAACTTCGAGTAAATACTTCTGCGAAAAATCGTGTAGCCATATCATAGAATAGAAATACATATCGTAACGTCGTAATTCTTTTCCTTGTAGAGTAAACTGCGAAATTTATTTAAATTGTACAAATTCATGATTTCCAATGTTAAGGCTGTACATCCGAGTTCAACTCTCCTTTAAAAATAAATCAGCACAGGAGATGACGGATGACTTTTGAAAAATACAGTTCTGCTTCCTCGACTGACTTGGACAAAATCGATCTCATGATATTTCGCGTCGGGGACTTTTTTTTCATGATTCATTTTACTTTCTCGTTACCTGCCATGAGGGCACGGACAACTGCAATATACCCCAAAAAGGGTTACCGCGTGATTTGCGTCGTCCTGTGCCTTCGAATTTCTAACAGTGGCATCCACCCAGGAGGCGTCCACGTGCCTCGCCTTTTTCGGAATATCCTCCAATTCCTAAAAATGGAAAATATTTTTTTTTAATTAACAAAAAACGGGTTTAATCGTTCCAACATATTTTCAAATCCAAACCCGAAGATAAGTCTCTGGGAGCTTTCTACAATCGTGAATGACATGCGTTGCTCTGGATCTCTCTTCTTTCCTCAAAATCATGGCTCCTAGACTGGAGTTAACGATGACGTTAAGAAAACTTAAACAAACGTTTATTCTCCAAAGGGCAAAAATAATAAATAGATTCGCTGGAAACGTTGCAAAATTGACGTGTCATAAATTTGAGAGGAAAAACACATTTTTCTGAAATGTCCCTCGTGCCTTCGAAAGAGTAATCTCAAAACTGGGATTGACTTTGGGATTGACGTCCACTGATTGAACATTTCTCTTACTATCTCATGTGACGCTTTTCTTCGGGTAAAAATGGCGGAATAAAATCCGCGAAGGGGGTTGGACGAAGTCGCTTTTGGACGCGCCTAGAGGCATGGACAATGTGCGGCGATATTTTGTCGGGATTTCCGCGGGCGGATAAATTGAACGAGTGCTCTGCTAACTGGGCGGAGGTCAGTAATTTGTAAATTGAATCTCGGGGTCGGGTAGATTTATGAAAATGTGCCGCTGTGGTCGATTGGACGGAAAATAGCCCGTGGCCAATTTCAAAGTCAGCCCGACGATCGTCCCCCGGCCGGCACGTTTCCAAAAATAATATATATACATATATATATTAAATAGACGAGGACGTTCAACCCCCAAAAAATCGAAAAAAATACCTCCAGCGGAGTTAGCTCGAACAAAATTCCACGCATAAAATTAGAACGGAATCTCTCAAATTCTCCTCGTGGATAAGAGGTGAAGAAACTTTTGCGTCACGATTAGCTAACTTTCTTCGGGAAAGTTTAATTGCCGCGTAATGGGTTTCGATGTTTTGAATATCTGTGGCTTTGGGGGACCCCTTAATTAAAGGAATTGTTGAAAGTTCCCCGGCAAATGCCTGCAGATAATGGAAAGGAATTGTTTAGGGGTGATGACTAGACGAAGGGCTGGAAGGGGATGAACGTTCCGAAGTGGTGGTGAATTTCCTTGGGGGAAGTTTGCCAAAAGAAAAAAGTTTTTCCCGGTCGTGGGACATATTGTTTGGCCACTCGTGGTCACCAGGTGGTTCCCCGCTCGAAACGTTGAACTCGTTATCATCGACTTTTCCCTTCGTCCCCTTACAGCGAGGCCCCACCCCAGGACATTCCCCAACATTCGGAAAACCATTGGACACCCTTCCTCGCCTCCCAATTTTCTGCCGACCCGCACGGATCGTTTAATCCGTAATTCGTTTAAGCGGGCTGCAAAGGATTCTCGAAATTACTTGAAATAATATAACGAAAACGAAGAATAGGTAGTGAAGAATTAGGACTTTTTTCTTTAAATATGTAAGGATACGTCTTAAGCGTCCGTTTGAGCTCTTTTCTTCGACTCTTCCTAATGTCTCTGCTTAAAATCACTCGGACGTCATTTAAAATCGTCTTGGAGCGCTGGAAAAAAATAAGGAGTCCCCGATACAAAAAAAATTGCTGAGTATCGGTAAGTGTTCCCACGTGTCGGTGCGGTGATTGTTAATGGTGTCATTACAGCCACCGACCTAATTTTTTTTTTTTTCGTAACAGAAAACTTACGAGCTCCGAATCGTCTCGACTCGACAAAGGCTTCGCATCGGGTGGCAGCCCTTTAGGTGGTCTACGGCCTTCGACCCAATTCAAGGGACTTCCAGCCGAGCTGTACTCGATGTACTGAAATCAAGAAAATAAAGGAAAAGGACGCTTCTCAAACTCTTCCGAGAAGAAAATTCATTTCTTCGAAAAATCTTACATCGGATCCGAGGAATGCATAAAAATCGGCGGATCGATTATTACCCTCTGAAAATTCACCTTCCTGGTGCCATGGTTCCTTCTTGACGAGCATTTCGACATCGTCCTTTTCCTGCTTCGGGACAGAATTTTGTTTTCTCTTCGCTTTAGATTCCTTTAATTCGGCTCTATCGATTTTTCTTTTTCTCTCGCCCTCATTCTTTATCTCCTTCGGCTCAATTTTGACTTTCACCCCGAACCATTTGTCTTCTTTTCCGGGAACGCTTTTACCCTCCTTATTGAGGGAAGATCGAAGATCCTCCAAAGACGGCTTCCGGTCCTCGTCGTCCTCGGGGATCTCCTCTTTTACCGCGAGTCCCGAAGTCGAAGGCCCCGGATCGTCGATTTCTTTTTTATCCTCGAATTTCTTTAAACTGCCTAATAAGGTCTTCGAGCTCTCTTGAGTCCTGTTTGAAAATCGTTGAAATTTAGCAATCCTCTCCCCCTTTTTTTTAAGAAAGGACTTACCCGTCGTTAGATCGTAAAAAGAGGCTGAAATCCATGGACTCTGAACTTTTTTGGAAAAGTATCCTTAGCTCCTTTAAATTCGTCGCCGTCTTCCAATCCTTGTCATCTCGAATTCGAGTCACTCTGGGAAATCGAATACTGATACCATCGGCAGTATGGACACCCTGATTCGTAAATTCCGCCCCCGTAATCTCCCACACTGGTTGTTTCTACCACCCCACCGAAAGGAAATAAATTATCTCTTTTTAATAATTATGCCAATTTTAATGAAAAATCTTCTGGAAATATTAAAGGTTTCGAAAACCTTGGGATCTCTTGCCACGAAATCCGGAACCATTGGTTTGTTCGCTCGCAGCCATTTCGGGACAAGGTTTGGATCCTTGCTGATCTTCACCATGTCCAGTTGATCCTGAAGACTTTTCAAAGTGGCGTCATCGTGCCCGGTGTGGACCTGATTCAAAGTATAGACACGATAATTAAATGTGCCAATAAAATTTGCAATGAGAAGATTAATAAAATCTGTCGAGACCTTCGTTACCGTCAGCCAAATGTCTTTGTCGGTATCGTAGCAGCCCATCAGGAAGACAGACATCATTCCTCCTGGAAAATGCGAACGAATAGGATCGATTGGCTCTACAGGTTCGAAAGAAAATTTGGTTGCTCTGCCATTACCAGGGCAAAAAGTGAAAACTCCTTTATCGACTGAAAGTGATACCAAAATTAAAGACGAACCTTTATGTCCAGTGCCATACCAAGCGCCAAGAACAACGAGATCTGCACTATCGGCCATCGCTCCCCCGCAAAGATAATCCTTCTTCACCTTCAGCCAGTGCCTCTTTCCGGGCTCGTATTTTCCCTAAAGTACAACAAACAAAGTATACGGAGAGACAAATTTTTCAAACACTTGGGAAGATAATCGACATACATCAACGTTTTTCAGAACGAGTCCTTCGAGGCCCAGCTTCAAAACCTTTACTATAAACTCCGTCAAGTGCTTCGGATCCTGAAAAAGTCAAAATCAAGTGAGTGCTATTTTATTTATATTTTAACGATATAATAACAGAATATTTGAAGGTTTAAAGGAACAGTTACTTGAATTTCGCGAGTCTCGGAAAGCATTATCCTGTTAGGGATTTCCGTTATCCTGTCCATCAGGATCCTTCGCCTCTCCTTCATTGGCCTGGGATGACATTATTAATAGCAATACGTTAGGCACATTTCATTCCTTAGTGAATAATTATTATTTCTTACTTTTCCATCAACAGATCGCCATTATAATAAATGCAGTCAAAAATGAAGAGGCACACGTTGGCATCCTTGAATTCAGCTTTCTGCAAAAATCGAGGAAGTTTAATAAATAAATCAATCCATCCCTGTTAATGAAATATATTCAATATATATATATATATATATAATAGGGGACATTACATTTTTGTACACTGGCGGTCATGAATGGCTTCCTCGTATGCATGGAGCAGCCTGATGGTGGTAACGTAAACGTAACGTAAAAAACGAGCGAGAGAACTTATGTATTTGCGATACTTGATGTATAATAAACTGTAAAATAATTAATGTAATAAAGAAACTTATTGAACGATAACAATGAGTACGTTTAATTAGACGAGCGTGTCTAGCAAACCCTCCAATCGCCTATTCCTGATCCTTGAAAATCACTCATAGATCTAAGGCACGAAACTCGGTGCCACCTCCTCGGTTATCCTATGTTCCTGTTAGAAATCGGAAATTTCAACCCCTAAAATTTTTGNGGGGTTGAAATTTTCGATTTCTAACAGGATCATAGGATAACCGAGGAGGTGGCACGGTGTATCTCCCGGGCAAAAATTTTAGGGGTTGAAATTTTCGATTTGTAACAGGATCATAGGACAACCGAGGAGGTGGCACCGAGTTTCCTGCCTTAGATCTACGAGTGATTTTCAAGGATCAGGAATAGGCGATTAGAGGGTTTGCTAGACATGCTTGTCTAATTAAACGTACTCATTGTTATTGTTCAATAAGTTGCTTTATTACATTAATTATTTTACAGTTTATTATACATCAGGTACCGCATGTACAGAAGTTCTCGAGCTCGTTTTTTACATTACGTTGACGTTGCCACCACCAGGCAGCACCATGTACACGAGGAAGCCATTCAGGACCGCCAGTGTACAGTCAGTGGCTCAAGTCATCAACACACCTTGTGTTTTCCAAGGGTTCCAAAAGGTAATGGCTTTCCGGTCTTGTTGTCTATCAACAATATTTCGGTATCCAAAATTAAATCGTCTCCATCGGGAAAGGCCTTTGGTATGTAATCCTTGAAGTGATTCACCTAAAAGAGCAACTTTTATTTATGGCGAAATGGTTAAAATGTCAAGATTAAGCATGGTAAAGCGAATTGAAGTAAAAAGGGTCGGTCACTGGTCAGACGAATCTTGAAATTTTCCGTTAAAAATTATCCAGGGATCGAAATCGAGCCGTCAAGGAGAAAACCTCCAAGGCATTCGATTTAAATGACCAGGAAGGGAAAGCAAGTATTCCAGGAAAGTACAGGAGATTCCTCAGAAGGGGACTCGAGGGTGTCGCGAGTTGGCGCAAGTTGAGAGTTCGCCCTCGCTTAAATCACGAAATCGAAGGACTCGATTTGTCACTTTTCGGAGAAACCAGGAGACATAAATTGGTCCCGTTTCCAGGACTCGGAAGGAGGGATGGGCTCACCTTGTGGGCTAACACCGGTTTAAGGGATCTGCTGAAGTACCGGAAGTCGCTTCCTCGTTTGTGAATCTGGACGCGTTCTCCGTCGTACTTGACCTCGGCGAACATCCCCGACGGACACTTCCTCGTGGCCATTTCCACGGATTTGCATGCCTCCGCCTGGGCAGCAGAAAAATTCGGAAGTAGCTTTTGTTCCTTTTTTACTACTCTTTAAGAGTAGTAAAAAAGCCCTTTGCTTACGAGCATCGGCAAAACCGGAGTCATCAGGGCGAGAGCCACTTTGCTGCCTTTAGGAGAAAGCGAAGGGCTCGCAGAGGTGGAAGGGTCTTCGGGGACCGATAGGCAACGCTCGATAACGGCATCCAGGTCTCTGGAGACCTGGAAAGCCTTGTAGGCGTCTTCGTGAATGGCTTCCAGGCTGAAAAAGCGAAATACTGAATTTTCCGCGTAAATGCGAATGAAAACGTTAGCGTCAAACTTACACGTGCTTAGGTCCCGCGTTAATCCTCAAATCGTGTTTGATCAGTCTGACGATCATCTTCAAATCATTCGCCGTGCACCTGAAAAAGGTATAGGAGAGAATTCGAAGAATTCGAGGCTGCGGTTCGAATGAATCGTTTAATCGACCCTTTACCTGCCAACGATGGACCCGATGTGGCAGGTCTGCTCTTCCTCCTTCGTCAGCTGCGAGAGCTCCTCGAGAAACCCGTCGACCTGGAAAAACAGGACCGAGAGGAAGTCCTCGCGAGAAAACATGGCGATTCCCTGAGATAGGATCGAGGAGGGATCGGAGATTAGGGCGCAAACGGTCCCAGGGAAGACCTTCGGGAGGATCGGACGTCTAGCTTAGGAAAATTCCTCGTCGAGGGGGATTTGCGTTTCCTCGTGACGAATCCTACCGGAACATCCAGGGATCTAGCCTCCGGCAATTTTCAGAAGAGAAATCCCTCGGAGGGCGTTAACGCTCTCGCGGGATGGGAGTTGCCGAATTGGGAATAGTCGCGCGGCTGGGTTATGCATGCAGATGGAGAAATCGGATCAGGATTCGGGCGTCCTTCTTTCCAAACTCCGTAAGGGGTTCTTCCAAACGAGGGAAAGAAGCTCATCCGGATAACGGTGAAGAAATCGGTGTTTAGGATCGTGACGTCCTTCGGAATGGCGTTTCATTTATCCCCGGGATCCCCGGGTCTGCGCTCACCTCTGCAAGGGAGAGCCGACTCCTCGAGGAGGGCTTCACGGAGGAGCTCTTCTCGAAGAAGACGCGGACGGTCTCCGCGACGTCCCCGAGATCCAGGTGGTCCAGCATCTCGTCCTCGCCGCGACCGAAGATCCTGGCAAAGAGCTTGATCAGCTGTTTGCTCCGGAGGTTGTAGATCCTCTTCACCGCGCCGGGCAGGAGCATCTTGCACCAGAGCAACGAGTCGCCTTGAAATTTACCTAGGAAAGAAATCGTCGAGGAACTCGCGTTTCGCGGAGCTCGCGCTCGGTTCGCGAACGGAAAGTTCCCGCCGCGATATCCGCTTATCGGGGATATATTCAATAACGAGATCCTCTTTCGGGGTCACCGCCGACTCCGGACTCTCGGCCGCCGTCCAGGGAGAGCCCCGCGTGGAAGGAAGACCCTCGAAGGACCCACCGAGAGGCCGAGGAGGAAGATGCGCCGAGACGGACACACCTCTCGTGACGCGACGCCTCGCGCTATCGAGGAGCTACGTCGACGTCGCGGTCGTCGTTAAAACGCGATTTATCTCCTTACCGGAGTTGGACGCGGAAGAGTCTTCGAGGCTTCGCCAGGACTTCGCGATACGGGGGGTCGACCTCGACCTTCGACCGGCATCGAGATTCGTTTTTCCCCGTGGACCGTGTTTTCGGTTCTCGTCTCTCGCGACTAGTGGCGTCTCGGGAAAAATTCCTTCGCGGCCTCGCCCGACCGAACGGTGTCCCACCTCGAGGTACCTTCGACCCTCGCCCTCTTCCGGGCCGAGTCTCGAGGTCTTCGGCAATGACCCGCCGAGCCCTCGCGATTCGTTTCCGGCCGATCTCGACTTCGGATCGTCCCGCCTGTTGCGTCACGAGCTCCGCTCTCGTCGGAATCAGCCGTTGTTTTCCTCGGGATTTTTTCCCTCCTCCCGGCCTGACGGGATGGACGAGGACGTCGTCCGAATCGATCGACCGGGCCAGATGAATTTCGAATTTCCCGTCGCCGATGGATCATTTTCCCAATCCAAGTTGAGAGCGAACGAGAAATCCGCCCGGCGGATTTTTCCCCGCCCCTGAAACGATGAGGTCTGCTCGAAAGTGCGCAGTTCCGGTGGATCTTCCGGTGGATCTTCGGCGTTGCCGGCAAGATCGACGAGCAGACTGCGTGGTTCCATCGCGCCGGAGGAAAGATCGTCCGTCTCTCTCGCCCTCCTCTCGGGGCGAGAGGAGGGCGAGAGGAGGGCGAGAGGAGGGCGAGAGGAGGGCGAGAGGACGCTGCCCAAAGTTCGACGAGACGTTATCGCGGGTTCGCGTAATCGGACTCGTTGCTCGGGGGGAGACGTTAACCGTGTCAACCTTGTTGGACCAATTGCAGCGGAGAGACCGACGTCGTCGCTTAAAAACGGCAGGGCGGATTTAGGTATTTCGCGGACGAATCGAAGAAGCCGACGGGGGGTCAACGGAGACAACGACGGACCTTCGGTTGTCCGGAAGAGCGAGCTTAGCTCTCGAAAGCTCCGCAATAACGTCGAGGACCGTCCCTTTGATGTCTCCCCGGGCCGACGAGCGATGTTTGACTTTTGGTCAACTCCTACCCTTTGACTTTTAATCGCGGCCAACCGGGGGGAACGCATTTTTATTCCTCCCAACGCGCGTGCTCTGTCCCTCGAACTTTTCCCCGATTTTCTCCGAAATAATATCCTCCCGCGGTTTCGCGAGAGGGGGGAAAAGGAGTCGGAGCGATTTAATTTAGAGGCGTTGGGCGCGTTACCGCGTCTGGCTAAATCGAACGTCCTCCGAATTTCGGAGAGAGAGCGCGCAAGACATTTTACGATTACGCCGACGTGTCGAGACCAATAGAGTCGCGCAATAAAAATAAACTCTTCCGAGAGGACCCACGGCCTCGCCGCGTCTCGGAGTTATCGAATCCGGGGATTTTTTGCCTCGCTTCCTCCTCTTTTTTTTAAACAGGCGTCGTCGCGACGGGGACCACCGTGAAGCTCGACGGTTTCGCGGACTCACGAAATCCCGGCGACGATTACATCGCGACGCGTAATCTCGGGCGACTCCTAGGCCGGGTCTCGAGCCCGAAATAAACCGAGCAGGAGCCGCTGCGCAATTTCCGATCGGAGACGGGGTGCTCCCGGAGGTCGCCATCTTGGAGTTCGCAAGGGGACGTCGATGGTCTACGTCCATTTTGATTCTTAGCCCCCCCGACGAAGCGCCCTCGTTAAAATCACCCACGTCCCTCGATCGGGGTCGGGGATCAGGGATCGATCGAGCCGATCGATTTCCGGTCTACCAGGCCTCCTTGGCGAAGACCCAGAATTTCCATGACCTCTCGGCCCTGGTAGGGGAAAGGGGGGAGGAAAGGAAGAGATTGGACTCGAGGAGGCGTTGAAAGCGCAATTCGAGGATTGCGCAATCGACTCTTCGTCGATGATGATAATCGCAATCGTGCTCCCATTCCCGTCATCGTTGATTTTCAGAGAACCCGAAGAGGAAGAGGGGATATCTCGCGCTCTCCGAAATGGCGAGATCTCTCCCCCAAAGCGTGTAGAAATATCGGATTAAAAGATAGAAGAAAACTAGGGATCGATGTATCGGTTCGAGTATACACATCGACACGAGGGTCCTTTTTCAAAGTTTATTTTAGGCAGAAAAAAAATTCATCGCATTGCGCTCGGACCAAGGTGATAACACTCGAGTGGAACGTGATACGGCAAAAATCAGAAGTAATTTCGGCGAATTACCGAATGCATTTAATAAATCGGATAAAACTTACATAAACGAAGTCATGCACCTTTTTATCTCGAATTAAACTCGCTGAAGAAATCGAGTCGACTTAAAAAGCCGAGAATAAATTTCTTTTGGTCAAGGACGGCCAAATGTCGAGGAATCGATCGCACGGGACGTGGCCGAAAATTGGCGCAAAAACGAGGTCGAAACGTTCTCGAATCGATGCTCCGACTGCGGAAATTTTGGGGAAACGCGACGATAACTCGAGAGGAGTCGAGGCCCGACTTTCTTCCCTGGACCGTCCAACGAGCCGTTCCGCCTTAATCGCGGGCCGCTTATTTTAGGCGTCTTTCCGAAAGGGAGAGAAAAAAAAATGGAAGAAAGATTTACGACTCCGGGCGGGTAATCGAAACATCAACGGAACGATGAGTGCGAGTTGTCCTCGCTTACATCATCCGACGCCTCTTAACGAGGGAATCTTTCGCTCCGATTAAAAGGCCGACTCGATTCGAAGAACCAAAGAGTCATCCGTTGTCTGGCTGTCTCCTCTAAGAAAAAGAGGATTATTTATTTCTTATATATTTGCCTTCTTTTATTTATAAACGAGGGGACGCCGCGATTGGAGTCATTAATCCTGGATACCGATGACCTCTTCGGTAAAATATAATACCTTCCGAATTAATTGACGGAGTTTATTCGGAAGGAACATCCGGGGGCGCGATAGTTCGGAGGGAAACGAGGGGATCCGCCGGGGAAGCGGCCGATACGGATAAGAATGAACGGACAGGCCGAGTAACGAGAAAAGGAACGAGATGAACAATAAGAAAAAGAGAAGCCGATGTCTGGAGCCAAGCTGGCTGCGTAACGGAAATCGCGTCTCGCGTTAACGAGTCGATGCATGACGACTAACATTACGTACGTTTTGTGTACCCTAAATCTCATGTAAAATCCTAAAATAATAGGTGAACATAATTTCGCTCGAAAATCCGGCACGGCGATTTTTACCGTATCGATAAATCACTCGATCCTCTTTTTTTGGCACTTGAAAGATAAACGGAAGCACCGAGAAATACTTCCTTCGTCTGTCCTTTGCACGCGCCATTCGGGCAAACTCGATCCCGCGAAATTTTATTGGCTTCTTATTGACTGGCGAAACGACTACGCGGGATTTATTTTTAATGCCGATGGTAGTCTCGAGGGAAATCGATATTTTATTATATGTACATTTCGCGACTAATATAAGTTCGACGACCCACGTGCACTTGTGTTTGCGAAATCTCGAAATTAAATTTCGATCGTCACTCGGTTTGCTTAGCTGCACGTTAATTTCGAGATTACACGGATGCGTGATAGATTTATCAAAAAATGACGAAAGCCGACTCGATTCCACTCACCGACCGGTCACCCTCCTCGGCTCCGAAAGGATCGGAAGACCTCCAAAACGCTTGAAATAAGTTAGAAAAGTGTTAGTGAAGTAAAGTAAAAAAAAAAATGTTGAATAAATGTCGGAGCTTAGATCGCCGTTTAAGATTCCCGTTAAGCGTTTCTGGGGATCTCGGCCGCGGCGGAACGGCCGCGCCTAAGTGGGGGCAAGTCATAAGCAGGCGTATAAGTCAACGCGGCCAACACTCCGGGCCAATAGTCGCAAAACGGTGAATCGAGTGTTCCGTCAAAGGTCCGATCAAAGTAGTCTACGACACGTTTGCGAGTCCTGAGATTTCTCTAGGGCATCAATCGGAAATCGCGCGCGATAATCGGTGTCGATAAAGAAGCCACGGTCCCCGAAAAAAGCTCATCCTCCGACCCTCCGAAAGGGTAGCGAGGGACTTCGAGCCGAATTTTCTGCTTTTCGAGAAACCAGCGATGCCGAGCTCGCTCTCGGAGCCGAGTTAATAGTCGTGTTCGTTAACGAACGCTTTGAATCGAAAGAGACTCCAAAAACCACCCCTAAGAGGATTTCAACTCCTAAGATTTGCGGCGCCGAGGATTCCCGATAGATTTTGGTAGATTTACCCGGTAAGCGATTTCTTTTTTACGCCGGTCTTTTCTTCCGTTCGAGCATCCGAGCATCCGAGATCGGTCAACGCCAGCTAAAATAAACAATTATATCCCTGGGGAGGTTCATGGAATATTCAGCAGAAATTGATCCACGAGTACGCGTGTGCTCGAAAAACGATGAAAAATTAATTTCTTCGATAAACTCGCGTTAAAAAAAAAATCCTTTTCAAGTCGGAATACTACTTTTTCAAAAAATGTTCTCGACAAGGCAGATTTTCGCAAATGATTTTTACGGTAAATTATGGTTAACGTTATTCCGGTGACCGATGCGAGGAAGCACGAATAAAATCTCGCGATGTTTCTCGAGAAACCGTTGCAGCACGATGAGTAGTGCATACGGCTCGATGAAAAAATTGTCCTGCATCGGACGATAGAGACTCCGGGTGTAGGAGATGGTACCGATTCCGTCGGTCCGACCGAATGGAAAACATTGTTCCTTTCCGACTGCATCGACCAATGACACGTTGAAGAAAAGAAAACGGGGCGTTAAATAATTTTGGAAGCAGCGGTACAAAATGGAATAAGAATTAAATCTAACGTTAAAAAAATCAGTGGTACTTTGAATACGACTTGAAGCCCAGAAAATATGTCGGGATTTTCTTTGAGGCTCGTGGAGGCCCGAGAACTTTCCCATGACGATGTCCCAAGAGGAAACGTCGAAGTCACGAGCGGATTGAAAGGGTTCGGGGAAAATCGCGGATGGAGTAGTGAAACTTTCCCAGGGTGGAGGAGAGTCCCGCACGAGAGGGAAGATAACCCCCAGAAAAATATTCCACTTGGAGGCCGTAATAAACAGTCGTTCCTCTGTGATTGATGGCTTCCTTGTATCCGATTCCGGTATCATATTTACTGACCGAGAGGAAGAATCGAAAGAGCGAGAGGGAGAAAGAATCTCGAACCCGGGGAAAAGTACGTCGAGGTGGTGGGAGGGTCGTGGAAATTGCAAACCGGCAATACGTTAGTTACGGTACTTTTGTGCAATTGTATGCACCGGATACCGTTGCCGTTCAAGTCCTGCAAGACTTTCCACTCGAGTCGTTTATCTGCATCAGCAGTCACGAGATCGAAGGGAACGATGACGCGAACCAATTATCGCGGAAACGTTTCCTAATTTTAAGGGATTGGAAGTCTATCTCTGCCCGGAACATTTCACAATTCGGTGCAACGATAAAAAATTAAATATTTAAATAAATATGGGTTATCGACTCACCTGCTTCGCTGCCCTTCGTGAAGAACGTTTTCAAAATTGCGGTTTTTCCAGTGTAAGCACTCTCTGCAGCGATTTGGGAACAGATTCGTCGAAATTCCCTGAAGGAGTTGTCTCTCGAAGACTCTTCTTCCGATTCCTTCGAGATTCCGGAAGTACCAGGTTTTGAGGAACTGTTTTCGAGCTCGTTTGAAATTTCGTTCGAAGCGAAATTCAATTTTTTCTTGGGCGAAGCTTTGGCCAGATTTTTCGGAGAAGCTTTCTTCGGTTTAATGGACGATGCATCTTTAGTTTTATTGCAGTCTTTTACTTGTTTCTTGGGCGTCTTTCCCTTCGCCATGTTGTAGGGAGCTAAAAAGCACGAAAAACTATCTTGAATTTTCATCAATTGAAAAGAGACGGTCGATTCGATGATTCATTTATCTTTGACTATGGAAAATTCAAGTCGCAAAGAAACAATTCATAAAACCCGATGATCTGCGAAGTGACTCTACAAGCGTCGAACTCTCCGAGAAACGAGCGCGGCTTATCGATAGGGTCTCCAAAAAGAATCTTAGACGGGTATTAAAAAAAAATGTTTCAATTTACCAGACTTCTCGAAGTCCTCAAGCTTCTGTAGGATGACGTTTTTGTCCTCGTCGTTCAAGTCGTTCCATCCGGAGACGTCCTCTTCGGGGTCGTCTATCCTCTTCGTAGAGGCCCTCTGCTTGGCAAACACCTCGAAGAGGCAGGCGACGTGGTGCCAGCTCTTCATTTTTCCCTCCCCAAAGGGGTTGGACATCAGTTTGGCTATCCTTATGACGTCTTTCTGGATCGGACATTTGCACTTCTTGCATTTCGCTCGCCCAGTTTTGGCTTTCTCCACCGCGAAAGGCTTCTCCACCTCCTCCTCTGCGTCCCCCATGACCTAAAAATTCAAAATAAATTAGAGGGAATTTTCACGCTTCTCTGGAATAATTCGCATAGAAGTAATCACGACTTTCCCATGCAAATTTAAATTGAGAGAAGTTTATCGGGTCGTCGGTAAGTGACGTTTCGAACGATAGTCCGAATCAGGGAAAGTTAGACGCGAATTGCCAAACGTTAGTTCAGAGATTGCAAATCGGAAATAGGGAAGCCGAGGAAACGTATATCGAGGAAGAAACTATGCAAACGGGACAAAAGCTCCGCTAATTTGCAAATACACGTGGGGTGTGCACGCGCCTACGAAGCCGAAATCCTACCGTGGAACGAGGGCACGATCGAACGTATCGACGATCGATCGCTGGCCAAAGACGCTCTTTTGGCTACACCGGAACTCAAGGGAAGCGAAAATAAACATCGAAGTCGAAAGACGTGTCCGAAATCGCATAGTATCCTTAATTAAAATCCAGTCGAAAATAATCAGAGGTCGCAGTTCGACGATTCTCGAATCGCGCGAGATCTCCACGCGCCATTTTGCCGCGTCTTTCCCATCGGAGGGGAAAGGGGGTGGGACGATCATTGAGCGATGAAAAAAAAAATAAAAAAACGAAAGGCAGGCCTGCGAATCGCGGCCGATAAGCTGTCGCGGCTCTTATCGCGGACCGTTATCGCGACTGCAGGGATGTCACCGACGACGAATCGAAAACCGCGACCTCCGAGCTCGCTCGCGCCGATTGGTCGATGCCCCGCTGAAAAACAATCGGCTAATTTTAAGCGTGCCATCATCCGCGTCACGAGCCACAAAACAAAACGTACGCCGTCACCCCCTTGGAACCCCGCGGTTCTCGTCGCGCGCGATTTGAGCGAATTGCGTGAATTGCGCGAATTGCGCGAATTGCGCGAACCGTGCGACAAGGCAAACCAATAAATGGCCACCGAGCGGCTTTTGCTCGCAAACAAGTCCACGTTGGACTCGTGGACACGCCTTCTGGGATAACTGTAACGTGCTCGAGGAGGAGTGGATCCAGTCCCGAGTTCGTTATTCAGGGGGCGGGAATAATATCGATGTTGAAATTTCGATTTACGCGATCGAGCGCCAACGAGCGCCAACGAGCGCCCTTGCTTCGAGTGACAGGATGGCCGACCCGTGCGCGACCGAAACCCCTGACACCAGCGAGGGGCTCGGTCCGTATACGATCGGACGATTCCCGATCGGACACCCAAGGACCAATAAATCCATCCGTTATCTACGAGTCGATCGAGGATCGATGCAACGCGAACGGGGAATTTTCCCCGAGAAAGGATAATAGAAAAAAAATATGCAGCGGTCCCGGGAGGCGTCCGATCCTGTTGCGACCCGAACCACTGACACCACTTGACCCTCCGAAGGGATGCATCGCGAAAAGTCCCCCACTCGAGGAGGCGAGGCAATCGAGCTTCGATCGACCGATCTACGAATTGACATCTCCTTCGATTGCACCTCTCGCTGATGCACTTGACCGTCGTTCGCCTTTTCGCTCGTTCTCTGGTTCACCCCCTGACTTCGCGTCATCGAGGAATTGCCGATCGCGGGCAAACACCGCGTCATGTCCGAGATTCGATTAAATTCCCGCTCCGTTTATCGTCCCGGTCATAAACGAGGGCACGACCAAGTGTTCGCGAAGAATTTTCTGACCAACGGGGGTCCGATTTCTAGATCGCGCGCGATCGAGATCCGATACGCCCTGATCGAAAGGGTAGCCCGGCGAGTCCATTTTGCCGGCGAAATGACCCTTTAAAAGAGATTTTCTCGAGCGATCTCTCGCCGACGTAAATCATCCGTCCGTCCGGCCTTTCCGTTTGCAGATCGACCTCCGTCGATTTTTGGAAACACGGAGGAAAATAGTTTACCCGTGATTTGCTATCGAGTTTTTCCACGAATTTGGCTATCCGATTCGCTTTCCCCCATTTTCTGCGTTACATCGCAAAGGGGGTCGATACGCAGTTTCACAGGGAAGCCGCATTTAAGATGAAAAAATTGAAAAGTCAAAGATGTAAAACACCGAACGTCCTCGATAGGTTCGCAAAGGGAAGGGAAGCGAACGGAAAGCGAGGCGAAGCCAACAGGTGGGAGGAGCTCCCCTGGAAACAGACAAGTTCCAACGAAATGAGTCACGAACCGTGATTTGATTTTTTTTAACTTCTGAATATTGATATAAAAGTCCCCCAACTAACGTGTCTGAGAGAATTCAAAGAATCGTAAAAGAAGATCCTATTGGCATCGCGTTGTGGTGCAGGAATCGGTGTAGGCGGTTTGCAGGTCCACGAGAATATAGGTATGCGAATACAGGTTTACAGCCCCAAATTCGCGTTCATACGTTTTCACCCCCATCTACGCTTACGTACATCCACGTTTCCACCCCTTCACCTCCATGGCCGAGCCCGGAGGAGTGTCCTCCCGCGTTGCAGGAGGTGGTGGAACGCCGGCAGGGTATAATAGAGGGTGCTCCGAGCCTGCAGGCTCACTCTTCGACATCTCATCGCCTTACACGAAATCCACCCCGAGTTCTCGTGCCTCTCGGCCCCAGTTTCGGCCCCAATTTCGGTTTGCGAGACCGAAATCATTCCCGGGACTCTTTCAAAGAAAAATAAGAAAAGGAAACGCTACCCCCACACGACGCGTATTACCGAAAGATCTGGAAAAAATCCTGAAGAAGAGGGAGGAAGGAATAAAACGGCAACCGTGGTGATCCCGAAGACGGATCGAAGGGGATTTTGGAGAACTTGGAGATCTTGAAGGTACCCGGCGAATGCACTCGTATTTAAGGGCAATTTTTGAACGAGGAAATTTTAGTGCACTTTCTTCGGTATCAAAAATTTTAACAAGATTTTTTTTATTTCTTTTTATTGTTAACTTTAATCGTTTCTAGTATCACTTTTAACATTTTTGAGGTGTTCAACCGCGAGGACTAGTGATTCCATTCCAATGATAACAATAAATTTCTTCGTTCCTTATTCTCTATCATACCGAAGCACGAAGCTTTAATTTTAATTGTCCTCTTAAATTTTCACACCTTACCCCCTTTCAATATTTTTCTACTATTTTTTCTGCTTTCACTGATTTCCGTTCGCCCGCTTACGTGGGTTGGATGCATTTTTCACGCACCCACGACTGCATTTGACTGCAAAAAGCGATGCAGATGCCCGCGCGCGGAAAAACGCGACAGGGTGACGTGACGTTATCCGCCCGAGGAAAGCATTTTTCCTCCCTTTTCCCAAAAACCGAATAAATAGATCCGCCCTTCCCCGCGAAGAGCGTTCCGAGAAAATCCCAGAGAATTTATACCGCGGCCATTCCCTGAGATGTTTCGGCCTTATTTTTATCCGTAATTTATATTTGACCAGGGAATCGAATATTTGTAAAAAAAAAATTTGACACAGACTTCATTGCAAATTGTTTTCCATTTTTCATGCCGAGGGGCTCGAAGTTAAACCTCAAAGGAAATGGGGAGTTAAACTTTGCAGGGACTAATTTTAGGTATTGAATATATTACCCGTAATATAAATTCTTGAACATTTTCTTTTGGAAAATATATTTGTGCACGAGCACGCATTTTTATTTTCTTATATTCTTTCAGGCTCGTTTCAAAGGGAAAGTAAAACTGCAACGCGAAAATCTTTTTCAAAACAATTATTTTAAATAATAAGCAAAAAGACAATGTGGGCGGCGAGCGAGCCACAAAGAGAATCCTCCTCGTGGGATTCAACGGAAGCCTTTAACCTCGTAAAAAGGGAAACCACCCCTTGCCTCGTTAAATAAACCGACGTTCTCACCCCGAAATCTCAGCTCTAAAAACGTGCCGACAGTTTTTCCTCTTAACTTCGGGACACGGACGATCGAGAAAATTTAATAATTTCGATAAAATCCTGCAAAGGTATTTATTTCAACTTAAACCTCGTCTGTTCGCGCAAGGGAGAAAATCTCACGATCTTACCGAAGGGCGCTCGAAATATCGCAGGTAATTTTCCAAAAACGTTTGAAGGCGTTGTCGTAAATTCAGTTCCTCGTTACAGAAGAGGATTAATTAACGCTACGCGGAAAATGAGTCGATCTACATGCCCGGGCCAATCTGCTCTCGGATTTGCCGTTCGGACCAAAGGCTAGCGATCGACGAGGGGATGTCTGAGGAAACGTGCATGTAAAATTAATATGGAGAGTATGTATGTATGAGTACGAGTAAAGATAAAAGATAAAAGATAAAAGATACAGCGCGGTACCGCCATCCAACGGAATCAAAAGGCTTCGTCTTTGAACGAGACTTCGTTGGTAGAAAGCCACGGAAATTCGAAAACTCGGAAAAGTCACGGGGAGTTCCGAGGGAATCGAATTGGGTGGAATTTCTGGAAGTCGTGACCACTTGCGAACGGGACGGTTTGAAGGAAAAATAGTTTAGCAATTTTGACGATTAAATGACGGGAAAGGCGGATCCTTCGGGAGAATTGCCAGGATTCGAAACCTTCGTCGCGAAGGAAGTCAGTTAATAAAAATGCACAAAACGGAAGCATGCCCCAATGACTTCGGTCAACCCCCGGACCCTGGGGGGTGGAGGAGTACCGGGATGGCCGTAAAAAGTTGTGCGCTTTAATCGAAGCCTTTAGGGCGCGGCGTTAAGTTAAATGGAATTACAAAAGGAAATAAAATGAACGGGAAACCACTCGAAGGAATGAAGTTTTATCGCGGTCCGGGGTGGGCGATAAAATGAGGGATCACGAACCACCGGAATACCCCGAAACGGGACCCCCGGCAGGGCTGAGTTTTAAAACTCAAAGGACACCGCGTGTACGTAATTCGACGAGAGTGCATCAACGTTTTCCAGGGAGGGGAAACGTGGCGGAAAAATTTCCGCAAAAGGAAAAATCACAAAAATCACAAAAATAACAAAGTTACGCGGAAAATGTCGAATGTGAGAAACAATGGCGAGTATTGACGAAACTTGTTTAATACCGTAATCGCTTAAATGGTAACGCGGAAAGAGCGTTGATGGGAAAAATTATTTCAGGAAAAAATCGGGAAGAAAGTTCGTGGTCGTTACGGGAATAGCAAAGGAAAGAATAATTGCTCGACGAATAGATGACGGGAAACGAACGATCGTTAGACTTATCGGAAGACGAGATCGGAAACAAAGGGAAACGACGCATCCGTGGAGATCGATTTTCTTCGAGGGAAAGGAGGAAAAATGTATCCATGCGATTATACGATAACTGGTAAAACGAAGGAGAGATTAAATCACTCTCCCCGTCCTGGGCCGCGGTCCAAACACCCTCTCGCGTTCGATTTCTACCTGTTGAATCTCCGACCGCTATCGTCCATGGGAAAACAAAAAAATGATAAATCACGAAGAGCGTTACACGAATTATTTATCTTGGCGAATCTAGCGCCGAACCATGAAATTATTCCCAATGCAGAATTTGGTGTAAATATTTCTAATAATTACGAAGGGCTCGTTAACGTCGAGAATATTCGGATCGCGCCCTCGGGACTCCTTCCAAAGGACACGTCCTGCGATCGTCGGCGATAAACGTCCATTCGAGGAGGGTCACCGCCCACTCCGAAAGACATCCCCGACATTCGACGTCGCTTTACCTCGTTTCCCGCAATTTATTCCCGAACTCGTGGAATCAATGCCACGGAGTTTCAACGGTACCGTCTTAGACTTTCCGACATGAATCGAGGGACGATTTCAATCACGAATTAACCCTTGAATGGTTGCAATTAAATTCCGGGGGTTGAATTTAATTCGAGTTCCTTCGAAAATTACCCTTAACTCTGACGAGATAATTTCGACCGTTTGCGCTCGCGATGAGACGAAAGATTTTTTCGAGGTAAATCATTAGTTCGGAGATGGGGTGCGCTTGATTTCAGAGCCCGAAAAGCGTCGAGGGAATGACGGGGAGGATCCGCGACATAGGGACGGGTGTCTGTGTCCTGGCACTCCTGTTGTCCTGCGTCCTCGCCGAGCCCGAGCCCGAACCCGAGCCGGCAGGGCCGATCTTCGGGGACGACTTCGACGAAGATGCCGAAAGTCAGGTGAGGCGATCCCTTCGTTGGCCGCAAAGAAAAAAAATTCTCGAACACTAGACGCGTCCAAAATTGGTTGGAAAAATGCTTTCCTAATAAAGGGATCTCGTTTACAGCTTCTACTGAAGAGGCTGAAGCAGATCGCCGAGAGGAAACAGGAGGCCTTCGAGCAGGAACGGGAGCTCACGGAGGAGCAAATAGCCATTCAGGAGATTCTGGAGGAAAAGATGAGATCGCAGAGGAAGTACGCGAAGGACGACGCGGAAGTGCTTCCGGTTCCTAGCGCGGTCATCCACGCGCCGATACGTGGCGAGAAAAGAACCAGTTGTGAGTACTAACAAATATTTAAGTCACTTCGCGCGGAACGAAGGTACGTTTTTGAGAGAGAACTTTGCGCGATAAATTTTGTTCAGGGGGTCGGCATCGAGGGACGCGGAGAATTTGACAAAATTCCGATTTCGGGCGAGGGGAAAATAATGGGAAAAATCGAGTCCGGTAATCGGAGACGGATTGGATCGCTTCGCGTCTCCTATCGCTTTTCACGTAACCGCCGAGCGTCGATGACGGTCAATTGAACCACTTGACACCTGACAATTGACACCGCGACGTCACGATCGCCGATCCATTTGACTCTCTCTAAACGAGTCCGACTGACGCGCGACGTTTCCACCCGATTGCAAGAAAAAAAATCCTCTTTTCTTTTTAACGACGACCTCCCCTTTCCCTTTTCTAAATAACCGAGGAAGCTTGCGTTAAGTGTTCGACCCCATTAAAAAGACTGTCATTCGTTTTTTTTTTTTTTTTCGTTGCAGACATGACCCTGTGCCATTTCAAGATCTGCAACATGGGACGCAAGCGACAGATGTAAGTGCGCAAATCGTCTTCTTAGCGGCGACCTTCTACTTCGGGTTTCCCACGAAAAGCGGGAGAGAGAGAGAAGGAAAGAGAGACCAAACGTGGCTACCATCCCAAATTTGGCCATCCAAAGAAGGACGTGTTTCGAGCCTGCCCACCTCGATTTCTCTCATATTTCGAAGGAGAAAGCGCTTCCGCACCTGCACCTGCACCTGCACCCGCACCTGTACCTGTACCTGTACCTGCACTCGCAACCGCAATCGCAACCGCACCCGCACCCGCACCCGAAAATTCTAAACCTCCGCTTTTTCCGTATTTTTCTTCCCGGAATTGACGTTTAATTTTTTAATTTGCCCTCGACCCAAAGGAACTACAAAGGGGTTGGATGAAGAGGAAATCTCAGAATTTTCATTTTCTTTCACCTTTCACTGGAAATGGGAAATTTTCTCCGCGAGAAGATCGGAGATGTCGAAACGCTTCTTTGGATTTTTGGTTTCCGAGAAGGGCTTTTTTAATTTGGACCGCGACCCACCCTGCAAGGACCTCGAAGACGTTCGACGAGAGCAGAGGACATTTTCTCGCTTTTTTTCTCAATTTTTCATTTCCAAAATGAAGAACGTTTGCCGAAATCGCTCGCCAGCACGAAAGGGGAATGCCAAGGGGAGTTCTCTTGCACTTAGGATTCCGGAGATGCGAGGGCTCAACCTGGCGAACCTGAAGACGGAGCTTACCCTGGACAACAGATCGCAGATGCGCCGACCTCGTCCTTACTAAGATCGGCCACGAAGAGGAGTTTCCGCCCCCCGCCTCCGCGGAAACCTCTGGCCGACCTCGAATTCCCGAAATCGCGCATCCACCCCGCCAATCCGTTTTGGAAAAAAAGGGGAACGCAAAAAACAAACGTCAACCCCTCTTCCGCTTTAGAAAAATCAGCCGCGCCGAAGGTCAACTGGTGACAAGTGAAAACGCATTTTGAAAAACCGAGGCGGATGATTGTCAACTGTGAGAGTGTACAGTTGTTGCTTGTGCTAATTAATGTTTCATTAGGGAGCCTATTCGTGCCGCTTTTTTGATTCGAGAAACTGTTACGTTAGCGTAATCGTTTCAAGGGCTGCACATTTTCGGACGAATAATTAGCAATTATAACGTCGCAAGTAGAGGTAGTTAACACTTTCGAGGGACTCTCTCTCCGTGCACAATTTTAGGCTCGAAATTCCCCCATGTGAAAAAATTCAAAATCGACAACTCGACCGCCGTCATTTGCAAGAACAACGTTAAAACGATGTATTAAATTGATGTTCAACTCGCGGAAGGAAACGGCATTCTCTCTTGTTTCGAAAACGAGCAAAAATCGCGCCTCCGTAGTTTCCCTTTATTTTATTTATTACTATGAAAATCGAATCGCGAAACCGTGAAGGTGAAAAAAAAAATGATTTCGTTTAAAAAACAAAACTCTTGTTGGCACGGGAAGAGCAGGAAATTTGGCAAGATCTTGTTCTCGTCTTTGAGATCAAACGAGCCACCAAAGAAATAATTAAACGACTCCACCTCGAGATCGCGGGCGAAGGAAAAAATGAAATTTGATCGTTCGAATCGAAGGGCTCGATCGCCTTCTAATTCAGGAGATGGAAGAGAGAGGGAGAAGGAATAAAAAAGAAAAAAAGCAAGCTCGTAGATCGCGCTCGATCCAGGAACTTCCGGCGGGCTCGGATTTCCCTCGAAAGGATCAAAGATTTTGGGAAAACGGATGAGAAAGAATGAAATGTCGAAAAGTCGTCGAATTACCCTGTTAGTATTTCGCAGTATATTCCGCGCGATTTGCGCCGACTCGAGCTCGGACCGTCAAGATTTCCAAAAGAAAAGAAAACTCGAATTCGGAAAAAGAAAACGGAGCGAGAAGAGCTCGGGCGCGCAACTCGAGCGTATCGTTTATTTTCTATTTATTCCCTAGGCTAGAAGAGATAAGAAAAGGATGCAAAAAGGACACTCCGTGGCCTTCTCGATTCGGTCGTTCCTCATCCTAAATTATTCGTTTGTGATATCGACAGAGAAAAAAAAACGATATACGTCGAAAGAGACGCACCAATGTATCGAGGTATCGTTTGTAATTTTTATTAGTTTTATTTATATGGTACTTCTTGATTTTATACACGTCGAATAAATTAAGGTCGAGACGTAACGTTTTCCATTTTCTCGATGATTTTCTATTTCATTTTTGACGAGCCAAAACGACGAATGCGGGCACTTTCGGCCGAGCCTCGGGAAAGAATTCGTTCCCATTAAAGGAAACTCTATCAAGATAATACATTAATAACCGATCATAGTAAAGGACGTTACCGATTTTATTTTACCCTCTTACGTTTTACGCACGAACGTATCGACGTTTACGCGTGAAATTGAAGAAAAATTAATCGTTCTTCCCTCGATCCGGAAATTCGAGATCGTCGTTAACCGCACGCGAGTAAAAGCCCGAACCTCGAGTGGAGCCATTTTACAACGTCCATTTATACGTTCAGTTTACCGAAAGGAAAAAAAAATTAAATTGGCCAGAGTGGGTAAAAATTTTCAATAGAAATATTTTGCGAGACTCTTGTCAAAATGAATAAACGAGGATGCTTTACCGATCTCTGATTGTCGTGGAATTGCTTAAAAGAAAAAAAGAAGAGGAGAGAACTACGGGCGCCAAAATGGGCAAGGGTTGAAGAGAAATGTAAAATCCAAAGAAAGGAGACAACCTTTGAATTTCCCAAGGCAGCGCGAGCAAAAGACTTTCTTTTTCTCGCCTCGTCTTTCGCTTCGTTAAATATTCAGAAATTCTCGACGATAGTCGCAAACGGTCTGGTTATTGCTTAAAAAGACACCCCGAGGCGTAGGCGAAACAACGATCCTCGTTTGGTAAATAAATTTGTGATATCGCGTGACGCCGCGAGCGTACTTTTGCAGAGAACACTCGAGAGCGTTAGAGCGACCTCGTTTGGCGGCCGTTGGATCGTCGGTTTGTTATTCCGTACATTATTTCCGAGTGCGCAATTGCGGGCGCTAGAGGGGCTGGGAAAATTAGTAAACAGTTGCTGCGACGATTAGTCTGGCACATTTGCCGGCAAATCGGCATTTTTGCGCAAACGGCTGGAGGGGCGAAGGCGCAACGCGAGTTATCACAGGCCGATGATAACGGACTGACATCATCGCGCATAGCGTCGCGCTTCGAGATTGACGTTTCGCAATCGATTCTTGCGTACGTAGGTCCCGCCTCGTGACTGCACGCTTATTTTAGTTTCGAGGAGAAAAAAAGCCTATCGCTGAATGGACGGTTTCTTCGGCTGCCCCGGCGGCAAGTTTGATTCGGCGCGGGAAAAGTAGCGCGCGAGCATGGCGCCATCTCTAAGAGAGACCGTCAAACCGGATGGCGCGTTGCCGATAATAACCTTCCGAGAGTTCCACTCGACGGTGGCGCCATCTCGCGGAGAAGCCGCCAAACCGGATGGCGCATTGCCGATAATTACCTTCAGAGAATTTCACTCGACGGTGGTAACACCTCTTCGTGAATCTACCGTTTGCGAGTCTGCCGTTATCGACCACGATTGTATTACCGCGGAGCTCCCGTCATCGATCCGTTCCTCTCGAATCATATTTTAACGGCGTTAACTTCACTTCAAGAATTAAACTCCTCGGATATACGGTCACGATAAATCCACGTCGCAACTTGAATCACATCGCGGACATTTATAAATGTACGAGTTGCCACTCCGATCGCGGGGTCACGTAACCTCACTTTCTCACCCGGAACGCCGAAAGAAAGGAGAAAAACTTACCCGTCACTGGACCAAAACTCGAAACGACTGGACGGCCGTTTTGTTCTTCTTCTTCACCGCACAACGTGCGCGGTAACGAGTCAACGAGCCCGAGGATGTAATCGGGAAACAAAAACACTACCACCACTGCCGGGACTGATAGGTCCAGTTCGTTCGGTTGTCCGCAATCGACTGCGCTATGACGTCCCGTGTCCGTGCACGCTTCCATTCTTGCTATCAACCGCAGACATTTTCGGTGCTCCTTCTTACCGACGCCAGGCAGGCTCGACGTCTCTCCCTATCGATAAAATCGATTCTCCGATTATCGCTCTCGCTCCTATTGGTTAAAAAAATTCGGAATATAAATATATTCCGCTGTTTACTTGCACGAATTAATCCAAGCCATTGCCAGAAGCCTAAGCCGTCAAAGACCACTTCTACCGGCTCCATAGTTATGAACGATTATTAACCATCAGGACGAAGGCTTCCGATTTGTCAAAATGTCAAGTGTCCGGAAGACTCGTGCCGAAGAAAGAAAAAGAGAAGGTCGCAACTTGCCATTTTTCTGGATGAACGAGTTCGACGGGCGCTCGGCAAGGTCATTCTGGCCGATTTCCCGAGTGCGATTTTATGGTCCGTGTCGGAGGTTAATCGCACGTTTATTTACGCATTTAACGCGCTACCGGAGAGATTAATAGCGAAACCCCCGAAATGACAGTCGAGGACCATTCATTGCGGCCCTGAGAGTCCTTCATCCGAATAAAAATGCTCCGTTTCCTTTCCGTCAGAGCATCCGCTCAAAAAGTTCACTTATTTGTCATTTCACGCGTGAACCATCGTATCGGTCGTCATAAGAAATTTCCAATCGTTTCGGATATATAGCGAATAACAAATTCCATTCAACGGACCATTAATGAACTCTGACGCGACACCATCCTATCGATGTCGATAACGATAACGCGAAAAGCCTATACGAAAAGAACAAACAAACGAGGCCAAGTGCTTAGGCTCTCGATCGGAAGCTTTTTAAGCTTCCATCGGGCGTCGTGCGATAACGTCGATAACGATAGAGTGCCATTCGAGCTTCCCTACGTTTGCCAGAGTTAAAAGAGATTTTTTTCTATCGGTTCTCTTTTAACCCTTCTAAAACATCTCTATCCGTTAATGAAACTGATATTCTCCGGTTATAATAGAAAAATTTATCCCGCGAATATTCTCAATCTTGAGGGGATTTCCTAAGGAAATAACGTTAGGAAAAAAAAGAAGACATTCCATCCGAAGACTCGTAGTCCTTGTAACGACGGGAAAGAATTTCGCTCCGAGAGGAAAAACGGCGATAAAAAGCTGAGCTTGCGGAGGAGCAATAAAGCTCAATTTGCATGTGGTGCAATTAATTCGAGATGAGCGCAAGGAGCTCGTAAACGGCCTCCTCGGTATACCAAGGAATAAGGACGAGACACCGCGCTCTTTAGCTTTTGTCGAGACCATTTTTCTCGGTCTACGCCGGATCTTAGCGATGCTCTTCAAATTTATTTTCAGTGGAAGTTTAGAAGAAGACCGGGGCGCAAAATTCTCTTCCCGTCACCCCGGTATATTAATCCTAAAACATTAATGATCCTTAGATTCTGTAGAAAGTCTTTCCAGCACGAGGAAAACTATTTTTCGAAATTCCTAGCAGTAAATTTCTTCGATCAGGGGACAACCATGTCAAATTAATTTACTAGAATTAACGAACGTATTTCCGGATTTTCCTCGAGGTAACTTTAGCTGAGAAACTCGTTGAACGATGGGAGGACCTCGGCGTTTATCAAAGGGAACCTTATGATTTTCTCCTGCCTCGATCCGCTTAATAAGGCGGAGCGTTCTTAACGAAGCAAGGGCGATCCTCTTTAGAAGAGTCCTAGAAACAATTGTAAATACCTTTCTCGATTTTTTCCAAAGTCGTTTCCCCGGTAAACTTAAAATTCAGAAGGAGGGCTTACTTACGGTCCTGGAATGAATAAATATGGAGTTAAATAAATGAAGAAGTTGGAGAAAAAAGCGTTGAAAAAATGCATCCGTAAAGGAGCGGTCGAAAAGCGTTGAACAAACGATGCCTGTAACTTTGGAGGGTACAGGTCGTATCCATAAAGACGACGGGCGTCTGTCGCGTTACGACCCCGGAGGGCAGCCCAGGGGGTAGTTTTGCCCCCCCGCGACACATGGAAAAGGGAGTCACCTCGACCATTTCCAAAGACGGAACGCACGGAAAATTCAACCTGCTCCTTTTCTTCCGAATGCATCCCGTACGAAACGGGCGAAGAGACTCGGCGCACCCCTGTCATTTAATTCCACCCTCGTTAGACTCTCGACATGGAATAATGAGTCGATCGATTTCCGACCCGGTGGCCACTTTTCCGGAGTTTCCTGGACCCCGGGTAAAAATCGAGGCCTCGGAAAATGGTAAAAGCGTTCATCCCCGAGTCCTGACGACGGTCACGCGCGCAGTTGCACTCCTTTTTGAAGGAGGGAAAGGAGCGAGGTCCTTTCTCCGGTTAATTGATTTCCCTCCTTTATACCCACCCCCGGAAAGTGCGGAGGGGGAGCCCCGCGCGTTTTATGGCTGTTTTTAATTGCGAACCTGGAAAAGAGTCACCCCCGCAAGACACCTTCGGGGAAACCTTGCCTTTCCGCTTTCACTTTTATTTTCTTACCGGCAAGACCTGAGCCTCCGACTTCGCCTCCTGATTTTTCGAGGATGGAAGGATTCCGGGGCGATGAGGCAAAAACGATGATCCGATGAATGCGAATTCTTACCCCTACCCTCCTGGGTATTTTTCCCGAAATCCCGAAAAAGTGGAGAAATTAGGTCAGTTTATCGGTATTCGTTCTTTTTTTTCCCCTGGCTCGTCTCACCCCGAGGTGACACCCTCCGAGATAATGTCCCTTTCTGGAAGACGACGCGACCACCTCTTCCAGGAGTGTAGGATTACGGCAAATGGACTCATTGTACTCTCCGAGACTCCACAATGGGCCCGAAATTCCGTTGGGGTGGAATTTTGCACCTGAACCTTCTATATAAACCCCGAGATCCCCCGCAGGTGGATACAGTTCTTCTCTTGATCTTGGCTGGACCAGAAGACACCATGAAGTGGCTACCGGTTTACGTAAGACCCTCCCAATTACTAGTCACCGTCGGTATAATTCTGATCAAGATATTTGAGGAAGAATGAACAAAAAAATGAACACCTTCCTCCGGCAGATGACGATACTGACGTTGGTCACCGAAGGGACCTTGGGCAGCCAGAATTTGGAGGAGCTCTTCGAGGGGGGCCAGGTCCAGCCAGAGGAGTGCTTCGGCGATAGGTGTCTGGTTTACACCAAGAGACGGGAAATTGGTTCCGACACGGCGGTGGACGAAGCACTCCCGAAGGTACGACCCCCGGCGAGCTTTCCCGTCGAGCTTTCAGCCGCAAACTAAGAGAATTAAGACGACCACTCGTTTCCGGGATTCACGGGGACGTGCTTGAAATGGATCCGAATCACTTGGCTCGGTATCCCATTTTTACTTATTTTTTCCTTTTCTCTTAACGAGCATTTATCGTTTTTGTGAATTTATTCCCTGGAGGAGACGCGATAATTGATCTTTTTTTTGTAGCAAACAGGAAGATGGGAGTTGTTCTGCCCCTGCGACACGGAATACACGTCGAAGTACCTCGGGGCGAATCATTACCCTCGTTACTTGCTCGTCGCGCAATGCAAGTCGAGGAATTGTATCACTTCCTTGAGCCGTTGCACGCTGTTGCATTACGAGGTCGGTCTCGATCATTTCTCCCGAAATATTTCAGAAAAAAAGGGAATAAATAATTGTTTCTCAACAGGTGTACGTGCTGAAACGAAGAGACCCAACCCAGATCGAACGATACTCGGAGGAAGGTCCAATTCCGGATTCTCTTCGTCTGGAGTGGCAAATGAAGGCCATAAAGATCCCAGTGGCTTGCGCCATCGCTTGAAATTCAAAAATCGGTGTCTGGAATATTTTTCAAAGCCACTGTTCCCTTGCTGAATTTTTCTCAACGGATGACAAACGGAATTATTGATAGATATATCGTGTCTAAAAAGAGAGAATTATAATAGAAATATTAATAGATGAAAGAATTATTAAACGACGACGGCTCGATTACTCTGTATGTAACAATTAATTGCCCTCTTATTAAGCGATTATCAAGTCCCCTTATCCGAATCGAGGGATGATTTGTATCTTGATCTAGATCTAGGTCAACGCGTAGATCCCTCGACATTTGGCCACGACGTGTCTTTTGTCCGATGTTTTCCATCCGAAATTTATTTTTTACCCCGACCTATCTCCTACGTTAATTCCACCCCCGAAGAAGGCGAATTCGTGATTCCTCTGAATATGTATATAAATGAAGCGGTGGAAAGAGATTTAATTAATGGTTAAAATGAGAATAAATACGATGAATTTTTTCAGCAATTTTTTTCGTTCGCGGGGATTTCTCTCGTTTGTACTAACAAATTGCAGAGTAGGAGGGTTATTGAAAAAATTGTAATTTGAACACATCGATCCTCTCTTAACGAGGGTGGAGAAAAGGGAATAAAATACGGAGAAGAGTCCGAAAAGGTCGTCATTCTCCCCCTCTGATACCTTATCACGAGGGAGGTGTTTAAAGTGCGCGGGCGCACTTCTTCCCCGCCCCTGGCCAACCCTTGTCTCCCACTCGATTACCGAAGAACTCTATATATTTGAAGGGAACACCCCACGCCGGCACTTTACCACTCACGCGTTTGTCCTGCGTGTCCGAGGACATCCCAGACCGTCGCCCTCGCCTCCAGAGATCATGACCAACCGCCAATTTCCCGGGAATTTCGGAAAATTCCGCCGCCGCACCGCCGAATACGTCGTCCTAGCCGTCGCCCTTATCCAAGGAGTCCTGACAGCTCCTGCCCAGTCCCGGGTAAGTTGAATTCCATTTTTCTTTCAATGTATATTTTGATAGCCGGGATTATATGCATCAATTGCAACTACGAGAGCGCAAATTATATCGAGAATTAAATTTCTTGATGACTTTCTGCCCGTGCATGAAATTTATGATCACGGAGGCACCTCGGATTAAAAATTGACTTTTCTATCGTGGATCGGAGTAAATGGAATTCCATTGAATTTTGCAATGCGGAAAACAATGGCGGGTGAGAACGTTTCTCTTCGATTCAGCCCTCGGTGTATAGATGGTCCACAAAGCTATCTCTCTCCGGTTTAAATTAATCACGAAAAGGGCAGATTGGAATTTCAACGTTTCGGCGCAATGCCCAATTATTAGGAAGAAATTAAACATTGATCGATGCATTTATAGCCGCTTGGAATCGTTAGTAATTGAGGTTAATCGATATCGTTTCCTTCGGTCAGTCATGTTCTCGCTTTTATTTTTATGACGTTTAATTTCTTGGAATATGCTAGTCTTCTTCCGAGGGGAACGGGGGAGTTATTAGAATGACGGGCTTAAGAGATGCTTTCCCTCTTACAGCTCGGAGGACTTAATCCTGCCTAGAGGCGAGATTAAGGATTACTCCTGATGTAAACCGCGTCCCGACGCAGGGTTTAAGGATCTCCGAAGTATTAGCTGCGAAATGACGTCTTCCTTGGCCGAAGGATGAACCTTAAAAAGTCTCTCCCGACCAAGGGGATTTTTGCGAGTTTCTAAGATACGACGGAACTCTTTCGATACCTCAAAAGAGAATGCATAGTTTGGGCTTTCGTGGGAATTCTCGACTTTTTACGTGTATATAAAATTTTCTGGAAGAACTGTTCTTTTGAAAAAGTCAGTGAAAGAAAATCGGAGACGCGAAATTAGCCAAACTTTAAACGGCCGGTTCGATGCACCTCCATCTCCTTCCCCGAATCGACCCGCCCGAGAGAGGCACTCGCAACTTGTTGCACCGGCGTATGCACTTTCCACTCAAACCAGGACAGGGCTTTTCGAGGCCGAGCCTCCGAGGCTTCCATTATATCGGGACGTCGACGTCGCCCTTCTGTGGCGTTACGGAACGAAATGAAAAAAAAAAAGGGAAGCCAGCAAGACGCGAAATAAAATAATAAAAGGGGGATCGTCATCGATCGCGTATTTACGGTGAGCTTTATGAGAGACGCGAAGAATAGGTGATTCGGCGTCGTAAAGCTTGCGAGAATTTTTTTCGTCGGTAAAAAAACGATTCCGGTTTTCGGGTTACGATATGTCCGACAAAAGGTCCGTCGTTTCAACTTTTTAAATTCCACGGCGGCTTAAAATTGAGAAAAGTCGGGCGAAACAACGTCGCGGAGTTAACTGGGAACGTTTTCAGTCGAGTTGGGGAAAACTCGGGTGAATTGCCTCGATCGTGGACAATTTCACGTTCTCCTCGCGTTTTGCCGAGATTTTTCTTTCCGTCAGGATTTCATTTATTTTATGCGCAGCCCTTTGTTATTTGATGCAATTCGCTACGAAAATCAAATACCTGGAATATGTTCTCTCGAACTTCCTCGCGCTGGATATAAATGTGAACGGAGTACCGTGAATATCGGAACATATCACATGTTATACTAGCTTCAAAATAATATAAATCATTTCTACAAGGCTGAAGGCGCATTCGCGTTGCACCTCGTTTCAAGTATTTTGCGCCTCGAGTTCGGTCGATCGGCTCTTACAATGCTCTTTTGAAATTAATTATCCTCCCGGCTTTGATCTTGAGAGTTTCGTGGCGGTTCCCTGCTGTTCCTCTAATTTTCCCTCGCGAGAAAATTCCTACGATCGCGTGGAAGTGAATTTTCTTAAAGCCTGTCGATATTCAGTAATTCGTTAAGAAGAAGAAAAATGAGAGGCAAGGCAAAATTAAAAGGAACGCAACCCGGAAATTAAATTCATCGAAAAATCCCGAACTAGAGATACCAGAAATTAATTAACGTTAACCGATAAATTGAGATGAATGAATTTCCCTTGTTTTAAAAAATGACCTCGATGCGTAATTTAATCGATAGCGCAAAATGTACAACCGGTTCTACCTGTTCAAAATTTGGAAACGTTAATAAGAGAAATTAATTTACAAAACACGGTGGCGGATAATTGAATCGTCCTCGTAAAATCAACCCCAGGTGTCCGAAACGCAAAGATAGAACGTTACTTTATATCGAGAGGAATTAATCAACGTTAATTTACAAATCAATCCCCAGGATATTCCGATATTAACCGGTATCGAACACTCGGATGAATTTGCTTGCTTTACACCGTGACCACTAATTCAGCCAATTACCCTAAACTGGAGCGCGTCACTCCAATCCAATCCAATCCAATCGGTCTCACGCGTCGAGAGCAGGAAACGTCAAGAGGGATCCCCGAATTTGAGAGAAAGGGAAATTAATCGAGAGGCGTTGACGAAAACCCCGTGGGCCCGGATTCGACCGAGTGGCGTTAATTCGGGATCACGGACTTCGGCTTAAATATCGACTCTGTCTCGATTAATTAAATCGCTCGTTATTCGTTTCCTCCGGCGAGAGCGGATTCGTTCGACCAGCCACCGGAAGTCGCCGGATCTAATCTACGCCCTTTGCCGAGAGACCTCCTTTCCTTGGTTCAAATCGGGGGACGTATAAGTTGCAACAGGTGCAAATCGTTTTCAGCCCGCAAAAGGCTGAATTTTTCAGGGACACGAATGAAACCTTTTCCTCTCGATTTCGATCGATTCTCTTTCGATCGCAACTTTCGCCCCATTGGCTTAATTCGTTAAGATTCTTTCTACCGATTAATAAGAAGATATCAATTGTCTTTCAGGTCATGAATCAACCCCCCTCGAACGAGGTGATCTATGCAAGACCCGAAATCGCCGCGGCGCTCGCGGAGCACTACGAAGCTTTGGGTAAGCTCGTTTTTTATTCCAGAAGATATCGCGCAACGGAAGGCAACAAAACTGACCTAAGCTGAACCGAGCTCTGCTACCGAGTGCTTCAAAGCTTCGACCCGATCCTCCAAGTCCCGCTGATCCGATCGATTCTTTTTTCCGCTTCCATCGATTTTCCAGAAACCTCGCGATATCCTCGCAAGCAAAGAGCTTTCCGATGATTTCCACGGAAATCCATGGCAAAGGCGATATCGAATTATTGCTTCGGGTCGCGAATCAACGAAAAGGGATCCCTAATCCCTCCCACGGCTTCGAGCTTTCGTCTTTGTCCCGTTTCACATGTGACGTCGCCCCGACATATCACGTTTCTTGCGACGTACGTGGCTCGAAATATATCTAAATAAAATGTATACCATAGAAAATACCGACATCGACATTTTTGGGTAACTTCCCGTTTATGGCAAAGGGGAGAAGGACAAAGGCAAAAGAGGCAAAAGGGATCAAAAGAGAGGGAGAGGCTTATTCTCGCCTTCGAAAAGGTTCCACAAAGGTCTTCCCCGGGCGATTCGCTCCGCTGGCCGATTCTCGGGACCGCCGGCCCATTAACGTCCGACCCATCCGAGGCGCTTACCACTTGCCCGATCGATAACCCTTTTATCCCGGAAAAACGCTTTACCCGAAATCTATCCTGCCCCCGTGGAAGGAAGAAACTCGCGATCCCCGACAGAGGTGCTTCGTTAAAGGGACGCTCGAGGGAGTGCCTTCCTTTTACGGCCGTTGGAGTGCAATCCAATCGGCTCGCCATAAAGGCAATGAGTTCTGCGTTAAGAAAGTCTCGAGCTGGATTTTGATTGCATCCGATAAAAGTCGAATGCGCGCCCACTCGGCCTCCTTCCGCGTCCGAAGCGTGTCACCGGTGTGCGTCCTCTTCGGTAAAAAAAGGAAATGGAAACGCGCGAAAGGCCTTTCCTCCGGGATTGCCGGGCGATCGTGAGGTATAAATAACGCTAATACGCTTAATTGCATCGTTAAGGCAGACCCATTCGCACTTCTTCCCCTGCTCGAGAGCGTGGACTGCCGCGACAAGGAGACCCACTTTTCCGCGTTTCGCATCGAAAAGGAATTTTCAACATTTCATTCGCCTCCAATTTCACGAAATACATTTATGCTCCGTTTGTCTATCCGATACGATGTCCCGAGATCGCTCGAACCGATGAAACGCAAATATCAAATTGCGTTCGATGTCCGACCAAATATTTTCTCAAATGAGGGAAACGCTCTTTTCTCGTTCCTCTCTCGTCCTTAGGGATCCTCGAAGTGGTAAAATAAAATGTCTCGCGACGAGATGAAACCCTATTTTCGTGCGTGGCCTTTCGAAGGGTCATCGCTCTCTCTCTCTCAAACCGGTGGTCTTCCCATTCTTTGCGTTTCTCATTGGTCTCTGCCATTTCCGAGGCGAGAAATTCGTTACGAGACGAAATCTCGGATGTTGCTTTCCAGAAACCGTCGGACAATCGATCGATCAAAAAAAATTCTAACAAGGAATTTGCTCGAAGTTCGCGGCAAACGCCGAGTGCAATCGCCGTTATTCCGTGTATAAATTCAAGGAGCTCGGAAAAAACATTCGAGTGACGTAAAAATGATTAATTGATTTGAATACCCGTGAAACCACCAGATAACTGGATCGGTCCTTTCTTTGCGGAGGTTAAACTCTCGTTAATCGATTTCCAAAATCCACGAGGAACTTGGCCATTATCGGAGCCAACGGGGTGTGCTCGCGTATAACACCCGACCAAGTTTCCGATATTGGCAATAAATTTGATATCCTGTATCGATGCTTCGCGTTAAATCGCGCTCCCGTGTCCCCCGTTTTCGAGGAATGTCCGTCCGTCCTTCCTTAAGGAGGTTGGACGTGGACTTTTTATGGGATCGGCTTGTCGATATCTTGGTTTTACGTCGTTTCTCGAGATCGCTGCTTTTCGACCGCTTCGGTTGGCTCGTCCGTGTTCAAAGAAAAAACCGATCCCCGCAAAGAGACTCGTTAACGAGTGCTTCGTTTAGGACAATTTTTCCCTCGAATAGTGCAAAGAATCGCCCCGCTTCGTCGTTGTCATCTCGATAAAACGTTAGGACGTTCGAGGAAACGTTCGCTTCTTGCTGCGGAGTTTCGGAAGGCTTAAGAAAAAAAAAAAATAAGAAAGCGGAAAAGAGCTTGAAGCTTCGCAGATATTCGCGTTTTTCCCAATGCTTAAGGGGAGGTGTAGGCGAGTTGGCTTTCATACGGGAGGAACAGTCGGTGTATATTCCGGAGGACGTAAAAGTTGGAGGCCGTAAAGGGGAAATGCGCTATTTCAGAAGGCGACGTAACTCGGCCGGATATCGAGGGAGGAAACCCGTCCAACCGAGGTGGAAATTTGCTTGGCAAACCAGCGAATGTCAGGGCCGATTCGACTCCGAGTGGGCTGGTCAGGATCGGGGCTGGGCAGAAATTCGGATCATCCAGAAATTCGAATGGCATCGTGGGAGGACACTCGGGGAGGAGTCCAAACGACATTAGAGTTGAACGGTCGTTCAGAAATTTCGATGGCATCGGAGGAGGACACCCGTTTGGAAATTTGGACGGAAGCGGCGCTGGGGAGTCGGCCAGAAATTTAGATAGCATCGGAGGAGGTAATCTGGTGAGAGCTTTGGATGGCTTTCAAACTGCTCAATTAGCCAGACATTTGGATGGTATCGGGGGAGGAAACATGGTGAGAAGCTTGAGAAATTTTGAATCTGGATATTCGGCCAGGAATTTGGACAGCATCGGGGGCGGCAATCTCGTGAGGAGTGCAAACGATTTTCAAGATGGATACTCGGCCAGGAATTTGGACAGCATCGGAGGAGGAAATCTGGTGAGGCGTTCAAGCGATTCCGAAAATGGGTACTCGGTCAGGACTTTGGATAGCATCGGACGAAGAAGCCTGGCGAAAAATCCAAACTTCGTGGACATCGACGACGAGGAAACCGTTTGGCAAAGTTCGAACGACCTCGAAAACGAGGAAAGCGCTTTTCAAAGAAGACCGCATTATTTGCTCCCAGTAGTCATTTTGAGAAAGAGTTTTAAGGACAGAAACCCGACCGCTTACGGAATCGAAAATCATTTGAATCTGGACGCGATCGGTGGAGGGAATCTCCTGAAAAAATGATACGGATGACAGACTGGATTCTTCAAAGGCGCCCGACAAAGCAGCCCCACAAAGCTAAGAAACGTGGAAAAATAGATTAAATAATAATACGTAAAAATAGAGCATGAAAAAAAATCAATACGAGGATGATAAATCCAAAGCCGTCGAATTTATATATCCGAAAGTAGTCGAAGGACGGAATGAAAAGTATGGCAATAGAAAAATCCAACGACCCACCGCCGAGGCCAGCAAAGGAAAAAAATCATCTCCAACTTGCCCCATGCGAAGAAATTAAAGCGATAAAATATACTAAATTAACGAAGACTTTTTAATTGTAGATAACCATACGTTGAACCAAGAATATATAATTTCTTCGTTTGTTGAAATTTACATGAATAAATCTGTCAAATCCTGTCCCGTCCAATTTCCCGTGCATGGATCCCAACCACCACTGAATAAGAAAAAAGAATCATGAACCGTTCCTTGTACGATAAATGGGTCGATTGTTTAATTAATCGGTCTTCTCTTCGCAGGGGGAACGGAGCCCCGGAATTTGGACAGGATCGGAAGAGGACATCTCCTAAGGGACCCCAGACACGGTTTGGACACTCTCACAGGAATTTCATTTGGGGAAAGCAAACGATCGTAAGTTGCATTCCTTTTTTACACAATTTTGGAATTTCATCGAGTGACTATATATTTTCGAATTTAACACTTTTGCGTATCGTCGAGATAATTCGATTTAATTTCCGATCGCGCCAAAAAGCGTTCCTCCACGAGGAGGGGCAACGAAGCAACAGGTTGTCAAAGAGTTTCCTCGCTTCGTGAAAGGAATCGTTTCGCCCTCTTCGGAGGATAGATTCCAGAAAAATGACGGAGAAGGATTATAAGCGGCGAACTGCGAACACGAAGAGAAAAGAAATTAGATAAGGGAAAGGTAAAAGAAAATAGGGAGGAGTTTGAAAAAAATGAAGAGGAACGACGGAGATGGGAGAGAAATGGGAGGAAGATGTCGAAGAGAACCACGGGCGAAGGACGTGCACGTCCAGCTGAGAATACGAGAGGCTCGCAGGATCGGGAAAGGGAAACCTTGTCGAAGGACTCCCAGGTGTGAACCAGGACTCTCGCTTTGTCCTTTCGCAAAGGGTTCGAAAAGGTTCTCTTCAATTTTCCGCCTCTAGAAAAGGCGGTAATTACGAATTCGTGTACGAGATCGTCGATAAGTCTTGCGACGCACGAGAAAGGATTTCCAGGATTACGGGGAGATCGAAAGAGAAAAAAAAAGAAGAAACAACTTACAACGCGACCCTTGCCTCGTTTTAAAAATGTCAGAACTACGAGACAGCGTTTCCAGGAATCTCCGGGAGACCCCAAAGAATTAAAGGAAAAGGGAGGAAACGACTTCTTCCTGTCAAAAGGTCGAGGAGCATTCGAGGCGAGGACCGTTCGACCGATCGTTCCGGGAAGCTCGAACAATTCCGAGAGAAGGTCCGGTCACGAACTCGGTTTCCTTCCCTCGAAGGATCTCCGAGAGCACTCGCGAGAAATGCGCTCCGTGCTCGACGTTTATCGGCGGTTACCGGCGAAAGTTGTCCCCTGCCTTTTTTCCTCGAGTTCTCCTCCCGCGGGAACCCTTCACCGAAACTCGAAGATCTCGACTGGCGGAAGGACGTCTTCCGAGACTCCTTCGAGGCTCCGGCGTAGGAGCCCTTTCGGAATTTTCGTGAAATTTCGGGCAACGCGAATCACTTATCGGGTTATTCGACGGGCGGGAGGGGGGAGACCCCTACGCACTTCCCCTCCTCCCAGGAGTGTTTTGCCTCGGCGTATTTGGGCTCCGTAATTGAATTCCTGGGGTGGATACCCTCTCTCCCCTTCTCGAACCGTCTCGTTCCGAAAAAAGACCTCGCTAATTTTAGCGAGCGTTCGTCGAAGAAGGGCGGAAAATCCCTTCGGTCCTTAAGTCGTCGAAATTCCTGTCCAGGAGGGGCTTCAACAATCGGCCAGGCACCTTCGACGAGATCGACCGATCGGCCTTCGACGACTTCGGGAAGCGCGATTCGGACGGCCTCGGCAAGAGGAACATCGACGAGATCGACCGAACGGGCTTCGACAGTTTCGTCAAGCGGAACTTGGACGAGATCGACAGGGCCGGCTGGAACGGACTCCTGAAGAGAGACCTCTTCGAGGCGTATCCGCGCGATCGCCTGCATTAATCGGCCGCGCCTCTTCGGGCTCGTCCGACCCCGTCCCGTCCCCGTCCCGTCCCCGTCCCGTACCTCCGAACCACGTCCCCTGGGTACTCGCATCTTGAGACGCTTGCAGAGGAATCGACGATTCTCCAAAATCCTTCCAAGATCCTTCTCTTCTGGAAATCGCGAATTAGCTTTTCCGACATCTCTCCCCGAAGCCTCGAGGTCAGGGCACGGCCCTTTTCCGTCCTCCCTCTTGTCCGGGGCATCCCGAGAGCCCGTGCAAAAATATCCAGGATACTCCGAAACGGTCGAAGGACTCGCGATTCATTTTCGGGGGCGGAGCTGCAGTCAATTAAAAAGTACAGAGACGAATTTCGAGTCGAGAGGAAAAACCGTGAAAAGGGAGTCGGGAACGCGCGAGGGTCGGTCCAAAAAATAAAAGAAAAAATGAGATCAAAAAGGGGGAAAAAGCGAGCTCGAAACCCTCCAGCGACGGGGCTGCCGAGATTTTGGGCATTTTCGGGGCTTTTTCCGCGTACTCGTCGGCACGATAGGATTAATTAGAGCGGAAGGGCGATATTCGAGAATTGCGAGGATTTCGAGGATACCGTTGAACTCATCCTTCGGAAAGAAAACGGGAAGAACGGGAAAAACGGAACGAGGTCCTCGATCGAGAACCCATAATTACGTCGATGTGTCGTTGTAACTCATTAACAAAATACTCGTAATTCTATCCCGCATCGGGAGCCTCTCGATGCGAGAGCCTCTCGTCCTGCGAATCTCTCGAGCGAGGCGATAGCGGATACCTTTGTCCGAGCGAATTTGGAGCGATATTAGGAGCGAAGGATACCGTTTTGGACCGTCCGTCCTTTCGGAGATGTCCGAGGACCGATCGGTCCTTCCCTTATTTATTTCTCGCTTTTTCTCTCTCTCTCTCTCTCGGAATAGCGCGCTGCAGATCTGTATAAACAAAGCTGAAATAAAGACTAACATCCGTGCTTCCGGCCGTTCGTTTAAATGAAAAGCAATTTTTCCCGTTCCCGCCAGGTGTCCCAAAATACCCGAGATCGGGTGCCGTCCGCCGTACCTCCTCCCAGGGTACACGGGCGCGCAAAAAGTTCGGATCTCGATCGCAACTTTCCAGGAGGAGTTGCTCGTCGACGATCCAAGCCGAATATCGATTTACTGTCCAAACACTGAGAATAAATTGGAGTCAGGCGTGAGTAAACAGTCGATCCCGCTTCCTGCGCTCGGACAGGAGGCACGAGGTACTCGAGCACCCGGACGTCCCGGGCCGCGGTAGTCTCGGGAACTGGAAAAGGGAACTCCTCCTCGTCCCGACCTCCGGGATTCGTTTAACTTTGCGGCATCGACGTAGGATTTTCCCCGAGAGTCCCAAAATATACGAGAACGTACGTTTAAAAAGAATTCCCTAAGCTTCGCACTTCCAGGACGGTCGGAATCCGATGGGCTTGGCCGCGGAACGGGGCCTACGGTCGTTCAGCAATTTAACCTCGGGCACGAGAGGAGTCCTGGGCCTGGCGGCGTTCTCCGAGATGACGTCTCTGGCGACCCCGGACCCGATCGCGGCTTGCGGCATGACTGGACTCTGTCCCCCCAGGGAGCTGGCCGAGGAAATCTTCGGCTTCTTCGGGGTCCTCGGCCGGGCCTCCGGTTTCTTCCCGGACAGAGCCCTTTTCACCTCCTCGTTGATGTCCGAGGGAGTCTGAAGCTCCGCGTTCTCCGTGTTGAGGTCCATCCTGGCTCTCTGGAAAAAAAGACGGTCCAACCGGAAGAGGTGGGATTTGAAATGGCGGAGGGAGGATTCGACGCGGTTCTTATTCCTTATGGCTCGAAAACCGACCTCGATGACGCTTTCCTCGAAAGCCGTGTACCTCTTAAGCAACGTAGCCACTTTTGCGCTGAGTTTCGTCACGTGGTGGGTCATGTGCAGGTCCCTGCCGATGTCACCCTCGATCTGGAATAAACTGTGCAATTCGATGCTTCGTTTCTTTTAACAAAAGGCTCAAAATTAATTACCTCTTTCATCGCCTCCGACACTTTCGAGCCGATGTACTGCAAGCTCTCTCGAGACTGGCGGACCTTGAGGACAAAATTTCATCATTTTCCCCCCTACAAATTTTCCGTGATCGCGGGGAACCGTTCTTCTCCTTTTTAAATAAGTATTCGACGAGTCGATGCAATTTTAAAACGTGACCGGAAACACCCTTTTTAATTCTAAAAGTATTACAACGAAATTGAACTCCGTGACCTCGGCTACCAGCTTGTAATGGGTCCTCATCTCTCCAAAGAACTGCGAATAAATAATTAAGGAGTATTTATAACGCTCCCATAACCTGGCGGAACCTTTACCGGTAATTATTTAAGGGCTTACGCGTTTGCAGACGATCAGGCCAATCGTCAGATTAATTAGCATGAATATCACGCTGTTGAACAGCGGGAATAACGGGAACATCGCGAAGAGGGTTATCGAAGCTTATCGCGAGAAAAGCACAAGATTTTCGAATTTTCAACGACGAGAGAGAGGCCGTCGAGAGGGTCGAATAGCCTCGAACAAACGACGTTTGTGAAATTGGTCGAATCGCGGGTTCCTGTACCTGGTTTACCGGGTTTGCGCAAAAACTGAAGAGTCAACAAGTTATGAGAGAGTACCGAGAGATGACGCCGCGCCGATTGGTTCGACTTTCCGCCGACAGGTGGCGGAGCTATCCGCGAGTCGACGCCGACGCCGATCACAGCAGATCACAGTTCGCTCCACTGTGCGCGGCCGTGCGTCCGTTCCGCCCGTAGGATCGTTAAAAATATGCAAAAGTATGAGAAACTTGAGAAAATAGGAGAAGGTGAGTGGACCGAGAGCAAAGTAACGATCGCGCCCAGGACGAAGTTGCCGGGACCCGTTTTTGGGCCGCGCCGGTTTTTTCCGACGAGCGGCGTCGGCGAGGGGCTAGCTGTCACTTAACGAAGCGCCTCGTTTCCTTCGATTTCCTTCGATTTCCTTGTTTCCAGGCACTTATGGGACAGTCTTCAAAGCGAAGAATCGCGAGACCCACGAAATCGTCGCCCTGAAGCGCGTGCGGCTCGACGAGGACGACGAGGTAACCGTTCATCGAAAGTCCTTTTTTCGACAATTCTCTTCCTTGGCGAGGGATATCCAGTCGAGCGGGTTTAATTTAATCGAGCGAAACGAATCGATGGTCCTTGGACGTTTTATCGGAATAGCGAGGACGAGCCGCACGGGTACGTCGTGACGGGGTTTAACCGTGCCTTGGCTTCCAGGGTGTGCCTTCGTCGGCTCTCAGAGAGATCTGTTTGCTGAAGGAGCTGAAGCACAAGAACATCGTGCGCCTGTACGACGTGCTGCATAGCGACAAGAAGCTGATCCTCGTCTTCGAACACTGCGACCAGGACCTGAAGAAGTACTTTGACAGCCTCAACGGGGAGATCGACCTGGACGTGGTCAAGTCGTTCTTCTACCAGTTGCTGCGTGGCCTGGCATTTTGTCACAGTCGGAACGTCCTCCACAGGGACCTGAAGCCGCAGAATCTGCTGATCAATAAGGTAGGGTGTCGTCGGAAGCGAAGCTCTGTCGGACCCGGCACACGACGACGATTCGCTCTCGTAGAACGGCGAACTGAAATTGGCCGACTTCGGACTGGCCAGAGCGTTCGGCATTCCAGTGAAATGTTACTCGGCCGAGGTTGTCACGCTGTGGTACCGACCTCCGGATGTGCTGTTCGGCGCAAAGCTCTACACGACGTCCATTGACATGTGGAGCGCGGGCTGCATATTTGCAGGTTAGTCTCTTCTCTTTTAAACGTACCGAGACCTTCTCGTCGTTAAGGAGGAGTCCTTGCATCCGATCGACTTCCCGTAGAGTTAGCCAACGCCGGCAGACCGCTGTTCCCTGGTTCCGACGTGGACGATCAGCTCAAGAGGATATTCAAGATGCTCGGAACCCCGACCGAGGAGACCTGGCCCGATCTCACGACTCTGCCGGACTACAAGGCGTTCCCGTTGTACCATCCGACTCAGGGGCTCTCTCAAGTGACGCCGAAACTAACTTCGAAAGGAAAGGACTTGCTTCAAGTACGTATAAAATGTCTTTATCCTCGGGAACCACGTGAAATTCTGAAAGCTACGATCTCTTATTTTACCGTTTATTCCAGGATAATATTATATTAACGTACAAATGAATTAAAAGCAAGCGTCCAATTTCCAGAGATTATTAATGTGCAACCCAGCCCTTCGGTTATCGGCAGAGGAGGCGATGCTGCATCCCTACTTCCACGACCTGAACCCTGCCATCAAGAACGATCGGTGCCAATGAGAGGAGTTCTCCGGTTAGTGTTTAGAGCGAGCGAGCGAGCGCTCTCAGCGACCAAAAACGGAGAGAGAGGGAACGACAAAGAGAAAAGAGGAATAAAACGGAAACCAAAAAAGGAGACGCCAACTCCGACGAGGATTATTTATTATATGGCGCGTGGGACGCGCGTCGAAGACGCACTGTGAAATATCGACGGAGTCCTGTTTTATATACGAGTGTCCAAGGCGAATCAATAAAATGTCAATTTTGAGTCGGCAAGTCGTTACTCCGACAAACTAGTTCCCTTCTGTGCCTAGTTTGAGGCATCGGAACGAAAGGAAAAAAATCTCCTTACCCAGGGTTGGCGAGGAGAATTATAAATCCAATCGATGACTATAATAATTACGGTCATATAAAAAATTGCACTTTGCAGCTTATCGTTACGTGCTTTATTTTCCTGTCGAAAGAAGAAACCTCGTTTCCAAAATCTCACGACAATGCGCGATACCTCTTAAGGCCAACCAAAACCATCGAAACAATATCGATCCTCGTTGAGCTACAAATTGCAACGAGATAAAAACCGGAGATCGATAGAAAAAATAAGTGCGAGAGAAAATTCGGGATCACGCAAGATGAATAAAAAGTCGCGTCCGTTTTCACGTGCCTTTAATTGTAAGCATTCTCCTAATCGATTCGATAATAATTGTAGCAATAGTAATAGCTTCCTCTCTCTCATGCGCACTCGCACTCTCGCACCCTCTCCTTTTTTTTTTCTAGATTTCCCTTTCTTCACGATTAATTCCAATGATAGCATTCGTTACAATTAAGTGGTATGTGTTTTTGCTTCCTTGCCTTGCATTTTTTTTTTTTGTAGTTTTGCACTTTTCCGGGTCTACGGCCTCTCCCGCTCCCTCACTCGACACCCTGCACGTACAGTCTAAGGATCTATCCTAAAATAAATCAGCGATCTCGCTACGCGGTCTTGCCGATCTAGACCTTTTTTTAATCGCGCGATCCGACTTTGTCAGCCGAGGTAGATCCGAACCTGGAAAAATCGCAAAGGAGAGATACAATAATTTCGAGGAACGTTTTCGCTTCGACGCGTCCTCGAAACCTTGCGTGCGAATTAAAATGTCACTAGTTAGAAAATTCGCGACGAGATAAACTCCTTTGGAAAAAAGAGAAGAAAATTAAAAAAAATTTCCCAGAATTTTGTAAACCTCAAATAACGAATTCGTCGATAATATTTCTACTCGTTATCCAAAAAATCGCGAAAGGCCTTGCCGAATAAAAGGCCCTTCGATGAATATTTTCCGTATCCGTTATCAATTGATTGCCCAATTCGATCGACTTTTCGAAAAAAATCGAAGACGATTAAAATGGACAGTGATTAAGAAGTCCCTCGGGCTGCTCGGGGCGTCAGAAAAGAAAGATAATAATTAAAGATCAACGTAAAGTACGGATCAGAGATCGACCTTCGCTTCGACGATGCGATCGGCGGCCGTGTGCAGTTAAGTGTTCCATATCGACGATCATTATTTTCAATTATCCGCTACGATTAACATCCGTACACGCTCTCTTTCTCTCTCTCTCTCTCTCTCGTGCTTTGCATTTATGAAAAATAATCGCGACTCTTTCGTCCGCCTCTTATTCCTCTGCTCCTTTCTCGCCGGCCGCGGCTTTCTTTATTTTTCCTCCGCATTGCCCGTAACATCGTGGAAGCAACTCGCGCGACACCTCCGAGATAGCCGAGGCCGCGGAGCGCGGATTCACGGATCTTTCGTGAATAGACGAAAATGGACACCAAGGATCGCGGGAGGAGGAAAGGGGGTCTCGACTCTCCCTTCCGAGGTGGGAGCTCGAACCGAGCACGGAGAGGGCCGCAATTTCAATTTCCTTTTTTTGCCACTCGATGAAAGGTACGCTCGCGCGAAAAAATTGCGATAATTCGTTCGGTGGCGGAGGACCTCTCCGCGCCCGACTACGGACCGGTCGACCTCGCGAGAAAAATTCATTTCTCGAGGAGGGGACTTCCCCGTCTGGCTAAAAAATCTCCTACGCGGAATTCGACCTCGTTCGACGGTGACGTTCTTAAAGGTAAGCAAGCCTGTCCTCCGCGACAACGTTTCGCTCGCGTCTTCCCGCGGTTATCGTTAATTATTATTAAACCGCCCTCCAGGAATGCTACGGATCCCTTTGGCGGGGCGTAAAATGCGACGGGTGCTCGACGGAGAAAAAGAAAAAAGAACGAAGGGAAAAATGCGTACTCGGCGAGACAGGCGAGACCACGCGCACCGTCAATTATCATCTATGGACGTCACCGTTGGTACGCGGGGTAATTCCATGGAAGTTCTCGAGAATCCTCTTGGAAACGTCCCGAGGCTCGAGAGACGACGCTACCTCGGCGCCGTCCGCTAAGAAACCGTTTAGAGCGAGCGTTAAGCGGGAATCGATTAAAGTATAACCTTAATTCCATATCGACGCCTGTCGCGAACATCGGCGAGACGATTAAATAGCCTACGATCTTTATAAGGTAACGCGGGGTTCGTCTCGGTCCTCGAACGAGGAAAAAGAGCCGTCGCTCGAGTCCGCCCCTGGATTCGAAGGAGGTTCCCTTCCGTCGAGGCAGCAAAGGGAGACGGGTCGAGTCCCCGTTCCCCGGCAAAGTACCAGGCCGGAGTAACTTAGTAGCTTGGGAATTCGGCATAAATAATCCTTAAGATTAACGTTGCGCGGTACATCCCGAGCTGGGAAAAATTAGAAGACCCGAGTCGCCTCGGGCCTCGTAGGAATCGCGTCGCTTCTTTCCACGTTTCTTAGAAATCGGTTCGGAAGCGAGACCGGCCGTTTGGGCGACCTCAAGTCAAAGATCGTTTTTCCGTCGAAAGACCGACGGAACTCGACTGCCCCGGACGTTTTGCAGGCCCGAAGATACGTTCGCGTAATCCTACGACGAGAGCCTCTGAAGTGCGTGGGGTATGGATGGATTAATAAATTAATTTAAATAGACAATTAATAATTGGTATCACGGTGCGGGGACGACTTCGTTCGCGACACCGAATAAATAGGCGCCGAGTGGAGGGACTTCGAGCCGTTCCCATTCCCGAGGACGTCTTTTAAGCATCGCGTTCCCCATCCGACGGGTCGTCTCTCCGGGAGCGTCCCCGAAGTAGGATGCTCGCGCGTTGACGCGACGAACCGCGAGACGGTCCCCGAAGTCGCTCCTCGACCTAACGATCGCTCCGGATCCGCAGAAGAAAATCGCCCGTTGTCGGTCCCTTCGGCGAATCTCGGGCGACCGTCCCACCTCGATCGTAGACCGTGATCGCGACCGTACCTCACAGGCCGCGACGCGCGTCGTTTCTAACTTCGATCGAGACGACGCGCCGTCGAGCGCGTTTCCTTGCAAGTATTTAAGCGCTTCGATAATTTATGAACCTAGATATATATATATATATATGCATAAGAGAAAAAAAAGAGGAGGAAAGCAAGAAGTAGACGGCGGTAAACCATGTAGGACAATTAACCAACTATGTACAAACGTCGACGGGTGGCACGTGCCCGAGTCCCGTCGCCCAACCGAAATCGGGGGACCGGAGAAGCAAGCGGGAAGCTCCGGAGGGCTCTCCGAGGTATCGGCCTCCACCTCGAAGGGCTCCTCTCCCGATCTTTCCCTTCCCTCGATATCTCGCTCTCTCCTCTCTCTTTTTCTCCTTTTCCCTTTACATGCACGAGTTGTAAATCAGATTCACCTTCGGAACTCTGTCCTTTTCGTCGGCAAACGCGCTCTTGCGCTCGTTCTCTGTAAAAGTGAAGAGAATTTTTTTTTCAGGTTTTTCAGGGTTACTCTCACGTCCGCCGTACTTGACATTCCACATCTATTTCGGGGAGAACATGGAAAAAAAGAAACAGAAGAAGACAAAATAAATCCGAGCGTTCCGTCCTGTTCGAGGTGGCAGATAGACCGTTAGAAGGACCCCGGCAAGGATTCGTCGGATCTTCGAGGAACCGCAAAACGTTAACACGGAGTCTCGCGGAGCGAAGGCCGACATCCGGAGTTTTACGGAGGACACCCACGTCGATGCCTCGCGAGATTCTCCTACCGGTCTATGTGCCCGTCGGAATGAAACTTAACCGGGGGGAACTTATGGGATCGTTTACTTCTCGAACGAACTCTCCGGTCCTATAAGTTCTCCAAGGAGTCAACTTAACGTCTAATGCCAAAGAATGAGAGAGAAAAGCTTTGCGTATGCATAAAGAAATCGATTTTTAACCGCTAAAACGAACGGAGAAAAAAGCAGAGTGGACTCCCGTCGCTGACGTACTCGGGCGTATTTTTATCTCAAAAGATCAACTTTATGTACCATACACGTCGCAAAGTCACAAAGATCATTTTTAAACGACATCCCACGAATGTATAAATAAATAAGGTTCTATAGGTATAAAATAAATCTCTTTAAGTTATAAATATTCTGACGGTCCTAACGATGGTCCTTGTAAGGAATAAATTCCCGGTGGAATTAAATTTGAAAGATGCACGTATATATATATACACGTATAGTAATGAGACCAAGTAAGTCGTTCGTTTTTCTAAACTATTTACTATTGTATATAATTAATTCGTAAACGAATACTCCACGTGTAAAGGTTTAAATTAAATATCGAACTAGGTGCACTATGCATGCGCGTGAGAAGCATATTACTTAAACGGGGCACCGTCAATGGTAGCAGCATGCGGACACGTTTGCATCCAATGAATACTTAAGAAACGATCGCGGTCTCGTTAAAATATCATCTCCGACGTTCTCCCCGTCCCACCTATAGACCACTGGTTACGCCTTAAGCCCTCCCTGACTATTTCGAAAGTATCCACCGGAGCAATTGTGTCCACGTTAAACGATAGCACGGCAGCGTCGACCGTTTCCGGTCAACTCGCCAGTTCTGCGACAATGGAATGGCACCGATTGGAACCACTTCGGTCCTTGTTATCGGTTCTTCCTGTCACTCGAATGCACTTCACTTTTTTCACGGAACTGAGAGAATCGACCCTTCGGAATCCCCTTTGGATAGCGTGTCTAAGGAAGTTTCATATTTTCTTTCAAGACATCGGGACCCGAACGGCCAAGGTATACTACCGCCTTCGAGCGGAGGGTTAACCTCAAAATGTTTACTTGACTGATCACTCCTTACCTCGGTTTCCGGTCCTGACGGCGTTAATTCCTCCCATGTGGTGCTGGCCAGCCCTGATCGGCTTGGCGATCTGGGCACTGGGACCACGTCGAGCCAAATTCTTCTGTCGAACGGCTTCCTTGATCCTGTCGACCTCGTACTGGTATCGCTTGCGATCCTTCATCGCCCCATCCTTGGCATCTCGCAGGGCAGTCTCAAGGGCTTTGACGCGTTCCATGGTCGCTCTGAGTCGTTTCTCAAGTTTGGGCAGCTCGCAGCGGAGGTCGGCGTTGTCCCTGACGAGCTGCTTGTGCACCTGTTTCAAATGAGGACAATTAACGGTAGAAGTGACGCGCGGACAATGAATTCCCTGAGGTCAAGAGAGTACCCCAACTCACTTTCGTCAACTGATCGAGGTTGTTCTCGAGGAAGGAGATCTTGTGCTTCTGTGCCAACGACCCGCCATCGTCTTCGTTGTCCTCGGCATTGGCAGACTTCTTAATTCTAGCCTGGAGGTCTTGTACAAACATTTTGCGAAGATTGTGGAGGGTCTGCAGCTCCTTGGCCACCGTGTCTTCGAGACCCTTCAGGTCTTTTCTTGCCTGGAATCAATGATTTATGAGCATCGAAGGTTACGTCGGACCGAAATGGAGGTTAAGGTTTCTAATTGAAGAAAAAAAAAAATATATATATATATATACCTGTTCGCGACGCTCGTTCGTCAGAATGAGCTCCTGCAGCTTGATCGACTTATCCGCCTCCTCCTGTTTTAGGCGTTCGTAGTCAGCCTGCATCTGCTGGTGAGCCAGAGTGAATTTCTGATTCAAGTCCTTCAGCTCGCCGATCAGTTGCTGCTTCTCGGAAATTTCGTCTCTGAGAGCAGCCACCTAAAGAGAATCCACCCATGAAAGAAAATACTCGTGAAAGGTAAAAATAAGTAGTGGACATAAAAATGAATTCCAACGTAAACCGTTTTCGGGGCATTCCTCTCCGAAGGACGGTACTTGACCTGTTTCTGGTGAGCATCGCGCAACTGGTCCATCTGCTGCTCCAGGGCCACTCTCATCTTCGTGGCGGCCTCCTTCTCCTGGGCCTTCTCCTTGTTGCTGACTGCCTGCACCTGTTCGGCAGCTTTCAGCTTGGCGCACTCCTCCCGGAGGGCATCCACGTCCTCCTCCAGGGCACGTTTGCGAGCGTCTGCCTCCTTCATCGACTCCGTCAGGGTTTGCATCCTGGCTTCGTGCTGCGAGATCAGCAGTCTGCACTCGCCCAGCTCCCTTTCGTACTCCGAAACCTGCATACAACGTTGCCTACAGTTTCTACAGCGCGAAGAAACCAACAAAGATATTCCCAACGCAACGTACCTTCTTGTTACAGTCCGCTTGGAAGCATTCCAGTCCCTGGCAACGCTGTACCAGATTCTTCACCTCCGACTTCATCTTGCTGATATAGAGCCTAGCGACCGTAAATTCTTCCTCGAGCTTACCGCTGCTGTCCGGGGTAACCTTTTTACCGAGAAAAAAAAACATACGTCACCACCTTTGCTCCATGAACCAAAAATCAAGCGCGACGTTTCGTCGCCGTTGTGGAGTTCGACTCCAGAAAATTTCTGGGCATCACCTTGAGATTCTCATCCCCGCCGATTGCCACGCCCATCTCGCCAAGATCCTTTAGCAAGTTGGCGAGCATCTCGACGATACGTTTGCGCTGGTGGGCCGACATGTCTCGCAGCTGTTGCAGTTCGGTGGTCGTGGTGTTTAGCGCGACCTGCTTGGCCAGCAGCTCCTCGGTCAGGGCCTCGTGCTCCTTGTTCTTGGCATCGACCTGGAGGGTCGAGGACATTCCTTACTTTTGTAGACGACTAGGCACCGGGCGGGATTCGAGGGGTGCCTAGAAGGCGAGGGGACTTGCCTACCTCCTGGGACTTCTGGTCGTAGTTGACGGCAAGCTCCTCGAGAGCTTGGAGGACCTCCTTGACCTCTTCCTTCGCGCTCTCGTTCTCCTGCTGGATGCGGTTCATCTCCTGTTGAAGCTGCTCGTAGTCGCGCCTCGCGCACGCGATCAGTTCCTCCTGTTCCTCCATCTGCTCCTTCAACTTCTCCACGAACTGCGAGGTCTGGTTGATCTCCTCGTCCTTGTCGTCGAGCTGCTGATAGAGCCGCTCGCGTTCCTCCTCGAGCTTTTGCCTCTCTTCGTTGGAGAGAGAGCCGGCCATCAGGCCGCCGCCCGGAGTGGCCGGCATCGGACCGTCGTCGACTTCGGCTGAAAGTTCACGGGAAATACAGAGAGGAGAGACGTAAGTAACGGCTCCATCGGCAGACTCGACGATGTCGTCAACTTTGGGTACGTTACCTTCGACGGTCACAACACTGGGGGAAACGACGTCGGGAGCCTCCACCAGGTTGACCTGCTCCTCCAGCTTGACGGTCTCACCTTGCCTCCATCGAGACAGCTCCGATTCCAGCTTCTCGACCTTCCCTTTTAGTCGAGCCGCCTTCTCCTTCTCGCGTTCGTACCGTCGTTTCCACTCTTCCGCCGTCAACTCCTCGTTGACGCAAACGACGTTCTTGATGGTCTTGGCTCGTTTACCTGCGCAACGTTTCGGATTAAGAAAGGACCGTTCGCCCGTCGGTCGGATTTCCGATACTCACCAAAGTCCAGCGTCGACTTGGTCTCGGACTCGTTGAAGCTCGCCGGAGAGCAACAGATGATGATCGTAGTTCTGGCATTGCCTCCCAAGGATTCTTGGAGAATTCGCGTGAGCTTCGAGTCTCGATAGGGTATATGAGTCTTGTTGCCATCGGCCAGGGCAGATATTACGTTACCGAGGGCCGATAACGACTTGTTAATGTTTTTCGCCTCGTCCAGGACAGTCCCCTCCGCTCCTGTCTTCGAGACCTGGAACACGGAGAAAGAAAAACGTTTGTCGATCCCAGGAGTACGATGCGGTTAGATAATAGATTATGCTCTCGCTCACCTTCTCCGAACCTGCCAGATCGACAAGGTAAAGTTTGCCGGAGAGCTTCTTCTGGTTCTCGAGGTTCTCTTGCTTGACGTTGATCAAGAAAACCGAGTGGGATCGGGAACTGTGCTCGTTCATGTTGGTCACGGCGATGTGACGATTCAACTTTCCTTCCTCTATAACCTCGAACACCTCCTCCGGGCTGGACACGAACCGCTCCGTAGCCCCCTTGACGAATGGCACTCGATTCTTGTCCTCGTGCACGCTCAAGTTAACCTTCGACACTGCGGAAGAAACAGAAGCATTAGAACCTTATTTCCGATTAATCGTACGTCCAAGTAAATTACTTTAAGTATCATTGGCGAAATCAAAAATTTACCGTCGAGCAAATCTCTGATCTTGTCCATGTAGATCTCGAAGTAGGACACCTTAATATGGAACTCCAGGTTCTCCTCCATGCCATAGATGTGATTGAATATGTCGTTGACAATCCTGGGAATAATACCCTGTTTGCCACTGTCACCGATAACTCCTTCCATCGTGTGCGTCTTGCCTAGGGTCACGAGAGTACGCGTTAATAATAAATTTCCGGTAAACGTTATCAACTTAATTGAATTATGGAAAGTATGTTTTTTTTTAATTACCCGATGACGTTTGACCATATGCAAAAATTGTTCCATTGTATCCTGCCAAGACGTCGGTGACGATAGACTTTGCTGCTTCGTTGTAGACCTTCTCCTGCGTCGCATTTGGCTTGAAAACTTTATCGAAGAGATATACCTTTCCCTAGAAATATATAACGAAACATCTTTAGCTCCCGTGAACCCACTTAGGCATCCATTTGCAGAATAATTGTGGAAGATTTTATCGAAGCATCGGTTTGGAAGCTACAATCGAAGGATTTAACAGGGACGAGAGGAATTGTCCAGAGATAATGACTGTACCGAACATCCGTCCTTTAATGACAAGTGAATCAACAGAGGAGCAGCACTTCTTTACTGTCCCTTTGAACGCTACAAACAATGGAGAGAAATTGGAGCGCGCTCCGTCAAATGAAAAAAGTCAAGCTTTGTGCCGCGATTCTTGTACATACAATAGGGGCGACTCTTTCTAAAGTTTAGAGGGGCGCAAAGGCACTAAAGGGTCCTACATGAGGCTAAACAGTTTTAAAGTTGAGCCGCTCTTATGAGGTACTCTCATTTTCAAGACACCTATGATCCGACCACTGTCTTACATACCATTAATTTATTTAATTCACAGCGACAGCTTACGATACATTTTAAAACTTTGTTTGCATAATTCTTTCACTTTAATATTAATTTTGCAATAAAAGATAGCAGAAAAATTATTGTATACCAAACCCATCTTTGTAAGCTATTTTACAAATTATTAAAATAAACATTATTTAAGTATCGAAAATGATCAAGTTACACAAACCATCCTGTATATCGATAACTAAATATGAACTAAAAAAAGTTCAGTATCTTCACACATAATAAAGGATCGGCTGACTCGAGTGTCATGAGTCATTCCCAAATGCGAAGCAGACTTTATTCCTCTTGCTTTTCGGCTCCTTGTGAATCACATTTTAGACTACCTGACAGACACGAGGTCGATAAAAGAAAAAGTAGGAAAAATGCATGGAACGTAAATACATATTTGTTTGATTCACAAGTAATTATGCTTCTCGTGATGGGTCTTTGAAAACACGAAGGAACTTTTTTTTTTTTTTTTTTTAAGAAAAATGCATTACTCCATTCCAAGCAACTCGTGTGACTTGGATGAAAAGTATTAACGTTTCAAGGTAAGCTCCAAAAGGTCGTGCGACGATAAGGCACGGAGAAAAGTCACACATTGCTGTAGCAGTTCTTTACGGTTGTGCGATAGAGCCATTATGAGATCGAGGATTAACCTTAACACAAAACTTAACCTACATTTCCAAGAAACATCCATGCAAATAATAGATACACCAGGAACCCATCTCTGGAAATGTCATGACACTCGATAAAAAGAAAAAACTATTTTAAAGTTAACCGAACCTATAATTTCTAAAATCGCGTCAACCCTTTAACATAAATTTTCAAAGCATTACTGTTTTATTCTATTAATATTAAACATAGGATGCATTTCACTTAAAAGATTACAATACATAAAACATTCCTTGCAATTAGACGTTTGGGTACGATCCAAATTCTTCATATGATTTTTTAAACCCAAGGTGCTCCATGAAGGTTTCCGCACTCGACCCCTAAGTAAAATTTTCAATGTTCTTCAAGGAACTTTCTACGAGCTCTACACCAATTTGAACATTACGGTAGATGAAACCATCTCCCCTGATTAAAGTACTTCCGGGACGATTCGGACTGTCATAAATGGGTTAAGTATAAAGCGGTCGACCCTTCACCCTTCCAGGGCAACTCCTGAAATATCAAAATCCCCCTTGACCCGAGGCATATCGGGCGTCCTCCTAGTTACATAACGAATCTCTAGAGATTCTGGAAGAGCTCAGGAACGCTGAACTCTGCTCGAAGCCGTGCTCTGCTGCCAGGCCGGCGACGTCGCCACCCGGGGCCGGGGTCGGGGTCAGCCTCGGGCCGCCATGGTTCCTCGGGCATCGATCGGTTCCTTGACCGAGAGGACTTACCCCGATGGAGATGCAATTCTCCTCGCCGCCGGAGGGGAATTTGACGATGAACTTGGAGCCGGCCTTCTCCTCGGAGTCATTGAGCGGCCGGAATCGACAGACCACCTTGATGCTGTCCTCGGCGGCGATCTCGCGTTCCCTCGGAGTCTCCATGGTCGGGGATTCGGAGCCGCGAATGGGCGTCTAGGGTGGCGGCGCGCCGTCGGGGTAGTTCCGGGACGGTGCTCGCGGTTAGCCGGAGGCCGATTTCGCCGATTTCACCGATTCCGACGTCGAGGCGCACGAACGGGACGAGCGGAAGCGCGAGAGCCGCCGCATCGATGAGCGAAGAGCGCCTAGCTGTCACGGACCACGGCTCGCGCTCCAAAATGGCGGCCGTCCGTCCCTAACCTGTCCGCCGTACTGCTCCCCTAGGACCCTAGACCGAGTTCCGAGGACGATCGGCGATCTCTCTAACCCGCGAGATGGAAGGCCGCGCAGCCGGGCATAACTCGAGAGTCGCTTCGACGAGGCGTGACGATTTTAACGCACGTTGTACGTCCTCAACAGTCTGGAACTCTCACCCCGACTCGGACGCGTCGCGATGGCCGTGCGCGATGCGCGCGCCGCCTGGGGTCTGGCGCCATCTTGACCGCGCCGACCAAGGGCTTGTCCTTGTCGCGCGAGCACGATTCCTATAGCGCCTTCTCGCTCGTATTGCCGACTCCGTCGCACCTTGTAATGACCGTTCGCCTCCCACGAGTCCTATCGGGTCCTATACACGGAGGGTAACGGAGAGGGACGCCGTCGCGCGAACTCGTGCTGACTCGCCCTGACTCGCGCACTGCGGGAAGCGCCGGCTACACCCCCGCGTGACCTCGCTCTCCTCGGACTTATTGATTTCGACGGATTTCACATTGGCCGACAGCTTTTCCCTTGAAGAATCCGCAGGACCTCGGGTGACGCATAGGTCCCACTAGGGGAGCCCTTGCTCCTCTCCTTGGATATACTTTACCAAGATATACCTTGTAACACGGTTTTTCGATTCAGTTCCCGATCAACGATAACCTTTTCAATTATCCAGAGTTAGGAGAATCGATCGAAATGTTAACTCGTAGCTTTTGTGAAAATTATGAATAATTATGTATTCAAATAAAATGCCTACGCTTAGAAAAATAGACGTGTTAAGGCTCTGTGCCTTAAAATGTTAAAATTAATTACCCATCCCCTTAAACGGAGCACTAACTATTAACTTTACTAAGAACTGATGTAGAACGGCTAGATGTGTAATATTCAACGATGATTTCTTGTTAAAAAGAAGATATTTCTACCCCATGAAAAAGAAGACTATAACCATGGTACAGAGATTCGACCAGTCTTAATTTAACAACAAAAAGGCATCCTTTATTTTTCTTAACAAAAAAGAGATGCTTTAACGTAATAACGGGTAGATCCATGGAATACGATACAGCTACGATATTAACGGTTCTAGTTCCATGTAATATATTAGATCGTGAAATGTTTTGTTCCTATGTGGCTACTTGACTAGTTTGAGGACCGAACGGTGGCAAATTGTGGGGTAACGATAATTAAATACGCGAGTTACTCGGCATTCCCTGTTTCCTCTACTACACGATCGGGCATGCAAGTGCAACTGTCAAAAAGAACCTCGATATGTAGTACAAGGGTTATGATGGAGTAATCGACGATATAACGAAGTTCATACTCGAGTGGCCTGTTACTCGGTAAAAAAAAAATAGCATTGTAATGACTACGCTTTAAACGGTACCTTGTAGTCGGTTCAATTTTAGAAACTCGTGTGCGCTCTGCGTAGTTCCTTCGCAAATGAATTAAAATGATCTGCACCGTTCGCCATTGTACCTGCAGTGTATATGACCTGCACCGAATGCTGGCTCGATTCTCTCTATTTAACACCGAAACATGTATAACTCGATTTTACCCAATAAGGACGAGAATAACAAAAAGGGACGTGGCAACGACTTAATGGTGTTAGAAGCGATCACAGCGATGACAGGCCATTAGTCGTAAGCACTTCTTATACTTTTAACACTTTGAGCGCAGAAAAACCGTGTATCGAACGGTTTGTCCGATCCAGGATCCAATACTTGGAACAAAGTGTTCATTATCGAACTGTAAATAAGTTAAACGTCCACGATTACCTATAGCAAAGAACGAATAAGTTAGCTTTACCTATCAAAAAAGAGAAATAAAAAGCGACACGGTGACAACTTAACGGTGTTAGAAACAATCGCAGAATTGATAAGCCGTTAGTCGTGAGTATTTGTTACGTTTTTAGCACGAAAGAAATTCTCCATTTCGGACAACTTGCCTGATTCAGAATCTAATAATTGCCGTTAGACTTCCTCATGCTCGGAATAAGGTATCAACTGTCGCGAATAAATAAATAAAAATATGTTCAGTTACCTAAAGCAAAGAACGATATAACGTTTCTGGAGTTAGATAGGTTACGTCCGAGTTGCTGTTTTAACAGCTCGACAGTCGTAACCGTTCGGAGAGGAATACGTCCCTGTCACTTTTTCCTGTTCCATCGCAGCATGAAACGCTTCGAATCGCGGTTGTGCGCGCGACAACACGTGAGTTCTCGCAGCCTAGCTCACGATATATACATTTTAATACATTTTCACTGTTCTCGGCAATCCTTGGGGATCGATCGAAGGAAAAGAAACTAACTAACCGCGGACTCCTCGCATCCCACCGAGGGCAGGATCGCTGGTGACTGCGTTACTCGATACCAAATGTGTTCGTCTCCTCGACAGCTAGAAGTAATTTCTCGTACAAAATCTCAGGTGTGGGGTATGGTGGTAGGTCCAGACGATTGAAACACGTATGAGCCCTGAAACCATACAAACCAAACAAACTAACGCATTGCCCAACAAACTCGTTCACATTATTCATTTTTAACGTACGACAAATTTAAAGGGTAAAAAGCACATAATAAACGTGTCCGTTAAGTAGGAAAAAAAAAAGAAAAAAGAAAGAAGAAGAGTACCGAAACCAACCTGGGCAAACTGTTAGGCCTGCCCCACTTCTCGATACAGAACTTCCTGGGCCCGGTGGATCCTCGAAGCGCAGCAAAGCCCTCGTAGGGGATGCTCGACGTGCCAGTAACAAACTGCAAAAGCCGCAGCCTCTGTTCATTGGTGAACCGACTGATACTGCTCCAGAACCACTCCACTACCGGATGTGCATCGTGGTAACCACTCCGGTACTCGGTGTGAGCCCGCCAGTCGTTCAAATCGATCTCAGCGGCGCCGGCTATCACCAACTCCAGCTCGCGAGCATCGAACACCGACACTAGACGCGGATCCACCACTTCGTAGAAGCCCCTGACCAAAGACTCGGTCTGCTCCGCCACCCCACGTTCCAGCCTCCAGCGAACCACCCTGTCGATGTATTCCATTTTGTTCTTCTCGCTGACCAGAATGTTTCTGCCACCAGGCTTGAGTTCCCTCTCGGCGACGCGACCCAGGAGCTCCTCGGTCACGGAGAAGGTTAACTCCAAAGGTTCGGTGCCGATGTCTCTTTCTTTGATCCACATCAGGCTCTGATGGAACTCCTGATCGAGGCTTTCCAGGTCGCTGAGGCTCGCTGGGATCCTCAACAGTGCTTTGTAGAAGGGCCGCGTGAAAAAGGCGTCCAAGAGGTACTGGTGCACCAAGACCAAGCCTAGCACTCGACCGGAGAATCTAAACCAGTCGTGGTAGTTGTCGACAAAGGCGGACATCGGAGAAACCTGGACCGTATAAGTATCGTTCGCCGAGTATTCAAAAAGGCCGTAATAAGGATTGAAAAGCTCGCGGGACAGGTGGAAAAAGAATTCCCTGGAGGGTCCTCCGTAGTCAAGGCCTTCTTCGTGGTCGAAGATCACTACCAACTTGCCCTTCTGCAGATCCTTTTTCGAGGCAGCCATGATTCGAGTGAACGCATCCTCCAGTAAGTGCTCCCTTCGAATGTGCAACCTTGAAATTATTGCAATTATCGTTGATGCGTTAACCTTTTTGAGCCGAAAATTGAAACATAAAATCATAGGCACTATTTAAATCGTACTTCAATTTCCCGGGGCCCTGCCCATAACCCTTGCTCTCCATCTTCCTGTAGAAGGTCCTGAGTTTTGCCTCGAAATCCCTCCTGTAAGGTGCCGGGGCTCTAGCCGAGGCCCTGGCCAGTCCAGGGGATGCGTGGGGACTACCTAAAGGGGAACGACCGACGTTCCCAGGAATGTACGACATGATCTCCTGCTCGAACAAGCTACGGAAATAATAGACGATTATTTGGCGACGATAATGGCTAGATCCTACCGATTATTTACCCCAATTACCTCAACAACAGAGCCAGGGGTACGTCGTGGCCCAATCTTTGCAGGGCGGTGGAGCCCTCCACTCTGATGGTATTAATCTTCTCCCTGAGCGCGATATTCTGACCTAGGGCGGCATATCTCTCCTTCAGAATATCCATGATGTTGGGTTGGCGCAGAAAAGCGACCACCTTGTCGTTGTACGCCACCGGGATGTCCGGAGAGGCTGCTACCGAGGACTGCTGGGATCTTGGTGGAGGTACGGGGGCTTCGTCGGGGACGTTTCGAGGATGTGCAGCCTCCGTACTCAATCTCGGATCGATAAAGGACGTAGCCTTTCTCCGATGGCTTATGAAGAACCTCTGGTAAAAGAAGATTGCACCGAATGACAGCCGCAACGACCTATCGCGAAATATTATCACAGGGACTAACCTTGCCGGTACGATCGTGCTTTGCTTCGTAACCCCTCGGCAGTTCCTTGGACGGATCGGCGAAAAAATTGATCAATGCCACCAGGTCGCGATTGTGCTCATACCGTGGAAATACCGTGGGATCCCTGCGAATCCTGCCGACCATGTGTTTGAGGTTAGGCTTCCGATTGTAAAGTTCCATCGCTTCGGAGTTGGTGTGCAGCACGGTAAAAAAATCGGGTCTTGTGAGAAAAAGAACCGGTGGCGTGGTGGTGATGTCAAAGGGTTCCGAGTTGCTACGATCGGATCTATCGGCGGGCCTTCCGCCGTTCTCAACTTGGGTGGAAGCAGAGTTGGACGCGCCGAGTTCGCGGTCTATATTGTCAGGGCGCGATATGGTGCGTCGAACGCTCTGATAACGTCTGTCCAGTTGTTGTCTACGTAAGTCACAGCCCACGTTTCGAGTTGCCACTCCAGGTCGTTGCCAGGTGGTGGTCCGGTTTACATGGTCTATGTAAAATACTCTTCCGTGGCTATCGATTCGGGCTTCCCACACTGTAAAAAGTAATGAAAGACCTTGAAAATGGTGGATGTTGTAACAGGTGAGAAAAGTCGAGCTTTATTATCCTTATCGAGCTACTTGGAGGTAATGGTTCTTCAAAGGGTAACGATGCATTCGACGTAGGACACATGGGTAGAGGTCTCAGTGGTTTCGGGCGATGGGTAGGCGTTGGAGGACACTCGACTTGACCGCTTGTTCCAACTTCTGGTCGCACCAATGGCCTATGCGGTCTCGGAGAGCTTAATAAGTCGATGCTTTTGGTAACGGCTGTTCGAGTCTGAAAGAAAGTCATAATAAAATTTAATCCCACTTATTGACGATATTAAGCAAACGTTACTTCTTTCTGGGGGTTACCTTTGTATTAGAGGCCTCGTCAACATCCACGATCTCAAAACCAAAGCAATCCTCTGGATGAAATGGCGCACGTTTGTGAGGATGTCTTTTAGGTATCTCCGGAGGCATAGTCGGTAACGCGTTGGTCCTGTGAAGTGGTCGATGTGCTGCCCTGGGAGGCAAAGGTGGAGGATTTGGATATAAAGTTTCATAAAGAGATTCCGTAGTCGACACTCCGCCTGTACTGCGCCACAATTGGTAATACTCGACGCCTTCCTTTGTTACGACACCATTGTGCTCGCAAGACCTCTGAAGATTAAACGTCAATGTCTAGGATCTTATTTAAAGTTAAGTAATACGATGCAATTAATACTCATCAAAGATAATTACCGATAGACGTATACAACGATCGAAAGATGCTACGAGACAATTTTGCACATGCCTTACCTTTTTGGCTCCTCCTCGAGACGCAGGAACTCGTTGTGACTCGGTATCCGAATTGCTTTCCTCGCTGCTATTCATCAAACGAGGCTCCAACTCCAAACTCCGAGCCTGATCGACACGAAGACAACTTACCGATGACCCTTCGGCTAATACCACCGCATTTTCTAATTCATTATTTCTGGCCTGCACCACATCTAGCAAATTTGTTAAACTTGGCAGCTTGAATGGCTTTTTTGTCCCCACAGGAGTTTCATTATTTTCATGTGACAGATTCGACGTACTAGGAGCATCAGAAGTTGTCATAGGAAAGGACATGGCTTCTTCTATTGAATTGGAGGTATGGGCAAAGGTAGAGTCATTGCACTTTGATGGCAACTTTATAGGCTTGACGCTGTAATCATCTGTTAAACCGGTATCACTGGAGCAAGTACTGTTTTTCAAAAACTCCTTTTTCCTCGTGTGATTCTTGCAGGCTGACGATAACTCCTGCTTACATCCAATCGCATCGACAAAAGTCAATGAGTCGTCCTCCAAATTATTTATACTACCTTCTAAGAAATATCTTTTCCTCGTCAAATTCTTCTGAGATACTTTGGGCATTTCGTCAGTAGGTAAATTACTGGAAGTACCAGCACCGACATCATTATCCATAATCTGAGATGTCGAAGGCAATGACGATAGAAACGGGTCACCCTTTGCATCCACTGTCAAAGATATGGGAAGTCCATTCTGTTCCACCGTTCCACTTTCTCTGGATGCCTTCGTACCATGTGCTAAAAGCTCCAGAGATTCTACGATATCTCTTGTATGCCTGTCACGTTCCTCAAGATTCTCCTCTACCAGACCCAACTGACTTTTAGATATCCTCAATTCTCCATTCGTAAAACTTTTCTTAGATTTTCCTTCGTTAATTGTTATTTCCACTTCCGAATTCTTTGACGCACCTGAGGATTCTCCATTTTCAAAGCTTTCTCCAGCTATGCCATCTCTGAGCTCAGAATTTTCTCCCATTCCATGCTCCGACGGCGCATTGGTAGAATTAATCTCCGATGGCATATTCTCAACTCCTGAACATCTCGGTTCAAAATCCTTTAACTAAACAGCAGCCTCCCATGTTCATCGTTGTCGATCCCAACTGCTCCTCTTAATTCTACTCCGAATAAACATCTACAATACAGCAAACAAATTAAAATATTAGAAACCAATATTTTAGAATCTGTCTTCGATGTGACAGCCACCTGCATGCAATATCTTCAACCTAAAACTCCTCTTCTTAATTCCATTCTCAACCGATTTCAAACATCAAGCAAACATATAGATATACCAAAAAACTATGCAGAGAATTACATACTACATACCAAAGAGTTAAGGATAAGCAGCCTATGGTCGTAACGCATTGTCAACTAAAAGGTGTCATTTCTGAGTGAAGCGACGTCATAATAACTGCATAATAATGCAGCATAAAGCGAGTTAATTAAAGCGATTGGAATCGCGCACCGTCTAATCAGCGTACGAAAATTAGTCAGAGGAATGGAATGATTTTCAGGATACTCGTATAACCTATATTTACCGTCCATTCCACAACACGAGGCTCCTGCTTCTTAGCTCCCTCGTTCCGCCCACCAGGTCATCTTAGATTTCCATATTTAACGCCGTTTTTCGTGCCTGGAAAATTAATTCCTTATTAATTACACACGCACGCCGATCGGGGCGATAGTTTTGACAGCAGGATGTAGCAGACAGGATCTAGGGAATTTTTTCCGAGCGATATTGCGGTAACACTGCAGCGTGTTCTTTTATTGACTTGGAGAGCCAATACTCTCAAGTTAACTCGAACACGCCCTAAATTTTCTTCCCCTCATTTCCTTAAATTCAAAAAATGCTTTCTTCCATTTTCTCCGAAAGTGTTATTCTTAATTATAATTAAATATCTAACTCCACTGATTTGCAGTGAAAAAAGTACTCCCACAGCTCATCATACATATCTAGTACAATCATTTTAGACCCGTATTCAAGATTCTGTGACTACTTTAAGAAATTAACTTTATTTTATCAAGCGAGGCACGCGAAATAGTTAAATCCGTACGTTTATGAACTGACACAGAGTGGACCGAGTCAGAAGGAAATTATTTCTTATCCCTGGACTCGTCATTGTAAATTGCATTAATAAGTTTCGTCGAGATCTCAATCTTTTCTTGAAGCGCCTTCATATTGCCATTAACTTCCTTACTGATTTTCTCAATCTCTTGAAGAATCTGAAGATGAAGAGAGCGAAAAGAAGAAGTCGATAAATATATTGGCCGAGATCCTCGAAAATAAATACTTTATCAATTCCAGATGGTACATAACCTGACCATTTTTACGCTTCCATAGTATACAGGCGTCCTGCCTTCGATATAGTGGAACGATGGTTTGTAAAATGAGTAACTGGACGATGACATATTAGACGTATCCATTTTAAGGTTTTTTTTAAGGTATACAATACGAGATTCACACTAATTCCTACTTATCGAACGATTTGTCAATTTTTCCCTTCAGCTATTTTGAAATCGCTCCTTCAGGGAATGCACTTTTTTTCACACCCGCAAGCGAGTAGTGACATCTGTAATAGACTCTTAAACCATGTCTTGACATGGTAGCGCCATCCGTACTATTTTTTCAGAATCTCGTCATGATTCAGTGGCGGAAAGTGATTGAAATAACGGCGCTCGTGTCGCAAGAGTCTACTATGCTCTCGGAGTCGTGACCACTTTCTTCTCTCCGTTTCGACGCGATGACGACACGTCTCGCGTCATGCATTCCTCCTATTCTATGGTCGGCAGCCTGTGCCCGATTTTTCCCAGTTGGCTCTTGTCCGGTGAGGTCGCAGGTTGCTACCGCGGTCGCATAGTGAGTCGGCCGCCTCGGTATACACGGCTTGCCTTTTATGGTGATCCAGCCTGTGGAGGAAGCTCGGCCGCGGGGACTGTGATGTTCTAGAGGGAGCTCGGGCAGCCGGTCCAGAGAAACCCGAAAGTAAGGACTCGCCTCTTGGACCCTTGAGAGAGAAATCCCGAAATATTTATTTCAGGCGTCGAAAGTCAGGACTAACTCGGTCCGAGCGCGGCGCCCCGTAAGTGGATATGCGCCCCTTTTGTAAATATAAAGATGACGACACCGCGTGCTCCACTCCGGATGGGATTGCGACCCTTTCGAGTGCAAGAGAGAAAAGGCCATCTCTCGCAGGATTCTTCAGGCAAATTATACCTCAGAGAGGTTCCTGGAACGGTGAAAAAGCTTCCGTGCGGCAGTAGGAAGTGGTTCCCGATTCGCGGGCTGCGATCAGCGACGACGCGTGGGAGAGCTGGTTTTCCACTTCGGCCGCGCCTAAATCAACCACGGAAAATTAAAATTCCTTTTGCCTCTGGAAGGACCACGGAGGTGTGTCTTGATTTGGGATGTTAAAATGCTCCCAAGACGCGTTTGGAAAGAACAGACGCCAAATCCCTCCTGGCATTGTCACGAATGATATCTTCTCATTTGATGGTTCTCTGCACCTCCTTTTGTAAGAGTGCATAATCTGCAGGTCTAAACAAAGTTGAGGTATAAGTGAATGGGCTCGTCGACGCGACACGGATTTTCTTTTTTTTCTTTTAATTGCTGGCAATGTCGAGCAACTCGTCAATTTTTTTAAACGGTCCTCTCCTGAGAGATGTCTTAGTTTAAATAATTTAACCTTCTTGTTATCATGGATGTAACGCGTTTTTGATAAGGTATACCCGTTTACTTTCTTTCTTGCCTTCTTTTGATTTCTACTTTTGCATAATGTGCGTTAAGGTTTTATATTAATATAAAAATCTATGCAAGGGTGATCTAGAGTCCCTCGTTCAAAGTAATTCAAGGCAATAAATTTATGACACGAGAAGGTTGAGTCGATCCTACCAAGAAAATGTGAGTCAGTGATTTAATAATAGAGATTTCCTTACGTGTTAACGTGTGGAAACACAAGCAAGCGATTGGACAGAACTCTGGTGATTATGCTATGAAGTTGTATGAGTAAGAATAAGTGGTCGGTGAAGGTGCTTCAAAAATATTTCAGTACGTAATTATGAGTGTATGGTGGTGGCTAAGAGTCTACCTTCTCTTATTTATTCCCTTGTTTTCTCTTCATAAGTTTTTCGGATAAATGGAAATATCGTTTACTTTCTTAGTTTATTTCTTGTAATTATTTAAGATAAATAGAAGATGAGTTAAGGAAACCCCCGAGGCAATAATGCAATTTATCGAGTTCTTATAAGACCGGTACTATAAATAGACGTGTAAGGAATGGTTGCTGTTTCTTGTTAATAACGATATTTGGCAGATTAAAACGTGTGTTTTAATAGGCATGTAATGAATAATCTGCATTGTGTGTTGACAGCAATGTTGAGTAGCCTAAGATGGATCACCGCTTTGATGGCGGTGATGCTGACAATTACTATTAAGGCAAACTACCCACCACCGGAAAGACTGACAGGAATGAATCCATGCATCAGCAAACAAACATGCCACGAGTGCATACAAACTCCTCATTGCGCTTGGTGTGCAGCTCCTGTAAGCAAAACATTCCACACGAACGCTAATCTATTAAGTAAAAATAAAAGTATTTATATTATTTGTAAACCGTTTTTTAGAAATTCTCTGAGAAACGATGTTTCCTGCCAAACATCAACACCAAGATCTTTGCAACCTGCGAAGAGAAATATACCTGGAATCCAGATAATGTCTTTAGTATGCTAAGACATCGTGATCTGACCAAAGGAGGTTATGGGAACAGAGGATCGGGAGGCTATAGTTCGTCCAGCTCATCCAGCTCGGCGAGTTCATCGAGTTCGACGCAAATAAAGTCTGGAGGGAGACAAGAGGCAGTGCAGATCTGGCCACAGGAGGTTAACTTAAAACTCAGAATAAGTGAGGTTTACTTTAGAAAGGAAACATTTAATCCACTAGACGGCAAGGTTTAATGAGAACTTTCTAACCTTGTAGACGAGGCATACCGAATGTCGTTTGCTTACTCCCAAGCTGAAGATTATCCCGTTGACCTCTACTATCTCATGGACTTAAGTAAGTCTATGGAAGATGACAAAAAGAAACTGTCAGACCTGGGACAGTTACTCGTGGAAAGCATGAGCAAGATCACGAGCAATTTCCGACTAGGGTTTGGAAGCTTCGTCGACAAGGTGGTCATGCCTTACGTCAGCACGATGCCGAAGGCGTGAGTGGATTGGCTTACAAAGCTTTTAAATTTTTAACAGAGTAAGAATTAATCGTCAAATTATCTCTAGTCTCGCTGAACCTTGTCCCGGGTGTGCCGCTCCTTATGGATACAAGAACATCATGCGTCTTTCCCAGGACACCAGTCACTTTGCAGTTAGTACGATATACATATGTGCACCTTAAAATACCAAAACGAAATGAGATTAAGATTTTTCTCAAATATTTCATTAGGGATTAGTAAGCAACGCTTCAGTTTCTGGGAATCTGGATGCTCCAGAGGGAGGATTTGACGCTATTATGCAAGCTATAGTGTGTCGCAACGAAATTGGCTGGAGGGAGAAGGCTCGTCGACTGTTGGTGTTTTCCACCGATGCTGGTTTCCACTACGCGGGGGATGGAAAATTGGGTGGGATCGTCAAACCCAACGATGGTCATTGTCATCTGGACTACACTGGATTGTATACGCATTCCTCGCTGCAAGATTATCCGAGTATCTCTCAAATCAATTTGAAAGTTAAGCAGAATGCCATTAATGTCATATGGGCTGTTACCGAGGAACAGATCAGCATTTACAAGAGATTGACCAAGCACGTGGAGGGCTCTTTTGCTGGGAAACTTTCCGAAGACTCTAGCAACGTAGTGGAACTGATTAGGGAACAGTACGATGCGATCTCCAGTTCCGTCGAGATGAAGGACACCGCCAGCAGTGCGGTAAAGGTTCGATACTTTTCCAGCTGTCTCGGTGGCGGTGCTCCGATAGAAACTTCCAAGTGCGATGGCCTGAAGGTTGGTACGAAGGTAGAGTTCATCGCGGAGATCGAGGTCACCAGTTGTCCGGCGAATAAGTCAGAATGGAAACAGAGATTCGACATCTACCCGGTGAGTTTAGGATCTTTCGTTCTCTTTTGAGCTGCAATTTAAGAGACAGCAGCAATTAAATTTCACTCGCGATCTAACACTTCTATTTTCCAGGTTGGAATCAACGAGACCCTAACCGTAAACTTGGAGATGCTCTGCGACTGCGACTGCGAACATAAGGGGCATTCAATGTACGAGCCCAAATCGCCAGAGTGCAGCGGGGTGGGCACTTTAAAATGTGGCGTATGCGAGTGTTTCGATGGATTCTTTGGCAAAAGGTGCGAGTGTAGCCCGCACCAGGACTCGACGGGTTTCGACAAGCATTTTCAATCCTGCCGGCCAGATAACACCTCCCTGGTTGATTGCTCCGGAAGAGGAACCTGTGCCTGCGGAGTGTGCGAATGTGAGGAACGAGAGAATCCCGAAGAGGTAATTAAACTCTGCAAAGGTAATACGTACGATACATTCATTCCACGTGGTGTAAACACGACTGACAGGAGATATGACTTCGTAGACCATATCGGGCCACTTTTGTGAGTGCGACAATTTCTCGTGCGACCGTGACAAGGGTCTTCTGTGTTCCAACCACGGTACCTGCGAGTGTGGCCAGTGCGCTTGCAATGCCGGCTGGACCGGACCCTCTTGCAACTGTAGATCCTCTAACGATACTTGCATCGCTCCGGGAACTACCAATGGAGTGCTGTGCTCGGGCCACGTAAGTCGATACATGGCGAACACTTTTTCGGAGTTGCGATAGCGATTCTCGTCAACGTTTGTTTAGGGAGACTGCATCTGTGGCGAATGCGTCTGTCACGTCGAAGGAGACAATACTCGCTATTCCGGCAAGCATTGCAACAAGTGTCCGACATGTCCCAGCCGTTGCGAAGAGTTGAAAAGTTGCGTACAGTGCCAAATGTACGGTACCGGTAACTATAGCAATCCCGAAGACTGTGCCAAAAATTGTCGAGAGTTCGTGCCGGAAGCCGTCGAAGCGGTCACCGTCGACGTGGACAACGACGAGGTGCCCTGCTTCGGCACCGACGAAGACGACTGCAAATATAACTTCGTTTACTACTACAACGAGACCAACTGCCTAAAGGTTAGGGCACAGACCGAGAGGGAGTGTCCGCCCCAGGTGTACATGCTGGGCATCGTCCTGGGGGTAATCGCCGCAATAGTCCTTATCGGCCTGGCTCTTCTACTTCTCTGGAAGCTCCTGACGACAATTCACGACAGGAGGGAGTTTGCGAGGTTCGAGAAGGAGAGGATGATGGCCAAATGGGACACGGTGAGCAACTCTTGCTTAATTTATTTCACTTAAGTACAAAGTAAATTGCTCGTTCCACTGAATTTGTATTATTTGTTTCTTATCTCTTTAAACCATGTTTAACCGTGTTAAAGGAATAATAGTCGTGGTCAAATGTTGATTTATCTCTTTGCAGGGGGAGAATCCAATTTACAAACAAGCGACGTCGACATTCAAGAATCCAACGTACGCTGGGAAGTCTTAGAGAAGATACGGAGCGGCACCCTCGAGGCTTCCAGAGAATCGTCAAACGCCGCAAAGGTGTTATAAGGCGTGTAAAGTTAACCCCGCGAACGGAAGGGATCCTTGTTCGCGTTGCACAAAGGACTAAACTATTTATACGAAGTAATTGAGAATCGAATCGATTAATATAATTCCGTTAAGCCATTACGATGTAATACTGCCATACTACTTAGACCGTTGACGGACGTCCAGCGACCGAGCTTAAAGAGACGAGACTCTTTGCTCCTTTAAACTTTTATTCTTGTCGATTAAAGCGCACGAGCTGACAAAGGGGGAACGCTGAATGGTCGATTGACGCGTCACGCCAATGGATCATAGTATCTATCTAATTATTTAACGTAACTCAAGAAACGGAACGCCTTTCCAGCGGTACTACCCTTTTTTCTTAGTCGGTCCCATTAACAGTAGACCGTATTTACTTTTTATACTTACCGATGCGAATCGAGTTACGCTTTTGACGACTGTATAGTTGTACGTGTCATGTGCCTTGCTATGCTGTACTTTCCACAATGTGCCGAAACGTTCTCTAAAGAGACCCTTTGACCGAGGTGCCGACAATTATACATGGGCAGTTGTTCCATTGTACGTCTTGGTGTACATTTAGAAGAATTAATGTGCCCGTTATTTGACGTACGATAATTATCCGCCCCCCCCCCACTAGAATTGCTCCACGTGAAAGGTCCTGTGGAGGCCAAACCGTGCTTCGGAATTATTCCAACTTGGTCAGATTCCGAGTTTCCGTTGATAATAAATTATTGTTCTATGCGCGATTAATGATAGGACCGAAACTTTCGTCGCGAACGCACATTCGTTGTCGCACAATGAGACACTCGTCACATTAACTTCCGTTCACTTTTAGATTATATCATGTATAATATTGTATAGATTATTATGCATAAGAGGTGGAGAAACGAGATCGTACGTCGAAGGTGAATAGAAGTTAATTAATAGGACGTTCTCGTTGAACCTCTCATATTTACATTTATCACCTCAAACATTACAGAAATCATGAGTAACGTAAGAATGTCACGTGTCCGAAACATCCTCATAGGCTGAGTAACTCGACGTCGTTTCCTGTGGAAAAAAAAAATTGCGTGTCTGCGGTACGGATAGTTTTTAAAAAAGTGCTTCAGTTGCGGGTGACCAAAAATTGTCGCAGGCTTTTTTTTAAGGAATCAATCTATGTATTTTCTTTGATTAAAGGTCCACGGAAGTAACGTCGACGACTCTCGAACGGTCCCAACGACTCCTCGTCGATCTTATACCGTTGTACTTTTTAAGTGGTTGCGTTTTACTCTAAGTTTGGATGAAAGCGATCTGGTGCGACTAAGAACTCATCTAGAACTGACCGAATGTATGAAATTCGTGAAAAAGGTATAATAAAAGTTGTACACTAATTAACCTACTCTTGTCCGAATCTTTGCCGCTTATTCCAATAAAGGGATTTTTTGAAGTAATTGGGAAGCCAACGGGCGAAAACAAAATAATTTACATGAATTTTATTTCATCGACCTTTGGAAGTATTAAGATCGTAACGAAGCCGTACACCCGATCGTGGAAAAATAGCCACGGGCACCTCAAATCATCGAAATAACGAAACAAAGAACGATTGTCAGATTTTTGTCCAGCAGGTGGGGTACCCAGTCCAGGAGGAGTAAACCCGAAAAGTGAAAAATTACCGGCATAAAAGGAATTGCAGTTGGACCTGGTGAAAGGGGTGAAAGGCCTAAACGATCGCAAGGAAGGTCACGAGCATTCGCGAGTGTTCGCGAGCTCGTCAAAATTGGATCGAAGCCGTCGACTCGACAAGAACGGGCGCTCAGAGAGGAAGCGAGAGAAAGGAGTCCTGCGTCAACCAGGGCCGTGCCAAGATCGTTAAGAACGGTCTACGAAATCGGCCGTCAAAACCCGTCAAAACCCGTCAAAACCGTGGCGGACGATCTTCGAAAATGGCGCGTCGTTCGTTGTCGCTAGCACTTCGTCCACGCGTCGCCCCAACCACGCTCATATATTCCCCTCTCTTTCACCTAACCACAGTTCCTCTCGAGCCTGGAATGCGAAACGCTCCGCGAAAATGAATTACCTTTCTTCGTCGTAATTTTCTTACGGTCTACGAACATCCTTTTAAACGGTTCTCCGTCTCCCTTCCTCTCGGTAAGACAGCAAGAGCTAGAAAAGGAGAAGATGACACGGAAGATCGGTGAACGTCACGGGGCACTCGCGTCGCCGGGTCGCCAGTGGTTGGACGTCGGTGAGAGGGAAATTCGATCGGGTCCGAAAAGGAGACCCTGCCGACCAATCAGCGCCGACCGGCCGCATGGTCCCCGACCGCGGTTGGTCCCCGCGAAAACGCGTCGCAATTTTCGTCGGCGGGCCGACGGGGCCGGCGGGGCCGGCGGGGCAGGTCGGGAATTTACGCAGTATTCCGTTATCCCGTGTGCACGTCGTTTCACTCGAGTCCACTCGAGTCGGAGTCTTTGCGAGCGTTTCTTCGGCGCTGTTCGGCGCGTAGCGACCACGGTCATCGAGGGCGTCCCGGGACTCGCTGGAGAGGAAGGGGAGAGAACGTAGTCGCGATCTGCGCGCGCACGCGGTGTGACCGCGAGGGAGAGGTTAAACGCTCTCGACGGTCGCGGCGTAGATCGAATCGGATCGAATCGCGGGGGGTGAAGCCCAGGAGACAGGCCCGAAACTCGTACTCTCACGGTGACGATTACGCCGCGAAACTTGCGTCCAAGTGCCGAGAACGCCAGAAATAAGGAGGAATCCCGACGGGTGCACCGGGGTGTCCCCGCGGCGTCTGTCTTCCGCTCTGTTCCGCTCTTCGTGAGTCGGCGGATGGGTCACGGCACGGTAACTCGTTGACACGTGCTAAAAATAATCCCCCGAATGAAAGCGGGCGCTCCGGCTGTGGCATGCCGCGGTGAATAGAATATTTAAACGACCACGCGAAAAAGGCGGAGAGGGCGGACAAGGCGGACCGCTCGAGTGTCAAAATCGCGAGCAATTGCGAGCGACGCGCGAAAGAAAGGACGAGCCAAGGGAAAGCGCGAGGAAGCGGGACGGAGAGTCGCTACGAGGTTCCTGCGAAGTCCGGCAGAGCGCACCGCTTAGGGGTGTCTTCGTCCATCTCTGTCGTTCCCCGCGAGTCGGCGGACAGGCCTCGGCACAGAAATTCGTTGTCACGTGCTAAAAATAATCGTCCGAAAGCGAGAAAGGCAGAACCGAAGCGAGCGCACCCATAGCGTGTGTGCAACATGTCGAGGAAAAATCACGGGATTTAAAGGGCTGCACTCGAGGAGGCGCCTATAGGGGTCGCGAGCGGGTGGGACAAAGGCCGAAAGAGACGAAACGGGCCCTGCAGGTCAAGGCGGCGCGAGCGAGAGAGAGACGGAGCTACGGCTCGAGCGAGAACAGGAAGGAGATGGAGAGAGATAGAGCTCCGGCTGTTGCAACCATGGAGCGGGTGAGCGAAATCGTGAGGGCTCTTCAGTGGAGTCGCGGTGGCTTCGACGAGGATGTCACCGAGAGGAACGAGGAGGCTAAACCCTGTCGCGTCGAGTGCCGCGACCTGGAGGCGTCGCGACGCTTATACGATATTCTGGAGGGTATTTTACTTTGGAAAAACACCGTTAACAGCATCTCCGTCGTAGTAGTCTTCAACCTCTTGTTCTGGTAAGTCCTGCATCACAAAAATGTCGAGCGACGAAGAGCCTCCCTTGAAATAGAGCTAACGAGTACATATCGTGGGAGTATCGGTATTTTCTACGTATTCGTAGACACGGAACGAGATTCGGCTTGGGCCTGTTTCGAAGAGCAGGAGAATAGGGAGCAATTTACATAATTTTAAAAGTCACGTAACTAAGTGCCGTCTCGTTAGGTCGAGGTTAGCCAGGGACAATAGGATATTTTTTGCTTGATCTATTTGCTAACGTTTCGTTGGGTCGTTTTCTTTGTTGCTTTTGTTTGTGCGGCGTCATTTCGTCTTTGGTTGGTTCTTGGAACACAGGAAACACTGGCTCTTAATTGAACTTACCACTGGAAGCATCTTTATCGACGATGTATCGAATCGTTTACCAAGTTGGGATACCAATCAGTATATTATGTTGTTAAATAAATCATGACTTTGTTTCGTGACGACAAAGAACATTCGATCGTAAGACGTTGCTTTACGGTGGGACGAGTGGTGCATTTGTCATGTTTTCCCAGGTTGCCCGACGTGAATCCATTATGCTTATTAGCTCCTAATTAATGAGGTGACTTGTATTACTTAATGCAAACTGTCCATGTTTTTTATGCAAATGAAAAAGAGACAAAAGAGGGTAATAGGGACATTGTGTTTACGTACCTAAATTAAAGACGAAATGTCTCACGGTGTTGCAATTTCGTAACATGAAAAATAAATTTTAACTTTGTTTGTTTGTTCTTAAGGGGCATCGTCGTATTAGAGATCCGCGGCTTTGCAGCAGCCAGCAGTGCTGCGCTGGTCGTGGTCCTCTGTTACAGCACCCTGGAGGCACAGTCCCGAAAGGAGGACAAAGCACCAGGAACCCCAGTGTACGTCTTCGATGTTTATTTCTGATGTGTATTTTTTTAAGCAAGTTTTTTACATGTGTCCGTGTTACACATTTACAGATGCCGAGCAAAGACCGAGCAAATTGACAAAATTGCGCGGAAGGCCAAAACAGCTCTGGAGAGTTTGAAACAACTGCGAAAGGAACAGCCTGGTGCAGTGAGTGGTTTCTTTACCCTACAAATCATCTCCGTTTCGGTCATTGGCCTTTTTTTTTTTTCCTTTACATTCATATTCTTGCAAATGTCAATGGTCTTTCCCATTCTTTTCTATTACTGATCTTTTTAACACATTGCATGTCATATAACCACTGGTGGTCGTTTAATCCATTGCCATAAAGGCAACTGTACAACAGGCAACGCGTTAAAAGCTGTTAAAATGGATTACGACTATTTTATTTTCAGTTTTGCGTAGCAGTTTGCAGCGTCTCTCTGGGACTTTGGCTCATTGGACGTGCCATAGATGGTGTATTGCTTGCGTATACAATATGTATGAGCATTTTATTGGGGCCTGCACTGTTATTGCAAATTCCACATAGAATTACATCTCCTAAAGGTAATCGACAAGAAAGTTATCACGCGTAAATAAATCGTTTCTAGACGTGAAGTAAAGCACATTGAATCTTCCAGAATGGGACAGCGAGATAGAAGAATTTCTACCAGCCGTCACCGAGGACAATTTCCAAGTACTAAAGCGAGCAGGAGAATCGGGAGATAATTCTCTGACACCACCTGGAGTAACTCCTGCATCTCAGATCGGTAAGTCTTTGTAAGATCAAAGTTCGTTCTAATGACTCGGCCCAAGTACATCGTTCAAGACAGATAAAGTTACCTGCCTTATATTTTTTTATTCACGATTTGAATAGAAAATGTCCCGCGTAATTTTCCATTTGTAGTCTAAATTAATCGATACTAAAAGAATCTTGTACATCGGTGAAAGGATACATTGCGTCTCGTGTGCTCAGATCCATTTGACGACGAAGAGCTCATCGGGTTGAAGATGCCTTCCCACGAGGAGGGCAGCACGGACGGGCTGGAGTTGTCCGAACTGGAGCTAAGTACTGGGGACGCTGAAGTGGATGGCATAAAGTTTCGCAGTGGTCACTTCGAGAGAAGTTCCTCCTCCGAGGAGGAAGCCGAGCTGCAGCCTGAGGCCAAAAAACTGCCCAGCCACAGTGAGGACAGCGACAGTGAATTCGAGATAATAGACAGCCGCGAAGTAGCCGACGACGCCTGATGGCTTGCTCGTGAAGGAGAGATCCTGACATCGGCGCGTACCGAGCTGGTACGCAGATTCGCTGGCTGCCTCGACGCTAACAAGGGAGAGTGTCGGCGTCGTCGAGCAATTCTCGCGGGGATTGGAAAGGCGAGGTTACGAAAAACCACCGTTTGTTTCTCCTTTAATGCATATATGTACACACACATATATATATATATATATATATATATATATTCTTTCTTAACCTTTATGGCACTTTGAAGCAGCCAAAGGCACTTTTCAATGACAAGTTAGGCTCTCCTGACTGGTCTTTACTGTGCCAGATGCTTCCCTTGTGAAGCAGAGTTTTATACGCGAATTTTCCTGGACTAAAAACGTGGATTGCATGCGAGATCCTAAGGGATATTCGTAATTCGAGGCGATTTTTAAAACAGTGGCTTAATTAAGGCATTATTCAAAGATTAGGCTTTACTACAAACAGATCGCAAGTCTTTGATGACGAATCTTTTTTAGTTTTTGCGTTGTAATTAGCGAATAGGCTTTCCCAAAGAGCCAAAAGCAACCTTTCTCGTCTTGGAGATACGAGGCATGTAAAAATGAAATTTATATCTTATATTCGTAATGGCTCATTGATTTCTACATCCTAAGAAGTAACCCATTGTACAAGTGAGTGTTTTCTGAGAATCTTCTATCTCCTTATTTATCACAATTTTAAACGAAAATCAAAATTAAAGATTTCATTTACGCGAGGAATAAGAACAGTTGTATTCAGTTGATGGGAGAATTTCAAAACAGCTTATTTGACTCTTCATTTCAACTGCTAGTTTCACATATATGACTGGATAGAGATAATATCACGAGGAATTAAAAATTAACGAGCACCTGATTGCCCTGGAAGGTCATCTACCATACACCTGGAAGTTGGTGAGCTGTGCTCCGAAATCCTAACCTCTGCTCCTCGACTGACAGTCTTCCATCATTGAATCCTGCAGTGTGTAATTTTTTTCACTTCGGCTCTCCAATATCTCGATGATCCGTTGGCCGGCGATTGAGACTGTCGAAAGATAAAATTAAAAATCGCCAATGGGGAAAACTGTATATTTGTATGGATAGTCTCGAGCAATCTCGAGCAATCTTATAAAGGTGTACATTGATGCGTTTCAACGTCTTGAGATCGTGACGTCAGGTGAACCCTGCGGTGGACCCGTACACATCGAAACGCTTATAGATAAAATTTATTTATATATATACACATATATTAAAAAAATATATATATAATATTTGAGATAAGTAGTGAAAATCGTATTTAATATTTTTAAACAACCGACAGGATCATGTCCCTTATCGAAACAAGGTGGGATAATAGAAAAGAGTTCACACATGAAATGTACAATAAGAGATCTTGAAGTGGATGACGAAGTTTAATAAATAATGTAACCTTTCCGATGGAACCTTTCCATAACTAACCCGAATAGTTCCAAGGAGTAGAAATATATATTCGTGAAAACACTTTACATCTCTGCGAAGAAAAAAATCGGTATCTTTGATACCTAGGCCCTTTAGTTACCTTTACAGTTCTTTTTCACACTTTCTTGTGGCCTTCCTTGTAGCTTCGATTATATCCTGCGATCACTTTTTGTATAATCATTTGACAACTTCACGAGTTAACTTACCGTCATCAACAATTACTATCATTTATAATTCCACCGTTTTCCATGATCACCTCTGTTATTTTAGAATTCTGACCACCTTTTTCTTTTGTATCTTGTTGAACAACTTCCAAATTCTTTACCTCCGTTTTGACAGGATTTTGATCTTTTTCATTTGCATTTTTATGAATAATTTCTAACTCGTGTAAATTATCCATTTTTTTAGGTAAAATTAGTTGGGCATTCTTTCTTTCTGGTAAAACTTCTATGAACGCTTCCTGCCAGGTTTTACCCTCCGATACCCTCAAGAGAATTTCAAAAACTAGAGATAAAAATACTTCAGTATTTATTCTTTAATATATATGCAGTCCATGAACTCTTACCGTGATCTATAGTCAATACTTTTCTTGTGTTCATCTTCAAAAATTTATTTAAGGGAAGTTGGCCATGTCTGATCCCAACTTTCACTGCCTCGTTATAACAAAGCCCCTGCAGAAGAAGTATTAACTTAGAAAATTGCCAATGGATTTGCAAACAATTTTTTTTTACCTTTCGACTATTATGATCCACTAAACCACCTATCACATACACAGAATCGTGGTCTAATTCTTCTATAACGTTTTCAGATTCGCTCGTCAAGTACACTATCTTGTCTTTTGGATACACCTTCAGGTACGGTTCTTTACAGAATTTTACCTACATATCGATGGGTTGTTAAAGTGACTATACAGACACCCTTGCTATTTATAGGAATTGATGATGGTTGTTACACTTACATCCCAGTTCTCGTAACCATTGTGCTTTTCCATTTCGAGTAATGAGGGTCCATTGAAGTTTGTAATGGAAAATTGTATTGGAGCATCTGAGCGCCTGTTTAATGAGTAACATCTCAGAATTTGTTTTGTTAGCTTAGCTAAATCCTTGCCAATCATCAGTTCATCAAAGGACAAGTCAATGGTAACGGTTAGTTTACATAGACTTGCAGCCATCGTTCTATTTTTCAAAGCTATTCTTGAGAATCCCTTGTTCGTTTCACGCTCCTCCTTGAGCTTCTTCTTTCGCTTCGCTCGTTCTTTCAGCCTACACATGATATTTTAATCTTAGAATTACGTCATACACAAAAACTACATCTCAGTCGTACCCTTCAAATATTCTATTATGTTTTTTGAGATTTAATCAATTACCTTTTTAAGTCCTTCCGTTCATTCCACATTTTCAACTTTTTTAATTTCTTTAAATGCCGTTTACTCAACACTATCTCGGGGTTTTTAAGGTTATACTCCACGTTATCCATAACTTTCTTCTCACTACAAACGACATCCATAATCTTCCCTTCACTAGAAATTAAGTCCTCGTTGCATCTCTCCCTATTATGATCCGATTCATTGACTCCTTCAATCGGTTGTATTGTTTCCATTGGATTTACTGCGAGAACGTCATTCATAACCTCCAATTTCTCATCGGTACGACCCTATGAGGTCAACACATGTAATCACCTGTTACCACAGCTGTGAGTTCATTTTTGATTTATACAACGTGAAAATTAGCGTGAAGATTTACAAGTACAGAGGAGACATTACAAAAATAATTCCTTGAATGGATTGGAATTATCTTTGTTTTCTAGATTTAGTTTGATAAGGTTTATTCCATCAGAATTATTGTTTATTACTTTAAATATCTATCTTTGCATTTAAAATAGGGTTTAAGCTCAGCTTCCTAACCCCATCAAGCTTGTAAGCTATGGAAAGACGGGTAGCCAGATCCTCTTGTCTTCAGAACTTAACGATAAATTCTATAAGTTGATCATTAAGTCCAGTCATTGGTTATGTAATGTAAATAGGATATATTTTACTATTAATGGACACAGAATGTACAAAATTTATTCGACATATAAACTTCTTGTAATTTTGTTAAGTTGCTTATGCCTTGTACAAATTACTTAATATCTCTTGTTTTTATATTTTATACATTGATTGAAAAAGTTTATCCATGTTAAGAGAAATATAAATTTAATTCTATGCTGAGAAAAATACTGCAGCACGGTGTTTCTCTTAATTCACAGGATGAAAACATGTACATACATTTATAGAAGCCACAATGTCTTTAAGTTACTGGTAAGCAACCACCAGTTTTAGATATCTTAGCAATCTCTTCCTTAAATTTAGCGATTGTCTCTTTGGCTAGAGTCAGCTTTTCCTTAAGATCTATTACCTCGTACCGTATTCTATTCCTTGCCTCCATTATTGCATTTAGGGTTGCATCTTTTTTTACCTCGACTGTAATAAAATGATAACCAGCTGGGGATAGTTATAAAAACTTTATCTATAAAATTAGTGACACTTACAATCGGTATCGTGTCTCCAAGCACCTAGAGTTATAGGCCTCGTAGAACTCAATAAATGTTGCATATATGCTGTTGGGTCTTGAAAAACAATTTCCTCGTAAAATTCGGAAACCAAACTTTTCTTGCCAAGCTGAATTTCAGGTGTAGATTGAAATAACTTTAAAATATGATAGATTGTGACCTACGACAAAGAGGTGGTATTTTCAATCGTTCACGATAATAAATTTAAGGGTATCAATATCAAAGATGCGTCTATTTACTGATCTCTCATTAGGATCGTGAAAATATATCTTGACGACGATCTCAAATTCTCCCCAACCGGTTTCCGTTAGTTCATAAGGTGGCTTTGTAACTATTCTATTTGGATTGTTGTAACTTTCGTGCAGTTTGAAATGGACTTTCTTCACATACGTCGACATATCCTCATTTAAGTACGGCTTTACGTAAACAGTCCACTGATGCGTGTGCCCGTCTTCCTCTCGTTTCTTACCAAAATAGCGAGCCACATTGCCATATACTATCGGTTTAACTATGGTAATGCCCTGTAAAAGAATTTAAGCTTTAGCCTTAAACGATGGATACCTTGACTTCAAACCATTTCCTTAGTGTAAAATGTTATATAGTACTTTTACTCTGCCACCAGAATCAGGACCAAAATCGTTCGTAGAAGCCATTTAGTCATCAATATTTAATAAAAGTTAATTGAAATATTCAACATTTGCAGTATCCACTGTGATTCGTTTTTATGTCTAGAAACCCTTCGTCACATTATTTGAATAAAAGGCCATCGTAGGGTTGATAATGATATAATCACGTAACTGCAACCAACAAATTTTTATCTTTCATAATCTTTCATAAACAATGAAATGAAGAATCTTGGTTATTTAATAATTCCGTTTGTTTCGGGCTCGCAACTGTTCGCAACCAACCACCGAGTTTAAATACAGATAGAAAGGTGCATCTTTAGAAGCATCGGTTACAGAGATGGCAGCACCTTCCAATACCTATCAAGAGTGGACCTTGGTTGTTCTCATCTCTGTCATTTTATATACTACGATAATTTTTGTACAGTTGGTATGATAAGCCAGATTGCAGGCGTTGGCAACGCTGATCCAATAAGGTCCAATAAGGTCTGATAAGGTCCGACAGCAAGTGTCGGTACGAGCTGCTGCTTCGGGAGAGTCAGGGAGAGTTAGGGAGAGTCGCGATGGAGCGTCGTTGTTGTCGTGCAATTCCTGTCTCACGACATTGGTGACTTGGGTCAATTTTGCCCGGGCCCGTACCCAAAATCGCGCAGCGACCTTGTCGAGAGTTCGGGACAGCACTGGGTCGAAAAAACGTTACGAACCAGCCGAACCAATCACAGAAAAAGAAAATGAGGCCGTATACACGGATCGCGAGCTACGCGCTTTGGTTCCTGGTGCTCCAGGTCGAGCTCACTAATTCCGGGAGTTCTTGGAGGTTGAGTGCTGATAAAGTGGTTAAGGCGACCGAGTTCGTTCCTTCGCTCGAGGAGGACCCTATTTTCGACATTCTGGCGAATAGCGTCAACCTCGGCAACGGTCAAGGTTGGAGCAAAAGCGCTGTACCGAATGAGAATGGGATGCTGCAGATTTATTGCAACGAATGCAATGGTTTTATGCCTGGAAATTTCGATCGGTAAGAAACCCTTTTCCAATTTCTTGTATTTGGTGTCGCAAGCAAGACTACGGTTTCCGTGGCGCCAAGGCTTGACAGTTGATTATCGTACATGATACGAATAACACCTCAAAGGAAAAATTGATATCTCAATTAGTTTGGGAGATGTTAATTATTTTCTTTGATTTTGAATATTTTAATTTTTTTTAAATATCTCAAATACTGTGCGAGATACAGTAAAATTTCACATAACCTTTTCAATAGAAAATGTGATTCCCTAGAAGAAAGATGATATGCATTTTGATCGTGTCTTGCATATTTTTTTTTTAGACATAATGGATTTAGTTAAAAATATCTATTGACAACGATTAGTCTTGGCACCAGGGAAACCTTAGTATCCCTGTGTTGTGGAATGATTTGTTGCATTACGAGCAACTCAAGGGTGGTAGGGAGTCGTTCCGTTTAGCGTCATCTTAGGGGGACCGACTGGAACGATCTTCGTAGAACATTCCCTTTATGTACCCAAGTTTTGGAATGTCTTCACTTTTATAGATTCCTAAATATCCTTCTTCCCAGTATCGTTTGCATTATCGAAAATGTTTTTCCTAGTTTGTAAACTGTGTGTACGTTTTTAAACCGCATCCAACCGCGATTTACCTGACGTAGTTTTCTGTTTTTGCCCGTAGTTAGTGTTTGCGCGCGGCTTGCCGTTCTTTCAGCGTTAAGAAAGCCCTAACTTTGGTCCCCTTGGCAGAAGACTCTCGTCTTACGCTTCAACCGATACGACTAATACAACCGATGGCTTTCCGGTGCCCTCCAGGGGCTTGAGCGAACGGTTCGCCCATGTCGCCAACCGAGAGTACGACGACGTTCTGGATTGCGGCAAGCCGGTCAACTTTACGTACTACGACAACTTGATCGGAGTTGCCAACAGGAATAAACATCCATTAGTGCCAGAGCCTAACGTGGCCCTTATCTTTAAAAAAAAAGGAGCCAAGGGTATCGTAGACGTCGATATCAACTCTCTGGAGAAGCGATTGAAGAAGGCCAAACGAGAGGTGACACATTTTCTTCTTAATCGTTTTAATCCACATTTTATATATTAAATCAAACGATCTTCCACAGAAACCAAAGTCTGTCCAGTTGTACAACCAGATCGGCAACTTTTGGCGTATAAAGGGAAACGCACAGAGATCGATCGAGTGCTTCAGAAGAGCCCTGGCGGTCTCACCTCACAATGCCGAAGTGCTCTTGAACTTGGCCAGGGTGCTGCTAATCCTTCAATACTTGGACGATGCGACCTACCTGGCCAGACGATCCTTGGAGCTGTTACCTCCCGAACGCGATGCCTGGGAACAGTTCCTCACGTTGGGACAAATATTCAAGGTAACGTCCTCCGGTCTCCCATGCCTCGACTTCGATTCGGGGGCCCAACCACGATTGACGGGCAGCGGTCGGTTCCTTCTCAGGCATACGGTCACTTCCAAGAAGCAGCCATTCACTTGAGGCATGCCTTGGAACTGAAGCCAGATTTGACGGATGCCGCGGAGGCTTTAAAGGAGGTGGAATCCTTACCGGTAGCCAGCATTCACGTTTACACCTTGCTGATCATCGTGTGCCTGGTACGACGTTCTTCCCGTAATCTGGATATTACTTTAAGGGTGGAAATAATAAACGATCCCGTAGGTACTCGGAGTGCTGTTAGTGATCTTGAGCAGCGGGGAATGCGAAGAGGACTCGAATCCGAACGGGGATCAAATGCAGCGACCGGTTCAGCGCCACTTTAACCGAGCCATGGCGATGCGTAGCCTGCGTCTCAACGTATCGCGCAACAAACGCTGCTGATGATCCATCCGCTCGTTCGATCCCACGAGATCCATCTCACGCACCGTAATTCATTATTATTTATAACATGCATGTATCATTTACGAAGGGTCGCGCGAACCTTTACGATAAGCCAAGAAATAATACAAAGTTCAGTAGTGGTCGACGACTCGTTCCACCGGACGAGCGAACGATACCCCTCCGGTGGAAGCCGAATATCTTCGTCCGGAACCGGTCCGAAGGAAACTGGCAGAAATAAACCGTACCAAGGGAGCTTGGGTTAACGAGGTTTATTCTTAGGCTTGGATTTATTTTGCTAGGTGAAACGTTAACGACCTAAAGTAACAATATTATCCGGTTCGTTACATAAAGCACGTGAACTATGGGTGTACGGGATACATTTCCCGATCCAAAGCTAACGGGGAAGAGACTTTGTACATCGAGCCGAGAGCTAGTCGGAGTCCTAGCCTCTCCTAACCTATTCGATCTCTCTTCCGACTCCCCGTCCTGCGTCGCGACGCCACTCGACGATTCGTAACTCTCGTCGAAGATCTATATCCGAACCAAGTCCGACCGCGGCTTCCTCCGCGCGTCCCGTAACCTCGATCGAACCTTGGGATCTTTGCACTCGCCTCGTGAGTCGCGAGCTACGCTTCGAAATCTACCGTTCCCATTGCTACTCGACGTCGATTCCAAACCTCATCTTAATCGACCCCTTCTCGAGGTAAAGTGCCCCGCGCGTACAGCGACCGACCAACCTTAAACTAAAACCTAACTTGACGATTCGAAGCTCCGCGTCGGATGGGACACGGGAAACGAGCCGAAAGGGGGAATGCAAAACGCGACGCGCACGAGCGTATACCTCGATTTAGGCCTTTCCCTCGAATCGGCGAGCGTCGACGCGACTTGTACCGAGCGGTAGAGGCACCTCGAGCACCTCGAGCACCTCGAGCACCTCGAGCACCTCGACTCCGGTATGTACAAAACGAAGGTCGAAAGCTACGGGTGTTCCCTGCCGAAGAACCCAAAGGGACGAGGGTCCTGCCATTTCCTTCCAACCTTCCAACCTTGGAAAATACTGTCGCGATAGGCACGAGTAATACTGCCGTTTTATCGATGGAATCTAGAACGTGATTTGTATGTACATACGTACACCCGGTGTTGGGAATTCAAGCTCGGAGCAGCGTCGAAGAGCTCGATCGAGTCACGCGGAGTCACGTGGAGTCACGCGAGAGATCCGGAACGACCGCGGGCTAAACGGTACGGAGTGTTTTGCTTCCGACGGGAAGTTGGTTTCGTCGCCCGTGGAGACGAGCAGAGTACCCAGGACCGGGTCGGTCGATGAGACCGCGAACGCGTCCCGACGAGGCGAGGAACGGTGGAAAGGTAACGCGGCAAAGACTACCAAAATATAGAGGCATAGATTACGTTCGAAAATAACGCGTGGAAGTCTTCACGGAAAATGGAACGGTTCGGGCCGTGGCCGAACGAGCATCGGGTGAAATCACCTCGCCGAGATCGTGCACAAGGAAGAGGGCCGCTTGGCGCTCCTCGGATCGCCGGAGCCCCATCTACTCGCGCCCGGAGTAACCGGGCCCGTGGTCCCTGCTAGCCAACGTTCAATCGAATGTGCGCACGATCGTTCGCGACCATTAGAACTGTACCCAGCTCGCATTGGTCGTCGTCGCGGCGGCGGAAGCGGCAGCGGGAGCGGTGACGGAAGCCGTCACCTGCGAGGACCGAGACGCGCTGGCGAACTCACCCCACTCGGAGCCGGTCAACGGCTGACCGGGTTGGGCCTGCGTCGGCTTGTGCGCCGGAGACGACGTGGGCGTTCTCGCCGGTGGCGGGGCGATTTTTACCCCTCCCGGGGGAGGTGGGAGACCCGCTCCCGCACCTGTGCGCTGCTTCGACTTCGAGGCCACTTCCGCGCCGTCTTTCTTCTGCGAGAACGAGGGAAAAAATATTTGCAAGTGCTTCGAGTTCCAACGTCACGTCGATCGAAGTGGACTTCAAATTTACCGTGATCTTCATGTTTATTTTAATGGTTTCTCCTTCCTTGAACCTCAAATCTAACTCCTGCTTAGGCCTTTCCTTTTCCTTTTCTATTTGCTCCCGATTTTTAAGCCACTTGAAATGATCCTGCAACGCGACGTTCAGGTCGAAACTGTCCGACCTGTCGGAGAACCCGACTCCGATAAAGGCCGACCTGCCGTTGTCGTCCTGAATTCTCAGTACAAAGTATCGGGACGAGTCGGTTACGGGTTCCACGGCTATTCCTGGATATTGTTCGATCGGGCATTTGGCGAACAACTCTCCCGTCGCTTTGTCCTCCAGCTTTAAGGTTACCGTGTCGCCTTGAGATACCAGCCGCATCCGCCCTGTCCACGAGGGCTCCTGGAGGTTCCAATCGGCTGCCCTGGAAACAAATCGTGTCACTGCAACCTGCTTAAGAATTGGCGTAAATTCCTAGTGTACGTTTCCGACGTATGGTGCATTCGATGGTAATTTTTTCCTAAAGAAGGGAAAAATGGTTATGGAAATAGGTTGGGGCATCGTATGACCGGTCGATCGCCCAGAGCATCGGGAATACCGTTAGACGCGAAGGAAAAATACTCCAGGGGAAAGCCAAATCGACGTGGAGGCTCACCGATAACCCCTGCTGGTTGACCTTGGCGGTATCTTGAAGACGAAGACCTCGGACTTGACGAGCAAAACGCTCTCGTATGTTTCCATGCTCGGGAGGAGGTTTTCGTCTTTTTACAAGGCGGTATTCTTTCAGTTAACGGTGTAACGACAACTCGCTCGCACTAGCCGACTACTCGACCACTGACAAATCGAGCATTCGACCACAGCGGGATTTGATAAGCTTTATCTCGAGTCACGCCTCTTACACCCACGCGATGGCGATAGCGTTTCCTCTTTTCTCTCTCCGATCCTTTGTAAACTTTCTCTCTTTTCGCATCGGGTTCGCGCAACAACTGTAAGAGGCGCCACACGAGTCGGACAGGGTCGCGTCATCGCTTCCGTGCTGCCCTCGGTGGAGCGTGCAGGCAGCTCATACACTTACCCCCAATGGCGGCCCAACTCAGGAAAAAAATCACAGCCCCTCGTTCGAAAGACTAATTTGATGGAAAGAATATTTTCCGTTGGGTTGAAGTGATAGTCGATTCTTTTTGTCTGTGGACAACAAAATGGCTACCTTCAGTTGTGTGATTAATGTTGGGCTACATCGGAAGATGTGCAACGGAAGATTGGTATAGAATGCAACGTGATCGTTTCTTTGAGAAATTCTTGATTCGAAGGAAAAATCGAGAAAATGGACGAGGTGGAAAAATTGGAACACCTATCATTGGTTTCGAAGATCTGCACCGAGTTGGAGAATCACCTGGGGTTAAACGATAAGGACTTGGGTAAGGAGGTTATGTTTGTTGTTAGAGTCGCGCGTATAGAGGCATTTAATTAAACATTCGATTGATATAATAATTTCTCGGTTTAGCGGAATACATAATACATCTTGCCGAGAAGAACAACGTCTTTGAATCGTTTAAAAATGTGTTAATCGAAAATGGAGCAGAATTCTCGGTGAGTGTTTTTTTAGAGTAAATAATCGTTGATATACCAATTGAATGTAAAATGCTGCAGTGGTTTCCTATTAATTGGAATTAATTTTAGGACTCCTTCATTGGAAATTTACTTAGGATCATTCAACACATGAAACCAATTAAAATTCCCCCTGATAAGTCTAAAGTATCAAATACGAAGCAAGATGATCTAGCACGGATGTTTCCAGCTTTGGCTATGCCAGACGAACGACCAAAATTATTGTCAATGGAGGAAGAGAACGACGAAGAGGTTGTTCGCGAAGCTACGCTGTCATTGGAAGCGCTGGCACCATCCAATGAAAAAAATAAGATGGTATTGAAAAAAGAAAATAAGTCTAAAGTTACAGCATCCGATGATAGCGGCGAGAAAAGAGACAAAGGTAAAGATAAAAATAAAAGACACGAGTCCAGGGAAAGGAAAGCTCGATCTAGGTCACCGAGTCGCAAGGACAAAAGACATAGGTCGCGTTCGAGAGACAGAAATCGCGATGGAAAGCGTCGCAGCTCCAAAGATCGCAGGAGGTCCAGGTCTAAAGAGAAAAGAAAAAGATCAAGGTCTCGTGATCGCAAAGATTCAAAACGTAGCAGGAAACACGAAGCGGAACGATCGAGGTCGAAATCTGCGGAGGAACTCTCCGTTGACCCTGAAGTTGGAAAAATTTATTCGGGTAAGGTAGCAAATGTCGTTCCATTCGGTTGTTTCGTACAACTGGAAGGTTTAAGGCGCAGATGGGAAGGACTGGTCCACGTATCTCAATTGCGAAGAGAAGGACGCGTTGCTAGCGCAAGCGACGTTGTCTCCAGAGGACAGAAAGTCCTTGTCAAAGTTCTTAACGTCGGAGGTCAGAAGGTAAGCTGTCGGAAGCAAAAGATGGTAAAGGTAATAGGTAAAGGTAACGATTCGCATCCATCCCATCAGGTATCGCTGAGTATGAAGGATGTCGATCAAGAAACCGGTCGAGATTTGAATCCCGTTGCAAATGTAACAAAGGCCGAAGAAGATGAGAAGCACCTTCGAAACCCCGACAGACCGACGTCGTTATTAGAATTGAGAGGTAATGTCGACGAGGACGAGACCTGCTCTAGGAAACGTGTACAGAGGTTATCATCGCCGGAAAAGTGGGAAATAAAACAAATGCTAGCGGCTTCCTGTATCGACAGGTAAGTCAGAACCGATCGGTACTGCATGATTACGAAAGATCAAGTTTATCTTTCTACTGAATTAATCGGAATTTTGTTATGAAACGTAGAAGCGAATTGCCAGAGTTCGACACGGAAACCGGGATTTTACCGCGAGAAGACGACGAGGAGGAGGACGTGGAGATCGAGCTGGTGGAAGAAGAGCCTCCGTTCCTACATGGACATGGCAGAGCACTCGGCGATTTGAGTCCTGTCAGAATCGTAAAAAATCCGGACGGATCGCTGGCTCAAGCAGCGATGATGCAGAGCGCTCTGGCCAAGGAACGAAGAGAACAGAAGATGTTACAACGAGAGCAAGAAATGGACTCCGTACCCACTGGTCTCAACAAGAATTGGATCGATCCCCTCCCAGAAGGTAAATGATCGCGAACGCTATCTTAATCATCGTCGTAATCGGTCATTGACAAGATCCATAAAGCAACCTACTCTTCTAACCGTATATTCCGTTTCTAAATCCTTCAGCCGAGAGTCGCACATTGGCTGCCAACATGCGCGGGATAGGTTTGCAGGCCCAAGACCTTCCGGAGTGGAAGAAGCACGTCATCGGAGGGAAGAAATCCTCCTTTGGCAAGAAGACCAACCTGACCCTCCTGGAGCAGAGACAGACCTTGCCAATTTATAAACTGAGGGATGATTTGGTGAAAGCGGTGACCGACAACCAGATCCTCATCGTCATCGGGGAAACCGGCTCCGGAAAGACAACGCAAATCACGCAGTACCTCGCCGAAGCAGGCTTTACCGCTCGTGGTAAGATCGGTTGCACACAGCCGAGGAGAGTTTCAACGATGTCCGTCGCCAAAAGAGTCGCCGAGGAGTTCGGTTGCAGGCTGGGCCAGGAAGTGGGTTATACGATTCGATTCGAGGATTGCACCGGTCCGGAGACGTCCATCAAGTAAGCAGAAAACTCTCACCATATTGGCCGTTGATCCTAACGTCGTTCCCTTCGTTCAGGTACATGACCGACGGTATGCTGCTCCGAGAGTGTCTGATGGATCTAGACTTGAAGAGCTACTCCGTTATCATGCTGGACGAGGCTCACGAGAGGACCATCCACACCGACGTGCTCTTTGGCCTCCTGAAACAGGCCGTGGGCAGGAGACCCGGCCTGAAGCTGATCGTGACCAGCGCCACTTTGGATGCCGTCAAGTTCTCCCAGTACTTTTTCGAGGCGCCGATTTTCACAATACCTGGCAGGACATTCGAAGTCGAGGTAAAAAACCTGGAGACGGGTTCTCCGGAAGTCCGCGACCACGTTGCAGCCAAGTCAACCAACGTAATACGCTTCGTTCACCCAGGTGATGTACACCAAGGAACCGGAGACCGATTACTTGGACGCAGCTCTGATCACCGTTATGCAGATCCATCTGCGCGAGCCTCCGGGTGACATCCTTCTGTTCTTGACCGGTCAGGAAGAGATCGACACCGCGTGCGAGATTCTGTACGAGCGGATGAAGTCCCTGGGTCCGGACGTCCCAGAGCTAATTATTCTCCCGATTTACTCGGCCCTGCCCTCGGAGATGCAGACGCGCATCTTCGAGCCCGCTCCCCCCGGCTCGCGAAAGGTCGTGATCGCGACCAACATCGCCGAAACGAGCTTGACGATCGACGGGATCTATTACGTGGTAGACCCGGGTTTCGTCAAGCAGAAGGTCTACAATTCGAAGACCGGCATGGACAGTTTGATCGTCACGCCGATCAGCCAGGCTGCCGCGAAGCAAAGGGCCGGAAGAGCGGGTCGCACGGGACCGGGGAAGTGTTACCGGCTCTACACCGAGAGGGCTTACAGGTTAGCAACGTATCCGGGCGTTCCTTTTGCCCCCGCTTGGTTCCTCTGGCTCGAGTGAGAACGGTTCCGTATTCTCGATCAGGGACGAGATGCTGCCCACCCCCGTACCCGAGATCCAGAGGACCAACCTGGCCACCACCGTGCTGCAGCTTAAGACGATGGGCATCAACGACCTGCTGCACTTCGACTTCATGGACGCGCCCCCCGTGGAGTCGTTGATCATGGCTTTGGAATCGTTGCACAGCCTGAGCGCCCTGGACAACGAGGGTCTGCTCACTCGGCTCGGCAGGAGGATGGCGGAGTTCCCTCTGGAGCCGAATCTCTCCAAGATGCTCATCATGAGCGTCCACCTGCAGTGCTCCGACGAGATCCTGACCATCGTCAGCATGCTTTCCGTGCAGAACGTTTTCTATAGGTATCTGGATTTTCCCGATTGGGAACCTTCCCCGTCTTTTCCTAATTTCCCAGTACTTAAGGGATTTGTAAATGTTCAGGCCGAAAGACAAGCAGGCCCTGGCAGATCAGAAGAAGGCCAAGTTCAACCAGGCCGAGGGGGATCATTTGACTCTCCTGGCAGTTTACAACTCCTGGAGGAACAACAAGTTCAGTAATGCCTGGTGTTACGAGAACTTTGTACAGATCCGGACCCTGAAGAGAGCGCAGGACGTGCGCAAGCAGCTCCTCGGCATCATGGACCGGTGAGAGAACGTCGTCGTGGCTTAACGGTCTCGATCGTAGATGTAAAAACATTTATCGAACGTTACGCGATTACTCGACAGACACAAGCTAGACGTGGTGTCCGCTGGCAAGAATACCGTCAGAATTCAGAAGGCGGTGTGTTCGGGCTTCTTCAGGAATGCTGCGAAAAAAGATCCCCAGGAAGGCTATCGGACCCTGGTGGACAGTCAAGTGGTCTACATACATCCTAGCAGTGCTCTCTTCAACAGACAACCCGAATGGGTAAGCCATCCAGGGATTTGGTTAACAATCGGTGGCGTTCGATCAGGGACTCGGTGAAATAAAGTTCCGACCGTGACGTTTCAGGTGATTTATCACGAATTGATTCAAACTACGAAGGAGTATATGCGAGAGGTGACGACCATCGATCCGAAATGGCTGGTGGAATTCGCTCCGGCCTTCTTCAAGTTTAGCGACCCCACGAAGCTTAGCAAGTTCAAGAAGAATCAACGACTCGAACCGCTCTATAACAAATACGAAGAGCCGAATGCCTGGCGTATCTCCAGGGTCCGTAGGAGGCGGAATTGAATCGAAATTGAGGTCAGTAACCTTGGTACGTATCGTGGGTCCTTGGAGTGCGGTAGCAGACACGTCTGTACATATTGCGTAATTTTAATAAATAACGCGTAAGGTCTGAGCGGGTGGATCGTCTTTAATTATTAAATTTATTAAATAAGTACATCTTGGGCAGACACGCGTAGAAAGTGGTGCGCGATCGTGCAATGGACCACGGTCGCAGTCTTGGAAGGAAGAAGAGAAGCTTTTTGGAGGATTCAAAATGGCCGGGTCAGGATCGGCCTTTCGAGGCCAGGGGGGAAGTTCGGCTCCCAGGATGTCGATCCGAACGACGGAGCGCCGTGTCAGTGTACACGCTCCGAGTTACGGGGACCGGAGCCAATCCAGGTATCGTTCACTGTGGATGTCGCTTCTTCTTGACGAGGTCGACCAGTTGCCGATACCGAGCTTGACATTCCTCCTACGGGAGAAGAATTTTGGTTCGCTCGATAATTGAGGTTTGAAGTCTTAAATTGAAGAAAGGTGAAAGGTCTCTCTCTCACCTTGGATTTACCCTCGACGCAGGTCGCGATCCTCTCCCACCTGTCGATCGAGTTTCCTTTGGGATACTTTATAAGAGCAGCTTCTAGAGCGCGCTGCTCTTCCTGGCTCCATTCGGTGGCAGGTTCCGAGGATTCGCCACGGGTCTTGATCTTCCTCGACGGTTCCTCCGAAAAGGCAGGGACTTCGTCCGCCGCCTGACCGGGCTTCAAACCTTCGTCCTTTATCTGAAAGAGACGGGGTCTTTCAACTTGTTTCCCGACGGAGCGAAAATTATGAGCCGAGCCTGAGAAAGGAAGGGAACCTTTTTGGCCATGTGCGTAACTTCCGCGACTGTACGATTCATCGTGTCGGCGATTTTCTCCCAACGGTCCGTCGTGCCCCCGGGGTACTTTTTGACGAGGTGGATCAACTCCGCTAGGTCATCGTCGGTCCACAAACCGCCTGTTAATTTTGGCTTCTCGTAGACGTGATTCGACCTGTTGTTTTCCTTCTCGTGGAGTTGTCTCGCGTCTTCTCCTTGGCGTTCTTGTGGAGTGAAGGCTGCTCTTCGCCTCTTGGGCCCACGAGGAATAGGCTCAGGTTCCACTTCCTCGGTCTCTTGGGCCCTACGATTGAAAAGCGTGACCGGGGGGTGGGTGCTCCTTTACTTTCGAGGCATATAAGAATAAGAACTAACTGTGTTTCCTCCTCCTCCAGCTTTTTTCTACGTTTCCTTTCTTCCCACACTTCTCGCATCGTCCCAAAGGCTGACGGAATGCCAACGATGGAAGCAAAAGTCCATCGGGGCAGCTGAAAGGGCAGCGTATTCTTCACGCTGGGAGTAGGAATTTTTTCCAGGATATCCGCCAAGTCTGGAACATCCACCTTGCTCTTTCTACTTTTCTTCTGCATTTTTTGCAGTTTACTCCCGAGCACTTGCTCCTGTGGGTGAACTTTCACTTATGGAAGGAATCGCAGAATCGGTCGAGAGAACGGGACAATTGCTTACGTAAGTGTATCTTTTTTCAAAATATGCTGCCCATGCGACTAGGTATTGGCCAATGGTCGTTAATATGAACAAGATGACGCTCATCTCCAAGAGTCCCATTTTCCGCACACGGCGGTAATAATAGACAGCGGATCGCCAGTTTGGCAATCCATTGACGAGAACATCGTCATAGAGTTCTCTCTTTCCTGGGTCCTTCAAGACATCGTATACGGCTACTAACTGTAAGGAAAAAACAGCACGAATAATCCTTATTTTAGCAGGAATTTTCCGAACCTATTTGATTTTTTACCACTAGATTTTATTGTACTTACATGCCTAAATTGTTGCTCGGCATCTTCTGCAGGATTTTTATCAGGATGCAACTGCAGGGACAGCCTCCTGAACGCTTTCCTTATCTCGGAAGCATTTGCTGCCTAAGAACCAGAAATCGGAATAGTTACTCGAGTCATAGCCACGTGTCGAATGCTTCCACATTTCGGATAAGAATTTTATTATCGACGACAAGTTGCACGCGAAGAGGTTGTAAAATAATTTACTGCCCTACCGATTACGTGGCTCACACAAATTGAGGCCTTTGGACCAGTAGAATACAAGGCAATGCATAAATGTCTATGGTCTAGGAAGACAAAAATCAAAATGACACCGATATCTAGCGTAGCCACTGTAAAGAACATTACTTGCGGCACACCGAGCAGGTCGTAGAAGTTTCTGTTGACTTCTTCGACGACATCGAAGACCTCCAGCTGATCGTTGTCCCATGCTGTAGCCAAAGAGCACAAGAACACTTGGAGTACGCCAAGCACCAATGTCACCTGTCGTTTTCTTTCCATTATTTACACATAGCCCGGCCACGACTCGTCGAAGCTCAATTTTTGAAAATTATATCAAATTATCGTCATACTTTAGCAGATATCCGTGACTTTGGCTCGATGACGACTAGGTTAGAAACACGATTGCTAGCAAGTATCGTGCAATCGCCACGCGCAGTCGTGGACTGTGTGCTTTCGTTTTCCACGAACTATATAAAGGCCAGAGGACACGATCACGCTTCGATTCGTACCGTGCCTACGAGGGTCGGTAAAAGATGCCACATAGGTAGGTTCGACCCTGTCAAATGATCGTGGGCAGCTCAAAAATCAGTGGAAACTTGGCGGCGAGAAAATCCTTTGGGACTGGGTGAATGCATGCATGTACATAAATACATAGCATCCGCAGCCAATAATGGCGCTCGGATCGCAAGAAGTTCCATAGTTGTGTTTCTCGCGCCGTGGGAGAGAATTCGCTACTATAGCCATCTGTGACAGGTTGGGTCCGGTTGGGTCTGGTTGGGTCGCCATCTAAGAGTAAACGTCCGCCCCGTAACCCACATAACCTATGCAGCGCCCCGCCGCGGCCGTCGCGCCCATTCAGAGCGGTTGAGCGACGAACCAATGCGTGACGGCCGTGCGTAGACGCGAGTACGCCAGACCAAAGCACTCGGACCGAGAATCCTCCGTTAGAAGACGTTAAGAGGTATTTATCGACTCCTTTTGCTCATTCTTGGTAATGGCGAACGCGGGTATTCACTCCTGGTGCGGAGCGCTTCGAGCGTTCTCGGTACGGCTCGCTGAATTTCCCTCCTCGGCTGGACGTACGACGGCGGCACCGCCTTTCTCATTGCTCGTACCCTGTGCACACCCCGAATTTCCTGTCGGCTCGATCGAAATATAATCGTTCTTTGTCAGTCACGATTAACAGGTCTTTCCTTCTACTCCTGAAGATGCTTCTGTCATCGTAACGGTTGTCTGACATTTATTTACATTGACGTTCACCAGCGTTGTCTTTACTTGGGGCGGTTGGGCTTTTCAGGTGTTGATCATTTTTTCGTAAGAAGTTTCATGGGTTTTTTCGCATCGACTCAATGCATGGAACTTGTTTTGTAGTTAATAGGATTGGATTCAGAAGTTGCAGGAAATACCAGAGGGTTTCTTTGTCGTAGGGGATAAGGTGGGGGTCCTTGATTTCCCATGTCGATAACGGACACATTCTTTCCTGGGTTTATTAAGTAACGGCACATGCATGGGAACACCGCGGAAGCGTTTCGTAGTCCTCTGTTTTGCTGCTTAATTTATGTATGCCGCACGTGGTTAGGTACTCGTAAAATCCATAGTAACATTTAGGAATTTTGTCAATGTTTATCCTAGCGATCGCCGTTCCAGTGATCTCCATCATTTGGTGAAAAATGTCGAAGAAACCAGGTGCAACTCAAGCCCTACACAAAGTTATTATGGTCGGCAGCGGAGGCGTCGGCAAGTCTGCCCTTACTCTGCAATTTATGTACGACGAGGTGCGTGGGTGGATTCCGTGTCTCCTTATTTAGATTGCCCGACGTAACTTAGGAATACCATCGAATGTCTCGTCCACTCGACGATCCAAAACGTAGAATTTATTTTAAGTTTTATCTTTGGTTCGGACTCGTGGTAAAAAAAAATGTCTTTCTTGAATTTAACGAGGGCGTGGAATTAGTTTGTTGAAGATTACGAACCTACAAAAGCAGATTCGTACAGGAAAAAGGTTGTACTGGATGCGGAGGAGGTACAAATAGACATTCTGGACACCGCGGGTCAGGAAGATTACGCAGCTATTAGAGACAATTATTTTCGCAGCGGAGAGGGCTTTCTCTGCGTATTTTCCATCACGGAAGACGACAGTTTTCAAGCCACGCAAGAATTTAGGTGAGAACCACTCGGAAATGCGCTTTACTTTCTGCTCCAGGGAAAAATCACATATGCGTCTCTTCTCTCTTTGATTCGATGCTTGTTGTTGCTATTTAATGCGTTTCCGGTGAATCATTTATCTTGTTGCTCTTTAAAAAGCGGAAGAATCACCCATTTGGGTTTCCGGTATTCTCTCGCTTCTCTATGACGTGGACAACACGGTCGAGGATATTAAGGTTGCAGCGATATTACGTAGAAAGTAGGCTGCCTTTTTCACAATATTCGCAGGCAATCGACACACTTTCTTGCGCTGTTACGTTACTTCGATCGGAGCCACTCGACGCATCCGTTGATTCGTTTGATTTGCGTTGCAGAGAGCAAATACTCCGGGTGAAAAACGACGAAAACATTCCCTTCCTCCTAGTGGGTAACAAGAGCGATCTCCAGGAAAAGAGGAAAGTCAGCCTGGCGGAGGCACAGTCCAGGTCTCAACAGTGGGGCGTTCCATACGTGGAGACCAGTGCCAAGACCAGGGAAAACGTCGACAAGGTAATATTCCCAGGAGGAGAGGAGGATCGGTATTTTTCTTTCGAGGCCAAAGTCGAACGAGTAGCTCGCCGGCATCCGTAGTTGCACGGCCGACGTTTGTCCCTCCGGCTGGGTCGATTCTTCCGACGCGTCGTCGGTAATTTGGTCGCGGTTCGATCGCGTTGCCCGCGCTAGAGACATCGCGAACGTGCACGAACGGTAGTTCCCCGCTTAACGCAACACTGTCGCTACTGGTGCATTCTCTCGCTTTTCGTAGGAGCGTTTAGCCTACGCGTTGCACGAGTACCGTACGGGGCCCGACCACGATTCGAATCCCCGGGATCGACTCGATCGCGTCGGCCGTCGTGCACCCTGACCCGAGTGCTTTGGAGGGCCTTGAGACCAGCAGAGATTACGCATTTTCAGGTGTTTTTCGACCTGATGCGCGAGATCAGGTCGCGCAAGATCGAGGACAAGTCTGCGAGTAACGGGCGTGGGAAGGACCGCGCCAAGAGGAAGAAAAAGAAGTGCATTATCCTCTAGGTTCGCCATTTGGTTTATCCACCCTTTTTTTACTTTATCCCGATCCGCCATCCCCCGGTTTCGTTTAACGCGACGCAACGACCGAGCGTTTCGGGAGATGGAAATCCTGGTGGGAGCCGCCCGTACCCGATCGTCGCAGCTTGCGCGCAAAGAGCATGCCACGCTTTCGCGTTCCTCGCCGGACCCTCTCCCCTCGCCCCTCCTCCGTCGGGGGACTCCGACTAAACGACCGCTCGGCTTTCAGGTGTTCTTCGACCTGATGCGAGCGATAGCCGCTCGCAAGGCTCGAGAGAACCAGGCCGAGGGCGGCGAGCGCAAGAAGAAAGCGAACTGCTGCAACCTGCTTTAACGAACGCCGAGGACCCGAATAACCGCACCTCGCGGAAATACGGCATGCTGAGCCTCGTCGTGGTCAACGGAACGCCGTACACTCCGAGACGCGGCTCGTCGGCAAGGTCAGCGCCTCCCGAGGACGGAAGGCGACGGGAGGGCTCGGCCCCTGCACTTTTTCCTCTCTCTCTCCGTTTACTTTCGGCCACGCTGGCTTCGCGCGACTCGTCGACTCGGGTCGGGGACGAGGACGAAGAGGTCCGCCCGGGGGCCCGAGGAAGCCGCCGACTCCTGCTCGGGGAACGGCTCGGCTCCGTCCAGGGAAACGCGTTCCCTCGTTCGCGCCGACCGCCGAAAACGCATCGGACGCTGGCGGAACCTTCTCTCGACGAACGCGATGTAACCGATTTTCGAATAAACCTTTGATTTTCTACCTCAGGAGCGCTCATTGGACCCCTTCGAGGCGTCCCCGTCGCGCGGACGCGTACCTTGCCTCTCGTTCCGGGCGCATCTGCGAGCGGCGGGTAAATCGTCGCTCCCCTCGGGTCGGAATATCGGACACCGCTCGCCGTCCGCGACGACCTCCGGACCCCGGAGCCACGACGATCGATCACCCGGACTGGAAATGACGCCCAGAAGAGGCGCCGAGTCCTCGCCGAGTCCTCGCCGAGTCCTCGCCCGAGCACGAGGGCGGCATTTATTTCGCGCCTCGAAACGCGCAGCCGTAGATTTATCGCATCGCCCTCGTCTTGGTCGACCGTAAATCGCGCCTTGCGGAGCCGCGAGGACGCGGGAGTTCTCTTGTCGAATCGATCGAGCCTGCACCCAGGTGTCTCGATGCCGAATTTTTTTCGGCCAACCTCCGAGGGGCCGAAAAAGTTCCCACCGTCTTCGCAGCGGGGCTCGAGGTATCGGAAATCGCGTTCCTTCGAACCCCGGCTCCTGGCGACGCCGAGCACGAGCGAGCGTAAATTTCCCCGAGTAAACCGTAACCCGGGGAGCGTAAAAATAAAATCGATGGAAGGTGCACCGGCGAGGCGCACTTTCCCCCCGAGCCCGACGACGCGGTCGTTATCGTTTTTACGTTCCAACGGGGCACCTCCTCTCCGAGCGGCCGATTCCTTCGACGCGGATCGGAATCGGGGATCTCGCGTGAATTTTAAACCCGGGCGAGGTCGACGGTTCCCGAAAACCGGCGAGGGCGGTCGTCGAAAGGAGGGAAATCCGGACGGGTGGAGTCCCGGGAGCGAAGCTCATTAAAATCTCGCGCAATTATCGGGTCCGGAGTCGACCGGACGGGAGACGTCGTTACCGGGCATCTTTCCTTCGGGGCTCCCTCGGAGCGGAACCGTAGATGCCGCACCCGGTAGCACCCTGGAGGCCGAGAAGCCGAGGGACGGTCGGGAACGTCCCGGAAATGGACTCTTCGACCGCCACCGGACGACGGGGTCCGCTCCGAGAGCGAGGGGCGGAGAAGAAGAAGAAGAAGGGTCCCGCGATCGCGGAATCCTTCCCCCGTCCCCGAGAGAAATCGGGTCGATTCTCGCCGACTCGATCGAGGTTCCCGAAATCTCGGTCCACGCGTCGCTCGGAAGGTCTCGGTCCGGAGAGGGGGGAGGTGCGCGCGCAGCGGCGGCGGGCGAGGGCAGGCGAGGGGCCCGGCGCGGCCGCGGGCCGGTCAATACTCCGAGCGACGCGGCGGTGAGAGCACGCGAGTACGCGAGCCGCGCGAGACCGACCGTGCGCGCCGAACACGCGGACCGCCGCGCGACCGCTACGTGGCCGCGAGACCGCGACGCCTCGCCGTCGGCCCGACCCGGAGGCCAGGTGAGTCTCCCGGGAATGTGAGCGCGGAAGAGGCAAGGGAGGGAGAGCGCGAGCTCGCGCGACAGGTGGACGCGGAGCCGTCGCGGCGGCCGGCGTCGGCCCTCCCGAAGACTATGCGCCCGGCCTGAGGATTCCATGCCGGAGACCGACCCGCCGCTCGGGACGACCCGACTCGCGACCCCCATGGACCTATGGACGTTCTGCCTCCTCTTCGCTGCCGCGGGTGAGTACCTCCAGCGAGATCGATCGGGTCCCGAGCCCCGATCCCGAGGGACCCGGGTGCGGCCCCCGTGGGGAAAGCAGGTGGGCGACCACGGGGCCCGCTTGCGATTTCCGATTCGCGCGTGCCCCGAGATACCGAGACTTCCGAACCCAGGGAGACAAAGGAGGACCGATCGCGTCGCTTTCCTCGCTTTCCTCGCTTTCCTTCTCCCCCCGGCCCGGTTCGTTCGCGGCGCTTGCGATCGTTTGTTTACGTGCCCGATCTCCACGCCGTCCTTCCTCCCTTATCCGAGTGGCCGCGGAAATTGGGTTACGAAGTATCGCGGAGACGTCGGACTCTAAGGTCTCCCTCGCCGTGCTCGATATACGCCGTAACGGGGACATCGGGTCGAGGGGTGGAAGAATCGATGGGCCCTCTCCGTTCCGTGCCTCGCGGATTTTTCACCTTTGACGGGTCGCGAGGCGGACGAGCCCGACCGAAATCGTTGTCGCGCGTTTATCTCCTTATCGCGAGGACCCCGCGAGACGCGCCGACGTTTCGTCGAGATCCCCGAGCGGAGGGGAGGAAGAATCGATGGGTTCGATCGTTCGCTCCCTTCCGGCGACCCTCGAGCGCGCCCCACCTTTTCTTCCCTTTTGGCCGAGAGCGATCCCTTTGTGCCTTGGGCCGCTCCACCTCCGACTTTGACCTCGGCTCTTTCCCTCTTTCCCGTCCCCTCGCGGAGGCGCCTCCGCCGAGAGATCCGAGGGAGTCGTTCTCCTGGACGCGACCTTCCGGTCCGGGAGCACCGCCTGCTCGATTTCCCTTCCTCGTCGAAGCGAGACCGAGGAGACGCGGGAGAGGATCCGGGGCGAATCTTTACCGCGGGATTTCGTCGAGGATCTTCCGTCCTCGGCGATTTCGCGACCGAGCGATTTCCTCCGGACGAGCGCGATTACGCGGGAAACCCGGACTCGTCGCTCGGTTCCGGGAGGCAGCGATCGCGCCCGACTCGAAGTAAATCGCGGGGAGTAAAAAGGAAGAAGCGGAAAAATAAAAGGAGGGGAAACGGGTGGACGGAACGCATTCCGCGTCGGAATCGCTCGGGCATTCGTTAGCGTATCGACCGTTCCCGACCCCCTTGGTCTCGCGGAGTCCCCCGGAGTCCCCCCCGAGAACGAGGGGCTCCGCCGAGGGATCGATTCGCCCCTCGAGGGGAACGACTCCGCTCCGGACCCCCCGCGAGTCGGAGAGGATCGAGGACGTCGAGAGTTCGTCTCTCCTCCGACCTCTTGGATTTCGGTCCCTCGGGGGAGCCTCGAAGGACGAAACCCGCCGACGTCTCGCGTAACCGGCCTGGCCGGGTTCTTTCTCTCCCTCTCTTCCTCTCCCGAGGACGCGCTCGCGTGACTCAGCCCACGGGCACGCGTCGGCGAGTCGAGGGCCGTCGCGACGCCGGAAGCGCAAGGCCCTGGCCGGCCAGCTAATTGTTAATCCGGGTCCGTCCCGAGAAAAATTAATACGCTCCCTCGTCCCCGGGCTCTCGACCGGACAGTTTTTAAATGGCCGAATTTACCGCGGCCGAATCCCGGCTCTCCGTCTCGCCGCAAGGGAGAAAATGGGATCGATCCCGGCACCGGGGGGGGGTTGCGACGCCTTCGACGTCGAGGGGACGGCGGCATCGGCGATCGGGGAGCCGGGTCCCCCGGGCCCCCCGGGCCCCCCGGGCCCCCCGGGCCCGCCAAGGGGGACTCCGCCCCAAATCGTCCGTGACGCCGCACCGCCATCGATCCTCTCCCCTCGGGGATGAAGAGGAAAACCGCTTAACGCTCCGCGGCGGACCCGCGCCCGTCGGAGGCACGTCGAGGCGTCGCGTCGACTTCTAGCAGAATTCCCCGCCCTCCGACTCTCTTTCCACCCTCGTCGCGCGGGGATAGCGGCGAGACGAGGGCATCGCGCGTTTCGGCCGCGGCCTACTCCCGAGGGATCAAAGGGACTCTTCCCCGAGATCGGGGCGTCCCGCACTCCGAAACCCGCTTCCGGCCCGGCCGCGCGTCCTCGCCCGCCGATGCGGGGCGAACCTGGCCGCGCGGGATCGATCCATCGACCGGGAGCGCAGGCATGCGTGCCCGCACGCATCCGGCTCGTTAATCCGTTAATTCATCCCGGCGACCCGGCCCGGCCCCGTCGGACCTCCCCCGAGACTCGGCCGCGGAAATCGCGGCTCCGAAGTCCCTCTCCGCTCGATGCGCTCCTCGGCGGGGCGGCCGGAGACTCCTGGCGGGCATCGGGCCGCTAACTCGGTTATTCGACGGGAATTACGGCGCACCGCGGCCGCGTTACCAAAGTTCCCGGGTTACCCGGGCCACTTTGTCCTCTCCGCGACGCCGGCCGCGCGGAAACGAGGACGGTTTCTAATTTTTCCTCCCCCTTCGCGCCCGACTGAAACCCGGTCGAGGAGGCCGCTCGATTTCCTCCGCCTCGGGCGTTTACGGCGCGCCGAGTCCGATAATTGCGAATAAAGGAGAGGAGGACGGCCGGAGACGACCGGAGACGGCCGGAGACGGCTTATCGATCCTGGCGGTGGACCAAGGCTTTACGTAAGCCCGCGGTGCCCCGGAGTCGATTCGGACACCCCGGGAGGCGCCTTCGGGCCCTTTGTGCCGGGCGGGCGAATCGCGATTCGGGGACTCTTTCCGAGCTCTTCCCGCGCGGGAACGCAATTTGCCGAGTTTACGAGCGTCCCCGCCCTCGAGGGGCCCCCCGAGGGCGAGGCTGGCATTCCCGGCGTCGTAATTAGCATTCCGCGGTCCTAAATCGCGCAAACACGCGGGCGAGCGAGCCGCCGACCTCGAGGAGTCCGTCCGGGTCGGCCATCTCGTTCGGCCGGATCGTTCTCCGCGGCGAGATGCGAATACGCGTTATCGTAAATTATGCGTCCACCGTCGGAAAGAGGAAACGGAGGGAGTATTTCGGGGAAGCCGGTCGCGGGACTATCTCGACGGCGCCTCTCGGAGCGGAAGCCGGGGCGCGAGGAGACCCCCCGAAGGGCCTCCGGGTCGAGGAGGAGGTCGAGGAGGAGGTCGAGGAGGTCGAGCTACGTGCTCGAGACGAAGTGGCATGGAAGCCTCCGAGACGAGTGGCTCGCGACGCCGCACCTGCCGCGGTTTCCTTATAGCTCTCCCCCGGTTTTCCGCCACGTCCTCCTTTCTCCTCTCTTCCGCCTCCCTTCCGCCTCCTTTCCTCCTCCCTCGCTCCTCCGGCGGTTTTCCACCGCGGTGCGGAATTTACGAGCGACCTCGCCGAGCCCGTCGCGCGGCTGCTTCCCACTTTTCGCCGATTTTCTCCCGGCGGGATCGCCGATCTCGATCCTTCTTCCCAGAGTTCCCTTCCGTTCCCCTCGGCGCCTGTCCGGTCCCGACTCGACCGGCGGCTTTTTTCCCGTCCCGCTTGGCTCTCGTTTCCGGATCGAGCGACCGAGGGAACTCTCGACCTTCCCGAAGTTATTTCCGTATTCGTTTACCCGCGTCTGGGTCGGAAGCCGGTCCGAGACCGGCTCCTCGGACCGCGGCGCACTTTAAACGCGAGCGCGAACCGATACCCGGGAATCCGCGAGGATTCGTCGTTAGCTGCTCCTCGATCGCCGAGGACGTTGCGCTGGCCCAGCGTATAGAAAATGACGGCAGAAGTTCGCGGAGCCGGGATCCATCGGTCGAGTCGGATTCGACGATCGCGTCTACTTCTCTCTCCTTAACTGCCATCGGGGCCGACGTCGGGTTCGCGACACTCGGTCACGCGCGGCTCGTCCCCTTCCGAGAGGGTCCGGCCGGTTCTCGCGTATCTTTCTCTATGCGTTTTCCCGAAACGTCGAGCCCCGTCCGCGGCGTTGAAAAATTGGAGCGCGACGTCCTCCGCGCCCGAAACGATATCTCACGGTATCTCCCGTTTCCTCCGATAAGGCCGAAGACGCGGCGCCTCCTCGCCCGTCCTCGCCTCGAGATTCGTCCCGAGATTCGTCCCGAGATTCGTCCCGAGCCCCTCGAGCCCACGTGGCGGAAGGAAGAGAACGGGAGCTCGACGTCGTCGATTTCCAAGCTAATTTCGGCGTCTTTTGAGAATTCCCGGATCGACGCTCCACGTAACGAAAATGGATCACCAAGAAAGAATAATCCTCTTTCCGAGGTGATTCTCGCGGTCCTTTGCGAGCGCGGGAACGGGCGAGGTGCATCGGGAGGTCGATAAAGAGGGTCGAGAGGAGCGTCGCGCATCTAAATGGGAATCTCTTCCCTGGCCCCGAAGGAGGGGAGAGGGAGCTCCGATTATAAAGTAAACGCGTCTCCCGATCTACGCCCACGTCCCCGCTCGAGGAGCCGGTGTTCCAGTCGCGGAATCCGGGGCAAGCGAGGTGCAACCTCGGTGCAACCTCGGTCGGGGAGGGTCGAACCTCGTTCCGCCGGTCCAGGGAGGGATGATCCCGGCGGGAAGCAATTTCGTCGGGCGCTCGTCGGATGAACTCGAAACCGAAGCCCTTTTCGCGCCGATGAATTATTCAGGGAAACGCCGCCGGCTCGAGAGACCCTCGGACCGGTATCCGGAGCCCCTGCCGGCCGTTTCGCCGTCCCGGAGAAGTCGGGACCTTCCGGGCGTCGACTTTAAAGAGCAAGGAAGGATGATTTCCTCGTCGGTGGGTCGCGAGGGCGCCTTCCTCTCGGAAACGCTCCCGTCCGGGGATTTATTGCAATTCGAGGCGATAGCGGAAACTCGGTCCTTTCCCTTCGTTCGCGAGTCTCCTCTTCCTCTTCCCTCTCCGCCCTTGACGGCCCGCTCGGCCCTCAACAGTGGGCGATTCCATCGATCGGGGCGAAAAACGCCCATTTTCCTGGAAGCGCCGGGAATCCCCGTCCTCGCGCGGGTGCACGAAGCGCATAAAGCCCGGGAGGCGCGGGATGGAATTTATCATCGATAAACGGCGAATGGGAAGGGCCCTATCCCTCCATAAATTTATTCCGCGTAAGCCGATA